GGGTAAGTGGCTTGCAGGAGAGCATCATGCAAGGGCACTCGCACAAGCTGCAAAAGCCAAGGGGGGTTGAAGGTAGATGGTGCCCTTTCTTTCCAAGGGATCCACCAGTGCCCAAATCTCAACAAGGCTTCACCAACCTTGGCCCTCCCGACATTCCGAACCCCGAGGACCCCCTCAGTTCTTGGGCGTGGAGGTGCTCTTGCCAGGTCCATGTATGTCTCTAAGCCCACCCCGTGGCACCTGGGTCAAGTTACTGTGAAACTATACGGGATGAAGGGGTGATGTGGTCAGTCAAAGGGATGAGGGAAGAGGGGGGAGATAGGCTGCGAGGCGTGAAAGTCCTAGATAGGGGCTCCGCTTGTGGCTGCCACCGCCGCGGGACGACAACGATGCGGGATGTGGATGCGGGCTTTGAAGAACCGGGGCGGCTAAGTCACCACCGACCGGTCCAGGGTGAAGGATCGATTCCTGCGTCACGCCGGGGAGATAGTCCGGGCCTGTAACTTTCCCGGCAGAGAGTCATGCCGCGGGCCTGGATGCCGGTAAGGCTTCTGGTAGCTGTTAATCAGTGGCCTGATTCTGGATACACACTTATCCTATTCACTCGGTTTGTCTACAGAATGCTGGGTTCTGCCCCGAGCTGGCACTGTGACTGATAGAGATAGCAAGCGTTCCTTAGACAACACTCAAGGGGAAGGGACGGGGAGAGGATAATGGCGCGATATAATTCGTGTCGAGTAGAGTCTGTGGTCATCAGCTCGCAAGGCATCTTTCATAAACGCGAAAGTCCGACAGTGCTAGGGGAACACGTGAAGAAAGGGTAACGGGACGGCAATATATCCCAGAGGATATGTGCCAATTGCCTCTTGTGAAGGGAAATGCTCAGTCCTTCGAGTAGAATCTGAATACCGGGTCATCTCTTATCTGCCTAGTAGGCAGACCCAAGCAGACCAGTAGAAGCAGGAGCAGTCTGATCTACCGTGTCACAATTGACTCGAGTCGCGTAATGCAAGGACGCGTCGTCAGGTCAGGGTGCTCGGATGCTTGTCTTTCACGACAACCGAACCATGTGGGACATGTTGCTGCAGCTAGAGCCTCTTGGTGGGAGTAGTGGATATGCTCATCTCCTTGAGCGATCTCCAGTCTGGAGGTCTGTGTCTGGGATGTGTGTGTGGCGTAGGCACTGTCGTTGTATGCCCAGAACGAAACAACAAGGAAGACAGATCCATTGAAGTCGTTCGTATCCGCGGATGGCTCATCCGTCTATAAGTTATCCTAAGAGCTCCCCAGTACGTCCATGACAGAAATGACGTCCGTGGGGATTGAAGCGTGGTCTCTGCCATGGTGAAGACCGCCCAATAATGCTTTGTTTTGTCCAAACAGGAATTTGTGTGTTCGTAGTTCATGTTTGATGGATCCAGTGAAAGCGGTCTAAGTATTTGTCCTGAGCTTTCTGTCATTTCATTGCATCTCTTGATTTGTGCTAATGGCCTAGATAGGTGCAGCATTATGGTACGATTCAATCGTGTCTCCTGGTGGCCTCGGCCCTCCATTGCACAGGTTTGAGATAGGTTTCTGCCCTTGAAATCGGAATTCCAAAGTCAGATCATGCGGTCGTCGTCTAGACGCGCGTGTGTAGATTGTCACAATACACAGAACCCATTTCATTGAGCAAAACGAATGGAATTTGTTTGCTGGCTCGTGTAGGCGTTGATAAAGATAGTTATGTACCGTTCGGTGACCGCCGACTGGGCATCTTGAAGTTGATTCTTGCTGTTCGCGTGGTCGTCAAGAGGACAGCATGAGGAGTGTATCTCCAGCCAACAATCGACGATGATTTTGACGGGAAGCATGCTACCAGAAATAAGGTTGTCCAAGCATTGCTTCAGAAAACTGTGCACAAATGCGAGCCCAAAAGCACGATGTGACCATTACAGGCATGCACTGATTTTAAAAGAGACACCAAATAGAGCTTGGACAGCTATGTGCATTCAACAACTTACCGAAATGGCATGGTCTCAATTGTTCTAGTACGTCGTGTTCATGGTGAGCATCATCATGTCAGAAGTCACGATGCCTTGCGTTTTTCTCTGATGAGCGAGCGAACGAAGCTGGCGTGTCAATGACCTTTATCAAAGACCTCTGCGATCACAATTATCATTTCCCAATCAGTAGTCAACATTGTGTTTCTGGTTTCATACGTTATCAAGAGCACATGAAAATTGCAAACCGACCCATTGTTACAACCCAAAAACGGCAAAATTGCGCATCAATGCTTCCTTAGACCACCCTTCTGTGTCAAATAGGATAGCGTTTCGCCAAAGAAGCCAGACATCAGAAGATTCTATTGAATAGGCCATTCGACTCATCGAGATTTTCCCAGGCAGAACTGTAGCATGGGTGATTCTCCATGGCCCGTCAGTATAGCTCGAGGCCTTGCCCAGGAGTCGAAGCAGACGATGCTGGCGCCTTGGCATTGAATACAACCTATGAAACTGTCAGTCGGCGCGGCGCACCTAACACATAGACATGCCAGGGGATATCAAATGACTTCTATCAACAGTATTTATATTGAAATGTCCATCTTGCGCGGCCAGTTGCTACCTAGTACAAGCACGCCTGAAGACTCATCGCCGAGGGCGCGCTGCTAAGAGTACTGGCTCCTCTTTGTTCAGTGTTATGACAACTCTCTCATCCATGGCTTGCAGAAGCGCCTGGAAGAAATGTGGTTGAGACATCTCTGGTAACAACGAGGATAGATATCTCTGGAGACGTTCAAAAGGGTAGACTAAGAAGGGAGTTCATCAGGTTCTTGTATTCATCTTTTACGCCGTTCCCTGTCTCGTCCTAGTAGATGTGCTGGTTTGTCTTCACCGTACAAGCAGTCTTGCGTTGACCTGACTATCTGGGCGGCTTTCCATACTTATATCTTTGCTCTGGTTGAAACACCAGTGCTGATAGCTCACGGCTTTTATCGCTCCCTTGACTATTGACTTGCGAATAGTGCGTTATTATTTCACGGCAGGCTTTCCTCTCTATTGATTTTGGTGACGAACGGGGTATGTCTCATATGCAGCTGAGGTCTTGAACACCAACGAGAATGCCTCACGCCGAGAGGTGATAGGTACTTATGTACGCACTCAAAGCACAATCTCAAACGAGCGAATGCGCACAGCAACGCCGCACCACCAGGATTTTCTCGACGGAGACCTGAACCATGTCCTCTTTGAGCTGGTCATCTAGCTTGGTATGGTGCAGCTCTAATCGGATAGGCAACATGTGGAAAAGATTCTGGGGATCTCATTATCTCTCTTGCTAGGCTGCTGGGCTAACTTTCTTGGAGGAAAGGGCCTAGATCAAGTCCGCTTCAAGGAAACATCTGGATCGTGTTTCGTTCATCGACTGTGTTTACCTTTCCAGAGCTCGTATAGCCTCGATACGCGGCGCCAAGCCTGGCTCAACAAGGTCCCTGGGAGGCTCGAGAAAACTTGAAGTGACGAACCGGCGTAATGAATGCTGCACGAGCAGAAAGATGGTTGCCGTCACGGTGGCGGTGGTAATTCCGGCCGCATTGATGATCCGGCAGTCACGTCTCTGATTACCTCTGTTTCTTGTGGTCTCCAAAGCTGGACTGCAGACCTTTCAAGGATATAAGGGACCACTTTACGGCGAAACCTGACCTGTGGGGCGGACTTTCTTTCCCTACTCCCCGCCATTGGAAACATGCCAGCGTGGCCGTGTGAGGATTGGCTTGGAAAGAGAGAGAGCAGGCCGTGGTTGATGTCTGTTGTACGGCACTGGCGCGGTCGAAGTGTTTCGAGGGACGCCGCCCTGGTCGTGACCATGAACCGGCAAACCACTGACATTTAGAGTTTTCTTGTTTCTGTGATGATTTGATGGCCTGATTGAGTATTCAGGGCTGAGAGAATCACCCGATCCCCGTGCCTTTTCCAAATGATCTGATGGCGTAGTCTTCTATTTCCCATCCGGGGGAGCCAACCCGCAGCATGGCGAAAACGTCAGAATCAAATTGGTTGCCAGTCGTGTTCAGCAGCTGACCCCTCAGACAAGTGTGTGTTGTGGGTTGCCAGGAGGAGGTTTCGATGTGGCGACACTAGTATTCTAATTAGAGCATGCAGTCAGTCAGTTGACCCAGTGGATGGTGGTGGTCCTGCAGACGCGGCTAAGCCGCCTGCATGTGTCAAAAGACAGACGCAACACACACATTCCGTACATGGTTCCGAGGACTAGGGATATGCCCCTGGCCTGGTGGTGGTCCCTGAAAGGCCGCCACTGCAGCCAAGACGCAGAGCTGCAAGCACGCCATTGCAGGCTGCCAACGACGAGGCGGAGCTGTGCCCACGCGCAAGGTATCACTAGGCATCACATGAGGCTCTGGCTGTTTGGTGAGACAATCACAAGACCCGTGCGCCCAGAGCAGCGAGTGTGGAGGTGCAGGCAACAAGCGCGGTTGGTCGAGGAGAATGCGGCTCAACGTGACGACGGGAACCGGGCAATTGGCGCCTGTGCGGGAAATGGCGCATCCCAAGGAAGGGCCATCCATCATCCATCATCCATCGTTTGCGCTTCTGCCCTTGGCAGCGAGGCGGTGTGTCCGTGATCGACTTGCTGGGCAAAGGGCCATGACGACGCAGCCGGGCTTGGCTGCCCTTGGCGCGGGTGGTGCAGTCCAGTCCATTCCAGGCCGCTGATTGTTTGTCCAGACTGCGATTAGCACACCACATGACTTCCCCAGAGGTGCCTCTCCAGGCCCTTTGACCAACGGCGGTCAGTGCTTGAGCTTAATCCGCCACCCCTGCCCACGCCCGCTCAGAGGCCCTTCTGGCCCTCGACCTCACCCACCCACACCTGCAGCCTTCCCCCCAGACCCGCTGCTCCCCCCGGCCTGGGGCGCGTCCTACAGGGTCCTCCGCTGATAACAAGCCCCCATCTTTAACCCAGCTCTCGGCCGCTTCTCCGGCTCTCTCATCCTCCACCTCGTCCGTTCGACAACGACGACGACATCGTTGAGCTTCTCGAAGCCAACTCTCCACCATGGCGACGACTTCACGGGCCGCCCGTACCCTGGCCCTCGCCGCCGCCGCGCTTGTCGTGCCTTCTGTCCACGCAGCCGGCGGCACGGCCACCAACGGCACCACCGCCCCTCCCCAGGCCGGCATCTTCGAGGGCATCAAGCCCAATGCCTTCTCAACCTCGCAGCCCATCACGCTCTTCATCATCCAGGCCGTCATCATCATCGTCTTCTGCCGCATCCTCCACTATCCCCTCTCCTACATCAAGCAGCCCCGCGTCATCGCAGAGGTTGTCGGCGGCATCATGCTCGGCCCTTCCGTCCTCATGCGCATCCCCGGCTTCCGCCAGGAAATCTTCCCAACCGAGTCCATCGTCGTCCTCAACAATGTGGCAAACCTCGGCCTCCTCCTCTTCCTCTTCCTCATCGGCCTCGAGGTCGACATCCGCATGTTCACCAGCAACTGGCGTGTCGCTGCCAGCGTCGGCGCCGCCAGCATGGCCCTCCCCTTTGCCCTCGGGTACGGCATCGCTGTCGGTCTCTACAACAACTTCCACGACCAGACACAGTCAAACATCAGCTTTGCCGTCTTTGGCCTCTTCATCGGTACCGCCCTTGCCATCACTGCCTTCCCCGTCCTCTGCCGCATCCTCACCGAGCTCGACATGCTCAGCACCCCGGTAGGCGTCACTGTCCTGGCTGCTGGTGTTGGCAATGACGTCGTCGGCTGGGTTCTCTTGGCTCTCTGTGTCGCCCTCGTCAACAACGGGTCCGGCATTGCTGCTCTCTGGGTCCTTTTGGTCGCGACTGGGTGGGCGCTGTTTCTTGTCTATGCCGTTCGTCCCGCCTTCCACTGGCTCTTGCGCAGGAAGGGTGCGATCCAGAATGGACCAAATGAGTCCATGATTGTGGTCACCCTCCTCCTCGTCCTCATCTCGGCATGGTTCACAAGTAAGTCTCAGTCCTTCCCCTATATCGTACATGCACTCGAGTTCCGGCCTGCTGACTTTGTGCTCTAGGCATCATCGGCGTTCACGCCATTTTTGGCGCGTTTCTGGTTGGTCTCATTTGCCCACATGAGGGAGGTTTCACCATCAAGGTCACAGAACGCATGGAAGATCTCATCTCCGCGCTTTTCTTGCCGCTATATTTTGCGCTTTCGGGCCTCAACACCAACTTGGGTCTTCTGAATGACGGGCTCACCTGGGCGTACGTCGTTGCCGTCATTGCCGTCGCTTTTGCTGGCAAGATCATTGGCGGCACCCTCGCTGCTCGGGCCATGAACCTTGTCTGGAGAGAAAGCTTCTCTATTGGATGTCTGATGAGTTGCAAGGGCTTGGTCGAACTCATCGTTCTGGTATGTAGAGTCTCCCCCCGATATTGTTCTTCACACAACTTTATCAGTCCTTCAAAACTAACATCGTACACAGAACATTGGCTTCCAAGCCAACATCCTGGACCAAAAGACCTTCACCATGTTCGTTGTTATGGCGCTTGTCACAACCTTCACGACAACGCCACTTACACAGTGGCTCTACCCTCCCTGGTATCGCAAGAAGCTCGAGGCATGGAAGCGTGGCGAAATTGACTGGGACGGCAATCCTATCGTCCACGATGATACTAGCTTCTCCGAGTCGGCTCAGAAGCTGCACAAGACCAAAATGCAGCGTATCCTTGTGTACCTGCGCCTCGACAGCCTTCCCAGCACATTTACCTTTCTGTCGATTCTGGGTGTGGAGGAAGTCCCTCTCGCGGCGACTGAGCACGACGCTCATGCTAGCGATGGCGTGAACACGGTGGTGCCCAGAGCGCGGCCCCTCGAAGTCCACGCGCTGCGCATTCTCGAACTCACAGACCGCACATCATCCGTCATGAAGGTCACCAAGGCCGAAGACTATGCCAAGCGAGACCCCGTCATCAACGCCTTCCGCACCTTCTCCCGACTGCACGACCTGGCATTTTCCGGCAACGTCGTGGTCACACCGGAGAGCTTGTATGCCGATACTGTCGTCACGCATGCTACAAGCCAGGAGTCGGATTTTGTCCTTGTGCCGTGGAGCCAAGTTGGTAGCAACACGGAAGACCAGTCGGTCCCATTCCGCGTGTCTTCGGAAGGTCGGTACGATCCTGGCTCTCACCTGGATTTTATCCAGTCCGTATTTGCCAAGGCCGTCTGTACCACCGGAATCTTCATTAGCAACGACTCCAGCAACACTGCTGCCACCGAGCGCCCAGGTCTGACCCGTTCAAAGAGTATCGTCTCGCTGCGCAGCAACCGGGAAGTCGCGGTCCTGCCGAACGTCGACAAGTCTCACCACATATTTTTCCCGTACATTGGCGGTGACGACGACAGGGCCGCCTTGCGTTTCGTGCTTCAGATCGCCAAGAACCCTCTCATCCAAGCCACCATCGTCCACCTCACCCTGTCCGATGCAGGCACCGACGACATCTCGCCGGCACCGCCCGCTGCCGCGGCGGACGGCACCATGTCCAAAGAGCCCACCGTGGTCGATAGCCTCGCAGAAGATGCCACGCTTTTCAGCACCCTGCAGGCGTCGCTGCCCAACGAGCTCGCCGCACGCGTCAAGTTTGCCGAGCAGAGTGTCTCGAGCAAGACCGCGGCCCAGGCAGCCGTCAAGGCCGCCAGCGAGGTTGTCGGCCAGAACCCGCGCAACGCGGGAGACATTGTCGTCGTCGCACGTCGGCACCAGGTGCTGCAGCACCACCAGCGGTCCGCCGCAGCGGCCGAGGGCAGCAGCAGCAACCCCGTGCAAGACGGCATGCAAAAGACGGTCGGCGTGCTGGGACAGCAGCTCGTCTTTGGTAACCTCACAGCCAGTGTGCTGGTCATCCAGGCTGCTGAGCACGGAGCTTAGGAAGCTCGTCCTCATCCCGCGCCCCGCCTTTGGCTTCGGCCTCATGCTCACGACGACTCTGGAGGATGCATCTTGCCTGGCTCTGGCCTTCGGCTTTGTATTTTTTTTTCCCTTATAGGCGTGTCGTCGTTGGGCTTTGACTATTCTGCGTGACCATCTCGCTGGCTTCTTTTTACCGCCCAAATACCACTTTCGCGCGAGCGTGTACTTGTTGTTTGCCGGCGTTTTCTTGCTTGAATGCATGGACTGGATATATATAGTCTTCTTGGGAATCTTGAGAGCCATCCTGAACCAATCATCATGAAACATATTGAGCCCGGAATGAGTTACATAATTGTTGTGTATAGCTGGCCTTATTTGTGTTGCACGTGCATGTTTGTTGCAAAAGACGGCAAATGCGAAATGATCAAACTCGTGTGGCACTTACCGAAGAGCTTCCGGTCCTGCCGCGGCGACGTCCTCGAGAGAGTTCTTGACTGGGCCATCAACATGCACATTTGGCCAGAATTGGGTACGTCATGGTAGGTAATACACTATCATTCTCCTTTTGTACTGCCTTTGCCCGAGCCATCATTTTGCTCCCTCGTCGTTTAGATGGCATCTGGACAACCCAGCGGTATACACCACCCAGCGATAAACGAAAAGTAAGCCTAAAAACAAAAAAACAAAAAAGAACCCAACCCTTCTTTTGACGCCTGTCCCGCGTTGCCCAATTTACCGTTGAAAATGCCAAATGTACTTCGACCAGTAAGCGTACATCCCGTCTCCCTCCCCCTTCCATATGCCTCCTCTGGCTTCTCAGTATATGCTCTCACGGCTCGCGATACGGCGAGCCCATGCTCTCTCTGGCGACTGAGACTTTTGATGTGGCAGTCGCGAGCATGAGCTATGCGTTAGACTTAGCCAGTGCAGTCCATGGCAGCTCCATGCACATCCCGCAGTCATATCTCCACCGCCACCGCCGTCCTGCCTGCCCTCCTGCCTGCCATCCCAGCTGAGCGACCAAGAACGCCTACGTGCGGGACCGTTCGAGCTCAAAAACCGCATTACTATATCCTTCGAAAGCCGTAGAAGCTTCTCTCGAAGAGCCACCAGGTTTTGAAATACATATGATATCAGACGACTGCGTACCTCTTCCGGGATATGCCGTGGCCTATATCTATTGCTTGTTCAAAGTTAAGGAATGTACCGGAATGAAAGTTAGCATAACGCCCGGGTATACCATTCGTGAAACAAAAGTCTAGAAAGTTTCGTCTTGCTCGTTCAACTGCGCCACGCTGTGATGCCATGGGTGATGATGATGATGATTAATGATGAGGAGTTCTACGTGTTCGAAGACACGAGGAACAGGGTTCGAATAAGCAAATATGGGTGGCCACCGAGGCTCTACAGACCCGGGTGACCGCTCGACCCAGGCTCAATGACTGTGTCGGACAGGTTGATGAGCAGCTGGGCAAGACAGCGCTTTGTAGCTGCATCATCGCGCAATACAGCGCTGAAGGTTGCGTCGCGGAGAGGCTCAGGGAGGCACTGACGCAGAGCCTCACGTGCTCGAGCATTGTCGCTGAGTCGCAGGAAGCAGCGTACGACATGCTTGAGGAGACGAGCAGTCTGCTGCTCGACGAGCTGGGCCACCATGTTGCTAAGGACGGTGCCGACTGCATAGAACCGCTCATAGGTGGCGCAAATGTAGTTGAGGCCGTTGTCGTCGAGGAGGATCTTCTGGACAATGAAGATGGCGACGGTCTTGCTGAGTTCAGAGCCAGTCTCCATGATACGGAGACATAGCGGGATGATCTCGGTCGTGAGGAGAAAGTTGATCACCTCTGTCGAGTCATTCTTGACCAGGGCGCCAATAACACCAAGGCTCGTAAGTCGGAGATACTCAAAGGGGCGAGACTTGGAGGTCGTGTTGAGGAACGGATACAGAAACAGAGGAATGTGGGCTATGGCACAACGGCCGCGTCAGTCAATTTTGATCCACAAGACGTGGCCTGGTTCCCATCTCGATTACCTACCATTGAGAAAGAGCGTCCGGGTCTCGTTGTGGCTGGCCACACACTGGAGGAGGGCGAGGGCATTGCAGACGCGGTTGGAGGCTGCAGCAGTGAGCTGGCTGGGGTTGAGGAGGTTGTAGACGGAGATGATTTCCTGCATGAGCGAGGTCATGACACCAAACGAGTGCCAGAGGATGAGGGCAAGCTCGGGGACCTGCTCGCGCTTCTTGCTGAGCTCGAGAAGAGCGGCCTCGCGCGTGTCCTCGCGCAGGAGGTCGGCAATGTAGTTGAGGGTGCGGCGGTTGTCCTCGGAGACGTTGTCGAGACCCGGGTCCTGGACGTGGGCGGCGCCCTGAGCGGCGGCAGCGGCGGCGGCCATGGCGGTGTTGACGGACGAGTTGTGAGCGGCATTGGCGGCCATGCGCGAGTAGTGCTGCTGCTGAGCGGCGGCGGCGGCGGCAGCCTGCTGGGCCTGGTGCTGGTGGCCGGGCTGCTGGTGCATCCAGGACTGCTCCTGCTGGGCCGGATGGTACTGGTGATGCGCATACATGTTTGGATTCGGGAGCATGCTCGTGCGGGCGTGTGCTGGAAGGGCGATGGGGTTCGGGCTGGGGTGGCTCGTGTCTCTTGCGGCAGTGGCAGCGGCAGAGGCAGAGAAAGAGGCAGAGGCGATCGTGGCCGCAGCTGGGGTGAGGTGCTGTTGCGCTGGCAGCGGCGCAAGGGAGGGAGAGTCGGAGCGGGCAGGGACGCGCAGCAGAGACCCGACGAAGAAGACGAGAACTGCGGCGGCGGCGAGGACCGTGTAAAAGCGTGCGTCTGGCTGGGGCCTGGGGCGGAAAGGAGCGGCTGTGCGTGTAAGGTGTCGGCGCGGCTTCCTTGGTGTTGCTGGAGCGGGCAGGAATGAGATGCGTGTCTTGGTGGCAGGTGCGTGATGTCGTGGAAGTTGGCTTTTGCGGTGTGTGGGGGAGGCACCGTCGTGGTCACTCACGGCTGGCGGGCTGGCAGGCAGGACCATGCCAGGCTCACAAGAGCCAGATTGGATCCTGCCCTGTCCTGCACCCAGTCCGCCACGCGTGGGTGGGCGTGGGAGCTGCCGAGGGGGGGCATTGGGCTGGAGCCTCTGGCTGTGGGGAAGGGCACCAGCTTGTCTCGATCGGAACTGGGGGGCGCTCCTAGCTGGCCATCTGTGCTCACACATCACACAGGCTACTTGCGCTTATCATCCATGTGCCGTCCAGACAGGCCCGGTCCCGGCAATCAAAGGCTTGCTTGCAACCAAACTGGCTGGTGACTGAGGCCTTGGACTGTGGTCACCTCTTGAGCCAGGCAGCCTGGGTCAGCAGTACGCTCCCTGCCGCTGGTCGTCGTTCTTGAGGCAGACTTGACTGGAACGCAACCCGACTTGGAGCTGCAGATCGTTGCCATGCTTGCCACTACCCAGCACCACACCACTGCCCACTAGATACCAAGATACTTTACGCAACTTGCTCACCCTTCATGGACAACCTTGCTGGAGATAAGCACTTGCACCCTTTCGACCAGTGCAGCAACATCTGCCGTCATGTCTTGACTTCTGGCACGCTGCAAGCCGCCTGTCGAATCAGACCAAATCAAAGTCTCGTGTCAAACGTCAAGCAGGCAAGCACGACAAGATACTGCAAGGTACACAGCGGTGGTGCGCCGCCACCTTGGATCAACGTCCCCGACTACGTCCCAGACATGGGGACAACCGGTCAGGAGTAAATCGCATCACGGACAAAGACCGCACACGTAGTAGTGCATGCTACATGGAGTCCGATCCTCACGGTTGAGACCTGTGGTTCACTGACTAGACCCCGCGTGGTCAAGATTGCAAATTGGGAAGGATGACATGGTTGGTGGGACGAGAAAGGAGCAAAAGTAGTAATATGAAGAATTATAAAAAGATGCTCATGCTCGGTGCGCTCTATGTTATTGTTGTTGTGCTGCCAGTCCATGGCCTGGAAAAGAAAATGAAAGCCTCCTTCCTGCGCGAATGCTTGAACATTATAACACGACAAACCCGCTATCGCTCCATCTTGATGCAGTCGTGTCGAATTCACCAGATTGCTCGTGCTCCAGATTCCACTCTGCTCACCTGCATTACAGGCGCAGCTCCTTGAGGATCTGATCCGCAAGGTTCTTGAATTGCCAGGTGTTGCCCTCGATCCTCTTGAATTGCAGCCCGTGCAACGACAGGAGGGGGACCTTGACAATCAACACCTCAAACGCCATCCTCTTGCTATCGCCAAGGTCGCTCTGCACATGGGTGGTGGTCTCGCCCGGCACCCGTCGTGCCGACCCGGATGGGTCTCGGCGGTGGTCTTCCTGCTCCGAGAGCTCCGAGGTAGAATCGCCTCGCTCAGCGGGCGCCTTGCCTGGAGTTCGGGGTGTGGGCGGTGCCTTATCCATCTCTCTAATCTCCTCCCGCTCTCTATCAGGTCGGAAGCCAAAACTCAGGCGCGGACGGTGGCCTGGGGTGGCTGCCGGACTCAAGGGAGCTTCTTGACTCTTCTTGAGGAGAACGCTGGGAGCGTTGCGGCAACTGAATCCTCCTCGTATCTCCGTGTAGTCAATGTCGAGCATCTTCAAGACGCGTTTGACATCGGCTCTAATGGCAGTCACAGACTTGGTGGATGTTGTCGAAACACTGAACAAGCCCTTGAGGAAGACTGGCTTAGCAAGCTCAGACTCATCCAAGCGCTCGGCAGAGTTGCCGCTGGCCTCGCCCGCTTCCTGGTCCGTCTCCTCAGGCACGTCAGCTGCCTTGGCACCTTCTCTCCGTGCTCTACGAGCCTGGATGCTCTCCCTTCGGGCATGTCCCAGGGATTTCGCCCTCATGGAAGCAGCGCGGCTGTTTAGTGTGGGTCGCTCCTTGGGCTGCTCAGGTGCTGCCTTCTCGGTGTTCGACTGATCTGAGCCACTGGTAGGCGGGGGGTCCTTCGCGATTCTGCTTGCAGATCCAAACGGTCGCCGTCGGTAGTCGGCCGAGCTCACACTCGTGGACCGACCAAGGCCTTTGCCGCTCGCACCAGCTCCTCCAGCGGATGCTGGTGGGCTTAGCAGGTCGCGGTGTTGAGGCTGGCTGCTGCCGGATCTGAGCCTGGCTCCTTGGTGCTCATCGCGATCACGTCTTGATTTGCGAATGCTGAAGCTCTTGCGAGGCATCGTTGGTGTTGCAGGAGTCTCAACAGCCGGCGAGTGTACCTGGACAACCGGGGGATGGGAGCGGTCTTTGTCCAATCTTTCCGGCTCCCGGCGACGGCGGGTGCTGAATCGTCGGAGAATGCCGGCGGCCGTGCTCTCCTTCTTGATGGGCGCATCAGCCGGCGTCTCGGCAGCGCTTGGGGTGGGAGGTGCAAGACGATCTTGCTTGATCTCTTCCGGCGCATCGTCCTCGCCATGGGTTCTCGCTCGTGGCCGTGACCTGCCCCCAGTAGCCCTCTCTCCGGCCATTTCGTAGGTTGCTGTGTTGGTATGCGCCTCTGGAGGTGGCACGACCTCTGGCATAGGAGTCTCTGCCACATTCTTTGGCGGGTGAGACTTGGGCACTGTCTCAACCTTATCTCGCTCTTGTTTTTCCCTGACCAAGTAGTAAACAGAGATGAGGGGGCTGAAGGCGTTCAGCGGGTCACTACCCAGCTGCAACGCTTCAGTGCTCGGTGCTGTCAGATTGTCACGGCTTGTTGACGAGTTCCTTCGCTTATAGAAGTCGAAACCAAATCCGCGCTTCTTCTCAATATCTCTAGACGGAGTCGGCAGGTCCTTTTCTTTTTGAAGCATTGAGATAGCTCTCTTGTACTCCTCGGAATCGACCAGACGTGTAAGCTGGCTCTTGATAGCCTCTGCAGGTCCAAAGTTGAAACCTGTCATAGCGCTGATGACATCCTGGTCCAAGGGAAGGGTCAGGGGCTCGCGTGTTGGAAGATGATTTTCTGGTGGCCCGTTGTAGCCCTTGATCATCCAAGGGTGATTTAGCACCTCATGCATCGTCGCGCGTGCCTTTGGGTCAGTCACGAGCATACGGGACAAGAGGTGACGACATTCTGTAGCACTGTGTTAGTCCACAGGAGCACGATAAGGAATGTGGATTTCGAGTCGTAGACTTACCGCTTGAGAGCCAGCCAGGGTAATCGACGGTTCCCTTCTTGATCTTGGCATGCAAGGCAGGCATGCTCTGATCATCAAAGGGAACCTTGCCGCAGACCAGCACATAGAGCACGATACCAAAACTCCACACGTCGACTTCAGGTCCAGTGTAGGCTCGGGCTTGGAGCAGTTCGGGCGCGGCGAAGTATAGACTGCCACAGAAAGTCTTGAGATGCCCACGTGGCGAGAACAGATTGCTCAGACCAAAGTCGATTATTTTTATGTCGCCGGTCTTGCTGATGAGGATGTTTTCGATCTTGAGGTCGCGGTGGACGATGCTGTTGCGGTGGCAGTAGTCAAGTGCGCTTGCGATCTGCCGGCTGAACTTGCGGGCCTGTTTCTCCTTGAGCTTGCCGTGGGAGATGATGTAGTCGAGCATTTGGCCACCATTGACATATTCGAACAGCATGTACCAGTGGTAGTTGGTGCGCACTACATCACGCAGTCCACAGATATTCGGGTGGTCCAGCAGTGTAACAATAGCTGCCTCACGTGCAGTTCGGATCTCCTTCGACTGATCGGCTCGCTCCTTTTCAGCACGAGACTGGTGGTTATCCTCGGTGGATCCGCGAGGGATGATTTTGCAAGCAACCTGCTCGAAGATGAGATGTCAGCCACCGATGGGTTTTCCAGCTTGAATGGAAAGGCTGGGTGTGTACACCCCTGGATGGTTTCCGGGGAAAATAAGGGGATGAGCGTGCCAGCATCATGCCATCTCGCAAACTGTATAACACAGGCGAGCCTCGGAACCATCGGCGTGACGCAGAAAGGGCTGAGCGTCGCGGGCGGACTGCTTTGGGAAAATCACCCTTACCTGTTCGGACCCGTCCTCCTTGCGGGCAAGTTTGACCTTGCCCATGCTTCCGGCGCCAATAGTCTTGCCGAGTATCCATTTGCCTGATTGCGTAGGGATTGAGGTGCGCGTTGTTTTTGTACGGGCACCCGTTGCGCGAGCCTCTGCCGCCGCCTGCATGACAGGAGGGAGAGGCTCTGCCGCAGCAGCAGCTGCAGCGGTGGAGCCCGCCATGTCGGCGTGGGGATGGCGACGGTCGCGGTGCTCACCGTGGCGCGACGAGTTGGAGCGAGTGCTGCTTCGACGATGGACGCCCTTTGAGTCGGGTGCTCGTGTGGAGATTGGGGCGAGGGGAGGGTTCGAGTGCCTCTTGCTGCCTGACGACGACGAGTGCTTGGTCGAGGAGTGTCGGGCTACACCAGCAGGGTCATGGTCTTGCTTGGCAGGAGAGTCGGGAGGGGCAGCACGGGAGAAGGAGGAAGAGGAAGAGCCGTGGCGGCTGTGGCGACGAGAGGACGACGACGATGGCTGCGGGTTGCGGACCGGGTCGTAGGTGGAATTGCGATGATGATGGTGTTGTTGTTGTTGATGTTGCTGCGGCTTCCGGGGAGAGTGCAACGGGAGGAGGTGGTTGCGCTGTGGGGAGGCCGCTGATTGCTCGTGCGGCGGGTTCTGGGCGTGCTGGGCCGTGGCGGAGGCCATGCTGGGCCAGCGGCGGCAGGCGATTGGCGGGAGCTGGTGCTGCTGCTGCGCTGCAACAGGACCAAGTGTGCGGGTAACACCCGTACCCCAGGGGGGACTGCGCTGCCAGCTAACACTGTCACTCGAGTGTTATCTCCCCTTCTTCCTTGGTTGGGCGTAAGGCTTATGACACAACCGTGTGCTGGGCGTGAGCACTGCCGCGTTCCTTGCCGCTGCTGCTCGCGTGAGGGGAGTACAAGCTCACCTGTGTGGTGCTAGGACCTGTGCCACCACCTAGGAAGGACTACCCGCCAGGCTGGTTGTTGTGTTGTCTATAGTTCTGCCCGTGCAGAGAGGCGTGGTGCTAAGTCTTGAACCGCAGGCGAGGGGGGTTGGCAAGCGCAGAAGAAATGGCTGGCGGCTGTGTCGAGGCAGTGAGGGGTGAGCGGGCGAGTTCTTTGTGCCAGGAAGGACCAGGGAGCGGGACGCCTTGGCGAGCGACGGCAGACCCGGGTTGATAGCAGACGGACACCAACAGAGGTCAAGAAAATCGGCAGCAGGCACGCGACAAGCAGAGAAGATGGCAGGAGAGGATCAGAAGTGCCCGGGTGATGGATCACCGGCTGAGGCCTTTGAAAGACAGGCACGGTCGCGCGACCACCACCAGCAGTAGCAGCGGCGGCGTCGGCGGCAAGGCCAGTTACGATGGGCCAGGAACGGGCACAGCGCGCATCGGACGGCAACGGCTATGGGGGGCCTGCCCTGAATACGATGGCTGGTAGCGCCGGCGTAGCCAGAGGGCATCAAATGGGTGTGGGTGGATGACACCAGCCACTGGTGCAGGGTTGACAGCTCTCGTTTCCCAGTTCCTGCACAGTCCCTCGACGTCGCGAAGCAGGATTGCATCGTCGTGTGTGGCCTCGGCTGGTTGCTCCGCGACGCATGGGGTTTTTTTCTCTCTTTTCTTTTGCCCTCTTCATCTCTGCAGCGGCTCCGTTTCACATCGAGATTGGGTCCCCCTCAAGCCCTGGCCCCCTCAATGGATTGCCGTTTCCAATTCCCCATCTCACGATGTTGAGGTTGTTGGCCTGTGCGGTGCCTGTGCTTCACGTCAGATAGAGAAGCCCTTACTACAAACCGGCGGCACCTGACCCTTACTGCTGTTCGAGCGTGCGCGATCTGCTTACAGCTCGCTGTTGCAACCGTTCCCGTCAGCAGCCTTAGACCGGGCGGCATATTGATCCAAACTTAGAGTGCACAGCCGTCGCAGTGTCTGGCGGTACCTGGTGCCTTGCGCCTTGTGCCAGACTCTTAACTTACGCTTAGATGGCAGCCCTTCCTGGACTGCGCGTGGGGCACCTGTCGCTGCCGGAAGGGGCATGGCATGGCTGGCTGGAGCCAGAAGACGCCCAGGGAGGCTTGTCCACCTGGCAGTCCCAATGCTGGCCCTGGCGTCCCGTCGGTGTGATCTCTGCTCGCCCTCGGAGCTCTCCAGTTTGCTGTGTGCAACAGTCGCGCATCTCTCATGCCACTGGACTGCAGTAATCAGAAGGTGCCCGTGGTGGTGCCTGAGGCTGTGGCCAATCTCGATGGGCATTGGCAGCGGCAGCCCCTCTGCATCGGCACATCTGCTGCATGGCCCCGCTGGCCGGGCCAGAGTGGCCTTGAACTTCTCCGCATTCATTTGGTCTTGCCCCACCTGCCCGCCCGCTGCCCTCGCCTCAATCTCACAACAACTTGCAAGCTTTCCGTCCCCAGGTCTGACAGAGCTGTTTCGGTGCCCCGGTCCCGCGTGGCTCGTCTTGCCGTCAGAACAGCGTCACAATCCCATCGCCTCGACCCTTCTCTCATCTTCTTATATCAGCCATTACTCAATCTCTGATGCCAGCTGACTGTCCCTATCTCAATGACCATCGACCACCGTTGTCCAGCTGCGCCAGACCGCCTCCCACACCGCCGCCCCCACCATGGCGCCGCTGTGCCATGACGACGACCACCGCAGTCGAAATAGCACCCCTGGCAATGGTGGAGAGCCCGCTGGCTTGGCTTACTGCGTAAGTAGTGTAGTTAGTGTGTATGGTACGCGCTCCCAGCTGCTGGGCTAGCAACAGCACTTCTCCCCACTGGCACCCGCACTGCTCTCAATAGTGCTCGCTTCGCAGTCCGCATTCGCATCGGCCAGTCGAAACCGACTGTTCCTTGCATTGTGCGTTGACAGGATCACGGGTCGCCGCGTGGTTGACAGTCGTGCAATGCTATCAGTTGTCCACGTCTTGCCGTGCCAACGTGGCACGGCTGCAGAGTGCGTGGACAATGCCATTCGCGGATCTCGCCCCTACGCGTGAAGGAAGGAAGCCCACTGGTTGTTGCAAGGTCTTGTCGTGTCAAGGACCCGAATGCCACTCGTGCGTCATCGCCTGCAGGCACCCTGGTCATCGTCGCATACCCGAGACACAATAATACTTCCAGTTGAGTTGATTAGCAGATTGTCTCTCGTTGTCGACAAATCAGCGTACGGTTGTACACCTCCGGCACGATCGACTTGCGCCTGCTGTTCGCTCAGATCAAAATTAAGCTTGTCACCACAGGACAATTATAGCTTTGATGCATCGCATGCGCCAACCGCCTGAAGTCAGACCACGTTTGGTGAGCACGTACCTCAAGGAAGTCGGGCTACACTGAACAGCTCAGGCACCTTCAGTCCAGCCAATCGAAGAACCCTAAGGTAAGCAGATGTCAGCATACCTTCATTCAGAGCATGCCGTAGGGTCTGCCGCACCCTTTCCGCTTCTGCATGCTCGTACATCTGCATGCACGCTTGAATGTTTGGCCTGCTGCTCAGCCACAACCGCATAAGCATATGAGCTTTGCGATGCATGCTGGCAGGATAGCACACGGGTCTAAAAGGCTATGCTGCGAGGATAAGTCGTTCCCAACAGGCTCGACATGCGCCGAAGAGCTCCTGCTTGCAAAAGACCAATGGAACCAAAACATAGCGTAGGAAACAGGCCCTACATACTTGAGATAGTCCTACGAGAAACATTGGCATGAACCATGGAATGTTGTGCTACACGATTGCATTACTTTCGAGGACGGCAAAGACCATAATCGGATGGGCGGGCGCTAACGGGTTCCATTGATAGGAAACTCCTCGAACGAGAGCGAAATATTCGGACCCTGGTTACAGTCACGGAACTAGCGATGCCGCATAGCGTTGCAAATGACAAGTGTATGATTACACAGATTGCCCCCCCACCTGAAAACTGCTGTCTGTCGGTCCAGCTCATGATCCCATCATTTCACCATCAGGTTCGGTCCTGTGCGCATGTTGTTGTTGTTGTTGTTGTTATTGTTGTTGCTGTCTCTTCGCAAAGCAACATATCTCCAGACCGGGTGCCCGAAGTGCATGGGTATAACCATTTGTGATGTTGACCGTGCCGCTTTGCCGGCCCGTTACGCCAGGTCGGAAATCACAGCCTTCCTCTAGTGGAAGATGTGGTCGGACTAAAAGAACGCCGCGTCCCGGTCAACTGATATGTCCCACTGCATGGAGACTGCCACTGTACCTATTATAACTACTACCTCTTCCCCCATGTAGCCCTCAAGGGCCAGGCATCGTGCGTGGAATATGAGCAATAAGACATCTGCGTGTCACAAAGCCGCGCCACAGGTTCGTACATGGTGTGTTGGGGATATAGCCTGAAACGTTTCCGAGTTGGCCTGGCTGCGCGGCAACAGCCGTCTGTAAGGCGTCTCCTCGAAGTGTTGAGTTCCGCCCCTCCGATTCAGATGATTGTCTGATCATCTTCACTTGTGAACTCTATCTCGCTGCTAAACACTACTCATGCGATGGAAGCCATCAAAAGTTGCTGCCGTACGATTTGAACAGGTCAAGTTGCAGCAATGGAACCTCAAAAGGCAACCAAAATCGAGTACACTTGTTCTTGGCCAGACAGAGTCGTCTCTTGGTTTGTATGTCATCGACAGCTTCTCTTGATGGTTGCTCAGCGCTGCTTTTTTTAATATATAAAGGCGAAAAGTCCTGATCTTCAGGGTAGAGTACGGTTTCTCTGCATTTTCTGCGTCCTTCTTGTCGGGACATGCTCTTTGATAGGTATCAACCGCGAAAGAGAATCATCCGAAGCATAAAATACGCACCATGTCATTCTTGATTGCCTCTCCCTCAAGGCGCCGTCAGGCAGTATTTTACTCGAGTAGCTTCTCACGTGGCTTTACGAAATCGAAACGGCAATTGTCTAGCGCTGCCAGGATCAAGGCCCACCAAACACCTGAGCAACACACGTAGACCAAATCCACGATAACCTCTATTTAAAACATATGCCCGCCAAAGAGCGATCATGTGCACAATCACTCTTCTTGCCTAGCATGGAGACCCCCGAACCGGTTAGTGGTGGCTCAGTGGGAGGCTGACATCTCAAGAACGTCCGCCTCAAGAGTAGTTCTCGTGAGGCAAGTATGCATCGCTGCATGCTTGACACACATCGCAGAGCTCTTGTTACATCCACCTCTGTGGGAATCCATGTCGAGGTGAGCATCCGGACCATGTTATCTCTTTCTACAACGATCCATACAGTACTGACTGAATGTGGCTGGGAGCTAGCTTGCCGGCGGAGTATTAACCCCACGATGTGAAAGTGAGATGCGGCTGGGCTTGATAGTCGAGCGAACCCTTGGGCTACATGGACCTTGGCTCCTTTGGTGAAGAGTAGAGGTTGTGTGTGGTTGCATGCTTGTACGAGCGGTTAAAACAGGTTTTCATAGTCTCATACCACAAGTAATATCTTTATGAGCTCTGGCCAGTATCCTTGAATTGCTCAACACCATCCACGAGGGGCGGCAGACGTGGTGTCGATCCGTGGGTTTAGAGGCACAATCGAGCTGGCATTCTGGATGGACTTGTGTTCCTTGTCCAACCCCCAGGACATGCCAGGGATGTCGGCCACTATCTCGACCGCGAGCTGGTTCGGAATGAACAACAGCCGGGCCCAAGGGGAGAGACCATCACGCCTCGGCTCTCGGTTATGGTTCTCATTAGTCTTTGTCGAAATGATTCTGATCCATTTTGATCCGCGGTTCACTTACAAGGACGTAATGCACAGATCTGACGCCATCTCATATGGACATCTACAGGAAAGGGTGTCTGAAATTAGATCCGAGACTGGAGTGGCCTAAATCACATCCGCCATAAGCAGAGCTGTGATATTTAAAGCACAAGTGTGGCAGGGGCATCAAGATCAACCCCGGCAGGATTGTCATAGCCGAACCAGTCCCACGTAAGATCTCTCTTAAGACTTGGACATTTTTGGCCCTCTCCCGGGTAACAAAGTCTTTTTTGAAATCTCTTGTTGAATGTGGCGCATGTCAGGATGTTAACCCCTGGACGGGAAAGAAATTATCACAAGTCTACATTTCCGAGCAGCCCTGCCGCCAGCTGCATGGTTCATGTATCAACGACGAGATTGAGAGACCTCCGGGAGATAGGACCCATTAGATAGCATATTCCTTGCCGTGCCTCAGATCCCCGGAAACAGTCGCGCGATGCATATTTATACACGCATGCAGGGAGCGGAAGCCGTGCTCTGTGGGACGCCGACTAAGCTGGCAGTCATCTATCTGCCCCTGGCACGTGTAAATATGGTTGACTCGAGAATTAGGCAGGGGTTCCGTCCGAAAGACGTCCATCTCATAATCGGCATGGTCTTGTCTTCAAGGTTTTGACGACTCGCGGCCTTGTTATGCACGTCATTTTGGTTCTTGAGATCAATATGTACAAAGATTGTTGCAAAAGCTGGTCACGTGGAGCAGTGCTATTGGACCCTGGAGATGCATCCTTTCCCCCTTCGAGATGGCGCGAGCCCGAATTGATACCCCTATTGCTGCTTGCTTGCCTTTGTTCTTGAAGGTTGTTGTCACATGTGATTTCAAGCGGGACGGCGCCAATCACTTGCTTCCAAGTCCGGCCTAGACTTTTGCCAGCTTCATGAGCTGAGAACCTGAGTATGTATGTGACGACATGGCCTGGCAGTATCACCGTAAAGGACAAGCTGTCAAACGGCTGAGAACTTGTCAATGATAAGCTTGCATGACGCAACATGTTGTGTGCGTAGACGGGGCTTCTCGTTTCGGTTGATAAGCACGAGTGCAGCCATTGACGCCTCCTGCCCTGGTCTGACGTCGTCGTGGTGATCTTCACGACAGGCGGGAGGGGCGCAGGTGGGGTTAACCCACGAAGGAGCGCAGTATTCGTAACGACAGGACACTTTTACACACCTGAACAACTCCTGAGGCCGAGCAGAAATAAGGACTTGGGGATCGAGCTGCTTCTGCAAGAGGCGCACCAGCTGTCCCTCGAATGAATAGTGTGCCGTACATAATGCGTGCAGAGTCCCAATGAGGGCCAATCATGCACGTGCGCACAGTTCTGGTGAGAAACACACGGCGCCATGAAACTCAAGCTTAGGACCAGACAGCCGTGTCGCTTAAGGTTGTCACCTAGTTCCGCCCAGTCAGCAATTTGTGGTCAGTGACACACCGCTTCCGAAAATCAAAATGCGCCCACTCACCTCGCTTGGTGCAGCAGCCAGCAGCAGAGTCAGTGGGGGTCGTCCCGTCGTTGCGGAGCTGGTGCTTGGGACCGACCATGAGCATGAAGGCCCCGGCCTGGCGGGAGGCTTCCGTGGGCGCGCCGCCAGGGCCACCATGCGTGTGTAGCTCCGGGACCGTGACAAGCGCCAGTCTTTTGGGGTAGCTCCCCTTGTGCCGTTCCCCACACTTGGATCCAAGACATCCATGGATGGCCGCATTCCATCCAACCTGGATGCAACCACAAACCTTTTCGCCGTCGTCGTGTTGTGCCGCAGGAGGCAGCTGTTTCAGAGACGGCCAGCAAGGTGTTCATGCTTGCTGGAATTCTGTAGCCGGTCGGTCGCTCAAAGTTCTCGTGCTCAAGTCCTGGTCTCGGTCCCGGGGCTGAGGAGGCAGACTGGCTGGCGACTTTGACAAAATCGAGACCAACATGCTTCACTTACAATGAATGACACTGAAAAGGCAAGACGGACGCATTAGCATGACATTGGAACTTCAACGCTCACCTGGCCCTGCATCAAGTGTGGCCTCGACATGTCTGATTGCAGTCTCCGGATAGTGACGCACGCACGTCAATGGCCGTCGGGTCCCATTTGCGTTCTCGTTGAGTCCCTCAAAGCAGCATCATGACTGATATATTCGGGTATGAGCTAGCGTGCAGTCGACGGTGCGCACCTGCTGATGCTCACTTCTCAATTACGCTCGTAAAAGCTCGAATCGATGACCAAACAAACTATTGTCCCCCAGCCAAACGCCACGGCCACTTTCTTGTGGTGCGCTGTAGGGCTCTATTCACGACCTGGGGCGTGGTTGGCCCCCTTGGCTAGAAAAGGGGCTTTGCATGCTGGCCGGCGAACGAGGCTGGCCCCACGATCCGAAATGAGACCTGGGGCACAACCTCGACTATTTGTGTGCACAGGACTATGCCTCAGCAGTACCATGGCTGAATTATTGACCACATGACCACTGGAGACAGGGCTGCTGTGGCATGTCGGAGTATCGGTGTGATGCTGGCTCACCGGCTGGGCATCCGGATGGCCTGCGAGGTGGGTACTTGCTTGATTCCACGACGTGTTCCAAGACATAATACCCACAACTGTCTTTTTGTACGTAGTACTGGTAGTTTCGTCCTTACGCAGCACGGTGGCTGGCGATGCCGTGGTATGCGCTCCACTGGACAGGAAAGTACCGCAATACCGGTGCCCCGAGTATCGCTGACCCCCCCGTGCGACTCAGCAAAGATGTCTTGCAGCATGATCTCTGCAAGCGATGCGTCTCCTGCTTCGCAGCGGTCAACATGCTGTGCTCCAACCTGGCACTGGACGCGAAGACACTAAGCAAGGGTGCTGTTTGGGAGCTGCCGTTCCGGAAGTCTGGGCTGCAGAGCTGGAGTGGGGGTTCCCAGGGGATGGCCACGGCTGCTGGGCGTGGCGCCGGCTTCCAAGTTGCTTCCACGGCCCACATTGTCGACTACATACCGGGATACGCGGCGGCCCAGATCGACGGGGAGCATGGGTGCGTGGTCTCTCGGGGTGGGTGCGAGCGCCGTTACAAAAGTGTGGCCATTTGGAAGAGTGGACGAGAGTAAATTTTTTCAGCCCAAGTTGTGGGCAAAGACCGACTCAGACCCAGCTGGACCCTGTGCCTGGCTCAATTGGCATTTCTGCAGAGTCGCAACGGCAGCAACTCGCCACTTGCTGGAGCGGAATAGCAGGGGGGCCACGGCGCAAGCAGTTGCCAGTCCCAATCGCCCAGCCGGAGTGAGCGACGAGGTAGAGCGGCGAGCGAGGGGGAAAGCGGGTTGCTTTCGGCTTGGACCCTTCGTGTGGCGGCGGTCTTGCTGTGTGCTGGACCCCTGGGCGGCCGAGCTGTGCAGCACAGCACAGCACCCACCCTCAGGACGGAAGGCCACTGGCCAGCCGCAGGATCTTAAGGCCGGGGCGCGCGATTGCCCTCAGAGGAGGTGGAGCTGACTCGAGGCGTGTTGTGCTGACAAGCTGCCGGTGGCTGCCCAGGTGGGCAGGGGGCGATGTCATTGTTGGTGGGAGCCCACTTTTCGATGTGCTGATGGCAAATAAACACCACTTTTTCCTGGTGGTTGGAGGGGAAGCGACCTCGGCGTGGGTGTCGTCAGCGAGCAGACGGACGGTGATGGGGGATGGCCGGACGCAGCACGAGGGACAGACGGAGAGGCAAATCTTTTGAGCGCGAGCGCGGGGGATTGGCAAGTCCCACCGGCCTGTTTGTTGTTGACTTAAAAGGCATCAAGGAAGCGCTCTGGGCGTCGGTGTTCACCATAGCCTCGTTGCTCCTTCTTCCCATTCTCGCCTGTCGTATCATCGTCACAGCCCGTAAGCTTACAGCATTGCGAACCTCGTTTGTGTTTTTCCAAAACCCGTTCAGTGCACCAGGCACCTTCTCCTCCCTCGCAACCCGACGATAAAGATCTGCGCGACGGCTTGCAAGCTTGACGGCGAGCTTCTAGCCTTGGGACAGAAAAAAGGTACGATACAATCTCGGCCTCTGGCCGAACCTGACTTTTGTTTTTCCTGCCAGAGCCGCACCCTTCCCTGGCTGGGATCACGCCTGGCCTTGCGCCCACGATGGATGCGGCCTGGAAACACGGTCCAGCTGGCATAATCAAACCCTCCATCGTGTGACCAGCTGGAGATTTCCGGATCCCTGCCCTCCTCATTCCACGACGATCTCACCGCCGGCCGCCTCTGCTGCTCTCGCGGCCACCGAGCTCGGAACGTGCCCACTGCCTCCCGTCTCTTGGTCAAACTATATACGCCATTGCCCTCCTGGTCCATATTTGCCCCCACGAGCATTGCTGATTGCCAGTTGCCCTCCAGTTTCTCGTTAATAAACCCGTCCTGCCTCTGGTCGGTACTTTTCTTCTCCTCCCTGTTCCTCCCCTTCATCTCATCCCGTCCATCACTGCATCGGCCACCACACTGTCACGTTGGTTTTACGACCTGTTTCTCTTGTATGCAAAATCAAGAACCATTGCCCTGGAGCAATCCCCCCACATGGAGACCTGTTAGACTGACATATGTTTTCTCTCCCTGCAGATAACCCCTAATCACACCTTACTTCGCCGACCGCCCGTCTCCGAACTCCCACAGTCCACAAAATGTCTGGACGCGCTGCCCTCCGCCTCTCCCGAGCTGCGGCTCCCCTCTTCACCACCGCCAGCCCTGCGGCTCGCGCATTCCCTGCTGCGCAGCGCACTTTCGCCAAGACGGCGTTCCGCGCGAAGAGCGACGTCGTTCGCGAGACTGAGGTTCCCGTCTCCAACTACTCCCCCGATGCCAAGGGCTCTGGCGCCTCGTCCAGCGACCACTACAGCATCCCCGTCAACCGCGAGAAGGCCCAGCCCACTCCTTTCCCCTCCCCTGAGGATGCCGACGTCGTTCCCCTGACCCGCGAGGTCTACGACTCGATGCCCCCCATGATGCAGAAGATGACCGTCATGGACAAGGTTGTCATTGTCACTGGGTAAGCTGGGATCTCCGAAAGACTGCTTGCGCGATAGGGGAGAGCCCATGACTAACTTGAATTCGCAGTGGTGCTCGCGGTCTCGGCAACCACATGGCTCGTGCCTGCGCCGAGGCTGGTGCCAAGGCCCTGGTCATCTTTGATGCCAACCAGCAGCTCGGCGACGAGTCCGCTGAGGAGCTGCACCGCAAGACTGGCCTTCCCGTCACCTTCTTCAAGGTTGACGTTCGTGATGGTGACGCCATCAACGCCGCCGTCGACTCCGTTGTCGAGATGTACGGTGCCCCCGACGTGCTCATCAACTCGGCCGGTATTGCCGACTCCAACATCAAGGCCGAGACTTACGACCCCGCCATGTTCCGCCGCCTCATCGACATCAACCTGACTGGTAGCTTCCTCATGTCGCAGGCTGTTGGCCGTGCCATGATGACTGCTGGCAAGCCGGGTTCCATCATCCTCGTCGCTAGCATGAGCGGTAGCATTGTCAACTACCCCCAGGAGCAGAGCTGCTACAATGCCTCCAAGGCTGGTGTCATCCAGTTTGGCAAGTCTATTGCTGCCGAGTGGGCCAAGTACAACATCCGTGTCAACTCCATCAGCCCTGGCTACATGGATACTGCGCTCAACCGCGTGCCCGCCCTTGAGGCCCAGAAGAAGATCTGGCGCTCCCTGACCCCCCAGGCTCGCCTGGGTGAGGTCGATGACCTCAACGGTCTCTGCGTCTTCCTCGCCTCTGACGCCTCTGGCTTCGTCACCGGCGCCGACTACAAGATCGACGGTGGCTACACTTGCTACTAAGATCAAAGTTGTGCCAACAGACTTTTTGAGGACACAGCGAATGTGTCCCGTACGCGGATGATGAACTACTCATGTACCAGTTCTCGCCGTGCGAGACTCTTGTCTTTTGAGGGATTCTGCACTGCACAAATGGCGCTCGGCGTTTTGGTTTCGATCTGGACTGGGAGGGGGGCGGAAAATGGCAGAAGTCGGCCGGGACTTTCTGGGGTTTTATCAGATAGACGGCAGTGTAGATGTGTGTAGCTAGAGCAGGACGGACTACGGGTCAAAATGGTCTGGATACATAAGTGGACACATTCTAGATTACATAGATGTATTCAGTTGGTGTCTCTGGAAAATCGCGTTTGTGCAACTGCAAGCAAATGGGACGTGTGAGCATTCGGTGAGAGTGTGCGTCCGACAGGGAGAGTGAGTCGACCAGCAAGCAATCCGATGGGATCTGCCTGCCAATGGGCCAATCCATGGGTGCGAGCATCTCAGCACCACGAGCTGGACAGGCCCTTGTTAGTAGGTCTCACGCGAGATACATTACTCAACGAGCACTTCCACTAATGCGACGCTTATTTTCTCTTTTTCTCATCACATCCTTTTTCAGCTGTCATCATCTCATCTCGCGGATATCCTTCGCAATGCCCGTCCCCTCCTTATTTGCCCCGGTGGGAAATTGGACAAAAACAGCTGGGTTTCCTATGTACACATGCATCTGCGTATGTTCATTGCATCCAACCTGGTGCCTCGCGCTCCAGGTCCCGCTTGCTTGCTCTCTATATCGTGCGTGCCTTGTAGGAAAACTGCTTCCGTGACAACCGAGCAGGGCCGTCTCTGAAGAACCGAAGGCCACCAACCGTCGCTCCTTCCACGCGTATTTCCTCGAAATGACAAACTTATCGGCCACATTGTTGTTCCGAAATCTGGTATCGTTCTGTAAAATGCACACACAAAAGGGGCCTTCCGCTGTAAATCAGCTTGTTGGTGAACAAATGTTGCTTGTTCGCTCACGGTGGGGGCGTTTGGCGCACAGTGGGTGAGAGGCTAGGATAAATTCCTAGACTCTCGGCCCCACCGTCTGCAAAATCATCGTCTATAGAGCTGCGTCAAGACGAGCTCTGCTTAGAAGTTGTGGCCCTGGGCAAAAGAAATCATAAATCGTCCAAACACTCCGCTTCTATAAATGTCGAGATGGCGTGAAGGACTTTGGTAGTGCTCGTGCCTGAGCAGTCGAAAAGCTCGACAAGAATATCGCAAAGGCCAAATCTGCGGCCAAGGATGATTGTTCGTCAAGAGTCGAAGGTTGGCGTCACGGCGCAATCGTGCAACTGAAAGCCAAAGGTCTCCGCAATTCGCTAGCCCAAAAGAAAATGAATATGGAATGCTTAGTTTGGCGCCTGGTCATGTTGGCTGACTGCACTATTGGTGGTGCTCGGCGAGACCTCTACTGCCCCTTGCGAGCCTTTTCAGCCTGGCGTGCTTCTCTGGCAGCGCGGACAAGAGGCGACAGCTGTTGCAGGTCCACGCATTGTTTCATGAAGTCATGCTAGTAAAGTGTTAGTGCCAGAAACGCAATCAGGAAGCAAGAAAAAAAAGAAACACCGAGGTCAATGGCGGGGTAATCATCTTACTCGTAACAAGTCATGCGCGGAGGCTCTCTTCTCGGGATCCACCTTGAGCGCAAAGTAGAGGAAGTCTCGGAAGACGGGCGACAGATTTTGCTCGTCTTTGATTTGAGGCGTGCCGTGTGTGGCAATAAGCCAGAGCGCACGTAGAGGAGACTCGGTCAGGTACGGTGGCTCGCCCTCAATCATCTCGATTGCCATGATGCCCAACGACCAGATGTCAACCTTCCTGCCGTATTCCTTTCTGGTAACCACTTCAGGCGCCATCCAGTATGGTGTGCCCACCATGGTTGTGCGCTTGCTGTGAGCTTCGTTGATTTGCGCACAAAATCCAAAATCGGCTAGAGGCGAGCAAGTTAATTATCCTGTCGTCTTTCACAAAGCAGCATTGGTGGAGTGTAGAACATACTCAGCTTGATACTGCCGTCCAATGAGAGCAGCATGTTGTCGGACTTGATGTCTCGGTGAATGACGCCTTTGGAATGCAGATGCTGGAGACCTTTCAGAGTCTCGCGACAAACGGACGCGATCTGGCCTTCTGTCATAATATTGAAAGTGACAACATCCGTAAGGCTGCCACCCTCCATATACTCCATGATGACCCAGAGTTCGCCACCGCAGAGGTAGCTGTCGATAAAGTTGACAATGTTGGGGTGCGAGCTCTCCTTCATGACGAGAATCTCGTTGATGATAAGATCCTTTTTCGGCTGCTGCTCAAGGTTCATCTGCTTGACGGCTACCAGCCGGTTTGTGCCACGCTCGTGGCCTGTGTAGACGCCTCCAGAGGCGCCCTGGCCGATCTTGGTGAATCCGCGGTAGATCTCACGCGGGTCGCCTTCTGAGCATATCCTTTTGAGCGCAGCGACAACATCCATACTGTTGCTCTGACGCTGCTGCCTTTGCCGCCGTTGGGTGCCGGGGCCTCTAGCTGGGGCGCCAGCCCCATTGGCTCCAGGCACTTGCCCAGGCTGAGTATGAACGCTCGGCAGGGGCTGCTGGCCAGGCACGCCTTGCTTAACACTGGTCGACCTGCCCATCTGTCCTTTCATGGCGGCCTGAGCTTGACTCATGGCCTGCTCCTGCTGTTGTTGGAGCAGCCGTTGTTGGTATGATGTCTGATCAGGCACAGGCGAGGGTTGTGGTGCAGCGGATGCGTATGGGGAGTGGCCGTTCGCGCGTGAGTTTGAGCGGGATCGGACATGTTCCTCCGGAAGCATTGGCGCGTTGTCCTTAGGCAGACCTTGATTGAGGGGGATGTCGTCGCTGTGGTGGCCCATACCAATTCCAGAGTCCTTGGGTGGGAAGGGCGATGGCGGCGCAGAGCGGTTTGGTAGTGATGTCGGAGGCTTTGGCGCTGGTCGACTTGGCTTGAGGTTCGGGTGCTCTTTTGAGGGGTTATGGCCATAGGTCTTGCCAGATCCAGGGACCGGGGGAGGCGCTCGAGGGTTTTCGAAATTTCCTTCGATGACAGTTGGAAATCGTGGACTCACTGGCGGACTTGACACGTGGGAGGACATACCAGCAAAGTGACTCGTCGAGTACATGTTTGGGGAGTTTGTGGACATTCCGCTTGTGGAGGTTTGTAACTCCGGAGCTCTGGCGTCGTGGAATTTCTCAAAGACCTGGTCTTCGGCCGGCTTTTCTGTCGTCTCCTTGTAGAACTCGACCAAATTCGCAATCATTTGGGGATTTTCGCGGCGGGCATTCTCAGGAATGCCGCTCTGCTCGATGAGGCGCTGCCATTCTTTCGGGAGGCCCTGGGATACAAGTCAGATCCGTCAGCGACTAATTGCGAAAACCTGCAGGGTCCTTCCATTTTCACCAAGTCGCAGATGCACGCAGGTTATGACACCCTTGTGGCACAATTGTTGAGAGTGACGGAGAAAGAAAAAGGACAGCGACGAACCGTGAATTGGCCGGTGTTACTATCATAGCCAACATGCGTGACGTGCACGGGGTTCTCCGGTGCAGAGATGACTGGCTTCTTCTGCGAGCCGACCAGCGTGCTCACGAGGCCTGAGAAGCCCGACTTCTTCCTCAAGACGCCGGGCTTGGTGTCCTTGCCCGAGTCGTCAGAATACCGTTTCGGGCCAGCGAGCGGACTGTCGCTGGGACGCGAGCCCTGCGACTTCTCCGACATCATGTTGACAGAGGGTGGGTCGGAGGATGAAAAGCTCGCAGACTGCCGAAGAGCAGGGCTGACCTGCCGCGGGTCGACGGCGGACGGGCTCTGCAGCAGAGGCGGCGGCGCGGGGCGACGGATTGATGGCGACGACCTGGAGGGCGACTGGTGGACGGGGGAGTAGTCGGCAGTCCTGGTAGCCTCGACGTGGTAGAGGATGGAATTGCCGTCAAAGGGCGCGCCAATGAGCTCGTCAGAGGGGCGGCTGGGTTGTGAACTGAGGGGTAGTGAAGATTGGTGCTGGAAGTGTTGATTGTGGTGAGACGAGGCAACAGGTGACCCCGACGACCAAGTGGGGCCCGCAGCTGGGCTGTTGAAGGCGGGCGAGTAAGGCGGGCCTGCGGGCGGCAGGACGGGCGACGGGTGGGAATGCTGGCTGGCGGCAGCAGACGAGAGGACAGGCAAGTGGTGGGAGCTGACAAAGGAGCTGTCCGAGGCGTTGTTGTGGATGCTCTTGTGAGGGTACTGGTACTGGTACTGCTGCTGGTGCTGGTGCTGCAGAGAGGAGGGGCCACCGCCGTTGCTCGTGGGCGTGCGGCGGAGCGAGGTCGAGCTGCGTTTGCTGCTGAGGATGTCGCCAGCCGACGACGACGAGAGCGAGAGCGACGGCGGGCTGCTAGTGGGCGGGCGCGAAGCTTTAGACGGCTGTCTCTTGGTCAGGCGGTTGCGCTTGGAGCTTGTGTTTTGGCGGTCCATCGGGTCGTCCCTGTTGGGAGGGGGGGGGCTGGTTACAATGGCCAACGGGATGCTGACGACAAGGAAAGGAAAAAAGAATCAAAAAAGAGGCAGTAGCGCGAGGGAGATTGATGATGTTTGGAGTCCTTTGAGAAGGGGGCAGAAAGAGGCCAGGGAACAGCAACCCACACAACCCTGTTTTGCAGCGACGACAGGCAGTCTCAATTCAGGATGGGATGCCCCCCAAACCTGGGTGGGCAGGAGGGGCGGCTAATGTTTGACGCACCCGCGCGCCCGTTCGAGTGCCGTCCTCACGGGCTCCCCTCGATCGTTGCAGGCCGGCAAGCAGAAACGTCAGTGCGCGCGACCCTGAATCGATCCCGGTCGAGCTCGCAATGGCAGCTGAAGCTGTTTCGAGTTGCTGTGCCTTTTACGGCTCACCGCACGCTTATAATTAGAGTCGCGGCTGGCCGTCGTTGGCTACAAATGGCTGGATGGCTGGATGGCTGCCTTAGCTCTGTGGCCAAGCGCAACTGGCTTTGCTTGTCGCAACAGTCGGCTCTGGCACGGCCAGCCAAACCCAAAGTCCAGACGCCGTCCGGACGGTGGCAGACAATGGGCTTGTTTGCCAGATGATGGGCGGGCCACCCTGCGAGGGTGTTACAATGGGTGTATAAAGTGACGATGTATTGTGTAGAGTTCTGCTTAGCAGTACCTTCATCAATCCTACATCATCCACCACCACACCACATCCACTCTGTCCCAATCACCGGACATCACGATGTCCGCAAGGTCTAGGCGTGATGTGCATGTGTACAGCATGATTCACCAGCTCTCTGTTTGCAAACGAGGAAGTTGTGACCATGCGGATAATCATGTCTTCACGCTCAGGGCTGGTTCCGATCCAGCCAATCTTGACACCAACAAACTCCTTGATTAACTCAATGTACTTCCGCGCATTAAGCGGGGCGCCGTAGTAGCTCGTGACCGAGGTCGTCGGCGTGTTCCAGCATTCCAACTCCTTGCACACGACCTCTACGCTCTCGAGGAGCTTCTGGTCTGCGGGGAAAGAGGGGACATCCTCGTCCGTTCGCGGATTCTTATAGGCAATGATAAACTAAATCACGGGGAAAGTGTCGAGAATTTCGAGCTTGATGAGGTTCAAAGACGTGTAGGGGTTGATAGCACGGGAGTGCTTGATGACCATGAGATCGGGCCAGCCACATCGGCGGGGGCGACCTGTCGATACACGGACCTCATGACCGAGTTTCTGGAGTTTCTTGCTGTCAGCGTCGAAAAGTTGTGTCGGCAGATGGCCCAAGCCGACTCTAGTGGAGCAAGCCTCAATAACACCGATGATGTGGTCGAATTTACGAGGGTCGAGGGCGAGAGCAGTGAAGATGCCGCCAAGACCAGTGTTGGACGAGCTCACAGATGCGTAAGTGCCAAAATCAAATGTCGAGCATGAGCGCCTGCGCAACCTCAATCAGGGTCTTGACGCCCTTGGCTTGCACGTCAGTCATGAGCGGGACGGCATCGACAACGTATTGCTGGAGCTCACTCCATTGGCAACAGCAGTGTGTCTGGCATTGTGGCCGCCCTGGGCTCTGGCCCAGAGCTTGACGTCGTTGCTGAGGATGCCGACAAGCTTGCTGTTGCCTTCGTTGCCAAAGGCGATACCAAGGACGATTGTGGCCATGATCTGCTTCCTTGGGAACAGCGACAGAGGTTGAAGTTATGATAATTGATGTGTAAAGTGACAGTATATTGCGTAAAGTCCTGCTCAGTACATCTGGTGAGCACCCTTGGCACTACGACCACCCTGGTCACTGTATGACAGAGGGGCTCGGGCTCCAGGAAGCTAAACTGGGCCCTGGTCTGGCTCGACTGCCCATGTGGGCGGCTGCTGATGTCCGGGCCGTCTCAAACTGTCTCTGGCGTGTTGCGAATCTCGAGGTGTGTTTGCTCGTCGTCCAGGCAGCGGGGAGCTATCAACTCATGCGAGCAACACAGAGGCAGTGCCCGTGGTCTGTCTCGACAGCTTGTCCGCGCGCTCTCAGGTCTGTCGCCCAAACGCCTCGTCACGTAATTACACTACAGAGGTGCATACGCCATGCGTTGGATGGGGGGCCCTGCCTGCCTGCAAGGGTATTGGTACGAAATGACGTCTCTGGGCCTGCCCACTCTCCAAGATTGCGGCGCGCAATGGCTTGTTCCCCTGCATGTATGAATAACGCAATACGGGACCAGTACGGGGAGCTAAGCCCGGTTCGTGGTCGCTCTGTGTTATCGTGCCCAGCTCGCTGGCTTCCCCGGCCAGTCTACGCCCAAGTCCATGCACCACCTCGATTCTCGGGCGCGTAGTCTCCAGCGCCAACACGACTGCCGCGTGCTAATCTAGACCCATGCAGGCGAAAGACCTTACGGCAGCTTGTTTGGCCAACAATCTCGGCGGGCCGTGGGTCGGGCCCCCTTGCTGCTCGTGGATGACGACGTGCGTCTTGAGCTGGCCCTGCTGCCGTGCTAGCGGACCCAAAGGCACCCTCAATGCTCTGACTGCAGGGTCCATCCAGCAGAGGATGTGCAGTATTAGCCCGCCGCGACGGCATCCTTCCCGGCGCCGCGCGCGTGCGCTAGACTCCAGCCATAGCGGTCCCGGTATCATAAGATGGTGGTAATTCACGCGTCATCCTGGCACCATCCCAATCGCCGTCCCGGTCGAAGTCGCAGCAAGCGCACACGGCACTCTGGCACGATCTAGCTCCAGCTCCGCAGCCATGCTGAAAGACGGCCGACACAAGATAAAAGGCTGCCACAAGGCCCCGATGTCTCTGGACGGTATCTGACTGGACTCCTCAGTATCCGCCTTCAAACCCGTAGGGGGTGACTGCAATGGCTTACCATAGTAGCAGCATGTTGAAGTATGCGGCCAATGGAGGTATGGCGTGGTCCACTTGTTTTGTTTCATGTGCTATTTCTCTTAAGGGACTCGAATGCCACTATGCTCCTGGCTGAAACAAGACGCGAAAACACTTGAATTACGCGGAGATAATCATTTGCCATTCCCCACGCGCGAATGGTCTAGTGCCAGAAAGGTTTTCTGGTCATTTTGGTCTCGGATGAAACCAACGGCTGTCATCTCGTGAAGTTCCCCGAATACGAAGATGGAACAAACACCACCGCCGATGAAACTCTGATATGCTAGTACTATGGTCATCGCACCACCCACAGGCGTTCGAGATACCTGGCAACATGTGGGAGACCTTCCAGGCATACTTCCCGGGATACGATGCGACTTCCGAGACCAAAACTATGGCCAAGCCCCATTCAATATTCATTGACAAGACGGAGGCCGACGAGGCTCCGGTCTCGAGGCTGATCCTGTAGCACGAGCTCTTTTTCACCTATGCCAGCACGCTCCAGCCTGATGATACCCAAGTTTACTGCCCGAGGACACGCTAATGATAGGCGGCTTGCACAGGCTCTCTCGCGGACTCTACCGCGCCCGCCGCCCTCGAGCTGGGCCACAGGGCATGTTTCAGGTCCTCGAGTCTGCCATCAAATCAGCCACTACCCGGCTAATAAGCCTAGAACCTATGAGATGGTTGAGATGTATCCCACTCTCTCTCTCGTTCGGACGCTCCTTTCTACGTGGCTCGCAGATGGTGCCACCTCCGTGCCGTCCGATGTAGGTCTCACCATTGGGTGCAAACTCTAAAAGCAGGAGCCGCGCCTCGCGGCACTGCATCTGAGAACGCGAAGATGCTTGATGTGCCACAAAGATGCAGGCGCGATATGCCCCTCGTTCCTTTTGTAGATCAGCTCCAGCGCTCGATTCACGAGTTCCACGGGAGGCAAAAAAACATACGAATTTGGGTAAGCCGCCTTATCTTGGCTGCCCACCCCGTGCGGAGGAGGCCAAGAGCAAAAGAGCGGCAGGCGAGTATGTCCTCACTGGGCTGCCCTTCTCCGCGACCTCATTTTCAGTCACGTTTACACGTGTCCACGGAATAGGCTGGTGAATACCGTCCACTACTCCCCCAGTCCCCACGAGGACAACCGTCCAAGCCAAGGATGAGATTCAACTGCCTGGCCTGGTTATGCACCTTCAGGTATGTTCCGGATTGAGTCAGGCCTGACCACAAACCATCAGGAGCGACCAGCAGCCGCCCAAGCCGCCTCGGGATCTCAGCCACCTTGGCACTTCATGATTGGTCTGAGGAGTCTGAGTGGTGTTACCCGTGCTGTGCGACCTCACGTATATGCATGTATTGCCGTTGAAATGGCGTTGTGGTAGTTATTTTCGTGTGTAACTGGAGCCACGTCGTGCTGAGCAACCTGCCGTTATCTGCATATCTGACGCCGGCTCCATCTAACCCGGAGAATCCATCTGCCACAGGATTGCGGTGCACATATATGTGTGAACTATGTACCAAGTGTTCAAAGAGCTTTATGGCACGGTCAATGAGGTCGACTCTCGTTGGATTTATCTTAGTGGCTTGCGACGGGTTGGACACCCCCCGCCCGACGACACTGACAGCTTTAAACGTCACCATGACAGATTTCGTCGTTTTCCCACGTGCATGCATGTATAGCTGTCCTGCCTTTTATACATCTCCTGCGGAGTGTCTGTGTCGAAATTATGCCGTCAATTTGATACTTTCATTGGAACTTTTGTGCAATGCTTAGTCTACTAGCTCGTAAGCTGAACGCCATGGCCCCTTACTGAAGCAAATCATGGCAGCGTCTTGAGCAGCATAACTTGGGACATAAGTTTTGCAGGCCGCTAGGTAGTAAATCGAGTTGGTGTGCCAATGTTGAAATCTGATAGGTGCTCGAGAGCAATAGAAACGAGGGCTGCATGAACGCATAGTGTTTCTTCGAGTCTTCACGGCGGGCGATGCTGTTCGAGCTCCGACTTTATGATATTTCAGGAGGGTTTCTGAGGCTGAACTAGAGAAATTCGCGAAGAATCTGGGAGACCTAGCCTGAGGAATAGATGACGTGAGGAAGTCTGGACAAAATGTACACTACCTTAGAGCCGCCACATATCGGCAACGTTCATGACATGGAATCCATACTCTGGACTGAACCAGTGTTGTGCGAGCACAGAGACATCAAATTTTCTTTTCATTTTCTTCTTCTTTCTCCTTTGTTTCTTCTATAATCATCTGACATGATCCAGCCTCTCCCTCGTGCCGATTCCGTTTCTGTATAAATGGTCTCATGAAGTTGGCAACAAATCGACAGCCGTTGCGCAGGCTGCTACGGACTGTGCGCTTGTTGTATCATGCTTCGTTTCGCGTCGGGCCCAGAGCCCAATCGTGATTCGCATAGAGTTCCCGGGGGTGCCAAAAGTTAACTCGGCAACATGGAGGTGCTCGCTCTGCATGAAGCCTTGGGAGCTCCTCAGTTGCGAGGTCCAAGCAAGTTCACGATCGAGCTCAGAGGGATAGACGTGATGCCGCGGAGTAGTGCTGACGCTCAGGACAGACAGCTCTAGGATTACCACCACCATCGTGATAATGACAGTCCATACATCTTGATTCAGCCCTTCTTGCAGCCTGGCCTATCTAAAATACTACCAGTAGACGTTTCCAACGATGCGAGTGAACAGTGAGCCAGGCATTCGTCCCGATACCACCAGTCTCAAGGGCTCGCTGGGCAGCTGAGCTGGAGCCGCGAGATCTAAAAGAGCTTGGCATCAGGCATCGCAGCCATAGTCAAGAGGTCGGCAAATCAGGACTCCAGGGCAGCGGGCCTGGGTGCTGTTGGCGCATGCTCGAGAAGGCGTCGCGAGAGGTGCTTGTGGTTGCGCCACAGGTAGCGCAACTCTGCCCCGTGCTTCTGTGGAGCTCGACAGGTTCCCCACACGGAGCTTGGCTGCTCAGTGCTGCGTGCAAAAGAAGGGGAAGTAGCCAGATTGTACAGAGAGCTCGAGGTGTCGCACCCAAAAGTTTTGTGGAGCTTCCGGTCCGGCGTCTCCTGGTTAAGGGTATCTAGCTGCCCATCTCAGGATCGTCCAAGGCTCAACCTCCTCTCATCCTCCCGTGTGTCCTACTTCAACCTCCTCGTCTCCTCTGCCCCTTTCCTCGGTTGTTCTGAGTGCTGCTCCAGTCTCAGACCTCCTCCAGCGACAAGAGTCTCTCTCCCAAGGGCTCCTTCTTGTCGAGCTCCTTCCCCCGGAATCTCTCCCACGGTCTTCAAGCTATTGATCATGTTCTGAGCTCCTCACGAACATCTCCAAATAGTAAGCACGACGGCCCCTATGCCTTGTCAGGTTGGCGCAATGGCCGTGGCAACGCCTGGCATCAATTCCCGCGATCGACTTGGACAACTGCTGACCTTTCCTTGTCGTCTTTCGCAGGCTCGTCGTCTCCGTCTGCCACCCTCTATCTGTATCCTCTCTCGATAACTGTACCCCGTTTCTTGTACCAACCCTCGCCATGGCCGACAATCTTTCCGCCGCGGAACGGCTCAAGCAGCAGCATGCAGAGAACCCTCTGCAGGTGACCGTCGAAGACGTCCCCGACGAGGACCTTCCCGCTCCTTCCGTCTCTGGTGACAGTTCCGCCGCCCCCTCGTGGGCTCCGACAATGTCAGCCAAGGCTGCCGGTAAGCAGAAGGCTGCTCCCGCCAGCTCCCTCGATACTGGATCGCACGAGGCTTTCCCCTCGCTCGGCGGCCCTGCTGGTGCCAAGACCAACGTTACTCCGATCTGGGGTGGTGCCAATGGCAAGCCCGCCGCTGCCTCGTGGTCTGCCAACGGAACCCCGAGATCTGCGACTCCGGCGTCCGGCATAGCGACCCCTACCGCTGCCCCCAAGGCGGTGTCGATCCCAGGCCGTCATGTCGAATCCTATGTCCTCGAGGCGTCTCACATCATGCCTCGGAACCAGCTCCGCCGGCCGATCCCGGACATCGTCAAGGACATCAACCGCAAGTCTCGTGCCGTCATCAATCAGGTCAACGGGCCCAATGGAAGCCTCAAATTCAACGCTACTGGACCTCAGGACAAAGCCCAGCAGGCGCTGCGTGATTTGATCCAGCAAATTGGTGCCAAGGTGCGTAGACTTAGGCGCATATATACCCTCTGGAGCCTCTGGAGCAGAATATACTTACCAGAACTGTTTACTAACATCTCCGCTCAATAGACCAGCCACAAGGTCACCATTCCTTCCTCGGCTCGTGCCCACATCATTGGCAAACAGGGTTCCATGATCAAGGCCATTCAAGAGAAATCTGGCGCCAAGGTCCAATTGCCCAAAGTCGACGAAGCTGACGACGACGAGGATGGTACCATCGACGTTCTGATCGAAGGCAACGCTCTCGCCGTCGCTACTGCCCGCGACGAGATCAACAAGATTGCTGGCGAGCGCTCGGCCAACGTGAGCTCGCGCCTCAAGTCGGTTCCTGCCGAGTTCTATCCATTCATTGCCGGCCCTAGCAACAACTTTGTCTCCGCCCTCGAGGCCAACCACGGAGTCCAGATCCGCGTGCCGCCGCACCAGGCGTGGGCCCAGGCTGTCCCTCAGATGCCTACTGCTGGTCAGCGCCTGGCGTTCCAGCCCAGCAATCAGGAGAACTACATCCAGCTGGCTGGTGACCGCAACGCGGTGCAGGCCGCTCGTGCTGAAATCGAGCGTCGCGTGCACGACCTTCAGAACCAGCTTCAGATGGATCAGGTTGAGATCGCCAGCGGTCGCCACCAGTTTATCATTGGAGATCGGGGCGTCAACTTGGACGATTTCCTTGCCGAAACCAACTGTTCGATCATTCTGCCCACTGAGGCCGGCGTTGACACTGTCACCGTAATTGGTCCTGCGGACGACATCACCCGTGGTCTCGAGAAGGCTTACGAGCTGGCTATGGAGATCAAGTCCTCGCCATTCGACGTTTCCAAATACCATGGCCTGAACCCGACCAACGCCCCAGCCTATTCCCGTGACATGGCCCGCTACCTGCAGCGCAGGAAGGAGTTCGAGCGCCTGGAGAAGTTGCACAACGTGCACATCAACGCCGCGCACTCCGAAGGCGTCGCCAAGCCTTGGGACATATTTGCCCGCGAAGGCAAGAACTTTATTCGGTCGCAAAAGGAGATCGCGTCCATCGTCAACAGTCACCCTCCTAGCCGCCTGGCTACTGTCCCTGTCGACCCGTTCTTCCACTCATACCTGCGGTCCGACGTCTCGCCAAAGCTCCAGCAACAACACGGCGTCTACCTCGTTGTGCCCGAGAACCATGAGACTGGCTATCCTGCACTCTTGGTGTTTGAGGGGGAGACGACCCCAGGTGCGGATTACCAGGTCCCGCAGAAGGTCCCCTCGCCTCAGGATCTCAAGACGTTCCAGCAGGGCTTGAACGATGCTCGCAAGTTCATTCTTGACCTCATCAGCCAGCAGGAGCAGATTACTACGGAGACGATCGAGGTGCCCACTAAGATCCAAGATCGCCTGCGCAAGTACATCAAGAAGGAGCAGGATGAAACAATCCGGGCCCAGGGTGGCATCCCTGTTCGTGTTAGTGTCAGAGGTACCACTGTCACCATGCGCGGCACTGCTACAAGTGTTGCTCAGCTGGCCGAGAAGTCTCGGGCTTTCGTTGCTCAAGAGATTGAGGACGACAAGGAGCGTGGCTTCACCCTGAAGTTTGACTTCCCTCAGAAGCATGCCAACCACCTCATTGGCAAGGGCGGAAGCCATATTAACGAGCTTCGCGAGAAATTTGATGTTGATATCCAGGTCGAGAATGGCGAGGTTGAGCTCAAGGGTCCCAAGGCGAAGGCTGAACGTGCCAAGTCGCACATCCTGTCCTTGGGCAGACAATGGTCTGACGAGACTGCACATGTCCTCAAGATTGATCCCAAGTTTCATCGTGAACTCATTGGCGCTCAGGGTGCCCAGATCCACCGCCTGCAGAATCGCTATGGAGTGCACATCAACTTCCCTCGTGTCGCCAAGGCGTCCAAGGACGATGAGTCTGTCGCTGATGCCGGCAGTGATGCTGGCAAGCCTCGCCGCCAGCAGGGTCCTGACGAGGTTACCATCCGTGGCCCCAAGAAGGGCGCCGATGAGGCTCGGGACGAGATCTTTTCACTGTTCCAGTATCTTAAGGAGAACTCTCATGTGGCGACCGTCACTGTGCAGCAGAAGCAGCTGCCATCCCTCATTGGGTCGGGTGGTGCTGCCATGGACGAGCTTCGCCAGCAAACTGGCGCGAAGGTCGACATCCCCAACGACCGCAGCGAGTCTGAGAATGGACTTGTTGAGATCCAGATCAAGGGTACCAAGTCTCAGGTCGCTGAGGCTAAGAAGATCATTGAAGAGAAGAGAGCCGTCTTTGATGACACCGTCACACGCACCGTCGAAGTCGACAGGAAGTGGCACAAGAACCTCATTGGACCTGGTGGTAAGTCCCAAGTCACCTAATTATCTTCGCTGGGGACCAAATCTCTAATCACGTTTCGTCACAGGTGCCACTCTCCGCGATATCGTCATCAACGCTGGTGGTCCGGAGGACCGCAGGCTGCAGGCCCGTACCATTCAGTTCCCGAAACAGGACGCGGATGGAAATGGCATCAAGGTTGAGGGTCGCAAGGATGTCGTTGACAAGATCATTGCTGCTATCGAGGCTGCCGTCGCCCAGCGCGAGAGCCAGGTGACCGAAGTTCTCGAGGTCCCGACCGACAAGCATAGGTCGCTGATCGGCCGCGGCGGCGAGGCCAAGCGCCAGCTTGAGTCTCAGTTCAACGTCGCGATCGATATCCCCCGCCAGGGTAGTGGTCAGACTGGTGTCAAGATTGCGGGTCTTCCCGCTGACGTCGAGAAGGCAAAGGAGCACATTGCTTCGCTAGTCAAAGAGCAGGCTGGCGAGACTGTCCAGGTTCCTCGCAAGTACCACCACTCGATTGCGGAGAACGGCCAGTTCTTCCGCAAGCTCCGTAACGACCACAAGGTCACGGTTGACCATGCTGGCGAGGCTCTTCCAGCCAAGCCCCAGGCTTCTGCTCCTGCCACCAGCGGCTCCCTGCCGCTCATCACCGATGATGCTGAGTCTGCTGGCGATGTTCACTCGTGGAACATTGTCGAGAGCGTCTCGACCGAGGAGGGCGACATTCCGTGGGTTCTTAAGGGCAACCCGGAGAGCATTGAGAAGGCCAAGAAGCTCATCGCCTCGGCGCTTGAGCAGGCCCAGAAGAGCAATGCCACGGGCTACCTCGTGCTCGCAGACCCATCGACCTACCGCTACGTTATCGGCCAGGGCGGCTCCAAGGTCAACTCAATCCGCAAGCAAAGCGGCTGCAAGATCCAGGTGCCGCGCGACTCCAAGGAGGACGCTATCGAGGTCACTGGTTCCAAGGAGGGCTGCGAGAAGGCCAAGACCCTTATCCTCGAGGCTGTCCGCGAGGGCCTCGCGTCTAGACGGGACTAGGCGTCCCTCTATGATGGCGGCGCTGATTGCGAGAACGTGTTGGAAGCCGGCTACGGCACAGCCGCTGATGACTGGTGATGATCAGCTTACGGGTGGACCTATGGGCAAACATCCTTCCAATATCGAAGCGGAGGCAGTGTATCAAAAGCATCCCCAAAAAGATTTGTCAAAAGTTCATGTAAAGGCACCGCGGAGTTGGTAGGGAGAGAGAAGAACCGAAAAGTCCATGTATATGATGATGAAGAACCATAATAGCGAAGAGGCCGAGTTGTTGCTGGCTTCAAATCAACGATTGAGAATCTGGATTCAGGATGAAAGAAACAGGTTTGCTGCCTGGTTCTGCGCGTCGACCGCCTTCCCAATATTGATTATATTGTAGACTTTACCTGACCTAACAGAACAACGCCATCCATAAACGCCATAAATGGGTATTCATTCCTTCAAAGTCCACGGGCGTCGTCATGCTCGCTACTGCCCTTTTCCGCCCATCCCGACTCAAAGCCTTTCAACTTTCATAGTCTGTTTCCTTACTGTGCCTCCGTGCCCATGATGAGTCTAGTAGTGCCTAGCGGGAAGTCCCCACCACCAGCCTCCCGAACATGAAGCCGTAGAGCCCTGAGTGGAACGCTTTTCTACGACGGAATCCTCTAGTCCTCCTGCACCAACTGCAACAATGATGTGACATAGGTTGCCTGCAAAAGGAAAATTAGTATGATTTCAACGACTCGGGGCGGGTGACAGGTGGATGTCCTGCTTACCATTGCCTTGTTTTCCGTCATCACTTCAAACAGCCTGGGCAGAACGGGCCGGAAGAGCCTTTCATTCCAGCCGCCGCTTTCGCCCGACGACTCCTGCTCCTTGACAAGCTCGTCCTCTGCATCCGTCTTGACCACGTTGCGGGCGATGTTGCGAAGGACAAGCACCGCACTCAGGGGGATACCTGCGGCCTGCTCGATCTTAGGATTGCGCTCGTCCCGTGTTATGACAGTCTGCTCCCAGCTCAGCGACATCGTCTTGGCCGGGACGATAAAAGTCTTTCTCGGGCGCTTGGCCACCGATTCAGAGCTTTCAGACAGTGCCCTCTTTTGTGAAGAGGGAATGTGGGTCTTGATGTGGCGTGTGAGCTCCGACAGCTTCTTCGTGGCCGGCCGAGGGTATTTTGAGCAACCCTTCCACCCGCAAACCCAGTTCACTTCCTTGTCCTCGAACTGGCCGCCCTCACCAGGAACTATACCCAAGTGCGACTTTAAAATGTGGTGCCACATTTGCTCGCCACTAAGGAAGAAGCTGGTGCACCGGCCAGTGATAGGGTTGCTAGGAAGGACCCATTTGCAGGGCAGGTACTCTTCCTTCCTGTCGGGATCCATGGGCGCCGAGCGGGCGCGGATGCCTTCGATGATGAAACGTTGTACCTCTCCAGGCCCGCGAATGATTTGAGCACGCGCATTCACGAAGACGTGGCTGACATTTCTAATAAAGTCAGCAGCGCTGAGCATGTGGCGCCCGCTACCAGCCAGCGCACCAAACGATGCCTGGTAGGCTTGCCATATGGCGATCTGAGTGATGTGAGACTCGGCATCCTCTTCAAACAGGCTCTGCAGCCACTGGAAGCATCGTTGAGGCTCGTCCGTGTTCGACAGCTTTTCCTGAAGGTCGATCGGCAGGGGTATAACATCTTCAGAGGACGGGAGCTTCTGCTCTGGAACTAGCACCCGGTCTTCTCTCACCCGCTTTGCACCATGCGCCAGCAAACGAACGAGATGTGGGACTACACGCTCCATATCGACGGCTCGGAGCAATGAATCGACATTGGCAACCATGGCGGTGTACTGGTACAGGAAATCCAGGCATGCATCCATGAGCTCCTCGTCGTTGAGAAGCAGCCAGTTCATGATGTTCCTGAGAACCATTGGTGGGACTTCTTGCAGTCTGTTGGCCTCGTCCGAGTTCATTGAGATACGACTAATGGCCCTCAGTGCTGTCAATATCACACCGCGATCTGTTGAATCAAGCTGGTTCAAAAGACTCCGGTAAAGCGGGCTGTCTGATTCCAGTTTGAGGAAGGGTGTAAGCTGCTCGGCAATATCGAGTGCGAAATGCTTCACCTCGACAAGTATTTCCAAGTTTGGCAAATTGAGAATGATGCACAGAAGATCCCGCAATGGGTAGACTTCCGACATGTAGGATGCATTCTCAATCAGCATTACCATGTTGCGAATGGTGAGAATTGCTTCGATGATACGAAGGAACTGGTCACTAAACTCCGCCGTCTGAAGATGATCCATGACCGCCTTCGGTGTGAGCCGGTCGATCCGGTCGAGTATGTCATCGGTGCCGTTGAGCCCGTCCAGTGCACCAAGATCTGTCGCATCAGGGTAGCCAGAGTAGTCTATCTCCCACTGGATATCGTAGAAAAGTGAACCGATCTCGAGACCTTTGTCGATGAGACCTTCTGCAAGGCCTTGGAATGATTCAAATTTGTACTTATCTCCGCGTTCGAATGAAATTTTGACCAAGTGGTTGAGCGCGAAAGCCTGCTCCGTAGGAATCTCGGATCTCAACGCCTGGAGACATCTCGTGTATATGTTCGGGCCGTCAAAACCAACTGGGAATCAAATTAGACACGTGACGTCAAAAAGTGAATGCCAAGATTGCTTACCACCTGGAATCTGTGCCTTCGCTGCCAGTGGTATATCTCTTAAGCGCTGCAGATGCTGATTTCGCCGCGCAAACTCAGCCGGGTTGTTGGAAGGAGTTGCAACTGGCCGTAATGGCACAGTGATTGGCATACGCGGCTCAAACACCTCGGTCAGACGCGATGCTGTGTCTGACTGTGGCGGCACATAGTGGGCAGAAGCCGCACGCAGTGCTGCCTGCTGCTGCCCGATCTGTACCGGGTTCGCAGAATTATGCTGTGGCAGAGAGTTGTTGGATTGGGAATGTGGCATATTAACGCTGTGGTGCTGTTGCAAGGGAGTCGAGGATGTGGAAGATGTCTGTCTCGGCGGCCGGGTCGGGCCCGTCTCTGGCTGGAATGGTACTCGCTGCGGCGGAGCCTCGCGCAACCGCCCGGAAGCTCGAGTGCTGGAGACTGGCGTGCTCTCTACTGGGCGCTCTTCTTTCTCCTTGGTGGGCGTCTCCTCTGACGACCGATTGTGATGCTTGAAAGTCTCCATGGATCGCGTGAGAACGGGGCCGTATTTGCTAGCACACGACACCTGTTCCAGGATTTCCTTTGGAGGGGGGTCTATGCCGTGCTGATCCTGCAACCAGAAGGCAGCCAGATAGCGATAAAAGTCCTGCTTGAGCTGGAACGAGAGCTGCCCCATGCCCTTGTTGTCCTCGAAGTGCATGCCAAGCTCGTTGGCGAGCTGACCCCAGGCCTTTTGTACTTTGGAGATCTCGTCGTAGCCGCCTTTGTCAATGACAGCACGATAGAGCTGCAAGAGGTCGACATGCACATGACCGTGCATGGTCGGCAGCCGAGGCTCAGGCTCGAAGGCGGTGCCGCGCTTCTCGTGGAATGCGGCGAGCTTCTGGATGAAGTCGGTATACTCTGGTGTGCGGTTGATCTCGTGAATATGGAGCTCGTCCTTCTTCCCACTGTTCCGGGTCCCCATGGCGGCTGACGTTGCCGCTCTGGCTCAGCGCTCAAGACCAGAGGGGCCGGTTATATATCTGGCGTTGAGTCGATGTTGGGGTTGTCGCGATGTCGCCCTCGGGGGTGCAGTGGCTCAGGACTGCCGACGCGGATGTGATTGGCGTGCGTCTCGACGTTCAGGTCGGCTATTGGCCGCAGGGCAGGGCAGAGAACGATGCGGGTGACGCGCGGCCCAGGTCTGCAGGAGCGTGCTTGCAGTGTTGGGGACGGCAGATGGAATGCGACAGCGGCGACGAGGTTGTGGATGAGGATTTGGTGGGTGCGCTGCGCCAGACTAGTTGCGCTGCGAGGGAGGCGCGCGATGAGTGTCGTCCTTGGCAGCAAGAAAGTCGACAACCGCGTCGAGGCGGCCAATCCCAGCCCTGGAGCGTCCAATTGGCAGGACGCCCACCAGCCAGCACTAGCGCCTTGGCATCTGGACCCCATCTGCACCACCAGGCCAGGCCCCGGTACACGCTTAGTCATGCCTAGCTGCATTTCCTGACGGGGCGTGCACTTGCTTCCACAACATTTGTCCATCATGGGCTTCGGGCCTCTTGTCTTGCCGCTTCCACTTCTTAAAATTGGTGTCATCTGTATCATAAATGAATTTGTAGACTTTCCATTTTGTTAGTTCTGGGATGGGCGAACTTGGAAGCTCTGAGATGCAGGAGCGTGGATGGCTCGACTGGCAATTGCGACGGGCAAGGCCGTTCCTTCCTCAGCCATGAAGCGAAACCGTCTGCCCCTGCTTACTCCATTGCCTTCTTCACACCTGGGCAGTCTGCGTTGTCATGCCGGTCCCGCAACCTTGATAATCTCGAGACGGCCCGCTCCTCAACACGATGCTCTTGCTCCCCTGGCGCGCTTTCCAGTCCAGCACCACGGTTGAGCGTTGCCACCATGAGTTGGGAATATGCTCAGCCATATCCCCAGAGCGAGCCGAGCCAAACCCAGCCGGTCTGCCGCCATGACTTTTTCGAGACCCATGGCTCGGCGAGCTTCGCATCTCAGCTGCCCTCACATCAGCGCCCGCTAACACCGCAGTCGTTCCACAGCCACGTTGAGTATGCCAGCTACCCCCTCAGGGGCCCCTTCGACCGGAATGGCCAGTCACCATTGTCGACCACAATACCTCTTCTTGATCCAGATCACACACGTGTGCCTTCATCTTATCCTCCTTTGCCGGATCACGGGGTTTCTTCACAACCAGATAACTTGCTCCCTGTGACCATGCTGGCTCAGCGTTTCTCCCATCAGGCACATGCGCCAAACTTCGACCCAAGAGTCATCTCAACCCATGGATGGATTCGTGGTAGCAATGAGAGTGGCCACCACGGCGCAGCGCCAGAATATCTGAGTAATCAGCATCAAAACCCGCGGCAGCGATGGATACGCGATGTGAATCGCCCTCCCTCTGTACCATTGCGACAACAAGTCACGACAGCCTCCAAACACGTTGGGTCGTCGTCCCTAATCTCTACGCAGTCACAGATGCCTTCAGCCCTGTCATCGACGAGCAGGGGCTGCACCCAACATCATGGCGGCACGAACGAGTCCACGCAACAAAATCACCAATCTGACATAGCTGCCACAAGCGCTGCGGCTGACGTTGGTTCTTACACAAGGTTCCTGAATGCTACAATCCCTCCAAGGAGCCTACCATTCGGTACAACAAAAAAGGCAAGTGTTCTTGAGACTGGCACGCTCGCAGTTGCACTTGAAGTTACGAAGCAGACACAGGGAACCAAGTCATCGGCTCGTGCGAAGCCAGCAAAACAAACGATGGCCGCGAAAGCGGCAAGTAGTAAAGAACAGGCTTCTGCAGCCAACACAACAAATCATCAGTATTCCATTGCACACGAGAAAGTGAACGGAAGTAGGGCATCAGTCATGGTCCTGGTCGATGAAATCCCGGGAAGTCCTGCAAAGGTAAAGGCTGTCGCAGAAAACAAGCGAAAGAGGCCGTCAACAGCGCAAAATCCCTCTCGAGCGCCGCCCGCAAAGAAAACCAAAGCGAAGCCTCAGAAGCAGTCTCGAGAGAACGTTTCGGTCGGCACCCAGCCATTGTCGGGAATAGTGATGTCTCTGAGAAGCCAGAACCCATCCGAAGGAACCCGGCCTTCTCCTTCTGGTCTTGTTCCTGTGAGCTCAACTGCAAAGGGACACGAGGTCGACAATGCGACGATAACAGGATCCACGGCGAAAGCTGCGTTAACGACATCTCCTATTGAGCCACATGAAGCCGTCAAAGCCCGACCGTCTCGAAGACGTCAGCCTACTGCAAAGAAGGCTCTGGAAGCAAGTGCAAATAGTGACCTTGCTGTTGAAATACCCAAGGATAAGCCAAAGCAGGCCAGGGCACGAAAATCGCGCCCGCCCAGAGCCACAGCACAGCAACCTGCCCCGGAAAGGCTGCAGGCACTCAATATAACGAGTACTATTTCTCATGATCATGCTGCTCAAGCGCGGGAGAGCAACCTGGCGGATACAGCCAATTCTCAAGCAGTCGGGGCAAGGTTGCCAACAATTACAGCCCAGTCGAGTCAGACGGCAGATGCACCACGATCGACGACGCCCGAATTACTGAGCCTTATGTCTGATATGGAAACACTGGTGAATGAGGATCCGTTTGAGGAACCATCTTTTCTTGGTGCATTGATGAGTCTGCAACAAGTCCAAAGCATTTTGCTGGAGAGGCTGCAGCCAGGTGATGTGTCTCGGCTGACGAGCTCAGCTGGATGCAAGTATCTGCTTTCATGCCGGCTTTAATATTTTCTCATCTCGCACAATCTGAGCATCCCAGGTCCAAAACGAAAGGTGATACCATGGACGTGATCTCCAGGAGGAGCTTCAACGACGGAAACGATATGATGGGATATTCACATGGTGGGGATATGCATATAACGAACTGGCCGAGTCCTGCCATCACTGGCGTGTGACAGCACCCACTCAATCGCTGACAAACTGAAATTTACACCTCGATCGGGTAAAGACGATGCATGCCTGACGTCCCTCAGGATTTTGACAAAACGTTGTGAATTTCTCCCACCTGTAACACCATAAGCCCACTCAAACACCCTTGGTTGTTCAGCTTTCTCCCCACGCCTGAGGCGACCGTGACAGTGTGAACCGGGCCAAACAGCAGCACCGTCGATCACAGCAGCGGGGCATTCCTGCTACGCTGAAGACCAGGGACTAAGTGGGATGTTGGTGGTAAACCTGCCGCCACCGATGGGCAGTTTTTAGGCTGGTCAAGCTCACCCTTTGACGAGCGTACGCACAAAAGCGAGAATGGCGGCATTGGGCGAGCAGGATCTTGATCCGGCTCACTTGTGGAAGAATGACTCCATCGAAGAGAGGATTTTCTCTGCAGCGCTCATATGCCTTGAGGCCCACTATCTGCAGTCTCCTGTGATGGGAGCACAGTCGATGACCAAAGTCCTGACCATAATCACCAAGACTCTTGAAAAGACGCACACTCTCAAAGATGTCCGGTGAGTGGAAGCAGAGGCCCGCCAAGCACAACATCTGTTCGCCCAAACGAGAGAGCTAACAAAAGATGCACACTGCCAAAGAGAGGTTCTCTCGCGCAACGTACGAATATGGATATGGCTCAAGAGAGCCGTGTGCGCCGCGCTCTGTGACCTCAACGAGAAGTCCCTTGGGGTGCGGTCTGTACCCATGGTGCAGACCAAGTTTATTGATATCACGACACCAGATGTCACGGCTCTCATCATCAAGAACTACGCCACCCTCAAGGAGGCGCTGCAGATGCTTAACAAGCTCATGCACATCGCGCGGAATTTGCTCGTTACCACGACGCCTCAGGTCCCTCAGGACCTTTCTGCCGCTATCGCTTTTGACCAGGAGGTGTACGAGGCGATTTGCCTCTGCGTCAATGTCACGAGCAAGGGGATCGACGGGGAGATGCCCGAGGACGATGCGTCGCGGGTCAAGCTCAACGAAATTACCGAGCTGTGTGAGTTAGATGCTTCTTATCTACGGGGAAATCCAAACGATCGCTGACACGGCATGTCTCGGATCAGACAAAAAGGTCCTAGTGACGTCCTTGCAACAGGCTCACAATTGGATCGCCAAGAATGACCGGAACAAGATGACCTTTTGGTTTCGAGTCCTGATTGAATCACCCGATGTGGACAACAACCCGGCGCCTGAGGACAGGCATGAGCCTGTGCTTGATTACCTAGGACCACGGTGCTTGGCTCTCAAGACAGAAGTGTCCAACTGGTTGAAGAGGAATTCGCACATGAGCCCAACTGCAGCGGCTATATGTAAGGAATACCTGGAAGCCAGCGATCGGAGCGAGACAGAGGATTGGTTTCCCCAAGACAAAAACCTGGCTTGGAACTACTCACCCGAAGCCACCTGGGAATTCAAGCCCGACATTTACGGCGAAGCATCGAAGGCTGTTTCCGCCTGGATCCCAGACGAGCCGGATAAATTTGAGCAGGACCGGCTATATGGCCACGTCTCGCACGAGTTGGACGAGTGGTGGGAGGACACAAGGATCCCCAACGCGAGCAACTGGAGCATCGCAATGTATCCAACTGAACTGGTCCCTGAGCGAATCAAGGAGTGCGAGTCGATCCTACTGCACCGGTACGATGGCGCAGACATACAGGACGAGCATATTGAGACGGTCCCCCCGGGCACCATCGACGAAGGACGTGCGACTGAATGGCAAGGCGGCCATGCATCGCAGTCCACACCCTCATACGCCCCTGAGTATGACGAGTACGACGACCCTGATGACGACGACTCATATGGCGAAGGGCCAATGACGGGCCTCTTGACCGAGGTGCCAAATATTCTCGACCCCAAGCAAATTGAAGCTCTGCACATGATTGTGAAATCCTGCATCCTCGAGTCGGCCGGGACAGGAGTTAACCGACACGGGGAGAGCATGCAGAAGGCTCGGTGCAGGATACTACTAGCGACAGACTGCGGCAAGAACTTGCTTCGCGAAATGCTCGTGTTCATCGCCGTCTGGGAAAAGGACGACCAGTCTCTGATTTTCCAGATCACAAGCCAGATCGTACAGGCGATACACGAGAGCTCGCTGCTGCCATATGCATGGAACGCGCTGCGCAGCCCCAAAGATATAATATCACCGGCCCAGACAGTCCTGCTGAAGATGATCACATACCTTTGCCGGACGGCCCTGTACCCGTCTAAGGAGTACAACCCGGAGCCGGACTTACGGTCTGGCGATATGAACCGAATTCTCAACAACGACGAGATCAGGCTCGCAAAGATGGTCAATTTCCTCTACGGCATCTTTAGGAGCCGTATTGTGCCCGAGTGTGTCGCCCTGATGCAGATACAGGGCGAAGTTCGCACGAACAGGCTCGACCCGGCCGAGTTCCCCGTTGACAATTGGGACTTGGAGCGCGGCAAAGAAGGTTTGGTGCAGTACCTCGACTTTCTGTATACCGTCGCAGATATTTACCCCCTAAGACAACACCTCATCGAGTATGAGGCCGTCTACGAGCTCATAAAATTACTTGAAGGACTAGACGTGGGCGTCGAGAAGATCCCGTTCGCGCACTCCCGGCGGCATGACAGCTCCGTCCACCCAGCAGCTCAACAACAGCAGCAACAACACCAACAACAACACCACCACAGCCACCCAGGCGCTCCCAACCCAGCCTATCCCAACGGCGGGCACAACCCTAGCAATGGCAATCTCCCGCCGCCTCCTCCGCCACCGCCACCACCGCTCGCCGACCCTCCACACGAGTTTCCTTGGACCGGCCTCAAGGGCCAGGTCCTCTCCATCATGGCGGCCCTCCTTCAGCCTCCTCCAGGCCAGTCCTCTCCTGGCAACCCGGCCGTGCAGATGCAGATCGTCCAGCACAACGGCATCGTCGCACTTCTCAACTGCTGCCTGTACGACGACAATAACCGCTTCTGCCGTGAGCGCACCCAGCTCTGCCTTAAGTGGCTCATGGACGGCAGCCCAGACGCCAGCGCGTTTCTGCAGAACCTCGTCCAGGCAAATCAGCATGCCGCTGGTGCTGGGGCGGGGGCTGGGAGTATGCGCCCGCCACCCGCGCCGCCAGGGGGAGCAGCAGGGCCTACTATGCAAACGGTCCGCATCGACGGCGTGCCGGGTGAGGTCAAGGTTCAGGTGCGCAGCTCGAGTGCGCCGGCAGCGGAGAACAATGGCCCCGGGGCAGGAAGACCAGCAGCTGCTACTATGATCCCAGCAGGGGCGCTTGGTGGAAATATCATGCCACCCCTTTCTTCTCCTGCAGTGGGCTCCAGCCAGAGTGGCAGTGCCGCGGCAACCCTGGACCACCGTGTCAGTGAGCATCGGAGTCGCAGCGAGGAGCTGGTCAATGATTTACTGGCACTGACTGTAGCGGACGGTGCGGCGGCTGCGAGCGGGAATGCTGTTCCTGGAAACGGCGGACTACAGAGAGTCACGTCGCTCAGTGATGACTATGAGGAGGAGGAAGGCGGGCATCATGATGATGAAGCGGACGATGAGACGGAGGACGATTTCATGTAGACATTGGCCACGATGCGGCTCCAATTCCAAAGTGAATGCAGACAAATTCGTCAAATAAAGCAGCCAGTCAACGAAATTTGTGTGTCCGTGACGTATCGGATCACTGTCTCGAGGTAGCAAGTGACAAAAACAAAGTGATATGGACGTGGGCAGCTGTTTCTAGTTCAGGATGTCAAATGGTCCTCTTTTATTATTCGTGGTATCTATTTGTTTGCCTGCCTAGTCGAAGAAGCCAGGGAAGAGGTACTCGACCTTCTTGACCGCCTCGGGGTTCCTGCCCTCGGGCTTGGTGCAGAAGAGCACGGCGCCCTTGCTGGCGCCCTCGTAGTGCTTTGCGAGGACGACGTCCTTGTTCTCCTCCTTGCAGAGCTCGTCGAGGACGGCGGCGACGAGGCGGCGGGCGTTCTGGCCGTTGGCCTGCATCGTCTTCATGACCATGGCGACGTCGACGTCCTCGGTGGTATGCCAGCAGTCGTAGTCGGTGGCCATGCAGATGACCTGGAGGGCAATCTCTGCCTCGCGGGCGAGCTTGGCCTCGGGCAGGAGCGACATGCTGATGACGGAGCCGCCCCAGGAGCGGTACAGGTTGGACTCTGCGCGCGTCGAGAACTGGGGGCCCTCCATGCAGATGGCGGTGCCCTTTTCGTGGAGGACGACGCCGTCGCCGACCATGCTGGCGGCGCACTTCTTCACCACGGCGGCGAGCTTGGCGTCGTACGGGTCGCCAAAGGGGATGTGGCCGACGAGGCCGTGCTCGAAAAAGGTGAACGGGCGGATGCCCTTTGTGCGGTCGATGACCTGGTCGGGGATGACAAAGTCCTGCGGCTTGATCTCCTCCTGGAGGGAGCCGACGGCCGAGAAGGCAATGATGCTGCGGACGCCAATGTGGCGGAGGGCGGCCATGTTTGCGCGCGCGGGGATCTCGTGCGGCGTGTGCTCGTGGTGGACGCCGTGGCGGGCGAGGAAGGCGACGGGCACGCCAGAGTGCTCGAGGATCACGATGGGCGCCGAGGGGAAGCCCCAGGGCGTCTCTGGGTTGACGCGGGCGATCGGGGTGAAGCCATCGAGCTTGTAGAGGCCAGTGCCGCCGATGACGGCAATGTGGACCGGGCCTGTGAGTTGAAGAGAACCGACACGTTAGTATTCAACGGAGCGTTGCCTGGCAGCTGGTGCCAGAAAGAAAAGAAAGAAGAAGTAAAATGAAGCTATCGCCAGAGCCCTTTTCCTCACATTGAGGCGGGGTAGCTGGAGGGGCCGGAAGCATGATGTGGTGGAGGGGTAGCCGCAGGGTATTTGTGTCTGGAATGATCTGGGGACAGGCTGTACTTACGGTCAAACGTTGTCGGGAGATCAGCCATTGTGAGTTTTACTGGACGGTCCTTGGGTATCTGTGAACTGGGAAAAAGGAAAGAAAAAAGGGAAAAACAAACAACAACACCTAGACTCGAGAGAACGACTTGCACAATACTCGGCTGGCTGCTCGCCCTGGCGGCGTGTAAGCCGCGCGCGAAGGGGGAAGGAGCTCCGGAAAAAAAAGTTGCCTGCCCGCCCGGAGGGGGCCGATAACGTGCTCGCAGCCCCACCACCGCTGGCCGGCAGCGCCCTGATAAGCGCGGGAGAGCACCAGTAGCAGCAGCCGACACAGGGCACGTCATTTCTCAGGGTCACTTCCGGCCCATCCTCCAGAGCACCCACGTTGCTGAAGGATTGGAGGGCGTCCAGCGCGTGCGACTAGACTAGCGGGGCCATCTGGGCTTACACGATCGAGAGACTTGAATCTACGAAGCGACGGCTGAATGAATACCTGATTCAGAAAACAGCAAAACTCCAGCTATACGCCATGCTTACACACCGTGACGACCATGCCCCAATGCTTGCAGAATGATATCCAATGCTTTGAACAAAGAAACCCCGCTCAAAAAACCCTCCATCACATTGCCATGTACAACGTTCGCACAGCCTTCTCCGCAGCAGCGACGTGCCACGGCCGGGCATCCACGGTCCTTTCCACGACACCTCTTGCCCGTGCAAGCGTCGTCAGTCCGCGGTAATAAGTCAGCAGCTCTCGCATCAGCGCCTCGTACGCGCGCGGGCTGTTGTCCGTGTACACGAGGTTGACCTCCATCACTGCCGGCGGGTCCTCGCCTCGGTTGCCGCTCCGCTTGACCAGGTAGCCGCTCACCAGGGCCGGGCTCAGCTCCGTGGCCGACGTCGAGTTGTTCAGCCGGTGGGCAAGCACAGCACCCCATGCCTGGTCTGTCACGTCAATCAGGGAAGCGTCGGCGTCAAAATCCGTAGTCCCGTCGCCTGCTCCTGGGGTCGGGGCGCTGGTGGCTGTGCTCTCTCTCATAGGCGTCGGCGGGTTCCCACTCTGCTCTGGCGAGACCATGCCCGCCTGCGGTGTCGACACGGGCGTGGTATAAAACACTGTTGGCGCGGAGCTTGGGACCTTGGACGGCTGGGGAAGAATCTGGAGCGACGGGTCCGTCTCGACTGTGATGAGTGTCAAGCTCGCCGTCACCTTGGATTCGCCCTGGGCGAGACCAGACCAGACATCGATCTCATGCTGATCCATGATTCCACACTTTGCCAACATGACCCGCCAGTGAATCTTCCACGTAGCCATGAGCTCTCTCGTCGTCTCCCATATCTCGTGCGCCACGTCGGCAAACGCCGTCGCGATCGGCTTGCCTTTTCTTCCGAGACAGTACGCCGCCGTCATCTGCTGATTGCCCCAGTTGTCGGTCCACGCCGCCGTGATCCACCTTTCGTCCACGCTCTGGGCGTAAGCCACGTGCAGGCAGGTGTTCTCGCGCATCAGCGATGCCGAGGGATTTGCTGTCAGCTTGAAGTCAATGACCCGCGGAGGTGGCTGCTCGAGCACAATGGCTGGCGATGGCATCGACCCGTCAAACAGTGTGCATCTGTCGTAAAGCTCGATCGCAAGCCTGCTAATGTCAAACGGGGCCGGGACTACAAGCGAGGTGCTCGCCGAGATCATGTCCACGGGAACAAGCTGTAGCACGAGCTCGTTGACGACGGGTAGTCTTTTCCCGAGCAGGACCTTCTTGTATGCATCAAAAAGATGGTGGAATGCTATGCATGATTCCGCAAGAGAACCAGGGACATCTGACAAGTAGACAAAGAAAACGACAAAATTCGTCTTCTGCGCCGTCGCGGCGGCCAGAGCCTTGGCGAGCTTGCCAATCTGTTCGAAGAGTGACGCACCCAGGATGGTAGTCGACTCGTGTAAATCCTGAAGGTGCTTCTCGGTGTCCACAGGCACAAGACCATCAGCGAAATCGCCATTTGTGGGGAATCTGGTCAACGATCCGAGCTTCAAGGACTCATACATGCTTCGCATACGGTCGACAAAAAGGAGAGCATCCTCAGACAGCCCAGCAAAGTTTGGGAATATGCTGATCGCGCTAATGTCCTTGGGGCCCTGAGATGGCCCAAGTCCCAGACTCTCCCAGAACGAAATGGCCGACGGCACGACAGACATTTTGGATTCGTAGCGGCGGAGATCAAACCGAGGCGTCGGAATCTGGAACAGATTGCTGGGCTTCATGTGCTCGACACCTGGAGGGCGCGGCTGCATGCGACCTGGGGGGCCTAGTAATGGCACATCTTGTGTATCGACCACAGGACGGAAGTGCCCGCACTCAGCAGCTCCCAGAGAGCTGGGGAGGTGCGTCTTGAGATCCTGCATCGCGGCCCGTGTCATGTCGAGGAGATCCCTTCGCTTCTCCAGGGGAAGTCGGAGCGAAGTCTGGCTGCTCGATCCGATATGCATCGTCGTTGTGGCCGCATGCTCGGCGAGTATCTGCGCCGCCATCATGAACACCTCGTCTGCTACCTGCCACCGCACATCGACAGGCTCTGGATCCGCAAAGTACTTGACTAGGGGAAGCTCTGTCTCTGATCTGACTGCACGAGGAATGTCCATTGACGTGCTTGGCGAGACAACATCCAAACTCTCGAGCTCTTTGAAGGATGCTGTCAAGGAATCCCCGTCTTCGTCGTTGCGCTTGCGCCGCAGAGCACCGACCTTTTGTGGCGAAGTAGGCTCGTCACTCTCATAACTCGAGTCCTCCTCGTCAGAGACAAGACTGAGCTCATCCGCATCGGAAGCCGAGTCGTCAAGCTCCATCGGACTCTCTGCGTTCTGACCACCGGGTGCTTGCACACGACTGTATGGGTGGCCCCCGCCGAGACTGAGCTGCTGTAAACCTTGACGAACTTTACTGTGGCGACGCAAATACTCAGTGGTGGGTGGGCCATCAAAGTCGGCAGAAGTGACGCCATTTGGGAGCTCGACTGAGAAATCAAAGCGACCATTCCCCTCGTACTTGCTGTTTACAAATGACAACCCAGACCCGAAGCTGACCTTGTCGAAGATGCTATCGTTCGGATATATGCTGACACGCGAGTTCTGCTGGGCAGCCTTGTGGTTATCAAGAGAAGCCTTGATTCTCTTGTAGACAGTAGCCGGATCGAATGGGCTTGAAGGGCGTTTTGTGCTGGAGCTAATCTGCCGTTGCTTGTTGTCGGCCTGACGACGTTGCTCTTCTTCTTTGATCGAACTCCTTGCGTGTTTGAGCTCAGGCTTTGCAAAAACAGGTTCCGGTTGTGCGGGGGTCACTTCTGCTGGCAGTGGCGGCTGTGAGTCCTTGACTTCCGCATCGTGGCTCTCCTGTCCCCCCGGTAGGGTATTGCCCATTTCGAAGTCAGGTTGCGTGCTGGGCATACTCGGCAAGTCCAGCGTACCTAGACCTACCTGGCCGGGCTGTTGTTCGTCGAAGAAGTCAAAGTCATCTTCCGTAATGTTGTTATCGCCAAACATGTCAGGACCAAGCTCGCCAAAGAGATTGTCAGAATCAAACGTGCTGCTTCCCTGTCGCTCTGGTTTGACCTTGCTGCCATCCCAATCCTCGCCAGCGGGTTCCACTGGTGCAGAGGAGTGTGACGTAGCGTCGACGGCCGTTGTCGCCGCCGCCGCCGCCGCCGCATGGTTGACTGGACTAGACGCAGGAGCGTCAAGCGATGGCGTCGCGCCAGCCACGTTCGGAACTCCATCGGGGGGCGTGAGATACATGGTTGCTGGAGCAGGCCCAACAGCACCAGTCTGCCGTACCGCAAGCGGCGAAAGAGCACTCACTGGCTGGGTAGGATGCTCGGGTGCTGCATTTCCAGCAGTCATGGTCGCAGCTAGAGCTGCAGAAGCCGACGCAGCCTCTCTGTTTTTCTTGTTCGCGACGACAGCTGCTTCTCGCTCACCCGCACTCATGAACCATGACCTGGCATTCGACAGCGGATCGAATGTCCTCGCTTGAGTTGGCGTCGACTGCGGCTCTGTGCTGTCCCTGATGGACATCTTTGAGAAGGCCTTGCAGAACAGTAAGGCGCTCGGCCATGATATATTTGGTGATATACCCACGACCGGTGTCCGTTTACCATCCGTCTTCTGCTCCAGAGGTTTCCGCCGCATCCGTTGCAGGTTTAGCCATTTTCGAGATGACCCAAGAGGCATCTTGATGCTTCGAGCGTGCAAAATCTTGGCGCAAATAGTCCGCCACGGCAACGATTCTTTGTCCGGGCGTCTGCCCACCACGAGTGTATCAGGGGTCTGAGCGAGATTGGCTTCGAGCGTGATGCCGTCCGCCCCTAAAGTGGCCTGGCACGTCGCGAAGACACCAAAGGGCGCAGCAAGTACTGTGATGCCCTGGTTATGAAACCTCGGCGCCCGGTAGTCTGTGAGCGCCATGAGTCCTTCTACTTGCGACAGGTTCATTGATATTATCAAAGTGCCAGTCGTGGTCAGGTATATGCGCAAGGAAGCCAGAGTCGTAGAAGCATGGCTGGCATATTTGTCTGGCTGGGCTAACAGCAGCGTCCGTGGACTGAGCGGCAGCGCCCCTGTTGCAGCACAGAAAGCGGCAGATACAGCGGACAGTATAGCAGACATCAGCGGTTCATACGCTTCCTTGGGGCTGTTGAGAGCACTCGGTTTAGCCTCGACCGGCACAAGGGCTTTGCTATCCTGCCCCGCAGGCACATTCTGACCGATCTGCGCCGCTGGAAACCCCGCGCCTGCAGCCGTAGATTGAGGTGTTCGGAACGTGTTCTCGACTGCGGCCGACAGTGTAGACGAGGCGCTGCTGTTCGGTGTGGCATTGGCGTTCGGTCCCAAGTTCCTCGTTTTGGCGAGGCTCGCCGGCTCGAACACGCCTTCCTCGACAAGGGGCAAGGTATACCCGCCCCCTTCAACTATCTTGGGGAAACCTTCTGACGTCGCACCCGCTGTGGTAGCATCGGCCTCCACGTCTCTGCGGACCAGTCGAAAACACCAGACCCGTCGTCGGGCAGCCTCGACGTAAGCAAGCAAGCCATCCTTGCGAAGCTGTGACTCGAGTTGTATTATGCTTGGGCTGAGGGACGAGGACGACGCGGAGACCGAAGGCTCGTAGAAGGCGAAGCTTACGGACGCGATGTTGTTCTGGAAACACACCGGGACTTGTTTAGCATACTGTTTTCGAACTCCATCTTATGAATGCGCGGGTTGGAGGACGGGGATGGAAGAGAGCATGTGTGGGGGCACGGCCGTGGATGGGAATACCAACAATCAGTAAGGCGTTCGTATCATATTCGCCAATGTCCATGTCGTCAGTCGCGACTTGGCGATCTGACAAACAAGTTCTGCGTAGCGGCACCGCGTCCGACGCTGCGACGGACTGTACCGCTTCGACCGAGTTGCGGGAGACAGTCGCGAGCGACCGCGCGCGGGGAGCTGGGCGTGGGTCGATTCGGGCCGCGCGGCTGGAGAACAAAGGGATTCAGTTGACTCAAGCGTATTCGACGCTCTGGAGGTGTGAGGATGTCCAGTTGCGCAGCTGTCGGCCGAACTCCATGGCAGTTTGACCGATGGGAAGCTCGATGCCAATGCCGTGGTGTGATCGGCGGCGCAAAGCTGGACGAAACGCGCGAGATTGTCGGCCGTCTCGAGGGCTGGAAATCGCTTTGTCGGCCAGGGGAAGGTAGTCATGCGCTCGAGGCGTCCGAGCTGCGCGATGCTGTGGTGATGAGCCGGGAGGCCGGAGCAGGTGGCAGTCATCTAATCTTCAGTCCAGGTCGTAGTCGACCGCGGCGGGCGACGGGGCGCGGGAAGTAAGGCCCCGGTCCACAGGGCCCGCCCACACTGGCGTGGCGTGGCCTGGACAGGCATTCCTCAAGGGACCACATGTGCCTAGTGTGGGGGCGGCCCCAGATCCATGAATCTTGTGCTATGGACCTGTATGGCAGTTGGCGATAGGGCGACCTCACCAGTGCTATGGGTACGAAAAACAACATGGGATCGTGTTTGGAGAGATATGCTTTAGTTATTCATACTTCGCTACGCTACAAGTCGTCAATTTACATGTTCATGAGATATCGTTTCCAACCTCGTTCGTCATCCACCATTGGTCTACCCTCACAATTACTACACCCCAAAACCACGCTTGAACGATCAGTCCGTGGATGCGTGCTTGCGAACTACTATGCTCCAATCTCTAAGCGTTTTGCCGTCGCCTCAGCTTGCTGCGGCTGGTAAGTCTCAGTCGCATAGACCCTGATCGTCTCCACAAGCGTCTCGAACTCGACCTGGGTTTCAGTGACGGTGCGGTAGACCTTGATTGTTTCTTTCAGCACGACAGGCTTCCGGGACCTGGACTGAACCAGTTCCAAGCCTGTGTCTGGCTTTGGAGTAAAGGGCTCGGCATCCAACTCCAACGGGCTAGATTTTTTGACCTGCGGTGGCGGCTGGCTGGCGGCACGGTGCAGTTCGAGGTTGACGTCGATGGTGACAGGCTCAGCGCGAGCTGGGACAGCAACGTTGGCCACAACTTCATTTGCTTCCTGTAGCTGGACAGATTGTGGCGCCTCACTCGACTCAACGGCAATAGCTGTATCTGCCTTCAGCGCTGACTCTATCACAGGCTCTGCCTCCACGGCGGCGGTAGGCACCTGACTGATGATCTGCTGCGTGTGGACCGCTGTCGTAACGTGAAGTTGGGGTACGGTGTCCATAACTTCCCGCATGAGAGGTTCATGAAGGGGTGTTGATGGAGCTGTACGCAGTGCGAACAGCAGCGCGACAACACTCAGCGCGATAATGACCAGGTTCTTCCGGTCCTGCAGTAGCACTTTTAGAGCCGCCAGGAGCAACTCGGGTAGTGAGGCACCCTGGAACTGCTTTCTACGATTGTCGCGCCGCTCCTGAGCTTCCTCCGAAGGGGAGCGCGGTGAGGGCGGAGGAGCATATTCGTCTTCTTGGGCAGTGGCTCGTGGCTTGGCTGACTCCTCGCTGGGCGGGCTGGGCGTTGGATAGAAGTTGACGGGCTCTGGCTCGTGAGATTGGGTTGGCATTGCTGGTGGCAGGGACATTCGGCTCTGTTCTTGCTCCAGTGTGGGCACAGCAGCAATGACTTGTTGCTCCATTGGGTGGTATTCGATAGCACGCGCTGCGAAAGCAGCTTGTTCCTCCGCAGCCTTTTCCTCCTCGTATCGCTGTGCGACTTCTCGTGCAATCTCTTGCTCCTCGCGGGCTGTGAACTCACGCTCTTCCTGCATGGCAGCCAGCCGCACCAGTTCGTCCTGAACGGACGATTCGACAATGGGTTCGATCTCGACATCAACTCGCTCCATCTCCTTCCAGCAAGCGGCCCAGGCTCCAGCACGCATGAGCCCATTGCTGGCGTAGACTTTGACGCGGAAAACCCTCGAAGAGCCGAGCTCTTCAAGACGGATTTCATTCCTGCAGGTCGAGCACCAGTGGCGCTTGTTGTTTCCGGACGTCCGCCGCTGGTAGCCGAACTCGTCCTCGCTTTCCTCGGATTCGCTGACCGTTGTCTCGTTCGAGGGACCAAGGTAGTGCCCGCACTCGAGGATTCGAGCACGTCTCCGTTGAGGAAGCTCAAGTGCCTCGAGCAGTCTCTCCTCAAGCAGCTCGTAGTCGTTTTGAGGATGGCCGAGTAGGATTCCCCGTTCGACAACGGTGTCACCGATACGATCCTGGAGCACACGCCACGCGTCACGGAGACCCTTCATCTCATCGCTGAGATCGCTGGACTCCAGGCTGTTGACAAGATCACCCCACGCCCAATGAAGAGGCACCAGAGTGACGTGCAGCAGAACCAAAGGTGCCTCCTTGATGGCTTTGAATCGCGGGGGCGTTGATCCCTTCTTTGGTGAGTATTGTGTGGATGAGGTAGGCGTGCCCAGCCTCGAGCCCGTTGGGTGGGTTCTCTTGGGTGAGCGAGGAGAGCGAGGCGAACCACCATAAACAGATCCGGAGGGCGACGACATCTGCATGGCGCGGACATCTGAAGTGGTCCTGAAACGTGGTCGCGGTGTGCTCCGAGTTGTTGGGATGAACTCCTCGCGGTCATACTGCGAAATGTCGGAGACCCTCGGAGATCTGGTCACCGTGGATCGGTCGTCGGTGTAAGACTTGCGCTTGCCTGACTCGGATCCTGCATCATACGAGCCGACCGAGCTCCTGGGGCTCTTGTCACTGAAGACTTCTTCATCCGTTCCTTCATGCTGTGAGCTGGACTCGCCGCCGTCATCCTTGGGCAACGACCCGCGGGAGATGTGTGAGTGGGTATTGTTGTGGTCCAATTCGGAATCGTCAGCGAAGGACTCTTCGTTGACATCCTGGTCGGTTCTGGTGCTCAGGATCGAGTCCTCCTCAATGTCCTGTTCGGCTGAATGGCGACTTTGGGTGTGCTGGTCGATATGCGCGATGATGCCCCTCGCTGCAGCAGCGATAAGCTCTTCGGTTCTCTGAGACGTGCGGCGGGATTGCGATGGCTCATCCTGGGCTTGAGGCTCGCCATCATCGTCATGCTCGATGCTCGGTCGAACCGTGCTGGATGCAGATGGGTCGGAAGATCCTCCCGATACCTCGCTCTGCAGCATTGAGGCGTCCTCGCTTATGTGAGATATGTCGTCGTCGACCTGATGCGAGACAGATTCTTCAGGAGCCATACTGGCATCCTCGTGGGCCATTTCAACCTCAGCTGGCTCGCTCTCTTCCGAGTCGACAGTCTTGGGCAACAGCTGCTCGCTGGAAGAAACATCTACGCTGGTCTCGGCCTCAACATCAGCCTGAGAGACGTCTAGTTCCGGGACTTCACTAGATTCGATGCGCGAGCCGTCCTGCACACTGTTTTGCAGGTCCGCAAGCTCTGACACATCCGTGTTGGAATCTTCAGTCAGTTCTGACTGGTGCTCAGACTGGTCCAAGGGCCCATCGTTATGAGACAGCAGGCTGGCTTCAGGGTCGGCCTGTATGCTTTGTTCCTGCTCTCCCGGCTCTTGATGCTCGATGTCGACGTCTTGGGGTCCTTCTTGGCCTTCTTCTTCTGCTTCTGCTGTCGTCTGGTCGTCGGGTGTCACCTCGTTTGTAAGCTGCACCGAGTCGGCTAGCTCCTCGGAGCCGTCACCGACTTTTGCCTCGGCTGGCTCGTCGTCCATGGGTTCGCTCAAACACGACGGATCGACGTGGATCTTGAAATTGTGGTTGCGTCTGCGGCGAGCCATTGCTGGAGGTGGTGGCAAGGAAGAACAATGTGCCCCGACTGAGCCCAGGTTCTAGGTATGTTTGTTTGCAGCGAGGTCCTGCGTGAACGGTTCCTCAGCAACGACAGCTAAGGAGATGGGGTGCTTGGTCGCGCTGCTGGTGTGCGGGCGAGGGAGAAGATAAGCCGCTTTTCAGGCCGAATGCAAGATACAGCTTAGCAGGAGCCAGGTTGTGATTCGGTGGCACCCGCTCGATGCGTTGGCAGTTGCTCCTCGTCCTGCGTTCTGGTTGGACGGTGGAGACCTTTGTTTAGACAAAAACCCCCTGTAGGACGCCCTGGTGACCGGGCAACGAGGGCGTCCTACAGGGGGTTTTGGCGCCCAAGGCCACCGCCGCTCAGACTCATGGCTGGCTCGAGGGTAGTGCCCAGATTTTCTTGCGGCCGACGAGGGAAGATGCATTGTCAACTGTATCACGAGAAACGTGTAGCGGGTTCGATGATAGATGGTGAGTTGCTCGCGACGCAGACGCAGTGCGGAAGCGAGGCGTGGTGACCGGGCATCAACATTCCTCATTCGATGGGGCATGATGGGGCCCGGCTGACGTCATTGGTCAATCGTGTCACGACCAACAGTGGCACGACTGGCACAATTGACCAGATCCATCGCACACCTAAGTAGGTGGCCTTCGCAATCACAATATCGAGCCAAATACTGCAGTCTGATACGTATATACAAAGGCAGCCCGAATATCATGGTTATGCGTGGCACTGACTTGCTCGCACACTCGCGACTTTTAATAAAGGAGGTTCTGCCATTATCGTGGCGAGGGACACCATGACCAGAGAACTCGGCTGGCATTCTCATACCCTCGTCCACACCCCGCGTGCACGTCGTGGTTTTTATCAGTCCACCGACACCGCTCCTAATGCCAGGTCTCGCGACAGTCAAGACCTTTCACGTCATTGGAACAGTTGCGCCTGCGAACTACCCCATGGGGATATCCACGGCATAAGTGGCGGCGATCGAAAGGGGAAAAAGATCTCTTGCGTGATCGAATACACACCCATTGCTCCATTTCCATGCATGTAAAAACGAGGCTATATGCTTGAAGGGGTTGTTCTTTTGTGTGGGCCATTGGACGAGCAGTCTTCGCCGGTTTTGATTGTCGAAATGAGAGCTCCGCTGATCTCTCGATACAGCAAAATTCCTCGTCTTGCCATCCCCTCCGTTTGACGCCTCCCAAATTTGCATGGAGTATCGGTGCGGTCGTACTCCTTTTTGCTCTTTTCTTTTTTTCCAAAAATTCTAAAACATGTCCTGAATCGCAGTCGTCCTTAATGTATTTAAATCGTAATGGTCCATGTCCGTCATAACGTGAGCCTTTGTGGTTTCCCGCCGTCCATTGCAATAAGGAAAGGAAAGGCCATGGCTCTCCAGGGGGAAAATGCAGCGTCATTAGTAGTTCCCCATCATATCCTGATACTGCGCGGCCGCATTGTCGTGGCAGCCCAGGCAGATCTTGTTGGTCGTACATTGTTCGTGTTTCTCGCAATGCCATTCGTCGCTAGGCTTGCATTGTCTGCACTCTTGACAGTGATACCAGCTGTCCGTCGGAAGCCACTTGCGCTCGCAAAAGCTGTACCAATATCCGTGGAAGTCATTCTGGTTGCAGTTCCCTAGCCCTCCTCTCAAGAGCTCAAACTCCAGCCGCTCCTTTTCATCGCGCTGCTTTTTGCTCTTGCCGTTGCGAGCCTTGGTCCACGTTTCCTGCCACACGGCGAATTCGGGCGAGGCAGTGCGTATGTCGGCCCACGAACTGTCATCGTAAAGCATCATATCGACCATGAGATCAACATCGAGCTCTTCGATGTTGGGTTGATTTGCCAGCCAAGTCGCGAAGCAAGGGTTTGCACCACAAGGCTTCGAGAACATCGTGCTGGGGCCGAAAAACGTGGTCAAGTCGGCGAAAGGATTGCCACAAGCAGCTCCGCAGCCGCATTCCGCACTGCAGCCACGGCCGTATTTTGAACATTCGCATGAGAGACAGCCTTTCTTCTTGCCGCGTGCCTTCTTGCATGCGCATTTGGTATCGGGTGGTTTCGACATGTCGGGGGAAGGTGCATCGGTGACCTCGGGATGTGTGTATAGTTGTGACGCGTCGCCTGGATATGACATGTAGAGTAGAAGGTCCTTGTCGGATCTGCTGACCATTGTGGCGTCATCGGCAATTTCGCCCTGTGCATCTTCGCTATCGTCGTCGTGGAGGTCGTCGGGCTGATGGGTACTACCATTTGGGCTCGGGTCCTGTACGATTGAGCTGTACGGCGTGTTAAGTGAGACGTCAGGATAGGATGCAGTGCTGCCCCGGTACGGTATTGAGGTGTGCGGTGACGGCTGTGTTGCAAAAGTTTCGGCGTATTGCGAGAGGGCCTGTTGGCTGAGGACAGCATTGCTCTGCAGCGTTGGGTCTGAAGCATGCTGACTATTGATGGGAGGCGTCGGAGGATACGACGGCATGCTCTCTGACGATGCAACGGCCCGGACCTGGGCATAGCTGCCGTCCTGGACACCGCCGGTTTGGGGATGACCATAATGGCCTGGCGCGATATTTGCGGGATGCCCGCCCGTAAAACTTTGCGCATAGTGAGCGGCAGCGAAAGTGTTGGCCTGTTGGGGCGACCCGTAGGCCTGGGCGAAGCCATTTGGAGGGGTGTGGTACGCAGTGGCATCGAAGCCATTGGCGACCTGGCCGTTCACGGGGCCGCCAGTGTATTGACCGTAGTTGACGGCCTGCCGATTCGGGTTCTGGACTTCGTAGGTGCCATTGCCGAGACCAAGACCGGGAGACGCGGGGCCCGGAGAGTGAACATAGACTGCTCGGTTCGCTCCGATCGCTTGTGAGCCGGGAGCAACGACTCCTCCACCGCCACCGCCGCCTGCGGGTGGAGGGTGTTGTATTTGCCGGAGGGCAGGAGCTGGCGTCTGGGGGGAGCCGTTGGTGACTTCTCTGGAGGTGTTGGATCGCTGCCGCTTGTTGGCTGAATAGGACATTGCACACTTGCGATGTCGGCCGTGTCGACAGTGGGATGGGAAGAGTTGGAGGGCGTGAAGGAAGACGACGACCCGGAGAAGCCGATGGCGCTCGCAGTGGCGCTGGACGCGGGATCGTGGGCGTCTGGGAATCGGCTAGGAGAGAAGGTGGAAGCCGGGCATGAGTGCTGAGATCGAGGGCCGGACAGGTGGTGTGGTGTATGTCGGATTCTAGAGATTGCTACAAGGACCGGACGGGAGGGTGGCAGGGCAGAACAGGGGCCGGTGAGCCTGCTGTCGGAAGCGCCGCGTGGTCGTGTCTGGCACTCTGGTCTTGTCGTCGGAGGGCGTGGTCGGCCAGGCAGAGTCGGAGACAGACGAGGCGGCCGGCAGACTCTGGTAAGCTGGCACGGGCAGTGAGATTTTCCTGGGACATGCGGTTTCGTTCCTCGCTGTGGCGTCCAGTACAGGCAGTATTTTTCACCCCGCGCTCTAAGCATGCAGCGGTTTGGCCTGGCAGGACTTGACGTCTCAAAAAGGTGGCTGGTGGGGCACTCGCGCTTGCGTGGTGCGGCGACGTGTGCTGCTGCCCAGCGCTGGCTGGCCGGGGGGTCCTCTGTCTCCAGAGCTCGGTGTGCAACTGCGCTGCACAAATCATCGCTGGCCCTACAGGCACATTGCACATACAGAACGTACGCTACCTTATGGTACCTTGAGGTATGGAGGTGTGCCCTGACACTTGCACACCACACCACCCACAAGAGACGCATTCGACTGAGTGAGCAGCAAACCACACTGCCTGCAAGTGGCCTGTGGCTGGCCCGGCTGCTGACCCGATGGGGCAGGCACAGGCGTGCGTCCGGCCGTGGGCGAGACGGTTCGACAATCCTCAACAAGTGACCGCCCAGGAACTCCAAGAACCACCACACTGCTCATGCTGCCACGGAGAACGCGAAACTTCTTCTCCTTCTTCACTCTACCGCCTCGACTACCCTCGATTGGCACGACGAATGTCTGGCTTTTCTGTGCATGACTATCCTCGAACGCAGCACCCACACATTTCGTCCATGGAGCCAACCTCACGGCACCCTCCCTTGAGGCCAGGCTAAGGAGACTCCCCAGGCAATCACGGAGCAAAGCCCGGGGCAGCGACACCGCAGGAAGCTTGCCCTAGCCCGGCTCCATCCTCACCCCCCTGCGCCGTCGCAGTCGTCTTCTGGCCTCCCTGTCCCGTAGGGTTTGAGTTGACCTCCGGTCATCTACGCGCTACTTATCACCTCCGCCCCAGCTCTCCCCACTCAGAGATCCCTCAACGGAAGATCTCCTTCACCGACCTTTGCAACCATCAGGCACCACCTGTGACGACGCCGAAGTGAAGTTCTGTCGACATAGCCGTGCTATGAGCGAATAGTCCTGGCAAGTATGCGAGCCAACCCGCTCTGTGCTCGCCATGAATGCCTCTCTACCTGCCGCGGCGTACAGGGTGTGTGACCCAAGCCCAAGTTGATTGTCGAGAGTGTCTCCGAATAGGGTAGTCCGCCCGGGCGAGGAGCAGTCTGCCGACCTTGCCTTGCATATTTTACGTGTTTCAGCGCAGGGCTCCCTTCCGCATGTCGGGTGTTTGCCATGTCCCCCATGTTGAGGCTGGCTGGATCTTGCAAGCTCAAGAGGTGGGAATAGGACATCGTTCTGGCGAGACGTCGCGACTTTCCACCGCATAGGAGCGCTGTAGCATAAATCCTGTATCCTGGCTGTCTGCCGTATGCTCAGTCAGTCTCTGTCCGGAAATGACGGTGCCACCACTGATGGTCACAGAAGAATCTCGGAAAATGCTTACTCGAAATTTGGCCTCCAAGCCATGTTCCAAGTAGGACTTCCAGGTCTCATGTTTTTCTCGAGATGTCTGACAGTTTGAAGACGACAGCCAGCGATGACTACAGCTCACGCCATTTCGGCAAATCAGCAAGAAATCCCAGCCAGGCATGGCTGTAGAATGCAGATCATCCCCCAGCCGGGCTACGCTGTCGTTGGAGACTCGGCCTACTTCCTACACACACACATGTCAGCGGCACGCCTTGCTAGCGTGGACACAAATGCTGCAGCCCCATCTCGTCAGAGTGTGCATCTAAAATAGTCATATGTCCAACATCGTTACATGGCTAGCAGTGGACATGGCTTGCATGTGCGAGGCACCAACCTTGATGTCGACTCGTCGTAGGACAAAACAGGCTGTGCAGTCTGCGCGAGCACTTTGAGCACTCTCATTGTCTTGAAAACCTGTTTACATCATTCAGAGAAAAACTCTAAAGCTATCTTGTGGCCCAAAACGACAGACCGAGTGGGCTGCCCGGTAGAAGCTCACACGCCTCTCATGAACCCCCTCTTCCTCAATGGCGGCTTCTCACCCTTTGCCTTGGGCAGATGCTTCTCCCCTTCGGTCGTCTTGACCACATACTGGTCCTTGTTCTTCTCCTCCATGCGCTTCTCCCGCTCCGTCTTCCAGCGCATGAAATAGCAGCACAGGGGGAACAACATAGTGTTGACGACACCCCACGCGAGCAGGATGCCAATGTTCTGGCCAATGTCAGACTTTAGATCAAACAGGATATGCCGGCTCGCATCGACGACCTGGCGCAGAGGCCACGCATAGCCCCACGAGTAGAACGGCGGGATGACCTCGAAGGCGTAGAACGACGTGGTGACGTTGGTGATGACCCAGAAGATCAGCCACAGCGCCGACCACGGCTGGCCCAGCACCATGGCCACGTTCTCGCTCGCCAGGCCCAGCGCGAGCATGCCGAGGAAGTTGACCATCCACCACACCGGGAACGAGCCGAGGCCGTACGCCGTCGGGTTGAAGGCGACCTCGGTCGACGACGCCGGCGGGTGCCAGAAGGGGATCTGCATGGCGAGTGAGACCAGGGAGTAGCCCAGGGACACGAAGAAGTAGGCGACTGTCGTTGCGACCCAGCGCCAGATGATGAGCTGCCAGAAGTGCAGAGGCGGGTGCCCCTGTGGCTGGATATATTTCTGCGGAGTGTAAGAAGTGAGTGGTCAGTATATATTATTTCTGTTCGTTCGGTCATTCTTTTCATCGCAGTCCTCCTCCTGTGTGGAGGACGTCGTCGCGCGGTGGATGCGTACCATATGAATCGGCAGGAAAAAAGAGAAGGAGAAGAACGACGTGATGATAAGATAGATGAGTCCGATGCTGACAGACGCGGTCGCCGCAGGCGGCTGGAACGGGCGCAGGTCAATTTGCAACGGCGTGATGCCCGGGTTGACGGCCGACGGGGCCCTGGCCATGACCTGCCGCGACAGGGCCTGGTTCGTCATGATCTGCTCAGACCACTGCTGGCCAAACTGCCGCATGAACTGGGTCGTGAGGATGTCGAGCTGGGGACGAAGATAGTTGTATGCGGCCGTGTCCTGCCTGGCGGTCTGGTAGACGTACTGCACCGATCCTGAAGGGCTGTACGACGAGTTGCCCTCGCGGACCGCGGCGCGCAGCAGGGCCGTCGCGTTGGCGTGGATGACGACCGCGGCCCAGCACTTCCAGTCGTACACGGCCTGCCGGACGGCGGTCGGGTTGTAGTCAAACTCGGCCGGGTTCACGACGGTGTAGCCGAGCGAGGGCGACGAGGGCGAATTGTACAGCTGCAGCGCCGTGTTGACCATTGTCTCGCCGACAAAGGGAGTGCCCGCATCAGCGTTGTACGGAGCGACCTGGCCGTCAAAGTCGACGACGTAGACGACAAAGTTCCGGAGCCGGCCCTCTGCACCGTACAGGACGCCCCAGTACAGTGACAAGATGGCCATGATGGCGACAATCAGGATCAGGACTAGTTTTTCCCCCGCGTCGCATGGTCAGTCATGAGCCCATCCCTTGTATCATCGTGCTCTCTTGGACACGAGGTAACAAGTGTTTGATGTTTACGTACTCGTCCGCGCCCACAAGAGCAGCACGTGCTTGCGCACTTTGCTCATCTTGTGGTGCCAGAACCCGACGCTCTCGTGCGGCTTCTCGTAATACTCGCCAGTGTCATCGTCATGATAGGCACCGTTCTGCCCTCGTTGTGAGGCCCGGAAGTCGCGCTCGTCTTCTTGGAAGCTGTAGGGCCTCTGCCAGATCGGGTGCTCTGACGACGAGCCGCCCGAGTTGTCGCGCCCGGCATCGTTGTACGACTTGCTGCTCCCATAGTTGCCACCGTTGCCGTTGCTGTCGCGAGCAGCGAGGACGAAAGCGGACGCATCTGGCGTTTGAGTGCCCGTCCCTGTGGTTCGTGGTGGAGCCATGCCTCTCTCTCTCTCTCTCAACCGCAACCCGTGAAAGACCCAAGAGAAATGACACGAGGTTCTGCTGCAGTAAACCAACTGCAAAAGTGTTGCATTCCAAAGTGTACACCCATAAAGTAGACCAACTTGCAGGCTCGTTCTATATTAACCAAGAAACCATGACGCGCTGTTCATGGCACTTCACACACACACACAACGGCTCTATCACATCTGCGCACAAGTTCGTGATGTCATCTCCACAGCCTAGACTGAGATACAGATACTAGCGTAAGGTCCCGGCCGGCTGGCTCGGGTAGGCCTAGCACAACATTGACCAGATCGCGCCTGCACCGCTGCCATCGGGACTGGCTGGCTCTTTTCATCAGACCTATGTGCATAAGTCCGACTGGCAGAGAGGGAAATGCACTGATAATACTTGACGAATCATGATTCATTCATCCATTCACAACGGCCCGTTTTGATTCTGTAGCACCTGCTGCCCCTGCGCAAAGGGGGCCAGCTCGGTTCCCTTTTTGCGCTGGCCTGTCCTTTTCGGAAGGGGGGTCTGTTCCCGCAAGACAGGATGATGCCCCTTTCCACCTGGGCACTCACTTAGTAGATAGCCGCACGGTTGCATGGCAAGTCAGGGCCTGGCGCTCGGATGGACCGAGACAGGACCAAAAACTCTAATCCCCATTGACAACCATGCATTGCACAGGCATGATTCGAGTTCTGTTCTGTGTGGGCGGCGTGTTCCGTGTGCACATATCCCTTCGCGCGGTCCCAGACCCTCGCAAAAGGTTGCATCTCAACGTAGCAGCGGCCACCAACGGCTTTTGGAGGCAAGGGAGAGAGAGGGAACCGCAACCCCCCCCCTCGCTTCCCCGGGGATGGCGGATGAGCAGGACACAAGCCTTTTGGGGGCCGAAGCCCGCTTGCTCCACCGCACTACACTTCACCACACCACACACCATATCACACCAGCCTGCCCACATGCAGGCCACCCTCGTCGTGGCCTATCTAGGTACCGCATCTGTAGAGGCTGATAAGAATAGTCATGATGATGGTCATGAGAAACCAGGGCACTGGGACAGGGACCTCATACCCTTCGACAAGTCCCTTGTTGATTTCCGTGCTTTTCTTGTCATCTCAAACCGTGCAGCTCATCGCTGGACGGCTTCCCGTCCTGCCCATCACCTCTTAAGGCAGACCACTAGGTTATCAGATGGTGTCGAATCTACTCTAAACAGTCATTAGTACATAAAGGCGCGGGTCAGATACATTGACAGTCACATTGCAAGTTTTAGGGGACGAATCAAGGTTAGGAGATAGTCTTCATCTCATTTGATTGTCCGCACCTCACATCCATCGGATGCGAGAATTAGATTGTAGAACTATATACATGATCCGATATGCCTGCCCGATGATCCTCGCATCCACACAATATTCCGCATTCAGCACCCAATCCCAACATGTATCAACAGGGCCCTGGAGTGACGGTGCCCTTTCCCAATCCGAAACGCCATGCATTGCTGAAGAAGCCCCACAAACCAAATGACTTGAACGAAGCGCCTATTCTGAACCAGTGACGGCGAGATCAGAGACCAAGAGTGAGCATATCTAACCGTGCCATGGATGCCTCGAGGCTCGCGGATAGCTTTTCGATCCTCCTCAGAGCAAAGTCCGCATCGGCTTCTTCTGTGGAGGCATTGACGAGTTCGTAGTGCTGATGCTCCTTGGCAGAGCGGACAGTGGGAAACGAGAGGCTCGAGACGAGCGCCGCCGAGACGTTCTCATCGACCTCGTCATCATAGATGTCGCCATCTAGGTTACCCAGAGGGCGCTCAGGTGTGACAACAGCAGCCGGTGCCTCTGGCTTAGCCAAAACGGTTGGGACCGGTGCCTCAATTTCTGGAGCCATGGTCTTCACTTCAGCGAAGAGCCCGTGATCCTTGGAAACGTGGGTGGGCTTCTCAGACAGGACAGCGATGTCGAGCTCGGGGACTGAAGGAGTCTCGAGGACTGTGAAGACCTGAGGCTGGTAGCTGTACGAGCCAGAGTTATCGGCAGTCAGCATGGAGAAGCCCATGGACGACTCGGGGATCATGGCCATGCCGATCTGATGAGGTTGGGCCTGCTGAGCGGAAGCAGCGATGTACGGGTTCACGTCCTTGGGAACCTGCTGTGTTTCGGGCTGACGTTGCTCTACCATAGCCGCCTGTTGTTGTGGCTGAGGCTGGGGAACAGCGGCAGGGTTGGTGCCGAGATGGTCCAAAAAGTTTGAGAAGGACGACGATGACAAGAGCATGCGGGTCAAGTCGGAAAGTCTGCGATTCTCTTCCATAAGAGCACGGTTCTGTGCGCGCAGCTCGCCGTTCTCGGTGACCTTTGTGGCAATTTCGCTCTCAAGCTGGGTGATGTATTCTATATAGATTGTTAGTGGAATGCCAAAAAGAGCCACATTATACTCCAGGTTATTGACTTACCCTTTCTCCGGGATCGGAATGCGCGTGCAGACACCTTGTTGCGGAGTTGGCGTCTCTCTTTGCTGCTGAGCTTCTTGCCCTCCTCGCTTGCGAGCAGCCTCTCGTCCTCGTCCATATCGTCCTCATCCTTCTTTGGTCTGGTCATGTGGATCGATGGCTCATCATCATCGCTAGCACCAGCCTTTGAGCGCATCGAGTTGAGCAGCTGAGTGATCTTCTGCTCGACAATGGGATCGGCGGGCATCGGGGCTTTGGAGCGCTGCTGCTTGGCAGGCGCGTTCTGCCTCTGCTGCTGTTGCTGTTGGATGATTTGCTGCTGCTGCCTCTGTTGGGCTTGGGCCTTGGCTAAAGCAGCTTGCTGGTGCATGCCCGGATACATTCGTCCCACACTGGACTGGGGAGCGGCCATGGTCTGCGAGGTACCAATGGCATTGGGGTTGATGGTGGAGTCTCCAAAGTAAAACGAGTTCTCAGAGGATTCAAAGTCCACCTCCATGTCAGCAGTGCCAGCTGCCTGGGAAGGGTTGGAGTTGAAGTCGAAAAGATCCTCCGCTGGGCTCATGTACTCGAGGGTGTAGCCGGTGATATCGGCGTTGCTCTGGTTCACAGCGATGGTGCTGGCGAGCGCACCGGGGACGAACGGTGTCTGCTGCTTGTACTGGTCGTACTGATGGCTCGGGCCAGACATGGGCTGGCTCGATGGAAGCGTTGTTGGTGGTGTCACAGACATGGAGGCTGAAGCGCCTGGGGCGAACTGGGACTTGCTGCTCGTGGACGGCGAAGGAGACTGGTAGGCAACTCCATCGTACTCTGAGAAGTCAAGGAGGTCGAGAGGGTCGACGATGCCGCCCTGGTTGGGTTGAGGCTGTGACATGTTGTCGGCAAGGCGAGTTGTTTGGAACGAGATCAAAATGCAAAGCAGTGCTGCCGCTCCCGTGCGTGTTTCCTGGCGATAGCGACTCTCTGGGGCTATTGATTGACGTTGGCAATGACGATGGAATTTCGAGTGAGAGAACAGGTCCTTGTGGAAAGAAGGTTGATGTTGGCAGTGATGGTAAGTGGATGTCGATGAACAGGAACTGTCCCAGGAACAGCCGGGGAAGAAGGGGGGACAGAGAGTAATGGCTCTGATGGCTGCCTGGCTCCCGGGGAGGGGGCTCAGCAAATGGACTGGAGTGATCTGAAATGCCAGATCCAGGACGAGCACGGGCCCAGGTACACCGCACGCACATTTGTGCCGCGCTGTACATGGCTCGCCCCAGCTGTGGTCACCGCAGCCCCCTGGGAAACCTTGGATAAGTCGGCTCGGGGCCTTGGGCGGTGCCCAGCGCTCACCCGCTGACTGAGCGCTGTCTGCCCCCTTTGGAGCCACTTCTAATGACACATCCACACCGGGGGTGTGATCTTGGGAGATCCGGACAGGCCAAGGCGGGCCCGACGTTCGGGACGCGTCAGCTCCTCCCCCCTCTGGGACAGGGGTCTTCCTATCATCATCCACACATCCCCTCGGCCCATGGAGACGCCCGTCCCCTGCATCGCCAGAGGGTCGACAGACGGCCACCGTCCGTCCCTGCCAGGCTGGAATGGGATTCATCCAACTCTTCAAGCAGCTAGCCCAGCAAGCCTCTCAGTGCCGCACTTCCGCGGATGTCCCGTCAATGCTGCAGGTTCACATTTGACAATTCGGTAGAGGCGCACGATCTCGAAGCTAGTAGCGCTGGCTCAGCACGGGCTGAGCGCAAGTTTTTGTTTCTCATTTGTGAAGATATCCATGAGGCGAGCTGGAGCTGGGGCCTTATGCTGATGCTTGGGTCTTTCAAGGGCGATTTGTTTTTGAGGTCCGCCCCAGCGGACGGGCCACGGCGTAAATCACACAATTCTAAGCCACGACCCACGGGCTGTGAGGGGGACGGTCGCCCTGAGTACGCGTCCTGCGGATGCTGGCGAGCTGGGAGTGCTGGAGCTAGAGCCGGGCACTATCCCCGAGCCGTGCGTCAAGTTGAGGCAGTGCTGCTGCTGGATGTGGGCTGGCATCCCAGGCAGCAGAATTGAACAATCCAAGCGCTGGTGGGCGTTAAGCCAGTGCAACATGCATGCCTGCAGACAGTCGCCGCAATCAAGAAGCCGAGCGTGCTTGGCTTGGGATCGCAACTGGGGCTTGTCGTCTGTTCAGTTGGATCTGGGACAAATGCCCAGCTATTCCCGGCGGCTGGGCAGGCCTGCCCAAATGGAACATGCCACCAACAGCCAATTCTAGCTCGCGGGAGCTTCACGTAGGGTAAACCTTGGGAGGGTCCAGGACTGGCCGCTATTGGTCGCTTTGCACTCACTCGGCCAAGAATTGCCGGCAGGGCAGGCAGGGCGTTTCAGTGGTGTTGTTGTTTCTGTTGTTATTGTCATCCTTCACGGGATGTAAGCCAGATGCGAGCCTCAAGCTGACAACACTGGCATTTGCAGTGACAAATTCCTGCCTGCTTGAGCCAACCCTTCTTTTTAGAATATGGCGTCGAGGCTGTGGACTGTCCTGGCAGGCTGGACAGAGGCTCTGCTGTTCATGGCAGCCCGAGGCACAACGCCCAATGCATATGGTTGATGAAGCGGCAAGGTATGCCATCGCAGAGTGGTAGTCGATCTGGCGGGGTGGGTAACAAGTCGAAGCCACACAACAATCAGCTCGACCCAGTCCTAGCAACGAGTGACGTGTTCGACGATCTAAACTTGTGGTACTCGCGATGCTTGTGTTGTTTACGTCCACACACCGAGCAAAAACCGACCAGCGGCCGTCGTAGCGTGGTGACAGTGCCAAGGGAATGCAACCAACTCGCTGGTAGCACTCGGCCTTTCTGGAAATCGCGAAGAGGGACCCCGAGAGCCGGGGTTCAAGGCTTGGCTACGCCTCTTCCAAGGCTTGGCCCTCAGCTGGGTCAGGATGGCTGTGCCCTCAATTCCGAGACAGGCGCGATGGCCAATCAAACATCCGGGTGGCTGACTTTTGCAAGGTAGGGCAGTCGCTCGCATTCCTTACACGGCACACGGCTCATTAGGGATAACTGGCCTCGACTCAGTACTCCTCCACCTGTGTCGACGCTTTATTGGAGGTCACATCTGCCAATGTCTGGCCGCCTCAAGGACAATCCATTTCATCAGCGGCGCTGCCTGCTACAGCACAGAGATTGCCGGTAATGCCGGACACGGGTTGATTGAAGCAATGTTCTCGGGCTATTGGTGATTCGATGGAGGGCCCTGTTCGGTTGCCGCTGATCCCTTCCAGACGCTGAGGATCACTTTGTTACGGCCCACTCAAGGTGACCAGCGATGGGCGGTTGATTTTCAGGGGCTGGCTGCGCTTCTGGTGCTGGCCGGCACCAGACCGCGTCGTGTTGTTTCCGTCGCAACGTGAAACAACGATCAGTCGTCTCCAAAAGTGTCGGACGACAACAGCCCAAATCGTCACACGTTTCAGGACGGATCCCCGTGATGTCGTCGTCTGGTGAGCGTGCGCGCTAACAACGATCTGGCCAGTGTCGGGCGGCCATGGTAATTAGTCGGCAGCTTTGCCACGACTGGCGTGCTGCTCAGAGAGGCCGTGCCGTGCAGGCATCGCGGCTGCAACTTCCAAATAGGACGCCTGCGTGATGAGTAACATCGCAGGGCGGGCGGGCTCCCTCCCACCAAGTCCCCACAGCGTTGAGATTTGGGGTTCCTTGGACGTGGCAACAAACGATCCCACACCTTCAGGGGTGGTGACTCAGCACGATTGGTTGCTGGCCATGCCCACTCGAGCGGCCCAACTGCCGGCATCGCCAAGCCTGCATAGCCTCGGTGGGCTCGCAGTGAGCACGGGCAGCCGTGACCTGTTGTTGTGCAGTTGTGACCGGTGGCAGGCATCATGTCGAGCTTGCACAAATCGAGAGTTCAGGATCGTCAGGTGCAATTGCCAAAGAGAGCACCGAGGGAATGCTTCTGCCGCGATGAAAGCTGGCCCTGGCCGAGGAACCAAGTTCGTGTTCAGAGAGCCAAGCGGGGCCAGAAAACCGTAAAATGCCATGCGGGCTCCGCTAGAGCATTCTTGTTGCGCTGCTCCAGTCGTCGACAGCACGCTCGGCACAGGACGGACCACACCCCAGAAATGATGTCATAATCCTCTCGTTCCTGCTCGCCCACCACACCAAGGACACCTAGCCTTCTTACATCTCGGGACCGATCACGCAGCGTGAAGTGCGCTGCTTTCTCTCGGGCATAAACATGCTATTTTTATCCCGTGCGCAAGGGTCTCTGAATGTCAGGGCCTCCCGGCCGATTCAATTGTCCAATTGATTCCCACCGTGCAAAGTCGCATCTAAGTCTTCCGACTCAGCCGGGTGCGAACTTAGTCACCTCCACAGGGGCGCCACGTTGTCGCTGGCGTCGCCGGGGCTGTTGTGACTGGTCGACATACCGGGCGCGAGTACGCCAGTACGCGCCATTTTGTGGGCGGGTAGCATTCGTTGCGCATGCAAGTCGTATACGATGCCTTCTCTTCTGACATTGACTGGTCATGACGACAATGTTGGCGAGCATGTAACCATGTGCTCCGACTTCGGATGTTTCGTGGCGTTCTTCGACTTTCCCGGGTTTACAGTGCCGGATCGTCCACGACCGCTTTTCTGTTTCCACGACACGGGCCTGCTCTAGTTTCTGTCGTGCTCCGAAACAACGACGATGGACGGCCAGCAGAAATGGCATGCGTAGCAATGGTGTGGGTAGCTCAAACATAGCCAGGTCCATTCATCGGATTGGGGATTGGCTCGTGGCGCTTTCCGGATTGTCTTGCTGACTCTAGGTCAGCATCCCTCTGACATGTCAGCACTGTCGACGAAGTACAGCCTCATGAAAACAATTATCACGCCCCTTTGCATTGAAGTGGCTGTTTCAAGGGACATAGAAGATACTAAAGCCCAGGTTGAGTTACAAAGGAATAGTTGGAGTGGGCGCTTCCTGCATAGACTAGATCAAGTTCCGCATCGGATTGTGGTTCTAGGTTCCGCCTCGAGCACCGTCCACAACTTGTCAGTGCGCCATCATACATATTCCCAGTAAGGTTGGAAATATCATAGTAGGCTAAGGTCGAGAAACCGACAACTCGCTTTACCCCTGAAGTGTTGACGTGAACACCACCTCGTAGTGATGTAGCAATGTCGAAACAGCCAGGCACCGCGCTCGGCGCGGCTCTTCCTGCCAAGACGGCTCTTGACACGATAGTAACTTTTCGAGAAGCTAATGCATACGCTCAGAACCGGGCTGAAAGCGAGAGTGACTTCAATCTTTCTAAAATATGTTGAAACGTGACGAAAGGACTTTTTGCATAGAGTTTGGGGGCCCCGAGAAGACCCGCTAGTCCTATCGAAGTAGAAAATCACCAAGGAATAGAATTAGAGAAAGAGTGCAAGTAACCACTTCCCTGCATGACCTAGTACAGTCGCTAGGCTTGCTCTATCTCATCTCACCACGTAGATAAATGCGTTCGAAATGTTTGACCACGAAGATCAGTCCGGGGAATTATTCTCAAAACCCCGCCTCCTCTCTCTGCCTGTAAGTCGGCGCCTTGATTACTAGGCATACTGATTGCTTTTTTTTGTCTGTCTTACAGTTCTACTATTGTGTGTCCTTTAATGAAGTCTTGAAACATCTGCTCCTGTCTGCTCCTGTTTGCGAATCTACCCCATGTCTAGTACCTAACTGAGTCCTACTGGCGAGTGCTGTCCGATACTATCTAATGCTATCTGGCGCCTCTGCTAGTTCTTGTAGATAGTCTCCTACTCGAATTGTAGCTAGGTTGGCATGACCCGAAAACTCCATACCATAACGGCAGCCAACCCAAGGTCCTCCCATAGCAAATGTTCCAAGTTCTTCTATATCGTATTGATATGCTTCATTATCAACGTTGCCCAGTAACGCGGTTACTGGCACGAAAAATTCCTGGATGTGGTATGAGGGTCTTCCAAATCGGCTTCAAGTAACGAGAGGGAACACTAGCCAGCCATGTCGAAAGACGACGAGACCGAACCTCCTCGGAATGAAGACGGAACAAGAGGCACTACCGCACAGACACATGGCGGGTGGGGATGGCAGCCTTGTGAGGATGTTGGGCTACGAGAATGTTACATGCGCTCGACAGACCCAAGAACTCCGCCAGATGTCCCTGGGTCTGCCTGCCCCCGCGATGCCAGTCCATTTACCTCTGATTTCGGTTCCAACAGAATCCCTGTACCTGGTCCTGATTGTGAGGATTTGTACCGTACCACAGAGGCCGGCTTGATTTTCACGGGGTTTAGCTAAGCCCGCGACTATGCGTCCCATGATAAACCATGTCTGACCACAAGGTCATTGTTCGTAAGCGTTACGTTGCATTGAAATGGACAACAATGTGTTTAGTTTTGACAATGCTGTTTTTGTTTTTTAATCCCTTGCTGTCTATGTCTATATCATGCACATTTCTATCTATCTTCCTGCACCATATCATCCGAAGGAAACAGACAACACTCCAGAACAATGCTTCGCTGAAAAAAAAAAACAACCCTCTACCTCCATCTAGATTCGGCGCCTCGCCCACCTCGGGAGGGACACAAACATACAAGAGAGAGGAGATCTACTGAGGGGGGATGAGGACGGCACGGAAGTGGACCTTGCCGTCGTTGAGCTTCTTGATGGCGTCGTTGACGCCCTCCTCGGTCATGGGGAACGTCTCGATGACGGGCTTGACGCCGTGGACGGCGGCGAAGCTCAGCATCTCGCGGTGCATGACGCGGGTGGCGACGAGAGAGCCGACGACGTTGAGGCCCTGGGCGAGCAGGGGCATGTAGGGGATCTCGAAGTTGCCGGCCGAGACGGACAGAGGGTAGACGTTGGCGCGCATGGCGAGCAGGGGTAGCAGCACGTCCCACTTGGGCTGGGCCGAGGTGGTGACGAGCAGGCGCTTGATGGGCCACCAGTCGGCAGACTTGGCGGCCTGCTCGGCCTCCTTCATCGTGATGAACCTGTGCGCGCCCAGCCGCAGGGCCTCCTCCTTCTTGCTGTCCGAGCCAGAGATGACGACGACGCGGCAGCCCATCTTGGCGGCGAACTGGATGGCCAGGTGGCCGAGGCCGCCGACGCCCATGATGCCAACGACCTCGTTGGGCCGGACATCGTAGAGCGGTGTGTAGACCGTCGCGCCAGCGCACTGGAGAGGCGCGGCATCCTCGTCAGAAAGACCGTCGGGGATGCGGTGGAGGAACGACTCGCTCCATACAGCCTGGTACGAGAAACTGCCCTGGTCGCGGTTGGCATAGGCGTACAGGACGCGGCCGTTGCAGAAGGTCTCCTCGCCGGTAAGGCAAGAGGCGCAGTGCTGGCAAGAGCCAGTCTGGTATCCCCATCCCACCCGGTCGCCAACCTTGAGTGTCTTGCAGGCCGGGCCAACCTTCTCAATAACACCAACACCCTCGTGGCCAAGAACCATGTCCTCGCCAGTCTGGAAATTCCAGCTTGGTTAGTACTTTATCATGCTTCTGGTGACAAGTATAAGGGACTCACGTAATGAAGATCTGGAAATTGGTTAGCTATGGCGATCTTATATGAAAAGTGACGTTGTTATCCAATGGTCGGACTTACCAGTGCCGCAGACACCGGAGGCGGTGACCTTGATCAGAACGTGATCTCCAGTCAGCTCGTCGGGCTTGGTGGTGGTGCCCTTGACGACAACGCCATCCTTGCTGCCCTTGAAGACGGTGAACGAAGGCATTTTAGTTGCTTGAGTGCGTATTTGTGTGACTGATATCCAAGGTGAAGAAGCGTTGTTCTAACAAAGAGGCGCAAGAGGAATAGGTGTAGTGAATTGTATAGGTCGAGATGATATCCAATGTTCCGCTTCTGGTCTCTTCAGGAGGCGTGAAGCTTGTTATATACCTTCGCCGCCAAACAATGGGTCCGCAACGCATGAGCGTCGCTGCAAGGACAGGCCACTCATCAGGCCTCGAGGAAACATTATTCCTGATTGCTAATGCCACAATATCGGCTCTAAGATCGTGATAGAACCCCGGGAGGCCGAAGGGGAAAAAAACTCGCGGTCCCACCTGCGCATCGGGGCCGCATATTACATCACTACTGCCATCCACTTTTTAGAGACGCTCATGAGCCTTTGCGGGCCATGGTTGCCACATCGGGCATAAGGTGCCTTGCGAAAGGCGAAGCCACGTGTATTCGTGAAACATGTCCCTGGGCATCCCTGTTGAATCGTGATGAGCACGAAAGACCTGCTTGTGGCGAGGATTTTCTCCTCGTAAGTGAAGTAGAGTTCGCAAATTGCTCCTGACTAACACACGACTCTGATTATGACCTGAGATGGCTCTTAGGGGGCCAAAACACACCGTGGAAGCGGTGTGTCCAAGCCAGCATCCGCGATATCTCCGACGACGCCTCCGTGCAAGCGCATTGTTCGTTCTGGTGACAGTGAGAAGAGCCTCAAACAGACGTGTGCATGATAGCCGTGGGGCGGGACCAGGACCGCTAGTGCCATCGCAGGAAAACTTGTTGGTCAAGCCAAGGAAAGCGGCCTACTTTTCCGCACCGTTCCGCAATGCAAGGCCGTTAATGGATCTTGCTTTGACAGCAAGACCCCGTCAAACCCCTTCACCAACCCGCCCCTTGCTGGGACCATCCGTCGGCCACGTGGAATTCGCAGCATGGTGCATGAACGACCAGGGCCAGTTCGCTACGATCCGGAAGAGCGAGCGCGATAAGAACCTGACTGCAGACGATCATTGAACCACTAGCAACATATGACTAAACAGACACTCAAAATTTTCGTCCATACAGCAAGTGGGGACGGATTCGGCATGTCTACGGTGCCTGGACACGACATTGCTGGCTTCGAGGCATATTCCATGATTGTTCTGGAAGGCTAGGCGGAATATGGTGATGTAAGCACTGGAGCATTGTTGCCCATGTCTAACTCACGGCCCAGGTGGCGGCCCACAGATTGGTGGTGATCGTCCTGTCGGCATCTAATGACCTTGCTGCGCGTGAAGCCCGGACAAATTGAATCTGATCTCATTTCCAACGTTGGTGGCCAAACATCGCTGGGTCGTAATGAGCGCTTGCAGTCACAGGATTCTGTGGCTGGGGAAGCATGGTATGGTGGTTGGTCCATGGCCGCGAGGGCGGAGTGTTAATGTGCTTGTTGAAACACTGTTCACGTGGTCGTGTGTGAGGCACATGTCGAGGTCGCGGGTGGCCGGGGTATGTTCTAGCGGCAAGTGTTGTCGGCAGTTATAGCGGATGCCAAGCTTTTCCCATCGTCTCCGTGCCACACAGAGACTCCATTTAGTGCAGATGGTCCCCAGGGGTTTTGGTGATGGTTTCATTGTCCAGTCTTGGCCTCGATATGCGTTCCGTTCTTCGGTACCTTCCCGTCACAATCTGTTATCACTGTCGAGATGACGTCCGGTAGGCGGCTATTGGCGCCAGAGCATGTCCTGCACAGCTCACAGTGAATCTGTTTGCGAAGGGTATGGGCCAGCTAGCGAAAGTGGATGCTTGACTTTGCTGCTGCGGAGATGGACCCCCAGTGGTTGCCGTTTCGTGCAACTCAACCCCACGTCGAGACGTCGCTATCTTCACTCGAGGCTGGCAATGTTTCAGTTGAGGAAGGTGATGTACGTGGATGAAACAGAAACACGATGCGACGGTGCATGCTGCTACTTCCGGGCTGCCCAGCGACAGCCCTCGTGCCGCCCGGGTGGGGGGTCATTGTGCTTAGAGCTAATGGGCAGCGGGCGGCCGGCGCTACGGCCTCGTAGTAATCACGGGCATTCCTGGGGAGCGGCAGTGTCTGTCTGGCCAGTGATGTGGAGGTGGAGCCGGAGGGAGGCTCGGGACATCGTGGATCTAGACCACGCCGTCTGGAGGATGAGGCCGGGAGCGACCAGCCATCGAGAGGAGACAGCCGGGCTCAAGCTTGGCTCTTCGCGGTCGTCGTGGCGTGTGCCGTCGGAGGAGGATGGCGATGCGTCGCGTAAAGCAGCAGAAGCTCGAGACATGTGTGTCTGGGAAGGGCTGCCTGCTCCAGTCCAGTAACAGGCGTGTTTTACAAAGGAGCATGCCATGTGGTGCGACAGACCACGGGCTGGTGCGGTCACCTGCAGCGGTGGAAACCTTACTACTCACAGCCCGGACCCCGCTGGCGTTGCACACGATGCCAGCTCGCAATGCGCATGCTCAATCACCTCACCATGGGCTTAAATCCCCCAGCCCACCCTCCGCGGCCAGCCCTCGCGGCCTTTATCTCCTGCACGCTCCCGCGGCTCGTGAACCTCGCTCGTAGCATCACCGCGTCTCACAGCCTTCATCACTTACGATTCGGCCCGCCCAGCCTCTCAGCACCCTCAGCACAATGACCGCTCTCGGGCATTACGCACCAGGGTCCGCCCTCTCCACGTCCCGTAGCCCCCTGCTCGTCCTCGGGCCAATTCTGCTGCCCCAGATCGCCCGATGCTGGGCTGTCTACGCTGGCGCCTTCTTCCTCGTCGCCTTTGTCCAGGGAAACGGCCGCAAACTCGCCTCCCTCCGGACCTTGTTTCGTCCCCAGCTCCTCTACACGGTCCCAGCTCTTGCTGCCGTGGGACTCGCCGCCGTCTTGCCAAAGATGGGATGAACATGCAACCTTCCAGCAATATTGACGCAATTCGCCGCGCCGTCTCCTGGCGCCAAGCAGCAAATACCCGCGATTGAGCATGCTCGTGTCACCACAATGCGCCAGTGGAAATGTTATATCAGGCCACGTCGTGCTCGCACTGAACGTATCGGAGCCGGATCGTTTTTGGAGCCACTTCCAGCGCGTCAATCCAGGCTGAAAACCGACGCGTTGTTGCCTCCACTCGCGCCAGCAATATCTAGCTGAGTCCGAATGAGCTGTACGGAAACAAGACTTGGTGGCAAGTAGTTCAGTGCGCGAATTTTCCCCAGCTAGATTCTCTGCCTTTTTGTCAGAGGCGATGGCCTGACCATCAAGCAAAGCACAAGCCTGCCGAGCCACCAACGGTGGAGGACTTGGTTTTAGTCTCAGCTGGTTATACGGGCATCACGACAAGGTGGTGATCCCCGCGAGGCCGCACTGCGGCCACATCAAACCAGTTCAACTTGCATCTCGCCTGTCGAGAATGAGGCTCCTCATCCAGCCCAGCACACGTCGCTGTGGTTCTAGGCAGAAGGCTTGGGAGTGTGAGCTACTTGCCCATCATTCCTCCCAACGGCAAAAGCAGCTGAGCGGGGTCAGCACTCGTTGAACAAAGGCAATTCTGGAATCGAGACCACAGGCAGTGCCGTTTCTGGGGCCAAGGGACAGTTACAGCTCGTTGAGGCCAGTGGAGGGTACACATTTCCACAATCCGATGTGCATACCCTGTGCAGAATTGTCAGTTTCTGCACGCTCTAAACCAAAAACAGCACACCCTGGTGTTTGGACAGTGACGCTCGACAACTGCTCTCCATACTGGTCTCGTTGTGGCGCAAGGACTGTCTGTATTTGGTTATGGTTTACAAAAGGGCATCTGTTTTACGCGGACGTTTACGAAGTACGAGCAATGAATAATGATTTACCATGCGTGCCATGTTACTCACTTGTGTTGATGGGATTCCTCATATTGCGAATACATGCTCAGCATTCCCAAGCTTCGACTAGCTAGACCTGCAGCTAACTGTTTCCCACTGCGCTACAGCATGCACGGGTATCTTATTCCCCAAGACATCAACTCTCGGGGCGGTTTGACTATAGCATAACACTGCTCAATACACCATGGCTATAATGTATCTCACCTCGTATCATGTCCAGCTCGGCACCATGCTAGATGGAGTTCGCGGCTACGATCGATATCGCGGCAATCATACATGCACAGACAGACAAGTGTAGAGAAACGGGAAATAGGCACCTGACATCCCATCTATACCGTTGTTCATGTTGGACTTGCAACGCTCTCTCTCTTTATTGATTTATCCAGGGGCGGTTCTCTGATTCCCCATTTCCAGGCCAAACAGCAAGCCCAGGCAGGCTGCAAGAAATCACACCAATAATATACACTGAATCTCAGAGAGAAGGGGTGTCGAGACTGATCCGCGCCACCCCGCTCTCGAATTTGTTGGCAGTGGTCCCCGAACTCTCTACTTGAGCTGCTTAGCCAGAGCGACGACCTGGTCAAGCAGGGCCTTGCTCTGGCCCGCGGCGTTCTTGGTGACCTTGTCGCGGAGGTGGTCGACCTGGAGGCCGGGCTCGGTGGGCGGGTTGCCCTGGGCGGTCTTGATGCGGGAGACCTGGAACTCGAGGAAGAACTTGGGCACCTTGATGGCGAGGTTGCCGCCGACGCTGCGGATGCCGACCTCGGTGGCCAGGTAGACGTTGAGGCTGTCCTCGAAGCGCTGGAGGTCGGTGCTGGCCAGGGGCGTCGCGGTGGCGAACTTTTGCAGCGCAAAGGCCAGGGTCGACTGGCCCCGGGCCTGGCTGAAGTCAATGTCGGAGAAGGAGACGTCGCCCGAGGTCACGTCGGGGACGCCCGAGAGGGTCTTGACGCCGTTGGCCGCGCAGGTGACGACGGGGGCGACCGCCGCGGCCGCATCGGCGACCTCCTTGGGCAGGACCTGGTTGCCGACCACGAAGCAGGCCTTGGCCTGGCGGTCGTCGAGCTCGAACATGGACGAGACGGTCACTGGGCTGGCCAGGGCCGAGCTGGCAAAGAGGACGGCGGAGATGGCGGCGAAGGAACGCATCTTGGGCTTGGTGATGTTTTTACACTCGAAGGAGAGAAACTACTGGCTGGGGCGGTGAGGCAGAGATTGTGTGTCTGTGTGTGTCTGTGAAGTTGGTTGTGTAAATTGCCGCCGGGGCGCGTGTCGAAGTGTTCGCCTTGGGGTGGTTTTTGTTTTGAACGATGGAATTGAGACGTCGACAAGAAGAAGCGAAGGAGCCCTAGCCAGAGGGTTGTAAAGATCGTCGAGCAGTTTCTGAAGAGGCTGAATTAGTGACAGAAACGGATGAAGAGAAGAGAAGAGAAAATGTTTCTAGCGACGATCACACGGGGCACCACGGGCATTTAAAGGAGAGGGCGACGCACTTGGATTACATTACAAGACAGGCATGGGCATAATAATGGACAACGACTCACGATCCTGGGCGGCGTTGCAAAGCTGGCTGGAGTTGCAGTGAGGCTCCACCGTCAAGGGGCCGGGCGCCCTTTAGAGATCGTCTCATGTTGTTGTGGTGTTTGAGGCTGGTTTCGAGTCGCCCGTGACTGGATGGTGCAGTGCTCGGAACAGGCAAAGCGAGCGGTCAGCCCCATCTGCAGCGCATCGTCGACAGGGGTCCCATTGCCCATAACGGCTTGGAGAGCAGGCCCCCTTTGAGCCTCATCGCGGAGGACAGCCTTTGGAGACGAGGAGAAGTGGGAGGGTTGCCTTGTGCTGTGCCGACCATGTACCCCAGACAGCCTGCGATGCACCTGCTGCACTCCGCACTCTAGCGCTGGATGGAGGCAGTGGTGGTGCCGCAGTAGCCTGAAGGAGACGAACGCGGCCAAGGCGGCTAATGTGCTTGTCCTTGTGATGGTTTTGTGTCACGTCCATGATGGACCTGGAGCTTAGCAGACCCTCCTATAGCCGGGCCACCGCACCCGGCAGATCGGCAGCCTTGGGACGAAGCATTCTCGGAACGGCCACGGCGGGAGGAAGACGCCAGTCACAAACAAGCCGATCCGAATCGAGGCGGCGCCGACGTCTCGCTGGCTTTGGGTTGCACCTTCCATGTGATGGTTCTCCTCACCGAGAGCCCCTACACTGGGACTAATTTGGTCAACGCAGCATCTCGAGCTACAGCACAGAGTGAAAAGGCCTCAGGTATTCCCCCGGAGTGATGCCCGAGCGACGGGCGCACCTTCCATCAGCAATGATTCACTTCACTTGGTCTCTCAAACACTCATCTCCTCTGGCTGCCCGCGGCGTCCCGCCGGTCGGATCGACCATGGTCAGCAAATCCACCAACCGTCTGTCTGCCCGTCCCACTGGACTTGTTGCAGCCTGCTCGAAGGTCAGGTGCACCACGTCCCCCACGGGGTATTTTCCGTGCGGGGTCTATCACGAGCGAGTGACTGTCGTCAACCTCCGGCCTGGCCGACGGACACACCCACGGATGAATGATCTGTGACAAATGGCAGCGCTGGGGTGCCTGCGTTAGTGGCCGGTCGCCAACACCTGTAGAGTTAGTTTGTGCCCATGACTGCGTTCTTGAAGTACATGGCTGTCAACAATATTAGGTAACCCTCTGGCGCATCCTTCCATCCACACGACCCCGTCCAGTCCCCGTCCAGTCCCCGTACACACCCCATTTGTACCCCAACCCGGCGGGCCGGTTCTCCGAAGGTCGACTCATCCGCACAGCTGAGGCGCTGGCCACTTGCAGCTCGGAAGTCGCCTGCATCCTGCGCGGCGCCTGGGCTGGCAGCCAGGCTGCCCGTACGCATCTGACCCTGAATGGCTTACGCCTGGTGTGCATGTCGGCGTGCAGGTGATTTGCATCTCGTCAGGCGGGGCGCCGGACAGGACACACCCAAGGTTGATGCTCCCAAGGGTTGGTCCCGAGTTGTGGTCTTCCTCCTTCCTCTTCTCGATGCCCTCTCAACCACCGCCTGCAGTCGACGACTCCCTTTGACCTCCCTCGCGACCCTGACTTCTGCAGGTCTCGCCAAGCCGTGGATCACCACCCTGCCTCGACGGATGGCGGCACAGCACGCGAGGCTGGCCGTCCCTTCCTTCCCCGCCATCTCGAGCAGTCCGTCCCCATCGAGCTCTAGCTAGACATTTCCGGCCGGCGCAGCGGCGACTCCCGCAGGCCCCGACTTTCTAGCATGACATGACATGACTGCCAGGCACCACCTACGCCATCTTGCAAACTCCTCCAGGCCGTCATCGCCGCCCTCGCTTCTGCACTTGCCCGCCCTCTCCTCCGCCCGCACTGCTCGCCTGTGCATGTCTTGCTCCAGAGCGTCCCGGCCGCCCCGCCCGCGCCCGCGCCCATCCCGTCTCTGCCGCCTCGCTATGAGCCCCTGTGGCCCGCGGCCATGTTCCATCGCTTCGACAGCCGCCTGCCCAAGGACGCCCCTCCGCCGGCGCCCGCGAGGCTCAACAAGTCGTGCAGGTATGCCGCTCTAGAATCTTCCCGTCCATCCTGTCTGCCAACAGTAGCTGGGCCCGGCCCGGTGGGGACCTGCGGTCGCTCCGCTTGTGAGAACCAGCATGAGCGTTGTATTGCTCATCGTCCCCGTTCTCGTATACGGATATACCGGTTCCCGCAATGGGGACAAGCGACAGCTGTCGAAGGCAGCCAAAAAATGTCTCATAACCGCGACTGACTCGGCAAACTTGTAGCGAATGCTCGCGACGACGCGTAAAGTGTGACGGCAAGCAGCCATGCGGGTGAGTTTCTGGGCTGCCTCTGAAAGGTGTCGAGGACGTAAGCTGACCAGGGCGCTCCAACCTCATCCAGCTCGTGCACATACTACAAGGTCACCAATAATTGCAACTATCGCGTGCGGACTAAACGGCATGCCGTGAGTCGGAGGTACGTTTTTCCAACCGATCCCGGTCGCTGCCAGCGTCCCGTCAGCGTCAGCGTTGCGAAGTGCCACTGGCGAAAATTGAACCTTGGCTGATTGCATTCTCTGGGCAGTACTTTGGAGGAGGTGACTGAGCGACTCAAATCACGCGAGGCGATCCTGGAGCGGCTGTTCCCAGATCTTGATCTCGACACACTCACTGACACGAGCCGGGAGGAGTTGTTGGCGGCGCTTTCAGGAGCGGGCTTGCCGGCCCAGCGCAAACAAACCCCGACAGACGACGGCAATGCCAGCGCGAGTGAGTCGCGAGCAGACCTCGACGAGCTCACAGAGGCTGCTGACGATGGCGACCACGGGTTCGACGAAGCCACGGGCCAGATGGCCTCCTTACGTCTCGGCAACGACAACAACGCGCTCGATTTGGCGATAGTCCAGAGGCCTCGGTCATACATGGGCGTCACCTCAATCAGTGCAATCTTGCGTGCCATTTTCCGCTTGTGCCCGTGGACCCAGCAATACGTTTCGGATCGGGTTAGAAGTTTGTACGGTTCAACGAGCGACTTCCGCCCCCAAATGATACCCGTTCCTTTGGGGTCTAGCCCACACCCCAGCGAGGACATCAATCAACAGCAAGTCTGTTTGCACTTCTATTTCACTCATATACACCCGGTGACTCCCATGCTGGATGAGGCAGATTTCCGGCACTGTTATCAAACGGGGATGCGGCAAGATCCTGCATGGCTTGGCCTGCTCAACATGGTGCTAACACTGGGCTCCATTGCGGCTGGCAATGATGTGCTGCATGACCATTACTATGAGCTGGCAAAGGCAACGCTCAATCTTGAGATTCTGGGAACCGGAAACCTCGAATGTGTTCAAGCTCTGAGTCTGCTGGGCGGCTATTACCTGCACTACCGGAACTCCCCCAACACCGCGTATGCGCTTCTTGGAGCAGCGCACCGACTCGCCATAGGCTTGGGTCTCCACAGGGAGCCTCGGAAATCGACGCAAAGCCAAGGCCTCTCACCGTCGGCGACATCTTCAGGCACGACCACATCGCGTATGGACAGTGGGAGAAGAACGTGGTGGTCATTACTGTGTCTTGACACATGGGCAACAATGACGCTGGGTCGGCCGGTCCGTGGTCGGTGGGACGAAGAGACTATGGACGTCAAGCTACCAGAGCCCGCCACGTCCGATGATTATGACGGCATGTCGCTACGTGCCAGTTCTGAATTCTGCCTGATTGCGAATCGCTTGCAACATAGGTTTGCACAGAATACTCGCATCACTCGCGAGGAAGCAACCGCCTTCGACCAAGAAGTCCAGAAGTGGCACTCTGAGCTGCCAGTCGCGCTGACCTCTTTCGAAGAGACCCCTCAAAGACTGACACTAGCCAGAGAGTACATGCGAAACCGGTACTACAACCTTCGCCTTGTACCACTACGTTCAATGCTCCTATACCTGGTCCAAGACCAGGCAATGGGAAAACCCATGCGCCCAGCCGACTACGAGCTGATCAAGGAGTGCCGCATAGTGGCGGCGGAGGCCATCAACGCGATTTCGCTGTACTGGACACGTAGTCTTGTGCATTGCTGGAACACGTCATGGTATCTGTTCCAAGCTGGCCTGGTGCCGCTTCTGTCCATTGCCGTCGAAAACCTGGCCCCTGGTAATGACGCAGAGTCCAGCGCATTGGGGAGGAGCAGCTTGGATACAGCTGTAAGCACGTTTGCTGAGATGCGCCAATGGATCAGGCCGATAGACAAGACGCCCGAGATCATCACCGCCCTGACAGAGGCTCTGAGTACGCCGCTCGACGGGGGTCAACAGCAAGTGGCGGCCTACCCGATCGAGGGAGAGTCGGGCTATTTCCGTTGGTATGAAGAGCAGCTGTCTCTGAGCAATGACCTTGATTGGAACTTTTCTTTGATAGACTCCGATCATTACTTGCAAGAGTCGGGGGCACCGGAGCGGCCCAAAGGACCCATCCTTCCCTAAAGGAGGGTTCGTTTGGCGTTGGTGACGGCGATCGTGGGGTCGACTGGGCGGAAGCTGAAAACAGATATCGTGGAACCTTATTTTGTATCTACCTCGTTCATGGCATACCTTTTCGCATTTACAAGGCTCTTGGCCCTCAAAAGCATCTATGTTTGCTTGGCCGCACACTTTGTATTTTGGTCAATACCCGGTCGTGTAGGAGAGACCCGCGCTTGCAGCTTATCCACAACTTTCCCGGGAATGCTATCCAGCCGAATGGATCAGGACCTCTGAAGTCGCGTGGTGGTGGTGGTGGTGATGAAGTTTGCTCTCTGGCCCAGCTGCTAACCATGGCCAGTGACGAAGGCGGGCCTCGCAGGAACAGAGGAGGCCGGCTGGTCTTGAGAGCTGCCCAGCATGGATACTTAGGTAATTACCATATGGCGAGCAGCTGCGCGTGGGCGTAGTCTGTCTCGCAACCGATGAGCTTGTCTGCGCTGCCCCAAGCACCCCAGCCCTGACGAAGCACGGCATACTATAATGCGCGCTGCTAAATGCTCGGCACGGGTGCTCTTGCCACTAGCATGAACGGGGCTCTTGTGTATATATAATATATATATATACTCATGTTCACGGCTGATTAATCACGTCCAGCCGACTGCTCAAGCGGCGGAAGATGGACACCCTTCGAACATGTATATTTAAGTTGATCGACCTGGATCTCGGATAGAGAGACGAGCGTTAGGCTCGGACGAGCATGTCCGCCACTTTCTGATCAGGCGACAAGCAAAACAACATGCCACAATCAACGGAAAGTCGAAACCGCCTTGGATATTTACGGAGATTTGCCATTCACTCACTACTGCCAATCCCACTGATGCCGCGCAGCCTATGTCAAGTCAGCATTCCGTCCTATCTAATTACAATAAGCATACACGTAGAACTTCAGACTCCAGGCTTGATGTTCTCAGAGACTAGGCTTGATGCTCCGACTCAGCATGCCCAGGTCCGGTCTAACGTTCTGCTGTAAAAGAGACTGTAGCGGTGCCGTGTTGACCTTGAGTGCACGACGCACCAACCCACTTGTTAGCATAAGTGTCATCTTTCAAAACTGCACATGCTCACACTGCCGTGGAGGAGCCGCAAAAGTGGCATCGGAGCGGCCAGACTATTGTCTACCCCGAGAGCAAAAATGGATAAAGACCGCCCGGGTGAGCTGGGAAGAAAGGCTGCATAGACTTACGTGGTGGGGCCTGAGCTCGTCCGGCGAGGTGACGCCGAGGAGTTTCATTGCCGTTGTGGTTTCTTCTGCGAGGACTGTTTGGTTGGGAGAGAACAGAGGGAAGTCGGTTAGCACTTCGATGGAGCAATCCTGGAACAGATCATGTGCCTGGCTACCTGCCCACACTTATACATATCGATGGGTCGCGAGTACGTTGGTCCGATTGTACAACTTTGGACCCGAGGTCATACAGTTAAAGTGAAACATATGACGACGACGAAGAGGAGGATAAGAGATGGGTAGATGGTGGGAAATGATCAAACGTGTCAGAAACGAGGGACGAGACTCACTTTCCAATGCCCTGGCCACCCCGTCCTCGCCGCCGACAGCGAGCCCATACAGCGCCGCCCGGCCTATCCCGACGGCTTTCGCGCCGAGGGCGAGGGCTTTGACGATGTCGGTTCCCCTCTGGATGCCCCCGTCGATCAGGATGTCCAGCTTGCTGAGCACTTCCGGGCAGAAGCGGTGTATGTCGAGCAGCACGTGCACGGGCGTTGTGGTCGTGTCGAGAGCCCTGCCGCCGTGGTTCGACAGGATGACACCTCTAAGCCGCCCCGAGAATGGATATTGTTGTCCTTGCTGTGGTTCGGCCAGGGAAGCGGCGAGGTATACGTCTTCCCAGGACTGCAGGCCCTTGAGCACGATGGGCAGGTCCGTGTGCCGGACCAGCCAGGAGAGCGTCTTGTGCCATGTCAGCCCGGCCTCGGTGCCCCAGACTTGCGGTTGTGCCTGCGCGCCGCCCGTTCTCAGGTCCCGTGCCTTGTGGCGCTCGTCGGCCTCGCGTTTACCAGGAAACGGGGCGTCGAGGGTGAGCACGATGAACTTGATCTGCGGCAGCTTCTTGATCTCGGCGAGGATGCGCTCGCTCGTGGCCAGGTCTTTAAGGACGTATAGTTGCCAGGCGAAGCTGACGGGGGGGAGGTTGCTTTCATGCCCGTAAGGAGAGGCGGCGTCACTCATGGATGTTCTGGTATTGACTGAGTTGACGATGTCTGCAGGACGCATAGAGGCATTGTGGCTGATGACCTGTAGCGCGCCAAATCTCGCACACGCCCGGGCGATACCTGTCTCGCCATCCCGGTGTGCCAGCCGCGCGCTCGCTGCCGGGCTGACAAAAAGCGGGATCCCCACCTTGTTGCCGACGATGGTTGTGCTCAGGGAACAAGACGTGCAGTCTCGGAAGACGCGGGGCCGTAGCAGGATCGACTGGAAGATACGGCTGTTTGCGTGCTTGGTGATTTCATCGTCAGACGCTGACGCGTAGTACGATATCGCCTTTGGGGAGAGCACGCGAAGGGCGCTCTCTTGTAAGTCGGCAATACTGAGCAACTGGTGCAGAGGCGGAGCCTTTTCCAACGACGGCCTGGGAGAGGAGGGATCATTGTCGGCTGCCGCTATGCATTGCTCACGTTGCTGCACCAGATATGTGCTGTGATCTGTCCACGCCGGCCGCGATGTAAGTACCACTGTGCTGTCTAGGACGGGCCTAGTGATTCCTGTGTGGTTCCTCCATTGCGCGGCTCGTGGATTCGCCATGATTTACCAAAGCTGGTATTCCCAGACGTCCACTGCCGGCCTACAAGCAACTGTGAAGATGAGCTCCCGAGTCAGTCGGTCATGATCAACCGCACCCATTGATTCGGCCCGAAATGCAGGACAGTTCTGCAGTGGCTACGCACAAATACATTGCACCAATAACGAGAACTGTACGAACCCTGGGGCCGGCGCTGTAACTCACCCTAAGAAACTTATCTACGACACATCCACCGAGCAGGAGCCAACAGCTTTGAAGCACAGACTCGCAGACGCTGACTGAGGAATTCCAAGGGTAACTTGCCCCTCGCTGCCCAGAACCGAGTGGACCCTGGGCAGGACCGGCGCGCTCTGCCGCCAACAGTAACACTTTGGACCCCAAGACATTTACACCTCTTAATCTGCCTGGGCCTGGCCCCCAGGTGTCTAGACTTCAGGCTCAATTCGCAGTGGAACCAAGAGTCCCACTTTTCCCAACTCTCTCCGCTGCTTGGCGTGGGGCCTCTCCCACTTTAACCCCGGAGCCCCAGGCTTCACACTTTTAGCACCGCCCTTGGCCACGACTTGGCAGTGTCATCGATGCCACGCCAACAAAGGATGAACGAGACCTGCAACGCAGGTGCCATCGTTCATGTGGCCTCGCTAGACCCAGCTTATAATGAATGGTAGCCAGCCGTGACGCTTCCCGAGTCCGGCCTGCAGGCACGGGCACGTGGCTGTGAGCCCGGCAAGCCGATCAGCCTGTGGTATCACTCTAGATCGTGGCCAATGATGCATCCTTCGAATGTATAAGCAATCTCCGCTCCTTTTGAGCCAAGAATTCTCGAGCTGCGCCCCAATGTCCAAGTCGAGCCGCACGAACGTCAAGCTTGGAAGTTTCGTGCTGCCAAGGGACTAGCAGTAATGAGCAGGATGAAGACAGTCATAGATCAATCGGTATTTGATCTTGTCTACCCGAGGCTAATCTGTGAGACGCAAACAGAACTCCTGGTAGAACGTCTCTCCGTTTACCCGCAGCGCACCAATAGCCCCCAATCTCTCGTCTTGTTTCGTCGTTGGGTGCGCTCGTAAACTCGCCCGAACGACACTTCGTAGTCTCCTGCACAGTGAAAGCGGCACCGGGTACTTTGAGTGTGACACCGTGCTCCAGGATCCGGAGCATGGGCTAGACCCTGCCATTTCCAAGACCCTCAGATTCGATAACACGAACAGGGATTCGCTGAAGGATGGTGGGCTCGCCATTTTCGGCGCTGCTACACAACACCAGCTTTCCATCTGATTTGCTTGTGTCCAGAAGTCTGTGGCCTGCATGACACGGCACGCAGTCTGCTCGAGGACCAGCTTTGAGCTATGGCCTCACGTCAGCACAAACTGGCCAGTGAGTGCTCTGCATGTATTTTCTGCCGGTGTCGAGAGAACAAACTTCTGAGGGCCTTCCTTGGAGCGTCAAACTTGTGAACTTGTTTACATGCAACGATCACAGGCTGAAGGCAAAGCCAGAGACCCTTGAGTTAGTATCTGAGCTTGAGATCTCGAGTTGCAATGTCCGTCAAGGCAGGGCTGGGAGATTGCCAGTCTGTGCTCTGCTTTCTTTGTCGTGTGCCAATCATGTTACCTAGTCGATTATGTGGCTTCTGCAGGAAGCCTACCAGGGGTACAAATTTAGCCACGAACCAGGCGTAAATGCTGGACGGAGTTGGTCGAAGCCGTCGAGCATACCTGCGCCATGCAGTGTCATGGCCAGGGCAGCTCAAGGCGCAAGGACTCTGAACTCAAAAGTCGAGTCGAATGGATGCCGGGGCAGACGGAAAGGCGCCTCTGAAGAGCAGGTGGCAATCTTGTTTGGAATGCCGTGCGGAACGCGAACACTGGTAAGCCTCTCCCCCCAGAAGCTCGCATCAAGGCAGCGGGTGCTTGCGTTCCAGCTGCTCGACTTGGAACCTGCGAATCGGATGTGTGGACAGCGGAGGCTCTGTGTGTTGACCAGCCGGGTGATTGAATGTCTTTGCCGTGTCTCACAGGGTGTGGTGCTCAGCCGTAGCCGAGGCGGCGGCGCATGCAGGGCTTCCAGAAACACGGCGCTCCAGCTTGGCAAGCCACTCCCCTTCGCCCGGGACAAAGCTTTTGCCAAGAGCAGATGGATGCGCACATGGCAGTCGCATGTGTGTGCGCGTTCTGTGGTGAGGCGTCGAGCCCCAGCAGAGTGGCAGCTCCAACGGGATCGCCACGCCTTTTGGAGACAATGTGAGGATGAGAGAGACGAGAAGGACCAAAACAGACACGCGCCAGGCCAATCTGCGGGGTAATTTACAATGCTGACAGGTCTCTGCAATCACCATCAAGCATAGGACGCGTGGCGACTCGAGGAGGGCGCGGTTGGCTATTGGAAGCGACCATGGTTGCCAACCAGGCCATTCATGGTGGGGAGACATCAGTGACTGCCATCCATAATGGGGAAGGAGCGGTGCTGCCGTTTGTTAGTCAGACGGGCCTGCCTGACCGACAACACCCTCGACTTTTCTCTACTCTACCCACTACTGCGCTGCCGCCATCTCATTCGTTAATAACTACTGATTGTCTCCAGAAACAGCACCTGGCACACCCTCCCTGACCCAGACCACACCAGACGAGACCGAGCACGGTGAGGTCGATCATCACAAGCAGGCGCCAGCACCGACAAGAACGGACACCTATGCGAACGAACGAACACGACGACCACTCTCTCGCCAAGGGCCCACCCCCTCACCCCGAGTTTCTTGGATGGCGTTAGCTGGAGCTCTGGTGTCGACGGTGAGCGGGCTGCCTTCCCCTTTGGTCGACACGATGCTGACGCCAAGGGCCCCTGGCCAACACAACGGGGGTGGCGCTGGGGCCAAAAGGCAGCCACTGCCCGGCCCGGCGTTGCGTGTGCCCCTGTCCCAGTCCTGGTCCTAGTCGCGCTGGCAGTGCCACCCCGCGACCCCAGATCTGGAAAACTGCCCTTTGCTGGGATGGCGCGAAAAGCTTGGAGCCTTGTTTTAAAGGTGTGAAGCTTAAACTAATGCTTCGTCGGCAGCAAGCACAGCGCCTCGGAAAGGCCCCCACTCCAGCTCAGGAGCCCGCCCGTCACTGCCGTGTTGTGTCGATCCCTTAATCAACCGTCCCATCAGTTCAGCTGCAGTAGGGGTAGGATAAGCCCGTCCCGTCCTTCTTTACGAGCAAATGGACACCAGGTTTTGGGAGCGGCCGACTTTGCAGACATTGCTACCTGATGGCGGGCCGAGCATGTCTCCTACGCCCACTATGTCGTGCTCGATGCTGCACGCGCCTTGCAGCGACAGGCACACCCGCTTGAGCATAGATACGCCATCCGCACAGATTGCGACGGCCTCGCCGGAGTCTCCGGGCCATCATCATGACCGCAAGCATGGGCTTGTACGGCGGCATGCCAAGCGTTTTTTCCTGGAACACGCGTGTACCAAGAGGTCCAAAACGTGTGCCATGCCCGTGCCATGCCCTTGGCTGTGTGTGTTGTTGGGGATTTACCTTTGATTGCACAGTGATGTGGGAGCGCAAGCCACGATTGCTTCCGCACGCCCGGCCACGCAGGGCAATCTGACCTCTGCCAATACACGTCCACGTCCAAGTACTCGTCCGGGCCTAGTGTGCTCAGTGCAACACTGTGCCCAGAGGTACCTGTGAGACAATTGGAGCTGGCAGTGCCAGTGGCTTGTCTCGGGATGACCCATGTCATGCAAGTCAGGGTCCCTGCCTTCAGGCTCTTTGCTCCAGCTGGCTCGCCAACCGGTTCTTATCCAGATAATACGGTACCGTGCACACGGCAGCTAGTCCTTGCCCATGCAATACTGATCTCCGTCCTTGGGGAGAGGCCTTGTATAAATATACCGTCGAGCCCGGGTAGACGGCGGTGTGCTCCCCGGCTTTGATCTCCCTTCTCCCCACGCTGTAGCTGCACTCTCTGCACCGTAGTACTCGCGAGAGCCGCCCTCTTCCAGCTCGCCTTCGTCAGCTTTCCCAGCACCGTAGTCATCATGGCTGCCCACGACGGCACGCACAGCAACGACACTTCGATGACACCCAGTGTCCACGATGCTCCTGAAGTCGTAGTCGCTTCCGGCAAGGGCTCTGCCCTCGAGAAGACCGATGTCGACTTCGAGCGTGTCGAGGCAGCAGGCTTTGACGAGGCCGCGACCAAGAAGCTGCTCCGCAAGATCGATTGGACCCTCGTCCCTTTTCTCGCCTTCCTCTACCTGCTCTCCTTCCTGGACAGAACCAACATTGGCAATGCTCGCCTCGCCGGCCTCGAGCTTGATCTCGGCATGGACCCAAACTCCTTGCAATATAACACGGCATTGGCGGTGTTCTTCTTCACCTATGTCGCCGCGGAAATCCCAAGCAACATGATGATGAAGCGATTCAGGCCCTCGGTCTGGATCCCGATCATCATGGTCGCATGGGGTGTTTGCTGCACAGCGATGGGCTTTGTCCAGAACTTTGGCGGCCTCGTTGGTGCTCGTCTCGCGCTCGGCCTTGCTGAGGGTGGCCTGTTCCCAGGAATCACGTACTAGTGAGTATTTCCGCGCGCAGACATCTGACAGGGATGTTGATCACCAGTTGCTAACGGGCGTGTCAAAAGCATCACCCTCTGGTACAGACGCCACGAGTGCGGCTTGCGCATGGCCATCTTCTTCTCCGCCGCCACCGCTGCTGGAGCCTTTGGTGGTCTGCTGGCTCGCGGTATTGTCGAGATGAAGGGCCTCGCGGGTCACTCTGGCTGGGCATGGATCTTCATTCTCGAGGGTATCCTGACGATTGTTGTTGGTGAGTTGCCCATGCTCTTACGCCGGGGCTGCCTACGTGAATACTGTTGCTGACCCCAGCGCTCGCAGCCTTCATTGCTTTCTTCGTGATGTACGACTACCCAGACACGGCCAAGTTCCTGACCGCCGAGGAGAAGGCCGAGGTTCACCGACGACTCCAGGAGGACCGCTCGGCCCTCGCGGATGAGTTCGACATCAAGTACTTCTTCCACGCCATTCGCGATTGGAAGATCTGGTAGGCCACTGCATTCCCAGCCTCGGGATACCCAGTATGCTGACATGCGCATGAATAGGGTACACATGTTCATCACCATTGGCATCTACACGCCCCTGTACAGTTTTAGCCTGTTCCTTCCTACGATTGTCGCTGGACTCGGCACCTACGACGCCAACACGGCCCAGCTCATGACGGTGCCTCCATATGTCGCCGCCTGTATCTGCTGCATCACGGCCGGTGTTCTGTCCGACCGATGGGGTTCTCGTGGCATCTTCATAATTTTCTTCAACTGCATCGCCATCATCGGCTTCATCATGCAGCTTGCCACGACGAACAACTCGGTCAAGTATGCGGGCACCTTCTTCGCGGCTTGCGGCATCTACCCCAACGTGCCCATGGGTGTGGCCTGGAACGGCAACAACATTGGTGGCTCGACCAAGCGCGGCGTCGGTATCGCCATGCACGTCGGTTTTGGCAACTTGGGCGGTGCGATCGCCGCCTACATTTACCAGGCTAAGCACAAGCCGCAGTACTACCCTGGCCACGGAACCCTCATCGGCACTGAGAGTAAGTCTGCCCTGTCGCAATGTCATGCTTCAAGAGTATATAGACGCCCGTCGTGGACCATATGCTGACGATGTGAATCTGCAGCCATGTCCGCCATCCTCGCCATTATCATGACCTTGTATCTCCGCCGGGAGAACGCCAGACGCGATCGCGAGTACAAGTCCCCAAGCGAGTACACTGATGAGGAGAAGGCCGCGGAGCGCGAGGCTGGTGACAACGCCACATTCTTCCGTTACACAGTCTAAATGTTGAAATGGCGGTTCCTGGACTCTCGGCGGTCCCGCGCGGTGGTGGGTGCTATCATCAGAGATGCAAATGGAAGAGAAGTGCCTGCCGCGAATCAATGCGTGGGATGCGAAGCCTAAGCCGGGCGGCTTCGCTTGAAGCCGGGTCAAGGAGATTAGGTTGTAGTCCTTGACTATCAATATATGAATCATGCCGACGGATGCCGTACCATATATGCCTGACCAACGCGTCCTGCTTTTTTCCCTAAATGGCTTTGAGTCGTATCGTCCCTGACGGAACAGTGCCAGCAAAATTGAATCCGCGTGTTATCAATTTGTTGCTTAGGCGCTCACTGTTTCGCTCGCACCGCGTCGTTCTGCAGCATTACAGTAAGGCCATGCATACGTGTTTTGGGCCTCAACGTAACGCTGACCCGATAGACAGCACTCGATGGATCACATGTACTGGCTGCGACGGTTCATCGAAGTACACTTCGGTGCCCTCCCACGACGTCTGGTTGTTGGCATGAACGCGATGCTTCAGTACAATCTGTGTTTTTGGCTAGGTCGGGCGGAATGATACCAACCCGAGGCTGAGGGGGCACTTACCTGTGCCACGACTCAGGTCCTCTGTCAAATGGATACAAGACGAGTTTTGATGGTCTGACAACTCGCGTGTTTTGTTATCTCGCTTGATACAATCGAGCAAGGTCCGTGAACCATGCTGTGGCGTGGGACTTCTGTATGTCTCCGCATACAGTCGGCATCCCCGTGTGGCAGTCGTTCTGTCTGCTGCTCTGTTCCCTACTCACGAGCTGGAGGTTCTGTCCGGAACAACCCCCAAGCACGTGGGCACGAAGCCTGCCAGCCAAGAAAAGGAATGTCTCCTGGAGCGTCAGGAGAAAAGTCCATCAATCATCGGTGATCACCGTGACCCTGCACGTGTCGGTGACAATTTTGGGCGGGGGTTCCATTATTGACCTTCAACCGTGTGCTCGTATGCACATCGGCACTTCTTTCTGCCCTGCTCGATAATACCGGTGGTCATTTGAGCTCGACGACCATGACTGCAAGGCTCACGACTGCGTGGCAACCATGTGCATCCCCTCTCCCCTTGTGAAAGGTCCATGCCAGGCACGGCAGTATAAACGCCCGTAATATAGGCCCGACCCTTGTCTACCAGAACCCTGCCTTTGATGGGCTCTGTTCCCCGGACTGGGGGAAATGCAAAGACCTGGAGAGTGTGGTCCCGTTCGAGCCGTTCTGGGGCTGGTCAGTTTTGGGGTGATGATCCGTGATTGCCTGATCGGGAAGGCTGAGCGGTCCGGTGATTGGCTGCGGAGACTTGGATGGGGGGAGGTGAGCTGGCCAGGGTGCAAGTCCCGCTGGGGGAGGACAGGGTTGGGGCATATCGGGGTGAATAGGTGGTAGAGGGAGGTCCATGTATCACTTCCTGGGTGACCGCTTCACAGCGTTGAGGCCAAAGAGAGCAAAGGGTGTTGCTGGGTGTTCTGCTCGAGAGGCCGAGGGAGACAGGAGGACTGAGCGAGTTAGAGCAATTTTAGGACACAACGATATACACTTCTTCTGAAAAGCTATCTGTTTACAAGCCATACATATAAGAGAAGGACAGCCTTTTGCATGTCAGAGTTTTCAGCACAACTAGAACTTGGCCCTGAAGGTGTCCATTTGCTCCCAGTCAACGTCTTCTCCAACACTCATCCCGCGCGAGGGAGCCACGGCGCGTTTCGGCCCTCGCAGTAGTTTCTCCGTCTTGTGACCTGTCTTGCCCAAGCAGACGTGTGCAACGCAATCTATCCAGACCACACACATGGCCCACAAGCAGACAGTCATACAGACTAGCCAAGGCGGGAAAGCCGGGCTCAAGTCTCGCCATCAAGCTGACAGGCCGGCCATCTCCCTAACACACGCGGTTCGAAGACGACCAGCCAGCAGGCCAGCGTAAAAGCCGAGAGCCCGACTTACCAATGCCAATGCTGCAGCACAGCTCTTGGCATCCTGTCACGCACCAGAACGCTGGCAATGGGCCTTGCAGCAGACACGCGTAGCCTCACATCCGTGGGGCACCTGCAAGCGCTGGCTTGGGAAGCACGGCCCGGTTGATGGAGACTGGCGCGTGGAAGGTCGTTCTCGCTGCAGAAAAGCATGCAGGCGGAGGAGGCTCTGTGTGTAGTGGACAGGGAGGGCCGTGGACCATCACGATGGTGTGTCTAGTTTCGTACAGTTGAGTCGTGTATATAAGAGGCTTTCACATCCGCCGCTTCGTCTGTCTTAATCCTGTTGTTGTCCTCCAAGCACACTATCCTCACCCTCGACCGTCGCGGACCTTGAACAAGCACAAGTCGCAATCATGAAGTTCATCACGGCTGCCTGCCTCCTCATCTCAGCCGCTCAGGCTCACTGTTCGTCTCACATCGGAACTCCATCAGATCTTGCTATCACCTCCTCGAGATGAAGTACTAACGGGACCCTGAACATTTAGACACCTTCCCCGGCCTCGTCTACAATGGCGTGACGGAGGCGGACTGGACGTAAGACGCCCTCTGTCTCCCTTTTTCCATGCATCACAGTCCCTGACGCAAAGTCCCCTGAGCAGCTTCGTCCGCCGCACCACCAACGAGTACAGCCACGGCCCCGTCGAGAATGTGCAGAGCTCGCAGATCCGCTGCTACGAGCAGCAGCCCGGCTCCAACGGTGCCGGCACCAAGAACGTCAAGGCCGGCGACACTGTCGGCTTCCGCGTCGACCCGTCCATCCAGCACCCTGGTCCTCTGGTATGTTGTTCTGCTTGAATAGATAAAGGGGTGGCTGTGGTGGCCACAAATAACTGACAATGAACTTCTTTCCACAGGCCTTCTACATGGCCAAGGCCCCCAACGGAGCCACCGCCGAGACCTTCAACGGCGACGGTGCCGTCTGGTTCAAGATCTTCCAGGACAAGCCTACCTTTAGCTCGGCGGGCCCGACCTGGCCCAACATGGGCGCCACCAAGGTCTCCGTCACCATCCCGACCTGCCTTGCCCCCGGCTACTACCTGCTCCGCGTCGAGCACATCGGTCTGCACTCGGCCAGCAACACCAACGGTGCTCAGGTACGTTTGGCTTGTGTGGATCTTATAATTGTTGATCTGGCAGGCAAGCTTGCAGAAACGCAAGTAGAAAAGAAAAAAGAAATATGCGGAAAAGAAGTAAGAAAAGAAACACAACGACTAACTCGATCCTTTCATCGCAACAAACAGTTCTACCAGGCCTGCGCCCAGCTCTACGTCACCGGCTCCGGCACAAAGACCTTCTCTGGCGTCTCCCTGCCTGGCGCTTACTCTGTGAGTCACAACCATTTCATCCAACAACCAAAACACCATCATCACTAAACCCTCTTTTGCCGCGCTGAAAATTCCTCTCTCTGACCGCAAATCGTCTCTCAATCATAGGCCGGAGATCCGGGGATCAAGTACCAGCTGTACTGGCCGGTTCCGACGTCCTACATCAACCCTGGACCGGCTCCCGTGACCTGCTAAGCGACTGGAGGCGTATTTCCGGGTTCGCGGGTACCTGGGACGGTCTGCAGCGCCGTCCTCGTCTATGCCCCTATAGATAGTTGACTCGAGTGTCGAGATGCCTCCAAGGAGAGGGGAAGGAGCTTGTAGAAGAGCACGGCGGGTTGTTGTGGAATGTTGCCGTCGCCGTTGCTGGCCAGAGTGTGCGGCAGTGAAAGAGGACCCCCCCCTTTTTATCGCGCCTTGAGAATGCCTTTTTCAGGTCAAATTAGCACTCCTGCGGCGCGATTTAGGACTCGAAATACGTAGTGGATGCTTGGGAAAGACTCAAAAACTTCGTGTACATATTTATTTGAGTACTTGATATTGAGTTGAGACATGACCAATGTTGGTCGCAGTACCGAAGCTTGCCATTTTTCTTTCTTTGAAACTCCATAAACCATGATTGAAATGCATGTAGGTCTCAGATAAAGTACAAATCCGCCTAGAAGTCCTAGCCATTGCCTGTTAAGTTGCTGGAATTGGAAATCAAATACCTCGACGTTGTGGCCCTTTGTGGAGATGGCTATTTGAGCCTCTGGACCTCTGAACCTCTGGGCCTCTGGACTGCCCGCGCTCCATGCTACGTTGATCGTCCTCTGCACATACCCTGGCCAGCCGTCCACGACCCAACTTTCAAAGCTACCTCTTCTTGAATCCAATCTCCAACCCCAGGGGCTTCCTCAAGAAGCCCTCACGGGTGTGCATGTAATCCTGGCGGAGCACGACATCGTACCTGCGCACCCACGTCGCCACAATCATCTTCATCTCCATCTCGGCTATGTTCCTGCCCACGCACGCGCGGGGCCCGTAGCTGAACGGGATGAAGGCATTCTTCTGGCGCGCCGTGACATCCTCCCAGCGCTCGGGGCGGAACTCGTCGGCGTCGGGGCCCCAGATCTCCTTGGAGTGGTGGATCGTGTAGGTCGGCACGCTGAGCACGGTGCCGGGCGGGTAGTAGTGGCCGCGGATCTCGATGCCCTTCTTGGCGTCGAGGGGGATCTGCCGGGGCAGGCCGATGCCAGAGGTCGAGTGGTGCCGCAGGGTCTCGTTGATGACGGCCTCGAGGTAGGGCAGGTTGCGGATCGCCTCGAAGTCGGGCACGATCTGGTCCCTGCTGGGCGCGGCGGCGTCGAGCTCCTTCCGCAGCTTCTCGAGGACGCCCGGTGTGCGGGCGACGTGGTAGAGTAAGGCGCAGGACGAGTTGGAGGTCGTGTCGGAGCCGGCGATGAGCTGGGTCAGGGCCTCGGCCGTGAGCTCCTCGATGCCCAGGGGCTGGCCCTTGTCGTCGCGGCCCTCCTGCAGGCGGGCGAGGAGGTCGGTCCGGTTGATGTCGGGCGGGTTCTGCAGGCGGTCCTGAACGCGGGCGATGGCGATGCCGGCGAGGTTCTTGACGGCGGCGACGCCCTGCGAGAAGAAGGGGTCCGGGAGGAGGTGACACCAGGGCTTCAGCGCCGGGTACGCACCGAGAGTCGCGGACACTTCGCCTCTGCGGTTCAGAATCTCGACGGCGGGCGCGTAGATGGGGTCGCTGTCCTTGGTCATGCGGACCTCGGCCATGTCGGCGCCGGCCTTGAGCATGCCAAAGGGCGAGCCAAAGGCCAGGTCGCCGATGGTGTCAAAGGCCACATAGTTGAACCAGTCCAGGCAGTCGACATGAGCCATGCCGTCGGCGGTATTCGCCTTCTCCGTGAGCTCGTCCCACTTCTTGGCCCAGAGTTCGAGGTTCTCCTTGATGTAGGGCTCAAACTGGACAACCGACTTGGGAGCAAAAGTGTGAGAGACCTATTTTACAGGTATAATAAGCATAACCAATCTTAGCAAGGTCGAGTTTCTGAAAAATATCTTACCATCTTCCTCTTGCGGCTATGCTCGTGTCTATCTCTGGTGTTGAAGAGGCCTCGTCTGATGGAGACAAAGGCATCGTAGAACTCGGACTTGAGCAGGCCATTTCCGTGCCCGTAGATTGCTTGGATGGCATCGTCGTCGGCGATGCTGACATGATTTGGCTGGATCCGGATGACGGGGCCCATCTTCTTGTGAAGCTCGTCCATCTTCTCGTAGCGATTGCCCCGCCTGGCGACAGACATGAGCCACAGGTTGCTGAACTGGGCGGGGAAAGGTGCGGGCAGATCTCTGAGGTCGCGGTTTTCTGTAAAGTACGGCAGGAGGTAGGCTGAGATGAGGGCTGCAACGGCGGCTCCAGCGCCCCATGGGGACAAGATCAACTCTGCGATGGCCATCCCGGCTTTCGAGTCCTGAGGACCTTTTCACAGTGTGTGCTGTTTGCTGTTTGCTGGAAGTGGAGATGACCGTGTCCGAGTTATGTTGAGGGTAAGGCCAATCTGCCAGTATTCCAGAGCTGATGATGATCGGTTGGAAGGGGAAGAGGGCGGCCGTTGAGCTTCTAATAAACAAGGCCCCGGCGGCTTCGGCACTGCCTCGAGGCAGATGCCAGGGAGTGAACCTTGGTCTCCATCGCGCCTTTCATCATCGCGAGGGCGGCCGCCCCGAGCCCACGACCGCCCCCAGGCCCGTGCCAAGTCGCCAGGTCTCCCCCCATCTTCCCCGCACTCGGCAGACGAGATCCACCCTGGGGTTTTCCTGGGCCGCCTGGCAAGTCTCCAAAGGTCAGCAGAGTTGGGTGTTGTGGGGAAGGCCCCAGGAGTGCTGGAGTTGTGCTCGTTCAGGCTAGGGCCCCCTCGTGCAACTCCCGCCGGGGCGTTTCCTGGGTGCGGAGAAGCACGCCGGCTCTGGGAATCGGCAGACACCGTAGCTGGGGAGCGCGTCCTTTAAATCCCTGGCAGCCTGCCGCAAATCGAAGCCGCCCACTAGTCGACCCCGCCGTCAAGCACGCCCCTCGCCCCAAAGCCAGGCGCGAGACCCGCGAGCGCAACGTCGAGTTAGCCGATAACCGACCATAAATCACGTTCTTTCCCTTGACACCGGGACGCTGATTCAGTATAGGCAGCGAGAGTTGTGTGCCTGTGCGAGTGACATCTGAAGCCTTGGCAAACACGCATACCAAGCTTACCGCAGCATAATCCTAGTGGTCGCACTTGGGTACTCGCTAGTGTCAAGAGTCAGATGTCCCAGCTGTTCTGTGATCAAGATCGGTGGGGTATATTTGCTGCCCAAATCTAATGCGTCTATTTCGAGATACCATTCCTGCGCCGGCCTCCAGACTTGCTGCGGTCAATGTGGTTTCTCAGCGCCTTTTGTGTCGCAACCAGACTGCGCTTGTGTTTTGTCTTGGCTTTGCCAATCGTCATGAGGAAGTTCTTCTTCCGTGCCTTCTCCTTGTTCGTCGTCGACTTGCCCTCGGCCTCCTTCTTGGACTTCCTGATGGCCTGTGTCGACTTGTGCTCGTCTCTTCCCGGCTTGCCCTCCTTGGCCATGGCCAGGCGCTCTTCCTTGGTGCTCTTTCTCAGCTTCGCCGGGGCTTCAATCTGCTCAGAGGTCAATCCTTCGTCGCGATGACGCTCGATCTCCTCCTTGCGTTTCTTATTGCCCATCACCTTGTCGAGTTTCGCCTCGGCCTGCAGCTCTTTGAGCTTGGCGAGATCTGCGGGCGTGAGGATCTGGGTCATGGCAAGCTTCGAAAGTGCAGTTGTGGCAGCCTCGGCATTCTCCTTGTCATCGTCCTCGCCCTCGAGCCTCTGCTTCTTGGCCGCCGGCTCCGCGTCCTCATCTTCAGAGTCGCTGACCCGGATCCACTCGCCAGAGTCACTGCTGTCATCGGATGCAACCTCCCAGCCGCCATCTTCCTCCTCCTCCTCTTCGTCTTCCTCGCCATCCTCGCCGTCTTCAGGTAGGCCCTTCTCTGCACGTTTGCGTTTCCTCTGCTCTTCCTTGTATTGCTCGAGAAGCTCGAGACCCTCGATGCCGCCTACCGCGACCTCGCCGAACCTCTGCTGCTTCTGCGATCCACTCCTCAGGCCGATCGTGGCATCCTTGCCACGATCGCGCTTTGTCAGCATCTCAGCTCCCTGTTCTCTGTAGAGTGATAGAAGACCCTTGGCCGCCATCATGACACCCTTGTCTTTAGATTTTCTGTATTGTACCAAATCCTGAAGCAGTGTCTCAGTCATGGCCAACGGTTGTCGCGCACAGATCTCGCGGATAGAATTGAGACCTGCCGCTGCGACTTCAGCAGCAGCCGCTTCAGAGACAAACTCATTGGCGATCTTGACAATGAGGGGCTCGAGCACGTCCGGCGGTACGAGGGAGTGGACTGCCTGAGCGAGGGAGGCCAAGAACGAGGTGACCGACTGCTGGCGTGGTGTCAAGTACTTGATGAACCACGAGTAGAGCGAAATGACCGTCAGCTGGTGCAGACCGACCAGGCGAGTGACCAGCTGCAGAATGGCCAGCTTGCTCTGCAGGGCGAACCTGCAGCGCGAGCTTTGGAGGTGCTTATCGAAGAGCTGCTCGGCAAAACCCTGCGGGTCGTGCAGAAGATGCAGCGCCGAGAAGTTGAGCGGGTGCGGCGCATTCTTCTTCCTATCCAGACGCTTCAACTTGTCCACCGCCTTGTCCAGAGCCGCCTTCTTCTTCTTGGTCTTCTTGTTGATGCCGATCTGATGCTTGACCTTTTTGATGTCAATGACCTCCTCGTCGCTTTGTTCGTCTTCGAGCTCCTCTCGCTCCTTGTCGCCACCGAGGAAGAAGCGAACACCGCCCACGGCCACCTTTTCATCTTCTGACAGGCAAGCCTCCTTCATGACCTCGACGGGCTTCGCGTCGGTCCATATCTGCCGCTTCCAGAGCTCTCGTACAATCTTGACAGCCCATATCGCCTTCGGGTTCGAGCGATCGGACGTGACTAGGGTCTGCAGGACACCTTGCATGGTGCGGTTGAGCTTGTGGTTGTTGGACTTGGTGTTGGAGTTGCGCAGGTCGCTCACGATGCGCTGGAAGAGCAAGGTTCGCAGCGACTTTGACGGGGTGCTGACGAGGACGGGGAAGAGCGTGGTCAGTAGGTAGCTGGAGTCGACGATATATTTCCGCCGCAGAAGGACCAAGCTGGAGACAATCTTTTCACGCAGCTCGGGCTCGAGCACCGCATGGTGGCGGGTTAGGATATCTCTGAGGCCATCGGGGAAGCCGGTGGTGTATTCGGGGTAGCAGTCGGCTACGTGGGCGACAAAGTCGATCTGGTCGCGGAACTTGATCAGGGAGTTGGCGTCGGCGTTTGCGGGCGAGGCAAGGAATGTGTCGAGCGCCGTGAGGTACTGGTACCAATTCTCCTCGAACTCGTTCTTGTAGTCCTGAGGATCGCGGCGGATCTTGTACTGGAGGCCAGCCAGATCAGCCTCGACCTTCTCGAGGGCGGCAACCTTCTTCTTGACCATGGTGCCTGCGGTGTTGTGCTGAGATCTCAAGGCAGGAGAAGGGTGCACAACGAAAGGACAAGAGAAACGCCAGAAGCTCCCGGCAGGATGTGCAGCCAGCGCGAGCCAGCGCCGCATCCAGGAAAAAAAAGTGGTTGCGATGGGGCTTATCTTATCTGAGACATCAGGGTCGAGTGCGCCAAGCCCGCTATGTGGGGCCGCTCCGCCCGAACCCCGGCTTCGAGATCGACTTCGCTCAGCTTGCGACTCTATATTTGACTGTCCCTTGCATCTCTCTTGGTCTAAGTAGGCAAAGTACATTGCTATCACCAAGCTCGTCCAGTATAAGTAGAATCCATACTCCCAGAAGTGTATGCTTAAATATGGGTGTGAGACTACACATCAGTCTTTGCCTTTGGCATCACAACTACTATTCTGCTGACTTCAATGGCACTCTAGTCTGCCACGAGACTGAAACATATTTTGATGCCCACCACATGGACCTGACAAATGTCTTCTCATCGTTGCCAAGGCCTCGCCTCGATGATGTCCGATCTCAGACCCCGCTCCACGCATTCCGGGCTGCATCCCACAATTTCCTCTCGCTCCAGCCAGATCTTTTCGTAGGCCTTCTTGATGGCAGCAAGCCCACAGTTTCCCGCCGCCGAGATCTCCTTGGTCGACCGTTCGTATTGCAATAGTTGACATGCCATCAGGACACAAGCCGCCGCTATCGTCTTCGGTGGCTTCCCACCAAGCGTGTCCATCGCTATGTGTATAATGCTTGTGGCGACCTTGATAACCTCAAAGGGCCTTTGGAAGTCGAGCCGATCGCAGATCCGCTCGCAGACTCCGATAGTCGTCTTTGTTATTGGAGCGTCTTCTGCCTCTTCCATGCTGACATTATTCGACCCTTCCTGCGCCGGCCCAGGGATGGGCGAGTGGTCTGATTTGTTCTGTACCACTCGTCCCTGCGACCCCCAGGGCTCAGGTTCAGAATTGGCCTGTTCTGCAAAGAAATAGCCGCCCCTGGTGGGTTGTCCTCCAATCTCAGTCGATTTTTCTTCCTGTTTCTTCTTCAAGCTTCGGGCATCTTTGCTGGCCTCTTCCTCGAGCCTATAATTTCGGTACACGGCCCGAAAACACTGCCCAAACAATTTCCTTTCCACATCCAGAGTCCTGCGAATCTCATCGAGGGATCGCGACTTGTTGAACACTCGGCTGCACACTACAGCTATGCACACCGAGATGCTCGTTCTGCGGGCATGGCGGTGCAGCCAGCCGAGGTCCAGAGCATGCCTGTACAGCTGCTTGACGCACCTCACGTGGCTCACGTCGAGTCTGAGCCCATCGCAGCACTCCTCAATCTCGGCCGAGGCGTGGCGCAGCGAAAAAGCTCGTGGTTCGTGGATGCTCCTTGCCTGTGCCCGCTCGAGGCCATGGCTCAGCTTAGTACTGCTTCTCCCACTGTTTGCGATGGTGGTGTGTAGGTGAGAGCCTTGGTGGAGGTCATCGTCGTTGGTCATGGTCTCGCCCACCCGCGACGGGTTGCTGCTGCCGACGTCGTCGTTGGAAAAGGTCCGCCACTCGGCCCGTTCGTCAATCATGCGGTTCTGTAGGACGAGCCCGCAGTCTGTGCAGACGACATCGCCGGCGACGGACTCCTCAGCGAGGTTGGGAGGGTCGATCTGGCACTCTGGGCAGATCTCTTTGGCTTGTAGGATCGTGTGGTGATCACGTGTTGCAGCTGCTCTGTGGCCAGCCATTTTTTGCTCGCTATCGCTTTCGCACCGTGCTCATCCATGCGTGGTGTTTGTAGATTCGGCTGTTGATGAGAGTGCTGTAGCCTGCTATACTTTTTATGATTTGTCCAACGACACTCAGGCCATGGTCACGACCTAGTCACAGACATCACTTGTTTGATATTTTAGCTGCTTCATTCCTCGCGGGCATTTCGTCCACTTCCATGCATCTGGACATTCTTGACCTTCGGACAATTGTTCTCAACCAGCGATGCTCTAAACACCAACGAAACTTTGGGCAGCGACTACAGGCTTTTCTTCGCTAATTAGTCACAGTGCAAGGACAACGTGCACAGCCAATAAACCCTGTGCGCCGGCACCCCATAAAGATTGTTCGATGTTGCCAGCACTCATCTAAATTCGCTTGCTATCTAAAACACAATCTACCCTCTATGTCTATCAGCGTTGCAACGACTCCGCTTCAAATGACCTTCGACAAACATGTCACCAATGCATGCGCGGGAGTGCAAGTAGATCGGCGAAGATGCCCTGGTATTGTTTCCTCGGGATTATGTCTTTACTTGTGGATGTTGGAAGCTAAGGGGCACAGATTGATTAGCTGCGGCCTGGAGAGAGACTGTGCGCAGGCCTCACGTGAATGTGGATTTGGACGATACATTTGCGCATGTGGCACTGCATCCTTATTGATTCTCCGCTAGATTGCTTTGTTGCACCAGCTTTATTGTTCTTTCGCGAGAATCGTCACACACATTCTCACGAAGCAGCCGAATGCCAAGGGGCGAATACAGACATTCTCGAGTTCTACCTCAATTGACGCCCCAATAAACTCATTGACCAATAGGACACCGGCGAAGTCTGGAAATCCACGTTCAGACAGCAAACCGCTGCCAATCAAATGGCTAGTCGCACAGGCCCATCTGCTTCTCCCGCGAGGTTGTGCTTTGACACGGCCGCTCAGCCAAGGTGACACTCCCATCAGTTCATGCGACACCAGCACGCTGGGAACGACACTCTGCGGAAAAGTGCAGTGCGGCCACAGAACGGTACGTAGTCAAGTACATCGCGACAACTTGTCATGTGGCTAAGCGAGGAATGCTCTCCTGTACGTATGCCTTCGTCGGTTACATCGTTGTTTGAATGCAGCAAGCAAGCGTGCTCAGCTCCGCCTGCAAACCGAAGATACACACAGAGTCAACAGTCTACAGTTAGCAACAAATCTACTCCTATTGTCAAATCGTATCGATAGGCTCGCAAGGCGAGTCTACTGCATTTCCAACGGGGAATCGCGACAGAACGCGCCTGTGAACCGGAGGAGTCCACTAATCAGGCGACGTTGTGTCATCTACAAAATGCAGCATGGTGTTTGGTATGTCGCGTGCTCCTCGACCTCCCTTACACATACATAAGTCGATCCATTAGGATCTTTTCCCTCCCCGAAAAATCCTCGTCGTCAGTAATTGCGTCTGCCTGATCGCCTCGTGGCTACTGGTGGCAAGTCATCGTGTTCGGCGTGTCGACGCACGATCCGCTGATGCCTAAACTACGAGGCAGAAAATCGACCTGGCATCCATGCATATGGCCCAGCGCAGTGGCAGGACTTGCCTGTTTCAGCAGGCCCGTGGAGAAAAACGTAACACGAACCTCGTCACGGCGTCGCCCCAGGTTTTCCCGGGAGATTCAGCTTGTCAACGCAACGCCGGGCCCGGGGTACAGAAGCTGGAGAAATACGCAATGCATGCAGAGAGAACGCAGTGAAGAAGGGCAAAACCTGGAGAAAACATGGAGAACATGGTGCGACTGGAGAGCATGTAGGTAATGATAGAGTAACAAGAATTGAGAAGCACTGACTAGCCGAGATGTCTGACACGTTTGCCTGCAACGTGTCTGGATCTGCTACTGGCATTGTGGAATGCGAGGTGTCCAGGGGAGGTTTCCGTTACGTATTGGACGTCCGCATGGCCACGCCGAAAAGGCTGACCGAGGGTCTGGCAGGCGAGGCTGTGGACAGAATAAACCGGACAATGTAGATCCATGCTGTACAGCACCTGTCCAGTTTATTCTGTCCACAGCCTCGGCAGGTCCGGGCGCCGACCGGCTGTATCCACTTTACACCGGGGCTTGGCTCACGGCCCCACCCGGGCTTCTTCTTCAACCAGGAAAGAAGAATGCCTGGATGGTGCTTCATGCGTATCCAAAAAGCTCGAACGCATACTCGAGGTTGATATACGCCGTCGGAACGAATCTCTCATGCCCAATGCAAGTTCTTTTGTGCCATGCATGTCGTTTAGTTCGGATGGATAGGTTGAAACAGATCCCGGTGCAGTGTTCTTAGCGCATAACGGATATGTTGATCGTCCGAAATTTCAGTTGAGCAGAGTTTTTCTAGTTTGTCGTGCCGAGGACCAGCCACGTCGGCAATGCGGTTATTGTTCTCAATTCCTAGGAACAAAGCACCCAGCCAGCCACGTCCCGTTTCTGCCCGACTTTTAGGAATCTATGCCGGTCTGGGTCAAGACTCGGCACTTGGAAGATTCACGATGGTCGGAACGGGGGTGTGCGAAGTCCCCGGCCAAGACATATGAAGGCTCGGTAGCGTTCGATGGCTCCTGCATGATATTCTATCATCTGTAGCCGTGCTGCAGCGCCATCATTGCTGTATTGGACACCGAGCCTGTCCTGTGCGCTTTTCGTGTCGTCCCGCGGTGGCCTGCATGTAGTGGTCGGCTTGCCAGCACGCGAGATTGTTCCCAGCTGGGAAGGACCCTTACGGAGCGAGTGTACAAGCGCCGTATCCGGGAAATTCCCTGGCTTGGATGGCAGGAGGATGATCCTGCACTGCATGGGGCGATGCCAGACAACGAGGCCCGCTGGTAACCGGGCCTTCTTGGAGTGCACGGGTGCCCTGCGAGCGTCTCGTGCGCGGGTGGTGTTGCAGCATCTGTACAGTACGCACAATGCAGGACGGCGAGAATCAAAAGAGGAGGCGTGGAACGAAGACGAGGTGGTCCGGTCCCCTCCGGACGCGGCCCCTGCGAGCTTGGAGCCGCAAGTCCCGGCAGGTGCTGCAGGGTGGCTGTCGATGACGGGAGGGCCCATGGCAGCCAATCAAGGGCGACGCAGAGCGCGGGAGGTGGCGCGCGGCGAGAAAGCAGCAATCCCTGACTAGCGCGGACGGGCGTCTCGCAGCAGCTTACAGCAAGTTCGAATTAGCTAAGAGAACACAAAACGGCCGACTTGGCTGCCGCTAGGGCCCGCGATTGCCTCATCGGCGAGGATCGAGGCGCTGGGGGGCCCATCGGCAGTGCCCTGATTCGCCCGCCCCCTGCGCCGCCGGGCCCTGTGGAAGCTTGTCTGTGGGCCAAGCCGTGCGGCAGGGAAGATCACACAGACATCACCATATTACGTCGCCGGCACACTCACAGAAATGCCCACGACGTAGCATCCTGCGCCTTCCTCGCGCCCCGACGGCCTGCAAGCATATTAATCATCCATGGACAGAGGCGGCTGTTCCACGATGGATGCAACTGTGTTCGTGTCTGTGCTGGTATGCATTTCTTATCTCTCTCTCTCTTTCTCTCTCTGGCTGAGTCCAGGTCCCAAAGGGCATTGATGACCTGTGCTATTACGTCAACAAACGGCCGTGACTCGTGTTCCGTGTAAGCTGCAACCCTGGCAGGCCAGCAGGATCAACACATCGGTCGAGCCAGCATAGTAAACATCCTGTCATCTATTACACACCCCGGAACATTCATTGGGACGGACGGCTCTAGTCGTGCTATGGACCATCTCATGCGCCCGGGCACGTGTGCAGTATGGACCCCCATCCCCACACGACCGCCGGTCGTGGATGCTCGGTGTGCATGGCGAGGCGAGAGGACCCCTCGAGCTCCAGGTTGTGTTTCGTGCTTATCTCTCCCGTCTGCGTGGTTCTCTGGATCCGATGTGATAATGGCACTTAGCAACCACGAGCGATTAAGGTCGACGCACGGCCGAACCCCGTGCTCTAGATCCGCGGTAGAAGGTGCCTCCCCACTCGCAACTCTGGAGTCGCGCCTCCGTATTTCAAAAGCCCTAGAGTCCCCATTTACCTAATGGCAATATAGCCTGCAGGTTTTTCCTCCCCAGTGCTCCCGTTCTCGTCTCTCTTGCTTCTTCTGTCGTATCCATCCCGCCCGGCCCTCCTGCGGAACATCGTTTACCTCCATCTGAGCCAGACCAGTCTGCCAGAACAGCCGTTCAACGCCGCCCCTGCGTCCAAGCTTTTCAACCAAGCACGCAACAGCCACCACGCGGCCTGTGAGCAGCCCACGGACAACATGGCTACCACCGTCAACTACAAGGACAGCATTCAGGCTGCTCAGCCCCCGGCTCCCGGAGTTGTCAGCGATAAGGAGGATGACAACCACTCCTCCCAGGGCTCCTCTAACAGCGAGACTGTCGGCGAGATCAGCCAGCTCGAGAAGCAGGGCAACGCCCACTTCAAGCGTCTTGGATGGAAGCGTCTCACGGTCGTTCTCATCGTCGAGGCCATCGCTCTCGGCAGTCTGAGCATGCCCGCCGCTTTCGCCACACTGGGCATGGTAGCTGGTGTCATCCTGACGGTGGGACTCGGCCTCATCGCCATCTACACCAGTTACGTTGTTGGTCAGGTAAGGACTTGCAAGAACAATCTCTGGCTCTAAATCTCTGTTATCACTCGATGCGACTTTTTGCATAACAGACAGCTCACCAAGACGAAATATAGGTCAAGCTCAAGTTCCCCGAGGTCTCGCATTACGCCGATGCTGGCAGACTCATGTTCGGCAAAGTCGGTTACGAGATTGTATCGGTCATGTTTGTGCTCCAGCTCACCTTTTTGGTCGGTAGCCACTGCTTGACCGGCACAATCGCGTTCCTCAACATCACTGGCAACGGCGCTTGCTCTCTGGTCTTTGGCGTAGTCTCTGCCATCATCTTGCTGATTGTGGCTATCCCGCCATCTTTCGCCGAGGTCGCCATTCTTGGCTACATCGACTTCGTCTCAATCATTGCTGCCATTCTCATCACCATGATTGCCACCGGCATCACCCGCGGCGAGCACGCCGCCGATGTTGCCGCTGCGGTACCCTGGTCGGCCTGGCCCACGGAGGATCTCACCTTCTCCAAGGCATTTGTTGCTATTACCAACATTGTCTTCGCTTACAGCTTTGCCGTTTGCCAGTTCTCCTTCATGGACGAGATGCACACTCCCAAGGACTTTGTCAAGTCTATCTGGGTTCTTGGTATCGTCGAAATCATCATCTACACCTTGACTGGTGCGGTCATCTACTACTCGGTCGGTGCTGGTGTCAAGTCGCCCGCTCTGCTGTCTGCCGGCCCGCTCATCTCCAAGGTCGCCTTCGGCGTTGCGCTTCCCGTCATCTTCATCTCGGGTTCGATCAATACCACCGTTGTTACCCGTTACATTCACGGACGTGTCTACAAGAACTCTGTCGTTCGCTTCATCAACACCCCCAAGGGCTGGACTACCTGGCTGGCTCTCGTCAGCTTTATTACCCTCATTGCCTGGGTCATCGCCGAGGCCATTCCGTTCTTCTCTGATCTGTTGTCAATCAGCTCGGCGCTCTTCATTTCCGGCTTCACCTTTTACTTCCCGGCCATCATGTGGTTTATGCTGATTCGGGAGGGCTCGCTGTTTGAGAAGAAGAACTTGGCCAAGGGAATCTTCAACTTGCTCATCCTGATCATTGGTATTGTTGTCCTTGTTGGCGGTACCTACTCTGCCATTGTCGACATTGTAAGTTTTTCCTGGGACGTTATGAAGCTATTAGAGGTGATTCGGCTGCTAATGACTTTTCTTCTAGATCGAATCTTACGAGTCAGGCAAGGTCCGTGGCGCTTTCACTTGTGCGCCTTTCGAGTAAGCGACCCAGCAGAATGGTACCCAAAGAGTACCGGCTTTACGAAAACGCGGCTGCGCGCTTGCTGGCGTACCGATGTTGTGTATCTGTTTCAAGTTTGTTCTAAGAGTATGGCGTTATTCATTCATCGATGCCAAAGCAATATCCCTCAGCCTTGGAGGGTTACCATTACAACTGGAGTTTGGTTGGCCAGCATAGCATTGTGATACGGTGTTTGGGGTTCTGACAATGTTACTTTGTCGAAATGGTAATGAAGGGATTTATCATGCCGTCTCTGTATTCGTGGCAAAGCGTCCTGTGTTGTTGTCGTGGTAATTGTCCTGGTAGTGGTGATCCCTCTAAATGTCACATTGAATGAACCAATTCCACCATGGACCCTACAACATGATATTTATACCTCGAAGGTAACGCAAATCTATTACTACAACTTGTCAAAACGACGCCCTTGAGACCATCGAAAGTACCTTCTAGCCCCGCATCTGTGACCTGAATGTCATTATCGCATCAAGAGAGGGCGTGCTGGTATTAGTCGGGAGCTGCAAGGTCACAAAAGTGGGCCCATATTCAGCAGGCCCAACCCGCTGGAGACCAGGAAGGCCCCGACATCGGCCTGAAAAGCGAGCAAAAAAAAAGCTCTTGGGAGCGAGCAATTATCGATTGTCCCGCTACAATTCATCGTGGGGTTCAATGTGGAGGGAACGACTCATCGCGGCAACAACATCGCGCTGTCACCACTGAGTCAATTCTGTGATTGTTGCACGATACTCGTTCGGAGCCAGCGATTCAGTTCCTGGACTGAACTCCCTTTAAAAAAGGATCAAGGCATACCCGAACACTCCGGTGTAACCGGGTTGCATCAATTCCGTTTCGGACATCAAACAGCAAGAGCTTAGCGAATCTTCTCTCGTCACCTTCATCATCATCGTCACGATAGCACAATGGCCTTTCGCGCCCCAACCCAGCGCGCCGTAGCCGCCCTGGCCCGCAAGTCCACTGCCACCACAGCGGTGAAGCGAACTCTCTCGTCGCAGGCCACTGCAAGCAGCCTGTCCCAGCCCACGAAAGATGCCATTGCGCGCGAGGCGTCCCTGCCGAATCCGGACCCGGCCGCCGACTCGGCCAGCGCGGCCATGGTGAAGGAGCACTCGCAGTACATGCTGGCGACGTACGCGCGGCCGTCGCCCGTGTTTGTCCGCGGCGAGGGCAGTTTCCTGTGGGATCTCGAGAACCGCAAGTATCTGGACTTAACGTCCGGTATCGCGGTGAACGGGCTGGGTCACTGTGACCCGGGCGTTGCGAGGATTCTTGCGGATCAGGTATGCTAGTCTTTTCCTTTGGAGTCCGTGGGAATTTGCGGTATCTTGCGACATCATTGCACACGATTTGCCATGGGAGTTGTTGCTGACAAATCTATACGACTTTGCAAACAGTCAACCACACTCATGCATGCGTCGAACTTGTACTACAATCCCTGGACTGGAGCGCTGTCGCAGCTGCTCGTTGAGAAGACACGCGAGACGGGCGCCATGCATGATGCCGCGACCGTGTTTGTGTGCAACTCGGGCTCTGAGGCCAACGAGGCCGCCCTCAAGTTCGCCCGCAAGGTCGGCAAGCTCCGAGGCGGCGAGGACGGCGCCAAGCACGAGATTGTCTCCTTCCAGGGCTCCTTCCACGGCCGTACCATGGGATCGCTCTCTGCGACGCCCAACCCAAAGTACCAGAAGCCGTTTGCCCCGATGCTGCCCGGTTTCAAGTACGGCACTTACAACGACGTGGCTGCGATCAACGACCTTGTCACGGACGCCACGTGCGGTGTGATCATTGAACCGATCCAGGGCGAGGGTGGTGTCAACGTGGCGACGGATGAGTTCCTCATTGCTCTGGCCCGGCGGTGCCGGGAGGTCGGTGCCGTGCTCATCTACGACGAGATCCAGTGCGGCCTGTCCCGCACCGGTTCCTTCTGGGCCCACGACCACCTCCCTGCCGAGGCGCACCCGGATGTCATCACCACTGCCAAGGCCCTGGGCAATGGCTTCCCCATTGGCGCGGCCATTGTCAACGAGTCCGTCAGCGAGGCCATGAAGGTCGGCGATCACGGCACCACGTTCGGCGGCAACCCTCTGGCGTGCCGCCTCGCACACTACACCGTCTCGCGACTCGCAGACAAGACGCTGCAGAAGGAGGTTCTTGCCAAGGAGCAGCTCTTCCGGCAGAAGTTTGAGGAGCTGCGCGGCAAATACCCGGAGCTCATCACCGAGGTCCGCGGACGGGGACTGATCCTGGGCATGCAGCTCACGCAAGACCCGAACCCGATCGTGCAGGCCGCGCGGGAGCGCGGGCTGCTTGTGATTACGTGCGGCACCAACACGCTGCGCTTCGTCCCGCCGTTGACCATCACCGGGGAGGAGATTGCGCAAGGTCTGGCGGTGCTGGAGGAGGCCATTGAGGCCACCCGGTGATCTTGCCGAGGCTGACTTTCTTGCCAGCGTGCTACGTAATGAGGGATAGTGGCTCGTGTTGTTGAATAAGTTGTTGAGCATTGACTGGCGTTCATCGTTATTTGTTGATTAGAAGACCTAGAGAAAAGCTTTTCTTTATCTCCATTGTACACATTGTCCTCATGCTTGGCTATTATTCATGAACTGTGAGGCCGGTACACAGTTGGCTAAGTATACTTCTTCGAGCCATTGAAGCGAAGATGAACACCATCATGGTCCCTGTGGGAACAACCATCCCCCACAGCCGTACCTGAGGCGGCGGTGTGACTGGCCTTGGCTCTTGAGGAAACTGATATCGTCGAAGCGAAGGTGGAGCTCCTGGGTGGACCTCCTCATCGCCCCCTGACTGTCAAACTCGGGGGGTTTTACATGTGACAGTTTTCCAGAATCTTCGGCTTCTGGCCGGCCGAAGCGGTTCCTGAGCTCTGATCACGCGCAATACAGTAGTGTTTTTCACATCGGAATGAATCGAGGTCATGGTCTTGGTGGGTGGGTGTCCAGCAACGAGACTCAAAACCTGATCAGCCTGCACACACACACAGTCCGTAGATGGAGGTCCCCTCGGGCGTAAGTCTGACGGCACCCGGATGAGGTCCGGATTCCTAGAAGAGCTTGAACGATTGGCTGCCAGGGAACCGGGAACGGAGCGGACTTGTCAGAGCCTGCGTCGTGTAACCCAGCAGGTGTTCCTTCAGCCGGGATGTGCCAATCATGGCCGACAGCCAAGCGAAGAGTGGGCTTTGGGAGGTGCAGCACGTGTCAAACCAATACAAGTGAGTGAGTGTGGGCGGGAACGAATGCACATGTCCCTGCATGCGGCCCCCATCAATATTTGCATGGTGGGGGCAGCAGACGATGAACGCAAGCAAGCCTGGAGAAGTGTGAGCTGGCAATGCCACCCACACTACACTGACCGCAGAGACAGCCAATAGCCACGGCGGCAATGAACAGTTGAATAACCAACGTAAGCATTGGGTGCCGAGTCGCTTGTGGGAAAGAAGGAGAAAGCCGCTTGTGCCCGTGGGGAGGATGGGGAAAACTGGGGCGGGTGCTGCGGAGTCGAGGCTGGGGCAAGCGGGTGACCAGAAGCTATGACGACTGCCTGTCACATGTCAGCAAACGCCTGCACCAACTCGTCGCCGTGCCTGCCTCTGCGCATCCCTACCCAGCCTCGACCTTTGCACCACACTACGAGACCTTGCCCACCACGCCGTGCCTGTCCACACGAACCCACCAGCATAGAAACAGCGTCTGCGCCGCGGTGCCCGTGATTTGCACAGGACCGGCAGCCGACCAGGGAACTCGGCAGGCAGGCAACAAGCAGCGCCCTGACACGTCTTGACAGCCACCACGCGGAACCCGCCGACTCGTGATGGCGCATCCCCACTGACGCCGGCCGCTACCAAGATCACCGGCGTCTGCTGGCCCGGCCTGTCCGGCACCCTAATTCCTACGTCCCTCGTCGCCCTTCATCACCTCCTTTTCTCTCGTGGTCGACTGCGCATGTTGGTTTAGACTGCAGGCTTCAGCTACCAACAGACAGACACAGACACAGACACATCTTGCAACCGCGCCTCGTCCCGGCTCCTCCAACCCCACGAGCCATGATCTGTCGGCGCCGCTCGACATCTCTCCACTCATAGCCCAACAAGACTGCCAGTTTCCTTCCCTCTCGCGTCCTTCGAGGGACTCGAACACGACAACTCGCTGCTTGACATATCCTGGCACATACGCCATCATGTTAGACCACGTTCTGGGCCGGCCGTCGGTCAAGTCGCGTAGGCTGCAAGTCCTCGCTGTCCTGACATTCTGGTCGGTCTACTTAGTGAAGTAAGTCCACATAGATCTCGGGCATCACGTATGCATTCTTCGTCGCCAATCTCGTATTGACCTCATATCTTCAGAGGTCCTCGCCATGGTCCACCACTACTCCGTCGCCTGTCCAAGCTCTCTTCGAGGGCCCTGACGGGATGGCAGATTGTTGTTCTCACCATGGTCTACCTATATGCCACGCGCAACTTCAGCACCATCGTCGGCCTCGCCAGCCCCGAGCCCATGGCCAACATGTACGATACAAAGTACTTCCGGGCCACCTGGGTCCTGACGGCTCTCGATGCCGGCTTCTGGACAGCCATGAAGATCAAGAAGAAGTGGCTCCGCGATTTTGCGAGCATCTTCTTCACCATTTATTACCTCATAGCGGCGGAGAAAGCTGACAACAAGGTTCGCAAGGTGCGAGGGATGATCACCGTCGACCACCTGCGGATCAGCTGGAACAAGGGCAGCACCTCGCCGTCCTTGTCGTTTTTCCAGAATCTCCTTCGGCCGCGCTTCACTCGCTGGCCACCCCGGGCTATCCGTATCCCCAGGCCGAGCACCAGCGACTACAAGGAGCCCGTATCCGCATGGCTCTATTACGATGGGCCTGTGTCAGATCTCGTCCACATCAACAAAATGATTTTGGACATTCCTGGTGGTGGTTTCGTGGCTATGGACCCGAGGTGCAACGATGACAAGCTGTTCGCATGGGCAGGAAAGACTGGGCTGCCAGTCTTGAGTCTTGATTACAAGAAGGCACCCGAATTCCCCTTCCCATTCGCCCTGAACGAATGTTTCGACGTTTATACGACCATTGTGCGCAGTCGTGGGCGATGCATCGGCATGTCAGGCCGTGACGCCCCAAAGATTGTAATCGCTGGCGACAGTGCAGGTGGGAATATTGCAACGGCCATGACCTTGATGATCATCGAGAGCCACATCAAAAGCCGCGGGATAGCCTCTGGACAGCCACCTTTACCTGTACCCGACGGACTACTACTGCTTTACCCGGCATTGGACATGAATATCGGCAACTGGATGTCTGACGAGCAAATGGCGCTCGTCAAGGACCGCGGGACGAAAGCAACGAACAAGAACTACATCCGCCGGAAAACCATGCAATTTAGCGATGTCGCTGGCACACCACACCACTCCGACGATGAGGATGACCAGAGCCCTCCACCACTCAAGCTCGACACCGCAGTGGTGGCCGAGGGACTTGGCGAAGAGGACCAGGCCGCACTCGCCTCTCCGCAACCCAAGTATTCCCATGCTAACCCACAAGAGTGGACGGACAAAGAGCCTGCCAGCCCGGTCGCGCGGAGAAAGTCGCTGTCTCATCAGCCGGAACCTTTACGTACTCGACTAGCCATGTCCTCCATGCTGTCTTATTTCAACGATCGTGTCCTTACGCCAGAGATGATGCGAGCTATGATCATTCTCTACATTGGCCCGCATAATCGTCCAGACTTTTCTCAGGACTATCTGCTGTCGCCGATCTTGGCACCCGACGCCTTGCTACAACTGTTTCCCAAGACATACTTTCTCACAGGCGAGCGGGACCCACTGGTGGATGACACGGTCATCTTTGCTGGCCGGCTCCGAAAAGAGAAGCGCGCGCTGCACGCACAAAGAGTCAATGGCCGCGACCCGACTTTGCTCGACGACTTTGACGAGAAGGATATCTGTGAAGTGGTGCTCATTCCGGGCATCAGTCACGGCTTCATCCAGTTCCCAGCTCTGTACCCACCAGCATGGAAGTTCATTGACCGTTGTGCGCAGTGGGCTGTGGAACTGCTGGACACAGCCGACGCAAGGGCTTTGCGTGAGCAGCAGGCTTGGGAGTTCCACCCTGCGAGCCCACAACAACGGCATCACAGGCGGGTCGAAAGCAGTGGCGATGAAGGTGGCCTCGAGATCAACATGACCCGCACAAGGGGCCGGACGATCAGCGACGAAGGCAAGGCGAAGGGCAGCCCAGGAATAGGAAGCACGTCGCCGCCCATGCCCACGATCTCATCACCAGCTCCTGTCAACGGAGATGGCATGGGCCCAGAAGGCCGCAGCTCCCCCTTGAATGGTGTGAATGGCAATGGCGCCGCCGCGAGCCCGTCCTTGCCGCCTAAGCGCAGGAAACAGGTGCAGAAGTCAAAGAGCATCATCAGACTGAACAGCTCGGATGATCTTCTTGGTAGAAGGATGCAGGGCCTCGCCGGCCCGCTTACTGGAACACACGATGATGCCGACTAGAGAAACACGGGGCCTATATAAGAGACGTATACGAACATATTGCACGACGATGATCATGTGATTGATTTGCTCCACTCACGGGATTGTCTTTGAGGATTCTGCAATGGCTTTGTAAAGTGCACATTGCTGGGCGAAGATGATGCAAATTGGGCGTATGAATTACGATGCAACTCCTGGAGGACTGCTTCTTGTGACGGTTGCATCCGTTTCCCGTGCCAAATCCGTGACCTACGGCGTTCTACAGACCAGAAATCCTTCACTCCTTGACGAACCCTCCCCCATATCGGCGTTTGCGGCAAGTCTGCGCGGTAGTTCACACAGAGATATAAACCCAGGCTCGTCACCCGAGATCTTCACACACGAACGAAGCATAGATATTGTACTGCCAGCAAAAGAGTCGCAGTCAGCACTGGTGCCCTGTCACTTTCCGAGTCCACCGCGAACGAAAGATACACCGAGCTCATTTGCATGCACAACACACTTAATCTCGTGGAAGGGGGTAAGCCCAAAGAGAGAGGGAGAGGGAGGGCGTGTTCTATTTGCATACCAGCCCCGTGGTCTCCTCGTCTACTACAAAAGCCATGTTTGTCCTGTTCTGCCACTGCTGTTGCTGGGCTTTATATATACATATAGAGCCTTTATTTGTCTCCCCTTGCACGCCTTCACGAGCGGCGGCACTATCGATGCGTACAGACACAACAACAACCACTGCCTGCTAGACACTTGTACAATTGGGCAACAGGCTGGCCTCTGTGTGGTCCCGAGTTCCTGACAAGCCCATGGGCGTGTATCGCCTTGGAGAAGAAGAGAACAGAAAAAACCAGTTCTCGTATTTCCATCATGGGCTGCTGCTGCTGCTGCTGCTGCTCCCAACACGAGCAGAATTTCCAGCAGTGTCGTTGCACAAGCCGGCCCCGGGCCGTGCCATCCATCATCACCATCATCAGGGCATCTTTGTAGACCGGTAGAACCCTCATTTGATGCGTGAGCATGCCCGGTTCCCCGTGGAAGGGGCATGAGCACGAAATCTCGGAGCAGCGGTCAATCACATGGCGTGATTAGGATAATATCACGCTGTAAATACCATCAACGCAAGACGTGCGTTCACATGCCATCATCTGATACTCTGGATTAAGACATTGGCTGGCGGAGGCGTGGCGTGCATATATGTCAGCTCAGTATCAAGCTCATCATCCCGTGTCTCTCTCCACCCCCGTTCCTCCCCGACAGAGTAACCTCGACGTGCGTCCCACGATGGCTCTCCCCGGTACATACTCAAATCGGCCGCCACCACGCTCGGCTGCTACCTCCGCCCTGATTGTCTCTGCAACCTAGCCGCCCGCTTGGTTAACCCAAAAGCCCTGGCCAATAGTGGGGGGGAAAGAAGGCGTGTTGCCCACCACCCCGGCGAGCGGTGCGTTACGCTTCCCGCCGCCGATGCAAGATATAATGTACCTGAAATATGGTCATTAAGGCCGCCTGCAGCTCACCTGGGCCGGCGGGCGAGCAGGGAATGCCCGCCCGCCCGATCTCGTGCCGCTTGTAACTTTACGGGATATTAATCTAATCAATGTGCTGCGAGTCGGCAGCCCCGCGACTGCGTGCATATATGCTCCGTGGCCACGATACATGGGGAACGGCAGGCGGAGTAATGGGCTGGCAATTGGGCCGGCCACCGACCCAAAGATCTAGACCGAGCAGGTAGGGCCCATGGCCCCCGCCCTCGCTTTCTTTTTCTCTTTCGGCCGGCGGCATGGAACAAGGGTCCGTTCTCTTCCACTGCCGAGGAGATGACAGGTAGCGACATCAGAGTCATGGCCAGATATCGTTGCTGGGGCCGGTCTTTCCATGCTGTGCTTCCGCCGCTGTTCGCTCCGCCATAATTAGTCGTCCCGCGCATCCATCACAGCACGTCTGGTCCGATGCTAATGCTATTTATTGCCAGGTGCATCAGGCTGGGAAGGGACTCGTCGTACACACGGGGGAACCAGCGACCTCCAAAAATCAAAAAGAAGCTCAGGGGTTTGTTGCATTGTGTCAAGATCCATGCCTGCATCCAGGCCATGCGGACAAGCATACATGCATCCCTTGGCCTGCCATGCCGTGGTCATGCGCGCGTGACAGTCGTGGCGCCGTGGCTTTGTCCATACTTTTGGCCTCGGCTGATGTGGTATCCTCGCTCGTCGCAGCCAAGCAGGCAGCCCTGCTCGGGTGCGCATGCAGAACTCGTTCGTTCAGTCTGTAGCCAGAGCCGTGAAGGATCTTCCTGGCAACTACTCCTCCTACCTTTAGCGATGGAGGGACCTGTTCGTGGGGACAAACTGGGGACGCAGGTTAATAGCTCGTGACAACCCTGTCACGAAGACACGAAAGGCCCTTTCCGAGAACCCACCCCCTGGCCCTGCCCCCTGCTCTTACCCACACATTGTCCCCTGCTTCTTGTCCGGGTACAGTATAATAAGACCAAAGATCCCCCGTTGATGCCCGCATTGGGAAATATCGAGGTGGGGAAAGCGCCGGCGGTGTCCGAGCACAACCCTCCCCGTTGTCCACACAAACTTTGTCGAAGTCAAGTCCTCGTGAGGTTGGCGACCATGTCCTGCTCATTGGTGGCATCGAGAAATCATAACTGCACCATATCCGGCCCCTTGATCCTGATCGTGTCAGCCCAACACTTCCCCTGTCGACCACACCACCGCCGGGATCCGGCGCGTGCCCCCCCCCCCCCAAATGAAGCCGAATGAGCCACTTCGCGAACACGCAATCTCTGGGAGCATCTTGGGTACACATTCGAGAGAATCCTGCAACTCCTTGTGAGCAACGATCTTCCGAACTTCACGGGCTGCGGCGTTGAACAAGAACCGCTTGCTGAGCCATCGAGTTAAAATCCTGTGGCATGTTGCCGGCCGGTCGCCTGTTGTGCCCAGTATCGTGATAGGGACATGATTAATGATATCCTGCTGCCACTCGTAAAGCCAGCCGTTATAACAGGACAGGCTCGTCTCGGCATATGGAGTTGTGCCGTCACATGGCTCGTGAGCTTGTGTGGTCCTGCGGTCGTGTAACGTGACAGAGACCTACGAATAGACCTGTGGCACCAAATACTTCCATTGGCTGACTGTGGATGAAACCGAGGTGTCCTTCAGGCAGAACCCACGAGAGACGTTATTTATCGCGGTAAGATGGAGCATCGGGCATTCAAGATCGAAAGTTGCACAAGGGGCACGGGAGCCCTGTGGTACCCGTTGAGCCTCCCTGTAGCACACCTGCACGTCGCCGCCCCATCGACGGTTCGGCCGGGCGGCAAGCAGCGGAAGTCACAGGTATGCCTGTAGTCCCATGGGCGTCCGGCAAGCCTTTTGCGGCGCTGGGTTGGCTAGCGTAGTTGACCGATGTTGATTTGCGCCAATGTTTTTTTATGCGAAATCTGCAATACGGAACCTCGGCTAGGCCCTTGCTGCAGGTGCATTGTGGGAATCGACTCTCATCATCAAACAACATTACCGGCCCAGTGCTGGTCAGAGCCATTCCACCCCAGGGAGCGCTGCCGAGGCGCAATGCCTGAGATCACTAGGGTCGTTTGACGACCAGCTGCAGGGTCAATCTCGATGACTTGGTGCTGGAGATTAGAATGCATAACGTGCTACCTTTGCTTGCTTCTGAACCCTTTCTCTAGATCTCGAAAGGCATACAGGGATTCCGTCCCTCGATACGCACAGAGCACAAGACTTGTCACGATTGAGCTCCCGGGAGCTAGCTTCGGCAGTTGTGCTGTGGCAATGGATCGTCCGCCGCGTATTCGTCCGAATGCCCCTTGACGGGGCAAGCCGCTTCGGAATTTGGCATATCCGCCTGCAGGGGTAGTAGCACTGGCCAGGTTATGCTCATTGCTGACGACCTTTTCGGTGCAGTACGTATGGTTGCCTCGTGGGAACTTTGTGCTGGCAGTCGACGACGCCCAGCTGATCAACTATGTAAGTGTAGGCGCGGTCCGCATAGTTGATCGCCGCATCGACCACAGGTCGCACTCCTGGGAGTGGCAACCTTCCATATACACTGTACAGACCACAGCCACCCTCGTGGACACGACAGAGGCTAGGTGAAGGACTATCGTGTGTCCGGCCGGAGGAACTTTGCTGTGCCACGTCGTCGCGCACGAGCCAGCAAGTATGGTGCTGGGAGGAAGCCGATCCAAGATCTCGCGACCAGGAGCACCTCACCAGTTGACAGGGGCTATTAGGTGTAGGATTGAGCTGCGTGGATGCCGGGAAGGGGGACTAGGATACCTGGAGCGGTGGTCCGACCAGGCTGGAGAGACGAGCGAGTCATGGACGCATGCCCATGTCTGAGCCTCGATCTTGCTCAGATTCCGCCGACAGTGGCCTGCAGCTCAGCTCAACATGGCGCGTGATGGTGCTTGCTGTGCGTTTGTCGCAACTGCTTGGCCCAGCCCCAATGCCAAGCTCCTGCCACCAATCACCGTGTTCTGGGTAGCCAGCCAGAGAGGGCCGGGTTCCTGCAGCCCAAACCATGAATCGACTCTATCGGATGGATATACGGTCACCCCGCGCACGGGAATAATGCAAACTCACAGTGACCGGCCGGGCATTTCCCTATCTCACCTCCGAACGCATTCGCCGCAAGGGGGCTGCCGACGGGCCCGAAGAGGCGGGCAGGCTGCAAATGTTTCAGAATTGTCCCAGCACTGTGCCATCGGGCATTTACAAGCTCCTCGGTGCAGCCGCATAGATACATGACGGCTGGGCTTGCCAAGCGACTCATGGCAGGCAGGCCCTTGACTGGCCGCCGTCTGGAGCACAATAAGCGACCGGTCGGCTGTTTTCCTTGTCGGGAAACGACTGGTCCCGCGGCGCAACCCTGCGAGGCGCTTGTTTGTTGGCCCGTCAGGCATGGACCGTGGCCACGTCTTGAGCAAGGGACTGATTACTGTAGATGGACGGACTGGACTCAGCAGCTGCAAGGCGGATCTCCTGTGGCTCCTCGCCGGCAGGCGTTGCCGATTATACATTAGCCAGGCTGCATGCGCCAGCACTCATATTGTCCACAATCTCTCCGGGGCTTGCGGTAGTTCCCAGCCCGAGCACTTACGTGCACGACCGGCCGAAAGATGGACGATAGCGGCGGGGACAGGGGTTCTGGCTAAGGTTCGGCGCCGGTGCTGGAGAGAGATTGCCGTCGTGGCTGACTCGCACATTCAGGAGGTGGGTGGCGGCGTGCCGCGCTGTGCGGCAAGGGTGTAACTTGTACTCTGTGGTGTACAGTCTCCGTGAATCCAAGCTTTCGGCACAAGGTGTGTGCTTCATAGTGCTGAGACATGTAGCTTCTGATCGCGGACGGTGCTTCGTGTGCGGCGAAGAGGACCACAGATGCTTCGAATTCGTTGGCATGCCCCTATTGGACCGTCACCTTGGCTCTGTTGGAGACTAAGCACGCGGGAGGGCAACAAGAATATTACGGAGAAAGGAATGCTCCCTTGTAAAGAATGATCTAGATGCCGACCTGGGCGGAACGCGTCATCTGCCGGTCCCACGCTAAGGGTACCCGGCCATTCCCGCCCCTGAGCAACCCACTGGCCCCAAGGCTTGACGGAAAATTTCAAAGACCCATTGATGGTCGGTCTTAACAAGACGCTCGCGAGAGTTTTCTTTGCATGTGTGACGATCCGTACACCTGGCTCCTGCATGTCGGTATTCAAAGCACAATTTAGAGCGCGCCGATCGCTGAGATTGTTCGGCACAGATCGGCGTTGTTCCAGATTGCGAACATGCGAGAAGATGGGGAAGGGGGGCGTCGACAGACAGATTGCATAGTGCTGGGATATCGAACAACTTTTGGTCGAACTGATTTGGGGCTGACATCTCCCCCTGCGTCGTCCGCCAGGACATGTTCGATCTTTTCGATATGATGCCTTGTGCAGTGTCCCGGATCGCTTCCTATGTTCTTGAGACCGGGACTGTGTCCGGAAAAGTGGACATGGACCAGGAATAACAAAGTTTAAGTACCGAGCCAAACAATGTCTGCCGAAGTTCGATTTGTGGCAGGCGGTAAGACCACACTGACCCAAAGGTCATTGAGCATAGCTGAACCCGGGTGCCATGTGCAATGCCAACGGCGGCTCGGCCAGCTCCGCCCGCAAGGTCCTGGGATTGGTTCCCGCAGTCGTGGTTTTGCTTGCTCCGTGTCTCCATCTACGGAGCGTTGCTCATTGGTCAAAACTCAAGGCAGTAACCTTGAGACTGACTCCGTGCAGACTTGACTTCAGACCCTGGCAGTCGGGACTCTCATGTTATGAGCCAAGGTCTGTACCCAGCTCACTCCACCTGTCCTGGGGGAGTTTGGCATTGTTGGGCATGAATTCAACATGTCTTGCTTCAACCTCCCTGGCTGATGGCCATCCCGTGGCCTCGTGCAACGTGATGACAGCAAAATGGGCTGCACTCACAGTAACCCTGGCTGCCTTGATTGCAATTGGGCCGAAAGCTTGCTCAAGAAGTCGGTGCGCGCGCCTGCCGCCTCTGCTCAAAAGCTGTTTCAGGGAGAGGCTTGCGGGGAGTGATGGCTGCTATGCGCGCTTTGTCCATGTGCCTTGAGTCAATTGTGGCCCTTGCATGTCTCGACAGTGCTGTACCATGGTTGTGAAGCCAAGAATCCGGGATTTTGAGTTGCCCTCGAGCGCGGAACTGGTCAGACTTCCATGAACCCTGCGTCACCCGATTACTTCCCGCCAATCAAAGTCACAGCTAGTGGAATCCTGGAGAGACAAGCGTCTCATCTCAACCGACAACAGCGCCACAAGTCGGTGTGACAAAACCCAGGCCGAGAGTGCCTCTGTACAAACATGAAGCCTAGGCAACTCAACTGTGCGTTTCGTGCAGATTCAGGGCACTTCAATCTTTTCCCGGGATGTGTTCTTGCGGGGTTGGCTTTGTTCTCATAGTCTTTCGTAGTGCTGGAAGCATGGGGACGGCGGATCCACATCACCGGAGAATTCGCTGATTAGAGTACCTTGGCTAGTGGCACGGTACCATGAGGCTCAAATATGGCACATCCTAGCTTTCCGTCCGTTTTCGAGCATCGAACTTGACAAGTTTGGCCCCGATGCTCACGTGGCATTAAGGAACGATCGGGAGCCACAGGACTGTTATGTTTGCCGCCTTTTATGTGGAATCATAGGCTGCGACGTGAGCCTCTGCCGATATGTTTGTCATGTACAACTCATGGTTGCTTTGAGCTTGCCGTACGCATTCCAAACGAGCAAAGGAGATGTATTTTGGTGCAGTACGAGCCCAATCGCTGGGCTTTTGCACTGTATATTCCGCAATATCCAGAGTCTCTTGGTCGTTGTTTATGGATGCCCGTGGGACAAACTTGGAGAATGAACGCCCGAACAAGTAAAGAAACTGAAACGTCCAGCAGAGTTTGACTGACATCATCTCCGAGTCTCGATGGTTGACGCAAAAGCCAGCTTTGCGACTGGAATATGCGGCCTTGTAAGACAGGCTGATCCGTCGGAACGTTCCGGCAGTGGGCCGGCAACTCAATTTCGCCCTGGAGACACTTAGTCCTAATCTTCCAATATGGTGTTGGCTAATCCTGCCTTAGCTGACGGACCAGGGGCGAGCGGAGGCACTATACCTGTCCGCCACACAAGCGGCATTAGTGATTCGGGCAGCAAATTTGCCCGGCGTCCATATATTCTGCCCTTAGCTGTACGCCAAAAGCGCTTCGATGCCGACTGCCGCAAAGTTTCTCAGGAATCGTCCCAAGTGCTGATAATCCGAATGCACAAATCATCTGCGTGTTCTAACGACAAAGGCGCTTCGGAAAATATACAAACCCAGGCCCGGCATTGTCTGGCCGTGGTCTGTGAGTCCACCTCCTGTGGGTTGCAACCTGCCTTGCCACATTACGTGGTCGGCAGCCTAGCACTTCAATAGTGGTCGGCTGGGGTGTATGAAACTCCAGAGAGTCTCCGAGAGGCGTGGAAGTATCCTTGTCAAGCCTGAAGATACCTAGGCGAGACCTTGGCCAGGCGAGGATGTGACTGGTTTTCTTCCTCCTGCGATCCACGACCGTAGGCATCGGGCATCGGGCAGCTTGATACTGGCAGAACCAAGTAGTCCTTCTGTAGTACTGAAGGGTCGCCTTTGTGGGGATGTTCCTTGAAAGCACGCGGTTGTATTTGTGATTTGCTCGCTGCCATTGCCGACGTTTTACCAAGGAGATGCAGACACTTGAAATGGCTTCGGTGGGTCTCGGTCCGGGGCCAATCCACCCATCACGCAGCTGGTCAACAGGGTCTATGTCGTGGCCCCTGTCATGGTTCCGATGGCTCCAAGAGAAGAACGAGGTCATGCTCGTTGCGACTGGGTTCATGCACAACAATTAGAGGCGGCCATGGAAGAGGCGAATTCCCCAGAGGAGTCGACATGTCAAGGAACGAGTCGGGTACTCCGCTCCGAAGGATTGTCTTGTGAGTATTAATGCCCTGCGCGGGTGAACCATGCTAGAAGAAGTCCACGCCTTCCATGAGCCGTGTCTTTCGTCCGTGAGAGCGAGCCTTTGGCGTGGTGTAGTGATTGGCGAAGAATGACGACCCTTCGGCAGCGCGGCCGTGTTCATGGGCGGCGTTGGACAGCGTGCATGGGTCGAGAAGGAGCGCAAAGTAATGCCCCCAGCATCTTGGTTCCGAATGCTGTTTTGGCACACGGAGAGCCCCGGAAACCCTTGTCGGCGGCTCGGTACCCTTGGTGCGGACCCGAGTCAGTGCTGTGGAGAGGCCACGCCGCCCAAAGGTACTGAAGAAACCACAGGAGGTGACGAAGAGAGGACGCTCTTGGGGCATGGATGTTGACAGCAGGCAGGGGAGAGAGCCCGGATCATGCCCGGCTTGGTGGCCAGCGCCACACGGCGGCGTGGCAAGCCTCCATGCGGACGTCGGGGGGAGGGGAGGAGCGCTGCAGCTGATCGTGGCCCGCTGTCGTTGCCGAAAGGAGGAGTGTGGGCGTGTCTGCCGTACGAAATGCTTGGCCAGCAGGGCGCTACAGGCGGGCGAGCCGGTGCCGAGCGAGGAGGGTGTGAGATGGGAAACGGGTTGAACTCTCGTGGGCGGCGAGGGTGCGTGCGTACGGGCGGTCCGTGATGCTTGGCTTGGGGTGGGCGGCACGCTAGTGCTGCCAGAAGCGACTCCCACCCCCGGTCGATGCTCTGCCGGGCACCTGCCTTGCGCCGGCCCCCAGCCAAGCGCTGGCGAGGCAGGCAAGTCGACGGTCGGTTGCGAGATGGACGTGTAACTACGGCACGCCTGGCCTGGGCATGGACCAGCCCGGCGCTCGTCCGATACAAGTAGTTGGGTTGGGATTCCTGCTATGTGCTGCTGTCTCGTGGGCGCTGAGTCCTTGCATGGGGTTCCCATCAGGCACGGGGCCGCGCCTGCCACTTCTGCACATCGTTGACTCGTCGTCGACCAGACACACCAGACCAGACCAGACGCACCTTGGGGCCCGGCTCCGTGTCCATCGCTTTGCTGTCTTCCAAGCGTGTCAGCCCTCCGCATGCCCGTCATCGCCGCCTCGCTCCCTGGACTGGACTGTGCCCACCGCCCTGGACCGTGTCTCGTCGGCTGGCGGCTTCCCAAGATCGTCTCTCCTCCTCCGCCTCTCTGCTCCGTTCAGACTGGGTCCTCGTCGTGCGTCCTCGGCCGGTTCCCGATCTTCAGGGCCTCGCCTTGTCCCTGACCCCTTCGCCCATCCTAGCCTCTGTGGTGCCCCTCAAGCGTCCTCGGCCCCCGTAATTGTCTTCCTTCCCAGTCGCGATCTGCTCCGAATCCGACTCTATCTCGCCGGGCCCTAGGCAGTCTCTTCGGACCTTCTAGCTCTCGCCTCGTCCTTTCCCCAGCCGGATCGCCGCCAGGCCATGTTTATTCCCTTCTCATACCTCTTTGCCCATCTCTCCCGGCTTCCAGTTGATGTTAGCCTCTCCCGTAAGGCGAACACGGCCGCTTCTTGCGTGCGAGACTTGTCGACGACCGTCCTCGGCAACCTTCGCTGCCACCACTTTGCGGCAACACTCAACCCTCAGAGTTTCGTGTCGTGGAAGGCAACATCCCACGGCACATCCCCGTTCCACTCCTTGAGCATTATATGCTTCTTCGCGACGCCCAGTCTTGCTGTAGCCAGGAGCTAGCGACCCGGAAGCTCATTACGGGGAGAAACCGCCATCTAGCCGCATGTGTACGAGAGTGGAAACTTTCTGTAGCAGGCTGTATTAGCGAAGGGCAACGCAGTGTGCTTGTGGTGCCTCTCCGGGCACTGATTCGCTTGTGACCTGGCTTGGAAAACCAGTGAGAGGACCCTAGCAATCTACAGCTCGAAAGTCGAGGTCGTCACTATAGTTCGCTCATACGGCATAATAGCACGCTGAGAGCTGCCTCAGACATCCATTCCACTCTTAGATCGTCACGGCAAATGCTGGGGTTCCGGCCTTGGTCATCAGCTTGACAATGCCAACACCATCTCAGGCCTCCTTCACGCGGTCGCCAAACGCGTCCCACCGCTCATACGATTCGTCTTCAGTATCCTCCGCGACCTCCCCAAGGCCGACTTCGCAATATCTTGGAAGCTTGTCGGCCAACAGCGCGAGATCTAGTGGCGGCCATGCCGCTCAACAACACAGCGGTAGTATAGGTCTCCCTGCTGCAGCTCAATCGGTCTTCCACTCCTACAACCCCAGAGGCACAACACCAGTCGGAGGCAGAGAGTCCATGGCTTCCAACGAGTCGGCCGGCGGCACGCCTGGCCTCTCCAACGCACAGCTATCAGCCAATGTCCAGGCTCAAAAGCGAGCCTATCGCCAGCGACGAAAGGACCCTTCGTGCGATGCCTGCCGAGAACGGAAGGTCAAGTGCGATGCCACAGAGACGACGAGCTGCTCGGAATGCTCGAGCCGCAATGTGAAGTGCCAATTCACAAAGGAAACTAATCGACGAATGTCGTCTATCAAACAGGTGCAGGACCTTGAGAAGCAGGTGGACAAACTGAGAAGGGAGAACAGTCATTTGAGGCGCACTGTTCATGATCATGATGGCCGCATGGACATCGATGTTGACATGATGGACACGAGCACTGTGCCGCTTCCTGGCATGGAGACAAGACCGAAGACGCGGCGACGGCCAACACAATCCGCAGATCAAACGCGAGCTAGGGCAAACTTTCGAGATTTCTCACGAGGGCTCATAAAACCTCCAGGACCGTTTCGGGGGCAGCCGACCACCTTCATGTTTGAGCCGGTCAAGCCTCGAATTCCATCCAAGGCCTTGACCGAGAAGCTACTCGTGGCGTATTACGGCGCCGTCCACCACGTGTTACCGATTTTGCATTGGCCAACGCTACAGCATGCAGTCGATGAGCTGTATGTCGCCACCGACCTGAGCCGGGTCCCCAACTCCTGGCTTGCCATGTTCTTCGCTGTTCTTGCAACGGGAAGCCTCTTTTGCGACGAGCCTCACCCGCAACGTGTACTGCAAGCCGGCCAGTTCCTGGAGGCATCCAGGGGCTTATCAGATCCTTGGAATAACGATTTTATACTTGAGGACGCGAGGGTGTTCTTCTTGACAGCCTTCTGCTTGAACGAGATGAATCTCAAGTCTGCCGCTTGGACTACTCTCGGAAGTGCGGTCCGGTGTGCCCAGGATCTGGACCTACACCTGGAGGCCAGCACAAACTCGCGCGTGGAAACAGATATGCGAAGACGGGTATGGTGGGCGATCTACATTATGGATCGAACACTGGGTTTGGAGATGAGCCGCCCCTTCATGATCAATGACGAGGACTGCGATGTTCAACTGCCTGAGCCATATGATGATCACCATCTTCATTTCGAAGGTCCGGTCCACCCCTTAAACGGCACCGCTCTCACACATTCGATTCACAAAGTCATCAATGTCGTTCGTTCCTTTTCGGCATTGCGGCATGCCATGTCGAGTACTACGATTCTGCCAAAACAGCTCACAGCCCTCGATGCGCATTTGGCTTATTGCCAGCGCCAGTTTCCGGCACCGTGCGACCCAGCCAGTGATGCCAAAATCGGGCCATACATGCTCGTTCCGCTGGCATACCTTCTCAGTGCTCGATTAGCGTTACATCGTCACAACATGGCACCCGAGTGCCCGCGCGAGCTCCGCGTCGACGCGATTGAAGCATGCACCGCGATATCCGCAGACACCGCGCTTCTCGTCGCCCGCACCCAATCCCTCGAAGATGTCGCCACCAGCCTTCTCACCGCCCACATCTTTCGTTGCGTTCTGTTTTTGCTGCTTCGCGGCTGGTACGACCGCGCCTTGACTTGCATTTTAGCCCTCAAATCGATCGACTGCCGTCGTGACGCAGCAATCCCCTGCGGGCGATACATTGCCTTCTTTGTCTCCGTTCTGGCAAGCAGGCACTCAGAGGTGACTGGTCCGAGATCAGCCCAGCCCGGCTATCACGGAAATGTGCCATACGGCGGTGTACCCGGCCCAGTCTCAGACGCGCTACTCTACGACCAAGAGTTACTTACATATCTCAGTGCTGACCTGCAAGGCGGACTGGAGTCTGGCTGGGTTTGGGACCGCGCGGAGTCCGACAATGCAACAATTCTGCGACCAGTTGGTGGGGGGCTGGCCGATCATAACAACCGGACTGGCCTCACTACGGATGAGCAACAAAGCTGGGGAGGGTGGGATAATCTGCTTGCTGCTGTGCGGGATCTGGCTGCGACGATGCCGAGCCCGATCTCGACATATGCTGCACCACAACCTTTGCCACCGCTCAAGTTTGAAGCTGTTCCGAACCACTCACCAGCCTCCACTATGAGACCTTTAGTGGACCACAGCGCTGGGAGACCGGTCGTCTCCGCGGAGAGCGGGCGAAGCACAGAGAGAATCAGCATTGCCAATATCATCTAAGGGTCGTGGAAATCTTGCGAGATCTCGTCTCGCATACTCTGAATCCACGATCTTAGCCCTTGAGAAGGCTGTGGTCGGATTTGCATCGACCCCACAACTTGTCGAAAGTGACGGAATAAGCCGGTTCCGTTGGCCGTTCACGCAACCGCTTTCACTGATGAGTGTTTGCGTTTGTCCTGTTGACTGACGGACACGTCATACCCGGGACTGAAATGAAGCCATGGATGGCGTTCCTTTGACGACATGATCATGACTCATCGCGCCAACGAGACACGTAGCGACGTCCTTGATTTCTTTGATTCTCTTACTGGTTATGGAGCCAACAAAGCATGGTTTGAATTTTGAGCTGAACTATAGAGCATTTTGGAGTGGAAGGAAGCACTTTTCCGTTTCAGTGCGGCGTTATTTAGTGTGTGGTTTTATTGCAATGACTCTGAGGCATATGCACAAACATTTTGATACCCACAGCGACAGATTTCCCGCATACTTTGTTCTAGCATCTCGGGATTTGGCTTTGCAAATAGACAACACGGCCGTTTTCACAAGGGCTTGGAGTATGCTTGTGCTGCCTCACGTTGCCTTTGCCAGTCAGAGACAGAGGTACACAACATTTCACGGGTCAAACAAAAAATAAAGCCATTGAAAAGCCCAGAATGCGTCTCTTGTTGAGAAGTCTCTATTCATTTCCACTGAGAAGGGGGAAGAAGGACACAGACCACGGGAAGAACCACGAGGACATTTTTTGCGGCACGTATATATGTATATATATAAGCTATGTACAGCATCATTTGCTCATCTCGATGACAGGAGGGGTCATCAGTAATAGAGATGGAGGACAAGACTCGCTAGAGAAAGGCACAGAGAGAAAAAGAGAGAGAGACCGTGTCCGCAAATGATAACACGAGTTGGAAAGACGTGTGAGAAATTGCAAGCCTTCATTGTGATGACATACAGAAAACAAAACCAGAAAAGGAATGCCGTAAATGACCAGGGATTGGGTTATAATACAAGCTCCGCCGGCTCCACTTATCTCATGAACAGAAGAAGACGACAAAGACTAGGAGGTCGTGAGGGTCGGACCGGTAACAATCAGCTAGCCAGCCAGCCATGCTGGATGCAACTCGACTCCGACTCTCCGAATTTCCCCCCTCGCTGATTTAATCAGAACCGCTATCGAAGCCCGGGGCGCCGCCGTTGCGGGCGTAGTCAATCTGTTGCTTGAAGCTGCTGTCCTTGAGGGCGAACGAGGCGCTGCCAAAGTCGTGGTTGACGAGGGTGTCACGGACGCCGGCGTCGGCGAGGGCCTGCCAGTTGACGAGGGCGCCGCGGAACCAGACGCCCTTGTGATTCTCGATGTTGTCGTCGTCGGCGCTGGCGAAGCGGAAAGCGTGGGTGCTGCCGCCATCCTTGTGGTAGACAATCTTGGGGTGGTCGCCATCCCAGCGGACGCCGCTGTCGTCGGCGTTCTTGGTATCGTAGTCGCCGTGCGCAGAGGCGGCCACGATGCGTGCGGTGTTGCCACCCTCCACGAAGACGATGATGTGCTCCCAGTCGTGGCGGTGGCCGCCGGCATCGATGACGTGCTGCACGGCAACGTCCTTCTCAAAGTAGTAGTCGTAGACGTGCGCGCACCAGTTGTTGTTGCACCGCGTACGCACGTAGACGTTGTTGTTGTCGAGGTCGCTCTCGTCGCGGCAGTCGTCGGCGCCGCCCGTGTAGTTGTGGTCGAGGCCCTCGGCGACGTTGCCCGAGCTGTCGATAGCCGGCGTGTTGTAGCACCCGTCCGTGTCGAAGTCGAGCGCAGGCTGCCAGCGAAGCTCGGCCTCCGAGGCGGACTGGGCGAGGCCGCGCGGAGGGTCGCGCTTGTCCATCATGATGGAGCGGTAGAGCTTCATGGGCTCCTCGGGGATGGTCAGGGGCGAGGCGAAGGTGGTGGCCGATCCGAGCAGGATGGCGAGGCCGGCGGCGGCAAGGCTCATGTTCTGGCGGGCCATTTTGAAGGTGGTGGTAGTGGTAGTAGGAGTTGTTATATTTGATGGGATGAAAGGAAGATATCACCACTCGTGCTGGCTGTGATGGTAAAAGTGGAAGGTTGTGGTGTTTTTGTGCTGTTGCTGTTGGATGTGTTGATGCTGAGCTCGAGATGAAGCTGAATTTGGGCGACTTGCGCGAGCCCTTTTGTATCCGGGAAGTCTAGGACGATTGTTCTATTCTCGTACGTCGAGGACTGTGTCGTCTGGATCAGTGATGCCGTGGGGAGCTGATGAGTGCGATGACGATGTCGCGTTCAGGAATAGACACGGTTCTGTTGCTTTTCGGTCGCGGACAGGCTGTGAGATGCTCCCAGCGCTCAAGGCTGGGCTGAGCGTGTCGATCAGGCGGGAAGCCCGATGAGGGGATCGACAGAAGGTCTCAAGCGACGAGATCTAAACGTCTTGGCTGACGAGGGGCGGGATCGATGCTGCCGCCTCGAGGGCGAGCGCAGGCAGACGCCGTGCACGACGAGGATGATGCGATCAGCCATGGCTGGAGTCTCTAGCCGGACGCGACCTGAGTTGGGGCAGGTAAGGTGAGGTGAGGTGAGGTGCAGGTGGTGCCTTGCAGACCTGGGGCCGTCTGCCTCAGGCGCCAAGGCCGACCATGCGGGATGCCATTTTTAGAAGGCACGGGTTAAGCATAAGTTGAAGAGGCAGATTGGCGATGTCCAGTGCTCAGCTAGCCGACCTGCCAAGCGCGGGGGCCAGCGGGCCCTGGCTGGTATGACGACACACTGCCGCCAAGAATAGGACCTTTTACAAGGCCAGTCAAGAGCTAACCCTTGGGAAGGGGATGTTGCCGATCCCGGATCCGCACGTGGTGAGCGCGAGTGGGTATGGGCGGGTGCACAGGGCTGCTACGCCACACCCGCGATCTGCAACGCATGCCACCATCACTTACTTACCCAAAGGTAATTAATCACTGAGGGTCCTTGTTGCTCGTCAAGGGAAGTTCTGCCTCTCTCGCAGTGCCAAGCACCACAGATGCTATAACTGGAAACAGGCACTAACTAGCACTTGACTCTTCACCTTGGCATGCAACACGCTCAGCCCGCCCGCGGCTAATTCCGCCGAGACACCCTGAGAGACGCTGAGCTAATAGTGGGATGACTTCCGTGTCCTGCCCGCTCTGATGATATCATCAACGACGGCACTTGATTTTGTTTTTCTTTGTCTCTTTCTGTTTCCCTCTCATTCTCACTCTATACTTCGTAGTGCGTGGGGGGAAAAGTCTCGGCGGCGCAAAAATGCCGATTATACACCAAGTACTCAGGTGGCGTGGTTGCCGAGCAGGCGTGGTTACTGGACCAGATCTCTTTTTCGAGTAAACAGGAAACAAAAAAAGGTAACAATCGCGTTACACCGCAATGCACCACACCAATTACGGCACAGTCCTCCGTAACCCGGCCCCGGTTTTCCTGCCCTCCTTCCCTTTCTGCGTTGCAGATCTTGCGGGGGGTGGAAGGGCAAGGGCCCACGTTGTCGTCACAGGGCTCAGGGCCGCTGGTCAACAGTAAATGTGAATGGACCCCGAGATGTCTTGTCTTGTCCTCCTAAAATCTCACCTCAGCCGGCCGTGTCCCTTTCATCGAGATCTTCAGTCACTCTTTCTTGTGGACCTCTTCTCTCCACACACAGATCAGTATGCAGGCAGAGAGGGAAGCAGGCACGGGCAGGGGAGTTAGGGACATGCCTGTCGTGTTGTCCCCTCATCCGAGGCCCAGAGACGAGCTCGGTGAGAGAGTTGATGTACAGGACTTCGGTCTCTAAGGCTGTTTCAGAAGAAGAAATAAAATTAGAACTATGATAACAAAAAGGGCCCGCCAACCGGGCTCCGGCACAGCCTCTCCTGCCTGTCTGTCTGCCTGTCTGTCTGCCTGTCTGTATTTCCCTTGGCATATTACCTACTTAGGTAGATCGGGCCAATGGCTAGTAGATCTTTCGGACACACACAGCTCTCCAGGCACATGGTGCCCGAATTAGCCTCGACGATCACCACTGGTTATGGTTTCTTGTGGCGCTTATTCGCATGCATGACTGCCATGAATGGCCCTGCGGCTCACTAACAGCCTCCTGGCAGTCATCCTTCCTGTACCTGTACCCGATGTCCGCGAGGCGGCCTGACAGGTGTAAGATCCGATCGTGATCTGGAGCGTTTGGTCTAACATGCCCCTGTCGCAAAATGGGAAGCAAAACATTCGCGGTGCTGCTCTGCAGCCGAGTTTCCGAGACTAGCACGTGGCCGAGTCTAGACGGAACCGTGTCCCCTGATGCACAACCTATTCTTGTTTTGGCGGCAGGGTTGTCCCACTGCCTGATCTATTTTCCTTGGGGTTCATCCCCGAGCAAGCCAAGGGATCTTTTTCTGCACGTCGATGCTAATTTAATGTTGATGACATCACTTTCACTCTTCAGAGGATCTAGTATTGTAAGGAAGGATGGGCTGGGAGATGTCTGATACCTCCGCCGACTGAGCTTATACGATACGTGGGCGTCTCGTGAGAAAGGCAGAGGAGCCCGTGTCCCTCGGTTTTGTCCCTCAGATTGATCCACGCGCTATGGTAAAGAGACGCTCCTCGGTCCTGGAAAATCCTATGGGTGGATCCCAACATTAAGCGGCTAATTCATCGGAGGGGCTATGTAGATATCATCAATACGAAATCATTTCTCCTGGGAAATCATCCGTCAACTCGGGAGTAAGTCGCATGGCTGACTCAAATGACATTTAGAAGCAGCAGCCTTCCATGTAGCTTCAACGGTGCTATGTTCACAGACATGAGCACAGTATTTCTCACAGAAGTGTGCCAGCAACGCATCCCTTTTGAGGCAGGCCGCAGCCTCTAGTAAAATCGCGGGACTTCGCAGTTTGAGACTAGTGCTAAGCTTTGTTTCATTGTAGCAGCTTGAGGGTTGTACGGCGTGCAACTAAACCGGCCCGCTACTGCCTCCTGTCATCGTCTCTGTCGACCCCACGCTTTCACTCAGAGGCCTTAACAAATTGCGTGTGTCTTTCCGTGTTTTCCTTGCAAAGAATGTTTCTCCCGCTGTTCATTTTGTTAGCCCGTGCATAGTACAACTACTAGATTCAGAAACTTACGCGGAACTTCTCGTGGTTGTGCTGAGATTTCCGGCTGTTGACAGAGTGTTTCTTGATCATCTCGTCTTGCCTCTTGACCGTTTCGCGATCCATGTTCTCAAGCAGGCCAGTACACAGGATGATATCCCTGATGAGTGCATCGCAGCGGGTTCTCGAGAAGTCCTCGCGGACCACAACACGCAGCATCTTGAGATTGTCAGTGTGCGGCGCCATTGTGTAAGCTGGCACGATGAAGCCTCGAATTCTGAGCTGGTGGGCCAAGGCGAACTCGTCGTAGTGACGGTTGGGGTCGTCCTTGAGGCGGAAAGCCACCAGGGGAAGACCTTGCCCAGACTTCTTGCTCATGATCACGAAGCCTTGATCTTCCAGCGAGGCTGACAAGTAATCGGCTGTCCTTGTGAGGTTTGACATGATGGCATGATAGCCTTTACGACCTAGCCGAATGAGCTGGTAATACTGGCCGATGACCTGGGAAGCACCCTTGGAGAAGTTCAGTGTGAATGACGACTGGTCGGCACCCAGGTAGTTGATGTTGAAGACGAGTTCTTCGGGCAGGTACTCGGCACCGCGGAAGACAACCCAGCCAATACCAGGGTACACCAGCCTAAAAGGCGTCAGCTGCTGGCACATGCAATAATAACGGTTATGTGGCGAATAGCCAGGAGAAAGATACGCGTACCCATACTTGTGTCCAGAGACATTGATTGACACAACGTTCTTGAGGCGGAAGTCCCACTGGAGGTTGGGGACGACGAATGGGGCCACGAAGCCACCACTGGCGGCGTCCACATGGATGGGACACTCGATACCGCGCTTTTCAAGGAGATCGTTGACGCCCTTGACGTCTTCGTACTCGCCGGTGTATGTCGTGCCGAGAATGGCACAAATGCCAATGGTGTTCTCGTCGATGAGATTGACGGTTTCCTCCGGGTCGATCACGAATCGCTCAGGGGTGCAATACACTAGCTTTTCCTCAATCTCAAAGTACCTGGTGGCCTTTTCCCAACAGACCTGGACGGCCGACGACATGATGATGTTGGGGTTCTCTGTCGATTTGCCCTCGGCTTTTCTCTTGTTCTTCCAGCGACGCTTCATGGCGAGGACAGCGAGCATGATGGCCTCGGAGCTGCCCACGCAAGATGTGCCTACAGCACCACCGGCCCCTCCGTCACGCTGCGGTGCGTTGAAGAGGCGGGCAATCATGGAGACACATCGGTTCTGAATCTCCGCCGACTGAGGGTATTCCTCGTAGTCGATGAAGTTCTTGGGGAACGCCTCTGTCATGAGCTTCTCTGCCTCTTCCTCCTGTAAAGCACTGTCAGCTGGTTGCTGCCCTCAGACTCGATCGGCTGTTCGTGGCCCTATTGTCTCTGCCCAGGACCTACCATGTAAGTGGTCACAAAGGAAGCCAGGCTTAATTCACACAAAATGCAATCAGTCAGTGTGATCTCAAGGACGCTCGTTTCTTGGAGTCACACACTTGAGTATGGGGTTGCCGTCAAGGCTGAGCTCGTCCTTGATCATGCGATAGGCGACCTCTCTGGGCATCTCGTTTTCGGGCATCTCCGTGGTGGGGAGATCCTGACCGGCATAGCGGGAGCCATAGACACTGGTCGTGAACGAGTCGTCGTCGTTGGTGAGATAGAGGGTGGCATTGCGTCGCAGGCCGCCGGCAGCCGGATCGGACTCCTCAGCAGGAGGCATTGAGACCAGATGAACCATGATGCCTGGCTTGATCTCTGTGGTTGGCGACGATCAGCGGGTTGAGGCAGTGCGTGGGTTGCTCCTGCCGTGGTGAGAGCAATGCGGGGGACAAGAGGATAGACGTTCTGGAAGTGATCCAGCGACGCCGAGCAGTGATCGAGAATGACGTTCTTCAGTCACACAACAACAATCGTGACGAGGACAAGACGAGTGAACAGAGGCCACGCAAGCTGGACGACGACGACGCTTTTATACCGCATGGCCTGGGTGTCGTCCTCCAGTCACACCGCGCGGCCTTTGCAGCGTGGGCACACAGGCGCGGGGAGGGCCGCGTACAGCTTATCCTGCAGGCGTGTCGGAGCTTCCTTCTCAGCCGTGAGGGGAAACTCTGTCTGGCCGCAGCTATCCATCCCAAAGGGCTCACCACTTCAGCCCACTCAGACCTGTCCACGTCGACTGGTACCTTCCCGTCCTGCATGGCACCAGCTGTCGCGCGGTCTCTCGCTGACGCCCAGCCGTGCCAACTGCAGCTCTTGTCATCATACGACAAGCCCCCAATGCCACGGATGGGGTGTTGAACGTGCGGTGCTGCTGCCGCCAGAAACTTGGCACAAACTTGGCTTTTTGGGGTACTGCATCGAGGAGGGGCAACCCCCGGCCCATCCCGCCCACGATGCGCCAACTACGCTCCACGATCCACCTCCTCACCTGGCACCACATCCCAGCTCGCAAGTCTGATTCGTTCAATGGCTGGCCCTGGCAGAGCTAGTCGATGCACCACTCCAGGAACGGCTGCAAGCTGATTGTTGGCGACACCAAGAGTTGATCATAAGCGCCTGGACGAGGATGAAGCACTGACTGGATCGCCAGGTCTAAGCGACTTGTGTTGGCGTTTTCGGCTAAGGTAGGTAGACATTCTGAAGAGTTTCTCGTTCATCATGGCGGGACCAGAACCTGCCTGAAGCCGTATTCGTCATCCAACTTCGAATCATGCAGCCACGACACTGCAAAATATCTCCTTGTAGACAAATTGATGTACGCGGCCTTTCCAACCAGATCAGCACTGTACGATGAATCAAGAATCGCCCGATAGAGCGCGAGGACTTACCTGAATTGGATGATAGGCACTGCGGAAGTCCCACGAATCTGGGAGATGGCGACAAAGCGGGGGGCCACCAAATTTGAGCAGGAATTTCACCTTCGTGGACGAAACAGGCTCTTCTTTGCCCGCAACGAACGCATCAACCCAGGCTGGAAATTCTGAGCTTAGACACCCTTCCTGTGTCATATTCGCAGGGAACTTGGGGCTATCGAGCTCGATTATGATCTCCCTTGGTCTCTCAACAGGCACCACGCACAGTCCGCATGTCTCGAGTCTCGGTAGCTGCCCGAGCAAGTCCGCGGCACTTTGGTCGGCTCTGGTCTCATTGCTCGGTCTCTGACTGATCCAGAGATTGCGCAGATGACGAAGCCTGGGTTTTGCATGGCGAGGCATCCGCTCCAGCAAGTCAGAGAGCTCGCACCCAGGCCGCTGGCCACGGCTCGCATGGAGGCGGAGCTTTTGCCAGTACAGCTCGCGACCTTCCGAGTAGCACAGTCTACACGTCGCCATTATTGACCAATGGCTCGACAACTTGAACGACATTGTGGACTCTCCTTCAGTAGGACTCAGAACTTCTGCCACGGCATCCTGGAACACGTAGCCATATATCATGAACCGAAGCTCAGGAGGCAAGCGGCCGAATATATCTACTTCGAACATCTCTTATGTTTCGTGCAACGATCTGGCCGCGCCCGTTTGATGAGAGCCTGCAACTGCGTCCTCGTTGCAACTGCCGGTCGATCGTGATCGTGTTACAACAGCAACAGCCCCGAGGTTCTGCCCGCTGATCAGCATTTCTTGTCGTTATCGCTTCGCGGGTCTGCTTGCATTGGCAAAGTTCAACAGGTGGTTAAGATACTTACGGATATGAATGCGTGAGTGAGGTCTCAACTTCTGAACGACTTCACCGGTTGTTCTCGATATTGCTGCATATACTGTCGTCACAAGGGGGCTCGACATGGTTCAACTACTGGCAGAGAACACGTCGGGCACGCGACAGTCCGCTACTTAATATGATCGGTCGACACCCTGTATCTCCCGTCTGTCGTCGACTTCGCGACTCCATATTTCCAGGGGTTACCTGGATCTGGGTCCCACCTGCCTGGGGTTGGCAGCACCATCTGCTCAAATACGCCGGCCAATCCCTGGTTTCGAAGCGTTTTGATTAATAACGCGCGGATTAGCAGCCGAGCGCGACTGTTGGGGAATCATCCTATTTCACCCGATCATCTTCTCGTCAACAACCAAATCAAAAGCCCCTGCGATCGCAAATTTACAACTCAGTCGTAGTTCCGACATCATACAGATGCAGAAATAAAGCTGCCAAGTGAAACTGAACCTGACACTGTCGCACGACAGTATCGCCAGATTGCTGCAGCAGGCACAAGTTCGTTGCGCATCAGAGCTGTCCAAGATGCAAATGCACCCTGTGACCTGTGATACGAACAGGCGGATTGTAAAAGTAGGCCGACTGACAAGCCCGGTATTCTAGGTTAACATGAAATGGGCAGCCCAGATTTTGTGAGCCCCAACTGCCCATGCACATGGGATTTCCAGGCTCAGGGTAAGGGGAGATGGAGCCTTAGCTGCGTACTTGGCAGGTTGGCCCCCGGATGGTGACGTCGGAGGCTTTTTACCCCTTACAAGGTCCCGCACACTTTCACCTGCAGCACACCAGACAGGGCCTTCTGCTACAGTAGTGTCAGGTTGTCTCTCAGGTACTTACAGTTGCTGCGAATCCACTCACGTACTCCGCTGCAGGGTCAGATTTCGAGGCACCCTGATGAGGCCGCGCTTTGAATGAGTGCCGATACGAGCAGTAAGTAATACGCGCTCCCCAGGTGCTGTGCCATCCTCCAGAATGATCTGAATAATACAGTTGTCGGGACGAGGCCCCTTTGATGCTGTAATCCCCTGGTGGACTTATATAGGTTTGGCAGCGCAGAGACACTCGGCGAGGCATAGACAGTGAAATATGCAAGATGATGTAGGTCCAGAGGTCTAGAGGTCTAGAGATCCTTACCTCTCCTTCTCAGGCGCTAGTCAAGTCTTGGCGAGTTCCAAATCCAGTGAAACCAAGGATTACATTGATTATTCTCAAGACATCAAGATATCCCATGCATGAAACGAAAAGGGTCAATAGCCACATCACCACCCAATTTATGAAGACGCATCGAGCGAAATGCCAACCCGCTGCCCCACCAACACAATGCTCATATCTCCAGGCATTCTTTGCAGTCACACATCGTAGGTCACTGCAGCATGCAAAATGCAACGACAATATGCATGCATGGTAATCACGTCTGACCGTCAATCTGGGAAACACAAAATACTTTAAGTAGCCCTATCGCTTATCTGCATTACTGTACGTACATGCCCTCGTGCGTGTTTCGTATTGGGAAGGGGGTATCAAGAAGATGTATATGTATAGAGAGAGAGGAAAACAATGGGGAGCGTCACGATTTTGTGCGGGATCTGCACACGTCTCTCCTTGCAGACCGTACATGTGTCCGTAGCCCCCATCGTGATGGCTGAGTCGAATTCAACCCATGGGCGCTTTTGCGGCCCTTCTTGGTGGCATTACGCCTTACTGCGAATAGACTGTTTGAGCGAGTTGGGTGATGATGCTGTCTATTTGGGAACACACAACACGGTTTGTACCTCATCCGAGACTAAACACTGTCTCCTCCTCGAAGGGCGTTGTGGGCCGGCTTGTCGCCTCTGCAAACGTTGCCAAAGCCTCGTTGTCTTCTTCAGATGGCTCGATGCCGGCCTCGTTGCCGAGGCTCGGAACGCTCTGGTCACGCTCGCGACTGAGAGCCGGACTCGGGGCTGGACTAGGCACCGCGGACGCGCTCGTCTCCGTGACGAGCGCGGGTGCCGAGGTTGCCTTTTGGTTCTGGTTGTTGCGGCGGGACCTATTCGCCTCCTCGCGCTCCCGGATGAGCTCTTGCTCCGCCTCGATGGCACGAGTGCGCCGCGCTTCGACGTCCTCGCGCCTGATGACCTTCCTGAGGCCTTCGGAGGCATTGATCAATCCGTCGATGCTGATGGCGTGATTTGTCATCTGGTGGTTGATGTATGTGTATATCGATGATGGCGTGTCACATTGTAGCAGCTGCGGCTCATTGAGCTTCAGAAGGGCCAAAGCAACTTGAAATAAGAATGTGCTGCCGTCGTTGGTGCAAAGGACGACATCCCACACGCGGAAGAGAGCCTCTGCGGACAGGCAGTCGGTAAAGACAGATAGGAACCACTGGAAGGTCAGAGCCTCGAGTTCGATGGAGAGATACTCCAAGTGCTCGGACAGCTTTGGCAAGACCAGGGCGACATATTGCCGCAGGACCTGCTGGTCAGCACGAGACGCCATGAGGCTGTGGTCGTAGTAGCCACGAGGCAGGATCTTTTCAATGATGGATACGAGGATCCAGAAAGTCTCCTCGGCCGAGGGCATGATGAGGAGAAGATTGGCAGCAATGAGGTTCATGCCTTGGCAGTAGCCCACCTCTGGGTTCCTCCTCGCGTAGGCACGCAGGACCTCGTTGAGCTTTGCGACACCCGGACCCTTGCGGAAAAAGATGTTGTCAGTCAGCGTGCGGTTGATGTCCATTTCGATCTGAGACACCACTGCCGGATCGTCGTCCTCGCCTGATCTTGCCACAATGTCCTCGTAGTATCCAGGGATCCTCTTGAAGAGCGCACCCGAGCATTCGGCCCATATCTTTGGACGGTTCGCCACGGGAATGCCGGCCAGCACAAGCTTCCTGAACTCGTTCCACTTGTTCTGGCCAACCTTGCCCTTGACTCCGAGGTCGGCGACGCCAATGATCTCACCATCGGCATATTTCGCCTCGGGGATGTTGACGCGTGACTTGGAGTATCGCGCATCCGCTGCTGCAGCCGCTGCCGCGGCCGCCGCTTCACCTTCCCTTCGGCGCTCGGCGCGCACCTTTCTCAGGAACTCATTCCACCGCACCGATCTTTCTCTTTGCAGCGAGTCGTGCACGTCGCTGAGCTGCTTGAGAAGCAGCTTGACCGGCTCATTGTCTTCACCTATCGTGACAGGCAGGACATCGGCCGCCTGCTGCACAGATACTTCGCTGTCCAACGCTGCTGTCGTGCTAGCCACGGGTACGAATCCACGATCACCCGTGACCAACCCTGGAGACTTTGGTGGGTCGGGCGTCTCGGCCCCTTCCAAGACTTCCAAATTCGATGCGCTGATCAGTGGCGTGTGCGACAACAACTCCGTCGGGAAAGTTGCGATCTTGAGATAGTCCTGCCACTTCTTTGGCTTGCCTGCTTCCGCCGTGTCATCTGCAGAGCTTGGTGTTTGAGTTGCATCCTCAATTTCTTCCAGTGTATCTGCCTCATTTTCAATCAGATTGGGCGATATGCCAGGGCGTCCGCCTGAGAGCATTTCCGCGGCGCGACTGCCTCTTTTCATCTGCAACGCCACTTGCGCAGCCTCGCGTTGCCTCTTCTTCCTCCGCTGGTCATAGATGAAGCCAAATCGATCTGTGAGAAACTCGGAGCCAGGATAATTGTTGTAAATATATGTCAGACTCGGCGGCTGGCTGTCCGGCGCATACATCGTGTCCATTTCCACAGGGCCAGAACTGTCGGGCCGTGCTGCTAAGGGCCCCGGAGGGCTCGTGCTCATTGTCTCCCAACGGTCCGGCGCCTGCGTTCGAGACAACGCAGAGGTTCCTGCTGGGGTCGCCCGTCGCATCGCCATCAGGGCTTTCGGTCCGCTTTGTACAGGAGCGGTCCGAGATGAGCCACTTGTCTTCACGCTTGCGGCGGAGGAGGCTCTCAAAGTGCCACCCTGGCCCGCCGAGCTTGACCTTCCCCGTACAGAGCCCGGATCTCGTCCCCCGTTAGCCTTGCCTGCTACGAGCTGTAGCGCCATGCTGGCTAACGATGTCGATGGTTTCCGTGACGTCGAGGTGTTTGAGTATATGCTTGAAGCACGACTAGAGCTTCGCGCAGCGATCTCGTCCGGCGGGGTGAACAGATCCTCCTGCAGCGGCGGTCGTCGCTCTGCCGGCCCGCGCGCACCCTGCTTTGATAAGGTGCCATTGCTGGTGCCGCCAGTCGTGTTGACACTATTCGCACGACTTGATCTCTTGCTGGTACCGCCGCCCCAGAGGTAATCCTTCCAACCCCGAAAGGTACCTTTCGCTTCCCTGGATTCATCTGAAGGTGCGGAAAGCGTCCTCACACGCAACGTGTCCTCCCCGCTACTTATACCAAATGCGCTATAGGACAAAGAGTCGACCATGGCGTCGTTCATCATGTGCGAGATGCCGCCATCGCGCTCGGCTGTGGCCAAATCTTGTGTCTTTAGCTCGCTCTCCACGGCGCGCAGCCTCGTCTCGAGGTCGAGGTTCGACAGCCCGCACTCGAGTATGATCTTCCTCAGCGCGCGCTCTCGATGGTCTGCCCGCCGCCGGAGGTTTGTGATTTGGCTGTCCCGCTGAGCCAGGTCCTCGGCGATCTGCCGAACCAGAGAGACTGCGCCATGCCGCGCAATCAGCCGCTCGATGTGCTCGTCGTCCGCCACGTGTAGCGCGCCAGGGACCTTGGAAGTCGCTAATGGTGTGTCCTCAAACAGGGCGCTCCTTGTAGATCGGTGGGAATTTGACGTTGTCAGGGTGCCCACCAGCGCAGGTCTGGATATCGCGTGTGTCATAGCCGCCGTGCTACGTATAGTGCCGGCGAACGATTCTGGCGTATCTGGGCGTTCGAAGCGTGGCGTCTCGGGCGACAGGGACGGGAACGAGATGAGTGAGCGGTCCGATGCGGCTACCGAAGATGCTGAGCTCGAGGGCTGGGATGGGATCTTGCGATTTCGTGATTTCGCACGCACAGAGTGGCCGCGCTTGCCGCTGCCGGACACGGCCGAGAGCTGCGACGAGGTGCGCACGAGGGACGGCGTCGACGATGAGAGAGTTGCTGGTGGGGACGCGGCGGGCGTGGCGGTCGCCGCGAGATCTGGTGATGTCGTCATGGTTGCGGTTGATGGTGCTGCTGGGGGTACAGGAACCCGTCGTGGTCGCAGCAGCTTGTCAAGAAGAAGAAGGCAGACTCTGCGCCGCAGCGCATCGTCGTGTCGTCAAAGGTCCTACTGGTCGTAGGGCTGCAGTTCGCTTCGCGCAGGGCGTTCGTTGTTGGTGCTTGAGACGGAGGAGCCAGGCTGGAGGACGACAGGGTTATACCTGCCACGGATAGCTCCACCGGTGCCAGCGAAGCGAAGCACAGATCCCACAGGGGCCCCTTGCTCACATGACGTTGGTGCCCAGCAGCTTGCCGTGATGCCTCAGGATGGACTCTGGAGTTTCGAGAGCGCAAGGTGCAAGGCAGCGATGGCAAAGAAAGGGTGGCAGCGTGCCTTGACCTGGCCGGACATGGCCAGAGTGCTCGACCCAGGCTAGTGGTGGTTGGCTGTCGCAGGCCGTCATCGTGCAGGGCGGGCGAGGTGGTGACTTAGTGGTGGTGGGTGGTGGGCCAGCGCTGCCCCTCGACAGGTCCAGGCGCTGCTGCTGCTCCTTCTGCGCCTCCAGTCCAGTCCAGTCCAGTGGTGAGGAGGTCTGCAGCCGTGAGGAATGCTCCTGTCGCTGCACGGCGATTCGATCAGACAAGCACCCTTGCATGCAACTCGCCCCATCTTTCGTCTGTCTCATCCCTGCCCCCTTCCGACGACTGCTTCGCCTTCCATTCCTCGTTCGCTCTCACTCTCGTTACAGCACTTGCGAACCCTTTCAGCTCCACTGCGTATTATAGCTAGGGTCTATCTAGGGTCCTCTCGAGGTCGAGATTGTCTCACACGACACACGGCTTGCAGAACAATTCTTTCACGCACACACAATATCCCGGGCCATCGTGTGACAGTCGGCATGTGCTAGGATCTCTGCATATTCTAGAATGCCCCCCACTAGCAGTATTCACAATTTAAACACCCGTCTATGCTCCACTAGCCTCACAGCCTAGTGCCGGCCGGGTCTGGACGGTCGCTATCCTTAGGCATCGTCTCAAATTGCCACGATCTTGGTTGCCCGCCGATCCGGTTTGTCCAAACTCATGACTGCAATGGCGCATAGAAAGGAGGGGGGGGGGCTCTATGGAGCACCACATTTCTAGCAACAACAATCAATTGTTCTAAGATGAAAGATGCTGGTAGCTTATAGCTATTCCATATTATGTTTGTGTCGTGTATCTCCCAGTCCTTTATTCCGGCGTCACGTCCATCACATCCAGTGACCCTCTATTAGCACGCCATAGCTCTTTCTTCCCCAACTACAGATCCTCCCGCCTTGACATGTCCTACCCGGGCCTAAAGGGACTCGTGTCCTTGCTCAAGATCCAACCCCACTTCAGTATCCGGGGTAAGGAGGATTGCCGTAGTTGCCAGGCGGGGGCTGTCCGTACGGCGGTTGTTGAGGTCCTCCATAGTAGTCACCTTGACCCGGTGGCGGAGCTCCATAGCCCTGAGGAGCACCATAACCAGGCTGGGGACCTCCGTAGTAACCGCCTTGGCCTGGAGGGGGGCCGCCATATTGAGGCTGTTGGGGAGGTGGTCCGCCATAACTGGGTTGACCGTATGAGGCTGCTTCGCCGTATTGTGGGCGCTGATCATACTGAGAACCATGACCTTGGCCATACTGCGATGGCTGATCCGGCGGGTAAGGGGCAGCGTAGCTTGCGGCTTCGCCCTGCTGGCTGTGATGATAGCCATACTGAGGACTGGGCTTACGCCGCTCAGGAGATTCCGAGCGCCTAGAGGACGGGCGGCTGGTTGACGCGTAGTCAGGTCGAAGTCCACCATGTCCATCACCGACTCCCATGCTGTCTAGGTCGCGGGTCTTGACTTGTGACCAAAGCGAGTCCGAAGGGTGTCCGTGGCCAGGCTGCTGGAAAATGCTGCCACCACAGCCAGGGTCATGAGACATGCCCCTGCTACTGGTGGTGTTTGGATTGGGCTGAACGTGGTTCTTGCCCCTCTTGACCGAGTCTGACCCGAGAATATGGTTCAATTCATGGCGTTTGGGGTTCTCGTCCGCCCACTTACGGACAGTGTTGAACATGTCACGTTGGATCTCCACCCGATCATCGCGGATGGCAGGGTGATGGAACGCCCTGAGAACGTCACTGAGCACCTCATCCACTGGTACGCCAGGGTTCTCCCATGCATAAAGCACTCGACTGAATCCACAGAGATTAGTATTGTTGCACAAACGGGGTGGCACCCATATTACTTACGGAACGGTATACTGGAGAATGGTAGCAGCCACTCGCCCAGCGCAGGAGTTCAGGATGTTGGTGAAATGATCCTTGGAAAGCATCGAGTGCGTGGGATTGCTGCAGCGTGGGTCCTTCCATGGCTCGAGCTGGGAGTTCGCACTGGCATCAATGACGGTGGATGAACTTTGCTTGAGCACCTTGGTAACCTGGTTAATGATCGGGCGGATGAATGGTGCAAGGAGTCCAAGGACAAAAGCTGTCAAAGTCTCGCTGATGTGCTCCAGAAGCTTCTCTAGTCCGGGAATTTTGGAGATGCCCCTGTTGATGGCCTTGACGATTTTGTCGCGAAATTCGAGGATGGGGTAAATCTGCTTTGATACCTTGACAGGATCGAAATCGACGCTCATTCCAGGAACGACGTTCTGGTTCGTGTGCTGGCCACCCTCGGCACGAGATCTCAAGTATGGATCAGATCGAGACTGGGAGCCAGACGCATTCCTTCTCCTCTGGTCCTCAGATCGCTGCTGGAGCTCTCGTGCTTCGGAGGCGAAACCGCCCCCAATGCCTGGCAGTTGGCCGACCAGCGAGATGAAGTCGCCAGCGTTGCCACGGCCCCCAAACCCGAAGTCCAAGCCACGTGCGTTGCTGGATCCCCGCGAGTTGTTGGTCGAGTTTTCGCAATTCTTCAGCACGAGGTCCATCTGGTCAACTTCGGACACTTCCGCTTGTGTGAAGTGATCATTGGCTTCACCGAGGACCGAATGAAAGAAGTCCACTCCACCAAAGGTGCCAGTCACCAGTGGGTAGACACGCTTGCCACGGAGATTGATCTCTGTATCGGTTCCGCAATGAGGAAAGACACCATGATACCCAAGCTCGCGCAGAGCCAATTCGCAGTAATTGCTGTGGGCCGGGAAGTCCTCCATGCAGTGAAGAGCTTGACCAAGGCAGCGAAGAGCTTCGCAAAGATCTTCCTCTCTGCCAGACCCCTTTGCGCCATGGGTATAGAGTCTTCCGTAGTGGATGCTTCGGGCCAGGCTGTAGCGCAAGTAGCCCGCACTCGTCGCCCAGTCGCCTCTTTCGTTGGCAATGTAGTTCTTCATGCCTGTTTGAGGGTCAATTTCGACCTCGATCGGCCGAACGGGACCACGCAAGCGCTTGTCGAAAGTCTGAGCGTCGTTCGGGTAGCCCAAGGGGTTGTCGATATGCTCTTCAGGCCGATATGTTCCCAAACGCTCAGCCGTCACTTCAAACTCCTCTGTAGCATATCCGTTGGCAAGGAACGACAGGATCCACACCAGAATCCGGAGCGTTTCGGCGTTGACACCCTTCAATCCCGCAGTGTCGATCGCCTGACTATAGTCTGCGAAAATGTCAGCGCTCGCGACAACAATGTTGTTTTACGGGGGAGCAGGACCTCTCAAGAAATTCCCGAAGTAAGTGCGCTTGATCAGAAGCGATGTCCATTTCTTGCCCCCGAGGAAGGCGATCGTAGAGAGCATGTCCTCAATATCGCCGTGGCGCCAGTTGTGGCCCTCGACCTGGGCGATGGACGGGATATTGCCAGCACCGAAAGCCGCTGCCTGCCCGGGCATGAGGACGAGAATAATGCCCAGGACCAGCAGCATGCTGCCGAATCCGAGTCGTGTTGCGGACATGGCTTGGCCTGTTGCTTTGCGCCGGCTGGTTGAGCGAAGTGAGTCGCTTCAGGAGGGGGAAGTTGCAGATGTGCACGCAGCAGTCAATACCCGAGAAGACGCCTGAACTGACACACGTCAGCAAGGCGACAGAGGGCCCTTTGATGATTACCGCACAATGAGAAGCGCAAAGGAAAAAGAAGAGGAAATGTTGCGTGTTGGGTGTGAGTAGAGAACCCGGCGCGGGTGGCCTCCCACGCTTATTTCGTGGCGGGGTATGTCTCTCACAAGCTTATGGTCTTTTGCGCGCAGCCGGACAGAAGCCATCATCAACACCCCTCCTGCTTCTAGAGGTTTGATTAAACCTATTGGGGCCAAGCCCTTGCAGCTGACGCATTCAGCTCGCCTCTGCTTGTGTCATTCACCTCCCGCGACTCCCTCTTTTCCGTCCTGCCAGCAGCTCGTTCCGTGCAACTGACTCTGCCGCGAAGAATTGTTCTTCCCTGCCCCTCCATGATGATTGCGACGGAACAACGGCAAGCAGCTGGAGTCGATTGAGTTACGTCAATGTGGGAACCCCGGCATGGCCATACACACCATGGTACAGAAGCATAGGCGGCAGAGCATGGCATGGAGAGCTAGGCATGGCAAGGCGGGTCGCATCTCTGTGCGCGCAGCCAATCACGAGATGCTCCTCGGCACTTGAGTTGCCGGCGTGAAGTGATTGACGTTTGATCCTGCCAAAGCCGCCCTCCCAGCCTGGCTGCCTCGTCCAAGTGCGCCTCACTGCTTCGCCTGTGCTGTGCCACAGACTCTGAGCGTGTGTGGCTTCGAGACGTCATGGCCAACGGGCTGAGTCGGCTATGCTGTCCTTCGCCACAGAAAGTTGGTGGCTGGCAGCGACCATCCGAGTCTGATAGCGCATGCAGCTGTCCGAGGCGACCCTTGTCGGACAAGAGCTCAAGCAAGCTGTGGGACAGCCCTGCCAAGCATTGCGTCGAGTGATCGTGCGTGGAAATGTGTCGCTCGCAGCTGGAGGGTGAACGACTGGGCTTTTGCTCAGTATCATCATCACTCACCAACACAAGAATGATTGTGCCAGATAACCAGTGGCCCGTGTGCTGGTGAGCATCTGCATTCGGCTGAGCAGGAATCTAACCCTAGCACCCGCATCCCAGGTTGTGACGATGACAGCCATGAAGAAGGGTCGCACCATCGCGGCGCAGACCCCAGTCTGCCTGTACACGACAACGAAGCTGAGAGTCAAGCACACTGCTCAGGGCCAGGCTGACTACTTGGTGTTGGATAGGTCATTTTGGAAGGCAGAAAATCTAAGAAGATGCGAGGATCTCTCCTCTGCTCCAACAGGAACCAACCAGGGTCTGCTTCTCGTCGTTGCGAGCAACCCCTTGGCACCTGTTGCTGCATCTAGACCACAGGTCTAGATCATGCACGTAACCCAAACCCTTTCCCACCTTCCACCTATGCTGCTGGGAATGAAAGGGTTCTCTGACACCCGAAAACGATATGGAAACTAGTGGTCATTGCATGAGCCTCGCTGCATCCACGTAGCACTGGCAGGAGGCTTGCTCTGGAGGAAGCGCACGCCTTGGAGTTTCGGCATGAACTCAGCCAGCCGCAGAGAGCCTATCCCGAACAGGCGAGATAATGTGGAGGGCCGCGCAACTTCTCCCCTGGACTCAAGACGTTGGCGCCTAATGATTGATTCATGGCCGGCCTCTCGTTCTCTACGCGGAGGAATTACATCTGATGAGGTAAAATCACGATTTGCTAGATGCCTGCCGCCTTTCTATGGATCACAAGTGCCTGCGCGTGGGGGTTGATTTCACGATCGTGGATATATTTGGACATTGTCTTTGCTCCTATACGCTAACAGCCATGCGTGTTCTTGTCACACATTCAGGTCATGCAGCTTACTTGCTGACTCCCAGCGTTGGTCACGCGATGCGAGCGCCGTCGCGTAAGGGCTGGCAGCGTGCCCTTCTTAGCGTGGTATGAGATACCCCAGGATTGGTGAAAGACCAGGATGTTGCTGGGCGATCGTGGGGGGTTTTCCTCAGTTGGCCCTCAGATCCGATGCTCATTTGGCTACTGCCCTGTTCCCAAGCATAATCTCGGAGCAATGCTCAAAAGTTCCCGCGAAGCAGGCGTGCACGCGTCGCTGAGCAACAAGAGCGACAAGCTACCGTATTGTGGTTAATGGCATCGAGGCGTGGCAATCAATAAACACCGAGCTGGAGGTGATCATCACACAAGGACACGCACCCGACGGCGCCACCTGGGCAGCTTTGAGGCGCGGCTCGTGTCGATAGCCGACTTGCCATTCGCTCCTTGCGATCTGCGGCACCATAGTCAAGACACCTCTGCCTGGAAAGGGGTGTGTGGCCAACGGTGCCCGCGTGGTCTGGCACTGCAGTAAGCCAGGCTGAAAAGGGACAAACCGCGGGGAAACAGTGAGCTTGGTGCTTAAGCTCATGGTTGTGACTTCAGGATTCAGGACCATGGTGGTGGCTGCGGTGATGATGACAGCCGTAAGTGAGGCATCATTTTAGCTCGACTTTGGCGCAATCAGAAGCGCTCTCATCGCTACCTATTGCCATCCTGTTCGGGGCTAAGCTTGTCGACTTGGCCGCCAGCGCTCCCCGGCCCTACTCACGAGCTTACAGTGTCAGTGTAGAGTTCAGTCGCCGCAAGTCCGTCCTCGGCTGGCCCCTATTAGCTCTGCAAGCAGTGGCGCGCAGCTTATTTTGCGGTACCAAACGTCGTCATACTTGAGCTGGGCTTGTGATAAAAATTTTCGAAGCCCACCCCGTCTCCGGTACACGTACTTTATGGGGTGAGGCTCGAACCCTCCCCGAGATTATCTCCAAGGCTCAGACTCACGGTAAAGTCTGCTCATGTTGATCGCGTGCGCCATGCTGCTGCAGGCGACTCACGAATAGGCTTCTTCCAGGTGTATGGACAGACACGTACGGCAATCACGACAGCCATGGGCAATGTGCAGTTTGGCCGATCCCTGTGGGATCGCCGCGAGTCGTCGTAGGCTGGCGAGGGCTGGCAGCCACAACAGACGCGATCAGCCCGCGGGACTCTCTGGTGCGTCTTAGCCTCTAGGTCTGACTGCCACACAGTCGCCAATGGGCAAGGCCCCAGACAGGAGGACCCTGCGGATCACTGGGTTGCGTACCTGTTTTAGGCCATGAAGTCTCCAACACAAGGCTCCCTGGAAGACGCTCCCACAGCTGACGCTGTGCAACGTGGAGCTGTCTAGCACGGCTTTTGTGCATCATAGCCCTTGTCCGCCTTGTGCCGTCATGGACTGAGGTCGGCTCATCTCCTGGAGCGAGAGGCCGGGCTTCATGCCAGGAAGCGGCCACCAAGGACGTCATGTCTCGAGCGTTATGCTGCCGGGCTTCCGCGAACAGTACCCTCTCGCCTTCTTGGAATGATGGATTTGCCAGCTCGCCGAAAGTGTTGGCGCCCTGGTCACGGTGCCAGCGAGCATGTATAGAGAGAGGCTGTCGTGTGACTCGAACTGGCAGCCAAGGCGTCCCGAGTCGTGCACATCACTTTAGATGCGACCCCTGGCGACGTCTATCGATCCTGCAGGTAGCCTTCTACGAAACTCAGAGTTATGCAAAGGCGCAGCGTTCCTCTGTGTCCAGGAGTGAATCAGTAACGTCCGAGCCGACCAGCCAAGGACGGCCCACCGCCTCCTGTCTGGCCTCACGGCGGCCAGGCCATGGAAAATTCTCAGAGCGCGAATCCCGCCCGGAGCCTACGGCGCTATGCTGGCCGGTCGTCCGAAACCTGGCCTGGTCCGCGGTGCCCCGTCCGCCCCATGCATCCATCCAATTATTGAGATGCCCCGGTGGCCAGCGCCATTACCAAGCACGCGACGGCGCCCGCTTGCACTGACGTGGTTATGGCTCTGGTCCGCTCATGCAGTCCGGCACCTAGCTCGGCCAGGTCCTCCAGACGCTCAGTCTTGGGCTACGAACGATGCACATACACGATCGAGGTCACCGGAGCTCCCCCCTGGGAAAACCTTGGGCCAAGATCAACGTGGTACAGTGGTACTCGCGGACAGGCGGTTGACAGTCCAGTCGAGGGGGCAAAAGGTCTTTGTGGGCTGGCACTGGCCGGGCACTTTGAGGCCCTGGGACAGGCTTAACTCCGCACGTTGGAGGTGCTGCTCCAGGGCAGGCAGGGGCTGCCCTGGCCTGCCCACCCGCCCATCAAACCACTAATACCACCACCCGCACGCCAATGGTACTGGACCCCCCACGCCTGCTCGGTGCGCACCCAGGCAGCCTCCAGGCCCGTCACCGAGCCATTCCAGCCAGGCCCTGGCCGCCCGGCCTGCTTTCTTATTCCGCTGTCCCCCCACGACTTCCTGCTCCCCATGCCCATGCTCACGTCCTCATATCACAGTCCATCTTGGCCCAGTCTCTCCCCGAACCTCACCACGCGACAAGTTTCTTTGGTTCCCTCCACAGAACCCAGCATATAGTCCAGCTATTCCCGTCTCACCTCCTGGCCTTCCAGCGCTCGGTGCCTCTTCGCGCCCACCCTCACCACTGATTTCTACCTCTTCCATTCTCGAGCGAACGTGATGGACGGACGTATACACTCTACAACCATGTCTCTTGTCGCCATCATCCTTTGATCGGGATCCCACAGACGGGATCCTGCTCGCCGCCACCACCAAACTTAGCCATCCAAAATAACTCCACGAAACCAAAACCAACCTCCAATCTCCGAAAGGCACAGCCATTCTACGCGCTCCCCGGACACAAACTACTCAGTGTCCTTGGTTGGAAGCCTTCTCTGAAGGAAACAGTCTACTGCCCACTGTCTCACTCAGAAACCTCCTTGACATCACTGTGTGGCGCCATTGGAGCTTTCGTTTGTGCAGCATCAAGGGCATTAGTGATGTACTCTACACAACTGGCCACCCACCCAGCGGCCTCGGAACTGACGGACGGGCTTGAAAGAGAACATCATCAACGTATCGAGAGTATGAAGTTCCAGCCCAACAACGAGCTCATGGCGGACGACGTCGTGGTATCCACCAACGCAACCGTCATCACGACCATGGTGCAGGGCGTGGTTCCTGTCGAACAGCCACTCCTTATGTCAGAGCCACCTTGCATACAGAAGCCTATCAACTTCGGTGTCATCGAGCCCGGCCTCTACCGCAGCGGTTATCCGCAGGCCCAGGATTATCCCTTCATCAAAAGCCTCAACATCAAGACTATTGTGACCCTAGTCTCGAAAGAGATGCCCGAGGGCTACCAAAGCTTCATGGACGCGAACGGCATATCACACAAGGTATTCGACATGGCCGGAACGAAGAAGCAGGTCATCGACCTCGATATGATGCAGGCCATCTTGGAAGTCGTCGCCGACAACAACAACTATCCACTTCTCATCCACTGCAACCACGGCAAGCACCGGACGGGCTGCGTGGTGGGCTTGATCCGCAAAGCTAGCCAATGGGATGTTCCCGCCATCTTGTCGGAGTATACACATTACGCCTCGCCAAAGGTCCGCGACTCCGACCTCGAGTACTTGACCAAGTTCAACCACTTGCATCTCGAGGACGCGCGGCGCAAGCTTATCCTCAAGAGCACAGCCACAACCATGACGGTCAACACGCACACGAGGGCTAGCCCGCCGCCATTCACTGTTGGCAGCTTCGTGTTCTTCGTCCTGGTGGCGAGTGTCGCCCTGTGCATATTCATCTTCACTGGCAGGACGTTCTCGCGGCCGCCTCCACCACGCAGACGTGACCATACTTCATGACGCGCGCGCGCCATGCCGATCTGCGCCATGCAACTCGCCAACGGTCACGGCAGATACCCCTTTGATGTACTATTACACCCACTTCTGGTGAACCAAGCGCTGGCCAGCCAGTATCACACACCGTGAGCATGATGTTGCGAAAGTTCGGGGGGGAAGCGAGCATTAGCTCTTGCATGCCTCATTGAGCCACACTACCTGCGATTCGGGACCAGCTCTGTTTTCACAAAAGTTGAAAGAGGGGATTGGCTCGAACGAGACCATCAAGTGCTGAGGCGTCTCTGGGTACTCAATGAAAAACGGCGTTTACATTATTTGTTTTGTCTCAGACATTTTGTTTTAGCATCCAATTAGAGAATGGCAACAAATTTTCTTTGTCGCGTCTCCTCAATCAGCGTCGCTGTGGCCATGGACTGCATACAGTGACGTGCCATCCCTAATGTCATCTGCCTCTTCTGCCCGAACTACGATCTAGGTTCCTTTGCTAATCGCGCGCAAGACTCATCGCTCCAAGCGGAATGTGTTATTATTCCTATATCGACGTGTGCCGCAGGCGTATAGTCTTAGTTGTACATATATATAATACAGGTGCCAAACCGCAGCACTGAAATAGGGGGCCACACGGGGATGCCCTCGTAACCATGAACAAGTGCCTCGGGACGTAGGCGCTTTCCGGGAACCATTCCTGGATAAGGCACGGTGTCCGCCGGGGCTCGTTGAGAGCGACACGGCGCGGACCGCCCGTGACGATCGACATGCTCACTCACTGCTCCGGGCCTGCTCCTCGATGAACCTCCCCTACTCCGCCAGTCAGACAGAATTGGGGCCATCTCACTTATCCTCCGTCCACCGCGGATGCTCCTTCCGCTCCCGCTTCTCGGCCTCCCTGTCCCCCGTGGCGTAGACCCACGCCCCGGCGAGGGTGTTCATGACGGCCAAGCCGATGGCCGCGGCGCGCACGCCCCCCCTCACGGTCAGCGTGGTGCCGAAAAGCGAGGAGCCGGGCTGCTTCCTGCGCAGGGCGAGCAGGGCGTAGGTCCCGCTCGCGGCGGCGGTGATGCCCGCGCTGTCAATCTTGAAGCTCTGGAGGTTCGCGTAGGAGCTGAAGATGAGGATCGGGACGAAGAGCATCGGCCGGACCTGCAAGGGGCGGAAGTGCAGCGCCGTGATGAGGGTTGCGAGGCCTGTGGGTGCCATGGATGATGCTGTTTCGCGGGGGAAGAGGCGGTGTTAGTAGTGGTATTGTGCAATTTTACTTGAGAGAGGGCGAGATAGATCCCCGATATGAGAGAGAGGGCATAGGGCCCGGGTTTCGACGTACTTCCCCAGGCTTTGAGTGTCGACAGCGACACGGCCGACGCTGGCGGATCGGGCATTGGCGTGGCCATCGCTTCAGTCGGATGCAGGAGAATCCGGGTGATGTTGACGTGACCCTAGGATTGGTGCGCGTTATCTCACTGGGCGCCTAGCGAAGGACGGTCGTTCGTCGTGTCGGAGCACAAGAAGGGCCTGTGGAAACTTGTGTTTGTCGTTGTCAGGTAGTTTCTACCCACCATGAAGCCATACCCAAGAGTGTCGCACAAGCAGATCCCAAGCTTTGCGGGCGCATTGGTGGGATCGATTACGTCGTTCTAGGGTAGTTGTGGAGCTCGTCGTCCAATCGAGAGCAGGGGTCGTGCAGCATCCATGTGGATGTCTTGAATTGACCCGGTGGGTGGGGGCTTCTTGCTCGAGACTCACCTGCTTGGGCATGCGGCAGGAAAGTAAGCATATCTGTAAATCGACCACTGTCAATTGCAGTTCGCAGGAAGCTCGAAAGGAGCAAACGGTAAAATGATGGAATTCGATAATCTACTGCAGAACGGGAACTATCATGCAAATCTTAATCCTACGGTGCTGGTCACGGGCAGGATGTGATCAATGTCGATTTCATCACAAGCCGCACACACAATGCGGAAATGCGACACTTGAACTTTACGCGGCCCTCTAGCTATTGAACCAATTACACGGCCCGGGACCATTGTTGTAAATAAAGTCAGTTGTTTAACCTGCAATAATAACATGAACGGATGGCGGGCAAGGTCGTCTGCTGCAGCCGTCCAGTTAGTGCAGCCAGGGTCCTGCCTACAGCGCAGTAACTATTTCTTGGGGCTGTTGGCCAGACCCGTCACATGGGGAATGAGGCGTCTTACGTACTGTTAGCCAAAGAGGGTTGATTGCGATCTAGACAGCAAGCGAATTTAGATAAGTGCTGGCAACATCAGACAAGCTTTATGGGGTGCTGGCGTATAGGGTGTGTTGGCTGTGCACGTTGTCCTTGCGCTGTGACTAATCAGCGAAGAACAGCCTGTAGCGCGGCCACTCTAAGTTCTTAAGCAGCGGTGTCTGGCGACGTTGCGCATCGGCACCACCAAGACAAGACACACCAAATCTCAAGATAGCAGCACGGCGATCACGAACCACATTGTGTCGAAACCCGTCCACGGCCACACGCAAAGATCCTCTCGAGCGATACTCCTCCTCGTGCTCGACCTCCAAAAGACGTGCCCACTCGGCAGAAGCGACTTGTCTGTCTCTCGGGCTTACAAACAGCCAAGCCAGCCCTTATCGTCGACTCGCACAACTATTTTCAGAGAGCCCCCGCCTCAACCCAACGGCATTCGACGCGCATAAACCATCAAGGGGGAAGCCAAGGCTCTTGTAGCAAGACCTCATGCAACTATAGTATCACGGACGACGGTCACTGGCGACAATACATGCGCATATTTTCCAAAGGGCACACACTTCCCAACGACCCCACCACCAACCATACCATCCTGCGCATGAGCCACACGTCTCAACCTGGACTCCCGTGCTGCTCCTAGTCCGAACAAACACACACACACACGACACGCCCGCAACGATGTCGGGGCGCGACCACAACCAAGGGAACCAGGCGCGCAGCTTCACGCCCGAGCAGAAGGCCGCCGTCATACGGATCCGGAGGTGTCAGGCGACGGCCTTTTACGAGATCCTCGAGCTGCAAAAGACATGCTCAGACTCGGAGATCAAGAAGGCGTACCGCAAGCAGTCGCTGCTGACGCACCCGGACAAGAACGGCCACGAGCATGCGGACGAGGCCTTCAAGATGGTCAGCCGCGCGTTCGGCGTGCTCGGCGACAAGGAGAAGAGGGAGAAGTACGACCGCTACGGGACCGATCCCGACAGCCGCTTCGAGAGCGCTCGCGCGCAGGCGGGCAACCCCTTCGCGGGCGGTGGCGGGTTCGGCGGTGCGAGACCAGGTGGCAACCCGTTTGCGGGAGGCGGTGGTGGCATGTGGGAGGAGGAGATCAGCCCTGAGGAGATGTTTGCACGGTTCTTTGGTGGTGGCTTTGGCGGTGGTGGTTTTGGTGGCGGCGCCTTTGGAGGAGGTCAGTATTCTTATCCTCCCGCTCGACCCTTTTGAAACCGTAACGGCTAGGTTGGAATTACTAACATGCTGCAAAACAGGCCAGCCATTCGTGTTCAACCTGGGAGGCCAGCGTGGGTTCCGAGTACATCAGATGGGCGGAGCCGGCCCGCGGGGGAGGCCGAGGCAAGCGACAGAGCAGCAGGGTGAGCGGTCAGGGTGGGAGACGTTCATCGGCCTGCTCCCGATCCTGTTCTTCCTGCTCTTCCCCATCCTCACATCGCTCTTTTCAGGCGGCGACTCGCAGCCGGCCATGCCGAAGATGGCCTTCGACGTCGCGCAGCCACCAATGACCTTTGAGCGCGCCACGCCAAACTACGGCGTCAAGTACTTTGTCAACCCCAACGACGTGGCCGACTGGACGGACTACAAGCTGCGGCAGATGGACAAGGAGGCCGAGGACGGCTTCATCCGCAGCCTGAAGCGGGCGTGCGAGCTCGAGCGGCGGACCAAGCAGCGCCTCGTCGACGATGCGCAGGGCTGGTTCTTTGAGGACCCGGACAAGATGAAGCTCGCGGACGACTTTGAAATGGCCAACTGCAAGAGGATCGACGCCCTGTCGTAGAGGAGGTTCTAGAAGCGCGTCCGGGAAAAGCTGGCAGGCTTCGTCCTCTCCAAGGCCTTTGTGAGCTGCTTCGTTCTCGCTGTCATCGTGTGTATGGCTCTCGCTCGTGCGAGCTTTTGAAGGCGGTTCGCAGCGAAGAATGTTTTTTGTACGCATGGCCGGGGAGCATGTCTCTCCTGAAAAAGGGTTTCTCACGTTTTCCGCACCTTCATATTCACACATAATAGCATAAGAGCATGTGATATCCTTTGGACCAGAGCAGAGTCCTCGCCACGTGAATGGAACAAAGAAGTATAATGTGTGTGTGTGTGCTTTTATATACTGACAAGGCTCGAGACACTGTTGCTTATGTTGTCCCGTGTAGAAAGTATGCATGCATGATTGAAATGTTCGCTAATCCACAACTCCGCCATGCACCTGCCAGACCGCCCCTTTCCGTTACCACCGTAATCTCATCTCCGGCCTCTTCGGGGATCGGACGCCTCACTGCGCCGATGATCACGGAGCTCTTTTGTCCCAAGGCTACCCAACCCGCCTTCGCTCCTGCGCTCCCAGCCTCCGAGTCTGATCACCATGCAAGTAGCATTGTCGCCCTCTGTGCTGACTTCGGTCGCCAAGGAGACCACTGCTTTGGACCCCTGTTCTGGTGTGTTGGCCTCCTTGACAACATCGACGATTTCCTGATCACTGAGCGTCCCCGAGACTCCATCGGACACCAGGACCAGGAAACTGTACTCGGCCGGGCCCATCTCGGTCCGCGTGATCTCAGGCTCTGCTGACACTCCATGACGCTTCGACTTCATGTCTCCAAACGCGCGACTGTTGGCAAGTCCTTGGAACCGCTCTTCGCCGAAGGAATCCGTGATGAAGGAAGTCGCATATCGACGCAGGCGCTGAGCTTCCATAGGGTTCGCAGGATGGTGGTCACTCGTCAGCGGCCTCGCAAGTCCAGTAGCAGTCTCGCACAGAAGAATCCGAGTGTCTCCCACGTGTGCGACGATGAGAGTCGACGAGGCTGACGGGTGGAAGAATGGCGCAGGGCTCGGCGTAGATATCAGCGCAACTGAGCCCGTGGAGCCGCCCTTGAAGCGCGTCTGCCCGCCTATGCCAGTGCCTGACGGTGGCTTGTGATGAGGCCTGCCTAAGATCTCGTCGCTGTTGAGTGCCGAATCGGAGACATAGGGGTCCTCTGGGTCCGGCTTCCGGGCTTGGGCCGAGACAAAGTCAAGATCGGCACGCAGGAAAGCATAGGTCAAAACAGACTCGATGCTCACCGGCGTCTCCGCATCGCCCTCGCTTTTACCCACAGAGAAGTGTTTGGGGCTGAACCGCCGGTAGTAGCCACCAATCAACTTCTTGTATTCGTCGACGATTTCTTTCTGCAGGCGCAAGGCCTTTGCCTGTGATACTTTGGCTGGGACCGGGCTTTCTCCGGCGACCGCCTGAGCTTTGTCAAACTTGCCAATAGCTCCCTTCTCGTTCATGGTAGGAATGTCCGCTAAGGCCTTGACATCGTCAGCAGACCGCATCTGAACCGCGTCCAGCTTCGCAACCCCATCCGCATCGTTGTCATCAAGCGCCTCCAGCGAAGAATGCCGGCGGACATCATTGGCGGTCGGCAGCACATGGCCGTGATGTTTCCGGAGACTGCTCTTGAGCTCGAACTCGGCTGCTGCCTCCTCGATGTAACCATGCAACTCGTCTTGCAAGAACTTGCTGCACTCGGCACCACCATGCCCATCAAAAACTCCAAAGTAAAAGACTTGAGGGTCGCCAAAGGCACTGTCTGCGGACGTGCCTTCTCCGCTCTTCTTGATAGAGCTTCGCGAGAGACTAATTGGAACTCGCTTGGCGAAAGCGGGCATGTCTATTGTGCCTGCTTGGTGGGAGTCCTCATTGTAAGGTCTGGACCCCCGCGATTCCGTCACCCCAAAGTGATGCTTCGCACTATGCAAGGGTATCCGCACGACTGTGAGCTCGCGATTTGAGGGGAGGTGCGGAGGGGACAGCGCTGGAGCAGCTCCCGGCTTGGCAGTGTGTGGTGCTGCTGCTGAACGCGGTAGTTTGTGATGAGGTCCAATTCTGCTGCGAGAGTCTGGCGTCATTGAGTTTGACGGCAGGTGAGTGACGAAGTAGTTGTGGAAGCCACGTTGAGCTGCCCCTTGGAAAAGGGCATGCTGGTGGTTGGGCTCGCTTGGTGGTGTGGTTCGAGTAATCGCGGGGCAGGTTGGCGAGAGCTGGGTAGGACGGGTTTGAGCAAGGGCAAGAGGTTTGGCTCTCCTTGTTCTCGACGCATGACTTCGGGTTTGTTGATGAACATATCTTGCGATGAAGTCTGCTCAGGGGCAGGCCAATGGTCAGTGATGGTGTCTTGAGACTGCGGCGGGGCTTGGGAAGGAGTTCGGCGGCGTACTGTAGCTGTCGCAAAGTGACCATCGCCGCGGAGGTCTCCGTGAGATTGTCATTGTCTCGGAGAGATGCCGGCAGGCCGTCAAGACGTGACTGCGTGAAAGCCAGAGAGGTGTGTACTGGGCGGCGAAGGGTAGGTGTGCGGCAGTGTCGAGGCGGTTCTCCCTGGCCGGTTCACTATAGCCGCAGCACCAGGGGGATCGACGGGGCGAGTGACGGGGCGATGGCAGCAGTCCGGCACGGCGCCCAATTCTCGGAGGCGTTACTCCGAATAGTCAGCCCGTCACACAGCGGTGAGCGGTGCGAAAGCGGCCGAGTCGTGGAGGAGTCTCGAAGCTGGACAGACACGAGAGCACGCTCTATCGTGGAAGTGTTGTGGTGCACAACAAGCCGAGGTCGTCGTGTCGCACGTCGTGCGGCAAAGCGGCTCGCCTCGCGAGAATCACTCGGGTGTGGTTGCGGGTGCAATTGGCAGACCATTACGTAGGAGCACTCAAGACATAGCCCGGGCAAGCGTCTCATTGGCCGCCCACCACCTCCAATGGACCCACAACCAATGGCGAAGTGTAGCACAGAGAGAGAGCTACTTGAGGTGAGGAAGGTGCCGAGCCACAGAATGAACAAACAGGACCGCAGGGCCGTGGCTTCCAGAGACCACCCACTGTTCATTTTGCCTGCTCCTGGGAGGCTGTTTTGGAAGCATCACAAGCCTTCCACATCAATTCTTGTCTTGCTGGCCGCGTGCAATGAGTGGCAGGCGTCGCAGTCCCTCTTGTCGGCACCCGCACAGCCGAAGTGCAGATACCCAGCCTCGATCTACAGGCCTGAACCTGCAGTAGGCAAATACCCACCTCAGCCAAGCCCTGTGATGCAACGAGAAGAGCAAATCCCAAGCCATTCCTCAGAGTCACCGCGTTGGTATTGCGACAACCTCTGGGAAGCAGACCTCCACCTCGTTTGAGCTTCCACAAGAACCGGACCAGAGGCATACAGACGCAGACGCACCTGCCTGCTTCGCCCGGCTCTCTCGGCCACGCGCGATCTGCTAGCTTGGTCTCGACATCGCAATGTCCATGCCTGATGTCGCCTCGGGTTTCCTGCAGGGCGTTGTCTTCCTCACCACCCTCATCAACTTCCACCTGGCGCTCTTCCACGCAGAGCCCATCATAATCGCCGGCCTTTATATTGTCACGCGTGTCTTGGGCCGCTCCGCCGATGACTTCTGTCTCGAGACATGTCCCGAGTACTGAGCCCCGCCGCTCTCGACGCCGCCGCCACGGGCTACATCACCCCGTCTGAGGAGTGTTCGGCCGCCGAGTTCCCTTTCTCCACCGCCCGAGATACTTCAGGCTTCGTCGAACGACGTGTGGCTCCAAAGTGCCAACATGCGCCCGCTCCTGCGGATAGCCTCGCTCGCATGCTCTCGCACGCTTACAAACACAAACCAGGCAGCAAAGTCAGCCTCCGCGATAGGATATGTTGCTACCAGTGGACCTGGTTCACAATGGTGAGTCAACCCCTTTTCACTTTAATTGAACTCTCCCTAAGTTTTTATGGTCTACCAGATTCTCGGTACTGACATGGACTAGACCATGGTAAGAACTCACGCGCTCAAGGATAGTGGTTATGCATTTCTAAAAGGGACCGCAGGCAACCGGAGGAATTGCTAATGCACTGCACGCGAGTAAGCTCTTTTTGACACACGCCAAGCCCCAATTTTGCTCGCTGACAACTATCAATGTAGTATGGACTGGCTACCAAACGAATTGGCTTTACTATATCGGCTTGGCATATTTCTTGCTGAACTTAACCTTGTTCGTCATGAACTGTGTCTTGATCTCTTTGCGATTTGCCTTCGTGTCAGGCAGCTTCATCAACTCCTTCCGCGACCAGTTTGAGTCTCTCTTCATTCCAGCAGTTGTATGCCACCAGCATGTGCCCTTCTCGTTGGCCAGAACAAAAGCTGATCACATATGATAGGTTGTCTCGTAAGCTGATTCCGCAGAGATCAGAAGTCTTGAACTTTTACTAATGTGAGACAGCATGGGAACCATTCTCATTAATAGTTGCGAGTACGGCATCCCACGAGCGCCGTGGTTGGCGCCAGTGATGGTGCACCTCTATTGGATATACATAGCCGTCAGCATGTTTGCCAGTGCTGGCATGTATTTGATTTTGTGGTCAACGCAGTCAGTCGACATATTCCTCAACTATCGACCAGAATACGACTAACTAAGCTATAGGATTTTCCCGATCCACACCATGACACCTGTCTGGGTGTTTCCAGCATACCCGCTGCTCCTGACAGCCCCTCTGGCAGGCAACCTTATATATTCTGCAACATTACACGGTTCGCAAGCAGAAATACCATATGTAGCACTCGCCTTCAGTGCCGTGAGTGTTCAGGGAGCAGGGTTTCTGATTAGCTTCATGATTTGCGCCGCCTTCATCTATCGACTCATGACTCAAAAACTACCAAGAGACATGCAACGTCCCGGTGTGGTGAGTACAAGCGTTACTGGCCTCATTGGAAGAAGGGTACTGATTTGTGCTGCAGTTCATCTCCATAGGCCCTGGAGGCTTCACGGTAGCTGGAATTGGTACGAGAGTTCCCCATAGCTTCACAAGCAGCCTTCTGGCTTGCTTGACACCACCAGCTTCGCTGACATTGAAGTCCTTGCGTCTATCCTTCTAGTGCTTCTCGGCCAGCTCTCGGACCATATTATCCCTGCCAAATTTCAGGGCGAAGAACACGCAGTCTTCATAGTACGAATTCTGTCAGTCCTTATTGGTCTTTGGCTCTGGGGGCTCAGTTTCTGGTTCTTCCTGGTATCTGTTGGGTCTTTGTGGAAGTACCTCATTCCCGGCCACCGCCTGCCCTTCCAAATGACCTGGTGGTCGTTCGTCTTTCCGAACACGGCCCTGGTAACTGCAACCCTCCAGCTCGCTACGGCTTTAGACAGCCCCGGGTTCAGGGTTTTTGGCTGCGTCATGGCAGCCTGCCTAGTCGTGGTCTGGATTGCAGTGTTTGCAACCATGATACACTGCTTGGTGAAGAAGCAGCTTCTGTGGCCGGAACAGGCTTCAGATGACTAGATCCTGATGTTTACTTCGAGAGCTGCATTACCTCAATAAATTATTGATATCCCTCATAACTTGTGCATACAAGTTATTGAAAAACTGAGATCACTTTGTATGTGGTAACAAGCTATACCAGACGCCCAATGCTGGCCAGGGATCACGGTCACTCGATCTCCTCAATCCTCGGCCTTGGTCCACTCTGGAGGGACGGCAGACTAGGTCGATCCAGTTGGAGGCCAGCCACGCCCACCAGCCCGTCACTGCCTCGATCGATTTCCAACAGCGATCGCGCCTGCGTCTGTTGCCCTGTCTGAGACGGAAACAACTCAATCATCCTCCAGCTCTCCAGGCTATCCAACACATCCCGCGCATGCTGCTTCACAAGCTCATCGTTGTCTGTATCCTCAATGTAGCGCAGCACACCGCTGATGTTCTCGCGACTCGCATCCGTCAACCCAAACGCGAGTCTGCGCCCGTTCTCCTTGGCATCCGCGAGAGCTTTGATAAAGGACAAGATCAAGATCACGGCGGCGCGCCGTAGTATTCCTGCTTCCGCGCCACGCTCGTCGGCGGCAGTGAGGATGCTGACGGACAGATCAACACTAGCCTCGACGAGATCCGGTCCATAGCCCGCAATGTTGGTCTCGAGCCCGACAGAAAAAACAGACAGCGCAGACGCGCGCATGCGGATGTCCTCGCCCCCCTTTCGCTGGGGGTTTCCCAACCTTCCACGATTTGCGCGAGGATTCGGTTCCGTGCCTTTTCCTCCTCGGTCGCGTCCGCAATGGCCTCGCTCAGATCCGGGATGTCTGCCACATTGCCTCCCCAAGCCTCTGCCGCTTCTGCGTTTTGCTTCGCTTTCAAGCGGTCTTCGCGCTCCTGTCGGGCCTGCGTCCCGGGCCTGTGAATGCGACGGCCTGCAATGGACAACAGGGATTGTCCTACAGACGCGGCAACGGATCCCGTGAAAGTCTCGCCAAGGCGCTGGATTATCTGCAGGAGGGTCTCACCGAAGCGGAGGCGCGTGTCTGTGTTGGCTGTCTCTCCGGCGTCAATGTAGTGCTCCAGCACCTCGTTGATTGTGGATTTAGCGTGCTTGTCAGCGATCTGAGTGAAGAGCTTCATCACACGGAGGGTCGTGTAGTCCTCGTCCTCGGAGAGTAGCGAGGATAGCAATACCAGAGTGGCCGGGATGTCAAGGATCGGGCTGCTCGCCTGGATGAGCTTCGAGAGTAGGTTGATGCCTTCGGACCTCACAGGCGGGGGTGAGTCGGTCTGCGTGATGTACTGCATTGCCAGCTGATACGTCTTGCGGTCCTCAACCTGACGGTCGGAAGGTGCCGGAACCTGGTCCGCCGGGTCTTCGATCTCGTCGCGGTACTTGAGCAATAGTGCTAGATTGTGCGCCGTCTGGGATACCTCAGGTTTCTGCGCCAGCCTGATTCGGTCGAGAGACCTCTCGATGCTCGCAAGTACTACGGAATCCATCTTGGAGACCTGGAAGTTCGGTGTTGTGACAACAAGGTTCAGTAAACTGAGAGCCACAGCTTCACCGTCCTCCTCCAAAACATTTGTCTCCTGTGAGCTGCTGCCGCTGTCGCCTTGTGCAAGTATCTCACTTGCAAGTGTGAGTATCGATTTTGCATCTGAGACTAGCTTGTCCGGCATCGTCTCCATCATTCTTTGCAATACTTTCGATTCGATAATGTGTGCCAGGGGGTCTTCTGTAGCCTCGCTTGCAGACTTGAAAACAATGTCGCCCTTCTGGCTCTTGGGGTCTTGAGTGAAGGATCTCTTCAACAGCGTAAGGAACAATGCCGATATATCCGTCTCGGTCCCAACGGATGAGAGGAGTTCGACAAACGCATTGGCCTTCGCCTCAAGCTCGTCCCATTGTTTTGTCAGTAGACTCGTAGTATGCGCTTGATCTTCCCCGATACGCCTGACTTGGATGCCAGCGGTATTTGTCATCGTGAATTCCCATGGCAGTGTAGCGCCAACCGAGCCGCCGCTGGAGAGCAAGTTGCCAAGCAAACGCATGAAGTTCTCTGTTGAGCCGGACAGTCTGAGATAAACCTCTAGCAAGGATTTCGCTGGGTGTTGGTATCGTCTAGAGACACCATCGGAGAGCGAACTCCAGGTGGACAAAACCCACAACGGCACCAAGAGTGGCCCAAGAAGTCGTTTGGTCAGCCCAGGATTTGGGTGCGAGTTGAGCAATGATGAGAGACGCTTCAAAGCCGTGGCCAGGTCCTCAGCGCGGGTGAGTACTGAACGGTCTCGGATCTCCACAATCTCGTCGACTCCTTCGCCGGGCTCATCTTTAATCTTGACTTCTGTGCCCTGCCCAGCCAATACAGGGTCAACGGCAGAGAGCATTGGCTCGGCGAAGGTCTTCCACCCGGCTGTACCTGGAGCACCAAATTGCCTACGGCCCAGAACACCGAAACCAATTACATAGGCTGCAACCTTGGCCAGGTCCTCGCCTTTATCACCCTCCAGCAGGGTCAACAGCTGGGGTGCAATTCCAGGGTACCATTCCTCAGGCTTGACGCCAGTAGGAGGCACCGCAATGAGATTCGAGGCCATCTTCAGCGCCTCCATGGTGATGTTGGCCCCCTGCTTTTGCGCTGAGGCGGCTTCCGAGTTCTTGATGGTAGTAGACGGGTGCACTGAGAAGACAAATTCCAAAGTTGCCCTCACGCCGTCTGGACGCTGCGGCAGCAGCGTCAGCGTGTCCATCAGAGGCACCCTGAGCCATCTCGGGACCCTGTCTGGCTTGATCAGAGGGTTCAGAGACTGAATGAGAGCGAATGTACCTGTTCTTCATACCACATGAATCAGAACAAGGTCGTAAAATGGGTCGGTCGCGTCGGTCGCTCGATGGACTGTAATCACCTAGATACAAGAGCCGCGAATTTCCTTTGGCCCTCAGCACGTGCAATCTGGTCATTCGACGGGTTGAATGCTTCGGTGCCGGCTTGCTCGAGCGCGGCCACCAGCGGATCCGGGCCGCCCGGACTCTTTTTCTTGTCCATTTCTGTAACTCGAAATCGTCTAAGCTCGCCTTTTCTCCGTGCTTGTATATGCGCGGGCTTCCACTTTGAGCACCAGAATGATACTGGTGACTTTCATGACGGAAGTTGGTGCTTGTCTCTTGCGTGGGATTGCACAAACTTGATGGTTTGTGCTGATGTGCAAGTGGACTGTCCTGGTCTGGGCGTGGCACAGGTACCGCATGCGCTAGTGGAGTTTGTCCCAGAGTGCGACTGCCAGCTGTCCGCCAGGTGCGCACCACTAACGCGCCTTGCTCACCCACGACGCGTCTCCCAGGTGCCTCTGTGTTTGACTTTCTTCTCGTCATAAAGATATGTCCCAGCAACAGACCAACGCCTGCCTCAGAATCGCCAACCGAGAGGAATCGCATCTGGATATTACGTCGAGATACAAGTATGACCATTCTTTCTCGCACCTGGACGCGAAGTCGGCAAGCTCTCTCCCTCAAAGCACCACATCTTTAGATATGGACCATTGAGAACCCACACAACTCGCGCAGGAGCCTGCCCCAGAGTTGGCCGATCTCCGTTCTCCGAGAGGAGTGTCTCACGACCCCCTAAGTCTGTCTCGATATCCGGACGACACGTCGCAGCACGGGGCCAGCAGGGTCTGATGTGTCTGCCGCGCGTGGCATCGTCGTCCGAGGTTAGCCAGGACCGCTGGCTCATGGGATGTTCTTAGGGGAACGGTGTTCGCAACTTAACCCTAACCTAGCACTTGGTTCGAGTCTTGCGCTTCACAGTCGTCCATGCCAGCCTTGTAAGCCAAAGGACATGCGTGCTACGCTCTGCTGAAAAGTGGAGTATGCTAAGCAGGTGTCCCGCGGTGGAAGGGCTCGGCGGACATTCCAGTTGCCAGCAACGGCGAGTAAAAGCCCTTGCTATGAGTCGTCTGGTAAGAACTCCTGGCCTGGAGTCGCTCGTCAGCCTGGGCTGCTGGAACTCGTACTCTGGTCGTTCAAGGTCGTGTCGTAGGTGCTCCACTGTGCTGCCGAGCGAAAGATGAACCCTTGCTTGTCAGCCGCTTGCTGGCATGGCTCCGTCCTTGTGAACGAGCCGTGTGCAACCGGAGAATCGGGAGAAGAACTCAGTGCTGGCTGCAGACAGACCTCAAGTCCCAGTTTCGCCTGCCTCTGCCTGCAGAAGCTCTTCGCCAGAATCATCAGCTCTGTCATGGACATGATGAGCGAGGCCTGCAGCGCTACCACAGAAACTATCACACTTGAGAGTCCATACCTTCTTGCCGCACCGCATGTTCTCAGTACTCCTGGCCTCTTTGTCACATCAGCAACTTGCGGCCGCCAACGTTCAGCTGGTGTCAGCATGGCATCTTGGACTTCATCCACTTCGTTCGACTCCCTCCGGACCCTCGACGCCGTGTTCCGGCATCTGCCATCGGCACGTCGTAAAAGAGATCAGACCAGGCGCATTAACTACCCACCGTATCACGGTGCAAGTAGACGCCACAGCCCTCGCTGTTGTTCTCTGGAACAGCAGCGGAATCCCCCGCCTCGGCTTTGCCTAGCAATGTCCAAGGTAGGAAGAAAGTCCGGTTTTTATGGACGTCTTTTGACCGGACGAATACGCCCTCGCTGCTACACAGCATTCTGTGTCCGACCGAGCGGAATCAAAAACCAGTCCTTGTGGGCAGCGCGTGCAACAGAGAGAGCTTGTCGACGACCACCTGTGCCTGAGGGAGCGGCCTAAACTTGCCGACTTCCATATGACGCTTGCTTGAGGACGTTGGGCGACTGCTCCATGGGCAGGCCCGGACTGTTGGCTGAGTACATGTCGGGCTGGCTTCGTAGGATTCGGCGCCTGGTGCAGAAAGCGAGATCGGGACCCATCTTGAGTTGGCGTCAAAGTTTCGTGCTTGTCCGGTCTTGTCAACTGCCCAGACCGCGCTTGCCGCCTTGCTGTCTCGGTTGTTCAATTTTTTGATCAACAACTAACCAGCTGTTTCTTGCTTGGTGCAGGCAAGAAAGCAGCTGGGCCCCCTTTTTCCCCTCGATAAGTCCTCCCTTCCTCCCCTGTTGCCATGGCTCTTGCTAACTATCGCAGTGATGCAACAGCTTCAGTCTGCGAATACAATGCCTTGCTTCAGACTGTGGAGATGCAGCGAGAAGGACGTGATGAATAACCCAAACCACGAGAAGGGATTTTGAGGTTTCATCTAGGCCGTATAGGATATTCCTGTTAATCACACAACTTTTCGACCGAAGAATGTGATTATGTGAAAGTCTGTGATGTATATGCTGAAATCACAACTCATCAGCCGAGTGTATTTGCAAAGGCGGAGGGCAGATAGAACACCAGCGTGACAAGAGAACATGGCTGTCGGCTCGCACGACAGTTCGAGCGTCCCTTCCCACAGCTGAGAAACGGCCATTGTCGCTTAAACTGGCGTGTGGATGGTGGGAGTCAACTCCTCATCGAGTGGATCCACCAGTCAACAACCAAGATGCCCGAAAAAGGAAGTAGGCATCGCTGTCAGCCAATAGGAGCGCGTGAACTGTCGCCAGGACAGCACCAATATGTCTGGAATTGGAACGCTCAGTTGAAATGTGTTACCGGGGCATTGGCATTGATGCATTGTATACTTATCTACCTAAATACTTAAGGTACCTACGTGTGGGTATATGTGCAGGAACCCGATACTGACCAGTGCTTCTTCGCCGCGTCATAAGTGCTGCTTTGATCTCTCAGCTCCGAACCTCCCTGCGCGGGACTTTGCCAATTTCTTTGCCCCCAATGCACCTCGAAGGGAGCCCGAATCATGGAATGGCAATAGATATGAAAGCTCACCTTATTGTTGGGTCCTTTTGTGATGATAGTATCGAGCCGACGAGCCAATGCGAAAGAGCCTGATGCCCAATGTTTGGAAGTGGGGTTGCAGAAACACATTCCCGCTCGAGCTGGGCTTCAACACCAGTGACAGTGTCCAGCAATAGCCCCCTTCCAATAAAGAGCAACTTTGCTACACTGCTGAAGTTATCAGGCTGCAAACACAGGTCCGGCGCTCACGAGCTTTCAGTGGTGACCGATGCCACATGACTTGTTCTCTACAATAGGGTATACAACGAGAGAGTGGCATCATGCTCCGCAATCAACGTAAACAACCAATAAGGCATATCTTTGTGCTTTTTTTTCTCAGGGTCTTGACGCACCTGGCTTGATTTGTCGAGTGTGTGCCTGAATGCACGGTAACCAAGCTTCAGCGGTGAATAGGGGCAGGTGGGCTTTTTGTGAGGACCCTGAGAGGGGCGAACGCAAGACGATGTTTGTTAAACCCGTGTCCTTGATACGAACATCCACAAGAGTTTGTCATCTCGGGGATTCCTCCAGAAGGAGGTGATGACGGTGTTTCGTCATGTGCCACGAGCGGTCATTTGGGCCGTCAAAAAGAAAGGTATCGAGGGGCAAAATGGTCCCCTGGCAAGCACATTCGCTGAGTGCAAGACAGCGCGTTACGTAGGATCTGTAAGCAATGTTGCCAAAAGGGTGTCGTGCTGATGCTGGCTAGCTAGCGGCGAGTCGCGCAAGGATGGCGGTGGTTGGCAACAAGGCTGTCAAGCCGGGTGACGAGATGCGATGTCGGCTCGTGTCAGATGAGAGTGACGATCAGCCGACGAAGGTGTTGCATGTTGGTTTTGGATAATGGGAACCTGCACTGCTGAGTCACAATGAGAAAATGGTGGCAAGGCCAGGACGGGCCCGGCCGAGTGATCCGCCGTGGGTGTGTGTGACCCAACGCGATGAGGCAATGGTATTACACACAACCATGCAGCAATCAGCTTGGGCGCGGCTGCTGCTTAAGGTGCACTAGTTTTGGGCACCTTGCAAAGCAGAGCCGCGCCGCCTGCTGGGAATCTGGCGTGGTGGGGTGGACCACCCACAGCGTGTGCCTTCATGGAGGGACAAATCAGAGCCACTGGTCAGAGGCACGTTCCGGAGCTGTTTCTCAGAACGCCCGGCGACAATGCCAATGTTTCGTCCCGCCACAAAATCGACATGGTTGAAACCCAAGGTTTCGACAGGATGTTTTTTGGACAGTCTAAGGCACAGCAATTTCGTTTTCGGAGGGGCCATGGAGGGGGCCAGGCAGGATTCGGTGTGCTCGGCTGGACTGAGCATGGAAACCTTTTCCACGTCTCAACACTCCTCCAAAAAGCACATCCACGCCCGACCAAGCGGTGGGCCCACCCTCGAACCGCGCGGGCAAGCTGCTTTAAACCATCGACATGGCATCCCCACGGCACATCTCGAGACGCGCCTTCTCCACGGGCGGGACGAAAACAAGCAGGAAGTCTGGGGTAGCAAGTGCTAGCCGGTTACGTCAAGAGCCACGGCCGTGAGCCGAGCCATGTCGGGGAGAATCGTGTAGGCAAGCCGTAGCCAGCACCGAGCACCCGTTAGGTGTTCCGGGCGTTTTCGTAAGCCCTGGCCTAACATGGCTGCCCTCGGGTGTCTTCGCGGTACACCCACGATACCTGGGTCTGCCAACCTGGAAACCCGCGGGAGTGGTCCCGAATGCCAGCCTTGTCGGATCTGCAGGCCAGGCATAGCATTCTGATGTTTGTGGTGTTTCTGATGCCTTCACGATGCCCACCTGCCAGAGCCTCAGACAGGAGCGCGCCGCTTGAGACAAGGACCCCTCCTCCCCGGTGAGTTATTTTTCGCCCAAATGCTGAGCAAGGCCGTGAAATCTCTTCTGGGCTCGAGCGACGAGATCGGAGGGCCGTCTGCGCACTGTCGAGATAGGCCGGGCTGGTTTGCAGCTTGGTGACGCGGTACGGGCCGCGACGAGTGGAAGAGCCCGGGGCCACAAGTACTGCCCAGGTACTCTCTAGCAGTTCCACAGTACGAAACAGGCACACGGCTGAGGCGGGCCCCTCAGAAAGGCAGACGGGGCCAATGGGCAGGCAGAACCCCCACCCCTGGGGAGCTGTTGCTGGGCGGGTTTCTGCCTCAACCAATTCCTCCTGCGGCGGTCGCCTCCATGCATCATCGTAATCGCCTGCCCCTCCATCGACAGCTCCTGGCCGTCCCGCCGCGTCCCTCCGCGACACCCTATTTATTCATATAGACAAGCTTGTTCCCACCCTTCTGCCTCTTGCAGTCCTTTCCTTCCCTCTTCACTGCTACCAAGCTTCTCCCTCTGCAAACCTCGAAAAGAAAAACAACTCCAGGTATGTCGAGCTCCAGCTCGTTCCTCAGCTTGCCCATGCCCACTACCACTCCCCCTACCTTCCCCTGCAACTGCCCTGTCCTGCCCCACAGGAGCATGCTGCGATGATATCAGACCCGGTGCTCCTGCCCCTCCAAAATTTTGGCCTGCATCGCCACTGCCATCGTTCGAGGGAGGAACGCGGCTTCCTGCCTGGGACGCGTCAATTGGAACCTCCCGATGAAAGCGGGAGCATTTCTTGGACGCTGCAGCGCGTCTGAGATCGCAACTGCGGATCGATCGGTCTTCCGGAGGAAGCTTCAACGCTCGTTTGCCGCCATGGTGGGGTAGCTGGGCGCTCGTAGCTGCGTCTGGGCGTTGCAAGAGCAGCCCGCTTCCCTCAAGGTAGCTCAAGCAAGAAGGCCCGAATCCAGGCGTGCCGCCACTCTCCAACCAACCAGCCCGTCTTTCGATCTGTGTCCATGCGATTCACTCAGCAGTTGTCTGCACATACCCTCTTCGCCGTCAAGCCCATTCTTCATCAATTCCTCGTCAGATCTTCACCCTCAGTTATCAAGCTTTTACTGGGCACTCGTTCCTCCGACTCGCAGCTAACACTCTTTTCTTTCCCGCTCACCAGAAACCGTCAAAATGGTCGTCAAGGTTGGCATCAACGGATTTGGCCGTATCGGCCGCATTGTCTTCCGCAATGCTGTCGAGCACGACGACATCGAGATCGTTGCCGTCAACGACCCCTTCATCGAGACCAAGTATGCCGAGTACATGCTCAAGTATGACTCTACACACGGCAACTTCAAGGGCACCGTCGAGGTCGCCTCTGATGGTCTCATTGTCAATGGCAAGAAGGTCCAGTTCTTCACCGAGCGTGACCCCTCTGCCATCCCCTGGGGCAAGGCTGGTGCCGACTACGTCGTCGAGTCCACCGGTGTCTTCACCACCATCGACAAGGCCTCTGCCCACTTGAAGGGTGGTGCCAAGAAGGTTGTCATCTCTGCTCCCTCTGCCGATGCCCCGATGTACGTTATGGGTGTCAACAACGAGACCTACGACGGCAAGGCCGACGTCATCTCCAACGCCTCTTGCACCACCAACTGCCTGGCCCCTCTCGCCAAGGTCATCAACGACAAGTTCGGTATCGTCGAGGGTCTCATGACCACCGTCCACTCCTACACTGCCACCCAGAAGACCGTCGATGGTCCCTCCGCCAAGGACTGGCGTGGTGGCCGCACTGCTGCTCAGAACATCATCCCTAGCAGCACCGGTGCTGCCAAGGCTGTCGGCAAGGTCATCCCTGCCCTGAACGGCAAGCTTACTGGCATGTCCATGCGTGTCCCCACCGCCAACGTCTCCGTTGTCGACCTTACTGCCCGCCTCGAGAAGGGTGCTTCTTACGAGCAGATCAAGGACGCCATCAAGGAGGCTGCCAACGGTCCCCTCAAGGGCATTCTCGCCTACACTGAGGACGAGATTGTCTCCTCGGACATGATCGGCAACCCCAACTCCTCCATCTTCGATGCCAAGGCTGGTATCTCCCTCAACGACAACTTTGTCAAGCTCGTCTCTTGGTACGACAACGAGTGGGGTTACAGCCGTCGTGTCCTCGACCTCCTCGCCTACATTGCCAAGGTTGATGCTGGCAAATGACTGCCTAAGCTATGAAGCAGGAACCAAGCAACAAATTCGAACGCTTGTGCCTGCAGCATGACGCAAAGCAGAGAAAAGGAGTGGAATAAAAAGAAGAAAAAATCAACACGAATGAGTAATGATGACGGAGGGATAGCAAATAGGACCTCCTCGGCGTTCTGTGAAAGGCGTCTGTACCTAGCTGGAAGTGAAATATACCCATTAAGCTTCCTCTGACAAATACTTGCTGTCTTTCTAATGAGTGGGAATGTTTTGCTGTAACGTAATGTCAAGATGCCCGTTGAGCGAGACGTACTCGCACCTGGGTGGTTCGTGGTTATGTTGTGCAGCAACTCTCAAGCGGAGCCTATTCATGGAAAGGGACGATGTCATTAAATCGCTGCATTTGGTCCACCTACATCTCGCGCAATCAAAGTATCTCAAGCAGAACCCAACCTGATAAAACGCCATCCTGGGTCAAGATATCTCTAAGTAATATTGCTGGTCCCCAGAGCCCTAACCCTTGCCTTGGGCGGGTTTTTCCAGAACCTCCACTTCCAGTTTTTCTTCTCCCTTTACAAGCCAGCTCCGCCTCATCAGTTGGTGTCCATAGCCTCGCCGTGGCCGTTGGTGACGGTGAAGTCGACGACGCCGTCGTTGCCGATGAGCCTCTTCTCGGAGGCGGCGACGAAGCGGACGCTGCGCGAAGGGTCGTAGAAGAGCTTGAAGCTGCGCTGGACGTCCTCGACCGAGATCTGCTTGGCCTTGCGCTTGGCGCAGATGAGCTGGGACGTGGTGATGAGGTTGCTGGCGTATCGCAGGCCGGCCTCCTGGCCAATCTTTGTGAGCAGAGCGAGGGCGTCGGCCGAGACATCGACCTCCTCCTCTTGCGCGCGGATGCTGAGGATCTGCTGGATCTGGGCGGGGTCGTAGACCTGCGTCTGGATGATGACGACACGGTCGAGGAAGTCGAGCGGGAGGCCGTGCGGGCTGCGATAGTCGGTGCCGCGGATCTTGGACAAGCCCCTGTTGCTGGCCATGATGACGATGGGGGCGAGGTCGTCCTCGAGCGCGCGGTTGATGTAGCTGAAGCACTCAATGTCGAGCATGTGCACCTCGTCGATGAAGAGCACGCCGGGCACGATCTCGGCCTTGCCCTCCTCCTTCCACTCGCCGACCTTGGTGTTGATCTGGTCCCGGATCTCGCTGCGGATCTCGCCCGTGTCGCCGCTGAAGAGGGCCAGGAAGCCCTGCGTGCGCGAGTTGATGACGTCGATCTCGTGCAGCGACACCGTGTGCACGACCTCCTTGCGCTTCTGCAGTTCGCCGTCCGGGCACTGTAGGAATTTCGTGTCTGCGCCCATGGCGTCGTAGTCGCGGCTCCGCGCGAAACTGCGGCCCAACTTGGTGATCTTGCCGCTGCTCTTGTCAATCATGATGATGTCGCCGGCCATGACGCGCTCCTTAGTCATGGCGTCGATCATCTTGCTGCCCATGTCGTACACGGCCTCCATGTCGGTCGTCTTGATGGTCAGCTTGCCCTGCTTGGCGCCGCCGGTCACGCTGCGGTCAATCTGGATCTCGACGACCTCGCCCTCCATTATCTCCGACTCTTCTTTTATGCGGACGCCAATCGACTTGCGGAATGCTTGTGTGAGGGCCTCGGTCTTGGACATTTCAAGGGAGAATATTTCGGATGACGCGAGACTCGTAAAGGGGACGTCGGGGCCGAGCGACTGTGCCATGCCCATTGCTATCGCGGTCTTTCCGGTACTATCGTTGAAGAAAGTTATCAATTGTTAGTGTGAGCCTTGCAAGAGTACCAGGGAAGGGCACAGCTGTGGCTTACCTAGGAGGGCCGGCAATCAGCACCGCCCGGCCAGCAATCTTGCCAACCTTGATCATCTCGAGGATGACCGCGGCGGCCTTTCTCGCCTTCTCTTGTCCGACGAGGCCTTGTGACGAGGCGCGTGGCTCGAGTGTGTCGGCGTCGACGCCGAGCCCGCGGATGTGGGAGTGCGCCGCGATGAGGTTGAGCCCGCGCAGCTCCTTGCTCTCGGACACGGTCATCACGGGCTGCGCGAGGGCGGTGATTAGCGATGTGTACGACAGCTTTGCGAGGGACTGGGCGTTCCAAGTGCAAGACTTACAGCAGCCATTGTGGGCAGCTTCGCAAGGCGCTAATCAGTCGTCGTCGTGCTGCAGGTGTCTCTGTGCTTGGGGACCGAGAAAAGGATGGGATTTATCTGGCGGTGGTGGGCGAGAGTTGGTTGTGTAGTGTCGGGCTGGTGGTAGCTGTGAGGCTGGTCTTGTGGAAAATTAGTTGGAGCAGTGAGGATTGCGCAGCGCAGGCGCGCTTGACAGGTCGGCGCGGCAAACTGGAGAATCCCAGCCTGGCCGGCGAGCGAGGTGTCATTGGTCGCACCCCTTACCTAGCTCCATGGGGAGCTACTGCGTAAGGTGCTCTCGGTGGGCGTGGGCTGGCACGCCTCCAAGCCGTGTCACCAACCACAAGAGACAACTTGACGCCATCAGTCCCTTTCGAGCTCTGTTCGATCACTACAAGGTTACATAAGTCATGTGCTATGCTCTGTTTTCCAACCAGCACTTTAAACGAGTGAACCCTCGATGCACTCCCCTTAAGATCAAACCGGGATGATGCATTTCACTGATGCCTCAAACTTTGCGTCGCTGGGTACAATCGTGAAGGCCGATTCTGTTCGCACTCCAATTGTCCATGCTTGGAGTTATGAGGAGCTCGCGAAGCGGTTGACTGGAAACAGCAAGGGTTTGGTTCTCGTGGGATTTGGGAGACATCCACAATCCGCAAGTGTAGCTATATTCAGTAGCCATTCCGCAGCGCGCTAGAGAGGCTTTGTTTGCATATTCCGTGGCTGCCCGCTCGCCCGCATGCCGCGCGTTTGCTCGAACTGCGCATGTGCTCTGAGGGCTCAGGGCTGCCTTTGCTGCAGTGAGTCGCTCCAGCCTACAAATGCTCTGCCAACGACCCGACCAAAATAATGGATGCTGGCAGGGCACCTCAGCTCCCAAGCTCCACCGTCCGTTGACGCCGCTCCACTTTTTGTCTTGCGCCGCCCACCCTTCGCGCGCTTCCTCGCGCGACTCCAACGATCTGGGGTCGCATCACCAAACTCAGCCCCGAGGACCCTTCCGCGACGGGTGCCTTTTCCCCTCCCGTCCACACGTCCCCGAGCACGCTCTTCGACAACACATAAGGCAGGAGTCCCGTCAACACCACGAGTTACAAACGGGCCGCTCTCGACCTCGCAGTTGGCGTCAAGTTAGTCAGGCGCGACAGACACACGAAACCGCCTGCCCGGCCGAACTCGTGCCTCCCCACCTTGGACGGGGTGTTCTCAAGCTCGATTCACGACACTACACTCCTCACGACCTCTACCACGCCTCACATCCAGCACGAAGGCCATCCGCGCACGGCGAGCCCCGACATGAACTATATCAGTAGAATATTTCACGGCAACACTTGTGCGAGGACGAAAGACCATACCACAACAGCACTGAGCTCACATTGTAGTGGCCGGTTGCACACCGAGCTATCATGGCGGGCCTTCCCTCACGGCCAACCCTAAATGATGCGTACATTGACGAGCGACGAAGACCATCGGATGCCTACCGTCCACACCAGGACGCCCGGCGCACTGCGGACAAGTCACGTGAGCGGGATAGCTCCTCTCGCCGCGAATCCAGAGATGGACCTGTACGAAGAGATTCAAGAGATATGAGGGATCCACGAGACGCTCGCGAGGATTCTGCTCGTGGGGCACAAGATAGCTCGCGGAGGCCGTCTGTAGCTTCTAGCTCCTCGCCCCGGCTAGGCAAGGCCAGCGTCGTCCAAACCCCAGACTCTCGTAAGTTTGCATCTGTGATCCCGTCACTGTGGTTATATTTGCTAACAGTGAGCGCCATTAGTCTCGCGATCATCTAATGCCGCCCCATCTCGTCTCGTTACAGCTGCCAAACCCTGTATGCTGAGCAGCAAACCGCCGATGATTGAGACTCCCGAGTACCAAGACCTGTTCAACACCTTTTGGGCTTGGAGTGACACATTAGTCGATCGTGTGTCTGTCAAGTCGCAGTTTTCAAGATGGAACGCAGAGGCTGGGCCGCGCCGGGCCTTCAATACAAAGCTGGAAAAGGCAGATGAAGGCACTTCCATGGCTCTGCTGCGTCGTACAGAACTGAGACAGCAGGAAAAGGATGAGAAGCTGTTAAAGAACAAGGTCTCGGAGACCGACAAGAGCCACCAAAAGGGATTGGAAGAGCTCATTTCCAAGTTCGTTGCCCTCAAAAAACCACCACCTATAGCTGCCTCGGCCTCGGAGAGACATTGTGACACAAATCAAGCTCTCGAGCGTAAACTCGAGCTCCTGCAAAGTCGCTTCGAGCAGCAGGAGGCAGCGTTTGCAGCTCGTGAGCATAAACTTATCGAGCAGGAGAGGAGTGTTGGTGCATGGCAAAAAGAGATGCAGGATCAGCATGATGCAACTTTGAAGGCTGTGGAGACGCTTCGGATGGAGAATGAGAATCTCAAGAAACAGCTCACAAGGCAGATGCGCGAAGTCTCCGAAAAGTCTGAAAAGTTGTCTGCCAAGACCTCTACTGAGTGCGACGGCTTTAAGAAGGACCTCAAGAGGATCGACGATGACAGCAGAGCGCGATGCTCGACCATAGAGGCTTTATGTCAACAGACGGCCAAGACATTATCTCAGTCTGTCGATACATTATCTCAGTCTTCGGCCCAAGCAAGCTCCATGATTACGAGCATGGAGGCAGCACTGAACAAGCAGGCGCGGGAGTACGACAGCCTGGGCACACAGATACAGCAGGTCCGAGACTCGTGCGCCAATTTAGCCAGCACAATCAAATCGCTAGAGGCCGAGATGGAGAATACCACAGAGAAGGTTGACTCACTTGACCTGGAGAGCTTGGACAAAATGGTCAACACGTGGGTCGACAACAAGATTCCGGGACGGGTCAAGGGTCATGAGGCAGAGATCAACAACATGCGCAAGGAACTCTCTGCCCTCAAGGATCATCTCCCGGTCAGACACGCCTCGTCTGCCACACATTTGCCGAATCAATCAACCTCAGTCTCGCCAGATTACCTCGATGCGAAGTTGGTAGAGTTGTACGGCAAGGTGCAGACGACGGTGGCGGAGACGAGCGATTGGCTCGGCGATGAGCTTGATGGCCTCAGAAATGACTTTCAGAAGCTCCGGGACGAGAAGCTGGCGGAACGCATCGCCTCCCTAGAGGCCAGAAGTCTCGAGAAGAGCTCCGATGCTGCTGCAACATCGGCGCTTGCATCGCGTCTACAAGACCTGGAAGGACAAGACCTGCCAGGCAAAGTGAACTCGCTGCAGACCATCTGCATGGCTCGCCTGGGGGAGCTCGAAAAGTCTGTCAAGGAATGGAGTACACAAGTGCAGGAACGCGCCAGTCAGGTTCTGCGCGAGGACTTCCAGGCTGTCAAGGACAAGCTTGAGGGTGTCGCGATGCAGGCAAACCACCTCGATACTCAATTCAAGAATGTGACGACCAAGGAGATGGCTCGAATGATCCTTGGGGAGCTCAACCAGGTCACCAATAAACCCGACAGCCTGGGACGCAGAGCCATCGAGGCTGTGGAGAAGCTCAGCAGTAGGCTCGATACCATGTCGACAGAAATTACACAAGCCAAGCAAACGCACACCCATATGCAAGACGAGTTCACGAAATTGAGCGACTTCGTTGACATAGTCGTCCGCAGCGGGCATCGCGCAGGCGACAAGAGATCCGCCGAGCCGCGGGCGAATGGAGCCGATAGCCCTGTCGATCCCAAACGCCCAAGGATCAGCAGCAGTACACCAAGTAATAACCGACCATCGCCAAGTGTGCCACAGGGCATGACGAATGGGGTGCCGCGACGGCCTCACTAGAGACTACGGCGGTTTTTGTGTGCCGGACTGTGCTTGTCCTGATAGACAGCACTAACCCAGCTTCACCAACGAGAAAACCGGTCATGTCAGGGGAGAGTATTAAGGACTCGCGATGGCATTTATGCATTATCATGGAATTAGCTCGTTTTGGTCCCTGGGTTGCTATCACCCAGTATGTTGTTTTCACGGCTTTATACCCCCCACAACTGTTGTTAGATCTATGCAAGCGTACAGCACCGTCGACACGAGCCGACAGGAATAGAGAAGTCTGTTCATTAGCCGTCATGCACACGGCAAACCCATCTCGTACATCAAGGAACTGGTCCCATGATTCCTTGTGAAATGTGTCATCATCTTGCCTGTGTGAGGAATAGGTTTTGGTCGAGAGTTCCTTGCGTGGAACCAATTTGTTCATTGCTTTTCGTGGCTGTCTATATCGTTCTCCTGCTACACTGTTTGTCTGTAGCTGAGTATGTGCGGACGTTGCCGCATGTTATGTTCCATCTTTTGTCTATCGTTTCTCTTGTACATGTATGTATCATGACCGAACGCCGTGCTTGCACGCGAGCTGTCGCTGCATATCCTGACCGATTCATTTTTTGATGCTTTTTACCCTTCCTCAATCCTGCCGGCCTAGAGCATTGTTGGCTGGTCGATGTCAGGATGAGGTCTTATACTGCCCCGTCTCACTCTCCTCGTCTCCGCCTTTCAGACCAGTATTCCGGTGGACCCGCTCTCTCCTCTCTTACAATAGCTTCAGTCCACCGGTGATCAGATCGACCTGGCTCTTTGGCGCCGGCCCGACGCCCAGTACGGTCAGGCTGCCCGGGTCGATCTGCGTGCGGCCCGCGTCCTGGATCACCTCGGCGGTGATGCCCAGGCTGCGCGCCTTGCCCATGAGCTCGAGCATCTCGTCCTCGGACTTGACCTGCACGGCGATCTTGGCCTGGCCCAGGCGTTCCCAGCGCTGGAGGATGCGGGCCTCGGCGGAGGACGGGTTCTTGGACTGCGCGCGGGAGAGCGTCTTGTAGCAGGCCAGGGTTGCGTGGCTGCACTGCGCTGCGATCTTGCCTGCCAGGGTGGGAATTCACATGGAGGTTAGCATCGGGTGTCTTTTGCTTGAGCAGTCGGGCAAATGGAGCGAGAATAAAGGAAGGTCCTCTGATGTGGGAGGAGAGGACCACACACGAAAGGTTAGCATACCTTTAGTCATTCCCAGATCTGTCCGGACGACCAGGACGAGCTTGCACTCCTCATTCGCGTTCCCCTCCTTCGCGTCGCCGGCCTTTGGCATATTCTCCTCGGCGGCGCCCTTCTTACCCCCCTTCTTCTTCTTCTTCTGGCTGCCGTCCTTCGTGCTGCTGCTGCTCTTCTCCTCCTCGGTCACGCGCAGACCCTGCCTGCGGTCTGCATCGAGGCCATTGGTCCAGTTCGGCGCGTGGTCGAGGATGGTGTCGTCCTCGTCAATGTCGGACTCGTCGCTCTCGACGGGGTCCTTGAGGTTGGCGGCCCTCTCGGCACGCAGAGACGGCGAGATGAGGTACCCCCTGATCGAGTAGATGCCGAGGAAGAAGCCGGTGATGAAGGTGACGATGCTGGTCGAGAGGATCACGGCCGTCGTGTTGACGCCGGCGGCTGTGTCCGCCATGGTGGTGTTGGGCTGTCGGGTCGGTGCTTCCCGTCGCTGGCGGCGGTGGTGGTGGTGTAGACGGCCGGGGGCTTGTTCAGGACGGGGTACCGCGGAGCGTTCAGGATCTTGTCGCCCAAATACTGTCTTGCTGTGCTGTTTGCCGCAACAAAAGTGCGAGGAAGAGGAACAAAAGCTGGTCCAGGCGGGCTGCTGAGAGCATGTGAAAACTGGAGCTTTGTCGACGTTGAAACACCAGCAGCAGGCTGGACAAACCCCCCACGTCAGAGGTGCTGCAGCCTATGCTATTCTGGGCCTGGGGATCCTACGGCGCCCTTTTTGGGGACGCCCCTCCTTGATCCATCCACCATTTTGCCATATGACAGCCAGCCAGCTTTTTAGCGAGAAACGACGGGTGCTCCTCTGTCATCGGCCCACGGGGCATATCCACGGGCGCTAGCAGTACTAGCTCATTTTTGTTAACAGTGCATCAGATTGCCAAAATGTTCTGTGGTGTCGACGTTGTAGAATACACCAAGACGTATGACCAAGTACCTGAATTCTGGGCCAAGTAGACTGTACTTTTGGTAGTGACATCACAAGCAGCCAGCAGGTGCATGCACGACCACCGGCTGGCAAGTGCCTAATCGCCTCTATAACAAGTGGTCTAGAGCCTGTCCAGTTTACATCTGTGGGTTCACATACTTGAAGCTCCTTGAGGTAGTGACACAGTGGAATTCCAGAGCTTCGGGGGTCAGCTTTCGTAGAGCCAGCCGGCAGTCGAATGCCACCCAAGCAGACCCTTGGACAACGGCGAACCACCCCCGGGGGGGGGTGTCCCAGCGTCTTGGGAGGCCAGATCTGCAGGCTCAGCCGCATATATTACATATAGCATCCAACAGAACCAGTAGTGGACACACAGGGGTTGCGCACGCCCTATGCCCGTGAGGCTTGTCTTTTGCACACATGCGGTTTGCCCTGCGGCAGAACAATGGAAAGCAGGCCGATGTTTACCTGGAGACGGCGGACACACAGCCATCCACTTTTCAGCCTCCAGGCTGCAAGCTCCCCCGTCCAGGGCGCGGGCTGGCCAGGCACAGGCTCCACTGCAGCCGCCAGCGTGCTGTGCTGTGATGCGATGGTTGCACCTGCCCTGCCCACGCGCGCCGAGACAGGGCCCACTCTCGTCCGTCCCATCCCATCCATGCCTTCCCTATCACGCCATGTACTGGACTGTACTCCAACTAAGCAAAGTCCACCACTCACCACCACGACCACAACACCTCCCTGCCGCGACCGCTGGCCAGCATACATGCCCATCGTCGCCAATCCCGCCTGCCTCCGTCATCGCTAGCCCCTACATCTTTAGGCACGAACCGATCGACGCGCAACCTCCATTCGTTCCAGTCTCCTTGCACGACCGACCGGTCTTGCCCCATCCGGCTCCTCGTATCGACGCGACACGCCCAGCGCTCGCAGGCGATGCGCTCCACCACCACTATTCAATCGCCACGATATCACATCACGCAACCGCCTCTTTGAGTCGCGCGTCCCCAGGCTGTCCTCTCTGCCTGCCTGCGCGCGTTCCGTGTTGAACCCGCCTGCTGCGCAAGTCTTGGTCGTGCCGCCTTGGTAAGTCGTGCTGCTCAACTCTGGCCTGGAACCGCCATCAGCGCGGTTCCAATCACAATTATCGCGCCCCAACCCCTCCGTATCCCATCAATCTTGCAGAGCAAATAAAGCCTCCACTACTGCTGCAGTTTGCGCCAAGCGTGCCATCTTTTCTCCGCATCTGGTTGCTGCGATGTGCTATCACTGACTCCTCGCAAACAGATCACTGCCTCAGCTCACCCCCGCACGATCTACTTCAACCATTGCGCCTCCGTTCGCGGCGCTCACGGTCCTGCTCGCAAGTGGTATCCTGATCCAGCTGCACAGCACGTGTGACCACTGCGCCGTCTTGCAAAGCTCATCCCACAGAACTACCGGCGCATTTGGCGACGCGCCGCTCCACGAGTCCGGCATATCCCCACCAACACGACCCATCGACACTCCCGAGCTATTTTGATGACACAAGATCGCACCCGCGCGCAACGCTGTCGGGTTGCAATCTCTCTGGGAGACCACCATGGAGGAGGTGGCCAAGACGATTGAGGACACCTTTAAACCTATTCTGCCCAGAGAACCACATACACTGTCGCCACATCCGACTCTAAGCTACCCGCCAACTCGCGATCCTAAACAACTTGAGGAGCAGGTGTGCCGACCACTGCAGTACACGACCTTTGTCAGCGACGCAGACCGTGGCGTGCTCCTGGCAAGGGCATACTTTGACATCCGGGAGGAGGACCAGGCCAGTCATGCGAGCAACACCCCTATCGCTCGACCAGCCGATCCCAAGAAGCCCAAGACGAAATTATCACTCAAGGACTATAAGAGCAGAAAGGAGGCTCCGGACGGCGAGTTGACGCCGAAACCGCGCTTGACAGCGCTCAAGGAGCAGGAACAGCCGAGGACTGCCCAGGAGACTACTCCCAAACTTGAAATGGACATCAAGCGGGAGCGAGACACGCCCGCCACTTCGAGTCGAAGCCGACCAAATCCACAGCGACCACGGAGCCCCTCACCAGTGCGACCAAAGAAGAGACTGTCAGAAGCTGCCGACCTTGAACCAAAGCACATCAAGCGCCAGAAGCCGGATGATTCGATAATAAGCAAAACGGAGCGCACTTTGCCGCGCCCCCCTCCTGCAGGCCTACCACCCAAGCCGGAGCGTGTAGTCTCGCATGACAGGCGGCCTTCCAAGGACCTGCAGCGGCCCTCTCCACTGTCCAATGGGAAACGACCACTCAACAGCACCCCGGCGCTGCCTTCGCCCAGGACCAATGGTGTGCAGAAGCCCGTCTCAAGCAGTTCATCTGTGGTCAAGAAGCAGGAGCCGACTGCTAAACCAAAACCCTACGTGCCACCCTTGCTGTCCCCCCTGCATTTGGGCAGCCTGGACGACAAGTCCTCGAGCCGACCGAGTCCGAAGAAGCGGCCGGACGATCAGCTAAGACCACTTCCTAAGAAAGCGCGGGAAGAGCGAGACTCGTCGCCAAAGAAAGCCCGTGAGGAGCGTGAATCCTCGCCGAGCCCCAAAAAGCGACGGCCTCACCCAAGCATTCCCCCACTCCTCTCGCCGACGTTGCCACCGATCGTGATGGAGGAACTGGCGAAAATGAAGAAGACCGCATCTTCAAGCTCCAAGGATTCGTCTACCGGCCAGAAACCGGAGCCACAGGGTGCTGTTGCCCAGAAGACCGTCCATCCTTCGAGAGATTCCATCCACGTCGACAGCCGCAATGACAATGACAGGGAAGGGCGAGAAAGTCTCGTTGTGGTGCTCAAGTACAAGAAGCGCCTCAAACTGACCGTGGAGCGCATTCTCAAGTTAGAGCCAAAGGGCAAGCGATTTGCTCGGGACCGATCAGACAGCCTGGAGCCAGGAGTTGCCAAGAAGCGTCCAAGAGCCGCTGGCGAAGTTCACGCCACGGAGGCCGGCAAGCGCCCGCGTACGTCCGAGTCCTTGCAACCGGCGACGCCATCTAATCGGCAGTCTGCCGCCATGGTTCGAGCTGCATCCAGCAGCTCTCAGGTAGGCACGCCTGGTGTGTCTACAACCGTAACCCCTGCCACACAACCAGCGGAGTCTCGTCGTCCATCAGCAAATCCGGAACAGGTGCAGCGCCTGCAGTCGAGATCTTCTAGATACATTGAGCTTGGCACAAAGTTGAAGCACAGTCGCGACAACATGGCTCGCTCGAAGCAACCGCAATCGGCCCCGTCCGAACGGGATGGACCCTTCATCATGGCTTATGGCGTGCAGTCCCTGCTCTCCTACATGCTCGGCTTCAAGTTAGAGAATGACGCGAGAGACCTTGACAAGAAACAAAGGAGTCATGCGACGTGGAAATCTTTACAGCCACTCTTCCGGGTCATCAAGAATGACTGTGGGCGTAACAGTCAGATTTCAGCCCTGGTGCTGCGCATGCAAGGCATTCTCCTGGTAAACCTTGGTCAGGCCTTGTGGTCCTACCCCGAAGGCCCAGAGATGGCAAAGGAGCTGCTACAGAACTCGAAGGACCAACACGAGACGTGGCGCATGGCAGAGAAAGCGCGAAAGGCTCTAGGCTTCTACGATGGTTCCTCGAGATCAGACGACGGCGGCGAGGTAGGCAAACTGCTTGACCGCCTGGGTCCATGGACAAGTCCAGAGGAAGCAATACCCATCACCCTCGAGATTTTGCGAAAGACCATCCGAACGAAGGAGCCTTGGCGGCCGACCGAGGAGCTCGCTAGATACGGCCGCACAAACACGAATGGGGCTTGAAAAGTCATCCTCCTCTGCAAGGGCCTAGAGCGGGCGCCTGGTCGTGACTACAGAGAGGTGTACATTACTTTACGACATAACGACGATCATGACGAACATATGCGGCTTCCTGGTATTCCGGGTCTACTTGATTTTCTGAATTGGTGCATTTCTCAGTGCTCAATCGGTCAGGCGTACCTATTATCGTAGCAGCAAGATGACAAGCACAAGGACAAACTCGCGCCAGCCTCTTGTGGCCACTACTCTCTGGCCTCTGCTGCCCACGACTTTTCTTTTCGCATGGGGCAGTACAACTGCAGCTCGCTCAAAGCCGAGCGCCAGAGGATGGCGAATGTGTTGGAGGACCACTTCATAATGGGGGAAGTGCTGGGCAGGGCGGTGTTGCGCGGATTGCTCCACAGTGGCTGTTCGCTGTTCGAGCCATAAAGGACAGTGCTGTTCCTGGATTTACCTTGTTGCCTTTGTTGTTCCATTTTCTCTCCATTTGATGATATCCCCCGCGGCACACTGAATAGTGCCCGAGCAAAGAAAGCCGGTCTTTTGGTTGTCTATTTTGCAGCACTGTTTCCAGGGTCCATGTTTTGTAGTCACCTAGTCACTCTAACGTGGATAGTATTCTGATCACACCTTTGATGATGAGACGTACACTTTGCAAAGTCACAAAAGATGCCCAGCGCCGAGATATCCTCTTGGACCACGAGGTCAGCTGTGGTTCGTGACGTTTTTGTAATTCTATGCTCCCACTTATCCACCATGCTCGCGAGAATGAGCAAACGACGTAGCTGACGAGACCCTTCGCATCCACAGGGGCGCGTTGCGCTATCATACGCCCCGCTCACGACACTATCTTGCCATGCCTTCTTCTTTACGTCGCCTGCTTCCCGTCGAGCCTCCGCCCCCGCTATCCGTCGTGGACTTCTTGTCATTGCCCTTACTGCTACTGCCACCGCCATCCTCTGGAGTCTCCACGCCTTTCTTCTTGGTCCCGCCGCGCAGGGTCTGTCCCTGTCCGGCGAAGTGCGGCCGCTCAGCATTCTCTTTTTCTGCCTGCTTGTCCGCGTCGGTCTTTACTGGCTTGATGTCGTAGCCGAAGAAGATCTTGTTGGGGGGAAGCCGAAGCGGCATAGGCCCGTTTGTCGTGCGCTTCGGCGGCGCAGGCGGCACCTTGCTATTCGAGGACGAGCCGGCCACTGGTGTCGATGGTTTTGGGGTGGGCGCCTTGCTGCCCTTCTTGGAGACGAGCTTGTGGCCCTCGTGGAGGAAATGTGACGACACGGCGCGGGCGCCTGCCGCGGCGGTGCTGGACTCGGGCTTGATGGCGTCGTAGTTTATGCTCTGCGCCATGGTGCCCTGGTTGTGCAGCAAGCCTCCCGGCGGCAAGCCTCCTCCTGCTCCTCCTCCTCCCCGCGTGCTTCTCGGCGTGCTTGTGCCGCTGCCCTTCTGCGGCTCGACGTAGCCCACCGGCGGGGCGAACTCGACCGAGACATCTGTTTCGATCATGCACACGCCCATCTTCTCCGTCTCGGGCTTCACCTCGAGCACGGCAACTTCGTAGACCTCGTCATTGTACTCGAAATTGAACACGTCGCCGCGCGTCAGAGTGGCAAAGTTCCTAAATGCCTTCTCTAGGACGGCCTTTGGGTCGCTGATCTCGAGGAAGTTGGTTGATTGAGGCTGGAGCTTGACCATCTTGGCCAGCTCGAGCGATGTCGACTTTATCTGGATCATGTCGCCGACATCGAGCTGTAGCGACTGCATCATCTGTTCATTACCAGAAAGGGGGTCAGCTCTGTCTGACCGACCACACGTCAAGCCTCATCCGGTGACAGCCTCACACACTCTCGGTGGCCTGAATCAACGTACCCATTGTGGTATATATGCCCTTCCCTCTTCTGCCACGAACTCGAGCACACCAGCGTGGGTCATGCGCTCCTTCTCGCCGTTGACGAGCTCCATCATGAGCGGCCACTGCACGTGAAGCTGCGAGATCTTTTGCAGGGCCGAGGGCGGCAGGAAGATCTTGGAGCCGTAGTTGAGCTCCGGGCGCTCGGAACCGGGCGCCATGATCAGGGGGTAGCATCGGAAGTACTCGTCGAAGCGCCGCATCGCCGGGCCGCGCATCATGCCGCCTGAGCGTGCCATGTTATACATGTCCTCCGGGTCGAAACCGCCGCCGCCGCCGAAACCTGGTCGATACTGTTTGAAGGGTAGGACGGGTCAGCTGTGAAGCAGGCTGCCTCTGGGGCTAGGGCAGGACTCCAGTTTGAGGACCTACCATGATGGCCAAGGAGCTATTCTCAACTCCGGGTCGATGTGACTGAGCGTGATGCGGGGTTGAAGCAAGACGACAGGTCGCGATCTGGGCTTTGAAAGTATCACAGTAATGAGTTTCAGTCTGATATGTGCTGTTTGGTCGGGCCCTTGCTGCAGGGAAGTGGATGGCTCGTGAGCTATGTTCAGAAAGACGTACATGGACCTGACGCGAGCTCTGGCAGAGAGGCACCTGCTGATGACGAAACGGCCGGAGCTTGGGTGGTGGTGGGGGTCCATACCTTGCAAGGTACCCTTGTACCTTCCGCCCCAGTCACCAAGCTTGCCGAGCTCGGCACTCTTAGGAACAAAGCTCTCCCTCTCGCATCTAGCACAACCTTTTCCCATACGCGAAAGGACCGAGGCACATCTCGCCTACACCATCACACCATGGCGTCCCGGTACAGCGCCGCCAGGCCCAAGCGCGACGGCGAGACCTACGCCCGCCAGCACCACAATGCCGAGCCCGACAGCAAAAAGGTCAAGTTCGACCTGCGGAATCCCTCGGCCCTCGCCCCCGATGCCGACCCAGACGACGACGGGGCACCCGACGTGTTCCTCGAGGCCGACGCCGACGTGATCAAGGGCGGGCTGACTACCAAGCGCGGTGCTGTCAACATTGATGGCTACGACTCGGACTCGGACCGCGAGGAGCTTGGCTCGCTTCACGCCGGTGCCAAGGCGAAGCCCGCCGCACCAAAGGCTGACGAGGACATGGACGACATGTTTGGAGACGAGGACGAGGACGACCCAAAAGACGACACTGTCGATGAAACGTCGGGAAAGACCAGCAAGGAGGTCAGGTTCCTCGACACAGACCAGATCGAGGGCCAGGACTCGAGGTCGAAATCCGGCGGCCAGATCCGCCTCGACGAGGAGTCCGACGATGACGACGACGAGGAGGCCAGGAGGCTCGCTATCGAGGCGGAGGGTATAGATGAAGAAGTAGGACTTGGTGGCCTCAAGAAGCATGCGCCCAAGGTGGAGGCTTTCAACCTCAAGGCGGAGGAGGAGGAGGGCAAATTCGACGAGTCGGGCAACTTTGTCCGCAAGGCAGTGGATCCCGACGCTGTCCACGACCGGTGGCTGGACGGCGTCAGCAAGAAGGATGTCAAGAAGGCTGCCGAGGCCCATCAGAAGCGCGAGGAGGATGCACGAGCGAAGCGCAAGGAGGACGACAGCTTTTTGACGTCAGACCTCCTCAGATCACTGATTCTCTGCCTCGAGCCAGGCGAGACGGCACTCGAGGCGTTGGCGCGCCTCGCAAAAGGACAGGTGAAGCAGAAAAAGGTCCCAAAATGGAAGCAAAAGAAACAAAAGCCAGACGCGATGGAGACAGATGCAGAGAAAGCCGAGGAGGACCCAGAACAGGTTCGCATAAAAGAGGCGATCAACGCCATTACCGATGCCGCGGACAAGCTGCTTGGGAGAGACCGTCCAGAAATCTACGACACGGAGCGCGAGCGCTTGATACGCGAGTATACACGCGAGACAGAAGAGCCGTGGAAGGAGCCGCGGCAGGAAGAAACCGCAGCTGATGACGACACAGAGACTCATCCCGCTGCCACCAAGATGTGGGAGTTCAGATGGGTCGACGGCCGTGATGATACGCCCAAGCAGGGACCATACGATGGTGCCACCATGAAGGCGTGGCAGGACGCTGGCTACTTCGGCGAGGGTGTCGAGTTCCGACTCGCTGGTGAAGAAGATTGGAGTCGGACGGCTACTTTCGTCTGAACATCATCTGATCCTGCCCGACACAACACCTACCCTGGCGCACACATGAGGACATCAAGCATTGCGTGCCGTATAGCTACGGCAGGACAAAACGCTGCTTGCACGTATGTGGTTCTGCAGCCTTTTTGAAGCTGAAAAGTCCATCCTGCTGGCACACACCATTGTGAGTGGCTGCAGACGAACCTTCTGTACACATGCGCTTTCATGTAGGCAGGCAGAGCAGCTTTTCAAGAAGCTCCACAGAGCCACCGGGAGCTTCCCAAGATGCTTGCCCGTCCACCATACCAGACGCCGAGCTTCAGGACACATACGCTTGCACACAAGTAACGCGCCTCATCTTTGTACTTGTATTGCTCAACAGGCTCAAGGCTCTCCGGAATATGTTGATACCCTCTCGGAGCCAGTTCTCACCACTTCGGAAGTCAAAGTCGTGGAGCAGTGGAGCCGCGTATGTGGCACTTTCTACGCTCAGTAGAATGCCATGAATAAGTGTTGATGACTATACGAAAGTGCTTATTGCTGGTGACAATTAAGCAGACTCAGTTGCGGCTGTAAAAGCATCAATCCCGGAGGAACGTCTGAACCCATATTTCGTTTGGGACATGCCGCCAAGCATGACGGCAGGCATCTACTCTCTCACACATAGTCTTTGGAAACGTCCAAGTGGGGTATCATTCGAGTACAAAACAATGTCCAACTATTCTCCATGCTTAGAGCCCTGGATGATATGTTTTCCAGTGCTCCTTCCACCGCCCCCTGAAACACGCTCAAATGCTCGAACCGTCACCTGCAATATCGATACGACGCTGCAATATTCCAAACGCACACAGACGCGGGCAGTCGTTAGCAAGCTTGGGCAACTCACTGGGTCACCAACCCAATCAAGAACTCCTCTTGCCATACGGCTCGAATGGGAACAAGGCAGCAACCACACCCATGGCACCGAACAAGGCTGCACAGATGTAGATTGGCACCGACGTCGAGGTATCCGCGGTGGTGCCGACAACGGCCGAGATGATACCCATGATGCGGTTGCAGGCGACGGCGATGCCATTGCCCGTGCCGCGGTGGGCACTTGGCAGGACCTCAGGAGTGTATGCGTACAAGGTGCCATAGTAAATGTTGAGGCAAAAGCCAATGGTACAACTGAAGGCCACGTTCTGGTCCGGCGTAGACACCGTAGTGTAGGCGAAGAAGAAGACCATGGTGAGGATCGCCCCGATAAGCATGGTATATCTGCGACCGAGGACGCGAAGGTTGCACATATATCCAGCGAGGATGGGGCCGAAAATGCCAGAGATGTTGGTCAGAGTGTAGTCGCGCCAGACGTTGAACTGGTTGGCGGCGCCAACGCCGCGGCTCGCCAGATATTTGCTGTAATTGTCTGGTTAGAATGGCTTCAGGCCGGTGTTCCGCATGGTGACTTACTTGAGGAAAACGTAGAAGAGCGGATATACGAGGCCGATGAGGGTCCACGACATCCAGACCATGCTTGTGGACAGCGCCAGCTTCTTGGTTGCAAAGAGGCCAGAGATGTGCTGGCTCGTCTCTCTAAAAGAGAAGCGTTTGGCCTTGCCCGATGAGCGGATCGTGCCGCAGGCCTCAAGCTGCTCCAGAGTCAGGGAGCAGGGCCGATTGTACTTCGCGGCGAGCGCCTGGAGATTCTCGACAAGCGCTGCCTCCTCTCTCATGCCTAGCAGATACTTGGGAGTCTCCTTGAGACGGACAACCGTGATGCGAGCGAGCGACATGGCAAGGACCAGCGCGCCGGCAGTGTACATGACATATCTCCAGCCCATGTTATTGTCGTAGGTGCACGTCGCAACGGTTTTGCAGTTGTAGCGCTCGGGGACTGCCATTGATACTCGGTCAGCAGAGTTTTGCAAAAGCGATGAGCCCAAGGACTATCCTACCTAGAAACCCCCAAGCGATGCTGCCGGTGACGGTTTGTCCGATTCCCCACCATGCCGCGAGCCCTGTGAGAAGCCATTGCTTGTTGCCAGGCAGGTACTCGAGGAAAACGGCCGTGTCAAGGACAAGGTTACCGCCGGCACCAAAGCCAAGGACTGCGATAAAGAAGCCGAGGACGGGCCAGTTGGGCGCCGCGCCACAGACAATGGTTGCGACGGAGCAGATGAAGAGGGAGACATTGAAGGCGGTGCGGCGACCTATTACGTCGGCGCCGAAGCCCCAGAAGATGGCACCAACCAGCATGCCAACATAGACCGCGATGGTAAGGCCACCGCTGTAGCCAACCTCGCCGAACTCAGTATAGGCCGGGGTTGAGATGACACCTTGGAGGAGCAGGACCAGGCTATCGACTGCATAGCCAAACCCGTTGAGGACGAAGAGCTTCGAGTGGTAGCCCGTCCAGCCGATCTCGTCGATAGCCTTGGGTATGGCAGTTGTTAGCTGTTTGGTGACGCAAGGTGCGGCTGCTCCCGAGGGACGCAGCGGGCCGACTGGCTTACATTGTTGACAAGGTGCATCTTCTTGTTGAGGACAATGTCGACATTCTGCTGGCCGAGAAGATCCTCGTCGCTGTCGTACAGAGAGACGTGGGCCGCGGCCTCCATGGTGGCTGGGTCGCGCTGTTCAGAGAGCTCTGGGGAGTGTTTTTCTTCAGCCATTGTGAGCTTTGTCTATTTCGACGAGACACATGTACAGCCTCTCGAGGCTGGGTGAGAGAAAACGAGGCGTCAATGGGAACGAGAAGCATAAGCAGGAAAACCAACTATCGTGGGAAGGCGAGGACGACGGTCTGGCAGGAGGCGACTGGCCATGGACAGGGACTGATCGGCGACCCGCCCAAGGGTTCGCTCCTTCCAAGGTCGCCTCCAGATCCATCGCGACCAGACTTGACTGCAGTGTCACCCCGTTTCCAAGCGAGACCCCCGCCAGGGCTCGCGTGCTCCTTGGCATTGCGACCGGCAAAGGATATGCGCCTCTCTCTGCCTTATCGAGCATGTGCTCAAACTCGCGACAGAGAGAGCTGCCCCGCCGAGCCACCAGATTGCGCCAATGATGTAATGCGCCGGCCGGCTCCTGGGGGCGGCTCCGCCATTCGCTAGCGTGCCCTCGTGGGGGTTCGATTGGCTCCGGATGCGGCCAGTCTCAAGGGTCTGCTTCTACTGTACACACAGTGGTTGCGTGCATCTTTGCCCGGAGAAGTGTGGGTGGGCTCTGCCTATCTGCAAGATCATGGTCAGACTGTGGCTCTGGTAGGTTGGTTGCCACGTTGGAGGACCCTGAGCTGGTCATCTTATCTCATGAACCCTTCCTTTTCTTGTGTTGTCGTTCCGAGATGCAAGATCGCCAGGGGCATCACGCAACATTCTAGAAGACTTCTGCCCCAGTGCAATGGCTCTCACCTCGTCATTCTGATGATTTCCGCTCCCAGCGGCACAACACGCGATTGGAGCAATCAATAGGTTCGCCCCAAAGCGGTAGGCACACGGGTTTAAAGACGCCAGGTATGCACTCCAACATGCAGCGCCTACTCTAGGCCGCACTCTAGGCCGCTTCAGGCAGTCAGTCACACTTGACCGACGATCGACACTGAGGGACAATGGACGACTTGAAGAACCCAAATCTTGTTGCATTACACTACTAATTCTACTCCCATCCCCAATACTGTCCTGCTCAGTCAACCATCCCCTGACCCTGAAAATATCTTCTCGGCTTCCCAACCCTACTCAGTCCGTATTCAAGGTCGTGGGGCAATAGGCGCAAATTGAAAAGTTGTTGTTGTGGTGGTGGTGTGTTGGTGATGATGTTTCCCTTTGCTAACAACTCCGTATTCATGTGGCTCAATCATGGAGTGCTTTTATCAGCGATCCTGAGCCTATCGATCAATTTCTCCGCCTCCTCGTCGAGGTCATCAGTGCTGCCCTCATCTAATGGCTCGGCTGGGACAACGTCGTCTGTGCCAGCAAGCCAGGGTGCTACGCCAGTCGGTGTCGGGGGTGCAGACATTGAGACGCCAAAGTCTTGTTTCGTGGTCTTTGCGCAGCCTGCCTCGCGGGTCTCGATCCTGAACGAGCTCGCAACGTCAAGGTGCTTGCTGACGCTCGTGTTGATTGGCAGCTTCGTCGCGTCTGTGTCGGCCGGTCGGATATCACATTCGTCTGCCGGATCCAGGCGGTCCGCGATGTCGATGAGCTTGTGCAGCAGGTTGTTGATTCTCTGGTAGATGGGCGACTCCCTGTTCGCCGCGGCCGCATGCTCTGCACGCAGCTTTTGTTCTAGCATGCCAGCTGATACCTTGGTCGCGAGGTCGAGACGGTGCTTTGGGATAAAACCGGCCACATGGGCCAGACGATAGCTCGCGACATATGTGTTGGCGCTGCTGATCAAGTCGCACAGGGAGCAATCAATGTCTTGGGGATCGCAGAGCGACAGGGCCGTCTGGCCATGCTCAATGATCTCATCCAGCCCGTCCTTGTTCTCGGGCGTGCCGGCCGGAAGTTCGTTGACGGCCACGTCGAGGCGACCGCCCTCAGCTGCTACAAGGCGCCCGTGCGGTGTGGAGCACGAGAACAGCCACTGAAACATGGCCGGCACTCCGTAGTCGCCATACTGGTGGTCGCATCTGCTGCTGGTGACAAGATGGTTCTGGTCTGGTAGCTTGGCGAGAATGTACTCGTCGATCCTAAAGTGTTTGTGGTCCTCGTAGGTGGCGCGAGAGCTGCCAGATAGTCCGGGAATATCGAACCACGATCCGATCTGCGGGTGGATGCGTTGCAGAGTCTGGCGGATTTTCCTGCGCTGGTAAATGTCTTGGAGCTTGTGTGTGCTGACTGGGCTCTGGAGATACTCTGTGAGCAGCTTGTGATTGCGGCCAAGCAAGTTCATAGCCTGGCCCAAGGCGGCAGCCCGGGTGTTGTCCATCGTAGATAGCAGGTTTTGTAGATTTTGAGCGGGATAGATGAGTTTGTGAATGGTATAAGTTGGAATGTAGGCAAGCAATTCGTTGGTAGTTGACTGGTAGCAATTTGTATCGAGATGTTTGCACAGCTAGGAATGAGCGGGAGAACTCTGCAGCAAGACCTAGGAGTTCACCTTCTCTGCTTACAAGTATCATTTCGGGTCTGTGTTGAAGCCATCTCCGATGCGCATTCGCAGCAAATATTGCCCCCCCGGGCCCCCGTAAGTGGGTGGTTCCATATAATTCCCTGGCACAAGCCCATGGTTATCGGAGATGTCTTCATGCTGAAGCCACTTTGCCGGGCGAAGAATGTGTGGCAGAAGTTGTCAGGGTTATCGCATTAGTGGTTTTCTTTACAAGTTGGCTTTTGCTGCACCATCCAAGTGACAAATCTGCATGGGAGTCTTCACATCTTATTATACTTGGTCCGGTGGTCGAGGTCAAATCATGTTGGAGTTTGGCAACGATGTCATTAAATGAAGCAAGGCCTAAAATCTGCAGAGATAGAATAATTGAATGAAACTACAAAACCCATGATTGATCAATCATACAACTGCACTGAGTACCTCGTCTTTGATGTATAAGGTAGTAGTTGAGCAGTCCGTGAGGAACGTGCTTTACGTTACCGACAAGAAACTAAAAAGAAATGTCGACATGGCTTCTAAACATGAGCCTATATGAAGTCCCTGGGATTGACGTAAAATATGTGAGAATGCAGCGAAGTACCTATTTCATGAACGAAGTTGAAGAAGAGGGAGCTGCGAAGGTGGTCCTGGTCTCGTGATCTCGCGTGCTGCACGCCCACGCAGGAGGCCGTGAACGGCGGCAGCCCCACACGCGCATCGCGGCTGCCGCCCTGCCTGCGGACCTCACCCGAGTGAGTGACTTGAACTCCTGCCTGCCTGTGACCAAAGCCTGCTACCGAATCTTGCATAACTCTGCCCAGGCAATGCAAGGTTGCCTAATACCGCACAGGCATCTCATATTGAGGACGACGACTCCGTTCGTATTTAGACACATCACCTACCGGCCAGCACAGGGTCTCTTTCCACGGCGCAAGACACTGCTTTCAACCACTGCAGCCATGCCGCCATCACCTACACCTGGCAAGCGGAAAGCCACACAGCCAATCTCGCCGCCGCCTCAGAAGCGTAAGGCCGAGAGCAGTATCTCCAGTATGCCACTCATATTCCACCAATTCAAACAATAGCGCCTCTCGCTCACTCTGTCTCTGTAGAGGGCGCCGTGGCCAACTTCTTTACCCCGGCCTCGCAGAAGCCCAAAGATCGGACAAGCTGGTCAGAAAGAGCACCAGACGCCCAAAGTCCCGCGACATTGCTCGTGGGCAGGTACCAGCCAGAAGTGCAAGAGGAGGAGCCCCCGGTCAAACGGCGTAAGGTCATTGCCTTTGACCTGGACTCCACACTCATCACGACGGCCTCTGGCAAGAAGTTTGGCGACAGCCCCGGTGACTGGAAATGGTGGGACTCGAGTGTACCGGCCAGGCTTCGACAACTGTACACAGAAGAAGGGTAAGTCCTCCTTCCTAGGCGCGGGCGCATCGGAGGAAGAATTGCTTCCAAAAGCTGACTGGCCTTGTGGCCGCACCAGCTATCGGGTTGTGATACTCAGCAACCAAGGCGGCCTCACCTTGCACCCTGATCCCAAAGCCAAGGTCCCAAAGAATGTCGGGGAGAAGGTCTCCAACTTTAAGCAGAAGTGCTCCGCCGTGCTAGCGAAGCTCAACATACCAACGACAGTCTACGCCGCCACGGGCAGGGACATCTTCCGCAAACCGCGAACCGGCATGTGGACGGAAATGTGCTCTGACTACGGCTTCTCTGCTTCAGATGTCGACCTGGAGCACAGCCTGTTCGTCGGCGACGCTGGCGGCCGCACGGCACAGATCGTCAGCGGACGGGCAGTCGCAAAGGACTTTAGCTGCTCGGACCGCAACCTGGCGCAGAACATTGGCATCGCATACAAGACGCCAGAGGAGTTCTTCCTCGGCGAGGAACCGCGCGAATTCTCGCGTGACTTCGACCTGGCGAGTTATCCCGAGGCGGTGGAAGGCGACGACGCAGCGGGTGGCAGCCAAGAGGTCCTCTTCGCCAAGAAGAACAAGCAAGACATTGTGCTCTTCTGCGGCATGCCCGGCGCCGGCAAGAGCACATTCTACTGGAGACACCTGAAGCCCCTGGGGTACGAGCGCATCAACCAGGACACGCTCAAACGCCTCGACAAGTGCTTCCAGGTCGCGACGGAGCACCTCCGCGCGGGCGAGTCGGTAGTCATCGACAACACCAACGGGGCCCCGGAGAGGAGGAAGGAGTGGATCGACCTCGCGCGCAAGTTCAACGTGCCTATCCGCTGCGTGTGGTTCAAAACGCCCATGGCGCTGTGCGAGCACAACGACGTCGTCAGGGCGCTCAACGCCGGGTCTTTGAATCCCGAGCAGCGGACGGCGTTGCCAAAGATGGCTTTCACGGGGTTCAACGCGCGTTTCAAGGAGCCCAAGGCCAAGGAAGGGTTTGAGGATGTCGTGGAAATAGACTTCAAATTCCGCGGGAGCAAGGATGACTATGCAATTTGGGGGCGCTATTGGATATGAGCCATAGCGCACTGGGAGGCACGGTCGAGTAAGCAAGCAAATATTGTGGACGATCTGAGCAAACCCCATTGAGCAAAGCATGGTTGAATCCTGGAGTGGTAGTGTCTATTCTAGCCTCTAGACTTTCTACAATGGTATCGTGGCGCACCTCCAGAAACGTGTGAAGTGAGGGGCAATTGGTGTGTGATGTTCCTCCATTCTCCTCGCACAAACGGCCGCGGGATAGTCTGTGGTCTCCCATGCCTACCTATCGCAAAGGGTCGGTGCCGGATTCCATCTCGAGTGAACCGACTTTTGCCAATCGTACAGATAACCCGTGCTTCGCATCATAATACATTGAAATCATGCTTTTTATCCGCTCCAATACGGTCGTCCTGCACGATCCGTGAAATCACATCGTGGGTATCTTTGCTTCGTTTGACTGTTGGCCACCTTTTTATGATTGCGTGACCAGTCTGGCGTGCGACTGAATAGCTCGGGCATGGAGAGCCGAGCCTTCACTTTTGAAACGTCAAGATATAGCAGCATGGGCGCCGACACCTCGTTGACTTGACGACGGGTGGCCCTCATGACGCAATGGCTTTTCTTCCTCTCTCTCTCTCATCCCCAGTGAGCCCTCCGGCCCGCTCAACCGAAGAGGGTAGCACCACCAGTCTCGATGGCCTCGATCTCGGCGAGGTCAAGGGGAGTGCGGCGGAAGCGCTGAGGAAGCTCGTTGCGATCGAAGTACTGACCCTGAGGAGGAGTCACGGGGCCGAGGGCGGCACCTGAAGCGAGGCCAAGAGTCTTGCGGAGAGGACCGTGCTGCTGGGCGCTGTCGCGGTAGGAGCTGAAGCTGTTGTGCGAGTTGCCGCTGGGGACAGTGCCGAAAGAGCCGGGGAGGGCGTTGGCAGGAGCCTCTGGGTGAGGCTTGGGGGTGTGGTCAACCTCGGCTGCGATGTAGGACAAACTGTCAGTGAACTGGTGTTCTGAATCACATGTGGCATTAAGGACAGAGTTGGTGCCAGGCTCATGGCGCGGGAGCAGTCCGAGAGAGGGTCGGGACAAGGACATACAGGGAATGGAGCGCTTTCCGATGAACTGAATCAAGGGAGTGCGAGCGGTGGCGTGGGCCGCCTGGCGGAGGGCGCGAGTGGCGAGCATTGTGGTGGTGGTTGATGTGGTGATGGAAAGGAAGTGCTGTCGTTGAGATGGCCGCGGGAAATGTCGCAGACGTGCGTGGAGCTTGGTTGTGTAACGCTGTGCTGGGGCGGGACAGGCGTCGGGAGGAACAGGGAGTGGGCACAGGCCGCGGAGAGGTACTGTCGGCTTGACGTATGGGTGCAGTCGGGGTCGCAAGGCGGGGGCCGACTAAAGGTTTTTCTTTTCCCTTTCCTGCTTTTTGCCGAAGACTGGAGTGCGCAACGTTGTTCTGACAAGGTGGTGAGGATGCGGAGAGGGAGGATTGAGACAGTTGAGGAAGCAGAGACAAAAAGTGAAGCGCGAGAAGGAGAGGGAAGAGCGCGTGGGAGGACGGCGAACAAATAATTATCCCCGAGGAAGGGGCCCAGCCGCCGGGCGGAGGGGACTGGATGGGCAGGTTTTGGGCTGGTGGATGGGCCGATCTGTGCCTGCGCAAGCCCACGCTCGGCCCACATGTGCATTATCTGCACCCGCTTGGGGGACAAGCTTATCAATTCCTTCACGTCAACCACCCAGCGCGCGCATCCCTCCGAGCCCCTCCACCATCGGCGCATGCCGCCTTCCATGCGAGTGACTGCCTGCCTGCTGGACGTCCCTTTCCATTGTCTGACCCCCGTCTGTTACCCCCAGCACCAGCACCACCAGAGGCGGGGCTGGTGAGACTGTCTCGCCCACCCGTGGCCACTGCAGATCAGCTGCTGGGTCGCCCGCCCGCTGGTGCCTGCCAGGGCGGCAGCGTCCCCAAGATGTCGTTGACGGGCTCGGGTCGACTTGCTTGAGCAGCTGCAGCTGGGCCTGTCAGTTCCCCACCGGCTCCCCCGGCGTGCGTGCGTGCGTGCATGCGTGCATGTGGGATGCGAGCGGAGGGTAGGTAGGCAGGAGCGTTTTCGGAGCCCGCACCTGCTGTGCGTGTCCTGTCCTCGGAGCGTGAGCATTGCTGCCCAGCCAGCCCAGCCCTGGTGGGCCAGGGTGCTCCTTCCTCTCATGGAAGTTTCTGTTTTTCTTGCCTCCACGTCCTGTCTTTGAGTCTCGACCACTATCCATGCTGGCGCGGCCTTCAGTCCTCCCTTGACAAGAATCCCAGGCCCTGACCTGGTGCTCGCGTGCTTCGCTCGGCCCAAGACGCCATCTGCTGCACACGACATACACTCTCTCTCGGGGGACCGAGGCTTGCAGCCGCCGTAGCGTTGCATCCATGAGCGAGAGAGCACAAGGGCAAGACACCACCCGACCGAGCCGAACCGATTAACCACCCCTCAACCAATCACTTGGTGCCTGTGCAGACCTGCACACATCCGTGTTAACTGTCTGGGGCTGTCCCGTCAAGTCCGGGGATGCTGCACGACAGCTTGGCCCGGCCTCGTCGGACTCCTTGCAATGCGGTGTTCGCAGGTTTCCGGGTCTCGACGCACCTGGCTGGCAAGCCTGTGATGTCCGCAGCTTAAATCCGTGTGCCCATTGTCACCAAAGAATTGTGCCGGTGAAGCCAGACTTTCTTTCGTTCGACGGTGTGAAATGCCAGATTTAACTATCGCTGTATTAGTGCAGTGCTTCCTGGGTTGCTTTTGTCCATCCATTTACTGCATCCTCTGATAACTCAAGCATCTCGCACGCTCGGCTCGTCCCCACAGCAGCATGTTTCGCACTGGATCTGAAACGAGTCCACTCCTGGCAAGCACATGCGAGCCCTCAGCCGCCAGGCAACCTCGCTCGACTTTAGCAATTCTTCGTCGCCGACGCGGTTCCAGTTTGGTCCTTGCCGTCCTTTAGTTCAGAAGCAATGGACCTCGATGATCTGATGGCTTGAGCTGTTTGCGTTAGGCCATGGTGACGAGCACACACTGGAGGGGCAACAGACTGCCAATGATCTCGCCTTGCTGTCAATCTACTCCCCACGCGTGCACTCGATAAATCGACTTCCGCCACTTCTGCACTACAATCCATGTTTTGCGCCTCAAAACCACCCGAAATCGAAGCTTACGTGGCAGGAGAGGGTGGGCAGATGCGGGGGACCAAATCTTGCAGACTCCAGGCTTCCCGAGGAGACACTAAAAGTATACTCCGATTGCAAGGTTTGGTCTATTTCCATCGCCGCCGTCAAGTGTGCCAATTGTGTTGCAATCATCCCCAACTTTCAACATGACCTACGCTCGAAGACGACATCTCGGCCAGCCCAAGGGGTACCGTCGATAAAGGCAGCGTTCAGGCCGCACAATTGATAACCTCAGCCCACGGCAAGCCACTGCAACCCAAAATGCTGATCAAGCCTAGCAGTCGGTGCTGGCACTAAAGCAACCATTGCGCCATGTCTGCCTGGCTTTTTGAACGTCCTATCAGCTACTGCGATAGCTATCGGGCACAGCTGCTGAGCAAACAGCCATGCTATCAAGCTGACGCTTGTGGGTAGGTAGGGGATGAACACGCAAAAGGGAAGTGTCAGCAAGCTCAAGTGCCTCACACTGAAGCCCACCAGCTGGGTTTCTGATCGGATCCCTATGACAAGAGATGGCTACGTTCAATCTGCTGAGCAGCTTGGCCATATTCTTCTGGCGACATCCGAGTGTGCCTCTGAAGATATGGTGCATGGATGTCATATCTTACTCAGTCGAAGCCGCTGACTCGATGTCACAGCCATTCTGGGTCGACAACCAAGGTCCTTGGCAGCCAGCCTTGGCTTTGCAATACTGTCCTTGGTGGTGGCCGCGAGACGAGGGACAGGACCGTGCATCTTCCCCACGCCTAGGGGAGTTTCGGTGGGCAATCAGCCGACAAGGAGCAGATCGGCAGAGGCCCCAGTGAAAGTCTACACGTCTCTGGTTGTCTCTCCAGGCTTGACTCCACTTCCCCGCATCCGTCTCCAGGCGAAATGTGGGAACCGAGTGCGGAGAAGGCTGCACTGGAGGCTTGGTGGCGCGCCCCCGGGCAAAGATTTGGGAACGAAATGCTTCGCAGAGTGACTTGGGAAAGTGCCGACGTCCATGCAAACTGAGTCATGTTGGTCCCCAACAACGCCATGCTCGGTGGCTCGCGACAATGCATCACGAAAGGGGGGCGGCCTAAGAGCTCAGGATAGTGCATCGCAGCCTCTCTCCGTGGGATACAAAAGGAACAAAACAGTCGGCGGCTCTTTCTCTCCTCCTCCCTAACTGACTGAGTCTCTCAGAACAAAGGGGTCATCTTCCCTTCAGCTTCCACGCCTCTATCCTACCATCCCTCGCGCGCCAACTGTTTCCGTCCAGACGACTACACCCCTCTCCCCGCTGCCGGTCACGACAGTTGCAACAAGATGGCTGCGCTCCCGGCACAGAATGGTGAGGGAGGCGAAGGCAAGGCCGACTTCAGCGAGAATGACAGAGCCGACGGCACCAAGGAAGAGCTGGAGGCAGTTGACGGCGGAGCATCCAGGACAGGCGTCGATGCCACCAAGGCGGAACTATTCCGGCAGTTCAACTTGGCCACTGCTGAGTGGCATCACGACACGAACAAGCGACTCCTGCGCAAGGTCGACCTACGGCTACTCCCTTTACTCGTCCTCATGTATCTAACGAACTTCCTGGATCGTTCTGCGCTCGCACGCAAGTCTTCACCTTTGACCCCTTGATGACATTCCGCGTGGCTAACTTTCTTGTAGAGGCCAGACTTGGCACGCTCGAGAAAGACCTTAACATGGTCGGGACAGACTTCAACACCGCAACCAGCATTCTGTTCGTTGGCTATCTATTGATGCAGTTACCCTCCAACCTCCTTCTTACTCGAGTACGACCTTCAGTCTACCTTAGCCTGGCCATGGCTCTCTGGGGCATCATCTCAGCCTCGCAAGCAGCGGCGCACTCCTTCGCAGGGCTCGTGGTAGCCAGGTTCTTCCTGGGCTTCTCGGAGGCGCCTTTCTTCCCCGGGGCCGTCTTCCTCATGTCGTCATGGTATAAGCGAAGCGAGCTGGTGCAACGCATGGCATGGTTCTATGCGGGATCATCTCTCGCGAACGCTTTTGGTGGCTTGATTGGCGCTGGTGTACTGGGCAATCTCGAAGGGGCGCATGGGATAGCAGGCTGGCGATGGCTGTTCATTATCGAGGGCGTCATCACCGTCGGCCTCGCCCTGGTCGCGGTCCTGGTGCTGCCAGACTATCCTTCTACCACGCGCTGGCTATCCACCGACGAGCAGGCCTACGCACAGTGGCGCCTACGCGAGGACACAGGCGAGGAGGACACCGCGGACGCCATCTCGATCAAGGAAGGCGTGCTGCTCGCCCTGCGCGACCCGCGGCTGTACCTGTTCACTCTGCTCCAGCACACGTCACTGCTGAGCCAGAGCTTCCAGTACTTCTTCCCAACCATCGTGAAGACGCTCAACTACGGCAACGTGCAGACCCTGCTGCTCACCGTGCCCGTCTGGATGGGCACTTTCTTCGTGTCGCTCGCCGTCACGTACACGTCGAGCCGCACCGGCGACCGCAGCTACCACATCACGGCGCTCATGCTGGTGAGCGTCGTGGGCAACATTATTGTCGTTTCCACGCTCAACACGGGCGCGCGCTTCTTTGCAATGTTCCTCATGCCCATGGGCGCCGTTGCGGCATACCAGATCATCTTGAGCTGGGTGGCCAACAGCTTTCCCCGACCCCTGGTGAAGCGCAGCGCGTGCATCAGCATTGCCAACATGATTGGTAACTGTGCCAACATCTATGGTCCGTACATGTACCCTGCAAGCAATGGGCCGCGGTACCTCCCAGGTGGCATTAGCACGGCGGCGGTTGCGCTACTGGTTGCGGTGCTAGCGCTCGCGTTGAGGGAGATTCTCAGGAGGCAAAATAAGAAGCTTGAGGCTGCGGAGAGTGTTGAGGATGGAGGACGCATCGGGTTCCGGTATATTCTCTAAGTTTCTTCTGGGCAGGGGGCACAATGACAGTCACAGCTTTGAAACGAACGAAGAGAGCGGCTGGCTTCATAGTAGAAGTATTTCCAAATATCCCATTGTCTACATCGGGGCTATATTCCCAACATGCGTGCCCATCTCTGTTTCCTCCTGGTTCATGAAGCTCTGTATCTCCGGTATTGTCTTATGTATGTGTCCGGCAACGCAGGCAGGGGATAACCACATTCTTCATTGCGACTGTGCCGTCAATGTGTGTCCTTCCTCGCCGTCTCGTGCTCTTTCTTGAGTGGCCCTCTTGTGGTGGCGGAAGGGGAGATGCTTGACTGAAGAATGAGAGATTGCAGACTCTGGAAAAGCAATCGCTGAGAAGAAAGCTCGAGTAGCTCCGGGCTTCATGTTACGCTGCCTGGTGGAGCGAAGGACAGAGTCCAGTCCTCTGAGCTTCTTTGTCTCTGCGCGCGGCTGCACTCGCCACTTCAGTCCTTCAGCTTGGCCCAGGCCAGCTTGACGACTGCTCCCCGCCATCTCGAACACCTCTTCGCCTCGAGGGCAGCACCCGCCTCCTCGCTGCTGACGAAGTCGACGAATTGCCAGTTGCGCCTGCCGTTGCCTGCTTGGACCGGGGCTGGCGAGAAGCGCTTGCTGGCTGTCACACTAAACATTCCCGCCAATTTTGTGCGGCCTGTCAGCAATGCCATTCGTGAAATCAGGAAAAGCAAGAAAAGCCGGGGAACGAGGAGAGTCTTACACTTGATACCCATCAAAGAACTTGAGCATCTCGTTGTACGCCATGGCCTGGTCGTGCATCCTGGGCAGACCACCAACGTAGAGGCGCCGCTTGACACCCTCGTGGCGACTCTGGTAGTACTTCAGAGTCTGGCCCGGACCTTGCGGACCTCGAGGCACATCGTCGCCACTCCTCAGCTCGCCCAGTAACTCAGCCGAAGCAGCAGCCGCAGGACCATCGCCATCAGCACCGCCGCCAACAAAGTCTCCCCACCGACGGAAAGCAGCCTCGCTCTCGCCTCTGCGGCGCCCAGCGAGGGTGGCGCCTTTCGGGTTGCACGAGGAGCACCTGACCGGCCGGCCCTTCAGCATCTTCCCGTCGAGCAGGTCCAGCGTCCGAGCCGCGGCGCTCGCATCCTCAAACTCCAGGAAGCAGTAGCCCGGGTTCCACCCCGTGAACTCGTCGATAGAGATGTGCATCTTGACATAACCCCCCGCGACACCATACTTGCGGACAAACGCCTCGATCTCGGTGGGCTCGGTCCCGTATGCCAGGCTGCCCAGGTACACCCTTCGCCGCTCCGCGATGGACCGCTCCACGACGGGGTCGCCGCAGCACTCTTCCTCGGCGGCGGGCTTTAGTAGCGCGAGACGCTGCGCGGGTCGGTGATCTGGCCGCTGGTCGGTGTGGCTGCCAAAGCGGTACGCCCGGTGGTTTGTGACGGGCTTGTAGAGGCTGCCGAAGGGGTTGTAGGGTTTATGGGTGGCCGAGGTGGTGGTTATTGTGCTGGGTTTGTCCCCTTGAGAGCGAGAGGTCTGGCGGGACGAGTTCTTGGAGGTTCGAGGGGAAGACGAGTCCCTCCGACCACGCCGCTTGCGACCAGCATCGCCGTCCCCTCTCTGGGACGAGCTTCTGGAGGTACTGGATTGAGATCCTTGATCCCGCCGAGTTGCTGTTGACGCCAGGATGCCTCGGTCGACCCAGAGGCTGTCGCTGGAGGAACTGGTCGAGGTGCTGTCTGATACTGCCATGGCGTTTGTGTGAGGAAAATAGCAGATTGGGCGGTCAGAACTTCCAGATCTTGCTCCTGCAGGCGAGATTGGCTCAGAGAACAGGACAGCTTTATCAACGACAATCCCTCATCAGGGAGTATCTTCAGTGACACCAAAGGCTCTGGCAAGACAACTTGCCGAGGACAACGAACCAGAGAAGAAGTGGTTATGCCGATATCTCCAGGCTCATAACTTCTCGAAAAAAGTCCGCTGCTTTGCTGCCGGCTTCCTCCCGCTCTGACGAAGGAAAGGAGTTTAACTACACTGCGCTTCAGTGTAAGTGCTTGAAGTTGTGTTTACAATAGTAAACACTGACGATCTGGCTGGCAGAGCAGAACAAAGCTGTAGCTTGTGTAGGGGTAGTGAGAAAGAAGATGAGGAATTGATGGGGGCCGACGTGTCCAAGAATCTTTGTGAGCTTGACGAGAATCATTCCCAAAAATATTCCAAGACTTTGTCGACTTTTGCATGACTTATATGCTAATCGTGGTTGCTGAAGAATGGCCGTGTGTCAATGAGCATTGTACCTGCGTCACAATGAGGCCGTGGCCATGCAGCCCTACTGCTGCTCAGTGAAGAACACATGAACCATGCTGCATGCGACTGATCAATAATAGTCCGCATTGACCCTAGGACAGGCTGAACTAGCAGTGCATGCAGGTGCATCGGCAAGCAATTGTCCGACTGGCTGTTTGAATGCGGCTCGTACTTAGGAACCGTGCCATTGTTCGTCCGTCCACTTACAAACAAAACCCCGCCGCCCACCTGTCTGTCTGTCTCAACAACCTGCACGTCAGTCGCCCATCACCATCGACAACACCCCTCCGCGCGCCCGCGCTCAAGTCAGGACATTGAAGACGGTGCCGCCGCGGCAAACAATGAGCCAGGCACACAATCGTTAACGAGTGTCGGTCGAGCCTGGCTTCTGGCAGCCATTCGTACGTAGCCAGCAAACAGTCGGCGCGATAGTCTGCCAACTACACCACAGCCAGCACCGTCGGGGCCTGTAGCCGTGCACCGCTCATCTCAATTCCAGCATGGGCCAGCAGAAGCTTGGTGACAACATGTCGGACAAGTCGTTCTCGCCAAGGCTCGTCAGCGCTGTCGACGAGGCTGGCAGTGTCCTTTGCGTCTACGACAAAGACAAGGCATCTGCCACCGGCACGTGGCAAGCAGTCGTAAGTGTTTGCGGCCCTCTCTGAAAGAGAGACACCTGAGCCGGGCCCCCAGACACTACCAAACAGCACGCTGACACCACGGCAACATCTCCAGATTCCAAAGCAGACCGCCAAGAGTGTCGCCAGGGCAGTGCTGGACGTCTTCCTCCCGGCCGGCTACCCGCACACTGTAACCCCAGACTACACGCCATACCAGGTCTACGTAAGTCCACACAGCTCGACGGCTACGACATTTGCTGTTCGTTTGAAACCAGTCCACAAGTCCTAACATGGTGCCCCAAGGACTCCCTACAAGCGTTTTCTAGCACAATCGCCGGGCTGTTGTCGTCCCGTGCAGCACTGCAAGGTGAGTGTGGTGCGGCCGCTCGGCCTGTTTCCGTTAAGCCTATTTCACACGTTACTGACCACGAGATATGCCCAGGCTTGGGGGTTGGCGACGAGGGCTCCTCCGCGACGGCGGCTGTGCTTCTCACCGTCCTTCAGGAGTCGATTGGCCGCATCTCAACCATCGTGTTTGCCCATCGCCTAGGCCAGGCTATCGAGCCCGAGTGCAAGTACTTCCGCTTCCTGGCGGACATACTGAACGACGCCGCCCTGATCATCAAAGTCTTCTCGCCGGCACTGCCGCACTATGCCAAGGTCTTCTCTCTCTGCGCCACGGGCACGCTGCACGCCCTGTGCGGCGTAGCGGCCGGCGCGTCCAAGGCGAGCCTGTCCGCGCACTTTGCCAAGAATGGCAACCTTGCCGAGCTCAATGCGAAGGACGGCAGCCAGGAGACAGTCATCAGCTTGCTGGGTATGCTGGCGGGCAGCCTGTTTATCCGGGTCGTGACGACGCCAACGGCCGTCTGGACGTCGATGTTGTTGCTGGTCGGTTTGCACCTCTGGACGAACTACCAGGCAGTTCGCAGCGTGCAGATGCGTTCCCTCAACCGGCAGCGCGCGACAATCGTCACCAAGGAGTTCTTCCGCAGCGGTATTGTCCCGTCACCAGCCAAAGTAGCCAGGCGTGAGCACATTCTCAGCTGGAAGCTGGCGGGCCCTCCCATCGAATATGCTCGGACGTTCCCACAGTCGGGCGAGGTTAGTGTCGAAGACCTCAAGCGGCACGGTGCAGACCGGTACGTCCTTGCGCGGCAGCAGAGTGGACTGAAGATCTTCTTGAAGGAGAATGCCTCTCCCCTGGATGCCCTGAAGGGCTGGGTCGCAGCCCTCGTTGGACCAGCTGACATGGCGATACTCGACAAGGAAGGATTCTGGGAGAAGCTGACGCTGGCGGGCTGGGATACGCGCATTGCTGCTCTGGAGACAGGACCAGCCATCAGAATCAGAATAGAGTAGACTGGCACGACACATTTTAGATGGCCATGCGAAAACCACAGGGCACAGGGCACAATGTGCTTTTCGCGGCGGGCTGAGGAATGTGACGGTAGCACACACTGCTTTCAGAGACCAATGTCATGCCCACATGGAAGATGTACTCGGGGCTCAAACCACTCTATACGTGGATCAAGTGGCAGCATGTGACTTAAGGGCATATCCAGGCGGTCTAGTGGTACATATGAGCTCTCCTCCGGCTCTTGTCAAGATACAAAGACATCCATCCATACATCATCGCTCCGCCCGTCTCTGTCGTGAAGGGAGCGCCTCCTGATATCGTTACACATAAACTCTACAAGCACTCTCCATTTGTGCCTTACTTCCTCACTTCACTTCACTCCATACTTCACACTTGGGGGAGAGGGGTGGATCACGAGAACCCCGCGGCCCTGAAGGCCCGCATCTTGACCCCCTCCCAGCTGTTCAGCTTCGGCCGGACGTCGAGGTAGAAGCTGGGCATCCCGTTGCCCTTTGGGTTCGGCCTGCCGGCGTAGAAGTCTATGATGTACTCGATCTCGGTGCCGCAGCGGTCGACGACCCAGTCGTGCCGGTCAAAGGGCGCCTGGTAGCCGAGGAGCGTGTTGAGGCGGGCCTTGGGCGAGAGCTTTGTGCTCAGGCCGCTGAAGGAATGGAGGCGCGGGGTCTGGCAGCTATAATGTGAGGGTTTTTTGTTTTAGCATTTGTGCGGCGAGTTCACCCGCATTTCCTTTTTTTCCCCCTTTCTTTCTTTGAGGGTGCTCGAAAATAGAGCGAGGGGGGATGATGGTTCCGGGCCAACTTACCTTGTCCCCGCGATCCAGGGGGCCTCCCACTGCTTGATCTCCTGCCACGCGCGCTCGTTGACGGCGTTGTGGATCGGCACGACAGTCTGCATGTCGGGCGCCTGCGGGTCGTGGCCCTTGCGCTTCATCGCGTCAAAGAACATCTTCTCGGACGGGTAGATCCAGTTGCCCGTCTTGCTGTCGGCGCCCGTCTCCTGCTCCTGGTTGGCGATGATGTGGTTGCCCGCCGCCGCCGCCGCCGCCGTCCCGGAGGAGGAGCGCGGGATCGTGGAGACTTGGCGCTGTGTGCCGAGTGGTGCTTGTTGTTGCTGTTGCTGTTGTTGTGTTGATGGGTCTGTCGGTGGTTGTTGTTGTGGCGATGCAGACGAGGGCGAGGAGCTCGAGAGAAATGGTATCCGTGGTATGTACGAGGACCATGATGATGATGCTGATGTTGCTGATGTGCTGCTGGTGGGACTAGGACCGGGCGTCGCCGTCGGCGCAGGCGTGTTTTGTGGACGGGCCTTTTGCGCCTGCTCCAGCCACGCCTGTCGCGCGTTGTGGTCGACCGGACAGCTCTCGGCGCCGCTCGCGTCGGCCGAGGAAGGTATCGGCGGGTGCGACGGCGGCAACGCTTGCGATTGTGGTGATGTCGTCGTCGTCGTCGCGGACGGGGAGGTTGCCGCCGAAGCTGCCCGGGCTTGCTGGAGCCAGGCTTCCCGGCTCTTGTGGTCCACGGGGCACTTGTCGTCCTCTGGTGTCGCCATGTTTCTGGTTTCTGACAGTAGTGCAGGCTCAATACTGCTGACGGAGTGATGCGGAGGAGTTGCTGTATTGACGGAGGTGGTTTGGCGACCGTCAAGGATTAGGTGGGCTGTGGTGCCGCTGAGCAAGAATAGCGACACTCCGTCAACTTTTTTGTGGGGCCCCTTCGGGACGGAGCGGGCGGCGTGTATTGACAGCGCCAGGGGTCCACAGTCTTCACATTGGATCGGAGCATGTGAAGCGGACGGGCAGTGTTCTACTCGCAATTCATCGTGATGTTCCATGTCAGACTGCACCTCAGGTTGTTGATGCGGCTGCTTTTTGACGATGCTGTCAGATCCACTACATCCACGAACCCCTCCTTGTATGCATGTGCTTTGGGTTGCGAGGACGGGCCATCTTATGGCTAAATGGTTGCTCACTAACATTATATACATACGATAGTCAAAGCGTTGCTAAATCTAAGGGTCCCTCTACCGGATGATAGCCTCGCCGTTGATCTCGACAAGGTGCTCGTTAGACTTGACCGGTCCCTCGCCGACACCAGTTTGGATCACCCGGCTGACGCCGGCCTTGAGGATCTGAGCAATAGTCTCGTCCAGCGCAATGTCCGAAGACAGGGACTTGGCCTCGTCCTTCCAGCCCTCGGTGGCGCTCAGGATGCTGTAGAAGGATCCAACCACGGCCGCAGCGTCCTCCTCGAGGAAGTAGATGACGGCGTTCGGGCCGGCATCAAAGGTGTACGCAGCGACGGTCTTGCCGGCCTTCTCGTTGATCTGCTCGACAGCGCGCACGGCAGCGCGCGACGTGTCGTTCATGTAGAAGATGGGCGGGTACGTGTCGGCGCAGGTGGCGTGGAACGAGTTGGAATCGCGCATGGTGACCTCGGCGAAGGTGGCAAAGTCACGCTTGGCAATGGCCTCCTCGATGGTGGCCATGTGCTTGGGCACGACCTCGGCGACGCGCTGCTTGAAGAGGCCAGACGTGGCGACCGTCTGCTGCATGCCGGACGTCGAGCTGACGCCCTTCTTGGCAGCCGAGGCGACGAGGATCAGGGCGCGCATCTGCGGCCAGTGCGACGCCGGGGCGACCTCGACGGCCTTGGAGTCGAGCCCATCCTCCTGCGTGCCATCACGCCAGGCCACATAGCCACCGAACAGACTGCGGCAGGCCGAGCCGCTGCCCTGGCGGGCAATGATGGAGAGCTCGGTCGGGTCGTTGGGGAGCTTGTAGAGGTCCGCGATGGCCCGGACGAGGGCGGCAAATCCGGCCGCGGAGGAGGCGAGACCAGCAGCGGTGGGGAAGTTGTTCTCGGTGACGATGCGCAGGGGCAGCTCGGCGAGCTTGGGGAGCGAAGGATCGGCCTTCTCGAGGCCCTCACGCAGAGCACGCAGCTCGCGAATGCAGGCCTGGGTGCGGGCACCGCTGATGTCGGAAGGCTGGCCGTTGAGGGTGAGGGTGTCCTCCTTGGGGTACTTTGCGGAGCACGAGGCGGTGGTGAGGGTGCGCAGGTCGTCCTGGGAGAGGGTGACGGACAGCGACGGGTTGGTGGCCAGGTTGAGCTTGGGATCGCGCTTGCCCCAGTACTTGACGACGGCAATGTTGACGGGCGCGGTCGTCGTGGCGCGGTAGACGGGCGGGCCGCTGAGGTCCATGTACATGCTGGCAGGCGCCTTTGTGTTGGTGACGCCGCAGCGGGATCGTTCTGTGGCCATGTCTGCAGTGTGGTCTGGTGTGTACAAGGGAGAGTTGCGGTCTGGGACAAGAGGTTGCAAGTTCCACGAGGCTTCGAGAGCTTGTTCTAGCTCAGGGGTTGGCCCGTTGGACAGACTACCGGTGAATCTCGTGAAAGTCTGGTTGGCAGGCGGGGTCCTAGTTTAATGAGGGGCACGCCAACAGGCAGGGTCCATCCAGGTCCAGGGGCCCCCCCTTTCACCTGTCACCCCCCAGGCTGCATCTTCATGGACCAGGCACAGTTCCCAAGAGGATGTATTTGTCTGCCGCCTCAATCGCCAGGCTGGATGACTATATCATGTCGTCTTTCCTGTCTTTGTGTCTGAGATGTCTGAGCTCTTGTTACAGACATGCATGTCTTACAACCTGGGCCCCCTCTTCAGAGAAAGAGAGGGGAAATAACTTGACAAGCGTCCGCAGATGTCACTTGTCAGTGTACAGCACTTTCGTCCAATAACGATGGAGATCTGCTACCCTCAGTCTGACACGAATCACGACATGCGTCGTGGATGCATGATGGTGAGTCAGCGGCTTGGAAACTGCCATCACTTTGAAGGAAGTGGTGATGAGCAAGCATTGGCAGTAACAGCAAATCAAAAAAACAGTTGCGATGAGAACTGCCTCTGCTCAAATATTCTTCTGACGCCGTTTCGTTCTCATTAGCTCATTAGGTGTCCCGCTTGCGTGGAGTTTCCCTATGCAGTTTCACCCATTTCTCGTGTCTAACATACAGCTGAATACAACATTGACGATGAACACATCCACGTCTTGGGCGTATCACAAGCTGCCAAAGTGCCTTATATACGAATCAATGAACTTGTCGGACAATGAAATCACATGGACATAGTGCAAGCTGCCATGGGCTGAGTTGTCCATGATGACCAGGCGTCTCAAAGCCCATGATCATCGCCGAGCCATACTAGCACGATGCGGGGAAGTGCCATCAGAGTGTGGGGAAGGAGGAGCCCTCGCCTCACGGAGCACCCCATCTTCAACTCAGCCGCCCGATTGAAGCCTCAAGACTCTAGCATTTCAGAGACCAGTTCCTTCAGGAGAAGAATCCAGGTATTCCAAAGTCTAGGTCCAGCTGACCCTCAACGACAAGTCACTTGCTGCGTTGTGCACATCGTCCTTCTTCCGACAGACGACATATCATACAACTCACGTATCATGGCATCAGATAGGTTCAGTGCCGAGGCAGCAGCATGGGACAACAACCCATTTATCCACATTCAGAGCGAGAGCGCATGGCAGGCGATCCGGAAGCAATTCCCAGGCTACTTTGGCAATGCCAATGACGGCAGCTTCACCGGCGTCCAGAAGCCCGCAGTCCTCGAGATCGGCGCGGGCACGGGCACCCTCACGCTCCGCATGGCTCCTTACGCCTCGCAGATTGTCGCCGTCGACGCGGCGGAGGGGATGATCAATGCTCTCCAGATCAAGCTCGAGAAGCCGGACGCGGCCAAGAACGTGACGGCCATCTACGCGCTGCTCGAGGACCCGGAGGACAAAGTCCTCCCGCCGGCAGGGGACGGATCCGAGGGCAGGCTCAAGTACGAACTGATCACGTCGCACCTCGTTCTTCACCACATCGCCGACATCCCCGCCGTGCTCAAGACCATGTACGGATGCCTGAAGCCCGGTGGGTGGGTAGCCCTGACGGACTTTGAGGACTTTGGGCCGGCGGCGCGCAAGTTCCACCCGGAGTCCAAAATGGTCGGGGTGGAACGGCATGGGATCCCGAGGGAGTGGATGGCTGGGCTGCTTAGGGACGCGGGGTTCGTCGACGTCGACGTCAAGGTCGCGTGGTCGACCAAGAAGACGGTCGAGAAGTTCCCGGGGGAGTTTGGAAACCATGCTGATGCCGCGAACGCGAGCCAGGGAGAGCCGATGGATTTCCCGTTCGTGCTGTGTCTTGGGAAGAAGCCATGATCTGATGGCGTGATGATCATTTGGCTGATGTCAAAACCTGTTGTACTGGACTCAAATAAGAATCACAAAGGAATATGGCAATACAATCTGGACTAAGTGATGGCCGGGTGTCTATAGGGAGGCATCATTTGCTTGTCCACAGCAAGCACTTAGCTCCGATGCTTCATTGCAAAGGTGATATCAATGAGACCACCATTTCTCATTTCCTCATATCAGAAGCCGAGCGCAAACGTTTATCTCTTCTTTGTTTAGCCCAAACGCCTGACATTATCTCTGGGATCGAGCAAAGGAGCTACGTTCAGAAGCAGTCAAGTGTCTTGCTGCTTTCAACATCACTTTCGAGCATACCAAGAATATCAAGAACACCAACACTAGAACTAGCACACATCAGAACTATACATGTGATAAACCCTATGCTACACTGAAGAAAGTTGACCTGCATTTGCGAGCTTGGTCTTCTTTATGATGGGCAGTAATCACGCGATATATCGTCCAATGTCGCCGCCTCTCGTCGGACTACATGGCCAAGACATGTTGGTGGTTCGACCTTCGTCAATGTTAAAGGCATATATCACCTCAATGATACTTTCCAGTGACTACATGTTATCTATGATCAATGCATCTGCAATATGTGGTCACAGAACGTGTAAAGCTGACACTTATAAAGAACGAGTGACAGGCCGTATCAGGCTACCACTTCCAACGAGAAATCAGAAAGCCTGTGCCAAACAAGCTTCCAGTTCCTACAATACTTGAATGGGATTCCTGGAATTTGGAGCCAGTGTGATGAATGACATGATGTATACACAGACCCTTGTGGACCTAGGGCGGCGATACTATAACAGTGCCAGGGGCGAGGATATTGATCCAGCATCGCCTCAACTCTTTTTTTTTTCTTTTTCTTTGGGAATTATTCACTGTCTTTACCATAACAAGGGGCCATGGTGGCACGTTTGGCAGTTGTGCTCTGGGGCAGTCGGATTCCATTCACTTTTGCTTACTTGTCGTAACGTCAGTGATAAAGCCACTCCAGGTCAAGCGAGACAATGGGAAGACAGAGCCAGACTCGTGATGGGGTGATTGCGAGCCTTGTCGTGCATAAAGGTAGCATCACACCACCACCTCTCAAGCTGAAGCCAACAACATGCATAGTCACATTTGTTTCGTGACATGCGATGCTATTCTCCTGTCTTCATGGACCGCTGTGCGAGCTCATGATGATGGGGTGAAGCTCTTGATCAGGGTCATTCCCCGTAGCCGACGGGCAGTCGCGGCGACCACCGATGTGCCTGAGCCTGCCTTTGCATGGTACCTGCAGCATGCAAGAGACTCGGTTGGGCCTGCAGGGCATGCAGCACCAAATTGGGCCATTCCTGCACGACACGAGAGCCCTTCTTGGGCGTCTCTGCGCCGCCACGTGTGCAGTCACATGCAAGGCTGCGTCGCGGAGTCACAGATTATGGCTGCCGGAAGGCTGCGACCAAATCTTCTCCCGGGCATCACCGGACGCAGGGCTTCGGGCTTGGCTCAGCAAATCTCATGCCCACCCCGGTCGAAGGTCTATGTCCTGGCTGTTGAGGCTTGACGTATGAGGCCGAGAATAAGGCCTCGATCACCCTCCTGGGCTGTTGCTAGACACGATCCCTTGTCCCCGGACAACGCTCCGACAGCCTTGTTGTGTTGGGGTCTCAAAGTCGTTCTCGAGGCGTACACTCGTGGCGTCAAACAGTAACTAGACGGCACTACTCTCGGGCAGAAGCGTGGTTAACGCGCACAATGCCCACAATTCGAAATCCCTTAGCTCTAGTCCTTTGCTGTCGACTTCACAGTATGTCGGGTTGGCTGCTGGGCTGAGTATCACCGTGCTTGTCCGCGATTAGAAGGTCGTTGATCTGAGCCCGAGCCTAGTGGAAAGCAACCGTGGACAAGCCCAGCCGCTGTCAGCAACGTCTCGGGAAAACCCATGCGGAGCCTGGGATCGTCGTCCGGGTGCCTTCTGCAAGTGTTGAATACTCCCCCTGCCGTCGCCCGGTCGGTCGTTGCCTGCATTGTCCCCCCAGTAAGGGCGATCTGGGCGTGAATCCTCGGACAAGGCTATCTTTGTCGTAGACCCTGGCCCGGATACCGCACAGACAATGGAAGCCACCCTCAACGGGCAGAAGTGGCTTGCGACTTTCCAGAACGTCTGGCAAGAGTCATTGGTTGGGCCTATTGTGGCGTGGCCAAACAAGACTACGCGTCAGGGTCTGCCACCACCACTCCCTCTTTTCGTCTTGGCTCTCTCCTTCCGTTCCGGCCTGGCGGCCGCGCTTGGGAAGGCCCAACAAAGTCTGTCTTGCTTGGGAAGCGAAGAAGAAAAGAAGGATGTGAGCCGAACAAGAACGGCGGCGTGTTAGTGCAGGAGCGGCGTGGAATCCGACGGGCTGGGCTCGTTTGCGGGACCCGCACCTTCCCGAAGTCGACAAAGTCTCTTTCAGGACTTGCTCGATACTTTGCTGACCAGCCCGAATGCGTGAGCCCTGTAGGTCTTTTCAAAGTCGCTCGACCACCCAACCAGCTGCGTGCGCATGAGTACAGCCTCGGTGGCTTGCGACACTTTCTGCAAGGGACGCGCCTGCAACTTGTGCTCAGCCAGATCGCCACGATGCGAGGCACTCATTCATTTGCGGCCACCCCGACGACATTGTTCGTCCGGCCAGCTGCTTTGACGGCCTGATGTTGCGCTTCTCAGGCCCCTCGCTTGACGACGCGATCGAAAGTCGTGCTTTTGGCACTCGGCGGCACACTAGCCGACCGAGCAGAGCGGCCCGCATACTCGTGTCACCAAGTGCTGCCTCCGCTTCGGCAAGAGCTTCTCCAGCAAGCGCTGCCTATGGTTCTGGCGCTTGTGCTGCTGGCCGCAACGGCATAACGCCCCCAGGGTCCGGTGGTGGCCTTGGCAGTCAGACTTCGGGACAGCTCCCGAACCTGCGAGTATGGGAAGATTTCGCGAGCTACTGTGTGGCTTATGCTTAACGAGAGTTAGGCTCAGTTGGCCATTCGCAACACTCTTCCACTGCTCTCTTTGTCCGCTGGGCCGAGGCAGAATCAAGCCAAACAAGGAATGGTCACCCGAGACTCGATCTGGTTGCAGGCAGAACAGGCGCTTCTTTCCTCTTCGGTACCCTGCTTGCTTTCATGCTTACTGCTGCAATGTCCGGACGGCGCCAAAACACCCAGATACCCAAGTGAACCTTGAGTTAGAGACTCGATTCTGCGCAGCCACCGAAGCTTTGTCTCGGGCTTCCATTCTTTGCAATGGACTGCTGTGGCTGACTGCCCACCGCTCAAAAAGAAAATTCACGCCTTGTCGTTTTTGCCTCAGCAGGACCACACTGTCAATTGTGAATCGGCTGAATCTGGCTGGCAGTGTCGCTTTCGGTTAGAGGCACAACCTATCATTATACTGTCGACTTTCACAAGCTTTCGGTAACAGCTCGGCCCGGCAACTCGCTGTTTCTCCTTTGGCTGCTGCGCCAGGTCTCGCTCAACGCCCAAGCAGTCAGCCAAGCCCAAGAAGAGGCACAACCTGGTGATCGAAAGATTTCACACTTTTGACATGTCTTCACCGGTCCGACTAGGATTGCGCCTTAGCCAATAAGGTCCAGCCAACGCAGGCTTTCACGATGTTGTCGCGACTGCGCGCAACCTGGCTCGCTGTTACATTCGGTGCGGAACCCTGCACCGCACAGGGAGCGCCCATTGGCCAGACCGGCTTCCCGTCACTCTCATGCAGATGCACAACTCCAAGAACACAACAGCCTTGCGGATGCGTTGTTGTGCATCCGGTGGCTGGTGACGATGGCGCTGCAGAACCCAGTCTTGTGGCTTTTCTCTCGTCCTGCATGGCAGCTCTAGGCGAGCAAGCAGGGACGCCAGCAATCTCAATGTCAAGCCCTCGCATTAGCGAACGAAGTCCAGGCTCAGCAGCGCGATAGTCGGGATCCGTCCGCAAAGTCGCGCACAGTATCCAGTACTGGGCAGGGAATGGGCATGGCTTGACATCATGTCATTCTCTCCCCACCTTTGCGCTCGGAGTGTGATTGGTCAATCGCACGGCAGGTGCTCTGCTTGAACTCTATCGCGCATCCAGCAGTCCTCTGTCCTTTTGCAAATGCAGCCTGGCAAGTTCCACAAGGCACGCCATTGTCCCCGTTCAGGCTAATCATGCGAGGACCGTTGGAACCTTGTTGGCCATATCGCAATATCGCGTGCTCGATTGCTTGGTGAGTGCATCCAAGCTGGGGCTGAGCCTCGAAGTGGGCAGCACTTCTGGACGCGTAAAGTTCAGGGCAACATCAGTCGCGTGTTGCCTGCACCTTGATGCTTGAGGATAGGTCGATCCCAATTGGTCATACACAAAAGTTTGGAGATTCCCAATCAGACACGCACATGCTGCCTGCTACTGCTTTGGGTAGGTTTTCCATCCACGTCGCGTCTGGTACAACGATGCCACCCCAAGGCCAACCTGGTAAGCTGTCATGATAATCAATGTACCAAGTCCCGACAAGAGACATTGGCACCAAGGTTTCTGGGATCATTTCTACGTGGTGGTTGCAGACATGCAAGATACCGTTGCCCAAACCCTGTTGTCACGCCTCGTCGTACGGTCGTCCTAGTCTTTGACGCAGCTACTGGTGATGTCTAGTCCGCCATATGAGTTGTGTTAAGACTACATGGTTCTCTCTCCAATGATCGGCGGAACGGTGCCTCGTTCTGGAGTTGCTGAGATATCATTGCATGCACGCACGTGTGGGTTTGTGCCTTTGGGCTTCGAGCGAATCAGTAGCATCCCCTCAACGCTTCCTAGCTGTCTATCCTCGACCTCCCATCCCCCGGATTATTACTGAGTGGCTAAGCGTGCGGAAGCCACCGTGATTACTAGTAGGCCAGACACAACATCGAAACTTTACGCCACTGGTAAGTGTGCTGGTTCCTGTAATCACTGGATCGCCGAGCAACCGGCTCGTTAATATCAAGCAAGCCCAGTGGATGTATCCTTGTCTGCCTCTACAGGGGCAGCAATGGGTGTTCCTCGCGTAAAGGCCACAATTCCCCCCAAACAATAACCGCGATCTCCCCGCCCACTTACAAGACATGCAAGTGCAGTACGATTTCTCCGCATGAACGCATGCGGACTCGGTGTATCTCTCCGTACGAAACCTCTTTCAATGATGAGGAGAAGATATGGACGTCTAAGCGATGATGTTCCCAGCCACTGCCCTCCAGCCAGCACGGTCTAGCCCTTGCCAGAATTCGGCCGTACTGTGTGGACAGCACCGGCATCAGCATCAGCATCATCATTATCCCACCACAACTCCGGATGTGGAGCCCATTGCGCGTCTCACACAGCCTGATTGAGCATTGCTCTCCGCATCGATCCAGCACTCCGTCTGGCTGCCTCGCCTGCCTGCCACGGCGTAAACTGGGAGAATTGCCGAACGTGGAGAAGCTTACTTTTTTTGGTTTTTGCATGGCTCCGCCCATACTGCGTGTGGATGTGTATGAGCTTGTCAGAGTTTTCATTTTGTCTTCGTACTGTCGCTTCCTTCGTGTTGTTGCTCTCGTCGTCGAGGACTCATCATCACAGCGAGGCTGCAACCCCTTCCTTCGCTCGTGTACCTCGGCTGGGGTATTGGTCATGATCGACAGGATTGGCTGGTCCTTGCAGGCGCGAGCACAGAATGACAAAGCCCGTGTAAATACGTGCTGGGGGCCGGGTTGGTTCTCTCGACGCACAAGGTGCACGAGACCCCCGACCTGATTGGTTGTGCGTGCGTTCCGTACCTGATTAACGTCTTTCCCCCCAGACGAGCAACTTTTTGAACAAGGGCAATCCTAGGGACTCGCCCGACTCGTGCTCCGCCTCCGACTCGCTGGGAGACCGGGAGATCCTTGGGACAGCAAGCCCACCCTAGGAAGTCCATCGAGATCACTGGACTTCCAATAACGTCATTGTCATTTTAAAATCCCCTCAGCTGGGGCACCCCGATGAAGATGTGATGGAGGGCATCGACTGTGATCGAGGCGGGAAAGTGATCGGCAATGGGATTCTGTACAGGCGAGTGGTGGATGTGCACTCCCCCACCACCTTCCCTCCTCCTTCCCCTCTGCTCTCCATACTGGTCTGGGCCATTGTGACGGAGTATTACGCGTGTGGTGGGGGAGCTGAGGGGCTCTTTCTCTCTCTTTCGAGAAACCTACTGAAAATTTCTTTTGAATTTTGAGTTTTTACATTTCGGTGACATCTCCAGTCCCTCGGAGTATTCTGCACGGCTCGAAGTGAACAGCCTGCAGTCCAAGAAGACAATGCTTAATTCAGGAGGACAAGGGGAAAAAGGATAAAAAAAAAAAAAAGAAAGCCACTTCGCTCATGGTCAGATCATCATCAGGAAACAATGAGACCACGAGAGACGGCATGCAAAGACTGCAGGCACACACCTTCTCTCCTGCACACCACGGCGCAAATCACAGAGGGAAAAAATACACGCATGCTTCGCAGACCAAAAAAAGGGACCCTATCTCGCCTGCCTTCCTGCTTGCCTGCCCTGCTCGGCTCCAACGGAGTGGGCGCGCAGGGCAGGGCAACAATTGCGAGCTAATGCAAGGCACCGCACATATGCCCGGTGCTGGGAGGGGAAAGGCTGTTTTCGGTCGATCAACCTTTTTTTCTTGATCTCGTTTGTCTCTTTCTCATTGGAGACAATTTTTTTTCTCGCTGCTTCGTGAGTGGTGCTCGTCTGCTGGGTGGTCCCACTCTTTCTTTTTTTCCTCCCCAAGTAGCAACCGACCCCTCCCTCGTCTGGGCACACATCATACACCAATGACCAAACTGGGACCAAAGTCGGACTGTGCCCGCCTTTGCTAAACGCAGGGCGCGCGCCCACTCACACTTCGCAAAGGTTATGTCCATCCATCCATCCAGCCGGTCAGGATGGGGCCTTGAGGTCCGCCAATCGGACCGGTGGTGTACCTGCTTCTGCTTCGCTTCGCCGACCCGCCCGCGCATGTGGGAGAAGGAGGAGGGGGAGGAGGGGTTGCTGCTGAGGGGTGGAGAATGCCCAGGTGTAAGAGGGACATGTTGTACTGTACTGTACAGTTACTGTCGCACACACAGTCACTTTTCTTTTTGGCTGCAAGAGAGTGCCCTTGACGTGTGATGTAAGCTGTCTGTTGTGTTGTATTGAGTAGACCGTCATGAATGAAACCTGACATGCGTCCCATGTAGGGTCAAGAAAATGCTTACGTGCCGATTACAAGTAATCATTACTCACCAGGAAAAAAAAAATCTTGGCAACGAAAATGGCTCCCCCAGCAGAATGACTTGCAATTGACAGTGGCCGAGTGATATCTGACGTATCGGCGGGAATACATTGACCGTGGTTAGATGTTTCGAATTCAGGCAATGGAAGTGCATGAAACCATGAGGCAGACTAAACCTACAACCCTTTTGGAAGGTTGAGCAGTTACGGATTCAGTGCCCTCGGAACATCCGGCTGAACAATCAGCAGTGGTGACGGCACCGGGGCCCGCACGAGGTGCAGCCACCGGGAATGCAGACCCGGCGGCGACCAGGAAAGAGAGAGAGAGCCATTGGCGAATCACATAACATGATCGGTCGTGGTGTGGTGCGGCTCGGCAACACAAAAATGTGTCGTGCAGCATGGGCAGCCCTACCGTGGTGGACCCCGTCAGCCGGCCATGCAGGTTGTGCATGTCCTGCTTCTTCTTCTTTGGCGGAAAGCAAAGCCCTTGCCGCGACGGGCAGGCGGACCTGCCCGTGGGTGCGCTTGCAGCGCGGGCCAGAGAGCCGAGAGTCGCCCTCAGCCAACGTTTTGGAAGCAGACCATGATAGCATTCATGCCGCAGTGGCATGTACATGTCGAATCATCCTTGGAAAAGCCATGTTTCGGACAAGTGGTTTTTGCATTCAGCAAAGCGACGGTCGGATGTCTCCTGCGCGAGGGCATATGCTATCAAAGCATATTTCCAGCTGATGGCTGGTGAATTCCATGTTCTGACTACTGCGTGTTAGCTGTGGTTGGCGTCTCGGTTGGGTGCCCCTGCAGGTTGTTGCACAACCCGGACTGACAATCCACTCGTCCCAACTTGGTCATTGAGAAAGCAGGACGCCCAATGTGTCATGTTGCACAACGATTTCGAGTCTGCTGTACTCCACAGACCAGCGGGCAGACAGCAGGTGACTATTACAAGTGATGACTTGATCTGTTTACAATAAGTGATATGCTTTGCTTGTCCCTCTGGGACGAGATCCACATACGCTGTTGTCAAGCAAATATACCTGGATCTGTTTGGTCGCGACGAGGCTTGTCTACTATGTATATCCGTTCTCAAACACTCATCAAGAGCTTGCCTTGCCAGGTTCGGCGCACGGCTCAGAAAGTCGGACGTGCAAGCTGCCATGCCAGCCCGGCCTTTCATCTGAAGGGGGAGGCAGACACACTGACTTGGTGCCACTCGAGCCGCCACATGCACATCGGAGGCACGACATAGCCGTTGGAGTGGCTGTGGCACAGATCGAGAGGGGTGTGAATCAGCACGGTAGGAGGCCGTAGGTACGTACGTAGCCTCGAGCTGCGGATGCATGCTGCTGCTGCTGCAAGCGACGGCCGACCCGTTGCCGTGTCCTCGGCCTCGGACCTTGATGCGTCGGATCCTGACTCGACAGTGTCGATTGATCCCCATCTGCACACATCGTACAGAAGCGATGCGCATCGCCGGGCCATCCGCTTTTCTCCACGGACGGCAGCGCATGCAGGGCTTTCGGGCATCCTGCACGCTGGAGCAGGACGGCCTGCTTACCCCAAACGGACTGCTTCGTCATAACGAAGGGGGGCCTGGGAGGGTTTCGAAACAAGCATGTACCTTGCTCGCGAACCCGCCGTTGGTGTTTACACTACTCCGAACTTGGCATACTGGGCCGCTTTGCTTGGTTATGGCCAATCTTGGCCCAGGCTCTTGGACCAGGAAAGGGACATGCTGCCACACGCTGCGGGGTGACTCGAGCTTCCAAGGTTGCTGTTAATCATACTGATTGTTGGCGCTGTGGCCCCCCTATTGTTTTGTTTGGTTGTTTGGCTGGTTGTTGTTTATTTGTTTGCCCCTCTGCCTGCTGGGATTGCCCAAACAAAAAACAAAAACACCCGACGACATGTGCACATGACTTGAGACGACCAAACAAAGCAGCGACGTCATATTGGGCAGCCTTGTTTGTACCCCGCTCACGTCCTGCGCTGGCATGTCCAACCACATGTCAAGAGCATGTCAGCAGATGCCGAACGGGCGCAAGGCCATGAATGGACACGTAGAATTCACAGGGTTACATGCACGCATGAAGCCGCAGTGGTTTGTGCTGCGAGGCCCTCGTCGTTTGTTGTAAGAAGGCGATGCTGAATTTTGCCCCTTGCACGCACGCATCACGATGGCTTTCGGGTACCAATTCTATGGCGGTTTGGGACCGTTAAACAATCGATAATGAGGAGCTGGATATTGTTTTTGCTGTTATTGCGTCATCATGCCCGCCTGATTTCCAACGACGACCAGGGGATAATTACAGTGACATCAGAGCCTCGGCGGGATGAGTACGGAGCATCGCTTGACAACGAGGAGCCATGGGCAGGAATATAGCGACGCGGCAAGCCAATCACAGTGGGGGGGACACCAGCGAAGCACATTCCTTACGGAGCTCTCAAGCCGTGTTATGAACAGTTGAAACACATATTATTCCTGGGTTCGCTACACCGGGGCTGCGCAGGTATTGACTGGCGGAGCAGTGCGTGCTCCACATGTCGCATCCAGAACTGATGTTATGCTTAGCCGACGGTGTTATTCATCCATGCGTCAGTTTTATTGTGCAAAGCATCCGGCTGGCTGTCCCGGATCGCCCGTCCGCACCGAGGTCTTAGACGACTCGAGCCACAAAAAGCACAGGCACCATGGCTGTCTCCGTGGCGATCGTTGCCCGCCATGCGAATATGACGGCCTGATTCGTGGTTCCCTACGCGACACTCGTGCAAGTCCAAGCTAGATGCCTGCCTGTCTGAGACCTGTTCAAGCTTAGCTGCTGGCGAGGCAGTCCTTGAGGCTCGGACTGGTATTCATCGTGCATTAGTCTTGTCAAGCTGTGTTCATGACGCCTTTGTGGTTCATGGCGACGCCGATTTATTCATTCTCGTCGGCTCAGCGCCCGACACCGGCGGCATCATCCTGAAGCCGACCATCATGCTGTCTGCCAGCAGGGCCACAGACATTGACGGGGTGACTGGCGAGGAGTGTCCGACAACGGGCACGGTTCTGGCGGGGGAAATTTAGCGACGAAAGCCGCCGGGACTTTTTACAGCGCAGAGCATTGTTAGTGTGGCCTGGCGGCGAAGACGTGGGAAAACTCTGCTGGCAGGACAAGGGCAGGTCCGTGGAAGAGCGAGGAAGACGTTCCGGTGCCGCTAGGCATGGGTGGGCCGGCCCTCCCCACCAGAGCCACGACTTAGCTACTGATTCGCGAGTCGTGTGGTGCTCTGTTGGCCTGCACAGTCGACAAGCAAACCCAATGTCTCTCTTGCACGGCGCCCTGCCGAGGGTGCTGAAGTCGGTGGCTTGGGGGCACACCTGCGAAGGGTTTGTCAGAATGTCTTGCCCTGCCCGGTGCCCGCCCGGGCTGATGAGACAACAACAACAACAGCATGAACAATAACAACAAGCAATTCAGATCGAGTGGTCAACACAAACATGCGCCGCCCTGGACGTTATTTTCCGCCCCTATGGGTTTGTTGAAAAGGGGACAGCGCAAAAAGCCATGAGGCAGGGCAGGGCAGGGTGACTGAAGGCTGGAGGAGCCGGGGGGGCGCATGATGGCTACTATGGCAGCGAATCTAGTCCGGGGAGCGCAGCCGGAAGCATGGGCCAGCGGGCGAGACTCTCGACACGGCAGAGAGACCCAGACGGGTGGGATGCTGTGGAGCGCGAGAGCAACGGCTCAGTCCCTGGTCTTCCGGCAAGGTAGGTGACATGACAAGTCGAGTCGCACAGTGACCAGGCTCTTTTGCGCATCGTGCCGCGAGGTGACGGCACATCTCGAGGATGCGAACTATGGGCTGAGCCGATGACTGCAGTGGCGCCTGGAGATGATGGGCAAAACACCTCAGAAAGGTGAGGACGAGGTGCGTGCCAGCAGGGCATTGGAGGGGGGGGACGACAGGCAGACAGCAAGCAGCACACGCAGAGAGAACACCCTCAGGCACTCACTCACTCTGTTGGTTGGTTGGCTGGCTGGAGCCGACATGTGCACGGTGCAGGCACAGTCGGCATAGCTGCGCTGGCACGGCCACACCCTCCATGATGACACAATCGGGCGCAAAATTGTTTTGCGCTCCCACGGTGCAGTTCCCGCCCTGCCCAACCTGGCTTGGGAAGAATGCCCCCGAACGACAAGCCGCCAACGGGGGCCCCATCCCTGCCTTGCCGGCTGTGCGCCGCCCGGGGCTTTGTCTGACGACAAGCAAGTGGGCGGGCACCGGTGGCCGGGGCGCGACAGCCCACAACCAGGGTCGCGAGCGGTGCCACACACCACGCTGCTGGGTCGCCTGGTCTGTTCTTGCTCTGACTCTTTGCTCTGCTGGCGTCGGCGCCCAGCACAAACGGCCCACCCGCCAGGAAACAGCATGTGCTGGGCGGGGCGGGACCCAGGATCCTTCCTTCCAAAGCGTCCACCATCGACGGCCCCGGCAAGCGGCTCCAACGCGCCCGCGTCAGTGCCCGGCCGCACCCCCGGCTCCCACTCCCCCAGCACCGTCTTTCTTCTTCTTCCATGGGGCGCATTGTGTCTGTCTGTGTGTGTGTCGGTGTCGGTGGTTATGCTGCCATGCCCCATTTGGGTCCTCTTCTTCGAGGTGCTGCCCGGCTTTGTCGATCTGCTGTTCGCTCTTCTCTCCTCCCTCCACTCAACCATTATCGTCTTCCCTCATCTCGACTGCGCAGGTGCTTGTTGGATTATTGTTGCTATTACCGTGGACCTCGTTCGTGATCGCCGGCTTCGACTTACACAACCCGCCAGGATTTGCGGCTGGCTAGACTTTTGAGCGACGCTCTTCCGCCACTCCTAGACGACTTGTGCCCACCTTTTGGGATACAGAGTCAACATCAACAACAACATCTACAAGGGACACGCTTTGCACAGCACGCCGCTTCCGCTCCTGGTCTGCACTGCACGCCTAAACGAGGTGTTCACGTGCTTGGTATCAGACCGCTCGGCGCTTGCCTGCTCTGCTGCGTTCCATTGGCGCATAGCCTCGTGGACAGGAAACGGACAGCGCAGCCCTGGCACGCAGCTAATTGTGCCCAACGATACCGCGCCTGGCCTGTCACCCGCATCCAGCCCTGCAAATCGTCAACACGTGGTTCGCGGCATCTGCTTGGATCTCTCACAGACCGCACCCAGTCGTCCTCCTGACCAGCACACGCATCTGTCACGTTTGGGCGCGCGTTTGTGTTCAACGATTTCTGTATCGAGAACGCTCGCTACATATTAAGATGTGGACTTGAGCAACCGTCTATATTCAACCGTGGACGACGACAGCTCACAGAGCATACAACCTGGATTCAACTACTACCACCACCACCACCACCAACAATCAAACCACTGTCGCGCCAGCACCATGTCCTCGATGCTCAGGCCTTTACGGCTTCCACAACTAGTGGAGGAGCGAAAGAAGCGGGAGTCGATGCAGACAGAACAGGACGTCGAGCCTACTCTTAGCTTCTACACATTCAGCAGCACTTCATCTGAGCTCACTTCCCCGGTAACACCAACCTTCTCGGCCCGGAGTCACATGCGTCACTCCAGCTCCGCCTCGTCTTTTGACCTCGCCATTCCCAGCACCCCGGAGTACCCACCGTCACCCACCAGAGCCGCAGATATCTCGGCCAAGTGGTCTTTGACCGATGTTCAGGAGGAGCCTTCCAGCTACGAGTATGCGGATGCTGAGGACTATGTTGATTTCGACGATGCTTCGTCCGACCAGTTCGATCTCACCGACTGTCTCCGGGACGAACCTCGCTATTGCCAAGCTCCCAACCTTCAGGTCGTCACAGGTTTCGACCTCTACGATGGCTACGACGACTTTGACTACAACTTTGGACTTCAACATGAGTCTGATGCGTACAGAGAAGACACACGTTCGTCAAGGAAGCTCAGCCGGAGGTTCGAGGCGCCATTCGCCAGTCTATCCACTCGTCTCGGCTCTCGGCTTCCGTCGTTAAAGTCTCGGCGTTCTCTGAAGCAGTGCAGCGCTCCGGGATCTCCCATCGCCGAGGGCAGTCTTGAGCGCTACTCTCGCCTCTCTCGTGGAGTCCCAAGCCCATCGTCATCACGTTCGACTTTTGGCACCTTCCACTATGATCGTTCAAACGAGCCTCCGCTGCCACCGACGCCCGACTTGTCACGCTATGGCAGCTCAGACAGCGTAGCCAAGCGGGTCTCCAGCGTGTTGGAAGAGGTTGAAGAAGTCCGCGACACCATCCAGCGCGATCGCGCCATGGCGACGACACCTCTCCTTCCTCCGTTCATGAATGGCATCGCCGCGCCACCAAGTACTGCCATGAACTCCCCTCTTGTCTCACCCACAGTTGCCTTTGCAACCATCTCGATGCCTTCGGCGCCGCAGTCGCCACTGGTCTCTCCGCCGCTGAGCTCCAAGCCCTCCCTGACATCGTTTCCCTCCATCATGGCATCGACTGAGCTGCCCCTCATGCCTGAGCCTGATGCCTGGTCCGACCTGCTTGGCCATGCCAACTTCACCATCACACCAGCCCCGTACCAGCCGCAGGGCCAAGACTCGGATACTCTGCAGAAGTTCCAGGAGGACTGGGAGACGGCTCGCGTCAACTACACGAAGCACCTTGCCCGTACCGGGGAGCACTATGGCGACACGTCCAAGACGTACTCACTGACCCAGGCAAAGTGGTCAGAGATTGAGAACATGTGGAGCTCCTATCACAAGCAGATCATTGCCGATCTCATTGCCTGTGGAGCATCCCTGCGTGGCCAGATGAGCCCGGAAGAAGTCGTCCCCACCACGCTGCCTCATATGGCTGAGGGCAAGTTCCCCGAGAGAGGCGACCAGGACATTGTCGGCCCCATGGTGCGACAGGCGACCATGTCTCCCATGGCCGACACCTTCAAGCGGCCGAGTCTCTGGAAACGCCTTACGGGCCGCTGAATGATATTCCACGGCCACTGTACGAAGCGCTCTGCAACCTAATTAATGACCATCACGACTTTTACACGTCAATCACGCTCTTTACGCCACGATTTTGTTTTCACCTATTACACCAATTTCTGCGGATACAATGATACCCACCGTCTGATTGTCTGTTCTCGGCATATCGAAAAAGGCCGGGGGATGCATCAGGCTCCTGCGGACTCGATCCATGCCATCGACGTCTGTTTGTTATTCATATTGTTCGATTACGACGAGGATAGAAAGCGACAAGCTTGCCACACGGAAAAGCACCATGAGACAAGAGGAGGCTATACTACAGACGAGGTATCCCAGCTGGACACCTGTGCCACCATTTATTGTCGGACCATGTATAAAAAGCGCTGGGAGCATTTGCGCCATGCTCCAACGAGTTTTGGAGAATGAGAGAATTAGTAGGCGCGAGAGGAGGGTAGGGGATGAGAGGCATTACCACAGTCTCGAAATGTCAGGTCTCTGGGACAAGGGCCTAGAGGATAAAAAACAACCAAATAGTACAAAAACACTATGAAAAGCCCATGCAAACAAAATGTTTGCCGCCTCTAATCAAGACTTGACCGTGTCTCTGTTTCCAAGCTCCAAACGCATCCTGCTTCCCCAAGTCAATCTGTACGTTGTCACGCTCCGCTCCCCACAAGGAGATTGGATTCAATGAAGCTAGACGGACGTGCCTGTCAAACGGAGACGACAGCAGCCACCGCAGGCTGAGCCGAGTAAGTCTCGAAACTTTGACGAAGCAGCGCGCGCGAGGATTCTGATTGGCGGGGGACGAAAAGGGGGTAAAGGAGAGCCCAAGTTGATGCTGGCCCGCCCCGTAGTAGCGGTGTATACTCTTTGCCCAGGGTCAGCGGCCAGCTCCGATAGTCTTCGTCTGCTTGGGACTGGATTAATTCTGCGGGCTCGGGACTTGGAAAAGACGGGCCGCCATGGTCTTGTTGGCAGCGGCGTTAGAAGTCATAGCATGCATTCCAAAAGTGTTGTTGTTGCTGTTGGTGTGCTGCGGCTCCAAAAGCCCGCCTGGGCATCAATGATGTACATGGAAACAAGTACTCGCAGCCTGTCTTTCTCTGGGGGCGCAGATTGTACTGTGAACTTGCTCAGTTGCTGCATGAGTCGCACTACTGACTGATTGCCTGCTCCTGCAATGCGTGCCTGCACATCCGAAGTCCCTGACAGAACAGCATTGCTGTATGCATTGTTGCAGTTTTCCCTGCGTCCCCGACCGCCGCCCAACTGCCGAGGAACAAGAGGAGGATGGGGAATTGGTAGCGTGCCGTGATTGGTGCGACTAACATAGAGCTGGCACTGTGTGCCGCGCCGGCAGAATTTGGGGAACCCCTGTCTGTCCGCTGACGCCAACCCCACTTGGGGAAGGAGGAGGGACGACGATGATCTCTCTCCCCCACAAACAGGATCTGGTAAATTCTCCCCCCAGTCATGCTTTGCACTGGGCGCCTCGTGGTTCCAGGTGCTGGGCCGATGGGTTGAGATGTCCCGAGGCGCAGTGGCGTGGCCCGTATGCGACGGAATTGCCAGTCCCTTCACTGGCGAGGTGCTCTCCATCGATAATGTTGGTCCGGGGACCCTGGGTTCGGATGTGATGCGATGCGACGTCGACAACGACAACGACTGCTGGCGACGGGTATAAAGGTTGCCAGTCGCCGGCTGCCGCGATTCCAGACATGGCTCATGTCCTTTGCCAGTGGCATTGCCTTGCTTGTCCTGCACCGCAAGCAGCACTCCTAGGGCGTCCACCATCTTGACTTGGTCTCTCTGTCATCACTGCCACTTGTTCACTATCGCGTTCCTCACCATCCACCATGGTCCGCTCTGTGTTGTCCAGGGCCACAGCCTTGGCCACAGCCGCCCTCCTTGCCGGCTGCTCGACCGCATTCCCCGGACCCAAGCCGCCCTCTGCGCTGCCTCGCCCACAGACCCTGAGCAGCGTCCAGGTGTTTGATCCGCCGGCCGACTACCGGGACCCGCAGGTGCTCTACGCCCGCACGGCGCAGCTGCCCAACAACGACCTGCTGCTCACGTGGGAGAACTACAGCCCGGAGCCGCCGCCCGTCTACTTCCCCGTCTACCGCTCCGCCGACGCCGGCAAGACCTGGGCAGAGCTCTCGCGCGTCACCGACCAGGGCCTCGGCTACGGCCTGCGCTACCAACCAGCCCTCTACGTCCTGCCCGAGCGCATCGGCGCCTTCCCCAAGGGCACCCTCCTCCTCGCCGGCTCCTCGATCCCCTCGGACCTCTCCAGCACCCACCTCGACCTCTACGCGTCGGCCGACTCGGGCAAGACCTGGCAGTTTGTCAGCCACGTCGCCGCCGGCGGCGAGGCCATCCCCAACAACGGCCTCACCCCGGTCTGGGAGCCCTTCCTCCTCGCCCACAAGGGCAAGCTCATCTACTACTACTCGGACCAGCGCGACAACGCCACCCACGGCCAGAAGCTCGTCCACCAGACCTCGGCCGACCTCGAGACCTGGGGCCCCGTCGTCGACGACGTCGCGTACCCGACCTACACCGACAGGCCGGGCATGCCCACCGTCGCCCGCCTCCCCGACGGCAACTACATCTACGTCTACGAGTACGGCGGCGGGCCCAACCCGGCAAAGACGGACGGCTACTCGTTCCCCGTCTTCTACCGCCTGTCCCGCGACCCAGAGGCCTTTGCGAGCGCCCCGCACCACCCGATCCGCATCCCCAGCAAGGCCGCCGGCGGCGTCCCCTTTGTACCCGACGGCTCGCCTTACGTCGTCTGGACCCCTGCGGGCGGGCCCTTTGGCACCATAGTCGTCTCCTCGGGCTGCTGCTCCCAGGTCTTTGTCAACAAGAAGCTCGGCGCCGAGGACGCCTGGGAGATTGTCGAGACGCCCGAGGCCGCGAGCTATACCCGCTCGCTGCTCGTCATGCAGCAGGACCCGCGGTACGTGCTCATCAGCGGCGGAGGGAAGCTGCCGCCTAGCAGCACGAATGTCGTGTCTGTCAGTGTCATCAAGATCTGATGAGGAGGGGGGGGGGCTACTTTGCCCACTGTAGGCTAGGATGGAATATGGAATTGGGGGGAGCTCACAAAACCCAGTTGCGATCCTTTGTGGACAAACTCCTCAATGATCTGTTGTTGTGATTCAGAATTATATCCAATTCTATCTGTTCCTTGTTCCGTTCTGAATGATTTTGCAATGTTGCACATGAATGCTTACAAGGACTAGCACACCCACAAGGCCGTCTCTGGACCAAGGCTATCCACAGCATCGACATCGCCGTTTCGTAAGACCCGCTCAGGATGAACAAGCTTCTCCGCGTGGTTGCCATCCGTTCTACCACGCCGCGCCCTCGCACAACCTCCCCGCATCATCAATGTGATATCTTTCAGCACCGGGGGTATGCGCAGAGTAGAACAACCCCTCGGGATCCCACGCCCTCTTGATCCGCGACAGTCTCTCCCAGTGCTCGCCATACAGCTCCCACTGCCACTCGGGCATAAAGATGTCGGCCTCGTTGCTGTACGACCCGCTCTCCGGGGCGACCTGTATGAGCAACGGGCTGAGCTCCCTCGCAAACATGTCCACCTTGCCCCTCATCTTCTCCTTCTGCCCATTCTCCCACGGCCACGTCATGATCACCAGGGCGCTGCTCTGCCGCCACGCCGGGTTCAGGGAGGTCGGATTGCCCACCCGGTCCAGGGGGCTGACCGAGGTGCTCGACGTGAGCGCGCCGGCGCCCACGATGCGGCGCATCACGGCGACCAGCTGGGCTCTGCGCGCCGGGTCCAGCAGCAGCTCCGTGGGAATCATCCGTCCGCCGGAAGGCCACTCCTTGGTGGGCTGCGACGCGGCAAAGCTCTGCGCGACGTGCTGCGAGTAACTGGGGGACTCGGTGATGGTGAACAGCGCGGGCACGATCCCCTGGGAGTCGAGGTACTCTGTGAACGGCCGGAGCATGGCCTCGACCTCGGCCTTGGTCCGGTTGTACGCGGACAACGGGAAGAAGCCAAAATGCTGCGGGCCAAAGGCGTAGGTGATGTACACGCCTTGTGCCGTGAGGGCGGGGATGAGCGAGTAGAACTTGTCCACCATGGCCCAGAACTTGTCTTCCTCCTCCTCCTCCTCCACGGTGGAATTGCCCGTGGCGGTGGCGGCGGCGACGGCGTCGCGCGGGATGAACAGCTGCGCCGCCGTCATCGGGAGCATCGGGTACACCCTGACCGTCATGCTCACCACGATGGCCCAGTTGCCCGCGCCGCCGCCGTTGAGCGCGAAGAACAAGTCGCTGTTCTCCGTCCGGGACGCCTTGACCAGCGACCCCGCCGCGGTGACGACCTCGTACTCGAGCGTCTGGTCCGCCGCCATGCCAAAATGGCCGCTCAGCGGCGAGTGCCCGCCCCCTTGGACGTAGCCGCCCGCGGGACCGACCGAGGGGCAGTATCCCGCGACCATGACGAGGCCGTGGGGCTCGAGCGCCGCCTGCGCCTCGAAGCCCAGCAGCCCGGCACCCATCTTGAACGCCGGGCCCGAGTAGTAGTGCGCGTCGCCGCGGTACTCCGGGAGGACCTCGTACGACTTGAACCGGGCCATCCGCACGGCGAGGCTGCCGTGGCCCGCGGACCGGCCCCAGAAGTCGTGCGCCGTGTTGCGGATCACGAGGCGGATGTTGGTCGCCCTCGCGAAGGACAGGCCCGCGATGATGTCGCTCGTGGTCACGGCGTCGATGGTGTATGCGCTATAGTTGCCCATAGTGCAGGGGGACTCGCGTGGTGTGAACGGGTCGCATGTCTCGCCGGTCGAGTAGCTCGTCATGAGCGACGAGGTGGACTCGTAGCTTTTCGCGAGGTGTTAGTCAAACACAAAAATGTTCATGGGGTGTATAACTGCCGTTTCCTCCGCTCGCTGGGGAGAGAGCGACGGTTTTTGTCCAGTTCCCAAAAGATGGGAAAAGGCGCAACTCACTGGGTTGCAACATTGTCCCAGCTGGCCTGCAGCTCAGCACACTTTGTCTCGTCGTAGGTAGGATCATGGCACACGGCGCCGATCGGCGTCACTTTGACCAACCGCCCGCCGACGGTGCTATTCAGTCGGTCCCAAGTGTCTTGTGCGGGCCAACACCTGTCCCCAGGGATGCACCGGCACTGGCGGCATCCTCTTTTCGTGTGTGGAGTGCTGAATGCTGCTGACAGGGAGTTCAGGAGCGACAGCAGCAGTAGTAGTAGTGCCGCTGGTGCAGAAGAGGAAAAGAGCCTCATGGTAAGTTGGATGCCAGCCAAGGACTTGGTGCGTTGCCGATGCGATGTCTACGGTGAATTAGACCGTTGAATCAGGAAACGAAAGCGACCGGAAAGGGGGAAGGAGCGGCGAGGAACTATCGGAGCTCATGGGCAGCCACGAATAACCATCAGTGTGGCAAGAGCCAAACCCAACAAGTCCTTGACATCAAACGAGCTTCAATCGCAGAAGCAAATGGGTTCGCGGAGAAGCAACATCCAGCAGGGTCATGGTGGTGGTGGTGGTGGGCAGGGCTGAGGTGCAAAAAGGCGCATCGTGGAAAGTATCGCCGGCATGATGCAAGCGTAGCCCATGCCACCTCAAAAGGTCCTTTCCTGTTGCAGAAAGCGCTCTTCTGCTGTACGTGGGCCAGATTTTCTGCACCGTTCATTGCAAGTCTTGTGCCCTGGGAGAATCTACCAAACCGTCTCTAGAACATGAACAAGTATGTAAAAGCTGGCTGTGCCGCTGAGTCTTTGTTGAGTGGTCTACTCGAGGACCAGTCCGTGTTCACTGATGCACGTGCATTCACGCCAAGAGGATGCCATCCCTACTTGACTGGGGGTCCTCCCAAGCTGCAGGGCTTGTTGGTGGAAATGTTCCCGTATGGGAGGATTCGGTCCTGGAAAGATTGTTGGCTACAAGGTTGACAGGGGTCGGACAAGAGCTCCGAAAAGTATATCTGTGCTACAAGACCACCTGTCGAGTTGGTGGCTAAGAATTCCCAGCAGGGTTGAGCCCAGAACCGGGGTCAAGAAAATTGGTTACTTGCGGAGGGTTTGTCCCTGGCAGGAGAACACAATCATCGATGGCCGGCCGTGGCGCAGAGAATTTGCAGTGTCTCTGAAGTTGAGACAAGGAAAGTGCTTATTGCCCAACTTGCATGCCTCCTTGAGTCTGATTGGTTGCTAGCGGAACTGCCAGCCACAGCACCCCTGGGGATCTTCTGCGCCTTTCCCGTCATGGCGCAGGCACCTCAGGCACAAAAAGAATTGTAGCAGGACGAGACAGGAATTTGCCGCCTTGCCATGGGTGGCGCCTCACGTGCTTCCTAGCGTCAATGAAAAGCAAAAGGCGCCAGCACAGTAGCCGGTAATGCTCCCGGGCGTCTGGCAATGGTGCTGCAAAATTGCACGGGTCGGGCCGCACAAGAGGCACCGCCCAGGGTTTGCGTCACAGATCGCTGCGATCCTCATGACACAGTCTCCAAGCTAGGAGCTGGAGGACGATCTCGAGTTCTAATCGGGTCGCCGGGTTTAGTAGTCAGCGTTTCAACTATAACTATTCAGTCACATACGTGACCTGTAAACTCCAATGCTGGCGAGGAGGAGCCTTAATTGAGTGTCCACTTTTCCAGATCGCAGTCACAGATTTCAAGGGACCGCTATGTTCGGTCAACGCGGATAAGATATTTGCTTTCTATATCTGTTCTGGTCGCAAAAGAGAAAACCTCGGAGACAATCTTTATGCAAGCATGTTATCCTGTTGTATAGAAGCATGCACCTTGTTCTCGCGTAGGCTGAGCTACTGCAGGATAAATCATCACATATCAAGGTGCATTCCAGTTTTTGAAAACCCCCAATGACTCTGGCTTGCTGCGGATTACAAGCAACTCATATGGCAATGGCCGTGTTTCACCAAGACATCCACTGATAATCGTGTGTTGCTTTTCGTGGAGCCGTGGAACTGCCGCGAAAGTAAGATATAAGACCTGCTTCAAGTTATGCTTTGCCGTGCAAATCTTTGCGCGAGAAGGCCCAACCACGAGCTCCAAACGTACTTACAATACAAAGTCTTGCCCCGGCTTCAGGGAGCCATCCGTCTTGAACATTTCAGCCACCAACGAAGCACATGCACTGACCTACTCTGTCAAATCTTAGAGCTCTCGTAGGTAAGACACTTACCACGGGCGCACACCATCGCCAACTTGCCGCAGAAAACTCCCACATGCATGCAGCTCCCGAGGAGATTTCACTGGTCACGCTTCGAGACCCCGGGCTTGTCTCTCATCCAATGTCACACCACGTTGGCGTGGCCGCCATACCTCTCACGATCGCTACCCGCCTTCGCGGAAACTGCCCGTGTGTGTGGAAGCTTAGTGATTGGTCAAATGATTGTGAGTTTTCCAGATGTATGCTGGCACGATCACACAGCGAAAACATATATCGCTACCACACATGACTAGACCGCCACACCTTATTGCTCCCAAAATCACAAGAAGAGCGTCGAATCCGTCTGAGTCTCACCTCTCCTATCCACCATGGCGGCAGTGCTCATCCTCGTGCTCCGTGAAGCGACCACCCCCGTGGTGACCAACACGACAACATCCGCAAATCCTTCACCCGTGTCCGGACGGGATCCAGCGCCCGTCGTCATTCCCGCATTATGGATAATGTGGGTAATCGCGACCTTGTTCCTCAGTCTACGCGTCTACTGCCGCGGCTACCGCACGAGCTCGTTCTGGTGGGACGACCACGTGCTCGTCATGGGCTACATGTTCCTCACCGTCGCCAACGGGCTGATCACGGCGCTGCAGCTCAAAGGTTTCGGGCTGAGCCTCGAGTTCAGGCCGCACATGCACACGCTGTCGACCACCGCGGACGTCGTCAACAAGATGGCCCTCGTGCTGACAAAGACGTCCTTTGCGATCACGCTGCTCCGCCTGGCGACGGGATGGCACAAGTGGCTGATCTGGGTCCTTGTCGTGACGATGTGGCTCATCATCTCGATCAATGCGGTGACGACGTGGTTCGCGGCTTGTGATCGAGTCGGGATTGATCATGTAGGTTTCTCTTTGCGGTCTGGGGTTGTAAGTGTTGCTGTCGTCGAAGTAGGAGCTGACACGCTTCTCTCGCAACGCACCACAGTACGAGGCGGTCCTTCCAGATGTGTGCTGGAGCACCATGAACTCCGTGCTGGTTGCTATGGTTGCAAATTGTAAGAGACCCGCAAACCGCTTTCTCGCCCAATTCACATTTCACAACGTCTGCAGCGTAGATACTGATCGGGGTCTAGGCTACTCTGCAATCATCGACTTTGTCCTTGCCCTGCTGCCATGGAAGATTGTCATGAGTCTGCAGATGAAAACCCACGAAAAGCTCGGTGTCGGGTTTGCCATGAGCCTGGGTATGCTGTAAGTCACGGAATCTCCCACAATGTCTTTTGTTGCCGTCTTTCTGTCGTCGAAACGAGCCTTGTCACTCAACACACCGGAAACAGTGCTGGCATCGTCGGCGTCATAAAGGTATACAACATCACCACAATCGCGAGCTCGCCAAACATTCCGTGTAAGTCCCTCTGCGAATTCACTTCCCGCTTTACGTCTACGAACCCCTCTGCGACATCCTGTCACCGGGTCGTCGTCATTTATCTCCTTTGGCTCTCTTCTAATCCTTACATGCACATAACCACGCACACAGATAACCTCTCCCTCCTCTTCATCTGGGGCCAAGCCGAACCCTGCGCAACCATCGTCGCAACCTCGATCCCCATGCTGCGTGTGCTCTTCCGCGACGCCCAGCGGTCCAGGGGCTACCACTACGGCGGGACCGGCGGCGGCGTCGCTGGCACTGATGGTGGTACTGGCGGCACGGGGACGCGGGACCACCGGAACAGCAAGGCCGTGGCCAGCCCATCACAGAGCCGTCTGCGCTCCAGCGAGGTGCCCAGCAGCAAGAGCGCTGGCTTGAGCTCTGATGATGGCGGCGAGGGCGAAGGCGAAATGATCGATATGCAGGCATTCCTGGACCGCACAGACTGGAGAACAAGTCGCTCGGCGGGTGGCCGGAGCGACGAGTCTGATGGGGTCTCTGCACCGCGTCCTCGGGGTCTCAATCTGCGTGGTGAGAAGAACAGCAGCCAGGATTTTACCACGCGCGATGAAGACCATGCGAGCAGGGACAGTGATGACCTGGGCCTCTTATCGAACGAGCAACCGCCTGCGCGGCTCACAATGGTCACGGACCCAGCTGATTTCACGAGAACCCGCGATGAAAATGGTGCCGAGAACAGATTGGAAGCCGCCGTGGTGTCAAGGACGAAGAATGAGATTGTGCGGACACGCGAGATCAAAGTGCACTACGAGACGTTATCTGGCTGGCAGTCTAAGGGAAGCGGAAGGTACATGTACAGGCATGGAACAGACAGGCATGCGGCGGACTACGAAAGCGGCAAGAGGAAGACTTGGCATGAAGAGCAACGGCCTGTGGACTCTGAGATGAAGTTGGGGAGCGTCCGGCCCCAACGAAGTCAGAGCCAAAGCCAAAGACGCAGCTGGGGCAGGATGCCGGTATTTTATTGAGTATCGGAGGTGTTTACAGCTCTCTGAATGAACGACCAAACGGCCTTCCATTTGTTTGCGAGTATGTCCGCCTTGGCCTTACCTACCAGGATAGGATATGATGACTTGCTGAAGGGGGCGTCTTGATGTTGGGAGACGGACAGTATACACCCCATAGATCTTGAGATGCCGCACTAAAGTACAGGCGATAGAGACTCGGCAGCAGCAATCTATCAGCATATCGTTCCGTTGATCGCCGTTTCTTCGATACACCTGTGGCGGTGTCCCGCAGCCAAGGGGTTCTCCGGTATTACTCCACACAGCTACGCAACGACCATAGTCCGTGGTGTCATGGCCTGTGAAGTCGCAACCAATACCTCGACGGCGATCTAGGAACAGCCAGTGCACAGCCATTTCTTGTATCACCGTGCCACAACCGCATAGAGAGATCTCAGACCTACGCCTGGAAGGCAACCAAGACACCGTGCCTCGAAGTTTGCACCGTTATCTGCTGTTGTGTTACACCAAAACACCCACGGGGGAGGAAACTGCCGGAGTTTCTGTTCATGCGATGACGATCCGAGACAATGGAGGACCAGATACTCAACCCGCGACAGGTCTTCGTCGCCACATCTGATGCAGCTGGTTCCAGCTAGGTTGATGGCGATTTGCTGCAGCGGACTAACGCTCCGAAGAGGAAAGCAAGTTCATGTGCGCAATGGATGACCTGAGTAATAGAGGACGACCTTTTCTTAAGTGACTGTTCTGTGATGCATCATGATAATTATTGACACCAAACTGGTAGCGATGGTGCGCGAGTGTTCCTAGTTTCTGCGCCGTCTGCGCCATCGCCTACATGCAGTTGTCGGTGTTATAATCTGCCAAGTCACAGCCCAGCCGCGCTTACACATACAGTCAGTGGGAGCTCAGGCGCGATGACAGCCTGCACAGACTCACGCACCTCGCCTCGGCCCCAACAAGACGGCAGTGCTCCAAAGCAGATTGATTACAGCCATGGGAATCAAGAAAGTGGTAAATCCGTAGTGCACTGTGTGCTCTCCTCAACCGTGCTGAAGATCGTGTGAATTACTCAGTCGTGGCACGTGCTCCCGGCCACATATGCACGGGAGAGGGGCCTTTGACAATGGTTGACTACAGATATGCAGCAAGTCCCACCGCGAGAGCTCGCATGGGCTGACTTGCAAGAGAAAAAAGCCGTTGTCTCGAGTCAGACCCAAACGCCTCTCGTGGTTCTTTGTGTCCCCCCACCTCCCGTAAAGTGTCCAAGGCAGTACCACCGATGATGGTCTCTGACGCTTGGTCTAGTCACGGCGCGGCGTTGAGATGGCGCTCCCGGTGCCCCGTGCCCGGGACTTTGACACGTGGGTGACAGAGGATCCGCGAGCAATCTTCGCCATGTCAGCATGCTCAGGCCGTAACTGTGGGATGTCTGCATTTGGGGATGACCACGTTTCTGACGTGGCAGACAGCACCCCTTGGCTGCATGCCTGCTGCGATCTCCGACATGCGTTCGCCTCGGCTGGCTTGGCCTGCCCGCTTCTGTTTCTGTGTAGTACGAAGGGAATGCTTGAGGAACATGCTTCTCGAAGCCGGAGTCCAGCTCAGCGTATGCTTGCATGTGTCATGCCATGGGTGGCGGCTGCGTCAAGTCGGAAAAGCAGGGTGGCATTGTTCCCTGTACTCCACACACCACTTCGCGCATTAGAGAGGATGCAGGAGGATGCCCACACACACACACACCCCGGGAGACCTACTGTACCTGCTCGACAGGATGCCGTCCCGGCGCCCACTTGCAAGCTCCCTCCCGCTGGCGGTGGAGGGCTTGACATCTTCTGGAAGCAGTGCTGACGAGGGACAAAGGGGACTAGCGGCGGCTGCACAGGCAGGGTAGGCTCGGCACTAATCGATTCCTTCACGTTGGCACTCCCACCCAGGACATCTGGCGGGAAAGGGTCAGTGAGAGTAATTATCCCCTGCCTGCGAGCCTTGTCCCAAGGAAGCCTCGTGGAAGCTGGCAGGATACCCCGCCCCCATGGATGGACACTCATGCTGTACCGGTAGGCCGAGTGTGTGTTTCCCACTGCCATGGGCATGAAACTTTGACAGACTGCTTCGATGCACGGATCGTCGGAGAACATTGCCCTGTCGCCGATGGATGTTTCTGATACACTGTCCGGACTGAGCGCCGGAAGCGGCGCCTTGTCGCAATGCGGCCCGACCCCTCCATCCAGCGGTCAACAGCACGATTGCATCATAGTACGAGTCGACATGCTGCTGGTTTGCCCTCTTCCAAAGCTTGAATTGTCAAGCACTGTCACGGTGCAGTCCTGAAATGTTTGTCGACGTCAGAGACCGGTCCTTGTGTGTCGCTCGGGCAAACCGCCGGCGCTGGCTGCGGTCAATAAGCAAGCCACCGGCTCTCCGTGGTAGTACTCAGGGGGCGTGCGTTGATGTGTGGCTGTCACGAATCAGGAATAGGGGTCACCAAGCATGGCGACAGGGTATCGTGCTATAGCGCGCGACGGGCGCTTGACAGGCCCCTAACCCATGAAGACTGACGGTGTTATACTCCGTCTGGTGGGCTTGATTGGGAACACTGCATGATGGTGCAGAATGGCTCCGGCAGACACCCAGCCACCCAGAAGCACGCGGAGACCTCATGTGGAAAAGGCCTAGAAGAGAAGGGAGGACGAAGGGTCGAGAGTCGACGGCGCCTCGAGGGAGGGTGCAGGATCCAGAGCATGCCGGTGTGCGTGCCGGGGACGAGAATAGGGGAGTGGGAAAGGAGCGGCAGATTGGAATTGCCGCCCAAGCACCCACTACTGGGCAGGGCTGCCCCCCAGTCCGTGGGAATCACCTTGCAAGCTTGTCAGGCCCAAGCGCATTAGACGATGCCATCATCAACTGCTCCCCGGCTTCTTGCGACCTCGACAGGCTCTTGGCAGTCAACCACGCCGCCCGCGGACGGGTGCCGGTACGCCAGCACGACTGTCCAATTTCCTAGCTCCAACCTCCTGAGAGCAAGATCATCCCGCGAGGTTGCAGTGGCCGTGTCCATCAGTACTTGGCGAGGTCACAAGAGCCCCCCAGCGACTGCGTGAAACACTAGTACTGAGCAACTGATTAGTCAAGCCGTGCTGGACGACAACGACGAAGTGACAGGCCAGAAGCAGACGGACATTTGTAGGTAATGGCGCGCGCGCGAGAGAGAGAGAGAGAGACGGACGGCCAGGAGTGGCAGATCGGTAGACGCATGAACCTATTGGCGCCCGAACCCACCTCGACCAAAGATGGTCGCCCCCCCCCCCTCCTCCTTCTCCATCCACACGCCCACGCCCTGGACATGCACATAGCTGTAGCACCTGCGCCGACGCAACGGGTGACTTGGCCGCCGTGCATTGTTCCCTCCATTTTCTTCTCACCGATCGGCAGCACTGGCCTGGCCTACCTTGCCTCGACTTCTCATTCCCACAGTGAACCCTCCGTCTCGGCCACGCGACGTCCGTTGTCCCCATCGCCGCCTGCCTCACCTGTTGCAGCTGCCGCCCCGTTGCCTGCCGGTACCTGCAGTCCTGTCTCTCTCCCTAGCAGCCGCTGTGTCTCCCTATCAAGCGGGCTAGGTAGGCTGACCTGACTGGCTGACGACTCTCGCTCCGTCTGCTGTGGCCATTCCCCCGCCCGCCGTCCGCCGTCCGGCCCCTCCACTCCTCCATTCCTCCCAGAGCACCACGGCCGACCCGCCACCACCACCACCACAACCACCACTCACGACTTACTACGACTGCCAGCACCCTTGGTTCATCCCCACCGTCCAGTCTCCCGATCCCTCTCGCGGGCTTCTGCTGCACCGGCGAGCCTGCACGACTGCCTGCCCAACACCTGCCCTGTCTGTCCACCCCTGTGGATGGCCAAGGTGGCCATGGCATTTGCTCCGGCGCTCTTGAGGACCAACACGGCCCCAGTCTTTCCGGCTTCTTCGTCCTCCCACAACACCGCTTCCACAATGTCCCAGATGCGCGCCAGCCAGCTCTCGGGCTCGACTGCGTACAACTCGGCCTCGAGCGCCTCCCTCAGCTCTCTCGGCGGCGCCACCGTCAACGGTGGCCCTGTCGTCGCCAACGCCAACATCATCAACCAGAAGGCGGATGCCTCACGATCCCTCTACCAGATCTGCGTCTCGCTTCGATTACGACTCTCGCTCGTCCCAGGCTTCAAGGAGACCTATCTCCAGGACTATGACCCCATCACCGACGATGATCCTGTCGAGTTCATTTGGGCGCTGCTGCGTACCGGCCACCCGCTTGTCCACACATACAACTCCCTCGGGCTAGGCAAGCCGCTCGAGATACCAGCCGGCGGCGCGGACCCAAAGCGGTCCAAGATCGCGGTTTTCAAATTTGCAGAGGCCTGTCTTAATGTCCTCAAGATTCCAGAGTGCTTCGTCATCAACGACCTGCTCGGCAATGATACAACTGGATTCGTCAAGGTTTGTGCTCTCCGTATGCCTGCTCGAGACGTGCCAGGGCTGGCGAAAAGCAGCTTGCACAGGACGTCGGTAAAATGCAATATAATGACTAACGAGCCATGCTGTCTGTAGGTCACAAATGTCGTCAACAGTGTACTCGACCTGGGAGAGCAAAATGGCGTTCTCCAGTCCATGCAACCAAATCAGGAGGACTCCGGAGCCGCCCCGGCCGGTAGCCAGGTCACCGTCCGCGACCACATTCTCAAGGAACTCGTGAACACGGAGCGCAAATATGTCCAGGATTTGGAAAACCTTCACGATCTCAAGAAGACGCTCGAACAAAGAGGCGTTATCCCCGGCGACATTGTTCACCAGATCTTCCTCAACATCAATGCGATTCTTGACTTCCAGCGGCGCTTCTTGATCCGCGTCGAAACCACCAACTCCGTGCCAGCAGGCGCCCAACGATGGGGTGCGCCGTTCGTCAACTACGAGGAAGCCTTCAACATCTACCACCCCTTCATTGCAAACCAGCGCAAGGCGGCACAGACCGCGAATCAAGTGATGGACAAAATACGCCTAGCCGATCACCCAGTCTCCTGCGATTTCAACACGCTGGATGGCTTTCTGCTAAAGCCTATGCAGAGACTGGTCAAGTATCCGCTACTTCTCAAGGTTCGTGCTTCGGACTCTCTGCGCCTTGTCTAAAGGCACAAGCTAATAAGTCACTTGCAGGAACTTCTGAAAAGGGGAAGCGGCGATGATCCCGAGGTCAAACAGGACTTGACGCAAGGCATCGAGGCTGCTGAGCGCGTCCTCACGAAAGCCAACGAAGCAGTCGACCGCGATCTCCTCGACGAGGCTCTCGAAGAGCTTATCACGAGAGTCGATGACTGGAAGAACCATCGAGTCGAGCAGTTTGGCCGCCTCCTGTTACACGGAGTGCACACAGTCGTCACTGGCCGCAGTGACCAAGAGAAGGAGGTATGTATTTTGGAAGATCCCGAAATCATTCAGTCTGAACACAGCTAATTCTGGCCTTAGTATGAAATCTACCTGTTCGAATACATATTGCTTTGCTGCAAGGAAATCGTCCCGAATAAGGACAAGAGCAAGAAGGACAAGACGAAATCCGCCATCCCCCGGCCCCGCAACAAGAACAACAAGCTTCAGCTCAAGGGTCGAATCTTCATGACAAATGTTACCGAGGTCCTCTCTTTCGCCAAGCCTGGTTCATATACAGTGCAGATCTGGTGGAAGGGCGATCCTGGCGTGGAAAATTTTGTCGTCAAGTTCAACAACGAGGAGATGATGAAGAAGTGGGCGTCAGGACTAGATATCCAGAGAAAAGAGAACGCGCCGAGTGCGTTGGCCAGCCCGGAGGCGTCAAACCCAGAGTTCGCCTGGATGCGCAACGTCAACAATATCGAGAACCCATACGCACAGCAGGATGACGACGATGAGGACGAGGATCCGAGCGCGCCGCAATTCACAGCGCCCAACTATGGCTCAACCGGAGGTGTAATGCAGCGGAATGGCTCAAGCACCAACCTGCGGGTGCGATCAGCTACCGGCGAGAGTGCACAGTCGCTCGCCGGGATCGCGCGGGCACCGCCTCCGAGGTTCCCTCTGCCAATGCCTCCCACGAATCTCACACTGCAAACTACAGGCGGAGCAAATTCGCCAGGTCCGAGGGGCGGAGAGTCTTATTTCTCACCCACTGCCGAGTCACCAGCTTCTTCAAGGACAAGCACTGCAAGCAACATGTTTAGCTCCGGCCAGTACCCATTCCCACGAACATCCACGCCACAGACAGGGTGGGAAGATAACAACCGCTATACCGCGCCCGCAGCGCCGCGCGCTTCGTCGAGGGACGGGTCGTCTCCCGCAAATGGTTATGGCAGGAACCCGCGGGGCTCGCAATCACAGCAGAGCATGGCTCAGCAACAAAGAAGCCGTTCTTACAGCACGCCCGATATCAACCAGCAGCCCGGCCGCAGGACCAACAGCAGCACACCTGTGCCTGCTGTGCCAGGGATTCCCTCGCATCTGCACCCAGCCCACGACTCCAACATCCCACGATCGCAGACTGGATCCCCGAGACAGGACATCCCAATCCGCTCCAACACTCAGAGTCCAGGTATGCAGCGTGACAGGCTGAACTCGACGGCCGGTCACGGAGGTGCAATGGGCCAGTTCCCCAGCCAGCCAGTGCATAGGAGCCAGGGATCAACGTCCCTGCAGCCCATCAGCATCCAGAACCACCAAACTGTTCCCGCATCACTCGGTTCAGCGACGTCCGGTGGCCTGCTCTCCAGCCCTGACCTTCCTATACCCACACAATTGAAGGTCAAGGTCAACTGCGACAGCGGAAACTATGTGACTCTTGTCGTTGCTTTCAACATAACTTATCAGTCTCTGATTGACCGGATCGACGCCAAACTGGCTCGCTTCACTAATAGCTCGATCGGCAAGGGCAACTTGAGACTGAAGTATAGCGATGAAGATGGCGATTTCGTGACCATTGAAAGCGATGACGACATCCAGATTGCGTTCCTGGAGTGGCGGGAGGGTGTCCGGAACATGTATTCTGGTGGCGTTGGGGAGATTGAGCTCTTCTGCCAAGGGGATATGAACTGATCTAGCGTCTGCATTGGACATCTTTCGATGCGTTGGATTGTTACCTGCTCGAACCACGAAGATCAACGACTTATACACATAAACACAGCAACACCACACCACACCACATATACATACTCAGAACCGGACATGCACATTTGCCCCACGACTTGCTTCGGGGCGGTAGCTCGAAAGCACAGAGCACTGAACATACATACGCCGCGGCGCGTAACGTTGACCATCTTAGACGAAGCATCATGAAGATACCATCACACCCTAGTTCCTGCCATTGCATAATCAAATTATTCTACTCGAATGAGCGTTTGCCCTTGGTTTGGTAACTGTATGATTTATGCCAGCAACACGACTTCGTGAGCAATTCTCGTGATTCCCGTGGTAACTGTGGCGTGACTGATTAGCCTGCGTTTCATCAAAGAGTGCTTGATGCGGTGCACTTGGGCTGTTAGCTCTGTGGTGACCGCATATTTCACATCACGAGGAGAGCAAGGGACTCTTCGTGTTCGTCCGTTTGCAGAGGGTGTCATAATTCCTTTGATTTGTTCATGTTCCAATTAGAATGCGTTTTGAGATCATTGTGTTGATACACAGAATTGTGGTACATCTGCCAGTGCGACATCTCCATGTGTCGACCTGGCGCCATTCCTCCGGCTCGCCTTTTCCGCGTGACCACATGCCTCGACAGTCGAATGTAGTCCATGGAACGCTCCCGGACAGCCTCGCCATGCCAATCTCATCCAGAGTTACCTTCGAGCTTGGGTTAAGGGAAAGGGTTCATGAGTAGCCAGGCAGCGCCGTCTCTGCGATCCTGAATGCCAGGCTGTGTTCTGGTCCGTCACGAGTATTCACCCCGTTCTCCAGCCACTTTGTAGCCTCTCTTCTGATCTGGCTTCGTCGATTCTCGTCGCCGAAAGTTTGCTTTTATGTACACATCCCCATGCGAGCCACTGGCATGAGAAACCCCCCGTCCCGATCGCTTTGAAATGCCGAAAAGATTGCAATAATGATACAAGCTGCTTGTCGTGTGTTCGCCCTCGTCTCCGGCTCGAATACCTCCCATGGGCGTAGGTCCATTCTGCCCTCTCTTTTTCCCTCTGTGTGTGTGTGTGTGTGTGTGTGTGTGTGTGTGTGTATCTCTCTCTCTCTCTCTCTCCCTTCGTTTCGTATCCCTTCGATGTCGGATATTTGCTTATTTGTTCTTCTTCTTGTTCGCCTTGGACGCGGGCTGCGACACGCGGTCCTGGAACCGCGACAGGTGGTAGTTGACCTCGCTCCTCCGGGGCTTGCCGGCGCTGGGCTGGTCCATGCACGCGCGCAGGGCCTGCTCGACCTGCGCGCACGCCGATGTGCTGTATCCTGCTGACGCCCAGCATGCTATTGGCGTTGAAGTTTGCAAAAAGTTAGCCAGAGTGCTCTCTCTCCCCCTCTCTCCCTCTCCTCGGCGGCCTATCTGTGGGGGATTCCTGATGTGCCGGACGGGGCGGGCATTTGTGCGTGTATGGATTCGAAGAAAAAAGACGAACCGAGGACTGAAGACATGATGGTCACGCAGGGCCGCTCTCTGGTGCCATTCGGGGCGTGGACGCGCAGCGTCTTGACTGGAGGGAGGCGGAACGGCTTGTGGTGAACGGACGACATTGTGTTGGCTGTTTTTCGTTTCTTCTGTTTTCCTGGTGGGGAGCTGTTGGTGAGTCCGCAGTGCCGTGTTTCGGCAACAACAGCTGGCCTCGGCAATTGGCGGGCGTTGTTGTCGACTCTGGTATGCTTGCTTTGCGCCGACGTGGTGGTGCTGCGAAGCCGCTTCCCGATGGCGATAACTCTTGGTGGTCGTTGTTGGGCGAGAAAATGAGGGTCGCAGGAGTTGTGCATATTTGTGGGGTCGGCACCACTCCTCCCCTGAGATATGCATCATCTTGTGTATTGGTAAATATGCATGTGTTATGTATTTATGCAAATTGCATAAAGTGCCAAAGAACGCCGACCGCGACATCAACCATGAACTCCACCATATTCCAGATCCTTGGTCGAGGCAGCTCCTACATGGGGATGTGGCTCTTCAGTGCTGTCACTGCCTGTTCCCATTTCAACGACCGGCCCACTGGACGTCTTCGCGACGGCTCGGTCACCTACAAAGACAATATTTGTGACTCAGCTTCGTAAGCCAGCAGGGACAAACCCATCACGCTCAGAGTTTCTGTTACATGACTGGTCACAAGAACGGGCAGCGCAATTGCATGGCGTGGCTAGTTCTCCAAAAAGAGCTGCAGAATGACAAGTCAAGCAACGTTTCTCTCTCTGCAGGCTTGTATCACCATCGGCGTCGCCGGTGGTATGGCGAAGCGACCAACTACACGCGACAAACCTTATGGGCCCTGGCTTCCAGCCAGACAGGCTATTGGTGTGCACACGGAGCAAGGGTGGCAGACAGGAACGGCCCATTGTCATGGTGGACCTAACTGGTTCTGTGCCCAGCTGATGGCAAGATGCAAACTCGGCAGCTTGGCATTTTCGCCTTACTTGCGCGAATCCAGGAGCGGGCTGGACGGCGCGAGGCTGAGCGTGAAGACTGTCATTGGAGAAAGAGGGGCAGTGGTTTTTAACGTGTGCTTGTTCGCGAGATCATCAACTGTGCCCGGCCAGCTCAGGTCTACAAAGTAATACAACCTGGATGCGACGCTCTGGGTTGACCGGAGCCGAGCCGAATATTGCCAGTTCACCTGGATGGCCATCAGAACAGCAGTCACACATCGAATGTCCGGCATCGGCGGCCAAACCCGTACGAGGCAATTTCCAAGGCATAGGAGACCAGGTCTTGACAGCGCCATCACACGCGAGCCGGTTCCGAGCGCTTCAACGGAACCGACGCCAATGCTGCCAAGCGCGACTGGATCCATCTGATTAGAAAATTTTATCTTATCAATCTGCGCCATCTACGCCGCTCCACTCCCCCTCGGTGGAAAACTCCCGCACGCGCCTCGACGCTAGGGGCGCCGCTCCTCCAGATTATGGTGCCCGTCGAGCAACTCTGGATCGATCACCTGGGACGCACCTCCACACATGTGGTGGAACAAGGTCATGTGGGCCGAACCTGCATGAGTAGATCAGAGACTAACAGTCGCCGTGGTTGACTGGGGGTTGTTCGTCGGTGTCCGGACGGCTGGGAACTCTTTCCTGCCAAGAAGAGTGTCGGCCAAAACCGTGTGGCCACCCTCATCCGATAGTCAGAGACACACTCACATGCCCTGAAGCCCGTGTTTCTCGTCCTGTGAAGCTTCACTCCCTCGTAGTTGTTGGCCCTGGTTCGGGCGGATAAAGACCACTCTCTTTGATCGGCCATGACGGGGCAGTACCCAGGCCTTCTCTCGGCTTTCTGTCCGAAGAACAGCCACCGGTGTCTGACGGGAATTGCACGTCCATCGTCGACTGTTTCGCAGGTCGCCGGCGGGTGGAGACCGCTGCTTACCCGAAGGTGGGCAAAGCCGCCGAGCCAAGGAGCCAGACCTGGCATGCTGGGACTGAACAGGGCTACGCCGCAGCCCATCACAAGCAAGGGTCCAGGGTCTTGCGGCCATGTACTCCACCCTCATTCTAGGTTTTGGACATGCTGATGGCGTTCCCAAGCCTGTCCAGGAAGAGGCGAGCATGGCTGTCCTGTCGCCTCTCGGGAAGCTATCCTAGCGTCACAGTCACCACGAGGTGTACATAAAGGCGCGCCGTCCCGCCGACGACTTCCGATGCAACATAGCTGACCTATTACCAGTCGAGCGCTCCTAGACTATCAAAAGTCGTCCTCTCACCAGTGGTTTCAGTGGGTTTTGAGCGGCGAATACTCACTCAAGATGAGGAACCCCTTTGCCACCGTCCCGGCCGAGCAGCCAGTGCCCGAGCCCGTTCTCCGTTCCGAGACGGACAAGGAAGCCGGCATGCCCCAGGCCGACGCTGTGGCAGGCAATGACAACCTAAGCGACTCCGAGGACTCCATCTCCAAGGATGCCCAGCTCGGAGTCCAGAAAGTCGAGGCCACCACCAAGGTCTGGACCAAGCAGCACCTCATCATGGCTTACGTCTTGTAAGTTTTAATATGTTATCCTAGTGACTCGGAATAGGAATGGCATTTGCTAATTGCAAGCTATAGCATCTGGATCATCTATTTCGTCGATGCCATGGAACAGGGACTCGGTGGCTTCCTTACCCCCTACGTCACCAGTACCTTCTCCCAACACTCATTGACTGCAGCAACTGGAGTCATTTCTGGAATCATTGGGGGTGTTTCGAAACTTGTTCTCGCCAAGATCTTGGATATCTGGGGCCGCCCGCAGGGCTTCGTGGTCTGCATCTCACTCCTCACTTTGGGCCTCATCATGATGGCTGCTTGCCAGAACGTCGAGACCTACGCGGCTGCTCAGGTATTTTACTGGGTCGGGTAAGTGTCTTTGTGCTGCTGCGCGGTTTTGGAGAGACGTGGGACCTAGTACTGACATGGTTGGGGACCAGTTACAACGGCGTCAGCTACAGCCTTTCGATCTTTATCGCCGATACTTCGCACCTCAAGAACAGAGCACTCATGCTCGCCTTCGTCTCTTCGCCGTATCTGTTCACGGTGTGGTTCACTTCCCCTCTCGCAGCTTCCGTTCTCGCCACTGTGGGTTGGCGATGGGGTTTCGGCATCTTTGCCATTGTCACTCCCTTGATGGCCACTCCTCTTGCGCTATTGTTCCAGCTCAACTACAGGAAAGCCAAGAGAGAGGGCGTCATGCCTGCGCACGAGAGTGGCCGGACCCTGGGCCAGAGCATCAAGCACTACTTCTGGGAGTTTGACGTCATCTGCTTGCTCCTGCTCTGCGGCGGCTTCTCGCTGTTCCTCCTGCCCTTCAACATCTACTCGTACCAGTACTATGGCTGGAGGGACCCGCTCACGCTCTCCATGCTCGTGGTCGGCTTCGTCCTCCTCGTGGCTGCTGTCGTCTGGGAGCAGCGCTTCGCCCCGGTCAAGTTCATGCCCTGGGACCTGCTCAAGGACCGCACCGTCCTCGGCGCCTGCGTGCTCGCCGCGGTGCTCTTCATCGAGTTCTACTTGTGGAACGGATACTTCTTCTCCTTCAACCAGGCCGCGCTGAACATTGACATCATCTCGGCCGGCTACATTGCCAACGTCTACAGCATCGGCTCGTGCCTGATCTCGTTCGTGGCCGGCATCCTGATCCGCTGGAGCGGCCGCTTCAAGTGGGTATGCCTGTACCTCGGCGTGCCCCTGACCATCCTGGGCGTCGGGCTCATGATCCACTTCCGCACGCCCGGCACGACGGTGGGCTACGTGGTGCTCCCTCAGATCCTGATCGCCGCCGGCGGCGGCTTCTGCGTCATCTGCGAGCAGATGGCCGTCATGGCGGCCGCGTCGCACCAGCACGTCGCCGTCGTCCTCGCCGTCGAGGGCATGTTTGCCAGCGTCGGCGGCGCCATCGGCGGCTCCATCGCCACCGCCATCTGGACCTCGCTCTTCCCCGCCAAGCTCGCAGAGTACCTGCCCCAGGAGGCCCAGGCCAACCTCACGACCATCTACGGCAGCCTGCCCGCGCAGCTCTCGTACGAGTGGGGGTCGCCCGAGCGCGACGCCATCGTGCGCGCGTACGGCGAGGCCCAGAAGTGGATGCTCGTCGCGGCCACGACCATCCTGATCGTGGCGATCCCGGCCGTCATGGTCTGGCGCGACATCAAGGTCAAGGACTTCAAGCAGGTCAAGGGCACGGTCATCTGATGAGAGTACGTGCGGGACTCGAGTTGTTTTGGTCTCAGGCAGCGTGCTGGTCTTGCATTGTTGTGATGAAGGAAAACCCAGATTCTTTCTTCATCGCTGCAGCTTGACATCACGTTTTGTCTTTGTAAAAATTGTCGTGGTTGGTGGTTGGCTGGAAAAAAGAGACTGTTCTGCGGAGTTGAAGCCAGTTTCACACACACAAAAGTATTTGGCGCGAAGGAGTGAGAGTTTTACGCAGATATACCCCCTTATCTTAAAAAGTATTGTGATATAATGAGTAATGTGTGGAACCTATCCATGTCGAGGATGCTCTCGTTGTTGCAGCCCTGGTTCGTGACGTACGCGGCGACGACTCGATCTAGATATATCGCATCTAGTGCAAATCAAACTTGCTGAGCACAAAGGTACCCGCCCGTCCATACGGATCTGAATTTAAACAGACAGGTCTCGGTTGATATGAAGATTTTGTATCGCATCATTAATCCAAAATCAAACATCCGTACGTACTCCATCAGCAGTGCAAGTATCGTGTCGTTCGAGCACGATATCCACCTACGTGTTGCAGCGCAGACTGCCTCTCTTGGGGAGGAAAAAAAGGGTGATTGAGCCACGGAAATAATAGATTAGGGGACAAGCAGAGCTTAGTTCATAAAAAAAGACAAGTGCGCTTGCAGAGGCGATGCGACGTCGGAAGCAGACAGAGTCGGAGAGCAAGACTTATGTGTGAGGTGCGCATTACTGCGGCAAATGGCAAAAAGGAAATCCGAATGGTGTTAGCAGTTCTCCGTTTCGATCGGAGGACCTCCGGGTTATGAGCCCGGCGCGCTTCCCCTGCGCCAAACTGCTTATGGACTTTGTTGAAATCGGTGGCTCTTATCGCGGTACATGATTACACCACATCTTTGGCGAGATCCTCCCAGCTGGGTTATTGCTCATCAGCGACGAGAAACACCCAGGAAATGTGTTTTCTACAAGTGTCAATGGGTGGAGCCTTTCTGCGGGACGTCCTGAGAGTCCAAGCAAGGAGATGGGATACCTTGGCCGGGCCAAACCTTGCAGAGCTTGGACAGCAAATGAAAGGGAAGTGGAAGAAGGAGAGAGAGGAAAGGGTCGAATGCGGGCGAGCAGAGTGAGAGATGAGGGGTATAGCAGGTGCACGAGCTGATTTGTGCTGAGGACAAGTCAGGAGCTTGGCTTCGATAACAGGACAACAGTACATGGGCATTGGGACTATGCAGCAGGTCCCCGCATTGCGCTAAAAGGCGATCAGCACATCTTGAGTTGTAACCTTATCGACCTTATTCTTGGCTGTAGTTCACGTGTTCAGAGAGAGATCCAGAGGAGCTGGCGAGATCATAGTCGTCCAAGTTGGTCTGCGCTTTGCAAGTGGTAGTTGCTCCAGGTGCAATGACTTGCGAAGCTGCCGTGGAGGACATCAGTGACTTGGAGACGTCCCGTGTCTTACTGTCTCAGTCAGCAGCCTGCTCCCCGTTTACCGACTAAGAGCCCCCAGCCGCGATTCCACAGCTGAGATGCATGATCTGCATGTGAGAAGTGAAGTGAACAAGCGTTTGCACAACCTCGAATCGTGCCTATATCTTTTTGGGTGCTGCGCTCGGGATTGCCCATCAACTTCCCTTTGAATTGTCCCATTCTTCAAATCGCTTCGAACATATCTCAGATGTGCAAATCATGAAGACGGTCATCTGTCTTGTCCACGGGGCAGGGCATCAGCCCTTGCACTACAAATATCTCATTGATGCGCTGAGGCGGCACGGGCTGACGGTCGCTGCGCCGCCCCTACCAACCTCGGGTTACGACGATGCTTCTGCGACCAAGACACACCTAGAAGACGTGGCGAGAGTCCGAGAGTACCTGGTGCCTTTTCTCGAGCAAGGCTACGAGGCAATTCTGGTCGGCCACAGTTACGGCGGAAGGATCATCACCCAGGCAGCTGCGGGCTTGACAGGAGAGGAGCGGGCTGCAGCAGGACAAGATGGTGGTGTGGTGGCTCTGGTCTACATTGCAGCCTTTACGGAGAAGGAGCAGCCGCTGACTCCAGAGATTCTGGGTGTTCCACCAGAAGATGTGAATGTACGTGCAGTCAGTCCTTGCCCTTGAGAGGGGTTTGCCATTGTTGCTAGACATTCTGTTGCTGACTACGGGTCCTGTTTCTATGGCAGCCTGCGACCAAGCTGCTCTGGCCCGAGGCCGCAATTCGAGCCATGTACCACGACATCGAACCCGGCCGTGCAAACGAGGCAGTCGCGCTGCTGCAGCGTCAGAGCCCACGGGATCTTGACGGAGCCGCAGTCTGCAAGTCGTCGGATGTCCCGGTTCCCAAGCGGTATGTTGCGTGCCGGCAGGACCGAGTCATCAGCTTCGGGACGCAGCTTCAGTTCGCAGAGGCGGCGGTCGCCAAGGTGGTGGCGGAGCTGGAGAGCGGACACTCCCCATGGCTGCGGGACGACGGGATCAGGGCTATTGTGGATTGTGTCCTTGAATTCAGCAGGCGACGGCAAGACGACGTGTGATGACGGGCAGGAAAGGAACAACTGTGCTGAGGTCGTACGTGTACTGAGGAGGAGGATGTCATCATGCTATACCTACCATGAGGTTCCCACTTCCAAGACGTACGAAACTTGTTCTCGAATGACCTTGACCTGGCCAGACCCTGTTTGCCTTTTCCAAGGCTGGGGCCCCTGCCTGCCTGCCAGCATCGCCCCGTGTCCCCGAGCCAAGCTATGCCCATTGCATGCACGTCGTCGCAAGGTTTCTCAGCCGATGGCGTGTGTCTCGCCCGTTTGGCTCAGGGCAGTCCAGGCCCGCAAGCCCACGCTAGTCCAGGCAGGCTGCCGGCCCCAAAACACCCCGCTGCCGCCGACGTGCCAGCCCAATATAGAACCCGGCGCCTCGACCCCAGCTCTCAACAACGCCGATTCCCACCTCCATCAGCATCATCAACAAACAACAAACAACAAACAACATCAACAGCCCAGTCCGCTCCTTCACACTAGACCCGACCCCGGCAGGGACCATTCACCTCTCGCCCCGTCGACGGCTGTACGCCCTATATACAAACGACCGTCTTCACAATCTTCCTTGTACATACGAGATCAAGCGCAGGCCCGGCGCCCCAGGCAACCACATCTGCTTCGCGACGAACAATCGGAAGCCGCTCGGAGTCACGAAAAGCGCGTGCATGTCTTCATCGATCTTCTTCTTTGGTGATTCGCGAATGCCTCAGTTTCTTCGCCGCGCTGCCACGAGCCCATAATATCCTTAGAACGAGCCTTCACGCAGTATCCAGCCGATATACGAGCTAGCCAACATCTTATGCTTGGCCCAGCGTCCACAGACACCCGCCACTAGAATCGTCGGCAACTCCAACCCGCCGTCGCTGGGAATCTCTACTGCCTGACATCTTTCAGCAATGTCTGGGCCTTTCGACACGGTCAAGTCGGACCCCATAGAACCCTTCGCCCGGACACAAGAGCCGGACGAGGGATACTCCGAACACCCTCTCTACTCTGCCGTGGCGAGCGCGTATACCGCAAATGGCGCCATCATCCCGACGCAATCCCTTGAAGAACTTGCAGCCTGGTTGTCTACCCACAAGCACAGCATCTCTCTGCAGGACAAGACGAGTGAGTACAACACCGGTCGCCAGCTAGTTATCAATTTGGCAGCGATGGTACGGATCTCGCACTGACCAAGGCCGTCTCTAGATCTTGCCATGCTCCTTCTCAATGACCTGCCAACAACCGTCATTGCCGACATCGTCATGAACCACCTCAACCCTCGCCTATACATTAATTTTGTGGACCACCTGCCACCGGAAATATGTCTCAAGATCTTTGGCTACCTGGACCCAATGTCCCTAATTCATCTTGCTATGTGCTGTCGAGGCTGGTACGATCTCGCCCTCGACCGGAAGCTGTGGGAGCGACTATACTATCTTGAGGGCTGGCAGGCGGTCTTGCCAGAAATCGAGGCTGCCGAGCAGCGCATGAACGATACACAAATGCACAGCCAGAGATGCCTCTCACCAGAAGAAGAGCATGCAAGCAAACGACGGGCTGTCTCAGATCCAGCTGGCGGTGACGATCGGGATGCAGAGATGCCGGATGTTGACCAGCTTTCAAGACATGAGCTTCGGGATACTGCCATGACAGGCACAAGCCTGTTTGGCGGGCCTTTGGCTAAAGGCAGCGGCTCGTCCACCAGGACAACAACAAGCGTCACACAACACTTGGACGACCTCATGGTGGCTTCCCCCAGCCCGGTGTCAGGCCCATCAAAACGTCCGCCATCGAGCATAGACAAGGGCAAAGGACGAGCTACGACGGGAACGAGCTTTGACTCAGGTGTGGTCGTAGGCCACACGACACAGCTGCCGAAAGCTGCATTGTGGCTACTCGACCAACGCGACGGGCGGTACAAGCTCAACTGGAAGTATCTCTACACCATGCGGAAACGGCTTGAGAAGAACTGGGATCGCGGGCGCTTCACAAACTTCCAGCTTCCTCACCCTGATTATGTCGAGGAGGGGCACAAGGAGTGCATCTACAGCTTACAGTACAACGCCGAGTATCTTGTCAGTGGAAGCAGGGATAAGTCGATACGCATCTGGAACCTGCAAACGCGACGACTCGTACGTCCACCGCTCCAGGACCACACTGGCTCGGTATTATGCCTACAATTCGACTCAGACCCCGATGAAGATTTGATTGTATCCGGAAGCAGCGATTCGGACGTGATTCTATGGCGCTTCTCAACAGGCCAGATAATACAGCGCCTGCGAAGGGCACACCAAGAATCTGTGCTCAACGTCAAATTCGACAAGCGAATCCTGGTGACGTGTTCCAAGGACCGTACAATCAAGATCTTCAATCGTGTACCACTGCGGGCCGGCGATGTTGGTTACGGTGACATCAATACGGTTTCCCCTGTCCCCATCAATCTCAAGGACTATGGATATGATGATCCTTTGAGCCAGCTGCCAATCAAGCCGCCTTACACGATGATTGGATGCTTGGAAGGTCACGGTGCAGCTGTCAACGCCGTCCAGATCTGCAACAATGAGATTGTCTCGGCTAGTGGCGATCGACATATCAAGGTCTGGGACTGGCCGAACCAGATCTGCCGGAGAACTTTCCTAGGGCACAACAAGGGCATCGCCTGCGTACAATACGACGGTCGTAGGATTGTCAGCGGCAGCAGTGATAATGAGGTCAAGGTCTTTGATCGAGAGACTGGACTCGAGGTTGCGAGTCTCCGCGCTCACAGCAATTTGGTGCGAACCGTACAAGCCGGCTTTGGTGACCTCCCTTACAGTGTCGAGGAAGATCACATGCAGGCCAGGGCGGTCGATCAAGCATACTTCAAGGCCAGAGATGCTGGAGAGCTCGACGAGCACGAGCAGTTGAGAAACCGCCCGCTCAACTCGGGAAGTCGTCGGCCGCAGGATATCACAGCCTATGGAGCGAAGCTTCCTCCAGGTGGCGGAGGTGGTCCTTACGGACGTATCGTCTCGGGCTCGTATGATCAGACAATCATTATTTGGCGTCGCGACGAGGAAGGAGTCTGGCGAAGCGCGCACATTTTGCGACAGGAGGAAGGCGCACAAGCAGCGCTCCAGCAAAACCCGTCGCGAAACACTGCTCCCAGAGCTGAGAGGCCATCCTCGCCGCCCGTGTCAGCCAGCAGGCGGCCTTCACCAGCACAGCTCACCACGCAGCCGCCACAGCCTCCGGCAAGTGCGCCACCTCTGCTTCAGCCCAGCTCCGTCCCTAACCATGGTCTGGCACACGCACGGCCGGCTGGCCCACCACAAAGCAGTGTCCCGTATATGCGGATGATTGATAGCATCATACCTCAAGGACCAGGTGCGCTCCAGCAAGCACTGGCGACATACCCGACCATGCTGTCATATCATAGTCACATCCAAGCAGCTATCGATCGTGAGCCGAATCCCAACAGTCGGCGGCAACTGCGACAGGTTGTCACGAACGCGCTCATTCGTGTACAAATAGCCCAGAACCGAACAGTGGCATCGCTTCAAGACGGATCCGCGACTCAACTACCAGGGTTGTCGCAGCTAGATCGGCCCGATGCTGTCGATCAGCTCCAATCTCTGGCATCATCATCACGAGCAGCGAGCGGTTCCGTCAGCGAACGCGCGAATGCATTCGCGGCAGGGCCCTCTGCACTACCAGCTATCTCGAATCTCATGAACCCGCGGCTTCAGTCACTGACTGGTCAAGGACAACCGCCAGTGCAACTCGCCCCTCCTTTGATCCAGCCGCAGCACGCACAGACTCTGCCAGTTCCCCAAGGAGCTTCTGTGCTACCAGCAGACAACGATGCTGCTGGTGGGGCTGGCGGTCATCATCAGCAGCAGCAGCAGCAGCAACAGCAACAACAACATCACCAGCAGCATCATGGGCTTCTTCAAAGCCAGCAGCACCATCCTCACATTGCCCAGGGAGATGCCGCGGCCAACCCGGCACGCATCTTCAAACTGCAGTTTGACGCGCGACGCATCATCTGCTGCAGTCAGACAAGTACGATTGTGGGTTGGGATTTCTGTAACGGCGACCCAGAGCTCGAAGAGGTCGCGCGGTTCTTTGCCACTGTCGAATGAGCGTTGTGCTCCCCAGTGAGTATCAAGCAGGAAGTGCAAATGCGGGCAGGTGGTGTTAGTACAGGCGATCAGGGGCCCCATTGGTTTTCTGGAGCACAGAGGCTCATGAGAGCGGCCGTATGATGTAATGCAGCAGATTTATCCTCATGAACAAGAAGCGTGTCACTAGACATTTTAATGATATGAAGCCCTAGTATTGTTTCGCTGCTAGTGCCACACGCACACGCGAGTAAGTGTTGGTCTGGACAAAGCGCCATCATCATCACAGAATGCGGAAGTACATTTTGGTAAAAGTGCTGCCTATTGGACACGGTTTCGCGCACATTGATCAACCACAACAGAATACAATCTCGCTATCTATGCAGAAGTTAGGATATCGACACAAAAAGACACGACTACCTCGCCGCCTCCTGGACCTTGCCCGCTGTCTCCGGCGGCTCGTCGATAAACTCGGGCACCTCGTCCTTCAAGAAGGCGAGGTCGCTCCCGGCCCCCTCCATGCCGGCGCCCTCCATCTCCATCTCGGCGCCCAGCATCTCGAGCTCGGCGTCGAGCTCGGCCTCGTCGACGTCTTCGGGGACCTCGTAGCCCCTGCTGAGCGTCTCCTGGATCTCGTTGCCCACGTCCATGAGGTCCGCCATCTCGTCCTGCATGCGCTCAATCTTGTCGAGGTCGACCTTGCCGTACTGCTTGCGCAGCTCCTTCTGCGTCGTCTTCATCGCGTCGACGGTCGTCATGACGCCCGCCAGGTTGTCCTGCATCGTCTGCGCCTGCTCCATGTTCCACACCTGGCTCTGCAGCTGGTCGCGCTGGGCCTCGTACTGCTTCCGCCGCTGCAGGACCTTGAGGGCCTTTTGCTTCAGCGCGTTCTTGCCGGGGCCATCGCGCATCTTGGCCATCTTCCCTTGGTACGTGCCGAGCTCGGCGTTGAGCGAGGCGATCTTTACGTCGAAGCCGCCGATCCGCGTGTCGAGGTTGCCAATCGCCGAGTTGAGGGTCGGCTTGGGGCCCTTGGGGGCGCTACCGAAGAGGCGGTTCATCTTGGGGGCGGGGGGGCGGACCGACTTGTGGTTCTAAAGGATGTTGATGAAAAGCGAGCCGTGTGGAAAGGAGACAAGAGAGATGTGTGTGGACGCTTGCTCGAAGCTGTCGCCGCAACGTCGGACGGAAGCGAGTCGACACGGAGGTGGCTGAAGTGGGTGGCCCTGCCGAGTTGTGTCGTTTTGTGTTCTGCCCAGTATTCGGACCAGGCTCTGCCCCAGATATCACAGAGGCTTTGAGCGCTTCGTGTTCGACTTTGGGCGGGACAGCGTTTCCGTGCTGCTTTCCGGTGCGCTGGGGTTGGTGGTGCGATGTTGTTGTTGTTGCTGCTGCTGGTGGTGGCAGGGCTGCAAGCTTCGAGCAGAGCGTTGCTTGCGTCCGCGTTGTCGCTGTCGGACTGGTTTGGCTGGTGCCTGGCAGGAGTGGTTGGGGGAGATGGTGCAGTCTCTCGTGAGGCCGACGATGGCTGCCTCAGTCAGTGGTCGGCCGTAGCTGCGGCGATCGCGGGGGCTGGCGGGCATGACATGACGTGTGGGGGAGGGCCTGCCTGCGCTGCCAGTGTGGGGCCACCTGGATCCAGCTTCTCTCGTGTGGGCAGCTGCAGCCAGGCGCTGCTGCTTCAAACGACGAGGCAAGCTGAGTAGCATGTGATCAGCTCCCTCGACCACGACGTCTGGCTTTCATCAAACTTTGTTGCCCGCAGATGCTGCTTTCTTCCTTATTCCTCTTCTTTTCTTTCTTTTTTTTTCTTTGTGAGGGCTCTCTTGCGATCCGAAAGGATTTTGACAGACTAGGAGTTCGCGGCGACCCGATTCCAAGGTTGAGCAGAGGATCCGAGTGGTCGGCATGCTTGCGTTTTGGGGCTTGTTGAAGGGGCCACTACGAAGTCTCGAGAAGACTTGACATGTCCGAGCGACGGCCATATGTGCCAGGATAAGTGCCACGCACATTCAGGGCCGCTTTGCCAATGGCAGTATCTCTTCGAGCCCGTGTCGTTGGACCGAGCCTATGGAGCGACATTGTCCAAGCGCAGCACTAGAGATGGCTCGGGGGAGATTTTTCGGAATGATCGCCGCGGCCCGTCTTGTTCGGCTCGTCTTGTTGAGGATGACTCGTGACACAGAACGGTGACTTCCCTTGATTATGAGGCAAGAGACATGGCAGCATCACAGATGATGATACCAGGTCCATGCAAGTGGGTTGCATGCACGATGCTTGTGCCGTATCACTGCCGTCCCGTCAAATACGAACCCGTCGCGAGCCGTGCTGTGGCCTCGGTGGGGATGGCCAGATAATGCGGCCAAGCTGATACTGTGCAAAAGTGCCTGATTCGCGACCCCGCGTTCGCGTTCGTACTCGCTGCCTGCCGAGTAGGAATCAATCACACGGCACGGCATTGGCTGGCTGGCATCGAGTCCCTGCCCTGCGGCGCTGGTTCGTAAAGCAAAGGGGGGGGACCCCTGCCGAAACATCGCATCCGGGTGCGGAGACGCAGCCACCAGCTGCGCCGGGCTCCCTGTCCTTCTCAATGTCAACCACCACCAGCATGGAGTACGCCCGACAACACGCAGCACGTCTTCTGAATCATCCGGCCATGGCTTGCAACAAAGCAGCACCACTGGCGGCAGTCCCCGCGCCAAGTACGACGCCCAGTGACGAACCCACCCATTGCCATCAAGATATACCTAGTGGCTAGCGTGCGTATAGAATGCCTTGGTGGTGCCCTGATCCGCCCCGTACGGGCACGAGTGGCCCAGCACAGATGCGCCGGAGCCATCCCACTCCACCGCCCTCTTATTCGCATCCCGCAGCCCCTGATTCGGCCTCGTTGCGGCCATGGCGCCATGTCGCCCACTCCTTAGCCTCTGGTGCCCGGCCTAGTACCTGGTCTGGTGTACCTGGGCACTTCGATGCTGCTCCCTTATCGACGGCGGCGCAAGATGTGCTGGCAACCCAGCTTTGGAGAATTATTTAGACTCGGGGCTGTCCCCTTGGACCCGTAGGCGGAAGCTATAACCTTGTTTCCGCCGCACTTGCCTTGACAATCTCGTGGAGCTGTTCCTTGTCGTCCACAGCACTTCATCGCCGCAATGAACGTGACCATCGAATCGCCGTGGGCCGAGTCCATCTTTCGTCGACTGCCAGAGGGCATACCCGTCTCCCTCCAGGCAGTCCTGGCCACCATTGTCCTCGGCACCATTTATTCGGTCGTAACCAAGGACCGGCCTGTCGCTGGCATCCCCATTGCCTCTCTCGATGGCAAGACTCCGAGGAAGAGCTGGCTCTGGCACGGCCGCGAGCTCGTCAGACTTGGCGATGACAAGGTCAATACACTTCTTGTACCCTCAAACAGTGGCGGGTTCCGCGGCCACTGCCAATAAATGCTGACCACGGTGTCATGTTATGTAGTACTCTGGAGGGCCATATCAAGTCCTGACCGGCACAGGCCCCAAGATCATCTTGCCCAACCGCTTCGCCGACGAGATCAAGAACAACCCGCAGATGTTTATGCACCTGGCTTTCAAGAAGGTATAAAGCTGGCCAGCAGCTGATCAGCGTCGCCCAAACGTCCCGCTGACCGCAAACACAGGACTTTTTCATCGAATATCCCGGCTTCGATGGCCACCGCATCGGCCTCGAGAACGACTGGTTGATCCAAACTACTGTGCGTACGAAGTTGACCCAGTCGCTCAACCTGATCACTGGTGATCTCGTCGACGAGACTACTGCTTCTCTCCAGGACGTCTATGGTGGCGTCGATGATTGGGAGACGCGCAGTCTAAGGGAGGACGTCATCGAAGTTGTCGCCCGCTTGTCGTCCCGTGTCTTCCTCGGCCTGCCGCTCTGCCGCAATCGACGATGGCTCGAGATCACCAAGTCTTATACCGTTGACTCTTTTACCATCTCGTTCATCATGCGTGCCGCCCCATGGTTCATGAGGCCTTTGGCGTATTGGCTCAACCCAATGTCCGCAAGGCTTCGCAAAGCCGTCCGTGATGCCCGTAACCTGATCGATCCTGAGGTCAAGAGGCGTCTGGACATTGTCGACAAGGCCAAGGCCGCGGGCGAGAAGCCGCCCAAGATGGCCGACACGATTGGGTGGATGTACGATGTAGCCAACGGTGCCAACATCGACTATGTAGCAGGTCAGCTGTCTCTGAGCATGGCAGCGATCCATACCACCACAGAGACGACATGTGCGATTATCATGGACTTGTGCGACCACCCCGAGGTTGTGCCACAGCTGCGTGAGGAGGTAATCCGGGTCATTGGCGAGGGCGGCTGGGCCAAGACTAGCTTGTACAAGCTTAAGTTGATGGACAGCTTCATCAAGGAAGGCCAGAGGGTGCGGCCTATGGGTACAAGTGAGTTCTCGCTTCCTATCCAGACAAGACATCTTCGCAAACTGACATCACGCTTCATCCTAGCCTCAATGAATCGCCTCGTTACTGAGGAAACTACGCTGTCCGATGGAACCGTCCTGCCAAAAGGTGTGCGCATCATGGTGGCCACCAACTTCATGGATCCCGAGCTGTATCCCGAGCCTGAGAAGTTCGATGCTGCACGATTTCTCAAGATGCGCGAGCGCGAGGGTGAGGAACACAGCTGGCAACTCGTCACAACCACACCTGCGCACATGTTCTTCGGCCACGGCCAGCATGCCTGCCCGGGCCGCTTCTTTGCTGCCAATGAAGTCAAGATCCTGCTGTGCCACCTGCTGCTGAAGTATGACTTTCGCTGGGCCCCAGGTGAGAAGCCTGTGCCGATGCAGATGTTTGAGACTGTCGCGTCGACGCACCAAGACACCAAGGTCCAGATGAGGAGAAGGGTGCCGGAGATTGATCTGGACACTATTGAGGTGAAGTGAGCGGCATTGTGGATGTTGGGGGCTCTTTTTCATTGAAAGCCAGGGATGTGGCGTTGGGGAGTTTGTGGTCATCGTGGGTGGTGGCTCTGTGGATTTCAATGCTTCAGCAACAACCCAGCTTTTCTCCCCTTCATAGGAAACACGAGTAAATGCGAATAAATTTCCAGACGAGTTTTTTCCGTACAAATCAATGTTGTTTTCCTCGTTTTTTTTGTTCCTACGACGTACCCTCAGGTGCTTCGTGGCATGTGCCGGCAAAGAGGATGCGGCTCTGAGGGGCCCCACAAGCTCGAGTTGCTGTTCCTTGGCGGTTCCAACGTCCTGCTTTTCAGGTCCAAGTACCATTGCGAAACACACACAACTGCACCAGCCAGGTCAATCCATTGTCGGCGCTTGCTTGATCATTAGACAGAGCCTGAGAACCTGAGATACCAAGTCTTCCGTCACCCTCATCACCGCACAGCTGGTGATCTTTACCTGACTCTGAGAGCTCCACGCGCGCCACGGTTTTGAGCTCCAACACGTGGAGCCCATCCAGGCTCAACATCTAAGTCCGTATACCAGAATCAAGCTACCGGATCCCGCGTGCCCTTGAGGATTTTGGTCGACTGGTCTGCTCCAGCTGTCGCCCGAGAAGCGCGCCAGGTTCCGCGATCGCGCTTTGTTGGGGGCGGCCAACCCAGCATATAGCCCACCAGAAACGCAAACGATCGCGAGCTCGACGAAGCTCCCTCGAACCACACCGGCCTCGACTCTAGCACTTGCACACACCACCCACCATGTACGAGCTCTTCCTCACGGCGACGGTCACCAAGGATGACTTTGAAATGGCGTCTGCGCTCCTCCAGGGCCTGACGTGGATGACGCCTCGCCACTCTGTGCACCGCGTCCTCAACTACGCCGGCCCGGCGCAGCCGCGCGGCCTGCCCAAGACGCGCACCTTCCAGCCCCTCAGCCCTGCCGCTGCGGCTGCCGCGGGGGAGGAGGAGGAGGAGGACCGCCGCAGAACCAGCAGCAGCTCATCCGGCAGTTCCCGCTCTGGCAGGAGCTCAGCAAGCACTTTACCCGCGCGTCATACGTGGTCCAGCTGGCGTACGAGGTGTTTCCCGAGACGGACTTTGGCGGCATTGCTGGTGGTAGTGGTGGTGGTAATACTGCTGCTGCTGCTGCTGCTGCTGCCGGTCAGGCGGAGACGGACAGGGCAACTTCAATGGCAGCAGCACCTCCTGTCGTGGATCTGAACACGACGCCGGGACTTCTGCGGTGGACGGATTTTCCTGACCCCTTGCGGGACACGCCGGTCACGCAGCGCAAGAAGGTCGAGATACCCGAATGTCGGAATCTGTTGCTCACGATGGCGGATAACAATCACAGGTGAGTGGACATCCGACGTTTGTGCGATGACCGGATGAGAAAGCGGCAGAAGAAAGAAGTACACCAATTCTGGCAAGAGAGGGACACATACTTTCTGTATATGCATCTGGGACTTCCCGGTCTTGAACGATATGCAAACGCCCCTTCGCGCCAGCTCAAACGGTTATATCGTTGTTTACTAACAATAATGCCCCGTCGCTCAGCTTCCGCGGCGAGATGATCCAAGAATCCTACACCTTTGTCCGGGGCAGCGTAGAGTTCGTCTTCACGCGATACTACCACCTCCCGGACGCGGCGATGCGCTCCTTGTCCACGGCGTCGTCCGCTGCCCCGGGCCACCCGTCACCCACGCCCCAACCACACCAACAGCAACCACAGGGCCCGGCGCCGACTCTCCCGCCTTGGGACGACCTGCGGCCCGTGGACCCGGCACAGAAGTGGATCCTGAGCGTGCGCCTGAGCGTGGTCGAGGACAACCAGCCGGACAAGATGCAGAAAGCCACCGACGAGCTGATGGGCGTGCGGGCCGAGATGGAGCGGCTGTTTGACTTCCGGGTCGTGGACAGGAGGGTGTTTGACACGCGGATGGCGGCGCTGCCGGTCGGGCATGGGATCAGGGTTCCATGATGCCCTTGGTCGTGCGCGGACGGGAAGAAGCAGGTGACACGGGGGGGGCCGAACCTAGCAAAGCCCACGAGATGCAATATACTGCCTTGGAGGAGAGAAAGCAAACACGATGGGCTGATGGTCAAATCGTCCAGACTGATTTAGCAAGGGGTGCAGGTGTTTCGCAGAAACTCGCGAGTCGAACAGGCACGGTACCTGCGAATGAACAGCCTGCTGTCTGCTCAGACCAGAATGTAAATGTTCCCCCTCAAGAATGCCGGGCCTCTGCTTCTGGCTTCCATAATTTTATTCTGAAAGCTGTCAAGTTTATGAAGTATGAAACCTGATCATCCTCCGCCACTGCCGACATATGCATTCAGACATGTGGTCGGCGAAATTGCGCCCGGTATCCTCTCCTCTCTTCAGCTCGCTCATCCTGTTATTCACGAGGTTGTGTCGTGACGTAACCCCGGAAAAACTCGAAGCACAGAAGCAGCGACAGCCCATGTCCAGCCGTCGAGGGGCTTTCTCCTATCGTACTAGGAACGACACGAACGGGTTGGTATATTGGAAAGAAGAAGTCGCACGAACATACCATCAACAACAGCAGCAGCACTTGCAGGACAGCCGAGGTTCTCCGTGGATATATTTAACATGTCAGAGACCCGTGGTGTTGATTGTGGCCAGCTTGCGCATCTCTGAACAACATCAAGTATCTATCTATATATATATAATCATAAGCACGAATGGTACCCTCTACAGGCTGTGCTTTTCACAGCCTGGATATTTAAAGTGCTGCTTCAAAAATGGACCAAGAGCATGAATCATTTTAGTCGACATATGCTCACTTTGACGGACGGATCAGTCGTTCGTAGCCAGAAACCTTCATCTTTTTTTTTTCTGCGTCCGAATTCACCAGCCATATATACATGTACATATCACAGGGACCAGGTGAGAACAACACTTTTTCCATTGTGGCTTTTTATGCACTGGCCTGCTCATGCACTGCTGTCCCATCTACACAGACTAAGGAGAACCATAGAGCAGAATCCGACAAGAAGCCAAACTTGTCATGGTGTTTCCCCTGGGTCCAGAACCACCACCACACTGGAGCGGGCAAGTTGGGACAAGCACGTATGGGGTGAGAGAACAAAGAAACAGGACATGGTGACATCTCAGACCATAGGGATACAGTCAAAAGTGGTTCCTGGCCCAACCGACTCAGTTTGGCCACACGTTTCGAGCTTAGATGCAGTTTGGCCGGTAACCTTGACATGCAACTAAATGCCTTGGTGAACATGCTCATACTCCTTCAGTTGTCCAGTCGCTTTAGTGTGAGATATGGCGGTGGACACCGGCGCATTGCCTGACAGACTCACTTGATACGATCCTCGAGACAAAAGACCGCAAGAGGATTGTTGATTGTCGCAGGTGGCAGCCTCGGGGACCAGAAATTGTATCGTCAGGACCCAAAGTCTGATGACCAACATGGCTACTCCACCCCCGCTTGTCCACTTCTGCCAAGCCTACACAAAACTCCTTATTAGAATGAAAGCAAGATGGAGAGATCGCCCGATGGTCGAGACCTTCGATGCCCCTTGATGAGGTTCATCGACTGCCTCGACGCCACGTCCCGGGACCACATTGATCATGGTCAGCGCTATCCAAGTCTGCCCTTGGCCAGCCCACAACCAAGGCAGCATTTTCTCGAACTGGACAAAGGCCGTGTTCTCAAGCCAGTCTGCAGTCCTGGAATGCTTCGAGGCGGGCTGATTCATGCACAAGTCCTTGATGCATACCGACTCATGTCTATTGTGGCGCCGTAAGCATTTGCAATGGGGTTACCCATGATCTCCGCCGGTATGCGGTCCCTGCGTGTCGGTGAGACAAAACGAGAGTCCGCATCGTGGTCGCGGCCGGCGAGAGACTGCCCGAATGAGCGGTTTGAGGCCGCCCCCAACGCGCGCGCCGCACGCCTGGCCCCTTAAAGTCTTTGTGCCGGTGCTCCAAGGCTAAAATAGCTGGATCGCAATGGCTAAGCAAATAGCGCGATCATTCTTACGGCGCTTCAACCTCTTAAGATCGGGCGGCCCACCGCCCAGGACCTTGCCCAGTCCAATCCGGTCCAGGGGAAGTGCTGTCGCAGCGACAGCGCTTCGCTAGTGTTTTGTGGCTGGCGGAGCTGAGGCGCGCAGCAATACATAGAGCAGCGGTTGCGGATTGCGTGTGACCTGTCATGGCATGCACGAAAAGGCCCGAGCATAGACAACAAGAGAGCCGCAAGATGCTAGCAGGCGGCGCCGTCTGACACGGGCATAACCACCCAGTTGGGCAATTGAAGCAAGCCGCGGCCGTGTCAGGATGATGCCGTGAGCACAGGGGGACGGGGAGCCCAGCCCAGCCCTGTGGTAATAGCGCGCCCCGGCAGATGAGATGGATGTGATGCCTCGTGTCGACACGGTTCCCGCTCGCCAAGCCCGCAGCATTACGGCTGCTGTCCGTGCTCGAGGCTCGACGACTGCTTTGGTGGTGCTGGCCATGGCGATTTTGACATCCAGGGGGATCCTGGCCTGGCCAGCCTGGCCTGGCTAAGCGAAGGGCTGATGGAGAGTTAGATCCCAACGACGTCAGTGGGCAGGGCTCCCACGCGCGCGCGCGCAGGACCATACCATAGTATGTATATGACTGGGGTGCCTGGGCGTGCGAAGGCGGCTGCACGTGAAGGGCCAGTGCTGTGAAACACTTGCAATGAGACGAAGCGGGCATTGTTGCAAGCACTGTGTGTGTGCGTGCGTGCGATGTGTGTGTGTGTGTGTCCTGGGCAGGCGAGATGTGACCAGAGGAGGTGCTGGCAGGTGCCGGGAGGTGCGAGGTGGCCCTCCCTGCCTCAACTCAAGGTGGCCCAGGCCAGGCGAGGCCAGGCAAGTGCCGGGCGGCGGGCTCCATAGGGCTGGCCTGCCTGCGACTTGTTTCGGCAGGGCGGCGCGGTGTGGGCAAGAGCCATGGAAGGCACTGCACCCCATCCACATCGAGGTGCAATGTCCGCGCCCGCCGTCGCACCCTGCCCCATAGGGAGAAGAGGCACAGCAGATGGTGCTGGGCGGCATCTTCCGTCCTCGCGACCTCGACTCCGACCTCCTAATCAATTACTGACGTGCCCAGCTGCACTCACCAACTCTTGCGCACCCCTCGCCCGCTCGCTTACACATGTAGGGCAGAGGCCTGCACCAAAGCAGCAAAAGTCCCACGTCCGCACCCACCCGTAGGCCTCCACCAGCCATCCTGGCGCCCCCATCCACGGTACGACCTGCTCGACGCGAACCGCAGCGATCAGCCCGGCACCGGCAGGATCGCCTGCCCTATCGGCAGTTGCAGACCAGCAAGCCCTGAGATTGGCCGCGCGCCCTGTCCCCCGCACGGCCAGCAATCCGGGAGCCCATGCCACGCGCCGTGTAACAGGACACGCCAGCCTCGCAAGGGTTGCCATGCCGTCTGGGCGAGTCATCCAGGTCGACGACCTTCGTCCCTGCTGGCACACCCAAGTCTCAATCCCTCCCTCTTGGTCCGCCACGGATCAGCAGAACCTGCGACAACTCTGGCCGAGAATGCCGCCGGCGGCCTTGAATGCGGATCGTCCTTCCCTGCCCGTGTCATCCAACCACCGCCGCGCATTGTCGCTTTGCCGCCGCCCGCGCCCACTCTTCTAGCTCCGGCACTTGGCGTTCTCGCGCAGGTACGAGTCAACTCATCAACAGGCGCGAGCAATGCTTTGTTCGGATACTTCAGCCCAAACCCTCGGGTGTCCTGGTGGCGCCACAGACGTGTGGGTTCGACCAGTCAGGAGACAACATTAATTAGTGCCCTCGTGCTTCTGGAGCGGCCTTGCCTCCGCGTTGGCCAGTTCCTCACGCGCGACGGGATAGCATTTCCAAAAGTGGCACAAGCCCCGGGTCGACAGGCGTGGCTTTACGGTAGCCGGGGACCACTAGTTATGCCCAGGAGGAGGCCGCTCGGTTCCCCCACCCGCCTTACGAAAAAGATCGCCCTGCGTGCCTAGCTGCTCCTCGCTCTAGTCCTATGGCCCCCACTTTCACTGAGAGTTGGTGGACTTTCTCGAGTCGTTGCCGGTCTCATTTGCCGCAGGTACGGACCGACACACCCTGCCGGCATTCATTCCAGAACGTAAAATGCTGCATGGACAGTCCACCTCACATACCGGACAGAGCCGCGCCCCCGTTAAGGATGGGATAATGGGACGACGCAGACTGTGAATAGTTTGTGAATTGGTCGTGTTCACGGTCGTCCGCAACGAATTGCATGCCAATGTCGTTCGAGCCGACGTATCCTACAGCGCATATCCTTGGATTGGCCGTCGTAGAAATTTTGTCACTCTGTCTTGGTGGGTGGTGCCCTGTCTCACAGGTTTTCGGCTGCTCGGGCAGCACCAGGGCTGAAGGAGGTACACGAGTGCGGAATTGGGCCGACAGCCAAAGACCCTCATTAAACTCAGTCGGACTGCGCCCTCCACTGCCACGCGTCAGTTGCGTGTTCAGCCACTACCTGCACTGTAGCGCAGCGTGCGTCCTTGTGCCCTGCGTCATTGCTGCCTCAACGATGGCGCTCGCCACGATGTTTCAATATGAGCAATTCAATGAGTGCCACCAGCAACGGCACCGCCGCAAGAAAGTAGAGCAGGACGTGCAGACATGCACGCGAAATAATGGCCTGGAGGCAACTGAAAGGCATGGGTATCAGTTGTATGACTCGCCAGCCGTGTGTTAAATCCATGAATTTTACGTTGCAGCCAGCGTGCGCCGCGGACAACCCTTTTCCCAACCCACAACAGCCCACGAATTACATACAACTTCGCAGGGGAGGGGCCCACTCCGTTTTGTTCTAGAAGGTTGGGCGAAAGCTGGGTCCACGATTACCTACGGAGTATGACATGCGGGCGCCATGTGGTGCTAGTGGATGTGGCAAGAACGCCCGGGGCGTGAATAGAAAATGCCCTCCGCAAGGCTTCTCGTCTGTCATTACAGTACACGTTCGTATGCAGTGGATAAGGTCATTGCTGATCATCTTGGGCCAGTCACACTCAGCCTCGCCTGGCTTGAAGTTGCTCATCGACTGCAATGAAGTTCAGCGGATGCTTGGTAATGCATGACCGATCAATTTTCGGAGTACGGCTGAGTTTGGTGGTGGGAAGTCATCGAAACGCTGCAGCCTTACGAAGCGCACCGCCACCGTCGAGCTTGTTTCTTGTCAAGCAATTGATCAAAAAAGTCATGGGCTCACAGCCCGCCAATCGAAGACGCCAATCAGAGATATTCGGGTCGGGCACGCGGATGAATCCTCGTTCGGCGTGCTCCACTTGCTCTCCTCCATACTGCATTTGCGTGGAATGCAATTCCGATGCGCTTCAAAAGAGCCATCTAGTTGCGTATGGACAAGACAGTTGAGGATTGCCATTTTCACTTTGCTGTATACGTGCCTTTGGTCATCGTTCACATCCTCGATATGCACATCGGGAAGCGCCAAAGGGTGCTTACTATGACCTGCCTTTTGTCGATCGTCCTCCCGAAGTCGCAACACGCCGCGGACTGGCGAGATCCCGTTGTCGCGTCGCGTACCTGAATGGTTGCAGATGACGCAAGACAGCACCAAGCGGCACAGTGTCGGACTTGGCTTGGATACCTGACTTACGGCTTGGATCTACAGCACTAAAGCGTGCCTACAACCTGGCAGATGCTCGCTCCTTTCTTGCCGAGCCCCTCCCCCTCACGCAACTGTGGGGATCGCAGGCCTAACGGAGCAAGGTTGTGGGATGGCCGACCTCAGGGGCTTCCAAGGTCCTCCCCAAGTGAGAGCCACGTTGCTGCGGAAATGATGCATCGTTTGGTGGGGCCGTACGTCTTATCCCGAGCCCTTGAGAGCCAAGCGACAGCATCAACAGCCGGGGCACGGCGGTGAACTCCCTTGTCACAGCCCGTGCTAAGCGAGGGCCTGACAACAGCCGATACTGTATAATCCTCGGGGATTCGGGAGCATGCTTGACACCGACAAGTTGTATCCAACCCGGTCCTTCGCGCCGAACTGGACGTCGGCTGCGCTACCTGGGTTCAGCACTAGCAAAAGGACAGCGCCCGCGTGGGCTGCGGCGTCGTAAGCCCGTGACGGCCAGTTACCCTCTGTTGATTGGCCCTGGCATAATGACACTTCCTGATTGTCGAGCCTGCGATTGCCAATCCAGGACGACTCTGCACCATGGGAGCGGTCCGACCACATGCGGTTCCAGCGACCCGGAACCTGTACTTTTCCTTGTTTTCAACCTCCCTTCAACGCGCTGGCGTGCTGTAGGAATAGGGGACCTGGCTGCTCGGCGTCGTGAGGCCGGCTGCAGCCGTGGATCAGCGCTGCTGATGCCACCCACCCGTGCGCCATGGCGCGCCATGGCATCATCCCGCGCTGTCCTGCATCGTCCTGCTCGTAAAGAAGCAAATCAGAAAAAAAGTGAGCCATTTAGGGTTCTGGAAGGACCCTAAATGCCTGGCTGAACTGTGACGTGCTGACTACCTGTGCCTGTGCCAACCAGTTGCGCAAATGTTGGTACACACGACTTTGGGCTCTGCTAATGCGACCCCGACGTTGTAACGGTCGTGCCCTCGGTTAGTCTGGCCCAGGGACTTCAGCCTTACTGGGCCTAACGGTCGCAAAAGCATGATGATCCATGGAGCGGCCTGAACGGCTAATAGTGTGAGCTTCCTACCTCATAGGGCAGGTGAATTAGCCGGCCAGGGTTCGAGCAGGTATTGCACCCGCTCTCTGCGCAGGCTTCACGACGTCTGCTTGGGGGGAACACTCGGAAGCCGCGGATGGCAAGCAATAGGCTGGCGTCTGAAGCGTGAGGTTTAAAATCGCAGCGAAGGCGTGGACGACGGCTTCGCGATAGCAACTATGCTTGCGCGGCGCAAGATCGACGCCACTGCCAAATCATCGATCGTTGCTGTCGTTGGGAATAAGGGCCGCTGGTGTTCCCAAGACTTGACGCTGGAAGTTGGTGAAATGAAGCTGATTGGCCTACGGAGCCGGCCAGTCGACACAAGTTTCGCTGCTTCCCACGGTCTATTGGGCAACCTCTTGAGCAAGCCAGCTTGTGGCAAATGATTGGTAGGTGTGTTAGACTTCTGGCGCACCCCACATTGCGGTTCAGCCGTTGGAGATCCAACTAGGTGGAAAACAGCGCATCGACGCTGTGCCACTCGCCCACACGGACTGCAAATCGCTTTCCAGCTGTAAGGGCGCTCGGAAAGTCAGAGCAAAAGCACGGCAGTAGACAAATTGTAATCTGCGTGGCTGGCTGTTACCAGCGCTCTATTGTGTGTTCTGCGGACCGGAGAACAGCGCGTTGTGGCACCCTGCCCACGTATCATAGCTTCCCGTTGTCAACCAAGCTGAGGTGGACATGCTGTTCTGAGGAAATGATCAGCCGCCACTATGGGCTGAGGCGCAAGAATGCCTCGAGTGGCATACAAGCCAACCTTTTCGGGATGAACCCGATTGTGTTCGTCGCTGAGATGCTTAGGTTTGTGGCTTGTGGTCTGTCCCTGAAGCTAGATCATGCCAAGGTGGTCCCATTCAACACTGATACGCAATGACCAGTATCGCAAACGCAGGATGACACAGTGACCAATGCTGTCTCCTGACGAGGCTTTGCACACACAGGGTGGTTTCGCAGGTTGAGCTTTGTGTCGTGTGGTCCCTGTCCGTTGTGCAAAGGAAAGACGTCCTCTGTGCTCGCAGCTGAACTCGAAAGCTCCACAAATCCACGTTAGCGCGGTCAGGAAGTGTGGGCATAATTATTCTAGGCAGCGTACCGAATCACCACTATTGTGCCCCTAGCACTGTTATAGGCACTTTCTTTCCGTTGATGACGATTCATCAGAGGTTCGTAGCGCGACGTGCATGAGTATCGCATGAGATGCGGGGAGCACCTTGTACCTGGGTAGACTTGTTCCGACTGGGAACTGCAAACATCCTGCCGCTTTCTTGAATGAGGTTTGGACGGCATGCACATCTTCCAACTGAACCACTCTGCTGGGAGGGCCTGTCCAGCTGCAGGGAATGGGACTGATAGTGCTCGCTTCGTGGTCCTCCTTGTCTGACCGGAGTTCCAAGGTTGCTCCAAAACGCGGCCTGGACAGGCAGACTTCGATGGCTTGACAATACGTAAATTAGTAAAGCCGGGGAATGTGGGGCTAGCAACTAATTGCCTTGTCGGGAAAGCGCCGCAAATCTTGCAAGCCACGCAGGACTAAGACGCGTTCAGTAAGCCCCAGAAAGCGTAGGGCTGGTGAGACATGTCAGAATCTGTCCGTACGCGTACGCCGGCTGGCTGGCTGGCTGGGGAGAGGGTGCAGGGCACTTATGCCGGAATTGGGCAGAGTTGACAGACAACTTAGCTACCTCACACCATTGCTTCGACACCTGTCGTTGCCGTGCTTGAGGGTTGCGCACAACTGCGTTAAGCGTATGTACTGATTCAGGATTGCTCATGCATGGCGTGGCATTCCCCGACTCTGGCACGCTGGCGGTGAGTGACCCTGGTACAAGATGCCAAACCCGCGGGCTCCAGGTTGATCCAATATTAGCTGCGACAAGCTTCCTAATAGTATGAGACACTATTCCGGGGACCTTATTCGGTCCCCACTGCTTTGTGAGGTGGGGAGCGTTTCAAATACTGGGAGAGACTTCGCGGTTGCAGGTGGGTCGTGAGCGTGGGTTTTGCTAGTGTGCGTACTGGATGTCCTGTTGTACAGCACCAACAATCACCTGGCAAAGCTCATCAGCTGACGACGTTCGGCTGACACGTCCTGCGGCGCAACTCGCCCGCTTGAGTTTTTGCCTGTCGTCGCCTTGTGATGTTGTACCGAGCATGTTTGCATTTGTCAACACTGCTCCTGGCGTTGGTTGCAGCCAGCAACGAACTGGGCGGCACCAGAGCATAAACAGGCAGGAGGCAACTGGGGTGATTGTCGTGCACACGCATAGTCGCGTCTCCAAGGAACAAAACCTGGAGAGAACGTCTCGGGAAGACCTCATGACGTTGGGAAGGTGGCCGGGCTGACAGCGTAGTGCAAGAAGTGATCGGCGTATGTCTGATCCTTTCGCAACGATGCAGCACATTCCAGAGTGCCACCTTCGAAGTGACGCAGTCGCAATGACGCAGTGCCGTATAAGACTGTGGCGCAGAGTATCCGGACGGCTGGCACCACGAGGGCAAGGACTATTCCTATCCAGGGTCTTGCAAGGCAGCTGAGAGCCTAGAGATCATTCGTTGCTGGGTGTCGCAAGTTATGCCTTTTCAAGTACTAGTCGAAAGGATGAATCGCCATCTGCCGCGCTGTCATGATGAGCAGGGCTGCGTAGGGCAGAGGAACGAAAGCGCTAGCACTCGAGGGTCCGTGCAAACCATGCTCCTTTCCTGTCCATGGCCACAACTTCCAAGCTCGTCCGTTTTAGGCTTTCTTGTCCACGGGGGGGACACTTGCCATATTGGGGGCTCAGACACGGACCGAGTACATAGCTGCGAAGGCGCTGTACTTTTGCCGCTGGGCTGTCTCGCAGAGCCGCCGCGATGGACACTAGCACTTAGGGCTGACCCGTGCCAACACAAAGGATCGCGCGGTTCGCGAAGCGGCAGCATCGTAATCTGGCGAAACACTCCTCCTGAGGTCGGGAATACCGGGCGCTTTGAAGCCGGCGGCTAAGGTATCATTGTTGCAGCATTGGGTTGATGTTCAGTGGATGCCTGGCGAGTCATCTCTCTGTACGGGTCGTGCTTGGGGGCGCCTGTTTGCCAGTCAAGGCGCAGGATGATGTTGCAGACATCGCGGATCATTCCGCATCCATCCTGTCTGGGCAAGTGACGAGGGAGGGGTCCAGCATGCTGCAGGCCACAGGCTGGGCAAGGTTGCTTTGACGTACTTACCTGCGCCCTCGCAAGGTGGCCGGCATTGTTGGCCTGGCTGTGTTGGGGCAGTTGCTGGCCATGGAGCAGGGTACCATGGCCAGGCTATCCGAGGGTGCTCAAGTCGTGTCGCTGCCGCAGGGCCTGGCAGCACCGCTGCTGATGTTGTGCAAGAGGGTGAGTGTACTCTGGCATGAGTCGGGGCGGGCTGCGCATGGACAGCAGACGCAAAACGACCTCGACGCGCGGACGGGCAGCTGTAAAGGGGATTTCTCTCGTAAGGCTGACAGGACATGGAAGCCACACAGGACATGACTCTGTTGACTCGGGGAAGGAACGGGTCAGCCCAAACCCGCATTCCGGAAATTGTGCTCACCTGCGAAGGCACCAGGAACCAAAAGTGAGTTCGTGAGGAGAAGCTCAGAACGCTACTTGCCTACGGGCCGCCCATCTCGAGCCCACAGCCGGGGTTGACAACAGCGTTCCGGTCGGTCCTCTGCCACTGGCACTTACTCCGTACAGGCAGGGCAGGACTCTGGAACTTGTGGTGATTTCTCGTGGGTACCCAAACGGGTGGAGAAGCCCGCAACGCGCCCCCCTCCCTCTCCCCAGTACAACCCTCTTACTCGAGCGCAATGCTCTGGTTCACCACGGGAATGTGGGACACTTGGGTGGACTTCATTTCTCGAAAGTTCAGCAAGGGTTTGCTGTCCACCAGGGCACGGAGCAGCAGGTACCGGTAGGAGAGAAATATTCACGCAACGAGCACCGCCGCCGGGGATCAAATGCAACACCGAAGCTAGGGGTGTCACAGAAACAGGATGCGTCAGGGTAAGAATGAGAAGAGCTTGTGGTATCGGCTCGACTCGAAAGCCGCGGGTTGCAGCGCAGCGCAACGCAGCACACACAACAACCGGTCGGGGCGTAGTCTTGATTGGCCAGACAGCGGGCGACTCGCAGGATCATCTGAGCAGGTGGCTAAGGGAGCCCGAGCAGAGCCCACATTCGGCGACTCGCGATGGGTCTGAATGCGGTGCTTACGATGAATAGAGGGACAAGCGCGATGCTCTGCTGACCTCGCTCGCCCAGCCCGCCCTGACGGCGCCTGAAGAAGCCGTGAGGCACAGCAGCCCAGGCGAGGACGGCCAAGACTTGGCCGCACCAGCCATCTCCAGCTGGGAGACTGCTGAGGCTCGAAGTTGCCTTGTTAGGCGTTCCAGCAAAGTGGCAGCGATACAATGTGCATAGTACTTTTGAGAATAAGGGTATTGGCTCGTCATCTCGCTCCTGTGTGCATGTCTCCAGGGGACGGGGGAGGCCACGAAGACGGCCACACAGCGATATCATAAACGTCTAAAGTGCCAGCCAGCATGGTTTTGTGAAGGAAGTGACCCATCCATCCGTCCATCCGTCCACCGATCCATACGCTGGGTTCCGTGCCGCACAAGACCATTGTGGGCACCGCATCGTGAAGCATCAGATCGTGAGGAGTCGCCATTACGGCCACCCCAGGGACTCGCAGCACGCCCCGACTCCACCCCCCCTGCGCACCCCTGGCCCGGCTACTGATGGGGCGGCCCCAAGCTCGCGAGGTACTTGGGCGCCTGGTGCATCCATCCACCCATGGGTTCCATGGACGCCATGGATGACAAGATCCCCGGCAGGGGCCAGCCCACGCCCGTCTATACGGCTGAGCCCAGTAATACCTGCCCGCCCTGCCTGCCTGCCTGCCTGCCATCGCCTACGCCTACGGCTCCCTAAGCGCCTACCCTGCCTGCCCTTGATCCGCCTTCTGCCCGGAGCCTTAAGAGTCGGCCCTCCCGCTGCCATGGCCAGCGCCGCTCCGCCCAGTTGGCCGCATGTTCCCATGTCTCGCTGGTCGCTTGCTTCTCCTGTCAACAACTTGCAAAGACGCCCTCATCCGGCGGCCGCAGTCGACATTCTAGACTCCCAGACCTGTCTCGTGGCCTCGGCATCCCCAGCACGCCGCTCAATGCCCGCGCCCGAGCACCGGCTCGCCCGCAATCGTTGTCGCCCTTGCTACCTCAGGCCCCAAGGTTCCCAGAGGCCTTCCCCACAGCTCGCTCGCTGCGCAGGCTCCCTCACCCCCGCCAGACCTCTCTAGTGGCCACCAACACCACCAACCCGGACGCTGTACAGCCTCCTTCTTTGTTGGACCAGGCACGGCTGATTCGAGCGCCGCCTGGAAACAAGGGGCGGACAAGCAGCGCGCACAACTTTTTACTGAGCTCGGCCGCGTATTCTGCATCGTGCATGCCTAGTCGCTTCAATCCCGTATCCGGCAGCCGCGACTCGTCAACTCAGGCTGCTGCATCTGCATCCTGGACAACCACCCATCGGCCTTTCCGAGACCTGCGCATAGCTTTCGCCACGACCCAGCACCACCACCTACGACTTCTTCTCTTCCCGTACGACACTACACACCAACTGGATCCTGGTGACGAGCGTAACCTCCGGCACAGTCTCGGGGCTCGCATTCTACCCCTGGCCGGCGCATATAATCGACTGAGGGTCATTCCGTCATCTCCGCCTTCTCATATGCCAGGCCGCCCACTCCACCTTGCTTGACATTCCGCCGTCCTTTAGTGAGGTCTCCCGGCTCCTGATTTCTCGGCTGCCTATTACCCAGGTGCACAGACTTCAGTACCTGCCCTGTGGCAAGGCAGTCATTGGTTCTCGCGCGACTTCTTTTCAGCTTGTGTTGTCCCAACCGGCACAAACAAAACAACTCTCGCCATGGAGATCCCAAGATATCCACCCCGCGAACCAGGCGGAGGCCCTCCGTCCATATACATAGACCACGCAAGCCGCATCGACCGCTTCGGTGCTCATGGGTGCTCTTCGTCGCACTCGGCCAGATTCGCACCTTCTTCCATCCCCATGTCAATACCAAGTCGTTCAATCCCCGAGGACGATGTCGCCCCTCCCCCACTACCTCCCCCCCGATTTCTCCCTGAGCTCAACTCACAATTTGAACCGCGGCACCAACACACATCCTCACTCGACTCTCGCAGTAGTTGGGACAGCCCAGGACACAGCCCAGACCAGGACCGGCCAAGGTTTGAGCGCAAGAATAGCGATACAGCCACCATTAGGCCTGTGCAGAAGGATGAAGGATATCACAGCCTGAACTCGACATCCTCTGTAGGGTAAGGTTTTTTTTTTCTTTTTCTTTCGATTGGGCCCTTTCTAGAACTCCTGTCCTCACCTCGCAGCGCGCGGCCGGCAACTAATCTCCGTCACTATTTTGGAACAGGTCACAACATTCTCTGCCAAGGCTTTTCATGAGCCATGATCGATTTCAGTTCAACCAACCTGCACAAAGCCAATACGATAACACCCTGCTCAAGAAATTGGATTTTCGCCGAGGATTCGACAATGCTTCTCCGCCAAGAAGGTCTGGTCTTATCGCTTCCTCTGGCAGTGCTCCTGCTTCTCGTCATGGCGCGTCCGAGCGGCTCCGTAACCAGCTTCCGACGCTCTCCTTGCCAAGCGAATCGGGCTACACCTCCGTCGAGTCGTCGCCTTATCCGAGGGAGATGCCCCTGCGCAGCGGGCATTCTTCTCGTCTAATGCCTTTCAGCGGTGCCATGAGCAATGACTACCGCTCGCCCATTGAGCCTTCAGACACGGAGAGCTCGCCGTTTTCTCGCTCACCAATCTACCGCACGAAGCGGAACAACAGCGGATCACAGCAGTCTGATGATATCATGACGTCAACACCGAATAGCGCGGAGCACAACACAGACGAGATGGATTTCGCCATGGACGATACCTCGAGCGTGCGGAGGCTGCAGTCTGATGAGTACCAATACTCGGCTTCTGCTAACAAGCGCCGGGCCCTGGCGTCTCCAGATGACGATACGCCGATGGCCATGTCGGAAGGCGGTGTATCGATGGACGCAGTCAGGCGCAGACTGGGCACACCTCGGGCATCACCCACGCCACGGCTCACAGTCATTCCCCAGGGCTCGATCTCGTCGGTGTCGTCAGCCACTGGGCGAAGCGGATCATATACTTCGACCATGTCCATCGCGGGCACAAGCATGTCAAGCATGCCATCTCAGAGTGGGCGACTTTCGCCTGGGCACTGGTCACCCTCGTCTGGCCTTTCGCCTGTTGACGTCTGCCACTCGCCCTTCAACACGGCTTCCTCACTCGGCCCATCCCCGAGGGTCGCGCTTGCACGGCTGTCGCACCAACGGCAATTGAGTGGGTCTGAAGGAAGGTCATCCGCATCTCCCCGGAAAGTGCCTGATGCTGCCAAGGGCAATGCCTCCAAACTCCAAGGCGGATACTTCATGTGCGAGTGTTGCCCCAAGAAGCCGAAGAAGTTTGAGACTGCAGACGAGCTACAGTACGTACCATGGCCCCACACCCCTCGCTTGTGCTTACTGGACAAGGACTAACATGGCTACTCATCCAGGGCCCACGAAGCTGAGAAGCAATATGAATGCTCGTTCTGCGGTAACCGCTTCAAGAACAAGAACGAGGCTGAACGCCACCAGAACAGCCTCCACGTGAGGCGCCACAGCTGGTCATGTTCGGCGCTGCTCGAACACGGCTATGACCACGCCTTTCACGAGAGCACGAACCGGCCCGGCGAGGCGGATGTGTGTGGCTTTTGTGGCGACGAGTTCGCGCGCAGCGGCTCTGCTGGACGCGTCCGGCAGGCAACTGAGCAGGACTGGGAAGCCCGCCTGCGACACCTGCAGGAGGTGCACAAGTTTCGCGAGTGCAACTCGAGCAAGAAGTTTTTCCGAGCCGACCATTTCCGGCAGCACCTGAAGCACAGCCACGCAGGCACCAGCGGCAAATGGACAAACATGCTTGAGAATGCATGCATGCTAAATGAGGAGCCCCCGGTGCCACGGCGGTAGGGGGCTTGGGTTGTCTGACGGATAGCGACGGAATACATTGGGTGGCAAGAGGCGCCAACGGGATGGACCAGAGTACAGGGACTTCTGGGATCTACGACATACTGATACGACTGACTGCATTTTCAAGCTCTTGGCGAGCGCCTTGGCATAGCGACGATAGCGACTGCATCGCTGAGATGGCGGCCGATGACGTCCATTTACGACTGGTTTCGGATACCCGCTCGTCCCCGGCCGCGAGCAACTTTTGGAGTTCGCACCCTAGATCACGTCCCACTGGGACTCGCATGTTTTGAGATTGGCTCGGAGAACATTTGTCATTTTCACAAAAAAGGATTGCTGCATGCATGGCGTTTACCGATAATTGAACAAAAAAGAGACTTGGCTGAGGCCAAGAATTGGGATTTTGACGACCCCTTTTTGCATCTGTCGAACCAGGAACCGTGACAACTGCGATTGAGCGCCAAGTGTAAGATCGAGTCTGACTCCCGCTGGGAGGGGCGGGTTTCTCGGGAGGTCGACTTGTCGAGGCAATGTTGCTCGTTTAGAGCCCTGGACTATCAATGTCTTCCAAGGTGCACCCCGGTGGGTGGGGCCGGCCGGGACTGGTTGGCAGGGATTCGGATCGGGTTGCCCGAGCCGCTATTGGCTGCTTCAGCCCTACCGGGGGACAACCTGGGTGCGGAGTGCGGAGTAGCCGAAAGGGGACACAAACACGAGAGAGCCAAACGACAAAGGAGAAAGCAAACATGCCGTCGGCTCAGGCTGGCTGGCTGACTGGCTCGCAGCGGTCGCGTCGGGCTCGCCGTAGGCCACAGAGCCGCACAAGCTGACACGGGCAGGTTCCGTAGGGCTGTCTGGCCATGCCCGTATTGAACTAGGCACATCCAAGGCAGGCAGGGGTGGGGGGATTGGAGGGGGGAGAGTCAGAGAGAGAGAGAAAAAGGAAAAAAAGATTGTTCGATGCATCGGCTAGCGTGATGGCATGCTTTGCCGTGGCCGACGGGTTGGGACGTTGCAACGCGCGGCACGACGGGAGTATGCAGGACGGGGGGAGGGTATTCTTTCTTCCACTGGACAACAAGAAAAGTCCAACATTAGCCTTTGGTGCCATCAGCGTGGCGTGACAAAGGCAGCGCACACACACTCCAGGCCACCTTGACCCGTTTTCCATCTCGGTCCCGGATCACCCCTAGCGAGCTCGCTGACGGGACGGACGGCTTTGGACAAGGACGCGTAGCCTCTGGGCAGTGGGCCTAGGTACGCTACGCTGTGATGTGCTTAGCTACGCAGTCTAGGCAGCATAGTCCTCGGACTCGTGTCGACGGATGGGCTTTTCTTTGTTTGGTAGGGCTGCCTGCCCAAGCAGGCCAAATACCCGCGGGCTGTTGTGCTGTGCCGCAACGACGTGGGCTGGCTGGCTGGCTGGCTGGGCCCACCACCACCCGGGCCACCCCCACCCACCGACAAGGCAGGCTGCTTCCCGAGCATGCGGCACAGGAAGAAATTTCGGGGACCTACTGAGCCTGGCACGAGAAGCCCCGGAACGGCTGTATCGATAAGAACCAGGGTGGCTCTCGTTTTCCAGAAGGCTTTCCCATGCCCCCACTGTTTCCTCTTGCCGTGCCGTCGCTTGCTGGAGCTGTGAGTACAGTAAAAGTGCCCCGCGCAGGCGGAGTTAATACAAGGAAATAATGATTGATTGGACATTATCAAACCAAGAATTGCGCACCAGCGACCTTTGGTATCAGGAATACATCAAACACGCTTCCATCAGAAGGAGCATTTGAGCGACGACGCACTTCAAGACCCAGACGGGCTGCCCAAGAAACACACCTGCTCCTTTTGCTCCCCTTGCTCCCCGTCACTGGACAAAACACAAACGCGCATAGCCGTGCGCCGGGACCTGCCCAGCCTTGCGGAAAGCCCTTCCCAGCGTCTCCTCGTCTGGCAACAAGTCCCGTTCTGGGTGAACCCTTGCCTGCCGGCTTGCACCTGAAGCAGGCAAAGCTTTGGCTGGATCTCGCCCGTAGCTGGCCGGAGGCAGAAAGCGTCCGGAATCTGCTCAGTATACCACACCGCTGGCTTTTGCGCACGACACAACGTTGGGCGAGACACAAGACACGTTGGGCGCCATGTCACTATCACGGGTCCCTGGCCCGGATAGGCTATTCGTTGGCGGGTTCGTGCCGGCCCTCTCTCTACCTTGCCATTTCCCCTTCCGTCCTCGTCACATGAATCTGCATAATGATCAGAAAAATAAGCCATGATGCTAACACAAGGCTTACAGCGTGTGGGCTCTCAACATGGAGAGCCAGCGGCAGCAGCTACACGATGAGGGCATCACACACGTCCTCTCCGTCATCAAGTACTCGTTTGACCACTGGGGCGAGGAGGCGAAGCGCTTCCCACACCACCTCAGCATCGACATTGACGATGACGAGGACATGGACCTGCTCGCGCACCTGCCCGACGCCGTGAGGTTCATCGACCAAGGGCTCTACCCCCCCGCGCCGGCTGGCGAGAGCTCCGGGACCACAGGCGGCAGCAGCAGCAGCAGCAGCAGCAGCAGGACTGAGCAAATAAGAGAAGGGGCGGTGGAAGAACCCAGGTCCCCGGGGGCAGTCTACGTGCACTGCGCGATGGGCAAGTCGCGCTCCGTCAGCTGCGTCATAGCCTACCTGCTGTGGAAATACCCGCACCGCTTCGGCGGCGGCAAGCCACTCGCCGCCTCGACGCCCGCCGAGCGGCGCGCGTCCGCGGCCCAGGCCGTCGACCGGGCCCTCGAGCTCGTCCGCCAGGGGAGGTCCATTGCCGAGCCCAACGACGGGTTCATGGACCAGCTGCGCCTGTGGTGGGTCATGGGCTGCCCTGCCGGCGCCGGTGGCCAGCTCGAGAACCATCCCGCGTACCAGAAGTGGCTGTATGAGCGGCTCCTCAAGGAGGCGAGGGACGCCCATGTGCCGCCGGACGCTGGGCACATCCGGTTCGAGGATGAGGTGGTGGTGCAGCAGGCGGACCCTGCCACCCAGGGGCGACCAGCAGGAGGAGAAGCAGTGCCGGCGGCGGCAGAAGACCGGGATTACAAGAAGGAGGTCCGGTGCAAGAAGTGCCGGCGCACGCTGGCCACGCCCAAGTTCGTCGTGTCACATGGTGGTGGTGCGCCACCTGCAGCATCGGCGGGCAGCTGCGCGCACGTCTTTATCGACACGCTCTCGTGGATGCGGCCTGCCCTCGAGGACGGCGCGCTCGAGGGCCGGCTCAACTGCCCGAATGCAAAGTGCGGCGCGACGGTCGGCCGGTTCGCGTGGCAGGGGATGATGTGCAGCTGTAAGCAGTGGGTTGTCCCCGCATTCTCGCTGAACCGCAGCCGGGTCGACGAGCTTGTCCCGCGGCCGGCTGTAGGTGGTGGTGGTGGTGGGAGAGGAGGCGGTGGGAATCTGTAATGACTGTATATTACGTATGTGTGCAAGCCTGCAGCGGTCAATTCGTTGTTTAGAGGTCACAAAAGTGCAGATGGGCATGTGAGGGTGAATGATGCATCCATCGCCGGGACATGGGTGCAGCAGCCATGACCATCTACACTATACCTGAAGTCGAGTACAATCTCGGCAGCGATATAGCCTTTCTTCCCGGTTCCCCTCCTTGGTCGCTGAATGCTTCCTGTTCCGCACGTAGTTGCGTACCCTTGGCGTGGGCAGCTCCAACAACATTTGTCCATCGCATCCTGCCCTCCCCCCCCCCCTCTCCCCTCCCCGTCTTGACTTGTCGACATCTAAAAAAGCAAGACATGATGCAGACAGAGCAAGAAGAGGGTTGCGAGCTCATACAGGCGCACCAACACCCACACAAATAACGTACATGGCTGCCGGCTGACATGCAGCAAAGATGCTGACGCTCTCTCTTCCTCTCTGTGCTTCCCGCATGCACAAGCACACATGCGCCGCACCCACGGGGCTGAATCACTGAAAAACCCAACCCCCCCCTTCAGGATATCACCTGCATTGCCCTATTTCGCTTCTTTCCAGCTGCGGCCCTGTCGGACTTAAGGCCGCGTCTTCTCCGTGTGCCCTGCGCTATTGGTAAGCATCGCCGAGCGGTCCAGTCAGTTCGGCCCCCCCTCCTCCGTACGAGTTCTCGTACGGAGAGGAGACCTTGGCACCACCTGTCATCCTTTCACTGGGTATATATGTGGTCTGAGTGTGTGTGTGAGTAGGCATCATTTTGGGTTTTTGCCAAGACATAGGTGAGGGATCCTTCGCTGATCTAGTGATGATGACAGCTTGTGATTTCATCCATGACGAGATCCCTCCCATCGTCAGGAAACGGTGCCGAAGTACATAATAGGACTTTGCTCGGGACCGGGCCTAGGCCAGTCGGACGTCGGCGTTGACATCGGCGCCGCGTCGGGCGCAAGTAAGACGGAGAAAACCACACACAGAAAAAGAGTTTACGAAGCTACCAGCCCTACACCCCACCGACCCCGGCGAATGGGCCGGAACAAGGGTTTTGTGTTGCAAGGATATCCAGCCTTGTAAAGGAGAAAGGGTAGAGAGGGGGGGGGCAGGCGAAAGATTGATTGATACCCGGATAACACTGTCAGAATTGCCTGTTACTTGTTACGTCAACAACAGTCCCAGGCACCTGCGATCTGCTTGTGCCGCTGCTGACGCGAGACCCTGGCGGGCCACCTAATCGTGATTGCCACTACGGGTCTATCACGGCCTGACTGCCGAGTCTGCCTACGATGGGGGTACCTGACAGGCGGTAGGCCAATGCAACGTCAAAGTACGCAGTGACCCCCCGTAAGGCCGCTCGCTGGCGACTAGGGGAGGGGAGGGATGGTCTCCCAGGACATGGACGAAGACGGCAATTGCACCAACTGCAACCTTATGACCGGGATTTTCTTCCCCAGAAGAAACGAATGGCGGCTTGTGACTGGCTCGGGAACGAGGCCTTGTCCTTGTGTGTGTGTCCACATCTCTTGTCATTTGCTGACGACAGAGCGCGAATGCCCGTGATTGGAAAACTGGGGGTTTCCCACCACCACACTCTCTTAAGGCTGGCTGAACATGGGGCTCATCATGCGTGGCCTCACATCAAGGTGCGTATAGGCGCGCGTGTGTTTGTCATCTTGCAGCATTGTGCTGTACGAGCCGTCGTTAATATTGCCTGGGGATAGGACAAGACAAGGTCTGCGTCGTAAAGGCGAGCCCTTGGTTGAAGGAGATGAAGGACTGACTTCATGCCCTCGCTCTCTGAGCCGGCCCGATGTCTCGAGGAGGCTGATCGGGATAGGCTGGCATCCGCGCGGGGGGGGGGGGGCATGTGTGGGCGTCAAGGACCATCTTCTTCACGGGGAAAGATAGCCAGACAAAGGCAATTGCGCGCTGGACCAACCGACCACCACCCCCGGGGACCAAGCAGCACGCTTGTCGTATTCGGCTGGATGTCTGATCTGGTCTTTACGGTCTCGACCAGGCTCAGATAAGTCCCCATGTGATCCACGACTTGCGGCTCCTCCTCCTCCTCCTCCTCCATGACAGTTCTCGGATGTCCGCATCCGGAAGGAGTGCGTCTTACGGGCATGTTGCCGTGCCGCCATATCCACATCGTTTCCTGTGCTATCCCTGCCAGAGGTTTCCACACAAGGGGTTGGAGGTAAAATTCAGTTGGTGGTTCAGACGGCCGGCTCCAACCGGGGCGGGCGCATCCAATCCCGGGTCCACCAACGTCCTTGCGTGTATGGCGTTTTGGGTGCTTCTAGCGTCCGGAGCCTTTGCCGTAGGGCTGGCCGGGCTATGATTGAATGGCCGTACTCATCTCCGTGTCCATGTGGGTGTGCTAGACCGGGGGAGGGGAAGGGGGGGTCCCTTTCCCACCCACGGTGGAGTCAGCCCGCGACGGCACGAGACGCAAGCCTCGTCCGGTCCGCCAGGCAGGGAAGGCAAGGCAAGGCAAGGCAAAAGAGACACGGGAGGTAAGCAACATCTTAGCGAGCTCGATCCCTGGATATCGGTTGCCGGATGTCCGTTTCCTGCAGCTTCCTTCCACAGCGAACGACAAGGAACCAGGGGCATGCTGCACCTTTGATTGTGCTGTCCGAAACCCACGTTCGTGCATGCCATATGGACTGGGTTGTTGGTGTCGGACTGCTGGTGTCGTGGCTTATTACCCGAGTCGGAGAAGAATGTGGCCTTCACTTCGAACTAACATGTGGAGCCTCTTGTCAGGGAAACGTGCACTCTGAAACGGTGCATATCTGATTAGGGTTCATGAAAGAGAAACTCTGGCAACCAGGCTCCAGCAGCAATCTACGCCTGCTTTCAACTTCAAAGGTTGTAGAGTTGAGAGGGGGGACCACGAGAGTTTCTGCTCCCAAGGATGATCCACGCCCTCGAATTCAGAGGAGAGAGAGAATAATGTCAGCAAGCAGTTCAGGTCGCGACCGACCGTAGTTTTCCTCGTTGTTTCCATCCGCCGGTGCAGCTCGGCATTCGCGGATGGAGTTTTATTTTTCTTGGATTGCCCACTCACTTGCGTAAATACTGCCAGTCCTGTTTTCATGTCGGGGCTTGTCCATCTCAGCCGCCTCGAGACAGATTCAAGAGTCATTCTCAAAGACGTCAGCTTATCGGCTACAAGAACCGCCCGATTTTTAGTGCTGACGCCAACAATTAGTGGAGCGTCCCATCTGCATGAAGCTTATGCAGCAATGACAATCAGTTTGTCAGGCTTTGTCACTGTTCTAGAAGGCTTACGGGGGGGCTCGTAAAAAATAGCAAATCGGAACAACTGCTTCGGTTTTCAGTGTAGGGCTGGATGGGTCCAAGCCAATGCAAAGCTCTATTGTGGTCGATGTGACGTAAGGAAGGTTTTCCAAGGCTCGTGAAGAACCATAGTGATACTTGTGTGGAAAAGCGATGTTTGTCTTAGTAAGGCATTGACGCAGCTGTAATCCCCAGGGGAGTGCAGAGAGGCTTGGACTCAAGTTGCGATATTACAGTTCTCTAGAACGAGAGCGGGACTTGACAGTTCCGGTGTGGAACGGTTCCCGTACGTCAAAGTTGGAGTCTCCAACAAACCCAAACCACGCTGACCATGGACGCGCCGCTAGGGAAAGGCAATGCCCGCACTCCAAGTTCATAAAACTGGACATTGCATTGCTTCCGATATCAATGGCAGTGGAACTATTCCTATCTGGACTGTACCCCATGGCGTATATGGCACGTTCCTCAAAGGCTTGACTCAGCGCCCTCTCCATGAATCAGTAACTAAACTATCAGGGATGCGACCCTCGGACAGCAGCGACATCAGCTCCGAAACTGCCAATGCATTCAGCCCAATAACGTGGCACCTCTGCCCTACGCAGGTGGCTTGCCTCGGTAGTTGCAGAAAGGCGGAGAGCTGCCCCGGTGAGGCTGAGAACGATCCACAACGCTGATCCCCCGGGCGCCGCCGCCACTTTGTACGGCTGAAAGAAAAAAGGACACTTGAGACACGAGCCCTAACTCTTCTATCTATTTCCGCATTGGGCAACGCCGTGGCAAAGGGCCGGCTGCTGAGATTGAAGTTGACAACCCCTTGGTTGCGGAGTCCTTGGCGCCTTAGCGATTACTGATTCTACGGACGTTTTCCCGGGGGCGAAAGTTCTTTTCACAAGTGCCTTGGAGATGCTTTCAGGGGCGTCGGACATCGGAGAACGCTCCGCCGGGAGATCAGCCCGGTATACAGGGTCATGGAACAACTAGGGCATGTAGATGCAGCGGTTGTGCTTGCATGAAGTCGCCCAAGAATCTGGTCAGCTCGTTCAGTCTCTAGTATCTCAACTCAAAAAAGAATTGTACAGGCCACGCGTTGATCATAGACAGCACAAACATTTTCGCTGGTGTAGCTCTAAGGGAGTCCACGTCAGTGCTGTCAGGCAGGCACTTTGAGAAGTTAGGTCAACTCTTGTTCCGAAGCCCTCACGGCGCTTCACCTGGAACCCCGAAAGTCACACGGCGCCTCCAACGCCGTACAGTCGTCCGGCAAGGCGGAAGCCGTCCCCAGTTCGACATCTTAATTGCCACAAAGTCGCCGCAACGTGTGACCGAGCAATTTCGGTAAACATTACTTGAATAGTCCTGCTCCCGGTCAGCGTCCTTCAACAGGCTGCCATGAATATATCGTCATGATATCGTTTATGTGTCATAAGATGGCGGAACCATTCCGGCGGGTGGCTTCTCGGCCCCCCCGTCCTCAATGGTCTTCTGGCTGAGGCCACTGCCAAGCCACTAGATCTTCAGCCCACCGGCATCCCAGCGCGGAGAAACGCGAAGCCGGCGACCAAACGGCGTCCCTGAGGTTGTGCTCCGGCGGCTAGGACTTGTTGCCTCCTTTACGCCCAAAGTTGACCTTCGCCAATCGTGAACTTTTGACGCTCCAGTAGTTGGTCAGACTAGGCACTGTTGGCACTGTCGAGACCGTTGTCGGTAATGCCGGGCAAGGCACATTACCTCAGTTCTAATTTTGCAACTTGGTGAGATGGATATATCGTAGTTCAACACCCGCTAACACTCTTATCTCTACTTCTGTAACTCACAGATAAGTAATGCTCGGAACTTGGTTCTGGTATTGGGTTCCTTGAAAGTTTTTGCCCACACACAGCCCTTGGTCTCCATTTACCCCGATAACCAAGCTTCGTGCGTTTGTCATAACCCGCAGAGCTGGGGTTGGCCGACGACAGAGCCCTGTGCCCTGTGCCCGCAGGTTCTGTACAAGACGACACGTGCAGTTTTGCAGCCCAGTGCTTGTGACTGATTGGCCATGACCTGCTGATTCAAGATTTCTCATTGTGGGAAACACCCACAACCCGGTTGTTCAAAGTGCTCACCGCCCTTGTCCGGGCGTAAACAACTGTCAGTCCGAACATGACAAATAACGAGGTGCGCCATAACCAACTCTGCCGTCTCGGTGACTTTGTGCCTAGGCTACCTACAACGCCGTCTAATCTGACATGGATCGTATGACTGATGTCTCGTGCCTGCGTGCCTGTAGGTTGCGTCAACTAGAGGACAGGAATTTTCAGATTGGTCAGCTTGTGTGCCATCTTTTGAGCCTTGCAGAGGCGGGCACATGCCTCACCAGCAACCGCTGTGCGCTCTCGAGCAAAATGCAACAGTACTTTTGCTTTATGCAAGTCAGACAAGATGTCCACAGACTTGACGCACGAGTAGACAGCCGGCCAAGTAAGCACTAGTCTTATTCAGGGCAATTCATCTGCTAAGGGCAACAAGACTGTAAGCTGGGATGCCCATGGTGGGGAACCCTGCCTGCAGCTGAGGTCTGCATCTGTCGTATGGGAGAGAATGGACAAAGCTCATCCACATTTCTTCGTGGTGTGCCTCGAGGAACCAGATCTGCCCTGGGAGCGGGGTCAGTCCTCCTCTTCACAAGGACGCCTAGGCAGCATCAGCTGAAGTCAGCTTGCGCCTATCACACGGTCATGGCTCATGTGTTTGGTGCTTCATTGGTGTTACAACTTGATCCGATCATCCTAGGTCCTCGGATCCCCGATCTCGTGCAGATAAAATGGAGATGTTGAGAAGCAGGCATGAGTGTGGACCACACTTTGTCGGTAGCCCTCTCCTTGCTGCTCTGTACGAATGATACAGTTATGGAATAGACGAAAGTAGAGGACTGTGGTGTTTGAATCCTCCCCCTCAAAGATCATCAGCTTGCGTGGTGTCAATGTCCGCTCTGGGGACTTCATTCGAAATGCTTGTCCGATAACACTCCTTGTTGCAGCTGTACTCTGTACAAGCCGGGACGGCAAGTGACGGTGACGCTGTGCCCAGCCGGCCCCGAAACCGCTGCGCATGGGTATTCTCGGCATTTCTCTTTTGGTCGCATCGAGTTCTGACGCTGTCTCGTGGGCCTCGTGCATGTTGTGTCAATTTCGACAAGGATATCAAGGCGGACTCGGAAGGAGGAAAAGACTTGATAGGTCTGAGCGAGGTCAGAGCCACGGCTGGCGTGCCCGCAGTATCTTGTTGCCAGAGCCCGTGGCAGGGGTGGGAGAACTCCCAGGGTTCAGGTACTTGTGGCAGAAGTACCGACCTGGGCCACCATCCTGAACCGTGCTGACGGTTGGTCAACCATACGTACGTGGGTCCATCGTGAGGCGTCCCCCGAGCGGCATGCAGTGATCAGCAAGTGCGTGAAGTTGACTTCATGGCGCATAAGACTGCTACATCCTTCATGGCTGGTCCTTGGGCACAGAAGGAAAGAAGTTTGGGTCGCGCATTTGCTCTCTTAGCTTCTTAGCCCTCTCGGCTTGTCGTTTCCTGTCAACTCGTTGCTGATGGAAATTCCTGAAACGTCCCAAATTAGTTCATGACCTGGTGTCTGTCCCAGAGAGGCACGCACTTTTGAAGAGCAAACACGCGAGGTTCTTCTTCCTCCTTGGGAGTTTCGGTGCCGGCAGGCGCTTTCTGGATGGCTGTTAGTCAAGCTCGGGACGTGCACCACGTGCCGACGCCATCCATCTGACTTGCCTTGTCTCCCAACTTCTCCTCCTTGTCATCACTCGACTTGGACTTTTCGTCGTCGGCCTTGTCTTTCTCCTTGTCGCCGTCCTTCTTCTTGTCCTTGGCTTCTTCACGCTCCTTCTTGAGGCGCTGCTTCTCTTCGTACTCCTTCTTCACCTTCTCGAGCTCCTCGTCCATCTCCTTCTTCTTCTTCGCGGCAAGGGCCTCCTGGTCCACGATGGGAGAGCAGAGGCTCTTGTCCTTGAGGTGAGTGACACACGTGTAGAAGAAGTCCTGGTAGGCAAGGTGGGCGTCAGCAGTGCAGACGGGTGGCCGGAATGCGGCTTGCGGAAAACACGCACCTGCTTGCCCGGCGTCGCGAGGACGCTGGTCGTGGGCTTGTAGCAGATCTCGCAACCACGGGATGCCGTGTCGGCGACCTTCCGGTGATGCCAGATGTTTGGGAAGGACATGGCGGCGGCGTGTCGTTGACGGCGATGGAGGAGTCAAAGAGCAAGGGCAAAGTCTTCTGCCGTTGTTGGTCTTGAGATGCAGCTGGAGCCCAGGCTGGTATACACTTGACGGTACGGTGACTGTCTGCTGTGAATAGGCCAAGCGCCGTGTGTCGTGGGAGATGAGGCAGATGGGGGCGGTGGGGTAAGCACGTGAAGCTCCGAAATCACGGGCAACTGCAACCTCATTCACTGACTGAATAGAGTGGCTCCACCGTGGTTCGCTATTTCCACTGAGGGCGAATTACCACTTGCAGCTTCATGATGTCGCTTGGGCATATCAGCACATGAGATGCCTACGTTAGATATCCTGCTCCTCCTACAGGATTAGTCCTGGCATGAAGGCAAGCTCCAGGCGCATTTCTCATTCGTTGCCAGGACACCTAATTCTCCAAGTCTGTCCTCCTGGGCAGCAAGAGTGCCGTTGACGAGAAGATGACTGTGGTCTCTCTGCACATATAAACTGTGAACTCGGAACAACCATGCCGGGGTGGTGAGGGGCATACGGGATCGTGCACCCAGCCTCGTTCCTACTTTTCATCAATAAGGGGGGGTCAATACTGAATGTGGCCTGTCATGTTGATGTCCTGAGTAGTTCGCAGCCGAATTGGCGTGTTACATCCAGTAATTATGGCAGCGTCGCGTTAGCGGCGCCATGCCCGCGTTGAGACGCGCCGCCAAAAAGCTGGGGATGCTGCATGGCCAGTTTGGCCCCCAATACGTCAGAGCCAACCTCTTATCAGGTCGCCCACAGGATATTCCCTACGCTGCACACAATCGCCATCTTCAACAGCGCATCACCACCTACACTTGTCGAGGCATTATAGGCTGGGACTTGCCCCTGCTTCCTGGCCACCAAAAATCCTCGGGCTGAGCCCAATTCGTCCCCCGAAAAGCGATTGCCTCGATTAGAACGGCGCATAGTTCGAACAACCACTTTCTCCGCGACCCTTTCGGTCGCCAACTCCGCCAGCCATGGCCGCAAAGCTCGACCTGGAGCGGCTGACTCAGGTCTTCCGGTCTCGTCCAGACATCCTCGAGGGCATCCGGCACGCTGCCGATTCCGATGTGCGGATCCAGCTCTTCAACGACATTGCCAGCTTCATACACGACCAGGCAACCTCTGCCTCGTCCACAGCAGGCTCAGAGCCCTCGCTCAAGCGGCGGCGCGTCGACATTGAGCCGACGAAGAATGGCAGCGCCTCGGAGGTCCCTTCAGCGCAGGATGTGGCCGCGGAAAGCACACTGCTTGAGGTCAAGGATATATCAGTGTCCATACCGCAGCGCAAGAAGCTTGACTTGTGTTTCACAAAGCAGCACATCTATGCCAGGGCGACAGGCACCACGATACCCGTGACAGGGGCTATATTTGCGTGGAAGAACATAGGTACAGTCTCACTATTTGGGTGACCACGCAGCAGGGGAGACGAAAGCATGCGCTGACCACAGTCTCGATCCGCAGAATATGCGTTCTACCTGCCAGTGCCGGAAAAGGCCCAGATACAACACAACTACATCCTTTTCCCACGAAACTCGTACTTTTCTACGAAAAACAGCCCTGCGCCCGAAGACCCGCTGGTGTTCACGATCCCTGCGGGTGCCCCCAAACCAGGAGCCATAGGCGGCCCGAACGCGGCAGCAGCGGCCTCTGTGTCAGACACATACACCACGCTCTTCCACTGGGCAATCAACAAATGCCTGCAAGCAGCGGGGCACAATGTGCAAATTGTCGCGGCGGACCCGGCCAAGTTCCACAGCATGATAAAGCAGCCACACCGGCCGAAAGAGCAAGCCGTGCACGTCAAAGCGTTCCGAGGCTCCAAGGACGGCTACCTGTTCTTCCTGGAGAACGGTATTCTTTGGGGCTTCAAGAAGCCGCTTATGTTTATTCCGCTGGACCGCATTGCGTCCGTAAGCTACACCAGTGTCCTGCAGAGGACATTCAACATGGTTGTGGAGATATTCACGGGCGAGAAAGTGGACGGCGAGGAGGAGACGGAGGAGATTGAGTTTTCCATGCTGGACCAGGAAGACTATGGCGGTATCAACGGAGACTATATTGCACGCCACGGTCTGCAAGACCGCAGCATGGCGGACCAGCGGAAGGCCAAGAGAGAGCTGATTGAGAACTCCAAGGGCAAGAAGGGAGAAGAAGGCGCGAACGGAGCGAACGGCGAGGAGGCTGCTGGCGAGGACGACGGCCTGACAGAGCTGGAGCGGGCACAGAAAGAGGCGGAGCAGCAGCTCCAAGATGACGAGGATGAAGACGAGGAAGACTACGATCCGGGCAGTGACGGTGACAGCGATGGCTCAGGATCGAGCTCGGAAGAGGACGACGATGATGATGCGAACGGTGAAGCAGCTACGGATGACGATGAGGAGGACGATGATGAAGAAATGGGTGATGGTAAGGAATGAGGCACGATGCGATGCACTAGGCTTTGAGGAGTCATTACGCCCAGCAGGAAGCATGAGTCAATGCAAAACGCTCGAAGGACAGCCTACTTTAAGTACATCAAGCTTTCCCAAGTCGTACCGGGACATGAACGACAAAACAAGGCTACATTGAAGCAGCTTCCGAGTTCATATCGTCTGCACCACGTGAGGATCTAATCTATGTGTGCCTGCATGCCAAGGAGAAGCACCATACTTGCCATGGAGATACTTCAAGGGCAGTCGGTGGTAGGAGGACAGTGATGGCAACGGAGATAGGTATTTGGAGGCGTCACAAGACACAACCATGGTCCTCGTTTGGCTGGCTTGACCTGCGGAGAAAGCCCTTCTCACAGAAATGTACATAAAGAATTATGCCTGACACCCTTCGATGCCATCTCTTGAGACACGATTCTACGCATCACAATCTCGGATATCAAGACTCCCAGCCTACTTAGCCTACAGCAGCACCGAGTCGGCCTAGGACACCGCTCCCAACCAAACAAGACAACAATATCTCGAGTCACAACTTCACTCGCACTGCGACATGTCCGTCAACTCGACTCTTGCCACCACTGCCTCTGGCACGGTGCCGGTGCCCAGTCTTCCTCTCATGGCCTCTGTGCCTTCTGGCGGCGGCATCATGTCGTCCTTGCACACAACAGCAACGTCCGAGGCCGCCACGCCTAGCCACATGCTGCCCATTGCAATTCCCCCCATCCCACGACCGACGGACTTTGTACTAGAAGAGTCTAACTTAACCGTCACCCTCCGGTCGTTGTCAGGCTCCGAGGATGTCGTCTATACGATCCCCCCTGGAACCCTCCGGCTCATGTCATACTATTTCCCGTCACGACCTTGGTCCGCGAAGCTCGCCAGCTTGCCGCCCTAACCATGACCGACGAACATCCCGTTCCCACGGGCACAGAGGTCCCTCCGATCTTCCCTCCCATCCACGGCCCCGGCTGGCAGCCACCCAATATCGTGTCCCCGTCGGCCACTCAGTCGACATTGGAGCCGGTTCACACCAATGTCGCGCGCAGTATCCCCGAGGACAAGTGGACCTCTTTCGGCGATAAGTTGGAAGAGCCCGCGACCTTTGATGCTTGCGAAACTCCCGGTAAACAATGCCCATCTTCATGTAAGTGTAGAAAACCAATTCAGTCCCACTCAGGCCCCATGCTCAGTCCGCTGCTTTGAGGGCGAAGAATGACGACCGCAAGAAGCCATAACTCTGGGAACACAAAGCTAACAATGCGAGCCTTCTGTGCCAGCCATCAGACCAAGCTCATTCATCAGCTGGCCCATGGTCCTCTCCTTGTCCGTCTACTGCCTGGGCGTCAGCCTTGTCTTCGCAGCACGAGAGAAGTACAGACGAGCAGCCAGGTCCAGATCCGACCCTGACCCCGACGACGAGGACAATAACGACAACAACAGCAACAAGCCCAAATACGGAGAGGGGCTGGAGGCTGGAGGTCGCAGGAACTAGCGCCGTGCTGTCATCCAACAACAGCAGAAACGGAGACACGATCTCTCGCGCCTCTCCAGACATGCAATTCTCTCGTGATGCAGTTCAGGCTCATTTCCAGCATGGAATTCGCTCTTGGAATCCGTCCCCTTCTTATGCTGCTGTGATTCCAACGGCTCCATCCGCAACCACAACCTCCCCGGTGCTACCGTCAGGCACCTCGCGCACCACCCCGCCGCCCTGGCTGGATTGTCTCAAGCACAGAGTAAAGATCGCCATCGCGAAGTGGAAGAAGGGCGAAATGTATCCCCTCAACTGCCGGGTCGAAGGGTACGTGCTGGCGCTGTTGGCCCTTCTTGCGCTTGCCGCCTTGGTGCTGTGATAGAATGGCCTGGGGCCTTTAGGCAGTTGGTCAAGGTTTATAGCACAAGAGTTGTCGTTCTAGCAAATTATAAACGTTACATGAAAATTATGGGCAATCATCCTAGGTGTGACTACTGAATGCATATCCGCTGCATGCAATATTGTTGCCTCACTAAATCATGTCCCATTCTCTCTCTATGTAGCTTGCTCTCCATAAACATCAAGAGGCGCCGTCATCCAGACTCTCGTGTAGGAGCTCCATGGACGACTGTATGATGGTATATTGCATTGACTGTCGACGGTCAAAGAGCCCCGGCCCAGCACCGTCGAAAGTGTCTTCGAAAATAGTTCGCACCACGTCATCCCAGAGAGCACCTGTCTGCATGTGCTGCGCCCCTGTACTCGGTGCCAACGCTCTAATGGTATGCACGAGAGCTTTCCCCCTTTACGACATAAATCTGTATTTAAACTTGAGCTTGCCCTTCCAAGCATCAAGTGACCAGGCTCCATCTCATGCCACACCTCCCTCTCCATTCAGCCGGTAGGCGTGCCAGGATGTTAGCTTCCACGGCCCTGATCTCGTTGATGCGTAGCCAGTCCTCCTGTGGGTCGTGTATCTGGCATCATATTCGTCGCCCTCACTAGCCTTGTCCTGCACCATAGTAGATGATATGTTGCGCTTGGTGCGTACTCTCAATCGACCACCATCGCGTCCTCGTGGCATCCATTGCACCGCCATCGGCGACTGCTTACAGGCATTTTCGCCTCCGAGCGGATACAGTCGTCGTGGTAAAAGGGTCGATCGCAATCCTGCGATATCATTTAGCCAAATTGCACACCACACCTCAATATAGAAACGTACCTCATTATCACATATCAGCGTCGAAGGGCCACGGACTTGCTGACCGCACACGCCACAACCTGACGCAGACCTCCTGCCTTCAACCCTTGGTGACGCCGGTTTTGGCTCCTCAGACGGAACCTCCTGCGCGTCCGCCTTTGCGTCTCGCAACATTGCAAATGCTTTGATGATCGTCTCCTGTGTCAATGAGTTCCGGGCCTTCAGATAAGTGAGATGCTTGGCAAACTCTATCATGCGACTTTGCCGTGAAGTGAGCCAGGACGCCTTCTCCTCGATGAAGCTCAGGTAGACATTCTGAAGGTGAGGCTCGGTGATACGCTGCTTCAAGACAAACGCATCCCACTCGCAGATGTACTCCTTCTCCTCTGCATGCACGTCGCTGTAGTCAAGAATAACATCCCGATGTTTTTGCATCAGCCACGAGTCGTCCACGGGTGGTGGTTCTATCAAGGCCCCAGGTGCAAGCGTTGCCTTTGTCACGCGGTTGTAGAGCGGTTGCTTGTTGTCCGGGATCAGCTGCCTAGGATCCTTTGGCTTCACAGGAAGCAAGCGCTGCTATATCCATTAGTTGTTGTATGACAAGTGCACTGATCGGGGCCGAGAAACTTACCTGCTTCTGATGCGATACGCGAGGCTTGGGCTGTTTCCGCGGAGTCATCTCCCGTGCCGGCTCACTTTCCGCATCTTCTGGCTCTGGTGTGGGTTGGCCATGTTGTGATATCAAGATCCTCATGCCGTGCTTCCCACTCAAGTCGAGCCTGAACTTGAATTCCGGGTGATCCTCGGTGTGCTGCAGAAGCAATGCCTGAGATGGATGCGTGGCATAGCATCGAATGCAGCCGAAGTCAGCCGTCGTGACTTGACCGAGTTGTGGAAGCACCCAGGTCACGCGTCCCGCCTCGACGCCACTCTCTGTGACCTTGACTTGCTGTTTCCGTTCCTTCAGGCCCTTCCCGCGGGCTTTGTCGCTCAATGCTTTGAGGTTGTAAATCTGCTTCTTCTTCTGTCTTAGAGCTCGTGTTGGCGTGACTGCTTCTCCAGTCTCGTCAAAATCTTCATCCGGTGGTGGTTCGTGACCATCCCCTGCATGCATGATGTTCTCAGTCTCAGCGCTCTGATTGAGTTGGCCACTCGTGAGTGGTTCTAGAGCACCGCTTGCTGCTGCCTTCGCCTCTGAAGGCGACTCGAGTGGCCTTGAGCGCAGAGGCGCGCCTGCATGGTTGGTTGACCATCTCAGATCGATGTCTAAATCCAAACCAGCATCGGCCTCGAAGCCGACCTTTCTCCTGAGCTTCACGGGCGCTGTTGTCCGGTGCTTGTCAAATTGGTATGTTGTCTGGGCCGATAGAACCCAGCGCTTTCCTGCGTCCTTGGCGTCATCTCGCTGCTCCTTGGCAAGGAGAGCTTGCGGAGGCCAGTTCGGGTCGCCAGCTGATTCCAACTCGACAGAGATAAAGTAAGAGTCTTCCAAGGTGAAGAGATCGTCGTCCTCTCGAAGAACATAGATCTTCTCCGCGGGAATATGGAAAGGCTTGGTGAGGTAGATCCGAGCCATCCGGCGACCCCCGTCAGCATCTGACGGCACCTTGACAGTGCAGATTTGGCTATCACAGTAGAGGATCCGAAGTTCTTCTGGACGTGGCGCGCGACAGATGATTAACTTGCAGCGACATCTGACAGAAGTGGTCACCTTGTCCTTCTTGACTGGAGATCCAGCGCTGGCGTCCTTGGTGGATGAGTCCGGAGTGAGGACCGGCCCGCCCCTTTGAGTGATTTTAAGCACCTCAATGCGCAAAGCTTTCTCAAAGTCGCAGGGCTCATCTGGCAGAATTTTGCCAACCAAGTCACCGAGACCTCGGTCTGACGAGCTCTGCGAGAGGCGGCGCCGCTTTGCTGGCCGATGCCCGGCGTCATCGCCATTGCCGGTGACGCCATGTTCACCGTTTGTCGTGAAGATGCCCTCCGGAGCATACGGCGACAGATGGCCGACGGCGGTCTTCCATGCCCGATGGAGGAATGGGAAGTCGCGCTTGAATGGTGTCGTAGCTGCCATGTCTGAGGTGGACCGACCATGAGAGCAGCCTGCCACGACGGCGCGACTCCTTGGTTATGACTGAGAGCTGTGTTCACTTATGCAGACCATGAGTGACGGCAACCGTCCCCCGCTGCACACGGCGCGCACGTGGACAGGACGGCGGTTCAAGCACGCATGCTTCAACTATGCAGTGCCAGGTGCCAAGATCGCGCACGGCACTGAAGAGAGACGCCTCGTGGCGGCGCGAACGACAGGATGATGTGCTTGTGCCGACGCAACCAGATGAGAGTCAGGCGTGGCGACGTGTTGCTTAATTGGAGTTGATGTGCATGAAGAATGACTAAAGGAAACAAGAATAATGGGGGGACAATGCGCAACACACAAACGCGCTCGTTTGCGTGGCGATGTGGACGTGTTGCCCGAGACACGTGAGTGTAAGAGAGCGGCGGGAACGGTGCGAGAACACTGAACGAGGATGAGGCGCAGAGTGAAGATGATCTCGGGCCGGAAAGTGAAGCGCGTGGGAGCTGGCTGGCGATGAAGGAAGCGACGCGTACCGTGCAACGGCGCTACGGCCAGGGGGCGTGCCTGTCTGGGATCAAGCGCACAGTGTCGGCGATGCAATACGCACTGTTGAATATACGCATGTTGTTCCAATTACACCAGGCGCAGTATCACGATCGACTACACGGTGATATCCCTGAACCCAATGTTTTCACGACGGTGGTTGAAAGAGCTGCATGGCGTAAATTGAAGGCACCAGTTTCAATATTGCAGTCATTCCAAGTTTACAGCAAGGGCGTCACATTGGCCGGCAAAGTGAGTGACAACTTGCAGTTTCGCTGGCAACTGTCACGAGCTCGTCAACAATCAATGGCATCGTCTGGGCTCGGTGACCGCAAAGCCCGGGGTCGCAAGCGAATCTGTGGTTGATTTCTTCACCAGATCTCTCAGTACAAGCCTAGCTCAACTCCAGATGAGCTGGCGATAGGGCCTGTCTGGCCCCTTAGAGGAGACAACTCAACCCATAGCGTTACCCCCCGAATGATTCTCCTTGATGAATATGCACCTGTATATGATTCGTCACCTTCTGTTTGATAAGCCCGCGAGGCCGGCAACTGCACGTGGTATAGAAGTGCAACATCGTAAGAATTGTGGTGGAGTGCACGATAAAGCTTGCCCAGGTGAAGACGGGATGGCGTGACTTGCCCCACCGCAGCCTCCATCCAATTCCCCCCTGGAGCTCCTCTACAGGGAGCCACAGCGGGGTGCGTAACGCGGGCACTGTGGGCCAGCGGCTGCCTGCCTGCAGGCGGATCTGCACTTGCTCTGTGCAGTCGTCATTGCTTCTTCAATCCTATTGTTCCACTTCCGACTTCACAAATGCTACTACGCCCTGTCCAACACAACTCTCACACGACCGCCTCACGACGACTGCACCCCCGCGATTCGGGACCCTCGATCATATCTCTTCCACCTCTCGCGCGCTTCAATATCCGACAGCCTATTGCCATGGTCCCCGATCCCTCATGCTCCAGCTTTGCAGATCCCAGTCCAGTCTAGCCATTGCCTCTTCGACTCGCAAGCCAAGCTACCCCTAATGGACCTCACTGCTCGCAACAACCATGCCTAATACCGGGCCGGGTCGCGGCTTGCGATCTATACCTCCTCGTGCCGCCAAAATTAAGAAGCCAGCTCGACACACTCGCGCAGCCGCAGCGCTCCTCGCTTCGCCAGACACGGATCAAAGCTTCTCAGATGGCATTGAGCCAGTTCCGGCACAGCAGCCAGCCGTCAACAGAAAACGCCCTTCGAGGGCTGCGTCTCGGACTGCTCGGAAGCGCATGCGAGGGACGGACAAAGCGTCCACAGCACAAGGATCTCGACAGTCAAAGGCGAACTTCAAAGACTCGGTTAAGCTGAAACAGCCGACATTCACTTACCCTGGCAATGACCTACCTTACCACGTTTGGCTGCGCATATTCGAGTATGTGGCTGCACCTTTGCGGGATCCGAATGCATCGTATAAGGAATGCGACGACACCCGGCGCTCCCTCCTTTTAATGGCCAGATGTGATCGAATCTTTTTCGAGCCTGCCCTATCAGCACTTTACAAGTGCCCGCTCCTGCTATATCCAGAGGACTTTGCCGCTCTTGCGAAGCGGTTGAGTTTGAAACCCCAAGAAGCGTCTTTCAACTACTGGCCCCGGATCGAGATTCTTCGTATTAATGTGGATTTGATTCTGTACCGGAAGCACAACGGTAACTATTTGGACTTGAAGGACATCATAGCACCGCTGCCGAGGCTCGTAGAGCTTGAGCTTTGGCACCCTCTCGATATGGCGCCCTATCGCAGTCTGAGCCAGACCATCCGTTGGAAATATCCAGCAGATTTGCTGGAAGCGTTTCGAAAGCCGCCAGTTTCCGAGACGGGGTCTCTGTCGAACTCCGACTGGACTCAGTTGCAGGCCTGGACATGGAATGCACGCCTTGCGGGGGAGTCTTTCTCGCTCGAGAAACTAGCCGTCATACATAAGACTCCGTGCTTCTCGAAGCTGCGAAAGCTGGCTTTCATCAACTACCAGCTGCCCTCAGCCATGACTCGAACATCTCAGTCCAACGATGCTCTCGAACTGGACCTACAAGCCATATCGCAACTTGCCGCCGCCATTCAGGCTGTTCCCGATCTCGAACATCTCATGATCGAATCATCTACCATCTTGAGTGGCGTACTGCTCAATATGCTGCCCAGGAGCCTCCGGCACCTTGAGCTTGTCAACTGCTTCGAAGTCACCGCAGATGATTTTGCCGAGTTCCTCCAGACTCATGGAAGTAATTTACAGCGGTTGACTCTCTTTCACTGCCAGTCTCTGAGCCTCGACTTCTTGTCCGTCTTGGCGAAAGCATGCCCAAGGTTGACTCACTTGCGCGTCAATCTTCTATATTACCAACATCACGACTCGTACAAAGACTCGGAGCCGGCATACGAGGCATTGCTGTCGGAAGGCCACATCCCGACCTGGCCGGCAACGCTACAATATGTTGATATTGATTTCATGCGTTTCGCCGAAACGGCGTGCGCGAAGGTCTTCTTCCAAAGTCTTACAGACTCCGCTCGAGCTCTGCCTCATCTCCGCCAACTTATACTCAAGGCGAAGCTGAATGTGGGCTGGGCCGAGCGGAACGAGTTTAGACGCACTTGGGAAGATAGGATGGTGGATATCTTCTTGCGCACAAGTCGGGCACCACAGCGATATACCAGCCAACGGCCCAAGAAACCCCCACGTCCTCCACCCAAGCGCCCCGTAATCGAGCCTCGTCCAGGCTCACGCCGCAGCGCCAGGATCTCTTTTCCTCATTCTTCGCCGGAGAGCCCCGAAGCACTGGTCTCACGCAGCGTGAGAGAGTCTGCTAGGGTGGCTGCCGTAACCAGGGAGTTGCAAGGCCTTCTCGCCACACGTACACAAGGTCCAGGACATGAAGCGGACTACGAAGACAACGCGGATGATGATCACATACTTGATGGTCGGACAGGGCTGGCGTCTGATATTTTCAAAGCGGGCGCTGATGACACGGCGCCCCAGTTCGTGCATGGAATGTGTGACGTTGTCGATGTGCAGATTGATAATCAAAAGCCTCGAGAAAGCCAATTTGGGATGGAGGACTTTCTTGACTCATCTGAGCAATCGGACTCTGAGTGGAACTCGCATGATGAGTAGCCTGGGGGCATCCGCGTACGCACAAGAGCATTCTTTTTCGTTTTCATTTGAGTAGGCTACCTGTTTCGCCTGTTCGGGCTTTGGGAGGCGCAACTGTGGGCATTTGTATCGGCGTCAATGGCAGAGACGGGTGGCGCAACATGGGAGGCAATATTGTTTCGGTCTTTTTGCGAGGTAGATTGGGAAGTCATCACTGACGATCTGAGAACTGTTTGTTATGCAGAGTATGCTTCGAGTCTGCGAGCAATGAATACAAGACATCCAACAAGCCACCATCGAGACATATCCGTATTTTTATGTGTTGTGAGAGGATCTCAACTGCTCCATGGCTCATCGTCATCATCGCCTGCTTTCTTCTTTTTTCTTTCTCTCTTTGGCCCAGCCGAGTTGGCTTGTCCGTGCTGCAAACTCTTGATATGTATTCCTATCCCATAACATGCTGTACAATAAAACAGAGATGGTGGCCGAGATTTGTGACACAATCTGACGGAGACCCATGCTGAAAGAAAGGCCTTGGGGGGGGGGGGGCCAATACCAATGAGAGAAGCTATTCATTTTGTTGCACCAGCTTCTCGATTAAAACCTGTACTTCTTCCTCTCGTCCCGCTTCTCCTCGTCGCGCTTTATCCTCTTCCGGCTCTCATTGGCAATCATCTCGTCTAGCCCTTCCTCGCGCCCTTGCCACTGCGCACCAACGCCCTGCTGTCGGCTGTTCTCCTCGTATCGCCTCCGCAGCTCTTCTTTGCTCAGGCCGTTGCCGTCGGCCAGCGCGTCCGCGTCCACAGACACCTCGACGTCGCCGGGCTTCTTGCGCTTGCGGCCGCTGTCGTCGTCGCCTTGGCCCAGCACACGCATGTTGTCGGCGCCGCCGCCGCCGGGGGCATTCTTGAGATCATATACGCGCTCGCTGCCAAAGAAGCCCTCGGCGCGTGCCTGGCGCTCCTTGATGATGGTGTATGCCTCTCTTGGGTGCGAGCTCTCCTCTGTCTCGTAGCCGCGCCTCGTCTTGCGCAGGTCCATCTCGCCGCCGATGTCGGTGTGCGTGCCGTAGTCTGTGGGCACGGCGCTTGCGAGGCCACTCTCGGTTTGGATGCCGGAAACATCCTGAACGCCGCCGACTTCCTCGTCTTCCTCTTCTTCGTCCTCGTCCTCATCGTCGTCCTCCTCTTCTTCGGACTCTTCCTCGGCTACTTGCAGCTCACCCCACAATGTGCGATCGACAGGCTCTCCTGCTTGCTGCGCTGTTTGCGTCGGCTGCATAATGCCAAAGATGTCACCACCAAATAGCGGCCTGTTGTACTCATCCACGGGAGGCTTGCCGTAGCAACCAGGGTTAAAACCCCATTGCGCGCCATTTGGTATAGGAGCGTTCAGGCCAGGAATCCGGAGCGATGGGTACGAGGGCGGTGGGCCGAAACGCTGCTGGTTAATGAGCCACGGCGGTGGCGCACCGGGTGGTATGCTGAGTGCCTCTTTGAGTGGATCGCTGATCTCGCCCGGCCGCAGATGCCGCAGGTCCGTCTCGTACTCCTTGCCCTCGTAGTATACCTCTCCGAATCTGGTGAGTGCCGGCTTCTCCTGGAATCTGAAGAACGCATCGTATAATTTCTGGTAGTCGATGTCGAGCTTGCCCATCTTCGGTTGCACACGCTCGCGCTGCTTCTGTTTCAGACTCTGTTCCGCCTGCTTCTCAAGTACGGCGTCGCGCATCTCCGAGATGCCTGTATCGGCGATGAACTTGGGGAGTTGGAACGCCGCCTTCTCCACGCCTCTCTTCGAGGAAAGGTACTCGCGCTTCAAGGACCAGTGTGTCGGCACTGGCACAATATTGCGTTGCGCCTTGATCTGGACGAGTAACCGGGGATCCGACGAAGATGTGTCATGCCACTCCACGACCTCGGGCTTGCTAACGAGCGCCTTGAGCTCGGCAACCGAAAGCTTTGTCAACATTTTCCTCTTCTTCTTTGACATCTTCGCACCACCAGACTCGTCCTCCTCGTCGGGGATATCATCGTCGCCATCAAAGTAGACCTCGCCCTGGTTTCCGGCGTTTGCTTCCCGCGAGATCGCGTCTTCTCCACTATCTGCGCCGAATTTGGAGAAGATGGATCTGTACATCGCGTAGGCAGGATCCTCCGCATCGAAAACGTTCTCCTCGACGATCGGGCCATCGGCGGGCACAGTGCTGGCGGCAGAGGCATTCTCCTTAACTTCAAGGCTTGTAGTCGTGTCGGTCGGTGCGTCTGATTCACTCTCGTCGGGCTTTGTGGCTTCGGGCGTCTCGCTGGTTTCCTGTTTCGCGATCCGTATTAGCATCTGCCATTGCTGGAAAGGATCCAGCCAACAAGAGAGGGAATGAACGTACGTGTGTCTTTGTGAGCTTGTCGGCCTTCTTCTTCGCGCGCCGCTTCTGGTTCTTGGTCATCTTTGGCGCTGCCATCTTGGCCTCTGGGGTGCGCGTCCGCGGCGCCTCGCGTGATCGATCGTGTGTCCCAAAAGTGATGCGCGGAAGCTGGGATCTAACGGCGAGCAGCGGAGAACCGGCAGGATCCAAATGGTGCAAGCGCGAAATTCGACACGGCGATCGAATGTCGGGCGTTGTGATAAGGTTGAAGGTGAGGGCAGTCGGGACGCCGCAGCCATGAAATTTGCGGCTATCGCAGTTGCAGGCAGCACCCTCCACGGGCCAAGCCAGCCGCGCCATGACCTTTGGGCGTCGTTGTGGCAGGGGGGTGGTTCCACCCAGTTCTAGTCTAGCGCCCCTGGCAAGCAGCATGTAAGTCACTGCCAGCGGGCACTGCCTCCAGTCCACAAATTCCAAGCTGGAGGGGAGCATGTGTGTTGCAGGGCTTCTACGATGTCCAATCTGATGTGGCATGTAGGCTCTAGTCAGAATAAGCCAGGCCGCGCGCTCTGAAGGTGAAGCTGAGGAGGACTGCCGTGGACGCTCAAATGATGCAGGAGCACCTGGGCGATTTCACGCCGGGCTAGCCTGTAGGGATGTCTCGCGGCTGCAGGCCAATCGCAGCACGCGGGAAGCACACACTGCAGCGATAGCGGCAGGGGCCGGGGTCGACACGCACGCCGCAAGAGCCAAAGTTGCGCCAGCCTTGGCCTCAATCGACACTTTTCGAGGAGTCGTTCTGCATGCACCCGGCTCGACCACTCCTGTCTAACTACAACTCGGCCGACCTGTCCTCAACACGACTTTGCTTGCGACAGTCCCCTCTCTGCCTCATCGCTGGCCTCTGCGACTTCGAGCCGCTCCCTCCCACTTTTCTCCCCGACTACGGAGCTCTGTCCGCCGCGCTCTCTCCAGACGCTTGACGCGCAAGCCGCTTGCCACGCGGCACCATCATCTGGACCGACCTCCCGCAACCCTTTCCGACATTGCAACATGGTCTATTGAGACGACTCAACTTGCGCAAACTATAGACAGACATTCAATCCGACCTACCGACGTCATCCTCGTACGAAACACTACTCGGGGCCTGCCCAGCGCTGCTTGCAGCGATGCCACACTCCACCTCGTCAGGGTCGTCACACGTCCGGGACCAGTCGCTTCCCCGCTCAGGCACAAAGTTTCCTGCTGATAATGACAACGATGGCGACTCGGGCCTTGAAAAGTTCCCCGACCACATAGACTCCCCTGCCGTGCGGGCCATGGGTGCGCGATCTGTCAGCCCTGCTGGTTTGAACCCCTATGGGGTGGGCATGAATGGCGGAGGCTTCAGCAGTGCCGGTCTAGATCGCTGGCAACCACGGCGGGACAATTCCACCAAAGGCGTCAGATGGGGCGCGTCGGCCGCTCCTGGTCGTGGCAACGGCCACGTCAGGCAGCAAAAGAGCATCAGCGAGGCCCTGCAGAACATAAGGGGTCGAAGTGGAAGTGTCACTCAGAACGCCCATGAACTGGCTGATGCCCTGAGGGCTCCGATATCCCCCAGGCTCATCGTGAGTTTTCCTCCTGCATGTTGCCCGCTGCTCCGCTCAGGACACTGACACGATATGCTTACAACAGGCGCTATGCGTGACGTGGTACATGTCATCTGCGTTGACAAACACCTCTTCCAAGTCGATCCTCAACGCCTTCGACAAACCCGCAAGCTTGACCATGGTTCAGTTCTTCCTTGTTGCGTTCTACTGCCTAACAATGTCGTGGCTGTCACGGGTGTTTCCGAATTTACAGACCATGGTCCCAGTCCTCAGGAACCCGATTCGCTATCCTTCGAGAGAAGTAATCTCCACAACTTTACCACTGGCGGCATTCCAGATTGGCGGCCATCTCTTGAGCTCGAGCGCAACCTCGAAAATCCCGGTCTCGATGGTGCATACAGTCAAGGGCCTTTCGCCGCTCTTCACAGTGTTGGCATACCGGTTCATCTACGATATCCGTTACCCCAGAGCAACATACTACTCCCTCATCCCATTGACATGTGGTGTTATGCTTGCATGCTCCAGCAAGCATGCTTTCCAAGTTGATGGCGAGCTTCTCGGCTTGATATATGCTCTTCTTGCGACCCTCATCTTCGTCACGCAGAACATCTTCTCCAAGAAACTCTTCAACGAGGCGGCCAGGGCCGAGGCGGATGGACATGCCACAAAGTCACGCAAGCTGGACAAGCTCAACCTCCTCTGCTACTCCTCGGGCATGGCCTTTGTCTTGACGTCCCCGATCTGGTTCTTCTCCGAGGGCGTAGGCCTGATCCGGGACTTCTTGCACGATGGATCACTGGATCTCTCTGCGAAGCCTGGAACCTTCGACCATGGCCGCCTCTTCATAGAATTCCTATTCAATGGCACTTTCCACTTCGGCCAGAACATTCTCGCGTTTGTTCTGTTGTCCATGGTGTCGCCGGTCACGTACTCTGTTGCGTCACTGATCAAGCGCGTCTGGGTCATTATTGTGGCCATCATCTGGTTCTGGCAGCCGACAACACCACTTCAAGCAGTCGGCATCGCCATGACAGCTTTAGGCTTATACCTCTATGATCGTGCAAATGACAGCAACAAGGCCGACAAGAGGGCTCGGACGCTGAGCCAGAGCACCGCGCGATCGCAGCCACTCTTGCCCTTGAACACCAGAGACGCGCGCCCGACGCCAGGGTCGCAGATGTACGACAGCCCGATGGCCATGAACGGATCGCCAGCACCATATGTGTACACCAACGGGCATACGGCGATGACTAGTGGCTCTGTCGGTGATTCTAAGAAGAACGACGGCATGGGTTCTGGGCGGCAACGTGGTCAAAGTAATGCTGGGTGGCTACCACCAGGAACCAAGCAGGAAGACACGTGGAGGTTTGAGGATCGGGTCAAGATCACCGCATGATCGAATGGCACTGAGAGGCTTAAAGGAGCTCTTGCATTATTTTGGGCATGGCGGACAGTGCATGTGACAGCAGGATTCATGGTAATGATGCATGAGATGTATATTTGAATAACATGTAGATATTGGATAAGCTAGAAATTTCACGTTATGGCGTAAAGGAATGGTGCTGCAAGTCAGGGCCATCCACCATCAGTGCAAACAATGGGCTATTCCAGCATCGGGCGAACAGATGACGAGACTGGCGCAATCGGGTGGGAGAGCGCTTGAGTGGGGTCGAGTATGCAGGGCCATGGTCCTGTGCTCGGCCAGGAAGTGTTGGAGCATGTTGCCCAGCAATGGGGAGCGGAGCTGTCTTTGGTGGCTGTTGGCGACAAGGCAACATTAACGAAAGGGGGGGGAGATGCCAAAAAGCTGCGTTAGATGCATGAAGAGCAACACCTGGGCAGGTTTTGGCGGGGCAAGAGGCGGCCAATGCAATATTGACGCACGGCATTGCTGGGGAACGGACAAAGGGATGCGGGACCTAGGAAAAACTCGGGCGGAGGTGAGCATTGACCAACCAGCTGGCGTTCGTCGTGATGCTGCCGGGTACTGAGGCAGTGGACATAGCATGCCAGCAAACAGCAAGCCTAGCGATGCAAACAGGCTTCAGGATCTCGAGGAAAAACATGATGAATCCTCGATGAGTTCTTGTCTCTCAAGTAAATAGAATTACCGCTCAGACTGCAAATCGACGAGTTCTTGGGATCCGGAGGCAGTTTCGCGCGGCAATTTTCCGGTACCCGCTCGAGGCCCGGCCTTACTCTTTACGGAAGTCACGTGAAGCTGGAGCAACGAAGGACAGTCGGGGCGAGGCGCTCGGGTTCCTCCTGGGACATCTAGCTTGCCGACACTGCCCAAAAAAACCTCTCCTCCGATCTTCCTCTCCCAGACTTCATCACCCATCTCCACCTCCATCCTCACATTCGCTGCTTGCATCTCTCAAGATGTTCAAGAGGTACGCCAAAGCCCCGTCGACCTTGTCGCAAACTTCTCGCGCCGTCAATTGAGGAGGAATTGGACGCTGACCGTAGTGCCTGTTTACCCCAACCACAGCGGCCTTTCCTCCTTCGCGAGAGCGGCTCGCCCTACCTTCTCGGCCGTCCCCCGGCGCGCCGTGAAGCCGGCTGCCCTCAGATTCCCTCTCAGCAGCCGATTCGCAAGCACACAGAGCGTTGGTGATGGCAAGATCCACCAGGTGAGATACCCCTCGACATGGGATGGCGGGTTGTTGTGATGGAGTGGCTGGGGTTCCTGCCGCACCCGGGCAATGCCACTGTATACAGATGGACCAGAGCTAACATGACTTGACTATAGGTCATTGGTGCCGTCGTCGACGGTTAGTCACCTCACCCTCCGAGCGCGAGCGCATCTTCACCTTGTCGTCACCTTCGTGGGTCACTAACGCAAAACTTTTCTCTCCAGTCAAGTTCGATGGCCAGAAGCTCCCTGCCATTCTGAACGCCCTCCACACCGACAACGGTGGCCAGAGACTTGTCCTCGAGGTTTCTGTAAGCGACAAGTCCAGCATCGTGCGCACGAAACAATCATCTGACCGTCTTCACAGCAACATCTTGGTGAGAATGTCGTCCGCTGCATTGCCATGGACGGTAGGTCTTCAATTGCGCTATTTGTGTGCTACCCGACAGCCCAGCTAACTCGCACCTCCAGGTACCGAGGGTCTCGTCCGTGGCGCCAAGGCCAGCGACACTGGTGCCCCCATCACCATCCCCGTCGGCCCCGCCACTCTTGGTCGTATCCTGAACGTCACTGGTGACCCCATCGACGAGCGTGGTCCCGTCAAGACCGACAAGTTCTTGCCTATCCACGCCGAGCCCCCGGAGTTCGTCGAGCAGTCTACCTCTGCTGAGATTCTCGTCACCGGTATCAAGGTCGTCGACCTCCTCGCCCCCTACGCCCGTGGTGGAAAGATTGGTCTGTTTGGCGGTGCTGGTGTCGGCAAGACCGTCTTCATCCAGGAGCTCATCAACAACATCGCCAAGGCCCACGGTGGTTACTCCGTCTTCACCGGTGTCGGCGAGCGTACCCGTGAGGGTAACGATCTGTACCACGAAATGCAGGAGACCTCCGTCATTCAGCTCGAGGGCGAGTCCAAGGTCGCCCTTGTCTTCGGTCAGATGAACGAGCCCCCGGGAGCCCGTGCCCGTGTCGCTCTTACTGGTCTGAGTACGTATTCTACTTGATGAGCACCATCGTCTCCCTCCACACATCCACGCCTATCCCCTCCTGAATCTTCCAGACCTCTCACTTCTGTCCAACACTATTCTCCTGAGCCCCAGACCCTCAGACCCTCTACCTCTGAACCTCTGACCCTCTAAACCTTTGACTATGTAAATCATTATACTAACTTTTATTCTACACAAAGCTATTGCTGAGTACTTCAGAGATGCTGAGGGACAGGATGGTAAGTTTTTCCGCTGATTCCGGCCAAATTGGGGAGAAATGGAAACTTTCTGCCTCCAAAATTGTAAAATGGGAAATTAACATATTGCAGTGCTCCTCTTCATCGACAACATTTTCCGCTTCACCCAGGCCGGTTCCGAGGTGTCTGCCCTACTGGGTCGTATCCCCTCTGCCGTCGGTTACCAGCCCACCCTCGCCATCGACATGGGTGGTATGCAGGAGCGTATTACCACCACCACCAAGGGTTCCATTACTTCCGTCCAGGCCGTCTACGTCCCTGCTGACGATTTGACTGACCCTGCCCCGGCCACCACCTTCGCTCACTTGGACGCCACCACTGTCTTGTCCCGTGGTATCTCCGAGTTGGGTATCTACCCCGCTGTCGACCCTCTCGACTCCAAGTCTCGTATGCTCGACCCCCGTGTCGTCGGCCAGGAGCACTACGACACTGCTTCCCGCGTCCAGCAGATCCTCCAGGAGTACAAGTCTCTCCAGGATATCATTGCCATTCTTGGTATGGACGAGCTGTCGGAAGCTGACAAGCTTACCGTCGAGCGTGCCCGTAAGATCCAGCGTTTCCTGTCGCAGCCCTTCACCGTCGCCCAGGTCTTCACTGGTATCGAGGGTAAGCTCGTCGACCTCAAGGACACCATTGCCTCCTTCAAGGCCATCCTGGCTGGTGAGGGTGACAGCCTTCCTGAGGGTGCTTTCTACATGGTTGGTGACTTCGCGTCTGCCAAGGAGAAGGGTGAGAAGATTCTTGCCGACCTCGAGAAGAACTAAGCGATTGGCGGAGTGGAATCTTCGTGATCTAGACGCTGCCCCGGAGTGGTGTTCTGTGTATATCTAGAAAAGGAGAGCGCCCGTGGTCGAGGAGTTTTTAGCTCAATCGAGTTCCCTTTGTGAACTGTATACCAAAAATCCACTAATTCCTTTGAGTCTTGAACTCTGGTCCATGTCTTGCTAGGTTTGTGTGACTGTCCCACAAGGAAAATTTGACCCTGTCAGCATGAAGGTGACTCGTACATGGAATATCCTCGTTTGATTCTGAACAACCATGTGTATGGGCTTTTTCTCATTTTGTCAATTTGGCCGTTATCTGTCAACTTCTTCTGTTTCGATCCTTCCTCACCATCCGACGTTGCCAGAACTCTTTTACCTTTAATCTTGGCTTGCAATGGGCAATTGAAAACCAGTCTCGGTTCTGAGTCTTCTTGTCCCGCTCCCGCATAGATGTTGAGCAGACATTTCATCTTCTATTGATCTCTCTGCGATTGTCTACCTCGCCCCTCGGTCTTCTCTGGCTCTCTTTCGTGTCGTTATCATCCTGCTGGACAAGTCAAGGTCATGTCAGCACGGCAAATTTCATTGGGCTGCGCAAGTCGAGGGGACCGCCCGCTGCTACCTTGTGGCACGACCAAACTAGATGGGATATGTCTGACCCTGGTCTAACTCTGGCGGTGGAGATGACGAGGCGTCTCGGTTGTGAGCGAGACCGAACCGAGCTCTTGGAATGCCGTAATATGAAGCAGTTAAGTCAACATGCTCGATGACATCCATACCATCGCGCCCACAGCACGGGTTTGGATCATTGGGCGGTGAACACATCAAAGTCAGCGTCACGCTGGGTGCCGTTTGGAACAACAAGTCTACTACTTGAGATAATTTTACGACAAGCCCAAAGGCCGTTTTGCTTGCCAACAAGGACAACCAACGCCAGTGCCGCTTTGCGTGTTCTCAACACTTTTCCCACCCCAGTTACTCCCCAGTTACTCCCCAGTTACTCCCCAGTTACTCCCCAGTTACTCCCCAGTTACTCCCCAGTTACTCCCCAACCCCTTTCCCCGTCGACTTATTTGTTTCCAACATCAATCACAAGCAAGCCCAGCCAACAGGAGATCAAGTTCCCATGAGACAGCTGAATTCCTAGAAATCGGCGTCACTGAAACGTCTCCCAGCACGATGGCCCAACCACTACAGCTCCCATCCCAGTCAGTCACCAGGCATTGGCGTTTCGTGTTTTGTGGCACCATGAGTTTTGGCAACATCGTGATTGGGCGATATTAATGACCACCAACAATCATCGGGTTTCAACCTCCTCTGATGCCGACACGTTGGGTGTCCTTGAAAGTATTTTTCGCATATGAACGGCATCGATGACATAAATCATTGCAAGCTCCTCCACTTCTTAGAACAACGAAAGTCTCTTGTCTAGATAATCTCATCCATGCGGAAAACAAGGGCGGCGCGGAAGCTGACTTCGGGCCGCGGAGGGGTGAAAGAAGGGGATGTATTCTCGGGCTAGCTCTAGAGCAGCATCTGCGTAAGCCTGGGCCCCCAAAATGCCGAGGAGCTCGTCAACGACCTTCTTGCCCCTGTCCTGTGAGATCCCGGGTCTTTCGAACTTGGGGAGGTTATGCAGCGGTGAGGCGGGAGCACAAATATACTGGACATTACGCAGCAATACAACGGGACAGCAATTGAGATTCTAGAAACTTCAGATCATAGAGCGGTACCGGCTGTATCCCGAGGAGACTCGTGGTTTCGATATGGGATATACATGCTCCTATGTACGTTCTTGGTGACTGTGTGCTGTGCACAGCAGCGAGGCTCTACTACCAGGCGGGTAGGACACCCTCCTTTGCATTATCCGCCTCTATCATCCATCGTGCGTTTCCCTCTCGCGGCCAAAACCACCACAATGCCACTCTTCGAGGTCGGCCTCAAATTTCATCCCTCACGCGCGGCGCATGCGGTCATCGTCGACCTATTGGATATGAGTGACGAGAGGTCTGGAGGGTTGAAGGTCTATTAGAGCAGGTGACCAAGTGGAGTTCAAACACCCTCAACTGTGCTCACCATCCTCGATGCATCAAAGGGCGTCAGCGCCACTCATGCCAGGCCCCTTTCAAGTACGGAGTATCCATTAAGCCAAAGAATCACAAGGTTTTCCGCCGGATATGATTGAAGCTTTCGCTCTTGCCGGCGCCCACCTTTCTGGAGACCGCGAGTTCATGATAGCCATCAGAAGTCACTCTGATCTCCACATATTCGTCCGCTGTAGCCATTGTGTGAGGGTACTGGAGACAATAGCTCAGGGATGTCATTTAGGTATGGAACACCATTGCGCCGATGACCCACGCCGCGTTATGAGTGGAAGAATGGTGCGCAACCAGACAAGGGCTCATGGAGGCTATTCGTGCCGCGCGCGTCGTCTCGTATGTAAAACTCAATGGCACTAACCTGCCATGGTCATCCTTCCTCTCCTCCATACCGACATCCATACACATTTAACATATATCTTATCCATCCCTTCAAGACTCTCCTATCAGGCATAATCGGTTGTGAGCCGGGTCTCACCCTGCTTGCACAGTGGCGCTACGAACCCGGTGGAGGTGTTGACTGTACGAGAAAGAACGGGGTCTGAAAGTACCCAGACTATGTCAAATACCTCCAGCGAGATTGGCAGGCGCCGTGCAATTGTGATTCCACAAGAGATAGTATAAGCTCAAGCGTCGCCTGAAGTACTGCAGCTGCAAGGACATATTCGAGCTTATAAGCATAAAGTCACCCAAACCCAGCTTACCTGGGCCCACGCCAACAGGGACCAGAACAATGCTATTGCGGCCAAGGGCCGAAAGAAGCGCATTGAAGCAAAAGCACATTGGTGCGGCATTTGTCAAGAAGCATTCCAAAGCGCCCGTGCCCACAAGGCTCACGAGGGAACCACCAAGCACGAAAATGCCACCAAAGGCATTAAGAAGGGCCCCCCAAGCCATGCCGCCAAGAACCTCAAAGCCAGTCGGGCCAAAGTCAAGGCATCGGGCAAATATCATGATCCAATCTGCAACCTGGATTTTGCCAGACCGAGTGGGTTGCTTCGGCGTGACAAGACGGCATTCCATGAGCGCCGAGCCAAGGAGCTGAAAGCTCGGGAAGACGCTGCTAGTCGCAGCTTGTGAATTATGTAAAGCATCCTCGAGACGTAGGGCTTCCTAGAATTCCGTGAGTTCGCGATGAGACCTGGCCCTTTCCTCCTAGTCGGAACGTCAGGAATGGCAGGCGGAAAGGCCAGGAACCTGAGGTTGGTATCGACGGAGCAATAGAGGTCGGCATGGTGGCGCTGTCAGGGGTGGTGACTATTAATGAGTACATGGGCCGCGCATGGAAACACCTCCTCAACCTCGACCACCTGGAGTTTGACTTCTATCCGAGGCACTACCAGGGTCCCCGTAAAGGGAGCCAAGGCTGTTTGCCTTAAGACTTGGGCGGGATGGCAAACAATCGAGGTCCGCGCAGCGCGCGGCGACGAGGTCGACGATCTGTAATGGACGGTTTGGGTACCTTTTGGAGCCTCTTTGCCAAGAAGTGCTACCAGATTGTCGGGGAATGCCGAAGCAGGGGGGCAGAATGCGTCGAGTAAGGATGGCTGATGGGATATAGATGGGAACTACATGACGACCCTGAGCGGTGAGCTGGAGCTATATTAGCAGGTAGCTCAAACACTGCTCTACCTTCGCTACCTTTTATTTTTGTCTATGAGGTCGATCAGGCCAACGCCCATTGATTCGGACTTTTAATCCGACGTTAGTCCTTGTGAGAATTCCTCATGAAAGGTAATGGCACGCTCCAGTGGGAGAGTGCATTGTTGTGTATGCAGGCTCATAGCCGTGCTGCCCTTACACAGATAACGCAAGCCAACCTCACCTAAGCCCGGTCCCCGAGAGGCGAACCGGTCGATCTCCAAGAATTGTTATATTGCTTTTGCTTTAGGCATAATACCCAGTCTAGAAGATACTACTTGCTCCAGCCCACTGGGGAGCCTAAAGATTTGAGAGGCATCGAGGCTTTATAACGAGGAATAAGGAGTCTGCTTCGCACCCGCTCTTGCTTGACAATAGAGCTAAGAAGAGGTAACCGGTACGCGACTACACGTTCGTTAAAAGTCATCAACTCTATTACCACGAACCCCAAGGCAGAGAAGCACACTGTTGCCTCGCTATCACATAACATCCCTCGGATCGAAGGTCTAGGGGGTTGGCAACCTACGGAGCAGGATGAGCAGGTCGTGGAGCGATGGTGGCCGGGTTGCGCAGGCGGAGGAGTGCCGCAGCTGCAAGTACAACAACAAGAAAGCAAGGCTTGCCATCGAACCCGTAGCATATCTCTATTCTAGCCATCGACTGATTTCATTTGCGGCTCCCTTCAAACCCCGGAAATTTGCAAACTGGCGCCCGCCTTTCCAACTTGGCCATTGGAAACCAAACCAGCCACTCCGCGAGACCATCGTCCCGAGAGTATTATCATCACCTTGGGGGAGCATACCTAAGCGGGCAAGGCCATGATTATGAGTCCCTGCACAGGGAATCCCACGCAGCCAGTTCGCAAATGTTGTTTGAAGTTGTGAAGACAAGTGGGTATAGTTGGCCTGGTCGGAAATGGTGGTCTGAGGGTCCTCTGGCGTTGTCGCTGGTTCCTAGAAAGTTGAGATTGAGACATTGCAGAGGGCAGACAGAGCGAGAGCTTTGGGCAACATACGTGCATATTTCTGCTTGCCAGGTGGACTTTTCAAGGGGTTAAGAAGAGGGACTGTCGTTGCAAAGAGTTGTTGTCGATGTTGATCCCCAGGATCTGCAGGTCGACCACCCGCCAGGGGATTCGCTAGCGTGCGGGATGCTGGTCCACCTTTTGCATCGCCTTGCACACCTAAACCAGACGTCATGCCACCGACCGAGCCGCGACCCTGAGGAAAGCTGGCCACCCGCAGCATATCTCTCGACGTTGGCGTCGTCCCAGCAGTCCTCTCTTGGGTACCTTATCTGCATCACCCAGCACGCCTACGGCCATCAGCTTCTCGCTCGCCGAGAGCCACGTCCAGCGATATTCTCGAACCCGCCATCCTGCGGGGGCCAAGCTGATGAGCTCCTTGATGCCCAGCGTATTCCAGGTCCGGCCTCACACACAAGACCGCCCGCATGGACGAGCCGGCGGCCGCAGACGCACCCTCGGGGGACACGCCAGCGTCGTCTCGAGGCCGGACCAACGGTGCTCCCAACGGGAGCCTGCTCGGCAGCAGCAGCAGCAGCAGCAGCACGAGATCACCACCTGAGGTCACCGCCGTCGCCGAGGCGGGCGACCTCATCTTGGCCGTCACCTTTGAGAACTCGAAAGCCACCGTCCGCGCCGCTCGCAAGGCGCAGGCCCTCAAGGCCTCCCTGGCCCGGGCAGACAAGGACCGGCAGCCAGCCTTGCCGCCCACCGCCAAGGCAAGGAGCCGGGTGCCGTTCCGCGTGCAGGCTTCCGTCTTGAGACGGCAGAGCAAGTACTTTGACAAGCTGCTCGGAGACAGCCACTTCAAGGAGGCCAAGGATGTCGCCGAGGCCCTCGCGGCCTTGTCCCTGCGCAACGTCAAGCCGGCGGACGCGGACCCGGCCGAGCTGCCGTGGGTGGAAATCACCGACGACGACGAGGCGACGCTCTATGCCCACCGCGAGCTCGTCTTTGCCGACCTGCTCCGCATCCTCCACGGCCAGCCTGTCGTGGCGGGGACGTCCTCGGTGGCCGCCACCACCACCGCGGCCACCAAGATCACGCCGCAGTACGTAACCACTCTGGCCGTCCTCGCGGACCGCTTTGACTGCACGGCCCCTGTGTCGAGCTATGTCAACGCGAGCCTCAAGTTCAGGTGGCCGGCCACGAGCAGGAAGATGCCTCCGGGGTCTGGCCGAGGAGGGGACGAGGGTCCGGGGCTGAGCCGTGCCGCGGAGGATGTCCTGCGGCAGAAGATCCTCGTGGGCTGGCTTCTCAACCAGCCGCCGATAGTGCGGACGGGCACGCGGGAGCTGATCATGAGCGGCTCGAGCCGGTGGAGTTCGTTTGCCCCAGAGGATGAGTCTGAGCAGGGCGGGAAACAAGAGGCGACGTGGTGGTATCTGCCCGAGGGGCTCGAGGGTAGGTCAACACTCGTGTTTGGCGGGAAGATCACTCGCGTGCCGTGCTCATCTTTGAAGCGTCTGTCTTCATGATGACGATAGGTGGCTACGTGCAACATGCGCTCAATGACATTGCTCTACTAGTGGTTATTTCATGTTTGTCAAAGTACCGGATCATCTAACAAAATTTTACACAGAGGAACTACAATACCGCCGACAATGCGTCCTCAACACAATCGCCAGCATCCAGCAGCACTTCCTGTCCCTGTACTCGTCGCGCAACGCCCCTCGGCAGTGCAAGCTCGGCTACGACTCGTCCGCGGCCTGCGACTCGTACCAGCTCGGAGAGATGATCCGCTTCCTGGCCAACAAGTCCCTCTTGTTCCTCGTAGACTTCTCCCCGGGCTCCCTGGACCGCATCGCCGACACGTCCCAGGTGACCGTGGACTCGCTGCTCGCGACCCTGCGCCAGTGCCCGTCGTACCAGATCGACAAGAACCACAACAACTGCGGCCTGCGCACGCGGCTCCTGCCCATCCTGGACTTTGTGCAGGGCCTGCTGAGCTCGAACGCGGTGCCCGTCTCGAGGCAGGCGTGGAAGACTGACCGCGCCGGGACCGCGTGGCTATCATCGCCTGATCACTACGTCGCTGGTGGTGGTGGTGGTGGCGGTGATCACGGCAGGCCGCAGTTTTCGGTATCCACCAACGGGACTCTCGGCGGCGACGACGACAGCAGCCACGACGACTATCCCAGCAGCAGCGGCGGCAGCAGCAGCAACAAACCGTTCCGCTTCACGCGGACAATGGCGGGCGACCAGCGGCTCCGGTTCGAGGGCAACCTCGGCGCAGACCGGTTCGCCCGGCAGGTATTCCTCGCGTCGAGCTGGGACTGGACGGCCGACGACGACGCCTCGGCGGCGTGGTCGAACCCGGGCAAGATGGGGAGGGTGCCGCTGAGTTTCAAGTAGGTAGTTTAGGGGGAACTGATACGCATAGTTCCTGTTATCCTTGAGCGGCGGTTACAGCTAGCAACGCTCGATTGGGAGATATTTCTATAAGCCTGTTTATGGCCCCGTTGCGACGCTATGTACTGTCCAAACGCAGAATGCCGATGTATATTTGTGTATATAGCTTTGACGGGTCTGTCAGCCTGACAGAGCATGAACTTAGATTTATATATGATATGAAAAACGCCCCCGAACTACCCGAACGGAAGAAACGCCTCAAAACGCCGCTTGGAATGACTTGATAATCCTGTTTTCAAGGATGCAGGCAGGAAGGCGCTATGCACCCAGAAGATCGTACGCCATGCCTCATCGCGGTCCAGAGAACGAATAGTGGACACCAAAAGCATCGCCACTCCTCAACTCCGCAGAGCCTCGAGCCTGTTCCGCATCTGGTCCATCATGGCGTCCTGGTCCTCCTCCTCTGCCTCGATTGCAGCGGGCTCTTGGGCCACCGGCGCGCTAGGCATGGGACCTGTCTTCTCCATGCGGCCTTTGAGGATCTCGCCGAGGACCTTGTCGACCTCGCCGTCCGCGAGCGCCTCCTCGTCCTCAAACATCTCCTCGTCCACAGGCAGCGTCTCTCCGACCATCTCCTCGATGACGCCGGCCTTCATGAGCTCGACGCTGAGCTCCTGCATTGTTCCGGCCAGCTCGGGCAGGCGGATGAGAGAGTTGACGTTCTTCATGATGCCCACGGACGCGCGGATGCTGCCCTCGATCTTGCGCACGGCGAACGCCTCGTTGACCTGCATCTGCACGCTGGTAAGCTGCGCCTTGGAGGTGACGAGCCGGTTCTGCTGGCGCCGCGCGCGGATGAGCTCTTGCGCAAAGTCACGCGCCTCCTTGGCGGCCTGCTTCGAGCGCGAAGGGTCACGCTGGGCGCGGCGGTCCGCGGCGATGATGAGGGACTTGGTCTTGGCCTCCACCTGTTTGACTTGGTTGATGTCGCGCTCGAGCTTGCGTATGTTGGACCGGATCATGGCGTTGACCTTGCGCATCTGTGTGTGGTGTAGGAGAGATTTGTGTAAGTCATGAGGAAAACGGAAGTGACGGTAGGCGGCCGACAGAAGCGGAGAGGAGGATGAGCTACCTGCGCATTGGGGTCCGGCTTGACGAAGAAGGACTTGAGGCTCTCCATGGCGTCGTCGGCTAGGTGTGTTTGATAGTGGCAGGCTTCTTGCTCGGCCGCAACGGTGGCGGGATGCGCCTCGAGTCGACGTCCGTTGGCCCCTTGGTGGGGCGCTCAGCGGACGCGTGGGAGGAGCAGCACAATGAGTGCCAAGAGGACAGAGGACCAGCCCGCTCGCGCTGTGTTGCTGTGAGCCGTGGCGGCGGTAGTGGGTGGGAGCGCGGTGATGGACGCGTCGATGGCAAACGGCGATGGCCGGACGGAGAGTGGCAGGCGACGGCTGGGCTGGGGTTGGTTGAGGTATGACGTTGGCGTGGTGGGAATCTCTGGATGGGCGCTTTTGGGCGACTCGGACGGCGGCCGTCGGGAGGGCCCACCCCAGCACTCATTGAGGGGCGGCTGGACCACCAATGGCACCAGCCAAGGCCCCCCACTATAAAGTGTAGCAGTCGCAGTGTGGTTCGTTACAGTCCGGCCCAGCAGTACTATGACCGTTGCGCCGAAGCAGAAGAGCGAGTAACTGCAAGTCAAGACTTCGTCTACCACCGTAATCATCAACCAATTGCTCTCGGCTGCCGCCAACTGTCTCTTGGCAAATGCATCCAGGTTGTCCCCTGGACTCGGGTTATGCAAGAAACCATGCCACGCAGCCTCACCAAGGAGGCCGGCATCATGCACCAAAACCCAGGCAGGGTCGGCTGAATGGGTATCGACCTGTGAAACAACAAGTCGACGGGAGGGCATGGAACCAAGGACTATGTAGTTGTTCTCGTGGCTGGGGCGGTCAACAACACGGCCCAGCCAGCATGCTGCAAGGCTCCGTGATGTCGAGCACCTCCCGAGGTCGCCTCTCAGGTGCTGCTTGTTGGTCGCGGGCCACACGCCGGGCAGACTGGGGTTCTAGATCGTTCGCAAGGCTTCCACGGACATCACATCACACGCGGCAGAGCTGGGTAGCGGCAAGGATGCGGGGCTTCTCCACCAAGCCGCTGCTTCTGGTGAAGCCGTGGAGGATTCAACAGTGAAGAGAAAAGAGTGCTCGCCGCCGGTCAATGTCATTGTGTGAATAGAGTGATTTCAGACAGGTGCGAGCATCGGGCAGAGAGGCCGCGCTGTGGAATCCAAAAGAACGTGGAAGCTGCAAGTGACTGGCCGGCCGTGGCTGCCTTGGCCTGATGTCCCGCAGCCCTACCGCGAGGCACCGCACCCCAAGGCCTGAGTAGCTCACCCACAGGTACCAGCTCCGCTCTGCCATTTTGCGCCGCGCCCCCTCCCCCTCCCACGCACCGCAGCTCAATCCTGGGCCGCCGCCAATAACATCTCGCCTGCTGCTCTGCTCTGCCACTTCCACTCCTCTCGACATCATACCCTACTTAGTTTACACTACACGTCCTGTTTTTCTCCGCCTCATCTGCTCCTCAGATCCCAGAACTCGGACTGCAATTCGCTCCTGCCAACACAGACAACCACCTCCACACTTCACATCAATCGCCATGTCGCAGCTCACACCTGAAGGTATGCCTCCCACGACCAAGCTTCCGCATATGCCGGCCCCGCTTCCTGCTGTTTGCTCCATGCCCTGGTCATGAAGCTATTCTCGCTTTATCTCGCTTTCCATGCTGACGCACCCTGCTTTAGTCCTATGGGCCCAGCGCTCCTCCAGCGTTGACCCGGAGAAGAACTTCATCTACCTCACCATCTCCGTCCCCGATGTCCCCAAGGAGAGCCTCAAGCTCGACCTCAAGCCCACCACCTTGATCTTCAGCGGCTACTCAAACACCCTCAAGCGGGAATACTCCCTCAACCTCGAGTTCTACGCCGAGATCGACCCCGAAGCCTCCCAGGTCCACCACACTGCCAGAAATGTCGAGCTCAAGCTCCGCAAGAAGGAGCTCAAGGAGGAATACTGGCCTCGTCTCCTCAAGGAGGCTAAGAAGGTCCAGTTCCTCAAGACCGACTTCGACAAGTGGGTCGACGAGGACGAGCAGAACGAGGCCCCCGAGGATGACTTCTCCCAGTTTGGCGGTGCCGGTATGGGTGGCATGCCCGGAATGGGTACGTAGTGACGTTCCACTTATCTGCATCAGAGCTCGCATCAACCCGCCCACTGAGCAGATACGTTCGACTGTTAGATGTGCATCTGAGCTGACCAATTCACTACACGCAGGTGGCGGTGACTTCGGTGGTATCGACTTCTCCAAGCTCGGAGGCGCCGGTGGCCTGCCCGGCGGTCTCGGTGACGAGGAGGAGGAGGAAGACGAGGAGGATGATGACGACGACATGCCCGCCCTCGAGGGTGAGGAGGACTCCAAGGCCGCCGCCAAGCCTTCAGCATAAAAAGCTCGCCACCAAACCCGTCTGCCACATGTGACTGGGCACGAGCGTCCAGCTTGGACTACGAATAAAGCACGGGCAGTATTTCTGCGATGACCGACAGCTGCTGCGATGTGACAGACGGAGAGACGAAGAGATCTTCCACGACAATTACGTCATCCCGAAAAGGATATTGTGTTATTTGGAAGCCGGCGCAGCATTGGGGATACCGGGTTGTTCTGACGCAATTTACCCTTTTCTTTCTGTACTACACCAAATACCAGATGAGAATTTCCGCCGCGTCCTTGACAAGACGACTGATGACTCTAGTGCTTTCGATTTGGCTCTGTTCTTATGCTTCAAACTGACAGTAGCTACTTTCACCAAGAGAGGAACTCGGATTCAGCAATCTCCTAGACTCAAAGTCCGCAGCGGGTAGCCAAATTCTGCCAATAGCGAGAAATCAATCAGGTTGAGAATACCAATTCCGCAGCTGGGCGCATAAGGCGTCCATGGGACCAGATACGAATCGAAACTCGGCACGTTTTCAGCCCTAGTCAAACCCGGTTGCAACCGCTGAAATATGGATGCTTGTCTGCAGCTTTGTGTCGACAATGTTGAGCGCTTGGCTGTAGTATCGGCGGGTGATCTTCTATGGTCGGCCAGGTAGGTACTGAGATACGGCCAAAACATGCGACAAGACTTTGACTTGACCTCGTTCCGAGGGACCTCCGTGAAAGACACAAAGATGCGCAGCAGTGCAGAGAGTTGTGTGTTTGCATGTATGTGGATTCATCTCCCTTGAGGACATGTGGTTTGAACTCTGGGTGCAATTCAACACTTTTCCAAAGTTGACTCTTGCGCCAAAAATGTGTGCGACTTTTGGCTGTTACGCAACTGATGGTTGGTTCTAGTGAGATAGTGGGGAGAGGGTTCGGCCGAGAAGCCGAGCTTAACCTGAGTCACCGACTTGCCTTTTCGTAATTCGCCTATCAAAGATATTTCACAGACTATAAGACAGGCGGACAGCGACGAGTCAGTAGGTTGCGTTTTGGCGCTACCCAGGCTTGATGTTGTGGGCAACCTTGGACCAGGTCGCAATCCACAAGCTGGTTCGTTGCGCATAAAGGTGGAGAGTGCCGAGGCGTGAACTCCTGCTCGCGTGGTGCTTGATGTCACAGTGCGCCCGGCGGACTCTAGCTGTGAAGCTACTGATGTGAAAGTGTCAAAGAATGGTAGGGATGTCTCACAACAAAGGAGGCAAGATTCGCACGCGGTGGAGCAGCTAGGTCGCTTATAAAATATTCTATATGAAGGATGAACATGACTATCCAAGAAATAAATTGGGACGCATGTGGCTCAGGCCGTTTGATGGATGATTGATTCTCAAATCTCCGCGGAATCCCTTGCTAGCATCCCCGATCAAGTTCAGCAAACAAGGAGGCGCCTCTTCCCGTACACGTCTTGACCACTGAAGTAGCCAGGAAGGGCGTAGAAAACTCCATTGTAATGCGGAGCCAGGATGGACTAATGCCGACGTCGTGGACTTTCACTTATCCTCGGCACCTGTAGGTACACTAGATACATTGCTTCTCTTCAAGGTGAGAAAGAGGCACAAAGCCCCACAAGTAGGTGGTGGTTTGCTCTGCAAACTGCTGGTTCTCTCCGGGTGCTATGCCGTTTGTAATTCTGTGATCCCTAGTGCTGAGATACCAAGTTCAGGACACCACTTCCCCTTATTAGGCACCTCCTCTCGAGTGGCTGGAGAGATTCTGCGGACTGAGCCTTTCACCAAGGATCATGCGAGCCATCCAGGTGATTTATACAGCAAACGCATTGACACACAAAGCACAAAGAGAACATGCTCTGTTCACTTACAAAGTAACCCACAGCGAGAAGGAGCCTGCCCGGGGGGGGCGGGGGGGGCCTTGCGAGACTCGTGCAGATGGCGGAATGTCCTGAACTTTTCTTTTCCGCATACAAGACGGCATTTCCAAAGCGAGAAATATTCTGAAGCTTTGCTACACTTAAAGAACACCGGGAGATTCATGTTACCCGTTGACATCGTGGAGCTCGTTTAAATTTCCTTGCCGCTCCCCCGCTGTTCTCGAGTGATGCAGTCCTCCGCACGAGCACCAGCCATTTCAACGTCTTTGACCTGAATCGAAGGCATAATCTTAAGCATACGATTTGACCCGCTCGGATCATGGATCGATCATCAGGTACCACATTCCCGGATACTCGTCCTATTCCAGGGACTCGTTGTAGTATAAGCCATTCAAATACCGTAGCATGGTGAAACAGGTTTGACTCGAAGACAGGAACTCGTCTACTATACAGAGGAAGAGTTCTCCAGTGCGGTGCGGGCGGTGCGATGTGCGTCTTCCAAGTCCTTCAGACCAACGTCTCATAAGACATCTTGTAGCTGCAATCCACGCAGGCGCAGTGATAATGTGAGCAAACACCGTGGCCCCATGTGATACTGGTTGCCAGCCAGATCACGATACCTGAGGCTGCCATTGAGTCATTGGCGCACACAGATCGGGCTGGCTAAAGCACAGGGTCTCGAGCGAGTTCTTCATGCGGCACGTTGATAAAAAGCGTAAGGAGTCGTTGGACAGAACCCGCCCATGCCGGAATTTCCCTCTCCTCACATACCAACTACCTTTTTATAGCCTCGGCAGCTTTTGTTTCACTCCAGGTCTCAATGTACCCCCCATGAGTCGCGGAGGACATTGCCTTTTCACTGGTAGCTGGCATGCCCGATCTTTGATGTTCGGCTTAGCTCTCGCGGTGCAGGAGGAGGGCTTTCAGAAGCGGAAACTCTCGCTGTGCCTAGAATAACAGGTCGAGCACAACTTTTGAAAACTTCTGTTGCGAACTACGCACCATCACACACACACACCCGGAGAGAGAGAGTTTCCTGTCTGGTCCGGACATGGACTGACAACGCTAGACAAGTGCCAGTCTCTCGCGTGACAAAAGGCGCCGATGCTTGTGTTTGTCACTTGGGGGGCTAGAGTCCAGTTGGAACAATCCACGTTTTTGGCTGATATGAAGCTCTTCGCATCAGGGCTACTTGGTGTACCCTTTCCACGACATCGCTGGATCCAACCGGATCTCCCCCCTCTCCGCATCTTTTGTGTCATGATCAGCGAGGATCAGTGAGACATGGGCCGCGCACTTGCATCGCTGCGATCTGTACCTTCAAGACTACTGTACCGGAACGTCGCACGTGTGTGGCAGAAGATCTTAGTTTCCCATGGTCTGTGCTACCACAGAATCCTGCGTAGGCCCCTCCGGGAGAGAGAGGCGGGTTTACCACTTCGGGATGAATTGCACAAGGAGGCCTGGTCATCGCACAATCGAGAGCTCACTTGCCGCCGCCGCCGCCGCCCGTTCCCGGGTTCCCCGCGCGGAACAGGGTATGCAGGTACGAAGTTTGTGGGTGTGACGGAACAGCATGGACTATTGCTAGTCTCGATGCTATTTCACCCGGCGTCGTGGACACAGCCGGCGGAACATGGCTCAGGAAGGGCCTGCGGTGCTCCCTACAAGCACACGGTCAAGGGGTGTCTATTGTCAAGCAAAGACTGTTCCCATCACAGAGACCGAATCCAGGACCTGCACAAAGAATACCCGTTGATGCAGGAAGATGGGCAGAAGAGCAAACACGGAATGTGCATGATGTGACATGACAAAGTCCAATGGTAAGTGGGAAATCACAAAACTCAGCCTTGAGCGAAGGCACCTCTCTTGGGTTTCATCATGGCCCAGGGCGGCCGGACATGACAAGTCAGAATGGCGAAGCTTGGTAGGTAGGAGACATGTAACGGCGACAAAGACAGGGGCACCACATCGCAAGGACCCATCATCCCAAGATGATATTGACCAACCCCCCAAATATAACAAGGTTTGCCATAAAACTCCCGTCCGAAGCAGGAAGAAGATGCCCTTTTTCAGCTTCTCCGAGGTCTAGACCGCAAGCATGCTCCCATGGATGCGGTGACGGGATGTGACGGCCCGCCAATAGGACCAGACCCGGCCGTGATCTGCAGGGGTGCAAAGTAAGATGTGTCAAATAATAGCAGCACAGGCAACCTGCAGATCATCAGCCCGCTCACCACCATGGCTACCACCCGTGATCGGCACGGCTCTGGGATAAGCGATGTCGGCGTCGCACACCATCACCACCACCACGTTCTGTGGCGTCTGTGGCGCAAGTGACAGTCTCGCGGAAGCGATGTCTTGAAGTTCCGGTCAGATGTGACCGTGTTATACGAGGTCGGGGGCAGCCAATGATCACGATGGCGTGGAAGGGCAACGAGCTTTGTTGGGGCTTGTCGTTAATGCAGCGGGCCGTTCTGCCTGGAAATGTCATTCTCGCCGTGCACACTTGTGGAAAAATGTGCCTGCGTGAAAAAATGGTTGGAGTGCAAGCACAGCCAACAGCATTGATGAGAGGTGCTGAGCATCAACATGGGCTTCGTGATTGGCAATGCTGGCAACCAATGGTGCTGGGAGGCACTCGATTGCCCGTGCTGACGAATCACGGCTGAGAGGCCAGACCGCTGCCTCTGTCCGCAATGCGGTTTGGTCCAACAGGCATGGCTGCTCGTTGGGGTAATGGGCTCATATCCTGTGACTTGCTTGCTAACGATTATGCGCGGCTATCGAGTCCCACGAACAGGAAGCGTGCTAGCTGCTGTCTCGACTCTTAGACGCCGGTTTCCTGGAGTCACCAGGACCAACAGCTTTGGCACGGAAAGCATAGTGGCTGGCTCATGTCAGCCCCGGGTGCGAACGAGACTGACAACTGCGGGATGTGGAGAGAAAAGCGTGGCGACTGGTGGGAGCATGTCCGCCAGTGGGAGATCTTGTTGTATTCCTGGCGCGGTGATGCGCCATCGTTGACAGGCCACAACCGTAACCTAGGGGTGTAGGAAGGGCAACGTTGCCGGGGCATTTCGAGGCAATATCCGTGGAGGGAGTCACAGCGGCATGTTCCAGAGGGAGGCGGAATTGCCCGATGTAGAGGCGGGATCAAGCACCAATCGCGAGGCTCGTCGAGAATGTCAACAACATGACGCAAGCAAAAGATTTCAGGTTGCGGCGCATGCCGTCTTTGCAATCCCCTGACCGGGAAACGTCGAGGGCCGCGGAAAGCAGGTTGAGGCCCGTCTTGGTCAAGAGGAAGTCGCTACCAGCAGGGCAGCCAGAACGAGTCGTGTTTCACCCAGGGACAATGACGTAGTGCCACAATGTCATCGCCTGGGCAAGACACACGCAGCCACAGGCCTCCTAATCCTGCTTCGGGGAGGGCAAGCAGGCAGGCAGACAGACAGACCAGGCTGCCGTGTAGAAACAAGGCCTCGGCAAGAAATCAAGATGTCCTCGACAAACCCGCGGCCTGGCAGCCGAGATGAGGCATGTCCGTGTTTCTGGGGTTTCCGGCCAAGAACAAGACCACGGGACGATGCGGGCACTAAGCCCCCGCGGCGAGGATAACACGGGGGACCCATGGGGAATGGCGGCATGAAATTAACGACACCTCAGTCAGTCGGTGTATACGCGTGCCGGGGAGGGTGCGTATAGTGCCACCCTGATCGCCGCCATGATGCTGCACCGACCACGAGATTGTGTCTTCATGGCACATTCATCAAACAACATGGCGGGAGGTGGGACAATCTTGCGCCCACGCGCCTCGATGATCGAGCGCTGATGCGGAGCGCGTGTCACTGATCAGCCGCCAGCGCGAGCCAGCTGAGCTTCTCCAACTGCGCGGCAGGCAGCACCGGCACCGGCTCCGTGATCTGTCACCGCTTGCTAGGTAGTGTGCAACCCTTGGGCAGCAGCTGGATTTAATATGCCGTGCCCGAGTTGGAACTGCCGAGCTGAGTACCTAGTGCACTGACAAACACACACGCACACACACAGGGAACAAAGCATCGCCACATGCTAGGCACGTAGGCAGCCAGCCTCACGTATAGGACACGACATGGGGCCGTTGATGACGCCGACATGATTTGTGCTTCTTTGCCCCGGAGGTCGCAATGATTACTCGCCGCATCAGCACAACACGAACTCTCGCTCTTTGCACAGGCGCGCACAGAGCTGACATCATCGACGCCTCCCTCCTCGTGTCTGTGCAGAAGCCATCGCTCCGACAAAAGTCGAACGCTGCGCTCCCAACGAAGTCCCGGCTCGGCTACCGGTCCGACATGGTAGCTAGCTCGAGTACGAACCCACTGCCCCGGCTCCTCCCCCACAAACTCTGTTCTGTTCCAAAACAAGGACATTCAGCCGAAACCTAACTTGCTCGCACGCCGCCCATGATCCCTCGGCGCATCATCCATTACCCGTGCTACGCCGCCGGGCCGGTACTGCTCTCAGCCACGCAGTAGTTTGCGTCTATTAGACTTTGCCGGGCCACACACCCACCACCTTCTGTCTCTTTCGCCGTCCATTCTCCCGCCGGGGCGGGATGAGCTGCCAAACCGGGGCATTCCATGCGCGCGCAGGCAGCCAGGCAGGCAGCCCGACAACAAAACGTAATGACTCACTTACACATACCACAGGAGCATGCAATGCACACGTTACACCCTAAGGTCCATGCCTTGCACACGTTTCAGCCCGCCCACTAGGTTTGCATGTGCGCAGCGCGCAATACACTTCTCGGTCAGACAATATAGTAGTACAGCACCCTCTCCAGTGGGCACTTACACCATGTTTGCGCATTACGAACACACACATAGAGGCAAACCACGGCCTAATTATCTCGGTCCGAGGTTCCCATACACATACGCACACACACGCGCGCGCACGTGCACACACAATCTTTGCTGGACTCACTCGGGTAAACGTTCTCTCTCGCTCATTCTTTGTGCAATGCTTGGAGCCTTTTCCCACTTTGCTTTGGAGCTTGGGATGGAACCCCCAAATGGAACGTGATCAAAGGGTGCCCCCGTGCCTTACGCGTAGCATAGAAACGCTAGAAATACGCTATACGCATGGCTCCATCCCTCGTCCTCCACAGCATAACCCCACCAACCAGAATCGCGGGGGATGCGCTCAGAGAAACGTGACAAATATACTTAAAGTATATATGTGCGCGCGCGCGCGTATGTGTTGAGAGGTGTGTGTGTGTGTCTGTGTGTGTTTGTGTTTGTGTGTGTTTGTGCGCGTGTGATGTGTGTGTTGAACCGCTCACTGCCAGCCCTCCCTCCTGGTATCCGAGGCGCGCGTATTGCGAGCACGCGCGCATGTGTATGTGTGTGTGTGTGCCAAAGGATGCCTAGCGGTTTGGGACAACAAGGACATGGTCACTTAGGCAGCGGTGTAGCAGCAGCAATGAACAAGTGGTTGTTGAAGAGTCATTCTCACTCATCACCCAAGTGGCTGTTGGGTGCGCCGAGCGAATCAAAGTGTCCAGCGGCTCAGGAAGAGTCATGATTTGACAGCGCATCATACACGCGCACACAGCCAGAGTCACCAGTCACCAGTCACAGAAGCAAGGCGGCAGACCGAGGTTTGGGGTATTGTAATGTTTTGTAATGAGTATTGTGTCTATATAGGAGAAGCATGGGCCGTCGCAGAGGAGAGCCGCCCAGCTTGGAAAACTATCTACACCGCCGGTTGGGCAAGCAAGTATGCGCCAGCGCGACTTCGCGCCGGGCTGTGCCCGTTGTTGACAACACAGCCAATCGAGTGCCAGGTCGGGCAGCCATGGAGGGTGCTGAGATGGAGGGGTCAGAAGCTGGTGGTTGTTGTTGTTGTCGTGCCGAAAGCGCCCGACTCGCAGCCCACATGTTTGTCCCGAGGGCCCACTTTTCCAACCCTGCCTCCCCAAAGGCTCGGCACATGCCAGAGCCCACCGAGGCCAGTTCCGACTCTCGGGCAGTGCCCGGAGCCGGCAAAACACCCTCCAGGGAGCCCATCCCAAGTGATCGGCCCCTCCCATCCAGGTTTCTGGGTTTTCGTGCTCTACAGGGCCGATGACTCTGATGTCTGGCCCCGAGGCAACCCGCTCTACCATCCCATCCTCGTCGTCAACCAACGTCATCCATCGCTTCGTGTCCCAGTATAGCAGCCGGAGCAATGGCTCGACGGTCTGTGCCATACCAGGGCGAATGGTGACTAACCCTTGGCGCCGGTAAGATGTGTCCAGCACATGCCGAGGGGCGCTCAAATACCATTATGATTAATGTGTAGATCGCATGAGCGTGTGACGTTGCGCGTGGCCTGAAGAAGGCGTGGCGCGTGTTGTTGATGGGTATCATGGTGTAAGAAACAGGGGGTATCTGGGGTATCTTTTGCGATGCTGTGCGATGCGATGCCAAATGTGAAATGATCTGCTGCGTGTTAGTTTGTTGTCCATGTGTCGCAAACATTCTCGACGAGGCAAGACGTACAAATGAAGGTATTAATGGTGTCTAATGTGCGAAAGGCGCTCAGCACTTGGAGCTGGAGCGAGTGGTCTTGCAGTAAGAAGGACCGCGCTTGGCAGCCTTGCGGGCCTGCTTGCGACGCTCCTTCTCGGCGATGATGAACTGGAGGGCCTCTTGCTGCATGACCGCCTGTTGTTGGCGACGGAGGAGAAGCATCTGCTCCTCGGTGACAAAGGGCGAAGTCTCCTGAGGGCTGGTCGCAGGGCTGAACTCGGTGGTGCTGCTGGTCTCCTCGATGACGGACTCGCAAGGGAAGAGGTCGTCGTCAGAGAGGTAGGAAGAGGCGCGCTCCTGAGGCCACGAGGGAAAGGCGCAGCTGGGCGTGAAAGAGTTGGTCCGGGACAGGTAGCTGGTGGGAGCGATGTCCAGGGCTTGAGAGCTGGAGCTCATCGAGCTGTAGGATCCGTATGAGCCAAACATTGTGAATGGGTGTGTGTGTGGAAGTCGAAGTCTCGTAGTTGGCAACAAGCGCGTGGCTGTTGTTGAGAGGACTGATAGATCAGTGCTAGTCGACGTGAAGCTGATGTGGATCGTTGTGTCTTGGTGTCGGGGAGGAAGGGACCTGGGGATGAAGCCGGGCGGCAGGACTGTGTTCATATATTTGAGCGTGATGCTGGACTACCGAGCGGATGGCGGCGCAGGGGCGTGCAACACGCGTGGAAGCAAAGGGGGCCATGGTTGTGGAGGGGGGGGCGTGTGGTGGCAGCGGGAGCACGCCCCCTCCACAACTTCATCAACGTCCTCCCTCGCACCCCACCCCCCTGGCTCCCTTGCTCCGGCCAGCTCCTTCCCTCACAGGCAGCTCCTCTCTGCCACTCCCCCCCGTGGGAAGACTCCCGAGTCCCCCACGCCACTGACCGCCAGCCAGCACCTCGAGGGATTGCTCAGGTTGCACTAGTCAGCCAGACCGCCTCGACGACCGTCCCTTGGGATCAGAGTCAGCAGCTGCGATTCCCTGGCCCTGTGCCTCCAATCGCTACCGCCACGAGCCCTCCATCTCGGCAGGTCACCGACTCTCTCTGCGCGCCAGGGCCCTTCTGTGTGCCTCACAGCGCTACACCGACCTTTACGACCTCGCGAAACAACAGCCGCCCCTTTGGCTGTCCTTTTTCCACGGGCCTGCCCGCCTTGACTCGAGAACATGGCCCATGCAGTCCGTGCTTGTCACTTTTCCAAGGGGCCGGCATGGCGTCCCAGCTTCCCCGACCAGACGAAAAAGCACTGGCCATGGGGGGCCAGGCGGCGCGGAAGCGCGTCCGGAATGAGTTGAATCCAGAGCGCTGGTCCTGCCACGGCACGGCCTGGCTGCCCCGCAAGCCAGGAGTCGAGAAGCAACGAGCGCTGGGTTCGTGGAAACAGAGGCCCCAGCGCGTACCCATGAGTTGGGCAAAAAGCGGCCGCGGTACTTCCGTGTCAAATGTTACCAGTCCTTTCTACCGACAACCTCGACCGACGGCTCCCTCTTCCTTTGTCCCGGATCTCCCACTACGCCCAGAGTGGCAATGGTTACCTCAATCGCCGGCTCGTGGCCGCACAGAGCCTCGGGCAGTCCCCGAAGGGGCTCGAGTCAAGCCCTGCCTGCCTGCTTTTGCACGCATTGTCATTGGAGTTTATGCCCTGGCACACACACACACATACACTTACAGTCAGTGCTACGTATTACTACTGCCCGTGATGACTCGGTCCTGCTCTGCCACGCTAAGCTGACCACGATATTATATCATTGCGCGTGGTCCCGGCTTCGCTGCCCGCCCTGCCTTAGAATAACTTTCGTTTCCGCTTTCAGCTTTTCCGTCTCTAATCGAGGCAACGTTCGGAAATGGCCCCTGACAGGTGGGCGGCCAAACGAGGTAGGCCGTTGCCCAGAATCCTGCTGGGGAACGCGAGGCTGGCTGTGCACACCGGCGGTGGGTATGATGAAATGGGCCGCCGGACATTCATGCTTGCACGCGTTGTGCCAGGCCCACGGCGCGGGAGGTGTGCTCCTCCGTAATAAGCAGGCCGTTCACCCGCGCGACATGAAAACTTTAGGTTTGATTGCTTCCATGCAATTTACCAGACTCATGGGATGCCTGCTCGCTTGCTCCCGCCCGTTTGGCCCGCTTTGGGCATTTGCTTGCTTGCTTCGGTTTGCTTTCCTTTACTTGCCCAATCCTTCCCTGCCCCCTCGTTATTTTAACTTCTGAGCGTTCCGCCCGGTTACCCGTCGTGCCCGTGCGTGCCCTGTCACTTACTCCGTCGTCAACCCGTTGGCATGGTAAATGAGCTCCTCCACCCCCAAACCTGGTGCCGCTTTGGCTCCTGACTCTCGTCCTTGCACGGGAATCCCGCGATCCCTGGCTAGGCTGCCCATGACGACTTTGGCGCGCAAGAAAGCAGGGCCTCTGAGGAAAAAGCGCCGACTTCAAAAGATTAGGACCAAGCCTCCTCCCCCCCTCCTCCCCCGGTACTTCGTGTGATATCTAGGGGGTGATGAAGCACACGGGGAATCACCGTTCCGCGCCCGCAGCCACGCGTGTGGCCCGCGGGGGACGCACCCGGGCGGGAGCATCGACGGTGCCCCACATCCCACTGGCGCCGCCTCAGAAAAAGCATCCCGGCCTGTTCCCCGGGAATATATCATTACTGTACTTGCTTTTTCGCTTCCTACGGGACTTGCCAGCTTTTTTTTTTTTTTTTTTTTTCCCTTTCTTTCTTTCAGGTGCATCATAGTGAGGAAAAAGTCGAGCTGTGGCTTGTCCATTGATCACTTCTCAGGTGTTTTGCCGGGTCGCAATGGTGAAAGGACAGGGCCCACGCGTACATGGTTGCGCGATACCCACGAAAGAGGTTCGATTGTTCCGTCTCGCTGTGACGCTGGCTGGCTGGCTGGGCCGGCCAGCTGAAACACGATGACGATAATGACGGTAGTAAGTGTGGTGGTGGTCATGGTGCGCCAGCAAGCAAAGGAAATCTTAATCTGAGTCACCATCCTCATCCTCATCAGCGTCGGCATCGGCATCAAACACGTCAGCGGCATCTCGGGCAGCCACAAACTGCCTTGTCCCTTGTGCACACGCCCCCAAAAAACCCTCTCTAAAATTATCCAATTGTGTAGCCCATCTCATCTGTATGCGTGGCTTACACCGCATCTGCTGTGCTGTCACTGTCTATTTGGGGGCCCGGTTTTGTTTCGAGGCGGTATGGTATGTGCTGCACTGCAGCTGTGCCGACCCCAGCCCTACTATCTCGGCGGAGGGGGGACGATTTTAGAGTTGTAAATCGGTTCCCAGGTCTTTCTTGGTTCTGTGCTTCCCGGCCCATTCCTGGTCCTGTTGTTTTTACTCTGCTGTTCGTCCGGACCCCGGTCTGGCTCCAAACAGGCGGGAGCGCGGGTACCCACACCCGGTCCGTCACCGCCTCTGGCTTTCTGGTCATATATGGGAGGTGCGCCTGGGATCGTGCATATGCGTGGCTTGCAGGAGGCGCCTGCTGCCACGATGTGTCAAAACAAGAGAGAGAGAGAGAGAGAGGCAGATGGTACAGCAGCAAAGGTGGGAGGGGTGTGTGATGCCACGTCTCGCCTCGTTTTTATTTTGTCTTTCGGTGTTTGGAGGGGTCAATGGTCCTGGTTGGAGGGGAAATGAGCGGTCGCCAGCTGAGGTTGCAGCAACTCATCGCCGTCGTTGCTTGTTTCGTTTTTGGGAGGGGCAGTGTTTCGTATTCTCCCGCCCGAGAAAAGTTGTTTTGTGGTACAGATCATTTATCACGAAGGCCAAAGTTTGTTTACTGGATGTCACGGTTGCAGCGCTGCGTAAGTGTGGTTGCGCTGAGTAAGTGAAATGGCGTGTATTGTTGTTTTTTTCGCCCGCTATCACGCCGTGTCCCGGAGGCAAGAACTCTCGAATATGCTCTCGCTGGCACAGCAGCATCAATAGAGCAGACACAACATGCAACAGTCCCATCATCATCATCAACAGTGATTGAGACGCTGGCCGTTGTTTGTTTTCCTGTTTCCAGACCGGAACCTCTCTCCCACTGACCGCAAGTCCAGAAATGTAACACGCACCACACCACCTTCCATGCAGCCGACGGAGCAACAAGTCGACGCCCGCTGCAACCATGACGCACACACCCAGCCCGCAGGGCAGGGCAGGGCAGGCCTCAGCTTTGCATCGGCAAGCCCACTGCACACCCACTCACCCAACATGCGCGCACACCCACACACACGCACAACACAAATACACTCTCTCACACACGCGGCACTCAGCTGTCAAATGCAGCCCAGCGGCGCCTCGTTTGTTGTTGCATGCTGCAGTCACAGGCGGTGTTCGTTGACCGCCTTGCCCAGAGGCTCCAAACGCAGCATCGTTGTTACCATTGCAAACGCCTTGAACCTATCAGAACTTTGCCAGAAACTTGAGACCACGCGCGTACAGCGCAAGGGCTACCTAGGTAGATGGGGATGGTGATGCACTGAGCAAGCAAACGAGTCAAACAAGCTGATTAGCCGTTCCCTTCAAGATCTGGTCTGGCGGTGTCGGACCTTTGCATGCGGTTGCACTTCTTCTTCGCTGCTGTGTCATTCTCATGAGGGTGCGATGCGGCCTACAACTTGACTGCTGCCCAACCATGGATGGTTTGTGGGGATCCTGTGGGCCGAAACCTCACTCACGGTTCTGGGAGTGCGTTTACCCAAGCACCTGAGATGGTGGTGGTCCTTCCCCGCCGCCCATGCTCGCTGGCGCTTGCGCTAGAAGGGGAGGGGGCTCAGAAAAAGAATACCGCCGACAGCAGAAACCGGCCCTTCTTCACCCCCGCACAGGCCTAGCCACTAGAAGTAAACCCGCCCGTGGTATTTTCTAGTCTCGCCGAGCGAAGGTTACCTTAATTACCTAAGGGATGTAGGAAAGCTCGAGATGTGGGGACGAAAAGATGGGACACTTTTCATCAAGTCTGAGTTGGGGCTTTTTTCCTCTCTGGCTGGCCCGTCGGGGCAAAAAGGCGAGGCGTGGGTGTAAATCGCCTCTGCTGTGCCTTTGACGATGATAAGACCCGTAGGGCAGACGTGGACCGGACTGGGCTAGACCCGGACCGACAAGGGCGTAGTAGACGGGAGCTGCGTATTATCCGCCGCCGCCGACGACCACCAAGCGAGATGTTGCATCCAGTAAGTACGGTCCACTGCTAAGGCGGGCAGCGGCGGATAACCGACGTCCAGGCTTTAACTAAGCGAGGGTGTGTGTTCCTCCATTCTGGAATAATGCCGAACAAAGAAAGTCCCCTCCTCCTGCTTTGCCCGTGGACCTTTTGCCGAACCCCCACTAATGAGAAGAGCGTACGCGTGGGTGCAAAGTCCCTGATCAAACTTAGCATCCGGCATTATTTTGCGCCGTGGGATTCTCGGGGGTTAATGTAGTGGTGGTGATGGGTGTTTGTTTTCCGTGGGATTTTGGGGGTCAGCCACCAATATGTGCCACGAGATATCATCCAACAGGAATATCACGACGATCCTATGGTCGGCCAGCCCTTCCCCACGCATGAAACGGATACACCGAGGGGAAGGGGAGGTTTGCCCACAATGCGACTTATTTCCTCGTCTATACCCAGATCCAGCCGGGTCGTTTACCATTTGTTTCAGGGACCCAAACCAAACAAAAACAAAAGCATACGTACTTCAAGATAGCAAGCAATGCAGCCGATACGACAACGTCCCCCAAATCTGGCCCTGCCTTTGGGAAGAGCGGGGGTCGCGCAATCCATGGATGCTGGCTGCGCCTACAAACGAGACGCGAGCCTAGGCCAGCCCAGCCCGCCGTTTGGGGCCCCCACCCTGGACAGTGATGGGCATATTCCACGTTCCCGCAGGAGCACAAGGACGACGCGCGCGCATCTCAACGTTGCAGCAGCACGTGTGCGCATTCATTGGATGCACGCCCCCCAAGCGACGATCCCTTTGCAAGCAAGTGAGCTTACGTTTGCTGGATCTGGAGCGTCCCGTTGGGGGCAAGGCCATGATTCCGCCCTGCTCAGCTATTATTAGTGTGCGTGTGCGCGTGGAGGTATTAGATGCAACAATATTGCCAGATGGACGGTCACAACAGACAGATACTGGACTACAGCACAAGACCCAGCACCAGGACGAGAGAGTTCCTTGCGGAACAGGCCGCCTCGGCTCCAATGTCGTTGCTGGTGTGGCGTTGCACAAGGCGGGCGGGTGAGACGGGCATGTCAGCAGCATCCAGACAAGATGATCTGCATACCCGCATGTCTGAGACCCCTTCGATCCAGCGCGATGCCGTGCGGGCGCCCCATCATCGACCACACTTAATCTGGTCCAACATCTAAGACGTTGGCGCCCGCCGTCCCAGTATGTGTGAATCTGTCTCACGGCTTCTCCTTCCAGTGCATACATGCATGCATGCATGCATGCATGTGTCTAAGCAATGGCACTTGTCAAATCGCACCAAGTCAGACAAGATGGCTTTCAGAGAATGAGGAGAAACGAGACGCAGAGAGCGAGAGAGAGACACGAGACGCTCGCCACTCGCGTATAAATCCATCCAACCGTCTCATGGCGCCACTTTGGGATGCCTCGTTCGTCTTTGCCGTTTGACTTGCATTGGCACGCACGGCAGACATCCCGCGGGGCGCTGAGTCACGTTGGTCGGTTCGACATGCTAAATTCTTTGTCTCGTCGCTTTCTTTTTTCTTTTTTTTTTTTTTTTTTTTGCCCATGGCTCTTTTGCATGTCTTGAAGATGAGAGTCTCTGATACTTGCGGGGTCATTATGGGCAGTTGTGCGTTGTCGCGTATACAACCCAGGCATAACAATATCAACAATAACAATAACAACAACTGCAACCACGTTGATAACTGCTCAGCAACGCACGGGTTCGCCAAGCCCCCTGTCAGACGTCCCAAGAAAACCTCGCCCCAAAAAGGCACGCACGTGGGAAAGAGAAAGCTCGGCCTGACAGCTTTCAAAAGCCCATCCTCCCCTGCCTTCCCGCGTCTCCCATCCGGAAGGTGTTGTGTGTTTCCTCCCTGTCACGCTTTCCTGTCCGGTGCGACCACCAATAATTTCATTTTCTTTATTTTAACCTTTTCATCTAGACTGACTCCCCGTGGCCCGGGTGTTCACCGCCGTCGTATAAAAGTGAAAAAAGCGCATCAATCACAAGTGCACGCGCCGGCGTGTCTGGTTCATGCGCGCCCACGGAAAACACGCCCAAGCATTAAACGTTACTTTTACTCCACGAACTCTCTCCAGACAGATCCCTCTTCCGTTGGGTCCCCCCGTCGGAATAACTGTGTCCGCGAATCACGGGTAATGCATTGAATTTAGCCGTGGCTGAGCCTGGAGCATTTACCATGTAATCTTATCGGTGCTTGCTTTGAAACCCCCGGCCCTCCTTCCCCGAGCTCCCCCATCCAGGCGCGCTAGCAATAACCCGGCCAACACCGGCCCTGCTCGCCGAGCGCACCTTCGGCGGCGCTCCCCCGGGAATTTGACACGCTTCTGGAAGCTGCCTCTGGGAAATTGCGCTTGACAGGCGCGCCGGCGCACCCCCCCCCTTCACTTACCCTTCTTCACGGGTAGAGCGCAACCATCGCCTGCCATTATGAGCGTTCTCTCGGTGTGCGGGCATCTGGATGCCGGCGGTCTACGGCCGGCTGTTTTTGCCCAGTCGCTTCCGAGCCTGGAAGTCGTTGTCTGGGGTAGCAGATGCTCTTCGGGATTGGTCCCGGTGCAAGGAGACTGACTGACTGCCCATTGCGACCATGCCGAAACAGGGATTTAGTTTCGTCTCAACCTGAAGTCTGGTCGGGCGTGGTAATTAGGCCTGGGTAGGCGCGCCCCAGGTCTTTCATCTCAAGTCTCACGTCTCATTTGTTCAGCGAGCGGGCCGTGTTAGACCGGACGAACGCCGCCTTGAGGCAGGAAACGTCTCAGGACGAAGTGCCGACTCGAGCCATTGAACTGCACCAACGATGCCGTCCAACGACCTCGAGTCAGACACCACCCAGTGAGATGCGAACCCCACAAACGGGGAACCTCACCCGACTGACTGGCGAGGCACAAGTCGCACTCCTGTGTTGGAAGCGGCGCCGCCACACCCCCTTGGCGGGTGCCCTTGCGGCGAGGTCCCCGGTCTCAGGGTATTGGCGCTATGCGCAGCCATACGATCCCCCTGAGTCCCGTCCCATGCCCCGGAACGCTCTCCCCGCCAGCCACGGGGAGCTCTTTCCATTTAACCAGTGCGATAGGCGAGGCAAGGGGAGCATGCCCTGACAGATGGATAGGGACGGGACGCCTTGCTTCTGGAAGGAAGAGGGTTGCCCATGCTCGAGCCGACGCGAGCGCTCAGGGCACGGAAGCAGAACCGGTGGGCGACGGCCGTCAAGGGGCTGGCAAGCCATTGTTGGATATAACCATCAGTAACCCCGGCCGCGCAGATATCCCCTGGGCCTCGATCTTTACGCCATCGGCCTCAGCAGGGGCCCCGACAAAGCTCCCGTATCACTGATAACAGACGCGTGGTCGACTTGACTCTGGGGCACCCTTGACGAGCTGCTCTTCTCGGGCAGTGTTCCCGGTGGCCGTGTGAAGAAGCGCAAGATCGGTACCAGCGGAGGCTACGAGCCGCATGCAGCAAGGGCTCACAGCTGTCACATTCACGTGCAAGTCGACAACTAGACGTGTCCCCTCAGTGTCACTTCCGTGCAAAACGTGGCCGGAGGATTGACATGTCCTTTCTGACCATGTCGAACATGGCCTGGATTGCGAGTCTGTCCTTCCCCAAGCAGCCCTTTTGATGGAACCAGGAGCGGGCAGTTCTGTCCCGCCGAGCTGGTGCCGTTCACGTGCGTCCACAAGAGGCCCGAATGTGGTGGGAATAGCGTGCGGCCATGGACGCTCGGCGGGCAGAGCAGTTGCCGCCGCCGCCGCCGCCTTGTGAATCATCACAATGGCAATTCTGCCCGGTTTGGCGGCGCCTAGGCTTTGCCAGAGACAGGTGTGAGGATAATGAATGCAGGGCAGCCGGCAAGGGAGGACGAGGCGATGTGGATCGTCGGTTGTAGTGCTGCGTGTCTCTGTGCGTGTCGGCGTCTGGATCCCTTGGTCACGCCGCAGGCTGGTGAGACACGGCATCTATCTTGCCTGGCGAGTGCTCTGGCTGGGCCGCTGCGAGTTGCCGATCGCGAAAGCGGCATCTGGACGCAGAATTCCCATTGGGCGCTCTGGGCAATCTAGACGGGACCACATGGCGCAGATGCGGGGGAAGCGGTGCTGCGAGAAGGGTCTGGACAGGTGAGTGGTGAGGTGAGCGGAGGAGGACCAGACCAGACTGGGGTGGGGGCTGCATCCTCGGCTCGGCCCAGGTCGGCCCTGCCTGTCGAGCCTGTGTCTCTGAGAGCTGCAGGGACCTGCGAGCCCCACACGGCCGCTGAGCCACACCTGCGTGCACGCCTTCGACACGCACGCCTTCCGAGGTCGTGCCGGCCATTAGCTGGTGCGCCACAGACACTGAATGCGCCGCCACTCGAGCAGCCCCACTGCGGCGGAGACATCCCCGGCCGGCATTTGATATGCTGATTCCGATTCCACCCGTCCACGTCTCACGGCCGCACTCCGGCAGGCATCTTTGGCGCCGGCGCAGCGCTACCAGAAAGTGGGCAAGCACATACTATGAAGGTAGGCGAGGCGGCGGGATTTGCCCTTGTCGGCCATGCAAGGCCAGATCATTTGCTCGGGCTTACGCAGTAGTTGGGCTGACAACAGGGACAAGTTAGCCGTCGGCTGTTTGTAGGCTGCACATAAAGTCACAGCGACAAGCGAGCTTCATATACCAAGGGCAACACAGGAACCTGGACGAGGGCAGTCAACACACCGGTATTCCTCGTCGTCACGAAATGCGGAGGCTTGGCGAATGTCCCCACGGCAGCAGCTCTTGAAGACCCTTCATGCAGGTGCAGCATCTGCCGCCTCCAGGTAATCAACGTCCATAGACACGGAGCTCCGCATCATATCCGGTCGGAAACGCCCCGATCTCCACCTCGACCCGAAGTGCTCGGAAGCTCAGAGGCTGGCCATTGGCCTCACGTGGCTAGCGTACACTCTGCAGCCACAAGCCTGCTTGGCCGACGACTCGTGTCCAGCAGCGGATGTTGACGTCCAGTGTGTGTGAGAACCGTGACCCGACTTATCGGACAAACCCCGGCGCCTTCGACTGCACTGACTCGCCTCACTCCTTCCCGTCAGATCCCCACGCCAAAGTGGCTGGAAAACGCTGCCTTCCGAGCCTCTGCCACCTACGGATGGTGGGAGAGCTCTCTTCCGTACACCATCCCCAGCCATCTTGTACTTGCCTCTTGTGGTCAAGCTCGCGCTACTGGTCACCAGAGTCCTGTCTGCTCTCAAGTCTTCCAGCACACCCTTATGTCTCCCGCGATGACGATCCGCACCAAGACGACGTGAGAACCTTCTAGCGCCAATAGTTCGACCTTCTAGAGCAAACTCTGATTTTCGCCTCCTGACTCCTGCAGCATGGCCTCTGCACCAGTGGCTGCTGCTTCATTCACCCTTCACAGCATGGCACTGACAGCAGGCCTAAAAAAGGGACTGCATTAGTGCCTGCCCGCGCGGCGCAAGAGAAGGCCCGAGCAGCCTTGACCTGTATGCTTCTTCCACACACCTTCTACCGCACGCGATGGAAGGAACTCGGCACTTTCTCGCTTGCTGTGGCTCGAGTCAAGACGTCGAGACGGCGCCTGCAGAGAAGCACGGCAGAAGCCACACACACGTGCACGTTTCATGCTTCTGCATATGCATGCAGCAGCAGCAATCATGTTGTCATGAGCCCCAAGCGCGGGAAAAAGGGGGGCCGGGTTTTCAGGATGTGAATGTGGCAATGTGCATGCCGCCGGCCTTTCTGATGACATGCGGATAGAGGTGTTTGTGTAGTCAAGAGGGATGACGGCTTCTTACCGACCACAAATTCTGTGACCTCAGGCTGTTTCGAAAGCTTGGGCTGGTGAGTCGGAGGGAGGGAGGGAGAGAACATGAAACTGCACAGCCATGAGTCGGCGTGGTAATGTCATGTCGTCTGCTCGGTTAGTTTCGAACCTCTGCTGCAAGTCGCGTAGCATTGCCGTTCTCTGTACCAGGGACTCCGGGCTGTTTCCGGAGCCGACCAGGACCCGCGGAAGATATCACGTGTGAATGTGGATGAGAAGCCGATCTGGTTTGGTGATTGAGTTGCTTCTCAAAATTTCACGACTGCAGTCGGTTGCCGTAGTTAGATGGGAATCGGGAACGAGCATGTGGCGGTCCAGGCACTATGCCACTGATTCATCACTAGACGGAGTTTAATAAATGACTCCCGGGACCGATGGATCATGGATAGATGAGAGTAAATGCCGAGAATATATCTTCCTGTTTACAGTGAGTGGTTCCCTGCCAAGCAAACTCTCGAGCAATCGGGGATGAAGCACAACTTCCCACGTGCTCGTGGCCAATATCTAATGAGAAAGCTCACGGTGTGAGTGTGCTATTTGTGTTTTCGAGTATCATTGCCGGCCAGGAACGTTGGTGCGGTTGTGCACATCATATCTGTGGAATTCATAGGATGACGGGCTTACTGCACGAACAAGCGATATCGAAAACCGGACTGTGTACGTTTGGCTTTCATGCCGCCAAGACCTGTCACCAGCTGCAATGCGACATGGTAACTCTTCGATGGAATAAAAGGCTTGGCCTTACCGGGTTTAAATCTACCCGTCTGCTGCAAGGTGGTGGTTTGAAAAGACTCAGTGGTGGTTTTATACCACTTGTAGACGCTATTGGTTTTTGAAGTAGGCAATCTGGGATACTCTGGAGACTTGAGATCCGATGGGTGGTGATCAGCCCAGAGAGGCCGTGTTTAATTCAACCCTTGTTGTCCGTCGTTGTTTTTGTTTGATTCGCTTGCTCCTGGAGAGGGCGATGTGTGAGTCAGGATGTCTGGGCATGATCTTTCCATACAAGGTGCTTTCGGTAGGGATTGCATGAATGACCGAACAAATGTCAAGATTTGTCGTTGTGGAAGTGCCGTGCTGGAACACTCCGACACGGTCTGGGTAAGCAATACGACGAAATCCAAGCTGGTCCCGAACTTGAAGAGCGTTCTGAAGTGGCCGAAGCAAGCCTCCCGAGACAGGCGAGATCGCGAGCTGGTATAGCAGATAGCAAACACAGAGTGGACTGTGGGCAGGGTCAAGGTGATGATAATGACGGTGGATCAATAGTTGACAAAATGCTCACAGGAAATGACGGCAATAGTCCCAGTACAATTTCTGTATGGAGCTGGGACGGAATTTGTTATCTCCAGTCAGAATAGCCAAAAACAATGACAATGCTTCTTAGCTCCAGAAGTGTACTGTGCTAGACTTGCAAAGCATGGCATATTGTCACAGATGATCGCAAAGCATCGAGAGTATAGCTCAACGCTATTGACACTGGAGGCTGCAGAAATATTAATACTTAAATTCCGCGGCTTATGCGACGTTAGTCGATGTATACCAAAAATATGGCAGAGAAGAGAGACCTTGCTCGAGGGTTTCTTTCAGCAACGAGAGGGCTCTTACACTGGGGACGACTATGGGGTCATATGCACCTTGATCTCAGCCTCTCCAGCAATTCGGCATCCGCCTACAATAACCAGAACCTCCGGGTGGTGGCAAGACAATAGACAATATCTTAGTTCCGGCTATACGACATATTGCGCCAACTTGATCTGAATTTGGCTACATTGAGAAAGGACGCATAGCGTCAGCCTCCATCTAATGCTTGAAGTATAGAAGCAACTCTATAAGGTCACGTCAATCTATGTTTCAACGTGTGTCATAGCATTGTCTCTGATTTGGCCGCATGCCATGACGGGCAATAGCCTTCGCACAGCTTCGCCCTCCAGCTTCTTCCACTCTTTGAGCAGCTGCGCCCAGGTACAGATTTTCAAAAGAAAACCGAGGGACGGCATCTCATCTTAAAGCCAAAGGGAGCTTTTGGACTCGGGAATTCCGAGTGCAACACAAGCAACCTTTGGAATGATTCGGTCGAAATCCAGGCTTCTCTATGCAGTGATTGCTAGGATCTATGCTGCTAAAACTCCAGCGATAAAGATACCGTGGCTCTTTCGACGGCAGAATGACTACGATACCAAATCGTCTTTCATGACCGGAAGGACGCATCATTGTTGTGAAGACTTCCCACTGGCGAACCGGGCTGGGGAATGAGTCTTGCATGATACGACGCCGTGACTTCAGAAGACCTGACCTCAAGAACAGTTCAAGAACCACGCTCCCAGTCGTTTCGATTTCATGTTCCCGCTGGGTGTATGAATTGCTGTGAAAGGACCACGAGATTGTCTCACGTCTCGCGGTTTTGTACGGTGTGGGCTCGAGTAGGCAGCAAAGTCCAATGCAGCCGTGCTTGAACTGAAATACCGTAAACCACCATAAAATTTGAAGGATTCGACGAGAACAGGTAAGGGGTCTAATGACAACAGCTTTGTTTGGGCACAAGTTCCGGTGCTATCAGGGGCACTACCATTGTAGCATATTTTGTCCGATTGACGGTGTGGTTTTGGTGATGCTGAGAACTTATGTCCAACAGGAGCAACATGAGACTAGGGATCATCATAGCGGCCGTCATCTGGAGCTTTAGACATCCCCAAGAGCGCAAACTTAATAACTCATGAAGTCCCCTTACTTTTGTGTCCTCGCGGTCTTGAGTATGGTCCAGCAAGCAAGTATTTTGTTTTCTCCTCGTAAGGAGCTCAAATCGGATCTTGGGATACCGGCCTGAAAACTCAAGCGCAAGTCAACATATATCCTGCCCTTGATGCGCGTGACTCCAAACCAGAGAAGGATCCCCGATATAACATTGAGCCGGGCAGTTTCATGCTGCTGAAACCGAGCGCTGGAGAGAAGTACACCATCGGCGTTCTTCAATACATTTCAGCAGTGAGCATGGCAGGCAAGACATACAAAGTCCATCCCTTCAGGAAGATGCCCATGAAACACTACGAGCACAGCGAAGTTTAATATGTACTCAGCATCTCGCAAAAGTGCCACGAAGCATGATGACTTTTTCAGAACTTGAGCCTCGATCTGATCATGCCACATCCTCGAGATCCTGGGACAAGCCCCATGGCGAATCTAACTTACACAGCAGACCTCTGGCCAAGAGCGATTCCAGAGGCGGTCAACGGAGAAGCTCAAATTGCAGCAAAAGTCAGCTTATCATTCTCGAAATTCGTCATGGCCAAAAAGAAAAGAAACCAGTCGCGCCATCGGGCGGGACTGTTAGGCCAATTTTCTCGGCACCGAGCTGTCAAACTGTGGACTCGGCTCCCCAAACCTCATCACATTGAACTCATCTTCGGGCCGTGACAATGGCACTTTACGCAGGGCAAACTTACGCGCGTGCCTCACTTCATCCCCTAAGAAGGCCCCTTGAATGTCAAGCCGAACATGGCCAATGAGAGGAAAACGACATATTCGCCAAGATGATATCTTCTCCTCTTCACGTTCCTCTGCTTGCCATAGGTTGCCAGGCGAGATAGTTCCGCCACACACACACACACACACACTACACACACCCTCTCGTCTCGAATCTTTTCTGTCACGTCGGATCACGGTGCCGGCGGCTGGCACGTCAATAGCGACATCTTAGCTCCGTCCAAATAAGCATTGGACCCTGCTTGATGTGATTGCGAGACCGGATGGAGATGCGTATATAAGAGTGAGCCACAATGTAACCCTACAAGAGAGAGAGCGAGCGAGAGAGAGAGGAAGAGAGATGGCAAGGGGTCTCATTCAGGGGTGCGCCTTTTGCGAGATTGCAGACCTCCCTTTTCCGGTAAAAAAGTGAACGATGGACTCAATGCTAGTATCTCTCGTGGTGAGGCAGAGATGCGATTCGTCGCACCGGCGTGACAGTGCAGCGCATGATGTGACATCTTGCGAGACAGCAGCAAGCTTCGGGGACGCCGGACTGATTCGTCCATGGGTCAAAAGTAGTGAACCCCATCACCAGTCAAGACTGAGAGCTGACCATGTCAACAAGGATAAGATAGCACAGACGCACTGGCCTGGGAAAGCACACAATCACACACACTTACACAGTTACATGCACGCACGGCACCTGAAGAATCCTTGCCGCGACGGGTGTGCGTGCTCTTTGACAGCCACCATTTCCCCCCGGGCTTCCCCACCCCATACTACGTACAGACAGAGAGGACCAGCACCCCTGCTATACGGAAGCGGAAATGGGTGTTGTGCGGTGCCATTATCCCACCCAGCCACGGACGATGCCTTGTAAGCCACTTGTGCCAAGGAGAGACCCGACGGCCTGCAAGTAATTGTACATACCAATCGAGACGAGCCAGCCCGGCTCATATCACGAGGAGGAGTGGCTCCGTTTCAAAATCCCCTTGCAGGCCACGAGGGAGCGATTCTGCAGTCATAATGCAAGCTGTCGTTTGCGCCGGTCAGACCCAGATCAAGCTTGAACCACAGCTGGCTGCGATCGGGGTTTCGAAGCTGTCAAGATTGGGCAGGGAGGAGGAGGGGAGACCCGTGCGCGATGGGGGGAACCCTGTCAAATAAGGGCCTGGTCCGCGGCCAGGGATATCACATATTGCATGAAGCCCTTTATTGTGGCCCAGCTCATCACACGCTAGTGCTTGCCATCACTTTCTCTGAGCATTGGGCATCATGGTACTGTAGACAGAGCCGCAGTGAATACCCTGCCTCGCCTCACACCTCCACCTATCGAGCGTGCAAAGTCGAGATGACGCTCTAATCGAGCCCATGCCTGGATTGCCCGATCAGGTAGGGGACGTCTTGGCGTGAATACGCTAGCCGACGTTGCGAGGAGTTGGGCATCATGATAATCAGCTGCTGCTGCATTTGGAAATGTGACGGATAAGATTTCTTCACACTCCAAGACAATCAGTCGTGCCCGACTCATCCTCTTTCTCGTAAATCCGGCAAGCATTCCTGTTCCTGCTGATTTGCGCCTTTGACCTGGACCAGGTGACTCGCAAACTCGTCTGATCGTGGGAGCGGTCCCCCTTGAACGCCAGCCGTCAGCGGATGCGCGAGTGCCCCTGCCTCGCTGGCTTACAGCTGGGTCGGCTGCATGCCTTGCTTGAAGGACACTTCTCTGCCTTCTTCGATCGTTTGTGCCCGGTGCCAACCTTTCAAGCGGTGGATCGAGCTGCAGCCCTGTTTTTCATGCAGCATTATCTTGTCAGTCGCGTCTACCACAACCTGGATCCGAAGACGTGGCGGAACAGGCCAACGTATTGGCTTGGCTCCGGGCCGGTAAGTCTAAGCTGCTGGCCGACAGGGTTTCCCAGTCGCTCAGTGTGGGCAGCGAACTTCAATTAGGCTCGATGCTGGACGGGCTGACACGCTGTTGGACAGACAACGACAACTCCTGGCGCTGGTCCTCGCCACACACCAGGTTCCTGCTCCCACCCAACCTGAAAGGATAATCCAATACAATGGCCCGGAAGAATTTTGACTAGAACCCAGCCATTTCCTAGTCGAGTTTCGACTTGGTAACAGGCTGTGTTTGTGGGGGAATTGAGCGTAATGGTGAATTAAAGCGAACTCCTCGACTGGTGACCGTGGTCGGCTCGGTGGGCCATGCTTGCTACTCCAAAGGTTGCCATTGCATCCGCATATGCAGAGAATAGCCAGGGCCACGGGCCGCCACAACCTGCACAATGCGCATAGCATGGAGCACCGGTGAGATCGAGGCGGGCGGGCGCGGAGGCATTGCGGTCAGGCCCAAAACCAATCCCATTGGAACGGCTGTCGCTCGAACGCAGCCGGCTCAACTCCGCGGCCTTTGAGATGGCTGCTGGTTGTTAGACAGCATGAGCCACTGTAAGGGCAGTGCAACCACATGATGCAGAGCTGCGTGTGTGTATGGCGGTTTGCTCCAGAGCCGGCCACTTGCAGAGAGCGTCAAGAAAGCAATGCGCGGCGAGTCGCATGGGGGCCGGCGGGTTGTGGTCCCCCAACTTTGAAGCTGCATGCCTCAGCTTCCCCTTGCCCATGCCGTCCCACTCTGGACGTGGGTGGCCGAAGACTCCTTTGGGAAGCTCGATGTCGAGACTGGAGCGGAGAAGCCGTCACGGTCAAATGTCGACAACCTTTGGAAATGCAGTCTGTGCTGCAACAGCGGGGCAACTGCTTGCCATCGCCCAAGGAAAGAACGAGGCTCTCTGTAACTACGTACGTTCACTACGCACCTTCCGTACGTTCGCCTTTGCCCTTAGACTCGATGACTTTGGGACACATCAAGACAGAACTTAGCAGAGCTTGTGCGCTGGCATAACGCCCACATACGCTATACATACATGCATGCATGCACCCGCCTCACAAAAATTCCGTGTCTCTCCAAGGCCTGTCTTCCATCGTGTTCCGCCGTGGTTAGGAATGGCACAGACATCAGATCTGCTCCATGCCAAAAACCTGCCTGTCCCTGACGCAGCACACATTCCAGGACTGTGGCCAGTCTCCATACTTGACGCAGAGTCTCTCGCAGCCATTTATGCGGCCACATGCAGCCCAAAATCCCACTCCACGCGGCTGGGCTATATTTAGGACCGGCGATGAAAAAGCATTTCCTCCGCGCAGGGCGGAGCGGCGGCGCGCATCTTGGCTTTAAGGACCAACACGATCATGTGCATGACATGAAGCCCTTGCTCAGCGAATGGCGGATGGGTTGCTGCTGTTGCACCGGCTTCTTGGTGTGCAAGTCCTCTGCCGCCGTCGCATACAGGCGCACAACCATATATATAGAACCAGACAAGGCTGCTCAAGCAGGCTGTATGAGCAACATGGATTGTGAACCACCAACAGAGTGCTCTGGGCGAGTTTCTGAGCGCATTCCGCAGCCAAGGCGTGGTCGCGACGATTGCTTACTACTTGGCTGATTACATTGTCCGCGTGAGTCGCTTTCATGGTGTCACCCTGGCATCACCAAAGTATGTGGCGTACAGAAGCTCTAAGGATGCGAAACTGGGCAGAGTTGACAGGACTGCCGACTGTCAGTAGAAGGCTTGGGCAATATGGTAAAAGTCGCGCTGCTCGCAGGCCTGCCTCTGCTGCCCTGGTTTCCTGGTCGATCGGGCCGTGCATAATGGAAGAGCCCCTCGCGACATCTTGACTGGCGGTCCGAGGCACACCGCCAGACATCTCAGCCTCGCGGATGTCAGCATGTCAATAATTGTGCTGCCTGAAAGATTTTCCAGAGTGGCTCCAAGCACAGACTACGTGGGTGCTTTGTGAGAGTCTTGAAGCATTCCAAGCAGGCCTGGCAAGCCACAGCGATAGTGAGGGCGAGGTCGTGAAGCAGCCCCGCCCCTGCTGCCGACGATCGTCAGGCCTAGTCGCAAGCTCCAATCGCTCAAGGTGGGCGGGGCTGGCTGGCCGCAGAGCTCCCCACTCCACAGTCCCCGGACAGCGTGCTGGCTGCTGGCCAATGAGAGGGCGGGCAGGGGCAGCCACGGCAGGACCCTGGTGACCCGTCCAGGGCCGGCAGCCAACGAGGGGCCCCGTCACTTGCTCTTGCCGCCGGGCCAGCGTGCCAAGACCAGCGCCATGCTTTGCTATTCGCTGCCCGCTCCTTGCGGCCCCTGCAAGCTGCCAGCCAGGGCGGGGCCTTTAGCCGCCCGCTGCCCATGCTTTGCGCTTCGGCACGCAACGACGCCCGTCGACTCTCTCTCTTTCTCGATCTCGCTCTCTCACCTCACTCACGGCCACCATCTCGCCGAGCTCTCGCCCCAGCACCCGGCCGCCCTGTCCTAGTCCACAGCCCAAAGCCTGTCACCGTTAGCACTCGGCGCCGGCCATGCGAGGCTTGGGAGGAACTTTCCGCCACGGCCAGCGCCACCACCACCAACTCCACCCAACACGTTCTCTATCAGTCCCACCATGAACCCCATTCCCTCGAACCGCTGCAGATAGAAACACAGCAAACGTGCTCGCTGCTGGACACCGCTTTGGCCCGAGACCTTGCTGAGACGCCGCTGGGCCGGCCGATCGCTGATGACTTTCCCATGGCCATGGCCATGGCTGGCCCAGCCACAGTCACCGCCAGCTTATCCCTGGACAGTGGTTGTGATGATGTGACAATGGCACGAGGCCGGTCCTGGCAGGCACGGGCAGGGTCTTGTCCGCCTCCCCTTGGCTGATCGCCGTGCGGCTTGGTCCTCGCCCTGGCACTCGTGATCTCAGGCTTGTGGACCATGACGACAACGGCCAGTCAACGGCGTGTTCGCAACATCAAGCAGAAACCCCCCGACCCGCATCGCGAATCCTCACGCTCGAGCCAACGGATTCCATGCGTCAGGTGACCAGCGCCGGGGACGAGTCAGAAGAGCGAGCATACTTGCTGCCCGCCTTAGCTGGAGCCGCCCTATTTGAGCTCTACACCAACGAGAGCCGCGAGGCTAATTATATCTGGACGACAACAATTCCCGCCCCAAAGAACCCCGGCCCCTCCTGCGTGCTGCAACACCCGCAAGTCGCCCGTTGCGGCAAGTCTGGTCGCCGCTGGTGTTGTCGTGCCCCTGCCTCGCCTCTTGTGCATGGCCAAGGTTGAGTGGACCCCTGCCACGGGCACGCTGGAGCCCATGCAAGTCCCTGGCTAGCTCTGGCCGGTCCGTCTCCGCTCTAGATTTAATCCTCGCCTTTTATATGCGCTCTCGACCACTGACAGCGCAGAACTGTGCCCATTAGGCGCTGAACCTCGACACCAGTGATACGTGACTTATGTCTCCGTTCTCCTGGTCACCTCCTGGTCCCCTTCTTCCTGCCACCCCATTCTCGGACCAGTGTACATGTGGTTCTTTTTCTTTTTTGCTTTCACATCTCTACCTGGGTTCAATTTGGGACTCTCGCCTCCACAACTCACATCGTGTCTCTGCTGTTATCGCATCCGAGAGCGCCTCGCTGCCCGACATCGCAACAGACTCACGCACTGCCCCCGCAGTCCTTCGCCCTACCACCTCGTGAACCACACCTCCTCCCACCTTGTGCGACCTCACACAACGTCGTCTTCATCACTCCTGGTTCGAGCCGGCGATACATTGCAATCCCGTGCGCTCGTCTAGCCACGGCTTTATATCTCCCACGCCCAAAAGTCGCACATACTCAGACGGCCGGTCGCTTGGCTGTACCCAACTTCACTTGGCACCATTCTTGGTTGCGACTCGGAAGTCGGCTCTACAAGCAACACTTTCAAACCCCGATCATTCTCAGCGCCGATTACTAAATCAAATTACACGTTGGTGGACAAGCTGCGTCAGAGGGGCTCTGCTCGTTTTCCTGGGAACGAGCAGCTTCTGGTGTTGCAAGTGATGCGCGGGTCCGGAATTGTGTAGCGTTCCCCCGCTTGCCAGGTCATAGAGCAACTCGTCTCCGGGAAGGAAGTTGCTGCCCAAGGTCAGTAATTGCAAACTGACTTGACGACAACCAAGCACCTGGCGTTTGAGACAGCGTCAGTAACGCAAAAGTCTACTCACCGCTCTCGGAAGCCTAAAAGTACTTGAACTGACTTGGACAAAACTGGTTGAGACAATCAGGCACACAAAAAGGACGATGTCGTCCGCCAGCCATCAAGCGATGTCCCGCCATCGCAATGCATCCATGAGCTCGGCAGGGCGCTCGTCAAGAAAGGCAGAAATGGCAGCCGCCCCTAAAGACTTCTCATCACCGAATGCGCTGATGCGCTACTTTGAGCCTACGGCCGCCACCGCCTCCATGTTCCTATATGGACGTAAGTGAAACTCGACCCCCGTTTGCGACAGGCTTCAAGGCAATATGTCGACAAGTTTGCTGACTCTGGTTCTAGAGGGCAATTCTGTGGTGGTTGCGCACCACGACAGTCTCACCATCGAGAGAAGATTCTCCCGGCATTCCTCCGAAGTCCAGCTGCTGGCTGTGGACACACAAAGCGATGTTGGCGCCGGCAGGCTAGTCGTCAGTTACGATGCTGAGATGACGGCCATTGTCTGGGATCTCATGACTGGCGATGAGGTCGCTCGGTTCGCGTCATATGAGACTTTGACATGCGCCGCTTGGATGCGGAATGGCAATGTCGCTTTCGGCAACACGCAGGGAAATGTCATTCTCTTCGAGCCAACCACGTCGGAACACATCTCGGCCCGCACAATAGATCAGATTGCCATAACGGCTTTGGCACCAGCGGCGGACTGCAGAACTTTTGCTATTGGGTAAGTCCGGGAGAGCTTGAGATGTTTATGGTTCAATACTGACAAGTATGCATTAGCTACCAAAATGGCTCTCTGTTGATCGCTACATTACAGCCTCGCTTCACAATATTGCACAACCTGAGCACAAACCGCGCGCCATCGCCCATAGTTACACTATCTTGGCACGCATCATCGTCCAGACAGAAGGCAGATATGTTGGCTGTCCAGACTAATGATGGCGACCTGAGAGTGTGGAGCGTTTCCAAATCTTATAACAGTGATGATCCCGCAAAGATCGTGCGCATCCTAAAAAAGGCGGACGTCTACCAAGATGGTCCCAACTGGATGGGATGGTCGAAGAACGGCCGCATCATCCAGTTTTCAAACAAGTAGGTCATCGGTCGTCTGGTCATTATCAGAGTGAGATGTGCTAACTCTTCCGAAGCGAAACCCTTTCATGGGACGTTCGTACGAAGCACGTCACCCATGACAACGTGCCCACGCTTGATCATGTTCGCGGGCTTGCGGTCTATGGACCTGGCGCAACATTATTCACTCTTGGTGCCAACAACACTGTGCAGCAGTTTGATCTGAATATGCCATCGCTGATGGTCAACAACGTACAGCACCCAGCAAACTTACTGCCGCCATCCCCGCCAGTCTCGATTGAGGAACAGAATGAGCAGGGCGTCGTCCTCATAGGAACCGAGTCTGACTCTGGTGCGTCAGTGCCCATGGACACGATTGTCTCAGAGAGCGACGAAGACCATATGTCGCCACTTGCCAGGATCGCTCGGCACGCCGAACCTGCCTACGACCGCTACGAGCAAGACTACTATGGCCACGACAGCTATGCTCCGTCAATGTCGAGCCGCAGTGCTGCGTCTTCCACCATCTCAAAGTCTTCGGTGAACTCGGGGACTCGGGGCCGTCGTGCACCATCCGTGGTCTCCCGGGGGATGACTGAGAACACCTACATCTCTGCTGGGTCTTCCTTGAGATCATCCGCTCAACCGCCGTACGGGGACAAGGACGCCTACTCGATCAGCAGTATCGGCTCAGCTTCCATGACTTCTTCGACCCGCTCTTCCCGTCATAAGCCCTCCAGACTCAGAAATGAACTCCCACGCAGCCCCGAGGACAATAAAGTCCAGGACCTGTTCAAGTTCACCAGGAGCAGGCTGCATGACATCCCTTACAAGAGAACTGCCAACACTGACCATAGCCGATTGACCAATGACGATCTCCGCCGTCAGATGCTGAGCATAATCTTTGGGTGGAATAAAGAGGCCGACGATCTTGTGAGAGACGAACTGTCACGGCATCCGACAGGCTCCCCTAGCCGGATCCTGCTATCAAAGTGGCTTGGGGATATCGACTCGGATGTGATGACTGCGACCTCTGAGAACATGACTTCGTCAGACTGGATGTTGTTGGCCCTCAGCGGCATCGGAGGGCAAGCGTCGCAGCACAAGCTCGGTCGCGCCTACGTGCAAAGACTCCTGGAGAATGGCGACCTACATGCTGCGGCTACCATTATGCTTGGAATGGGCGACCATAACGATGCGATTGAGATTTATGTGTCCCACAAGAAGTACATGGAGGCGCTCATTCTCTTGTGCCTGTTCTTCCCGAACGTGTGGGAAAGACAAGCTCAAGTTATCAAGAAATGGGGTGAATTTGCGGTTCAGCATGGCCAGCAACAATTGGCCATCCGTTGGTAAGTAGTTCTCTCTAACAGCGCACCAGGTTCCACTTGCTAACATGTCTACTACAGCTTTGCTTGTTGTGGACAAGAGTCCTCAGAGCCTTGGGCCTCGCCATCGGCGGCTCAAGTCACGTTTCAGAGCATGCACCCAAGCATCCCAGAGATCTTGAGCCCGCCACTGTCGCCGCCTGGGACAAACTTTGGTCCGCAGCGCAGCATCGCCAAGACCTCGGCGCTGAAACTCATCACCTCGTTTGGGGATCAAAACAAGAAGTCAAAGTTCTTTGCCGGTGATGATGGCCAGACCCCAATCGCCGTTGGCATGACACCAATAATCGAGTCCGCCACGACGCCTGGCGCTCGCGATCCTGCCACCGCTCTCATCCGGCCTTCAGAACGCAGTGCGTTCAACACTCCTTCCACAGCACTCCCGCCCACTGGCTTCGGACGCAAGCGTTTGCCTTCAATCGGGGAGCTTCCAAACCCCTTACCAGCCATCATGGACAAATCTCGTGACTTTCTCGTTCCCAAGCCCGGAGCCGAAGAAGCAAGCACGAGTCAACGCCCGGGCCACGCTCGTCGTGCGTCGACAGAAGAACCCTACAATGCAGGCGTTTCGCTTGCCAGAGCCGCGACTGCCAGTCCGATGATGATGCGCGATACCCGCCATCCGAAGGACGCCCCCATGCCGTCTCCTTCCCCAGAATCTTTCCAGGCGTTGCTTGCCAAAGGCCGTAACAGCAGGAATGGAGCACGCGAGAGGAAGCCCGAGGGGATGGAGCTACAGCTCAACTCGCTCGATGCAGCACAGAGCGAAATTACATCACCTGAACAGACTGGTGCTTCTGCTCGTTTCCACTGGCCGACTCGCCGTCGTGGGCCCAGCTCGGTCGCTGGTTCTGTGGCGAGCTCTGTGACCTCACAGTCTAGCGCTGGTGGTCGCAGCTACCGGAGCAACGCGACAGGGCGTAGCCGGCATGAGTATATCTCGAGTCTCGATACAGCCAACGCCTACAAGAAGGCACGCAGCCGGGAGCGGAGCAGGACACGACAGGACGATCGTGGAACTCGGAGCCGGGATAACAGCCGCACACGCCGTCCAGCACTGCCAGACATGTACGATGATCGTGGTCGGTCTGCTGTTGCACGACAACGCACACCTAAGCCGGGCAAGCAATCTCCAACATCTCCCATTCCCATGTCGCCCGAGGACCTGATCAACTTGAGCACGCCCAAGATGTACGACACTGGCCTGGATGATGAGGCTGTCGCCCACATGGATCTTGACCCTCCGACTGCTCGCAAGTCGAGTGTGATCAGAAGATCGTCGCCAAAGTCACGCATGTCGAGCCGTGCCTCAAGCGGACGTCGTGCTAGCCCAGAGCGGAGGCCTCCGGCACTCGATCTCCGTGGTCGCAGCAACATCCACGGCATGTCGGACCAGCGATCGCCATCGTCACCAGTCCCTCTCTCAGCACCCCATGTGTATGGATCTGACGACGAGGAAGACTATCGCGCGGCACTCGAGGCTCAAGAGGCGTTCAGGAATAGGCACAACCGAAGTGCGAGTATCCGTGATCCCCAGTCCCCAGCCGTCGGGCGACATGGCGACAGGTCTGAAAGCCAGAGGAGAATCAAGACACCCGCACTACCTGATGCGTCTATGCCTCAGAGGCAACGTAGCGTGTCTCGTACTGGTGATCTCAAGGCCATCATGAACGAGAGACAGCTCAAAAAGGAAGCCGCAGCACGAGAGCTTGAAGAGCGACGCAAGTCCCTCGCGCGCCGCCCATCAGCCCCCCCAATCCCTCTGCCTGACCATCTTTCCCCCATCCTGGATCGCGCTCCCAGCGCTTTTGAGCTGCCGCAGACCACGTACAGAGACCCCATTGTCCGCAGTCACACGGCGGATCCGACGCGCAGCTCATATGCTCGAAGCGGAAACCGACCGACCATCGGACTGCCAGCAACACCGAAGGCGATGCGTCTCAAATTCGATAACGCTCCTGGCGACGTCCCCAAGGTACCGTCCATTCCCGCCTCAGCCCGCACATCGCCTGGGTCTTCTGGTCAGCGATCACCCGAACGCGTCAGTGCCTCCCCAGACAAGTCGGTGGCTCCTCTCACACTTTTGCCATCAACCGTATACTCGCCACCTCCGCGTCCCTTCATTGAGAGGTGCATGTCGGCACCTATTCCTGAGGAGCCCATGAACAGTCGTCGGCAGAGAGGCGGCTCCATGTCACGCAAGATGAGCACCGACGCCAACGCCCAAGGACTGCGTGCCATCGACGAGCTCGTGATCGGCTCCAAGCATGCAAGGAGGGCTTCGCGCGATGACCAGATCCCGCCTCCGCCGCCACCACCGCCTGCACCTCCTGTCCTCCATGAACTGCAACACTTGGCTATCCCTCCGCCGCCGCCACCTGCTCCGCTGCAGGGCCTCAAGCCCACAGTGTACGGCGGTACTACCAGTGCAGGCACGATTGAGATTGTCATGGACGAGGATGAGAAGCCTCAAATCCCCACTGCTGCCCCCATCAGCGACGCCACCGTGCCCATTATTGCGCCTCCGGCTCCCCCGTCGTCGAGGAATGGACACAGACGTGGACGCAGCATCACCGAGACCGGAAGCAGTCTCGCCGGTCGGTTCTCTCGTGCGACTGAACGCATGAGATCAGCGAGCCGTGGCCGCAATGAGTCGATCCTAAGTCGGCAGAAATCCCCCGATGCCACCACATCACCATATGAGAGCATTCCAGCCGCGCCCCCCATTAGCTTCAACGCTCAGGCAGTTGCCGCTGCCCAGCAGTATCAGCTGCAACTGCAGCAGCAGCATGTTGAGCGCCACCCTCGCGAGGTCCGGGCAAACTACCACAAGCAACAAGGCTCTGGCACAGGACTTCTCGAGAGCGAGATGATCTAGACTTCGCATTTGATTGTCGCAAGCAAAACTATGCTTGGCACATGATTTTCAAGGTCTTTTGGTTGAGTTTGATCGTGACCACACATAAATCGAGCGACATTAATCACATACTTCTTCACAAGTTTTGGATATGTCTGGTTCATATATTGCATTTGATACAACCCTTTTAACGACTTTACGACAAGCACTTATTTACAGGACAATGACCACGCGGGAACGGAGCCCTGGACAGGATACTGGGGAGCGGAGTGGACACTCCTGAGCCAGGGATAAGTTGTTGGGAATACACAAAAGATTGCTCAGCAAAACAGGCGACGGATATACTCATGTGTTTCTCTCCCGACAGGAACGCAACTCGCAGCTCCAATGTGAGGGGAACAAAATCCAGGAAGGATGTCAGCTCCGACTGACTTATGATCCCTCCTTACTCATGTCCTCTGTTTGTTTTACTTTTCCATCTGGTTTTGTTGGCTACTTCCCTTCAATGATACAATGTTGCCTCGCGGCGATTTTGTTTAGGATATTGACCACAGCGCTACTTTGGCCTATCAATGAGCGTTTGGTATATAGCTGCGTGATGTTTATGGCTCAATGTATTTTCATCAACATTACTTTTGTCTTATTGACCATGCCATCCACCCGATGAAGATGTGAATGTCACCCAGAGAAGCATTGGATCAGGCCTCAGCATTAATGTGGCTGTCGTTGTCGCCTTTGCTCACTGCTGGAATGCGTTCTTGAGTGGACAATGAATCCTTGCCACTGCTTTGATAGGTAGGGTACGACAAATTCATTTCGTCAATGGCTGTGCATCCGTATAAACTGGTGCGAAACGTTTGCCACACGGCCAGCCCAAACATTGAAGGCGAGGCATAGAAGGACGTCGGGACGGGGTATGCAAAGGGGTGATGGATGTGGCCATGCAAGTGTTGAGGGTTCTGTAGAGCGGCGGCTTTGGTGGATTGACGGTGCGGCGACAATGGTTCGAGACGTGGGCGGGTTCCTTTTTGATCACGAAAAAAGGACAGCTCGCACTCGGGACCACACAGGGAGACGGGCATCACGCATCCTAACATCGCCGCGTTCCACAGCGATCAATGTGTGTTCCTAGATGAAGGAAGGATAGTTTTAATATATATAATAAAAAAGATACAAAAAAAGAAATCGCGGAGTTGACAATCTCCATCTCAGCCAACCATCCCACGTCCCCGAGCCGACGTGATCCACCGAGCTACGCGACGGGGGAGATACTCTGCAGTGTAAGACCACCCTGAAGTGTCCTCTCCATTTCTGAGGACCACCCAGTCAACGCTGGTTACCCAAGCGGATGGATGGCCACCGCAGCATCCTCGGCGGGCGCGGATTGGGGGATCTGACGGAAGTGGTGCGGCCAGCTGAGAATTGCAAGCGCCTTCAACCAAATTGACCATCACAGTCAGAATTTGGGGCTCTTATTAGGCCATATAGATGGGATGCTGATTTAGCGGGGCTGTGTGGGTCTGGCCTATTGGGCCGATCAGTGCTGTTTGTTGTGCCACTCCAACCAGCCGGCAGCTGCACTTATATCTCCTACCTGCATGGTGGTCCCTCCTGGGCATTCACCACAGGGCGGCATGTCAAGACCACGGCCACTCCAGAAAGACAGGCACGCCAATGCAGCTATGACGTAGTCACGGACAAAAAAGCGAGTCACCGAGAGAACCGAACCGCCTGCCCTCAGACGGGAAAGGCCGCGAGGCGCATAAGTCGAGCTACACCACAACGAAACATAGCTGCAAGCACCATCATGCTCACGACGCGCCCATACCTTCGCACGCGGCGCCCTTCGCCCACGACGGTCGAGTTCGTCGTCACGACGCGGCCGGTCCTCACGACACCTCTCCGGGTGCTGCTGTACACCGTCTACCTCGCGCGGGTTCTGCTCGGGCTGGGCATCGTGCTCCTCCTCCTTGCGACGTGGGATGCGTGTCCGTTCACCTCGAGCTTTGCCCCTCCCTTCAAGAACAACACTGCTGCTGGCAGTAGAGCACGCCTCGCGCAGCAGCAGCAGCGAGCCACGACATCAGATGAGTTCGTCTGGCACACGATACACCATGTCCTACACGCGACCACGGTCGGCAGACTCGCGCTCGATCTCGTGGTCGCTACGGTCGGTCTTCTCTCACCTGCAGCCGCCGCCGCCGCCGCAACCAGCCCCATGACGACGTCACCGCCAGCAGCAGCAGCAGCAGCGCCGACAACAGCGGTCCTGTTGTCCTGGCTCGCCCTCCCGCCAATATATCTCCTGGCGCTGTACTACCTCGTGCTGCGACGCATCCACACCGAGGAGCGGCTGCTCGTGCTGCGCGGGCTGGGCATACAGACGAGCTCCTCGGCCGCCACGGTGCTGGGGAGCTCCGTCACGCGGTTCATCCCCACGGACAAGATCCAGGACGTGCTGGTCAACGAGGCGTTCCGTGGTTTCGAGGTCAGGCATTACCTGATTGTCGTCGTGGAGGGCGAGGAGGATGTCGTGGTGGTGTTCCCCAAGCTCCTGCCCGGACCGGTGGTTGTAGAGAAGGTATGGAGAGGGGTGAGGCGGTGCCTGTACGAGCAACACTATCAAGGAAACGGAGTGGCCCCCAGCCGAGGAGCAGGGACGAGATCTAGCGGCTCGACATCGCCGGAGAAGGAAGGCTCGCCGACGAAACGTTGATTGAAGAGATTATTTGCATTTATTCGGAAATAATCTTGGTATCACTATATTTGCTTTGCTTTGAGCGTCTAGATCTAGAATGATACCCAGTTGTCAGGCTACCCGGTGTGACGGGCTTTGTGACACACATTTATGCTTCATCGGAACGGGCCAGCCGCATTCGGGAGCACCCGTAGCTCGATCGCCCTTCATGCCGTTGCAATAGCCTTGTCGAGCTCGTCGATCTGGGTTTCAAGCTCGCTAGCAACAGCAGCCGCCTTTGCAATCGCTGCCTCGCGCTTCTCGGCGAGCGCTGCCCGGTACTCGGCACCGTTCGCATACCCTTTCTTCTGGGCCGTCTTATCGTTGACCTCCTCTGGCGACGAGTTCATCTTCTTCTTGGCCATGGGCAGATACTTGCCCACCGGCCGTGCCCCATCAGAGCCTTCAAACTGCCTCGTCGAAAGGGTGACGTGCCTGGGCGCTCTAGAATCTCTGCGTAGGCTAAAGTCGCCCTGGTCCGCGACAAGGTTGTGCAGCTGGCCGGCGAGCAGCTCGTCCATTTTCCTGCTCCGCCAGATCTGCCACAGGTCCTGCATGAGGCCGTGCGTGCTGTGCTTGTCCGTCGGGCTCTCGTCGCCGAGGTACACCCACTCTAGAGAATCGGGAAAGACGCAGTCCCAGAGAACGAGCGGCACCTCGTCGGCCATGACGTAGTTTGGTCTCCTGGGTGTCTTTTCCACGTCGAACAGCGTGTCGATTACCGATGGCTCCTCGAGGCCCTGGGCGACTGTGAAGAGCACTGCGATCATGCACCTGATCTGATGCCACAAGAAAGCGCTCCCCCTGACGTGGAAGTAGTACACTTTAGGGTGCACGCTGCCAGGCTCAAGCGCAGCGCCGGCAGGTCGGAAATCCGACTGGGTGAGGAACGGCATCGCCGTCGCGCTGTCCTTGACCTCGACAATGTCGCTCTCGAACATCCGCCGCGTGAAGTTGGTGAGCTGCTTGCTGCCGTCGATCTTGCAGAAGTTGCGGAAGTCGTGCAGGCCTTGGTACTTTTTGGCCGCCTCCCGCATGCGGTCAATGTCGAGCCAGCCATCCTTGATAGGCTCTTTGCTCTCGGGGTGGTTCAGAGACGTCGGTATCGGCGCAAAGGCCGGCTGTGTAAAAAAGTACCTGTACTGTCGCTCCGTACAGCTATGCCTCGCGGAGAAGTTGGCAGGTGTCGAGGGGCACCATGCGAGCATCCTGATGTCCTTGGGTAGCAGCCGGTTAAGTATCCTGCAGTACCGGATCTCGTCCTCAAAGTCGTTCCACTCCTTCTTCGGCGTCCCTCCCTCTTCCTGAGTAGCCGCGTCGTCCGGGTGGCCCTCCTCGCTGCCGTCATGCTGCTGCGGCTGTGGCTGTTTGGGTAGCGGCCGGTTGCTCCTGACCCGCAGGGCAATGACCTGCCCGAAAGCACTGACGCCCCGGTCCGTCCGGCCGCACTTGGAGTACTCGAGCGCCGGATCCTCCCAGCGGACCTCGTCCGGGTTGCCCTTGGGCACGATGAGGCAGGACGTCACAAAGGCCTTCCACAGCTCTTCTTCGATGGTCGGCAGCGCCGCGCTGCCCTGGTACTCGAACCCGCCGTACTCCTTGCCCAGGTAGGCGAACTTGAAGGCCACGTACCTCGTGGCGTACTTGGACGGGTCGATGCTCGTCTTTTTGCCCTTCTTGTCCTTGCCTGGCGCTTTCCGCTCCGGCAGGCCGCCATAGAACGCTGCCGTCTCTGGGGAAGTCATGTCTTCCCCCTGTGGCCTCGCGGCGGCCGTGACGGCCGAAGTGGCATCCGTGGCTCCGCCGCCATCTTTGCCGCCATTGCTGACCTGCTGTGCTGCCTTGAGCTGCTGCTCGAGCTCCTCGATGCGCCCGACGAGAGCGTCCTTGGTCCACCGCCTATACACGGATCGCTCCATCTTGCGGATTGTCCAGAAATTGCTCGGCGGGGGGTCCAGGCGGCTGTGGACACCGCATCTGCTTTGCTGGAAGTGAGGGCTGGCGGGGAGCTGTACAAGCGCAGAGCTGCTGGTGGCCAGGAAATTCGGCGACGATGAGGTCTTCTTGTACTGCTGCAAAAGTGGGCGGCCCAGGACCTTGAGGCACGAGCGGCTCATTTACAAGCACAGGTTGTAAAGCTGAGCCTGTTTCCCAACGAGGTGTGCAATATCATAAAAGCTTTTCTGGCGTCTATCAAAGAAAATCCAAGGTCAACTCGCCGGCCGGATGACTCCCTTCTTGCACATCAAAATCGCATCCCACTAAAACATGCCGCTTTAGTCAATGCCATGACTGTGCTTCAGCGCAGGGCTGAACCCCTCTGAGTGCGCTATCGATAAGTCGCTGGAGCTAGCGCATCCCGCATCGTCGCGGCGAACCCCACGCCCTGGCCCACCCTCAGTGTCTATGAAAGCGAGATGAGCAAAGTACAAAGACGTTAGTCAGGTCTTGGGTCTATTGACTAACGATATTTCTACACGGATCGAGGCCTTGACCGGAAGATGACCTGATTGTGCCAAAGGAGCAGACACCTGCCATGGATGTCGAAGAACTCACCATCAAGATCCTGCTGCTGGGAGACGAGAAGGTTGGAAAGTCAACCTTCTTATCGTGAGCCAAACCCATCTCTTTCACATTCGTATTGAAGAGGTCATCTAACGCAGCATGCACTTGTCACAGTCGCATAAGTGGGGGAGCCGGCGCGCTCGACGGGAAAGCAAACATCACGCTGCTGCGCGACATTGACCAGCCATTCGTATTCGAGGTGCGGAACAGGAAATGCAGGTACCGCCTTGAGTTCTACGACACGGCAAGCCCAGACAATTGGCGCCTCCTACTACCGGATCTCGTCCTCATCTGCTTCGACATCAGCCAGAGACTAAGTCTGATCAACATGCAGAGAATCGTAAGTCTCCCCCTTCCCTGCCTCCAGTCCCCGTGTCTGCGCCGACATATGCTAGCGCAGTCCTCCAACCTGAGGCTTAGTGATCCGACCTGTTTCATCCACACAATGTCTGATTCGGCCTACACTGCTAGTGGATCAATGAAGTTCACCGCACGTTTGAGACGAGCGACCGCCTCCCGCTCGTCGTCGTGGGCCTCAAGAGAGACCTCAGATCCGACGATGACCCAAATGGCGTCATCTACCCGCAGGAGGCGTATCGGATATCGCAGGAGATGAGGGTAGACCGGTATGTTGAGTGCTCGGCGGTGACGGGTGAGCTTTTGCAGCTCGCCTTTGAGGAGATTTGCAATGCGGCGGTCAAGACCACCACCGCCAGAGGCGGCCAGAGCGAAGGGGGTTGCGTCGCCATGTAGCGGCAGTCCGCTTGGCCGTAGGTGCCCATGCTATCATTAGCTTGTCGTGTGGCAGATATACGATTGCCGTCTGTCCGAGCCCTCTTACTCCCGCAAATGCCATCATGGATCGTGAACAAGAAATGGCCCCAGATTCTCGAGACTCCAGGAATGACTAGATCCTCGTAATCGCATGGACGTCCAGCACGACACCCTCACTCAGTAGTCTGCATCGCATCCGCGTCGCCATCTTCGCCATCCGCAGCGGGGAACTGGCCCAGAATCTCCAGGACGCCCTGGACAATGTCCTCCTGCTGGGCCTCGGTGTAGCGCGTCTCCATCTCCTCGAGCACCGTGTTAAGGCTCGGGATGTTGGTTGGCCGCAGGTTGATGAGCATGATGAACTCGCCCTTTGTGATTTCATACGGCCGCAGGCGCTCCATAAGCAGCTTGATGGCCGACGTGTCGTAAGGCTGCGGCTTCTGGCTCAGCGGGCCGGGGGCAGCCTCAAAATACTGCAGCAGCTGCGGGTGGTCATTGCAATCAGTGAGTTGTCATTCCCTTCGCACAGAACTGCGATTTTGGAGAAGACTTTTGTGATTTTGCAAGGGAGCACGACTCTGTTCGGGACATACCTCACGTCGCAGGGTTTCCAGGTTGCCCGGGCCGCGACGCTTCTGGGCCTGGTATTCCTTTGCCTGCTTGTTGAGGAATTCATAGACCTCCAGGTTGGTAAGGGTGGCGTTTTGAGCTTCGAGGATCTTCATCGTGAGAGATCCCTCTGAATGAGATGAAATTAGGTCGCCGGAGATGTGCGTGCTCTGTGATTGTCAGGCAGCTTCTAATCGCTTTCTGGGATTGAGGTGATCGAGTTTCAACGCCCATGGGTCTGCAGTCACGGACTAAAAATTCACATGGTACTGTGCGAGCACAGTGTGGATTATATCTACCCCTGTATCTCGTCCACCATGCCGACGGGACAAGCTCGAGGCCTCGAAGTATCGTGAGGCTTCATGATCAGCTTAGGCATTCTGAATGATTTCAAGCAATTTCATGGGCTGTTCAGCTAAGCTTTGTCCCAGACTGCACATTCAGTTCACAATACGAAATGTGATTGTGAAGCTCGAGTCCCATTCTTGATTGCAATGGCTTGCACTATTGTGGAGTCGGCTTGACTTGGACCTCGCCATTCGACTTTCGAGGTTCGGCTACCACCAAGATGTGCCATTGAGTGTCACTGAAACCTGCTTTGGAGGTGATGCACATATCTCCATCTTGAGCCGTGTCCACGGTGCCACTTTGCGCCTACGTGCTACTACCATTGAAGGCCTTTATTTCGGGCACTTCTCAGACAACGGCAGGAGTCTCGCCTCCATGACCCTCCTTCCTGGGACTTTTGGTCATTGCCTGCCCGAAGCCCCATTGCGAAGCTGGACCGGCATGTGCAAGCTGGATGTGACTCACCCAGCCACTGAGTTTGAGTGCGCTTTGATAAGGCAGAGTAGCACAGAGCAGCTGACGCTGCTCAACAGCTCGCCACTGCTACACAGTTTGTGCTGGTTATACGGCATGAGCTGGCTAAGTTGCTCGCAGGGACGCGTGCGAGCGCTGGAATTTTGACATGCGACACCGCAGGCCTCAGAGACCAGTCCGAAGTCGCTGCCATTGGCTCATCAAGCCGTATCCAGCGTTGTTTTTGTTCTCTGAGCCGCTTATGTCGTTGCCACTGGTGGATTTGCGCTGCGCCGTCGCCTCGGCGATGTCACCCTTGCGCGCTGCTTGTTCCAGCTCCTTAACCAGCTCCTTGTGTCTATCCTCGACCGTCTTGGCCAGGCTGTCGATAAATTTAGCCCTGCCCCTTTCTTCCGCTGTGCCTTTCCACACAGTAGACAAGTCCTTCAGCTCTTCGATGCGCTTTGTCGCCCTCTCCAGACCGTCAACAGGGTCACTGGACTTTGTGATCATGTCGTTAATCTCGTCTCTAAGTGCCTTTAGCACTAATTGACCTTTGTCTTCTGTACTGTGAGCCTCGGCACCGGGTTCCGGAGCTGAAACCGACAGGAACGAGGAGCTCACGGAGAGCTCTGATGGAGGGAAGACGAACTCCATCGCATCGCCGAAGGTCTTGACGACAGAGTCCAAGCGCTCGCGAACCAGTGTGAGGGTTCGAAGCTGTGTGATATAAGGGGGTTCCCCAGGATGGCCTGTCTCAGCACCTCCATCGGGGCTAGGCAGAGAAACCTTGGGGTCGGATTTAGACGTGGTGCTTTCGGGCACGAAACGAGCAATATCGTCGGCGAGGCCCTCTGTCAACGCTTCCGACAAGCTCAAGGTCTCTCCTCTCAAGAGCTCGACCTCATATGCCAGCCGACTTCCGCTCCGAAGGATGTCATCAGTCAACTGAGTGAGGGTATTTGTGAGGCGAGTCGTGTGGGCGTTGAGCTGGGAGACCTCGGACTGAGCCTGGGCAGAGAGGTCGGCTAAGGATGCGGCATCCTGGGCACGCGACGGCTGCGACTGAGACTGAAGAGGGGGCAAGATCGAGTTGAGATAGTCGGCAGGGTCGAACGCTGGTGTCAGGAAGCTCTGGAGATACGGATCGGCGACGTGGGCGGACTTCGGGGTGGCGGGTTGCTTGACTGTTGTTGCGGTACGGCCGCCGTGGATGGACAAAGCACGCGCATGGCCGGCCGAGCTGTTCTGGCGACGTCTGGTGGTGGCCATCTCTCACGCCGTTGCGCACATTGCGATTCGCGGAGGGGCAGCTTTGGCACGATCGAGCTCCAAGGACACTTGGAAGCTGCCCATGATGAAGCCAACCAGGGATGCTTCTTGACTGGTCCCAGTGGGGCATGGGATGGATGCAAGTGTGGACGACGTGGGGGCTGCAAGGACCCACCCAAAGAATAGTGGACTCCCTGTCAATGATCAGTTATCCTGCCAGGCAACCAGGCAACCAGACTTGCAAGAGTCACACTTCAGAAGCTTGGTGCATCAGGCATCATCAGATGCTCTATTGGCCATTGCTCAGGGGCCGAGCATCGGCCTAGCTGCAGGCTGGGATAGCAATGTTGTCGACTTTGTCCGGTCAGAATTGCTGCAGCTGGTCGTGTCCTGGTCTGTTCTCCCCACGGTGACATTGCATCGTGCAACACTGGTCCGTCCTACCGAAAGTCAAGGTACACAGGGTCGTTCTCAAGCAGCCCAGGCGCCGTCCAGATTTGCATGGATAGATCCGTTCTGAAGTAGCCCCTGGGATCAATGTTTGCCTAAAGTACTTTACATAGGTGGTGTGTGCCCTGGACAGTGCCCGGGCTGTGAGTCGATGTCCCTCAGAGCTCTGCTATTCACCGTAGGGTACGTGGGTGCCTGTTTGGACCCTGCAGCTTCATGTCATCTGGCAGCCTTCAACCATTGGATTTAGAAGAAGGCACGACCAACCAACACGTTAGGTACGCTCAGTACCTTAAAACATGCTCCGAACTTGCTCGTCGTTTGTTACACCAACACTGGACACCTCTATGCCAGCCTCGTCCACTCAAGCCACATGTCCTGTTGATTGTCTCCGTACTTCAGGTTGGTACGAGGAGTGGAACTCGAATTCATGAGCAGGCCCAGCCAAGTACAGGTGATACGCCACCCCAGGTCTTTCATCAGCCGGACTGCACATCCCAAACGGTATTTTGTCCGTCTTCACCAAAAGACTCGGGACGAATGTACGAATCATCCCCCTCCTGCTTACCTTGCAACGTACACTTCTAACTGACCCCGTTCACCACTCAGTAAACCAAGCTCCGCTCAGCCCTTCGGAGGCATGCTTGGTCTCCTCACGACGACATCACAAATGACACCTTCAGAGCCAAAGTTGCTCTGACTTGACCACCCACAAGAGAGCTGTGCGGGCAAGAATAGCAAAACCCTCTGCAGCCGTGTAACGATAAGTCATCAGAGCTCGAGGCTCCTGCCTTAAGCAAACCCGTCAACCACGCTTTCCCGGCAAACGACAAGTTCTTTTGTCGTCATATCAGCACATATCTACGACCGCCCTGTTTCAATAGCGGGACAGCTGCCGCAATGCCTCCAGCAGCGAAGCGGGACCGCTTTCTCGAGGATGCACGTGGAAGGATAGCTCGCGGACAGCTCCCCGGAGTGCAGAGCATCGAATGGACTGGCGATGGCTTCTCGTTCATGTTCGCCCATATCTGTCTTCGTCCCCAAGACCACGTCGAGATACGCGTACTCTGTGAGGATGGGACGTATCTCGCCTACACTGACAGCGAAGTGCCTGCAACAATCGCAAGCACGCTCGAGCACACCTCGGAGCGAGTGAGCGGCATGACACTCGAGGCCATGCTGGCGGAATTGACGGACCAACTGCGCCTCACTGCCGAGGGTAGAGGGATAAATGATGACATTGCTTTGACAGACGTGGACGACTGGACTCCTGACGACGACGCTGCAAGCGAAGCTGCTAGCGACGAGCCAGACTTCGAGTACGGAGATGACATAGACGACGATGCCTTTTTTGGAACTCCTGTTTACAGCTCACGCCAGACGACTACGGAGTTGAGCACTGTCATTTCATCTGCGAGCCCGGAGCGAATTCGACGTGATCTTGAGATGCTCAAACTTGGGGGGTTTCGGGTCGGGATCGTGCGTGGCTTCACGCAGTCCGTTGACGATAGCATTGTGTCGGCTGCCGTTCGTGTTGACAAACTTCACCTTCCAGACGACACCCTAGAGGCGTGGGGCCTTGGTCACGAAGATTTCATTGTCGTTCTCATCCGATATATAGGAAGCAACTATACAACCTTTGAGGAAGCCCTAGAGCTACCTGACAATGCCCGCCGGCTTCAGTTCCGGCTCCGCAAATGCTCGACGCACAAACCCTCCCCCCAACAAGCCCTCTCGGCATTTGCGAAACTCAACCACGACAAGGATCTCGACACCGAAGGTGACGAGCCAAATGACTATTCAAAGACTGCGCACCTGTCACAGCTCTGTGTCGGAGAATCAATTGACATGTTTATGGATAAAGACTTCCTCGGCATATTCAAGCGTTGGGCACGGCATTACAGTTCCAAGACTGATGGCTGGGCTCTGGCCATGGTAGGAGTTTCATCCACGGTTGATGGATTACCACGAACAGCCTCGGCTGCGCTCCTCCATGCGCAAGAGAATGAAGACGATCTTGGAGCTCGGGCAAATCTACCCATGTTTTTACAGAACGAACACCTCGATTCCGACGAAGAAAAATCACTGGCTTTGGTAGCGGTACAGTTTGCGATGCGGCATTTTGTCAATTGCACAAAGTACTGCTTGATCTGCCAAAGAAGACTCGATACTGACTTTGAGTCGTTGAAGCCTTATGTGTGCGGGAAGCCCTTGTGCCTTTACCAGTACATGACGCTTGGGTTTGCACCCAACGTTGAACATGAGATTCTGAATCAGCCATACGTGGTCGACTTGCTCGTCAGCTTCTGTCATTTGAGCTTGTTAGAAGACGGCATGGGCAAAATCGGCATGCGCCAGTATCCAGTAGGCTTGGGTTTGAGAGTTCCCCGAATCCGAAAACGACGGGGCCCAACCACTTCAGGTGTCAACACATCCTACTCAGCACCACAGCAGCCAGCCGCCTTAACAGTGACGGAATCGGGGCTCGAGGACTCAATCCGAAACACACTGGCTGGGGACATCATCAATCCGCAGGAGGCCGTTTTGCATTGGTCGTCGTCGACTCTGGTCGTCCCTGACTGGACGGATGCCACCAAGTACAAGCGTGGCCAGATCATTGGTGTGGTTGTGGAAGTCCCACTGAGCTCTCAAGTGCTTTTATACCACGCTCGAGTGGAGTGGATTAACATGAACATCATCTCAGTACAGATGATGACCCGGCACACGCTTCCTGCTGAAGCACCCTCTGCTGAGGCGTTGGCCTCTGTTGAGTCTGACAGCGCTGGGCTACAGGCGCTTATTGTCCTCTGTGATGACAACATCGACGAGTTGGAACCGATCGATCAACGTCATTCTATGCTTCTTCTCCTTGCTACCCTTCCTTCAGTGGCGGAAATGAGACAATTTCTGCTAAGCAGTCCAGACGGTCAGCTTTCAGCCTGGTCTAGAATGGTGCCATCTGCCCTTTCTCTGTTGAGGTGGATCATCGCCTCCAACCGCTCTTGCATCATGCAAATTGGCAACCTGGATTTGCGCCTGACCGGACAAGGACCTAAACAAGAAACCTCAGACGATCCACGACAAGTTCTCGGCCTTGACGGCTGGCTGCAATTTCGCTTTGCACAGGGATCGCCAGAGCATGAACTTCGCTTCCAACATGCGCTGAGGGATGTCAAGAAGCCACAAAGGAGCCTCGTTGCCTGGCACGGCAGCCCTCTTAAGAACTGGCACAGCATCATTCGCGAAGGATTAGACTTCCAAGAAGTTGCGCATGGGAGAGCTTACGGAAATGGCGTGTACTTCGCCAGGGATCTGCAGACCAGCCTAGGCTATAGCTCAATGCGGTCCAGTACAGCTTCGCATGAGGAACGTGGCTGGTTCAAGTCATTGCTGAATATCAAGCAGGCCGTCTCACTTGTCGAACTTGTCAACAATCCCGAGCGGTTTCAGTCTACACAGCCCTACTTTGTAGTCCAGAACTGTGATTGGATCCAGTGCCGCTATCTCTTTATCCTGCCTGCGAAACCAGAAGGAGCGCCCGAAATGGTCCAGCCCAGCGGGGGCGTGCTCCCATCCCATGGAAAAGCACGTGAAACTCCAAGCACCCAAGCAAAGGACGAGTTCACCCAAGACGCGGCCTACAAAATCTCGGGAATGAGTCACAAGGCACTCTACATTCCCCGCCTCGCCATCACCTCTGCATCTTCATCCACCCAGAGAGCCGATCTCCTGATGCGCCGGAAGGCTGAGCAAGGGCACGTAGACGACATTTCCGATGCGTTGGATTCTGAAGACTACAAATTCTTCCACTCGGAGACAAAGCGTGAGAGGGAAGCTCGGCCTAACAGTCCAGTCCCTGTGCTCAAAAGACGTCGAACAAGCGACACAGTAATGAAGGAGGCAGAGTCGAACGAAGGTTTCCAACCCGGTTCTCTCGACTTTTCGACCTTGGCCCTGCTATCGCCACCATCTTACGCAACACCCACCGGCACGAACATGCTTGGCCGGGAGCTACGCAAACTGCAGAAAGTTCAAGAGTCCACACCACCAGCGATCCTTGGCTGGTATATCGACTTTGATCGCATCTCCAATTTATATCAGTGGATAGTCGAGTTGCACTCGTTTGACGAAGCCTTGCCGCTAGCGCGAGACATGCGCGAAGCTGAGTTGCAGAGCATTGTGCTTGAGATTCGTTTTGGTCGGGACTTCCCGCTTTCTCCACCCTTTGTCCGCATCGTCCGACCACGCTTCCTCCCGTTCATGGAAGGAGGTGGTGGCCATGTCACTGCAGGAGGTGCGATGTGCATGGAATTGCTGACCAACACGGGATGGTCGCCAGTGAGCAGCATCGAGAGTGTGCTGTTGCAAGTACGCATGGCGATCAGCAGCGTTGAACCAAAGCCTGCACGGCTTCGGAGCAGGAAGCGAGGGGATAACGCGTCAGACTACGGCGTGGGAGAAGCGTTTGATGCATACCGACGTGCTGCAGCCGTCCATGGATGGAATGTGCCAAAGGATTTCATTGAAGCATTGACGGACAATTGATGCTAGACTGCACTTGCACCAGAGTCTGCAGCTCCGAATAGGAGAAAGCCTAGTGGATGCAGACCGATTAAGAGGGCGTTTTCTTGCACGTGGCCGTTTGAGCCCATGACTTTTGAGCACTTGAGGTCGTGCAAGCAGATAGTATCTGGTAGAGTGAGACTTTTGTCTGGTCAGGGTCTTGACGGGTTCGGCATGAATAATGGATGAAGAAAGTAGTGACAAAAATAGACAAATCTACCAAAGTTGCCTTGAGGCTTCGTTTCGTTTGGTGATGTTGAGGAAGAAGGCTGTGTGTCTCGGAAGTATTGGCCCACGAGGTAGATAGTAGAGACAGCCCAAGCTGTGTAAGTCGATGGTTGTGTCCTGATTGGCTGGGAGATGTGGGCAGGTTCTGATTGGCGGATCGCCCTAAAGGGGACACCACCAGGCCAACCCTGGGCACACTAACAGCAGGGCGCCAGGCCAGCCGCGACCCCAGCCGGCCAAGGACGGACGGAGCCTTGCTTTCGCATCGCAACTTGCATCCTGCATTCACCCAAAGCCGCCCGCGCGAAAACAGCCTCCGCCTCCTGCCCAGCACGTCGTGGCCGAGGCCAACATCACACGAGGCCCTCATCTCTAGGCGTGCTCCGCACCGCTACTTCTTTCCCCACCTGCGCTCTTCTTCATTCCGGCAACGATCCCCTCCGATCAGATCTTGGCCGCAAACTCTCGTGCTTGCCCACGCCACTACTTGAACGACCCTCGACACCGACACGGCCTGCTTGGTAACCGCCCGACTTCCCGTACCCAGATAAAGTGCCTTAGCGGCGCTCGCAAGGCAACATGGCTGCTGTCAGCGCCGCCCAGTCAGCCGGCATGGCCAGTCTCGCGGCGGCCGCGAAGCCTGCTGCTCGCCAGCAGTCCCCGCCTGCCCCCTCGAAGCGCGACAAGAAGCGGCAGCTTCTCAACGAGCGGCTCACGCTTCTCGACGACCAGTTCAGCCGCGACCGTGACCGCCACTACCGGGAGGAGCTGCAGAAGATCCAGATCGACGTCAGCCTTGTCGGCCGCGTCGACCCTTACGCCGACCGGCCTCTCGATGCCATTGAGCGCAGCTACCGCGAGCTCTCGCAGCAGACCAGCAGCAATGGCGCCAACCGCAGCCTGCTCGACATGGCAGGCCCGTCTTTCCAGGAGTGGGTGCACGAGATTGAGGATCTAGTTGAGCACCGCGACTACGAGCTTGTTACCCAGAAGGTGTGAAACCTCGTAGACCCATGAACACAGCCCAGACAAGAGTCGATGCCCGCTAACTCAACTTGACAAATCTCACAGCACGAGTACGATCGCAAGTCCAGCGAAGCCGCCAACGAACATGCCTACCGAATCGAAGTTGCCCGACGCGAACACAAAGCCTTGTCTGCCACGCTGCGAGACCGGCTGATCAACAGCATTACCTCGAAGAAGTACCGTCTCGGCAAAGAGAAAGAAGCCCTTGACATCTCGGACAGTTCAGCACTTCTACTGCACCCAAACCAATTCAGCCTCACAAACCCCGCGAGCCCGGGAGGACCGCACGGCAAGCGTAATACGAGGTTACGACGAGAGATGGAGGATCTGCCTGGCTTCTCGGATAACAAGAAGCGGAAGCGCAACGGTGGTGGTGGCGGTGATGAGGACGGCTCGCCCGCCCCAACCCGCCGGCCGCTTGACGCTACCAACACGACGCCACTCTGGCAAGGCGAGCGGCTACGAGGCCTGCGCAAGGAGAGCGGGCCCATTTATAGCATTGACAAGCTCTTCACTGACAAGGAGTTGGCCATGACGTATAACACGGCTGCGCTCGCGGCACACAAGCACCTCCTCGTGCGGCGCGACAACAACGGCAACATCCTGCCCTCCCCGGATGACAGCGAGAACGGCAACGGCGACGGCGCCGACGAGCCCGAGGACGAGTTTGCGGCGGCGACCATGATGGAGCGCCAGCCATCACACACCACGCGCAGCACTCGCGGCGCGCAAGTCATGCAGCAAAACTTCTACGACGACAAGATGCTCGGCATAGAAGGCCTTACGAACTTTGAGCTTCCCGGCAACTTGGACCGCATGGCGGCGCAGGAACCCAAGCTGCCGCCACTCATCCATTCGCAGTATTCAAAGGCATACGTCAAGTCAGACAGCAACACACCCACAGCCCTCTCGGCCGACGACGCATCGCAGGACTTCATGGTCATGACTGTGCTCAAGCACTATCAGAAGGCCAACGGCGTCGGATCCAACCTCGAGGTCAACAACGGCGGGCGCCGCCTGCTCGAGGCCATGACGGCCAGCAACGGCGCCGGGGCGGGCAACAAGACACGCAATGCGGTGTTCCTCCAGGGCCAGCGGCCCTCAGTTGAGGCCCTGGCCGAGTCACTCAATGTCCCGAGCAGCAGTCTCCGTGACGAGCCCTTGCCTGCCGGCGGCTCGGCGCAAGGTGGCGGCCCTCACAGCGGGGCGCCCACAGTGAGCGGCGGGTTGTTGTCCGTGCTGGGTGGGGGACTGTCTGGACTGACGAGCTCGCCCGGAGGATACGCTGGGTTCGGCGGTGGCATGCCCATGAGCCGGCAGAGCAGTCTCGGTGGCGCGGCGATGAGCCGGTCCGGCAGCGCGCGTGGCGGCAAGAGGAAATAAGAAAACACCCAGCCCTGCAACGATCCAAACCATCAAAAACGGCAGTCTTCATCTTCCATAACAGCTGGGACGGCAAAGCTGGACAAAGTTTTCATGCGGCAAAAGTGGTGTTCATCTGGGGCGGGGGAGGGCTCTTTTCGATTTTCCAGTGTTTTCCCGATATTCTCATGTCTCCCCTTTTTTTTCGTCTTTGTACTGTACTCCCCACTGGAATGAGGTTTTAGGCATAGTTTCGTGTTCATCAAAGTCCTTCACCCCGCACACGCAAACGCACACACTCACATGTACCTTAGAGCGATGGAATTTGTCTTTTTCACCAATGGTCCTTCTCCCGAGACTTCGAGCTGTTTGAAAGAAAGAAAAGTGATTGGCTGCATTGTGTAACAGTTTTTGTTGTCCGCCTTACATTGTTTTTTTCCGTTGGTTTCCTGTTGGCGGTGGACTAGTGCATAATAATTCATCGGTCTTATGCGAGGTAGGAAATGGGGGAACAAAAAGTCGGCCTCAGTTTATGTTCTGCATTTTTTTCTCCAACGCTTTGTCATTTGTGGGAATTGGAAAAGGCAAGGTCGGCGAATTAGAGCACCAATGATGTTGATCTCGCAATATTGCCCTTGGAACCAACAGCTCTTGCGTTGATAAGCTTGTGGTTGCTGGTCTGGTATGGTATGGTAGATTTGATCAATCGAGGCTCATCTGACCTTTCGTAGAAGCTATTGTGTTGCGCAAACAATGTCCTTGATTAAGTATTCTTCGAGTCAAAACCATCACTAATCTCTTCGAACAACTGCTAGCACACGGCCATCATCACGTCCAACATAGGCGCTTGTGGGGTGGAAGTGAATCATTGTATCGAGAAAGGCACTGTGTGTGCCATGCAATTCATCTTCTGCCACCAACACGGCTGACTCGACCCGCGACCGGCTAGTACACCCGAACCCAGGAATCGTGGCAGTATTTTGTCGTGTTCCGCCACCGAGTCGTCTTAACTGGTGTGCCCAAAATCGTGCTAGCCCTCATAATGAGCAGCATAGAGACCAACCACTGCTTTGACCACGACATCTAGGGGCGCTTCCGCATTCTTGATAATCTCGGATCTCGCCGGGAGACTCGACAGGAGAGTCGAGGAGAGTCCAGAAAGTTTTACTTGAGAATTTCGTCATTTCCTTTTTGGCAGAAAGACGTTCCACATTGAAGGATGAGATACGATCCTCGCCTGAAAATGGGCCGGTTTGTCCTTGTCAACGAAAGTCGGCTAGTAGAGTCATGCGGTTCACTTTCCACCACCGCAACCATTCTGCGGCTCTCCAGGTTAAAAAGGATATAAAAAATACCAAAATCGCGAAGGCAACCACCAAGAGAAGCGATTTCACAACTACCCGTCGCATGGAGTCGCCGGGCGGGGCCTCCACCAGCCGGCGCAACATGCTCCCGAATCTCTCACAGAACGTCTCCCAGCACGACGACGACACCCTCTGCTGCGTCACCACCAGCAAGGCAGCTCGCCCTTGCTCCCGGGAGCCGGCGATGCCGTCCTGATCACGGTGCCATTGCCACTGATGCTACTTGATCTGCTAGATATCCTCCCGCTCACGGTCTCCGCGGGCGATCAGCTACCGTGGCAGTTCTCGATGGGAGAGAGTTGACGATGCTGCGTTCCTCTGGGCGACGGGCGGTGGCTCAGCCAGTGTGACGGGCAGAAGCGGGCACATGTCTGATGACTCTGTGCCGCTGTTCAGATGCGCCATGGTGTTTCTGTGTCAATCTTGTGGTAAAAATACGGCTTTGAGATGTTGCGTTTGCGGAAGCGATAATAACCCGTCCCAGGTATATCGTGGACTCGATCGATGTTTGATCTAATGGATGTTGACGGCGACAGAGGAAGTCAAGGGCGAGGGCATGGGAGAGCAAACGGATTTGTTGTTAATGATGTTAATGCTTGGCTCTGGAGTGAGGCGCATTGTCTCTTCGGATTGTTGGTCGATAGACGGTGCCGTGAAACCGGCTAGATATACACAGCCTATCCGCTGGCAAGCACTTCTGGAGTTACAGGGAAGAGAGTTGGCTGCCTTTGGCAGGCGGCCCGTCGCTGATTGTGATTGCAGTCGTGACTTCCTCGGGTCAACAGTGCATTGTCATTCACCGTGTGCGGCTCTGTTTCTCGATGGCATTCATTATTCTTAGCATTAATCGTGAAGTCTTTCTTGAAACAATACTCCAAACTCCCAAACACCAATGATCATGCTGCTCTCCCTCTCAGGGTATCTAGCCGAAATAGTGTCTACAACGCCGGAAGCAGTTATGCAAAATGTGGGTGCCTTCCAGATCAGCTGCGCGAGAAAGCAGCACCTGGAGGCCCATCCCGAGTCTCTTCTCGTGATATCGAAAATGCAACAAACGCGCCATTGTCGCATTCACATCCAGAAAATGAATATGAAGCACACCACACTGAGGCCTACCGACATTTCCGCCAATGTCCTCCTCCCGTCGATGGTACCTTTCCCTGGGGGTGGCGCCGAGCTCGTCTCTAAGTCGGGCCCGTGATCTAAGAGAGCGTCATGGTTGGGCGCAGTGGCGGCAGGAATTGCCATAGATTCCATATGTAGCGTCTTTGAGACGCGTGCTTCGGCGCTTCTCTGATTTGACGCAATTCTGGATAGTCTGGGTGCCCGAATAAGAGCCTCGGCTTGAATAACGTTCCGTTCGTTAACTGCAGTAGGTCCCATGTCCTTACTACACTCGTAGAACAACAGTTGATCTGTTTCGGGCTGTGATATTCCGTCTGTGCAGTGACCTAGCCCCTTTCGTCTTTGGATTTTCACCGCAGCTGTGGCCTTTTCATTCTACAGGCAGGAATCAGTTTCTGGCTTCTGTGAAAGGTCCAAAGGTGTCAACTCACGGAAGAATTTGGACACAATACTGAATCGATGACAGGATATAGCCGCACGTGTCCTGTTAACATTTGGTTGCTTCCAGGTACATTGATTACGGGCTTGTGCAGAGAGATATCTTGCGCTGACGGTTCAAATGGTAACTCTCCAGAGGTGATGACGAGTGTCAGCGCCGCAACAAGCCACTGCCTCATGTTGTTTATGCCTGCTAAGATGACTGGACAGTTGAGATGAAAGGTCCGTGATAGTGTTGGGGGGTACGTAGTGCCAAATTTGTTGTGTGACCTGAGATGCGTGCCAAGGAGAAGCGAATTGTGGGATGACCCGTCACTTTGGGTTGAATGGTTCAGATTTGGCAGTGTTCTTGTTGTCGCGACGATCCGTACAGAAAAATGATGCCAAGGAGTTCTCCCAAGCGCTTATCCAATGCGAGTCGTGTGGAATGCTGTGTTTACTTTGGATATTACTGAGCCTCTTGTCCTCATTGCTGTTTGTTGATGATGGGCGGAATTGGTTGCGGCTGCAAGCTCCTCACTGCAAGCTTGCCGATGGCCGGCTGTGGGGAGAGTGCTGGCAACCGCAGCTATTCCTTTCGTGACTGACGACGATGCGATGGGGTGTACAAATACAGTTCGTTGGCAAAGGCGTTGACGTCCTGGTGATGGTCATGCGCGTGTAAGTGATGCGGCTGTGCGACACGGGTGGCGATAGTCGCGTGGCCGCCGGTGCTGTCCGTCAGGCTCGGGCCCCCAGCAAAGCTTGACACGACACTACCAGATCGCTGGAATGCCCAGAGAGAATCGTCTTTGTGTCAGTCTGGGGACTGTGAGGTCACCGGCGCCTGCCCAGGTGTCGCCTGTTGCAATGTGGGCGTGGGCGGACTGGGGAAGTTGCCCAATGCGGAAGTGGCGACCAACAGCGACTCGTCAATCCGAGACACCTTGTGCAAGCTTCCATGTACTGCAGTGGGCGGAACCGTCTTGCTTGGAGCTCAAACCCCCAGCTTCGACCCAGGTGATGATGGGCAGTCAACAATCGAGGAAAAAGAAAAGTGAAGGGTCAAGCGAGGAGAAGCATGCCGTGCCCTCGACGCGGCGGGCGACTCACCTTGGGATATGAAGCAGTCCTTGCACCAGAAGAGCCCACCCCCACTCCATCACGATCCCTTCCACCATTCCCTGCTTGCGCCCGGCACTTTTCTGCCCGTGCGGCCTGTCATGAAAAGCCATGGCACCTGCCCCCCGGGGCCCTCAGCCAAGGAAGCGCGCCCTCCTCCGCTGCCGAGAGAACCGGCAGGAGAGATAGCTGGGCAGTCCCGACAGGGCTGCAGCAGCATCTGCTCCGGCTGGCTTAGCGCCAACCTGGGCAGCCATGATAAGAGATGCGTCAACCAACGGACCAGGTCCACGACATCACCACCAGCGCCCGGGCGGCTCGATATTCCATGCCAGGATACCAAGGCATGGTCTCAAGCTTTCTCTAGCTTGTGGCCACAACATTGATGGCTGCACGCTAATGTGTCTGCAGCTCGCAAGCTCCAAATTACCTTGGGTGCTTAGCTGGTCTTACCATAGTATATGCCTCTGGGAGACTTGCACAAACTCAACTTGTCGGCAGCTCCCACTGCGCGCCAATCACGACAGCTGGGCTGGTCCTCTTTGGCTTCGGCAAGACCTGTCAAAAGCCCGATGCTACCATGGCACGGATCCGCCCTTGGCCGCATTCGGCAACGAGCTAGGTAAGTGCATACTAGTCCTGCGCCTCTATTCCCTGCTCTCATGGCCAGATCAAGGAACAAGTAATGAGCACCCCATGCCCTCATGGGACCCTCACTCTCCCATTCAGGGCTCCCCCATAGGCTCCTTGCACATTTGGTACCGCGACATTCAGGCTTTGTTTGATCGGCGGAGGGGCACTTGAGGTGGGCAACTGCGCCGACCAAAATGACACTACCATCACACTGACGCACTCTTGTAACATGCATGGCTTAGAGGAGGCCTCTTTCCGGAATGTTCTCGTAAGCGGCGATCTGACAGGGAAAAACCCTTTCCCCAAGTTCATGATGCTGGAATAATTACAGCCAGCAACTTCCTCACGCAATCGTGACTCGGCATGATGTCGGTGAACGGGTAGGTTTCGGCAGCAACTTTGTGGCACAACCCATATCCTGGTCTCACCTACTAAGTGTTCCGGAAGGTGATCCCGGTCAAGCACAAGCATGATTCCGACAGTCTCTTTCTGGTCTTCTTCAATTGATATCAACAAGAAAAGTCCCGCACGTGGGGGAGTGGGACCTGCCACATTTCTTGCACAATTATGACGCAATAGTCTCTGCTGTGGGTGGATCTCGTGATGTTTCATGTCCCGGGTCGTTCGGCGGCTTTTTAGCTTTCCTCCACAATCAGAACTGCATACAGTGCCAGTATTAGAAATACATGTTCCGTGAACCCTCTTATTACCCTCGCTGATAAACATAGATATTGAGCTGTTGCCGCCGCTGTGTCTCTCTCGACGCCTTATTCCATCATCCAGTATTACCCGTCATTGTGCGCATTTTAGTGGTTTGTCAAACACATGGAAAATCCAGCCGCATATCTTCCGCATCGCGGTCACACCGTTTCAGTCGGCGGACTCGCCATTGTGTTACTGCTGGGGTACGAGTAGTTCTGCCACGGCCGCCACCTGTACGGTTTCGAAGAAGATGGAGGCGGGGTCTGTGCCTCCGGCCCGGACGGGCTGCCCGTGCCGCTGCTGGTCACGGAAAGCGGCACCTCGTGGCCGCTGCTCGACCCCCGGCTGTGACGTATGTTGCGTCCTCCGCCCATGCTCGTCCGTCTCCCGCCCCCCGGTATTGTCAGCGGTTCGCTCTCTCGACCGAGCCGCAGGCTCCCGATCCCCCGCGCCAGCCCGCCGTACTCGTGCACGCAGTGCGGCTCCGTGATCTCGCAGTCCCTGGTGAGGATCTGGTATATGGAGCGCTCCACATCCTGCGCCGTGGGCCGGTCCTGTGGTGCCAGCGAGAGCATCCGAGCAACGACTTGCAGCATCGGGGTGATGCCCTGCATGGGCTTGGCGTCCTTCTTCTCGGCGTCTTTGGCGAGGCTGGTCATCCAAGACTCGACCTGGCCGATATTCTGATGGAAAGACGAGTCTGGCACTGCTCCACCGCGCCCAGCCATCTTATGCTTGGCAGCGCGATGGGCGGCAAAGTTCTTGCTTTGGCGCTTTAGAAGCAGCCCGAGGATCTCCAGAATGATGCAGCCCAGAGAAAAGACGTCAGCCGCCTGCGGGTCGAGCTGTGGAACTGGCTTATGTGCGGCCGGCGGAGGTGGATCTGGATAGCTTCGCGATATCGCAAATGTCGTGTTCCCCGGCGGGCTCGCACTCGACATTTTGCGGTGCTGGTGCGTCTCGAAGGAGCTATTCCTGCTGGGCCGGTACCATTGTTCCGGGGCGGCATAGTCGTATGCCTCCTTGTCGAAATTGCTTCCTGTGGTTTGTGATGCGAGATCGACGCCGAAGCGAGACTCGGTAAAGAATATGTCGTGATCCTTGCCCACAAATAGCGCGCTCGGCTTGATGTTGCCGAGAGACCGGCCTCTACTGTGGATATAGCAGAGGCTGTCTGCCAGACAGTGTATCCAGTTCAGAATGAGTTCCCGGCGTATCTGCTTCTCTAATGCCTTGAGCGGCGGCGGCAGAGCCACTAAGATGCTCTTGAGGTTGGACTCCCAGGCAGGGGACAAGATGATGTATCCGTAGCCTTGGTGAGTATAAGACGCGTAATACGCCAGGACGTGGGTGGTTTGGATCCTCTTGAGGGACTTGAGCTCGGCAAGAAACTGGTCACGAGGGATCTGGCCAGGACCGAGCGCCAAAGGGAATCGTCGTCGCATGAATGTCACTCCGGGCTTGTTTCCAAGCTGGATCTTGTCAACCGCAGTCTGTACAATCCCAGTCTTCTTGTCGACGACATCCAGCGGCGGCAGCTCGACATCGGCAAGGTCAAGATGGTCGCCCTGCTCGAGGTATCGGACGAGAAAGTGGAACTGGCGTTGGTAGAACCGGCGGTCGACTTTCTCGTCGGGCCGAGCCGTCAACGCCAGCCGCTCCACCTGGTCCAGGGGAATAGGCAGGTCGTCATCGTCCCAAGAGTCGTCCACCACGCCAAAGATCTGGTCCGGGATGCCAAGCTCAAGCAGGATTAAGAAGATGCGCTTGGCCTTTTGTTCGATCCACTCCCAATATGTGCCATCGGTCAACCCATCACCGAATCCTAGCTGCTGATCCAGACGCTGGATTTCCTGAGGCAGCAAATGCGAACAAACAAACTGTCTCGTCACGGTAGCCTCGATCTTGGTCGTATCCCACCACATGTCCACAGTCGCCCAAGGGGCATGACAGGGCGAGATATATCGAGGCAGCAACCGAGAGCCCAATGGGGGGGTTTTGGGGCGCTCGGGGCGTGGGGAAGAACCGTCTCAATCCGCGCAAAACGTGCCTGTCTTCTGTGACGGGGGTGGTTGATTGTTGCTTTCGCCGGCTTTCAAGACTCGGATACCTTGAGACCAGTCGCGAGTAATGAACAAGAAGCCCTGCCCAGGTGCGGCTGTAGGTGTGAGATTCGATCGCTGTGGGGCATTGCCCGTTTGTATGTTAATGCGCAAACATATGAGTGAATTCCACGTGTCGCCGTCGCAGGCATTATGTCCTTCTCGGCGTGCCGGCCGGAGAGTTTATCACGAGCTGATAGCGCCACCCAGAACCGCCACTATGCGGGCACGAGGCTGCGTAAATCGATTGGTTGACGCAACTGCAAAGATAAGGAACATTGGAGATCTCTGGGAGTGTGGTACTTGGCACAGAAAGGGAACCCTTGCTATCGGCGCGCGGCATGGTGGGATGTGGGCAGCTCCCAAAGAGGTGTTGCAGAATGGGTGAACATACTTCATGGCTGCGCAGATCGCATGCCCTTTGCGGCGTGTCTGCCAAGAGCGCAGCGCTATCAGCGTCTGCCGAGTGATTTGACCAGGTGTCGCATCCAGAGTCTATTTCAGAACATGGACACTGGATTTGATTGATTGCTCTGCTGCTGAAGGACAAGGAACATGGCCGCGGAGCTGCAGGCCACGCATGGATCGGGGGTGGGCGTCCCCCCACGTTGGCGGCTTGCTGCCGGCGATGATACCAGGCAGAGCAGGGTCAGCGGCCAGCATGTATGCCTGCCTGCCTGCCTGCAGCCCTGGAGGGTTCCAGGGGCTGTCTCGTGGCACCATCACCCCCGCGCACTTCCGCTTTCTTTTCCGGGCTGTTGGTTACCATGGCGCCAGTGTCGGCCGATAGCACTGCAGAATTGACGCGACGGGGTGAGCTTTCGTGTGGAGTGTGTTCCGCATTGTTGCCGATCAGCAAGTCTGCGGGTTGTTGTGAAGCCGACTGCCATGCTTCAGCTCACTCAGAGACCCTGGGAGGTGGAAAGGGAAGCACATGAACCACGACAGTGCGAGGCAGCACAGCCGCCGACGAACGGGGCGTTGGTGGGTTTAGTTGGAGAGTGGCACCCACTGGCTCGCCTGGCAGGCACATGTGACAAACTGCCAAAAACGAGGGCCAGCAATGAAATGCTCTTGACATCGCTCAGTAAGCCTCACATGCTGCCTCCCAACCAGGTGGGCAGTTAATTTGCCGTTATCTCGCCATTGCATCTACACAACAGACATTAATTAATACATTGCCAAACATAGAACGCAACGTGACTGGGCGCCCAGCGCCAAAGGGGGTATGGCCGGCCGTGATCATCATTACTGGCCCTAACTAGGCTAACTTTTTTCTTCTGCGACTCCGTTGCGACTCCAACATCACTTGCCAGCCTTCTTGCTCGTGCTCTTGCTCTTGCTCGAGGTTTCGGTGGTCTCCACATCCGCATCCCCGGACAGCGCCGCACCCCGGCGGCCGACAAAGCTTGACATGGAAGCGTCGATGCCCGACAGCCGGCGCAGGATCGTCTGCACGCCCACGGGCACGACATTGTACCAGTCAGCCCAGCGCGAGTACAGCGGCAGCCCAACGTGCCCGCTCAGTCCGAGGTCGATGTTCTTGATGATCTCCTTGGCCACGTCAATGGGCTCGACCACGGGCGCGAAGAAGTTGCTGGGCGTCTGGACTCCGTAGAAGAGAGGCGTGCTGAGCTGGCCAGGGGTCACGAGGATGGTCTTGATCTCTGGGTACTCGTACTTGAGCTCCGCCTGGAGCGACTTGTGCAGTGCAGTGACGCCAGCCTTGGCTGCCGCATAGTCAGTCAGGCCAGCGGCACCCATGTGGCCGATGACAGAGGAGACGGTGACAATGGTGCCGCCGACCTCGTTGCGGGTCATGCCGGGCAGGAAGGTGCGGAGGGTGTAGAAGTGTGCGAGCAGGTTGGTCGTCAAGCTCCTCTCGGCCTCGTCAAGAGACATGTCGAGCAGGCGCTTTCCGAGCACGACGGCCGCATTGTTGATCAGAACCGTGGGGGCACCGAGCTATTGCGCGCAACACCACGAGGATCAGTAATCTGGAGAAGCTCTGCAGGGGGATGGCTGAAAAGGGGGGGAAGGGCTACTCACATCACGCTCAATCTCGGCAGCGACCTTCTGAACCTGCTTCTTGTCGCCGACGTCGCACTTATAGTATGTCACACCTCGCGCCTCCGGGTTCTCGAGGTGGTCCGCAATGTCGAGCACCGCGACGGTGGCGCCGCGCATGCCGTATACCTCTGCGATAAGCAGGCCGAGACCACTAGCACCGCCAGTGATGACAATGACCTCCTCGCCGAGGTCGACCTCGCGGTGCATGCCGTACGCGACCTTGTGCGAGATGACATCGGCGGCCCATAGGAACGTGACGAAGCAGGCCCAGGCCATGGTGACCTGCATGGGCTTGGTGTCCCAGGCATGATGCTCGGCGCGGAAGCAGAGCGGGATGATCCAGGCAACGAACGGGTGCAGAATCGTAATGTTGAGCACCCTCAGGAGCATGTCTATGGAGAGCGGCGAGTACCATGACTCCCGAGCAGGAGGTAGATTGCCACGGCCGGAGTCCATTGTGAGGCTTGCGGGAAGTTCCGAGTCGAATTTGACTTGTGATTAATCGGCTGCTTGAAATGAGGAGGAGTCGGAGGTACGTGTCTTCAAACCAGGGTTGGCGGCGGAAGGGAAATGCTGTGCAGTCGTGGCAAGAGAGCCGGCTCGAGCCTTTGAGGATAATGTGAAGCGCCAGGTAGGCAGGAAGAAGAAGTGAATGTGCAAGAAGGGAAACTCGTGCGAAGATGACGGAGCTGGAAGGAAAACCAGAGCTTCAGGATATGGGACGAAACAGCCACCACGGAGCGGCCCCCTTGGTGTTTCAACAGGCCCCTCGCTAGCCCCGAGGGGGAGCTTCCCCTTGTCGCAGAACAATTTACAGGTGAACCCCGGTTATGCGGACCTCACATAAGCGGATTCCCTCGCTTCTGCGGATGAACTGGCTGTTTCCTTTCAAAACACATGCGATTCCGCTAATCCCTCGCGTTCATCGATTACGCACAAAGCGAGGCCATCGCCACCACCTAAATCCGCTAATCCGAGTGAAATAGGGGCGCGTTTGGACCGCGTTTTGACCCCCCGAAATGGCACCCCGCGCCACCGCACCCTCCAACTTGAAGCCGTCGCGGCGACGCATTTCGACTGCGCAGAAGCTAGCCCTTCGCGAACGACGACGTCTCCGTCCGACAGACTCCCATATCGAGCTACAGCAATGGTTCCTGAAGCAGTACGACCAGCCTATCTCGACATCCTCCATTACCGACATCCTCGGCAGCCGTTTCGCGTACCTAAGCGAGCCACTACAGCAGCCACGCGCCCTCGACTTGACGCGGGTCAATAATAACCCTCACCGCGACCTCGAAGGCGCCTTATATATGTGGTGCCAGCAAGCTGAAAGCTCAATTACTATCACGGGCGAAGTCATTAAGGCAAAAGCACGGCAATTCTGGGCGCAAATGCCTCAATACAAGGACCAAAAGCCGCCGCAGTTCTCGAACGGCTGGCTCTATCGTTTCCAAAGCCGACACGATATAAAACTACGCGTACAGCATGGAGAGCTAGGCAGTGTCAATATCGTCAATACTGAGAAGGAGATGGCCTCAATCCGACAGATCCTCTCGAAGTATTCCCATGATGACATTTACAATTGCGACGAAACAGGTCTTTACTGGAAGATGATTCCGGATCGCTCTCTTTCGACGCGCAGCCTTCCAGGCCGCAAAAAGGAGAAGGCCCGGATCTCAGCCCATCTCTGCTGTAATTGGTCAGGTACTGACCGTTTACCAATATGGTTCATTGGCAAGGCAAAAAGGCCTCGCGCCTTCACCGCTGCGGGGGTCGATATCCGCCATATGAACCTAGAATGGACTCACAATAGGAAGGCCTGGATGACAGGGACTATATTTGAGCAATGGCTACGTTGGTTCGACCGCCAAATGGCTGGTAAAAGCGTCATTTTGCTGATGGATAACTTCTCTGCTCATGAAGCCGGATATGAAGCTATTCTGACAAGTGCGACCCCCCTACAAAACACCGCTATCATATGGCTGCCACCCAATACTACAAGCAAAACACAGCCTCTTGATCAGGGAATCATTGCAGCCTGGAAATCTCACTGGCGACGGTACTGGGTACGCTATATGCTGTCGGAATATGACGCCGGTAGAGACCCTCTTAGTACAATGAACGTACTAAAGGCTCTGCGATGGGGCATCCAAGCCTGGGAGCTAGATGTGACTCCTGAAACTATCACGAAGTGCTTCAAGAAAGGCCTCATGGAGGCCCCTAGAGACCCCCAGCAGGCCACACTTGAGGCAGCAATTGCTGCTACTCATGAAGAAGCCGTTCGCGAGATTACGTACGGCTTGCAGAGGCTTCAGGCTAATCATCACGTCAAGGAGGTGATGAACATCCATAACTTCCTGAACCCGGCTGACGAGAATCTGACTGAAGAATCCGACGACCTTGACCAGCAGATTCTCGACCAGTTTACCCCGGCAGGCAATAGCGACGACGACGACGACGACGACGATAATGCTGAGCTTGAAATTGAGCCACGAATCACCATAGTTGAGGCCCTAGAGGCCCTCCGCCGACTGCGCCTTTACCAGGAGCAATCAGGTGGTGATACTGGCCTCATTTCTTACCTCAATAAGCAGGAAAGGGTACTTACGAACTCATCAATTGAAGCCTTACAGCAGAGAGATATCCGCATGTACTTTCAGTAGAATACAGAGCCTGGATAGGCGTGAAATACCTCAAGAATGACCTCCCCTCAATACTGCGGATACCTCATTTTAGCGGATTGAACGGAATGTCTCCTTTATTCCGCATAACCGGGGTTCACCTGTAGCACAGGGCACGATGCGCCGGCACTGGTCAGTTGAGCCTCACCACCCCGCAGTCCGGTCAGGGGGGATCGTGCTCTGCGGCTGTAACCGCGTCTAGGCTGTGTCAAAAGTCCTGACTCGCGAGTTGCGCATCTCAACGAAACAAAGGCTACTTGTCACAGCGTGCTTGGAAAAACGAGCTACTTTTTGGGTCTAGTCGAGATCATTCGAGGAATGCACGTGTATCGAGAACAAAAGCGATTCCATTTTCTCTTTTGCAATGCTAACAGTCAGGAGCAGTCGACCTGGAACGCCTGGTATCCCTTCCCCAAAAGTATGTCTGATGAAAACAAGAAACGCCGCGCCAATGCAAACAATGTCTGGCAATGTCCGTTACTTCTCATGCGCTAGAATGACCTTGTCGCGCTCGCTGCGCCGCTGCTCAAACTTCCGCTTGCTGTGCTTCCGCTCGTTCTCCTCACGTCTCTTGATCGCCTTGAGCTCCTCGCCCTTGATCTCGTTCGCCTTCTTCACAACCTTGGGAACATGCCTATGACGGCGGATGCGGCGAATCTCCGGCATGTGGCTGTATCTGTTGAGCAGGGTGTCGCTGTACTCGAGGGCTTGGCGCTGCTTCGCAGACTTGACACCTTCCCGCTGAGAGGCATTCGCCCTCCACAACCGCACGTTGCCGTCATCAGAGCCAGATAGCAGGTACTTCGAGTCCGGCGTCCAGCGTGCGCAGAACACGCGTTGCATGCGCTTGGTATGATAGACGTCTCTAGAGTGACCCTTGCTCCTGCTCCATAGTCGGACTGTCCGGTCATACGATGCCGTCACCAGCTCCTCTCCGGTGGGCGAGAACTCGACATCCATAACGGCAGCTACATGATCCTTGAGAATCTGCAGTGCCCGGTCAAACTTGCGAATGTCCCAAATGTAGACGTTGTGGTCTTCGCTGGCGGTAGCCATGTTGAAAGTCTCCATCGGGTTGAAGGCGATGGCGTTCGAGGCGAACTTGAGGACGGTCTTGGCTACAGGCGACCCAGTCCTCAGATCGTAGAGGATTACACTACGGTCGGTGGCGCAAGATGCCAGAACGGAGGTCTCGGTCTGGTTGAATTGCACAGAGGTAATGGTGTCTACAGCCGAGGGCCATTTGAGGATCTCTGGAGCTGCCGAGTAATTGTCGAGGTCGTAGATGGAGATGACACCAGACGCAGCCGCGAAGGCGTTCCGAGACCGGTGGTGAGAAAGCGATGTGAAAGCGTTTGTGCCGAGCCACGTGTTGAGAGGGGTCGACTCGCTTCGGGTGTTGTATGGATCAAAGAGCTTGATAGATCGATCGGCAGCACACTGCGAACAGATCTGTCAGTCACGCCAACTTGCAGCTCTGCAACAAGACAAACACTTACGGTCAGGAGTTTCTGATCCCTGCTCCAGGTCATGGACTTGACAACGTTCTCGTGGGCAGTGCCATGCCAGATCTCTTCGCGACTCGTCAAATCCCAGACTTTGACAATTCCATCACCGCTTCCGCTTGCAAAACGCTCCAGCGAATTCGGGTCTTTGGCAAGAGAGTACACGCCATCGACATGACCGTTTCCGAGTTGGCCTATGAAAGGCTGTGCGTGCATGCGCTCAAGCTTGACGGCATTAAGGGCACGCGTGTATTCGCGGGCTCGTTCGAACGGGTGTATCGCAGGATCGAGGTTTCGGGGCGCCTTTGGAACACTGGAACCAGCAGGCTGGTAGGCCTCTACGGACCGACTGAGCGCCTTGATCTTCATGGCTTCAGTGTGCCTTTGCAGAGGTTGGCGGGAACTGCAAGCTTGATGTCAAGCTTATGCCTTCTGGGGATTGAGCATCCTGACCCAGGTTCGGCTTCCCCCAACTTTTTTCGCCTCGAGTAGGTTGCACCGCTATCGATAGAGGGCGGGCCTGGCGCTGATGGCGAAGTGGGGACGCCGAGAGCAAAGCGTCCACGGGTGTCTCTGCTTATGTAAACGGTCTATGTCCACCAGACAGGAGTAATCGTGGCTGGTAACAGCCCGCCCCACCAAGGACCCGGCCAGTGCAGTCTGGCGAGTTGATGTCGTATGCGCGGCACTGCCTGGCTGGCTGCACGCGGCCGGGCTCAGCTCAGACAAAGTACCTTTTGGGTGCAGCAACAGCGCGGCAGGACCTGAGGGTGAGCTGGAGCTTGCACATCGACCAGCTGCATCCCACCACCCAACCCGCCTGGCGCTGTCTGGAGCTGTCACAGCCGTGCACACATCGCAGTCACCCATACTGCTCCCTCGCCAACCATCCCTCCACGACCAGCTAGACCACGAGCCTCGGTGCCGCCGACGACTGCCCCCCGTTCATTGCCGTCCATCGAAGCCAGCCCAGTTGGCCGCCCATCTTGTCGCCAGCCGACTTTGGTCTAGCAATCACCATGGCCTCGAAGCCAACCGTCGCGGAGGCACAGGCCCTGGCCTCTTCCGATCCCAGGAAGGCTGAGGCAATCTACAAGGAGATCATTTCGAAGCCGCCGTCAGTCACCTCGGATGCCGCCATCAAAGAATACGAAACTGCCCTGGTCAGCCTTGGAGAGCTCTACCGTGACGAGAAGTGAGTACCGACCAATATATCTCGTCATACCTGCAGCAGGCAGTCTTGTCATTCAAGTTGCAGGCACGCTAACGACTCCTTGCCGACTGTCCATAGGAACTCACAAGAGCTGGTCAACCTGATCACAACCAGCCGCACGGTCCTTTCAAGTTTTGCCAAGGCAAAGACAGCCAAGTTGGGTATGTAGCACCCCTCCTTCGTCGCACGGGATGGAGGATGTCTAACAGTTCAACCAGTTCGCCAACTGCTCGACCTCTTCGATGCCATTCCCAACTCGACGGACATCCAGATCGCCGTAACAAAATCATGCATAGAATGGGCAACCTCGGAAAGAAGGAGCTTCCTCCGCCAGAACCTCGAGACTAGGCTGGTCAGCCTCTACATGGCCAAGCAGTCATACTACGATGCGCTTACACTTATCAACGGACTCCTGCGCGAGCTGAAGCGTCTTGACGACAAGCTCGTGCTTGTCGAAGTGCAGCTCCTCGAGTCGAGAGTCTACCACGCCCTGGGCAACACATCAAAGGCCCGTGCCGCCCTCACAAGCGCCAGAACAAGCGCCGCCTCTGTCTACACGCCGCCTTTACTACAGGCCAACCTCGACATGCAGTCGGGCATGTTGCACACGATGGACCAGGACTTCAACACGGCCTACTCGTACTTCATCGAAGCTCTTGACGGCTACCACACACAGGACGAGTCGTCCAAGGCGACGGCCGCTCTGCAGTATATGCTGCTGTGCAAGATCATGCTCAACCTGGTTGACGACGTCAACAACCTCATGGCCTCGAAGCACGCGCAGAAATACGCTGGACAGAACCTTGAGGCCATGAAGGCGATTGCTCGCGCGCACTCGAACCGCTCGCTCGACGAGTACGAGCGTGCTCTCGCTGCCTACAAGTATGAGCTGGGCAGCGACGCCTTCATCCGGAACCACCTTCGCCGGCTTTACGATGCCATGTTGGAGCAGAACCTGATCAAGGTCATTGAGCCTTTCAGCAGGGTGGAGATTGCACACATTGCCAAGATGGTCGGCTTGGACACGACGCAAGTGGAGAGAAAACTCTCACAGATGATTCTGGATAAGGTTATTATTGGTGTCCTCGACCAAGGAGCTGGCTGTCTCATCATCTACGACGAGACACACCGCGACGAGTCATACGACGCGGCCCTCCAGACGATCGAAAAGTTGAGCACGGTGGTTGACGTCCTCTACACCAACCAGGCTTCGCTTCTGGAGTGATTCATCTGCTTTTTTGGGAGCCTCTGTAAAGTATGGCCACAGACGTCAAAGATCCGAGTCACTATGAAGCCGCGACGCTCGTTTGCAGATAGAGAGAGTCGTGGTGCAATAGACGAACAAGTAGGTGGTGGGACGACGAGACAGGGCCCGAAGTCGGCAAAGAAGATTGCGAGTCCTCGTCAAGTCACAACGCAAATCAAAGCTTGTAAAACCTCTTCGTCTCAAGTGTTGCTGTTCATGTCTCGTAAGATTGCGCCGCCCTTTCCTTGTCATCCGCAAAGGACAGGGTTGGATATAATGCTATGCTATGCTAAATGGGGACAATCCAAACTGCGCTTTTGATGAATACAAACATGACACGTCCTCCACTGCTTGTGGTAGTCTCTGCGCGGTAGTCTCTACGCAGAACTATTCCAAAGAGACTTCGTTATCAGTAGCTTTTCCAATCGCCAATACTTGCTCTCCTCAGGCTCGATGCCTTGCGCCAAGATTGACCCTCTGTCCGGATGTCATTTGTGCCGAAGCGCGGGTTGCGCTAGGCTTGACGGCGCCATTCCGCCTCCTCTCCTCGCCAACGATCAGTGCGAACAGTCTCTTTGCCAACACCATCTCGTCCCATGGGCAGGGGTCAATTTCCTGCATGAAAGCCTTGATGACCTCCAAGTGCCACGACTCAATGAGCATGCTCGCTCCCTGGCCAGAAACCTGCTTGCCGAGGATCTTGCCTCCACGTGAGGTAGGTCGTGATGAAGCCTGCTCATCGTCATAGTTGCCGTCGTCATTACAGTCAATCGGGTCGTCTGCAAAGTCGCCCGGCGATGAGGCGTAAGGGTGGTCACGACGGAACTGCTGCACATTCTTACGACGCAATTGCAGGATCTCGTCGAAGCGCACCCAGTGAGCCTTAGTCCAGGATGTGCCGGTGAGCGCGAAAGCCTTGGGCTGCGGGAAGCGGTTCGTTTCTGCTGCTCCAGTCCTTGGTGGCACAGATATTCTCATGCCATCGTCGTCGACCGGAGCCTCTCTCTGGGGCCTCTGCACACGAGCGGCAGCTGCGTTCGCGGCGGACCTGGAGCGCAGCTCGTTTTCCTGGCCAGAGAGTCTGGGCTGCAGCAGCTGGGGCGGCGGTTGCAGGAACACGTGCCTTGAGGTGTTATCTGGAGCTGGGGCGTTCGCTTTCCTCGGCAAATCTCCATTCGATGGCGGATCCGGAAATACCACATTCTTCGTGAAAGCCACGACTCTGCCCGGTGTCGTCGGCTTCATTGGAGAGCGAAAGGATGACTTTGAGGGAGAGAGAGTCTTATCCCATCGCGAGGGAATCTCGCGTGGTGGTACCCGCTCGTACTCTGAATCTTCCGTCGCAATTGAGGTGTCGTGGTCCTGCCTGCTATTTGACGGATTTAGGAAAGCGACTGTGCTTGGGACTCTGATTGCAGGCAGAGTCGGGGCAGGCGCAGCACGCCCGGTGAAAAGTGCCGAGCCGTTCTGCCCGGAGCGTGGTGTGAAATCTCGCTTTTGCTCGATTGTCGGAAAGGCCTGTCGTTCCGGGGTCGAGGGCAGGTCGCGCGATCTCGGCGTCGGAGTCGGGCTCGTGTCTGGGTCTACTCGAGCCGAGCTTGCTGGCGCCGAAGAAGAGAAGAGCGTATTGCCGCGTTCAGGACTCGGCCTGAACTCCTTTTGAGCAATCGAGGGAAAGAGCCCGGTTGCCCACAGGGACGATTGCGCCTTCTGTGGTTGTAACCCTGGTAGATCCTGTGGCGGCATGCTCGGTAACCCTTTGGGCTTCGCTGTCTCGCCATTGGAAGAGGTGGGTTTGGGGTCTTTGGCGCTGGGCAAGGCAGATGGCGAGGAGAAAAATGACATGATATCAAAGCCGCCAAAGAACCGGGACTTAGCCGGTGGCGGATCAGGATGCTCTTCATTATCCCTGGCCACAAGAGAATGTTCGTCTCCTCCATCAGCCATAACTGGCTGTGCTGAGTTCTTCCTGGCACCCGTCTGCCGCAATTGAGGCGCGATCAAGGAGTATTCCTCAACGTTCACAGATTCGACGGATCTCTCGCTTGGCATCCTGCCAGCATCATCCTGATCTTGGAGCAGGGAATATTCAGACCCTCCAGTATCTTTGGCAGTCTCAGAAGCTCTCCCTTGTTGCTGAGATCTGGGCGGGCTAGGTAAGCCTTCTTCTTCTTCGTCTTCTTCTTCCTCCTCTGAGACGGACCTTTGAAACGTCCTGTGTTCCTCATTCTGGGCGTATTCCGGCGCCGAGGGGCCTAGCCGCTTCTGCGGACTCTCATCGAGTAGTATCTGTGAAGGGCTGTCGATCTCTTCTTGGTCCATATTGTGCCGACCATGACTACTCCAGGGGCTGGGTATCTTGCCTCGTCGAGGCTCGTCGCTCATTCGATGGGGATTCCTGGGGACAGCAGAGGCAGTCACTTGCCGAGACTCGGGCCGCGAGGCCTCGAAGTCCCAGATATCATCGTCGGCGGCATCCAGGAGTATGTCGTCCTCTTCATTGGTAATAGGGGGATCAGGTCGCTGCGGACTTGAAGATGGCCCGCGATTCATTTCAACTGAGCGCTCTGGTGGCGACTTGCGCAGTGAATCTCGCTTTCGCGATGCCGCGAGGCTAGACTCGCGTAAAGCTTGGGTGATGCTCTGCCGTGTAATTGATCTGGCTCGCAGCGGGCTGTCCTCGGCAACCCAACTCATCCGGTCATCACTGGGCAATAATGACTTAGTAGAACTTGACATGGGCCCGGACGGCACAGATCCCCTCCTTTCAGGCGTCCGCTCCTTTGACGCAGGAGCTTGCAGTCGAGCATTTGGATCCTGTCGCTCGGTATTAATTTGTGGCCCAAAGAGGTTGTCGAGACTACGCGTTCTGTCATGTTGCGAGCCAGATCGGGCGCTTTGGCTGATGCTTTGCCTATTCTCCCGCGACGACGCAGATGCAAATGGCGGCATCTGGTTATTGGTCGATCGACCGAAAAGCTCGCTCGCGTTGCGAGTGGGTGACTTCGTGATCGAAGATTGTCGACTGTGCGAACCTCTAAATGGGCTACCCAAGTTGCTCTCTAGTCCTTCAGGAGACGATTTGTCCGACATCACGCTCTGTAATGTTCTTGCCACACGTACGATTGGCGATAGAGTGGGTCGCCGGGATGAAGGCGGCGGCTCCAGGTTTCGTGGAGGCTCGCCCTGATCTGTCTCTGAGAAGGATGGCATCTGTGGAGACTCAGGTATCTCGCGATGCGGATCTCGTCTTTGTGACGAGGCACGAGCCTCCAAGCTCTCAAGCCGCTGTACCACAATATTGGGAGGCGATGAGGGTATTTGGCTCTTCGATTGGGCAATTTGATCTGGCCTTTGTTCTGCCGTGGGTGCCTGGTCATCCGGCACTAGTCGTCGAGGTTCGACATTCGACGAAGACGTGTCATCGGGGGTTGGCAATCGGTTTGACTGCCGTGCCGATCCGGTGTCAATCTCTGGTGAGATGTCGCGGGTCATTGGGCTGCTTTGCAGACCGCTGGGAAAGTCTCGCGTTCGCTGGCGCGCAGCAGCTGGCGTCGCAGCCTCAAGAATCGCTTCAGGGATCTCCGAGAAAGAGTCCTCGTACTGATCCTCTCCATCCAATGACTGTTGACCAACGTCGGCTTGCTGGGGTCTGAACCGAGCTGGTGTTGCTGCTTGGAGAATGCTGTCTGGAATGCTGGAGAACGAGTCATCTGTTTGCCGTGCCTTTCCTGAAAATACTTGCCGGCTCAAGGGGATGGACTTCCTCCGCCTAGGGCTCCCAGATGGACTGCTCGACCACGCATTCCTCATTCGAGATTGAGAACCTGGGGCCTGTTTCTCGGCAGAAAGACCGCTGGGCGAAGCTCTTCGTCCAGACTGCATGACGGCATCTTCATCACCGCCTTCTTCGTCCGAGTTGTCCGCGGATGTTTCGTTTTGTATGCTGCGACGTAGCGTCTCCAAGGTCTGATTGATCATCATATTGGTGGCTTCCCCGAGTTCTGCGGGTTCGTCTTGCACCTCCGAGATGCGACTTAGATTGCCATGAAACGAAGCCTGGAAAGACGCCTGGAACGATGGCAGCGATTCCACAGCGATCATGCTGAAATCCGAGGCGTGCGTCAAAGTGTCTTGCCTGGCCGGGTTGGCAGACTCAACAGTCCCAACGTCTGACACACCATCATCTTCAGGTTCCAGCAAAGGTGCATATCCGTCGCTTAGAGGCACCCCTACGCTCTCCGCCTCCTCTTGGTGGATGCTGCTAGGCTGTCCCTCTTCACTTGGTGGCCTGTTGGGGATAACCAGGTCCCCAAACACGGGTTCAAGTATCGTTAATTCTGGCGGAACTGGTGTCACGCTATCGTCTCGCTCGGAAGCTAGTCGTGATGGGGGATCATCATCATCAATCGCTATGCCGTCTTGGAGTTCAAGCTCATCGTGCTCGATCGGGTCGACATCGTCCGCATTTTCGATACTTGATCGTACTTCTCCGGTGACCGAGACATCGTCCATCGACATGGGCTCGGGATCCGCGATCGCAGTCTCGGGCTGATCCAGCTCGCTACCAGCAATAGCAAATTCGGCCACCTCCTCCGGCATCAGTGCTTTCCGCGGCCTCCCACGCTTCTTGCCTGTTCTCTGCTTGCTGGTTGGGACTTGTGAGGACGGCACTGCACCTGGTGTCGGCGCGCGTTTCGCAGGTGTTTTCCTCGCTCTCGGTTTTGGCTTTGGCGTGGAGCCACGGATATCGGTGTCGTTCCCGAGGTTTACGTCGCTGAACATGCTCGCGTCAGAGGGTAGCTCGAGTCTCGGTCGCGTCGCATCGGTCGCCGGCTTCAGTGGTGTGCCGGCGCGCTTTCTAGGCCTCGGTACGGGCGTGCCATTGCTCTTACGTGGCCGGCTTCTCTTCCGCGGCGTGACGGCTGTGTCGTCGCCGAGTCCTTCGTCGTCCGACAGACCACGCAGGGGCACCTTTCTCGTCGTTGTTTCCTCGGCTCTGACAATTTTGCGGGTGGGCGAAGAAGGCGGGAACAGCCTGCGGTTGACGCCAGAGCGCATGGTTTCGTCGGCCTCGACCGTAACAAGGATGCGCTGAGGGGTGGACTCGTTGCCAACGTCGAGCTCAAAAGTCCGCTTCCGCGGGGAGACGGAGCGGCGCTTCGCGGATGATCTCGAGGGCGACTTCATGGGCGACGAGCTTCGGGCTGCGGCCATTGAGTAGTCGTGGTGTGGCATCGCGATGCGCCTGGTCTTTGACTGGACAGAGCTAGGAATCTCGTCGGCAAGCGGATCCGGCGACGACAAAGGGTCGTCGAGCAAGAGGGTTGCGTCGGCCATGGTTACGATAGGCGGGCCGCGGCGCCTTGAGCCTTGTCAGCGATGGCAGCCGGTCAAAGGGCGAAGAATGATCAGGCTCCGACAGCTCAAGACAAGTCGGTGTGGGGGAGACGCGTCGTGAGAGAAAGTACTGGGAGCATCGCGTGTCGAGGGCGGCTCGTCCCGTCAGCCGTACTGTGAGCTCGGTCTGAGTCGGATTTGCGTTGTATCACGGATGCGAGATGGTTTGTCGACTCGAGTATGGAGTCGTCGTGAGTCGTCTTGGCCAGTCGCGTCAATGGCAAGTACACCGACGGTCGCGTGAAGATGGCGGCAGGGTTCAATGGTGGCGGCAAGGATCACCAAGCTAAGCTATGCGCCGCTAAAGTTCTTTGTTTACTTGCTGGTTGGGCTCCGGACCCCACTAAACCGGCCCCGGACTTGCCAGGCCCCTGCAGCCACCGGCACTGACACCGAACTGGCCAATATGGACCCTACTGTACTGTCGATTAGCAATTCACAATTCCCGATTCATCGCAGTGTATTTGTTTTTGGGCTGCATGACAAAAGCAACTAACAGACTCTCCTCGGTGTGTACCGTTCATCCCAAGGGTCTCTGATTCACTCAAAGCAAGTGAAACTCAAGATTGTGACCAATACGTGTGTCTTTCTTAATCCTTGCGCCATGACTTCTGACTTATGTCAATAGGGGTTTTCAGTTGTGCCTTCGACGACTTCAAAGTTATGCAAGTGAGATTCCCCAATATTCTAGGTCTACCACAACTAACCCGGGCCGTTAATAAAACCATCCACCGAGTCACTTGCTCTGATCTATGGATACCAAGGCGAAGAAATCAGGCCTTTCTGAACTTGTTGACAACTCTCTCAATGCCATCACATCCCTTCTTGAGAGTTTCCATCTTGGGACCGTAGGAGAAGCGAATGACTGCAGAAACAGGGGTGTTAGCTCGGAAGGCATAGTGACAATATGGAGCTCGCTAGATCTGCCAACGCAAGTGCGTTTGCAATAGGCACGGCGTCACAATAACACTTACAGTGGTGGCAGGGACTGTCGAAGAGGTCGCGGCGGCGAGCAGGGTTCAAGTCGAAGAAGATGCCCGGCACGACAATGACCTTCTCTTGCAGACAAGCCTGGAAGAAGTTCAGACCATCAGAGATGGGGCCAGGGAGACCCTCGAGGTTCAGCCACAGGTAGAAAGTGCTGTCGGGCACGTATTTGATCACGAAGCCCATGTCACGGAGTCGCTTGATGACGTAGTCTCTCTTGTCCTGCATCGTGGAAATACTGTCAGCGGATGAGCGTATCGGAGGCGCGCGACACATAGACTTACACGGAAGTGCTTCTGAAGGGCAATCATTTCTGTCTTGACAAGGCTAGGCTCGAGCATGGGAATGGCAGCCTCCTGGAAAGGAGCATTGGCACCGCCATCAAGGTAGGAACCGCAAGAGCCGATCCTGCGAACAAGATTAGTATGTCATATGCTAAGCTCGTGCCTCAAGTCACACGTACGCCTTGATGAACTCTTTGGGGCCCAGAATCCACGCAATACGCCAGCCAGGAAGACGGAATCGCTTCGTCAGACCATCGATGATAAGAACGTCATCTTCGTCAACGTCCTCAATGTTCTCAGCAGCCGAGATGGTGCTACCATCACAGTTGCTGGTGTAGTTGTAGCCACTGTAGAACTCGTCACTGATGAGAGTGGCACGGCCACGGCAGAGATCCTGGATCTCAGCCAGTTCAGGGTTGGCAACAACTCGACCAGTGGGGTTGCGAGGGTTGGAGGTGAGAATGACCGATGTGCCCCTGGCAATTTCCGTAGCGATCGCGTCAGGATGAATGTGGTAGCCATCCTCTTCGGAAAGGGGCGTAGGGATAGCGGCGAACTAGATTGATCGATTAGCCGTTGAAATAAGCTGTTTTCCCCTCGGAGAAGATTTACATTCTTGAATAAAGACAGCATTTCATTGTATGCTGAGTAATCAGGTATGAAAAAGCCAACATAGGCGTTGTTGAGGACGGCGGCGATTCTGATCAGACCGGCACGGCCACCGGGGACAATGGCGACGTTTTCCCAGGTATACTGGCTTTCCTTGCCCTGGCGATGGGTTTCATTGTACATATGGGCGACAGCCTCGCGGAGGGGCTTGATTCCCGCTGTAGGACCATACTCTCTGTTGGCAACAGAGATGTCGATTGTGTTGGGACGGGGGAAGCAACCCTCGATCTCGTCCTCGACTTCGGGGGCACCCTGGCCGAGATTGGCCCACTTTTCCGGCTCCTCGAGAAAGCCGTACTCGGCGGCGCGCTCCGTGCACCAGACGACTCCGGTGCTGGATCTGCTCGCATCGAGGCCGGCGTGCGGCAAGTGACCCTCGTGGGCAGCTCTGAACTGCCTGTGGATCTTGGATGTGGTTTCTGCATGATGGTCGTGTCAGTAAGTAGCTACAAGCTTAGCAAAGTTCTCGTGCTTTTTTAGCTTGCAGGTGCTGCCAGGGCGTTGGAGCCAAGAGGACCCTGAATCAAAGGAGACTTGGCAGCTTCAAGCTGTATGTCTCACGTCACCCAGAAGACTCGCATTGCATGGTTCAGGAAACCAATGAGGACCAGCGAAGAGGGTGAGGTAGTGTTCCAAGGTGTTCGCGTCCAGCAGTCAGTTTGAATGGAAGGGGATACTGTGTTATGACGACAAGCAAATGGAAGAGTCCTTACCGCCACCACTGGGTTCACTGGTGCTGAACCGACGGGCGGGACGGGGCTCGCCCGTGTTCCGGTTCATGGAGAACTTGCGTTGATTGAACATCTTGGCCGTTTTCCCTGTCTGCAAAGGCTATGTTGAGTCTAGACAAGTTGCAATGTCAGTCGAAGGCTGGTCTCGGTGAAGCTGCCGTGGCGTACGTGGACTTGCGCGTACTTGCCTCCTCAGCGCACACAGAGAAAAAGGTGGGCTAGGGTGGCGGGGTAACTGACTTATACGTCGCGTGGTGAGCGGCGGCAACGGGCTTTGTCCACGTCGTGAGCGATAGACTGCAGACCACAGCACAGAGATATAACACGGAACGATGCAGCACAGGGGCGCAGCTGGTCCATGAACAGTACCAACATGCGTTAATAAAAGCAGGGCCAGCTGGCAGCGACCAGTGAGTGGGCGAAAAGCAGGACCGCAGCAGGCTGGCGGTTACGGTGGCCAGAGTGGGGTGGGTGGTCTACCTCACAGCTGCCCCGTGCTGTCTTGACTCGGTGAAGACACGATCGTCACGTCACATTGTAACCACCAATCCCACCCGTGTTATTTACCGCCTTTGTATCATCACCTTTACGGGGCGCTACATCGCAGGAGCGTCCGCAGCGAGTCCCTACGCCTGACAGTACCGATCGTCTGATGCTTCAGACCGGCAGCTTTCGACACAAGGCGCTCTTTGCAGTCTATACTGGCATGCAGCTCCTCTGTGCCATCGACTGAAGCACCAGCAAACTGAAGACTTGGCAAGCTGCAGCCACCCATGCAGCACCTCATCTGAGCACCAGGAAGGATGCCCCTTCCCCACTCTCAGCCCTCGCGCTGGTACGCTGCTACTCTAGTGTAGCTAAGTGTCTGTTCGTGATCCATGCTCGGTCAGGGAACAGTCAATTATTTCTGCTTCTGGCCACCATCGTCAGAAAGATCCTACTCTGTGCGAGCTTGCCCTGACAAAGAGAAACGTCTCGAGCTGGACTTTGCCCGGTTTATTTCGCCCATGGCCCACTCTTGCGGGCCGATATCGTACTAAGTCGCGAAGAAGTTCCGGCTCCCTGAAGTCTCTGCAGGACATGCTATCTGAGTTATCGATCTGTAAATGCTCGAGCCGATAAGACGCGCAGAACTATTCTCAGCCTCGCCGGAGTCCATGTCTGCACAATGTTAATGTTATGGAACGCGATTAAGTACTTGACTGAGTGGTGGCCCAGATCTTAGTACAGTAGGGTGGCAGAGCTGCGACATGGAGACCCTCAGCCCCTGTGTGGCCCAATTCTGGCAGGCGGTGTCAGTCTTGGCGGCACGGAGAAGCTGTACCCCACTTGAGCTTCTTTCTGCCAGACGCGTCTGGGAATCCCATTAACGCGTCACTCTCACCCAGGCAACTCTGGACCGCAGAAATTCCAAGGTCACTAACGTGCATGCAGCTGAAGCCGGATCACCATAATCAGAAGCGTCGCAGCAGATCACAGTGGTGCTCTCCTTCGATCTCTCAAGAACCACCCACAAAGACATCTCGACACTCTACCGCTGCAGCCCGAACCGACTTCAGCACACTGAACATCGATCCGTTTCGAAAATGGCCCTCATCGTGGACAAGCATCGACCTCGGTCGCTGGACGACCTGACATACCACACAGAGCTATCTGAACGGTTACGGTCACTGGTTCGTATCTCATCCGTCTCGTCACTAGACCGCACAGCATGCGATACTCATATCTTCATAACTACAGGCCCAAAGTGGCGACTTCCCCCATCTACTTGTCTACGGTCCGTCCGGCGCAGGCAAAAAGACCAGAATCGTGGCGACACTCAAGGAGCTATACGGACCAGGTGTGGAAAAAATCAAGATCGACGCCCGCGTCTTCCAGACGAGCAGCAACCGGAAGCTGGAGTTCAACATTGTCGCATCAGTCTACCACCTCGAGATAACACCTTCAGACGTGGGCAATTATGATCGAGTCGTCGTACAGGACCTGCTCAAGGAGGTGGCGCAAACACAGCAGGTCGACCAGTCAGCCAGACAAAAGTTCAAGGTCGTCGTGATCAATGAGGCGGACCACCTCTCGAGGGACGCTCAGGCTGCGCTCAGAAGAACGATGGAGAAATACAGTCCCAACTTGCGGCTGATCCTGCTGGCGAACAGCACTGCCAACATCATCGCCCCGATTCGAAGTCGAACATTGCTGGTCCGCGTGGCTGCGCCGAGCATCGAGGAGATCACCAGTGTGCTGGCCGCATCAGCGAAAAGAGAGAACTGGCCAGTGGTGAAGGGTCTGCACAAGCGCATTGCGGAGGAGAGCGGCCGGAATCTGCGGAGAGCGATGCTCATGTACGAAGCAGTGCACGCGCAAAAGTAGGTCACCCTCCTGGAAGCGTGATCATGGATTACTTACGTGGGACTAACGCGCGTCTCAACCCCAACCGCAGTGAGAAGGTCACGGACGACACCCCGATACCCCCACCAGACTGGGAGGCTCTCATATCACAAATTGCCAAGGAAATCATGGAGGAGCATACCCCAAACCGCATTCTACTAGTGCGGGCCAAGCTCTACGATCTGCTCACGCACTGCATCCCCGCGACTACCATACTGAAAACGCTCACATTCAAGCTGATTCCGCAAATCGACGACGACCTCAAGATCGAGGTTATCAAATGGTCCTCATTCTACGAGCACCGCATCCGCACTGGCACAAAGGTCATCTTCCACCTCGAGGCCTTTGTTGCCAAGTTCATGCGGATATTCGAAATGTACTTGATGAGCATGGACATGTAGTCTGCTGCAGCGTTGGGTTTCCGGAACAGAAGAGGCGTTGACAGGAGTTGCGACAGATTGCGTCATATTTGAAGTTCGGCTGTTGGTGAATACAATATGTTATCAGGACGCAGACAGGTGCTCCCGTTTTCGTCCAGCATACAACCCTCATCACCACTGCCAATCGAGCGTGATGGCGTCAATGAACATTTCGGTCCGAGGGATTGGTGGAAGAGGTTTGCAGTAATATATGAACAACCCCCGTGGGTGCGGAATGCTGTGGACTGTAGAGCTCGCCTGTGACCGATTGGTCGGACGTTTGCGCGTTTCGGTCAACCGGGAGCAGTCGGCTACATGATAGGAACCTTGTTGTACGTCGCAGCTGAGCTTAGCATTCTCGGTTGCTATCATGGAGGGGGGTGGAGGCCGCCTGAGCGTGTAACTCTAAGTATGCAACCTCTTCCTGCAGCACGTCAGACGAAAGGACTCTATCATGGCGCCTGGTCGTCAGCCTATCTCCCAGCAGTGATGCCCCGGGATACCACAGCCGACGGGATCAACGGACTTGCATTGACAATGCAGCCTGATCAAGTGTGGCCGACGCCCCGGTAGTTCGCGAGTATTCGTTGAGAACGGGGTGGGGGCGCGGATCCGTCAAGGAAACCAAGAGACATGTATTGTGGAGACCAACTAATAACAGCCGTGGCACCCGCCCGGGCTCTAGGTTTTTTGTTGGGTTGCACCCAGGCTTGTGGTAAACGACATGGTGCAGCACGAGGTCCGGGCCCACGGATGTTCGTTCCACCAGTCACGCTAGAAGCCCTGGGGGGAACCAACGCTGACCACCTCTTCAGCAGCTGCCGACCTCGGGAGAGCACCGCACCTGCAGGAGGAAGCCCACCGAAGATACCTTGAGTACCTTAGTGACTTACTGGTCTTTGCCTCGGGGCCCACGGTCGAGCGGAAGGGGCTGTTCTTGGGCGGGCGGGCCGCGATCAACTTCCCTGCCCAGGCTGATCAGACCAGAACCAAGCCCCGGTATGGAGCCTGCTTGACAAGCCCCTGGCGGCAGACTGGTCCCTTCTTTTCGCCTGCTGCCCTGTTCTGGTGGGGGGCCCTGCGCGGCGGGCGCACGCGCGGGCACCCCTTGGTGGTCGTGGTTGCTGCATCCAGTTGGGTGGTGGCCCCTGGTCCGGCCGAGATGTAAATAATTCTTAAATTACCTTGGTTGGGACAAGTCGGCGGCGCGCGGCTTGCAGCAATAACCACGGCGCACAGCCGCTCGCTTACAAGCAACATTCTACCTCTCTCCTCTCCTCCTCCTACCCCCGAGACAATCACAGGTCTCTCTCCTTTCCTCCTTCCTGTTCTCAAGGTACTTGTGAAACAAGCAACAACCAATACAACGTCTATCTTGGAACGCACGTGAGGTCGCTTTCCTTTGGTCCCTGTCGACGGTCTTGTTGGTAGTCGGGTAGACGACCGCCACCTGCTCCAAGCTCGAGCTTCACCGCATCCTGACGCACTTTTGCACAAAGCTTGACCCCGCAGCGACGGCAGAGCGGCCGACTTCGCCCACAATGGGTAGCCAGGTCACGACTGTCCACGAGGCTGCGGCCGTGGACACTTTCTGTAGGTGCTCAAACGGCAAGCGATGAGGCCGACGGCAAGCAACTGACCCGTGCACAGATCCTCCCAAGAAGATGTTTGCCAGTAAGTCGTAGCGCATGCTGGAAGCCGTCCGTGGACGTGCTTCTGCGATTTCGGTGCTCACGGGAATGCCCGGGGCTTTGCGGAGTGTGCGGCTGACCTCTCTCGCCAGAGCACCCCAGTAAGCCTCATATAAATGGTAAGTCCTTGCGAGAAGATTCCCACCTCGGGAAGAAGAGGACCGCAATGCTGATATGATGAACAGGCATTGAGGAATACCAGCAAATGTACAAGGAGTCCATCACAAACCCAGATAAATTTTGGGGCGAGAAGGCCAGGGAACTGTTGACGTGGCAGCGAGATTTCCAGACAGTGCGTTCTGGGAGCTTGATCAATGGCGATGCGGCGTGGTTTCTTGAGGGTTCGCTCAATGCTGCCTACAACTGTGTCGATCGCCACGCCTTCAAGGACCCCGATCGGGTTGCCATTATATACGAGGCCGATGAGCCTGGTGAGGGCCGCAACCTGACGTATTCGGAATTGCTCCGTGAGGTTTGCAAGACCGCTCAAGCTCTGAAGCAAATGGGCGTGCGGAAAGGCGACACGGTCGCTGTATACCTTCCCATGATTCCGGAGGCGGTCATTGCTCTGCTTGCCATCACCCGTATCGGCGCGGTGCACTCAGTTGTCTTCGCCGGCTTCTCCTCTGACTCGCTTCGCGACCGTGTGATTGATGCCAAGTCAAAAGTTGTCATCACGACGGACGAGGGAAAGCGCGGTGGCAAGCTGATTGGTACCAAGAAGATCGTTGATGAAGCGCTCAAGCAGTGCCCAGACGTCTCTCACGTGCTCGTCTACAGACGCACCGGCGCTGAAATCCCTTGGACCGAAGGACGCGACTACTGGTGGCACGAGGAGGTGGAGAAGTGGCCGTCGTACATTGCACCAGAGTACGTCAACTCGGAAGACCCCCTTTTCCTGCTCTACACTTCGGGTTCGACAGGCAAGCCCAAGGGCGTCATGCACACGACGGGAGGATATCTTCTTGGCGCAGCGATGACTGGAAAATATGTCTTCGACATCCACGACGGAGATAAGTATTTCTGCGGTGGCGACGTAGGCTGGATCACCGGCCACACATACGTTGTTTACGCGCCTCTTCTACTAGGTGTGACGACTGTTGTTTTCGAGGGAACTCCCGCTTACCCAGATTTCTCGCGGTACTGGGACATTGTCGACAAGCACGAGATCACACACTTTTACGTTGCACCGACAGCACTGCGGCTGCTTAAGCGCGCCGGAGACGACTTTGTCAAGCGTGATATGAACAAGCTGCGTGTCTTGGGTTCTGTTGGCGAGCCCATTGCTGCCGAGATCTGGAAGTGGTACCACGAGGTCGTTGGCAAGGAGCAGGCCCAGATTGTGGATGTGAGTCCTTCAACTAATATTTTGGTCTCTACCTGGAGGTTCGTACTGACCCACATGATTCTCAGACGTACTGGCAAACCGAGACTGGATCCAACGTGATTACACCGCTGGCTGGCGTCACCCCAACCAAGCCCGGCAGTGCCTCGTTCCCGTTCTTCGGTATTGAGCCGGCGATTGTTGATCCGGTTTCTGGCGTAGAGCTCAAGGGCAACGATGTTGAGGGTGTGCTTGCGTTCAAGCAGCCATGGCCTAGCATGGCTCGGACTGTGTATGGTGCGCATAAGCGATACATGGACACTTATTTGAACGTGTACAAGGGCTACTATGTAAGTCAAACCGGACCATGGACTGTTTTTGAGACTTTGTTCTGTTTGCTAACGCAAGCCTGCTCAGTTCACTGGAGACGGAGCTGCTCGCGACAGCGATGGATACTACTGGATCCGCGGCCGCGTCGACGACGTTGTCAACGTGAGCGGACACCGCCTCTCGACCGCTGAAATCGAGGCAGCGCTCATCGAGCACGCAGCGGTGGCTGAGGCGGCAGTCGTCGGCGTCGCTGATGAGCTTACCGGCCAGGCTGTGGCCGCTTTCGTGTCGGTAAAGGACGGGAGCGAGTCGTCCGATGCCCTGCGCAAGGATCTTATCCTGCAGGTCCGCAAGAGCATCGGACCCTTTGCCGCGCCCAAGGCTATCTACATTGTGCCTGACATGCCCAAGACCCGCAGCGGCAAGATCATGCGTCGCATCTTGAGGAAGATTCTTGCTGGGGAGGAGGACCAGCTTGGCGATATTACCACGGTATGTTTTTCTCTTCCGCCCCAGGCATGACATTGATGTTGTTGTGCGCAATTGTCTGTCAAGTTGAATAATATTCTAACGCGTTCCGTCTGCAGCTCTCTGACCCAACAATCGTGGGTAAGATTATCGATACTGTGCATGCAGCCAAGAAGAATTAGATGGCTTTGCATCTCACAAAGCAGAAGACGATGACGGCGGGTTCGTCATGACAGGAATAAGGCCCAGCCTACAAACAATGAGGCGTGGGAGTATAACGACTCGGAATTTAATGAGGATGGTATCGGAACTGGGACTGGGACTGGACAAGCGCGAATGTGAAGAGCAGAATAGAAGCGGTGGTACAATTTTGGGTGTGGCCGGGTTTCCTGGCAGGCCGATGTAGTGGCGCGGATTCGTCATCAACGAGACTGGGAATTTCGAGCAGGAGTATTGGGGATATGTGATTTTCCTCGCAATGATATCTCATCCTAGGACAGCAGTCATGAACAGAGTTGGTTGGCATTCCACTTTTTTCGTCCTCCTTTCACAATTCTCTTTTCCCTCTTTCGTTTCTGGGCTCTAGCACTCATAGATCTATTCGTGAACTAGACTGCAAGATTGGGGGGGAAAAAGAAACGTCATGATCGTTTGCATACGCGTCACTGCTGCCATAAAGACTGTACGCACTATTTGAGCGACGCGTGTACAGCCAAGACTTTTCCTGCTCTTGGCTTCCGCAGAGCCCGAGACCCATGAGCCATGGGCCGGCTGGCATAATAATCCCGTTCCGCTGACTCTTGTCTATGTGGCGGAGTTTATCTACATACCCCAATGAGGGGAACTGCCAAAAGCCAAGGAAAGTTGTGGCGCGGGGAGAAAAAGTGATGACATGCATGTCGTTACCCTTTCTGGGATGAGGTCTCTCCTTGTTTTCCTGGTGGAGACTTGCACACGGGTAAGGGTTGTTGATGTTGTTGCTGTCTGTCGGTGTCGGGGGCTGGTAAGATTCTAGACTGATTAGAACCCTTGGCCGGAAACCCAGACCAGAGTTTGGCGTGCAGCAGCTACACAGCAGCAGCAGCAGCAAGGACCAATGGGTTGCGGATGATTGCGCAAAGGCCCCCCCTTCCCAAATTCGCAGGAGGGGATCAAAGAAAAGCCTTTTCTTTTCTTCATCACTGATTGGACCTCGCGTCTGTGGCGAAGTGGCTGCTTGTCAGACAAGCTTGGATGTGGTTTGCCAAATCTGGGTGTGCGTGAGAGCAGGAGGGCTGACAAGAGCGAAGCAAGGCGCGGGCACGAATGAATGGGGGTCTGTCTACGGGAGGGGTTGGTGCTGATGACGACGACGCGTACAGACAAGCCAATCAGCGCGGCCGGGCCCTGCTATCTGACCTGCATTAGCCGGGGGGAACCAGCACACCATTTGGAATCTGAAGGTGGCACTCGAGGCGCCAAGACGCTAATCTCTGAATTCATGGAGCATGTAGCTCAGACAACGCAACTGTTAATCGATAGACATTCAATCAGTTAGATTGGATGAAAGGCAAGAACACTCCACTAATAAGTGCAGTCTCTTTAATGGGCATGATTTAATTGTTAGTGAAATGGCATTTTGTGGAGCGGTCGAGTGCCATCTCCAGATTCCATATGGTGCCAGCAGCAGCAGTAACAAGCTTACATTTAGGCATGCGACCGAAGAGGAAGAAAGAACAAGAACGCGGCGTGGTCGTTTGTGGCCGGACGGCAGCCCGCGATTTCCAAAGACTGCCATGCATGCATCAAACCATGTGTGTATGACGCAGGCGACAAGCGCACCTGCCCAGGACCGGAACCTCTATCAGGAAGAGTGAGTGCGTCTGCTGCTTGCGCGTAAACGACGACCACCAGGCGGTGAGTCTGGGGCCCAGGAGATGCGATTCCAATGGGGAGCAGAAACGGGTTGCTGTGAACATGCGATTTTCCCGCATTGTGACCAAGGGGGCCCGTGGTCTGACCCTCTGTCTCTGCGTGGCCGCTGGCCGTGGGGATCCTGTCCAGGGGACCTCCTTGAAACACCATCCTGACGCATCGAGAGCCCATATATCGGCCTGGCCAGCAACAACGCCAGACCGGACCGGAACTGCTGCGACCTGCTGTGGCGCGTGTCCGTTTCTTGCCATCCTGGGACTCTCTCTGCGCGCGTGTTGTCAACTCGTTATTGTGGTTGTGGAATGATTGATACAGCGAGTCCAGCAGGCGGCGGCGGTGCCCACGTGCCGGGCCCTTCTCACCCTCTCCGCCCCCTGCTGCCCGTGGATCTGGAAGGCCTGCGCGATTCAACCACAATGGTGGCCAACGAGGGACGGTTTTCGCAATGAGTGGGTGTGTGTAGCCAAGAGCGCCCAAGGACGCTGCCAAGCGAACGTCCACGCGTCGTCGACGCTCATCGTGGACCAGCACCCTCTTTACAGAGTAGGCTTTGCTCTCTGCTGGACGATTCTCTTGGCCGCTGGACACTTGCTGCCGCCCAGCCGTGAGAGGGGGCAACTGCGCCACCAGCAGAGCCCTGGAGGCGTTCCTCGTCGAGCGTGGGCGTCCACTGCAGCCGAGTGGGGCGGCCCCGTCGCCTTGCGCATGGGCTGGCACACACACTCCCACACTCTCACAGTCGGGCCACCCGCCCAATCACGCTCTTGCGCCTCTGCTCTCTCTCTCTCTTTCCTGCTCTCTCGTTTACTCGTTTCCTCGCCGCCAACCAGTTCCAGCGACCCGGCGCTCGACATCCGGCACCCTCTGCGCATTGCTCACTTGTTTGTCTGTTCATTCTGTCGTCTGCCCTAATTAATACTTGTCCCTCGGTCCCCTTCATCACTGTGCGCTGGCTCGTCTGCAGACCTGGACCACAGCCTGCCCACTGCTCTTTGCCGAACCAACAACTCCCGTTGCCGGCCTCCCGAGCCGTCCCTTTTCCCTTCTCCGCAAACCGTCTGGCCCGGCTGAGCTCGTATCCACGACCTGACCCGCACAGCCTCCTTCTTTCTCACGACTCGCTCTGGTCTTCGTCATCACTAGTTCGTCAGCATTGTCAGCTCTTCGCCTTGTCCTGCCGCACCTCCGCTGTTCTGCCCGGTCCAGAACACCAGAGCCACGCAAAGGCCCCCCGGTTCCCCCATTTTGGGTTTGGTTTCGACTTCTCATCCTCTTCTACGTATACATATATCCACGAGGCGCCTGTCCATGAGCACCTAGGCGCCAGCTGTTCCCTCCCCATTCTGGGGCTTGCTCTCACCACCTTCACGCCACCATGCGTGGCTTCTTCTCGGCCGTGGCAGCTTTCGTGCTGGCCGCTTCGTCACTCACCGAGGCCCATTCCCTCCAAAGGAACCCTCTTCACTACATCAGCCGTGTCGAGACACCGATAATACATACACCGGCACACAGGGTGCATTCCCACTCGGAGTTCGACATTACCTTCCACCTCGATGGATCCCGACGTGAGATACGCCTGTCGCTGCAACCAAACCACGACGTGCTCGCGCACTCCGCCACAGTACAGTACCTCGACAACGACGGCAACATCGCCCGCCAAGAGCCACTTCGCAAGGAGGACCACCGGATATACAAGGGCGATGCCTTCATTCAATACCCGGGGCGGCCCGACTGGATCAATGCCGGCTGGGCGCGCATCACAGTTCTGCAGGATGGCCAGCACCCGCTGTTCGAGGGCTCCTTCCGCATCAACGGCGAGACGCACCGTGTCAAGACTAGTGCTAGTTTCAGGCAGACCCAACACGCAGACGACCCGGACGTGCCCGAGGAGGCCGAGGAATACCTCGTCGTGTGGAAGGATACCGATATCAAGTCGTTCTTCGACTCGGACGAGTTGAAACGCAGTCTCGGCGGGGCTGACAGTTCGTGCTCGTCCGACACTCTCGGCTTTAATGTCGATACCTCGCAGCCGATCTACACGGGACTGGATGCGCGTGGCTTGACTGCCGGCGTCGATGCCGAGGCACTCTTTGGGCGGGATATTGATGGTCTTACCGGCGACAACGGTGCTGGTGTCAACCTCGCGAGCACAGTCGGGTCCACAACCGGGTGTCCGACTACACGCAAGGTTGCTCTCCTTGGCATAGCGGTGGATTGCACGTATCGCGCGTCTTTCAAGACCGAGTCAGACATGCGGTCCAATATCCTCGACGTCGTCAGCACTGCCTCGCGGCTCTACGAAGATACTCTCAACATTTCCCTTGGTCTGCAAAACCTGACCATTGTTGGGCCCGAATGTCCCGGATCGCCGCCCACGAGCACTCCGTGGAACGTCCCCTGCGGCCCCAATACCAGCATCACCAGCAGACTTAATCTGTTCTCGGCGTGGCGTGGTCAGTTCACCGACAACAACGCGTACTGGACGCTGCTCTCCACTTGCCCGACGGATGGTGCTGTTGGACTCGCATGGCTCGGCCAACTGTGCCGACAAGGCTCCCAGGCTCAAGGCGGAAACAATGCTGGTAACGAGACTATCGCTGGTGCAAACGTGGTTGTTCGTACAGACCAGGAGTGGGAAGTGTTTGCCCACGAGACCGGACATACTTTTGGTGCTGTCCATGACTGCACTTCGACCACATGTGCTGATGGCACCTCAACCATGCAGCAGTGCTGCCCCCTAAGCAGCTCCGGCTGCGATGCTCGAGGTCAATTCATCATGAACCCGTCGACTAGTTCTACAATCACGCGCTTCTCGCCATGCACGATTGGCAACATCTGCACGGGCCTGCTTCGGAAGAGTGTTGATGGCAGCTGCATGACCGACAACAGGAACGTCCCAATTATCACCGAAGCGCAGTGCGGCAACGGCATCGTCGAGCCTGGTGAAGACTGCGACTGTGGCGGTAGCGCTTCTTGTGCGCAGAACAACTGCTGTGACGCCACCACTTGCAAGTACAGGGGCAATGCGGTGTGTGATCCGACCAATGAGGATTGCTGCACCAACCAGTGTCAATTCGCAGCCAGCGGATCGGTCTGCCGTGCCAGTACTGGCAGCTGTGATCCTCAGGAAACTTGCCCAGGTACCTCGGCGAACTGTCCAGAGGACTCCAAAGCTCCCGACGGGGATGCATGTGGAGCCAGCGGTGCTGGACTCACCTGCGCATCCGGGCAATGCACATCCCGTGACCTGCAATGCCGGACGATGGTTGGTGCTATGTTGACCAACAACGACACGTATGCTTGCAACTCTCAGGGCTGCAGGGTATCGTGCCAATCTCCAGAACTTGGCCAAAACACCTTTGGCCAGACGTGTGTTGTCATGCAGCAGTACTTCTTGGACGGAACACCGTGTGACGGAGGCGGCAAGTGCAACAGAGGCCAATGCCAGGGCTCCGACGGATTCAGATCCTTCTTGCAGCTGCTCCGCGACAATCAGAACATCGTCATCCCGGTCTGCTCTGTCGTCGGCGGCCTCCTCGTGATTGCAATCCTCTCGTGCTGCTGGAGCTCGTGTCGCAGGCGGCGGAGGCGGAGCAAGATGGCCGCCGCTGCCAAGGTGGCTGCTGCCAACAGGGGACCTCCGCCACCGCAAAGCAGCTGGAACAACTACAACAACGGCAGTGGTAGTCGGCATGGGCAGCCTTATGTGCCGAACGTACCAATGCCTCCGCCAACGTACGGACAGTCCTCGGGCCGGCGATCCTCGAGACATGGACAAGGTCACTGGCAGGGTGGACCATCGCCGCCTTCGCGCGTGCCCACGACGCGCTACGCCTAGAGATGATATACTAGTGGACCTGGCGAAGTTTGAGGGAATTTGGATCATTACTCCATCAAAGACAGCATGCATAGCATCCGGCGTTTCTTCATGTCCTTTCTATACTCCATCTTTAGTTTCATTCATTTAAACATTATGTGTATACTCCAAGCGGTGAAATACTGTTGCTGGACATGACGTTCTCTCGCTGTGGTCCGACCGGTGTTGTAGATAGCCAAATGATGACACAATCTGTCACCATGCATGGACCTTTACTGCCCCCCGAGGTTCTCCAGCGACTAAGTGCAATGTACGTTTTGGACTGGGACATTCGGCGAGATTGGCCGGTTCTGTATTTGTTACCTTGTTTGTCGTGATTGTTGTTGTTGTTGTTGCTGCTGCTGCTGCTGCCGCCTGTTACTGCCGCCATTGTTACTACCTCCGTCGCTGCCTGTGCTCCTTACTTGGCTGTCCAGGCTGGAGACCGGCTTGTCTGGGAGGCAGCACATGATGCGCATATAGCGAAGGCGAGTCGCTGGTATGCTCTACAGAGGCAATCAGACACGTGGCAAGTCAGCAGTGGGTGACTTATGTGATGCTGCCGCCCTCCACGACTTCTGACGTCTGATAGGAGCTGTGAGGGGCGTCTAGGGAAATGGCAGCAGTAGTCTGGTGCTTACGTCGTCTTCCTTTTGGGCCACCATCATGAGCAGCTCCGGCTGGTCGAGAATGTCGCGCGCCATACGGCTTCTTTCCATGACTGTATGAGGGATTGTCTCCCTCGCACCACTGCGACAATGGGGACAAACGACGGCAAATTAGCGACTGTCACTCTCTCTCTATATATATCTCTCTGTCTCCCAAAAGGAGCAGATGAACGGCGGTCATGGGCCTTGTAGTCGGTCTTACTGGTGATACCTATGATGACCGGGCCAGTCGCCGGCGTGACTGTTGCTCTCGCCAGTATACGGGTCCCGGCCGCGGGCCTGGAGATCGCGCATCTCCGGGGTGAAGTACTGCTCCGAGCTTGAATGCTGCCGACGCGGGTTGATGGGCGGCCGCGGGGAGGATGTTGATGACGATGAGCCACCTTGGGCGTGACTGAAGCCATGGTGGTGCTGCTGATAGTGGCTGGCCATCATGTTGGTCTTATGGACGGGCTGGCTGCCTCTCCGGTGGTGTAGAGTGGCCTGCTCCGGGTCTCTAAATGCGTGGTGTTGCGTTGCGTTGCGTCGTGTCGTGTCGTGTCGTGTTCGTTCAGAGGACCTGACCTGGTGCCTCGAGTGCCGGCCACCCGCTCAGAATGAGGGTTTCAGAGAAAGTGGTGGATGTTGTTGTTGGTGGAGCGAACGCAGGAGGAACTGGCGCTTGCAGGACCAAACGGTTGGCACATGCCGTCCGTGTGACTGGTCATTTTGGGGTGGAACTAGGTGATATGGAGATGGGAAGGGCTGCTTTCCGATTGATGGAGCCGTGGATGCACTACGCAGGTGAAATGATAGGAGAAGGAGGAGGAGGAAGAGTCGACATGAAGTTGTCTACAGACAGCTCCTACCAGGGGCCATGCTGGGTGAGTGACGTCGTTTCAAGAGAATCGGTGATGGCACATGTTACTGCCACCCGTCGCACTGGCGGCCGAGTGCTGATTGATTACATGGCAGGCAGGCAGGCGCGGCACCACTTGTGGTTGCAGTTTCCCCAATCGAGCTTCCCCGCAGTGGGTGCCTGCCTCTTCTAAGACCACGCCCCCTCATCACACACAGGCTCCTCCACCACCTTGACCATTTTCCCGGTAGCTAGCTCTCATTATCCCATTCATCCGCTTTCCAGCTCTCTCCTCTACAAGGCCCTCACCGCAAGGAGACTCGTGGTCTTCGAAGCGACACGGGCAGCTGCCCATGGCTTTGCTTTAGCTTTATCGCTTCAGCCGCTGACGCCTGCCGTCGACAATGAATGCCCCACGAGGCACAGCAGGCGACAGAACCCCGAACCCAGCCCACCACCATGCGCGCCAATCGCCGCCTTGCCTTTCTGCGTTTCCGGTTGCTATTCAACCGGCCGGAGGGGTTCGCCGCAGCTCCTCCACCTCGCCCTGTCCCCCTCGCCGCTTCACATGTCGTGCGCCTAATTCATCTCCGGCCGGAGGGGTCTTGCGCCTAGAAATAAAGTCGATTGCCCTGAACCTGACCAGTCTCGAGTCCTCGTGCTTCTGCTTTTGCTTCGGACGACTCATTTTGTAGAGACAGAGTCTGGCACTTTGTCCTACCGTGACAGCTCCATTCAACCAACCTTGACTTGTTCAAAGCAAATTCGTTCAACATGGCCACCTTCACAAAGAGCTCCGGGGACCAGGCCCCTCTCATCCATGTTGATGCCACGAAGAAGCTCTCTAAGATTAACCCGAACACCTACGGTGGCTTTACTGAGTATGTCTCCTGGCCACTCTAGACAATGGTTGATTCGCAAGGCACTGACACTGCCCACAATCTACAGGCACATGGGCCGCTGCATCTACGGCGGCATCTACGAGCCCTCCCACTCCTCCGCCGACGAGAATGGCTTCCGCAAGGATGTCATTGAAGCGCTACGCGAAATCGACATCCCCGTTATCCGCTATCCCGGCGGAAACTTCGTTGCCACATACCACTGGCAGGAGGGCATCGGCCCTCGCGAGAAGCGCCCCTCCCGCCCCGAGCTTGCCTGGCTCGGTGTCGAGTCCAACCAGTTCGGCACCGATGAGTTCATGAAGTGGCTCGAGGTCCTGAGCGAGGGCAAAGAGCAGAGGGTAGAACCTTACATCTGCCTCAACTTCGGCACTGGAACCCTTGATGAGGCCCTCGCCTGGCTCGAGTATTGCAACGGAACCCGCGATACATATTGGGCGAACCAGCGGAGAGCCAATGGCCACCCGGAACCTTACAATGTCAAGTACTGGGCTCTCGGGAACGAGGTCTGGGGCCCGTGGCAGGTTCTCCAGATGACCAAGGAAGACTACGCCAAGAAGGCAATTCAGTGGGCCAAGGCCCTCCGCCTGCTGGACCCGAGCATCGAGCTCATCCTTTGTGGTGAGAACGGCTATAGCTCTTGGGATCACTATGTACTGCACGAGGCTGTTGATTGGGTCGACATGCACAGCATACACATCTACACTGCGTCACCTGATCACAACAAGAATGTCACGGCTCCCCTTTCCGCTGAAAGAGCGATTGAGATCACAGCAAGTCTAATTGATCTCGCCCGCATCGAAAAGGGCGTTGCAGCCGACAAGGCACCGGTGAAGATCTGCTTCGATGAGTGGAACGTCTGGGATCCCGAGCGGGCTCCAGGAGACCAGGGCGCCGAGGAGAAGTACACACTCTCGGACGCCCTGGCTGTCGCTGTTTGGCTCAATGTATTTGTGCGACAGAGCAAGTACATTGGCATGGCCAACATTGCGCAGACTGTCAACGTCATCAGCCCGCTCATGACCACCGAGAAGGGCGTTGTCAGACAGTCGACATGGTGGCCACTCTACCTGTACAGCAAGTACATGCGCGGCCACACCCTCGCCACGCACGTGCGCGGCCCTGTCTATGAGGGCGAGACAAACCCCAAGTGGCTCCAGGGCACCCTGAGAGCTACCCAGGGCGGCATCTCGTGGTTGGACGTCAGCGCCACCATTGAGGGCGACGGTCTCGTTTCCCTGGCCGTCGTCAACATGAACGACACGGAAGACTACACTGTCCAGCTTGACGGCCTCGTCAGCAGTGGTGATGTCAACGTGTACAAGGTCTCGGGCGCGTCGGTGCAGTCAACAAACGTCGAGGACAAGGAGACTGTCGGCCTCGAGGAGTCCAAGTGGGACGGCAAAGGTGCCTTTACCTTCCCCAAGCACAGCTTCATCATGCTCAGATGGAAGCCTTGAGAAGGTCTGTTTTGGCCAGGAAACCAAGCCTCTGCAATTCACAATTCCTTGACCTTAGATACCTAGAAAATTTGAGGTAGAGCGCGTTATTATTCAGATCGGATTCTCACGTCGTTGTTGGTGATAGCTACAGTGAAGCATGTCCGCATCCGTCACGGATGATGATGATGATGCAAATGCACGGTTTGAAAACCACAGTATCCTCTCAGATACATGACATGCATAAACAAGAATGTATTGCTTCGCGCTCTGGTTATTATACAGAAATGACAAAATACAAATGAAGTTCTTGCAAGTACTTGGGCCACGGTTTATGCCCGTAGTCCCTGGCACGGGTGTAAGTCGCGAGCCTCTCGCTCATATCCGTACAATCATGTGGTCGTGTATGTTACACCTGTAGTTCGGTACATAGAAGAGCCCGCCGCATGGTGCCCCGAACCACGCTCTCCGGGCTTACTTGTCTCTTTTCCGTAGGACAAAACGCGTTGTGTTTGTTCTTGGCTGCCGTCGTGTTCACTTTCCAGTGAACTGCTGCTTTGGTCAAAGCCTGCTCGATCCGGGAAGCTTGCAACACTCAAAACAGGGCCATGCCTTAGGCCGTATCGTAGTCGTGCTGCGCCATGCAGGCTACATCGCATGGTGTGGTAGCTAAATCGCGCCTTCCATCCGCAGCTTACACTTTGTGCAGCGGGTGTCGACAGTGGGCCATTCGGTACGGCATAGCCTTTCGACATGCATCCCTGCTTGACGAGGAGAATGAACTGTTCGGTATGCAGTGACCTGGCGCCAGACACACGGCCCGGCAGGTATTGCCTACCGTTTGAGTTGACATTGCAAATCTGGGAGGTGGATGCAATCACCGGAAGTCAATGACGGCCAGCTGATCGGCAGTTAGCGTCTGGTCCTACACATTGGCGACAACGGTGTGACTTACCCTGCTGTTGACACCATAAGCAAGCTTGTTGCCGGTTGAATCCCATCCCAGGCAGTGCTCGTCTTCCTCATCGGATTCCGAGTTTGCACGTGGGCTAAGCCATCCGGGATGTGGTGTTCTACTCCAGCTTGCCCGTGGTATGCTGTGTTCCCCAACCTTCCAGATCAAGATCCTTTCATTCGTGGCCCCAGCGATGAAGGCACCATCTGGTGTAAAGGCGAGTGCTACAATAGGCAGGCCCATGGTCATGGAGCACATGGATTTGCCACTTGGGGCCAGCGCGTTCCATATGCATATGACACCGTCCTCGCCACCTGAAGCCAGAAGTCGTTCACCAGTCGTCGGCATTGGGCCCGAAAGTGGTTGCCATGCTATCGCCGTAACTGCATTGTAGTGTGCTTCGATCTCACGACGTTTGCCGTTTGCGTCCCAGATCTGCTCCTGTCAGCACATGATCCAAAAGTCCTTTATTTGCAACGAGGCATAACTCACGTCAACGTATCCCTTTTCGCTGCAAGTTGCGGCCAAGGAAGATCTCCAGTCGAATTGGACTTGAGTCAGGCTGTCGTGTTCCCGTGTCTTGTACTTCTTGACCTCGACGATCTCCGTATCGGTGCACTTGAAGAGGATGAGCATTTCACCGCCACAGAGGAGGAAATCAGACTCGCTTGTCCAGGCAGCATCGAGGGGATCCGAGTCCAGATTATGGGCAGGTAAAGTGTACGAAACCGTATTCGAGTCTCCCGATCTGAAGACAGTGACGAGTGTGCCGCCGTTGTCAGGTGCGATGCCGAGCATGGCAGCGCTGGTGGGATTCCAGCGTATCTTGATGATCGGAGGTTCAGGAACCTCGAAGTGGTCAAGGTGGCGGCCATCTGCACTCCATAGCGTGAGACGGCCCTTGGTATCCGAGTCTGTCGCAACAGCAATGACGGTGCCATCCGAGTTCCAAGCCATTGCCGTGGCTGTGGCCTTGGATGGAATATCATCGTCAACAAGGCTGTGAAATTGAGAGTCGACGCCGAGGCCATTCACGTGACCTGACGATGGGTCGGGGTTGGTTCCACGCGAAACTGTCCAAATCCGGGCTAGCGCATCGGTACCGGCAGCCGCCAAGATGGTGGGATCTCGGGGATTCCACTGGCAATGCAGGAGCACTGGCGCGTTTTCGCTGCTGGTTGTGGACACCGACTGAACAGGGGACGAGCCGGGCAAGTCGTCAGATGGTCCCAATGAGACGAAAGTCGTTCTTGGCGCCAATTCCTTGACTTTGTCAATCTGGGTGCTTTGCTCGGGGCCGTCAGTTCGAGGCGTGGGCGTTGGTGCAGGCTCGGCGGCCTCCAGGGGTGATGGGTAAGCATGGCTGTCCCCGTTTTGTCCATCCAACTCCATCGGGGTGGTAACGGCTGGTGCATCCGCCCCATTCTCGTACCCATTACTCAGACGGGGCCGCTTTGCGGGCGATCCATTGACCAGACCAGACTGCGGCTGCCTGTCCAGCTGCCGTTTCCTGGCCGTGTCTGTATCAGCAGGCGCGTTAATTGCGTTTGGACCAGACGTGTCAATCTCTTCGCCATGCTCAGGCACGTCCCCAGTAGCAGGGGTGGGCGTTTGTTGCTGTTGTGGCGGCGGCAGTTGGTGTTGTGGCTGTGGCTGCGCTTGAAGACGCTGCGGGGGCTGCTGGAAGTTGGGAGGCTGCACGGACAGAGGGCCGAAAATGCCCACTGGCTCAGTGGACGGCTGTGCATCTTTTGATCCTGCACTTGGCGATGTCTGCTTTTCGATTGTCAGTTGGTTGGCCGGCCGTCAATGGGGAAGGGCCCGAGTTGAGTTCGCATGGGGGCGGCATTGTGCGTCGGCGCGAAATTGCGGCATAGTGGCGCGTGGGCAGGTAAGTATACGGAGCAAAAGGGCGTGGCGGCCGGGGCGGGAAGACTGGCACCAGCAATGATGCAGGGTGCAGGTTGCAGGTTTCATCGAATGGGGGCAGGCGGGTTTGGAGAGGCTAACGTACCTGGTGGGCTTGAGCGTGCGCCTGCGCCTGCGCCAGTGCGTGCTCTCGCTCCAGCGAGTTGTAGACGAGCCCCTTGTTCAAGACATTGACCAATGCGTGGCTCTGGACATGGCGGGCAAATTCGAGCTCGCGATGAGGCTCCTGGACGTGCCACTCCTTCTGGAACTTGACGGCGGTCTCGCGGTAGTCTGGCGATCAGGGTCAGCATGCCGGGCACAAGACGAGAGCCACTCGGCTCAGCGGGCCAGGCCAGATGGCAAGGACGACAATGCATGCGGCCAGCGCTGCCGAGGAGGGCAGGCGAGAAACACCAGTTGCAGTCAATGCGCATAGGCACGCCGTGGGCGAGCATGCCGCCGCTCGCGTGTAGCCCGCGGAGCCGGCTGGCCTGGCAGGGCGGGGAGGGCCTCAAACACCTACTTCCTTCTATCAGATACCTGCCCGGGGAAGAGTCGTTAGTGAGGTCACGCAGCAAGGCCAGAGAGATGGTGGCAGGCAGGGCCCCGAGAGAGGAGCTCGACGACGCGTCTGAGGGCACAGAGTCGCCGTGGTGACGGCGGCGACGGCGGGTGGTGATGTCGCAAGGCACGAGGGGGCGGAAACGTACCTCCAAATCAGAAAGTTGACCCTGTCCGAGTCGAGGTACTCCTTCATGGTGGCTGCAGGCGCTCGAAGGCGGCGGTGGGCGCGTAAGAAGCAGGCAGAGGAGGCGTGGCAGACGGGCCGGGGCGAGAGGAGGCGTAGGCGGCAGGCGCGCAGAGCAGGGCTGGCGACGACGAAGCCGGTGATGAGGACAGGAAAGAGAAAATACACCCAGGGCCGGCGGCATGGATGGGAGGAAGGTGATGGAGAACGAGATTCTAGGTGGACCTTGTGCCGTCCCCAGTCCCGGTCGGGTCGATGCGCGTGAGCCTGTCTCGTCCGCTCGTGCCAGGCTACGCCGCAGGACGCACTTACTTGCCTTACGCTGCCTTAGTCGCCCGTCAATCAAAGGGCCAGCTGGGTATCGGCCTGGGCTAGGGAAGCCAACAGCAAGCAGCGCCGCCCCCCCAGCGGCCGGGCCCACCCATGCCCACGGAGCGGCCACGCCACACCCACTTTTCCTGCACCAGCTGCCAGGCACGTCGTCCTCATCCACATCTCCTCTCAAACCTTGAAAGGGTGCGTGCATGCCCTCAATGGGCAGAGCCACCTTGGCACCTCGGATCGAGTCCCTTGCCATAATCGCCTCCGCTGCTGTCGCCGCCCGTCCCAGATGGCGGAGGTCCTCCCCGGTACTCGGTCTCTGACTACAAACAGGCCGCCAGCAGCCGCTGCTGCGACTCGGCACCATCGTGGTCACTGCCGTTCGCCAAGCACAATGCCCATGCGGTGCATCTGTCCTGTCCTGGCCCTTGAGGCGAACCCCTGGTGGGTATGATCAGCATCGTCGCGGCGGATTGTGTTTAGACGACAAGGGTCTGCTCCCTATCCCGCCAGCCAGCTCACCAGAGCACCACGGCGGTTCAACCACGCAAAAGCAAGTGTTGTACAGGACCACGACTGCCACGCTTCCAGCCACGGCACCGGCGCAGAGTATTCAATTCTCCGATTAATGTTAGGTCGCCCCCGCGTCCATGATCTGGTGCTCAGACCAGCCAGTCTTCACCATTGACCACTCACGGTAACCCCGGTAGGTTGAGAGCGTACCGGCAGCGTCCCTTGGGATTGACAATATTGCCTAGTCCTTTAGTGGCAGGACTCATCGCCATCGCTAAGCCAAGCCGTCCTCACTCTCACCTCTGAGCTGGCAACAGCTCCAACTCTTTTGTGTGTGGCCAGGCCAGATCTCGACGCACGCTAGCCTTCCATGTGGGGCAGCATGGCACATGTTTTTGAAACCTGGTGACCAGGAGGTAATACGCACGCCGCCCACACAATCGTCCCCCTCTCAAGGAAAATTCGACGTAGACGCCGGTATGCAGTCACCAGAGCACCTCTACGCGATGACGCGGACGCTTCCGCGCGGATGGCCAGAAAATATGTCGCATCACAAGCAGTGCGGCTTGGTTGAGGCCGTGTATCGTGCAAAGCCCAGCTACGCCTGACTCGGACCGGCATCGTGAGATGTGCTGAAAAGGGCAAGGACGATGGCAGCCAGTGTTGCGACCCAGGCCAGGACAGTCCCTATTTCCGGGGTATGGGTAATAGGTGTGCAGGTGGGCCGGGCGCGGTGCTTGAACCGCGATGTGCGGGCAGGGGTCCTGATAGGTGCGAGGCTCAATGTGGTTCGTCATTCGACAGCCTGCTGGCATTTGTGGGCGTTGGCTGGGGACGACAAGCGGCGGCTGCTCTTGGCCGGCTCTGGCCGGCTCCTGTCCCACTCAGTCTCGGCTTGCGCAGTACGTCAACACGCCTGCACAGAGTCCCGCCGTGTCCTTCCCACGAATCTGCGCAGGTCCTGGTCCAGCTCGCGGCAAGTCAGTGGTGCCTCTCCCGTCGAGGCTCGCGGCATTGTGAGGGCAGAGGAGAGCTGGCAGTCGTCAGGGTTCGGCCCCCCGGTGATCACCCTGCTGCTGAGCTTGCCATTTGGAGCCTAGTGCACATCGTGACAGTCCATTGTCCACCACAATGCTCGACTCTCCACGGCAGCATCAAACAGCAAATGTGCCCGGCCTGGTCTGCTTTGCCTGAGGTTGATCGAGGCCCTGTTTGACAATGGCAGAATTTGGGCTGCTCTTGGACCCATGCCTTAGAGCCTGCCCAGGTATAGGCTTCTGCGCGGTCTTGTTGTTAACGTTGTAGTATGGAGTCTTGCTCTGAGCCTCGGTGCTTACATAATAGCAGACAAGACTGCCTAACGTGCCTTATGCCAGCACCCAGAGATCTTCGTGGAGCCGGCAGGAGATACAGAGGTTCTGATCAGGACCAAGGAAACCTGCCTGCGGCACAGTCTTTTGTTGAGCACTGGGGGAGAAGCCTGTCGAACCTACAGAGGCGCGGGCAGGGCGGGTAGGCAGACACACACAGGGAGGCAAGAAGGCAGGGCTGACAGGGGGGCTAGAGCTAGGTAGCTCGAGAGGACAAGTCGGTCGGCAGCTGCCCGTTTCAAGCTCGGGCCACATGCACGCCTTGGAGCTCCAACCCTGAATGTGTCAACTTGCGATGCTCGTCACATCCAACGCACACCTGCTGCCCCAGACGCCCCGCGAAAGCCTCCTCGACCACTGTGGCCCTTCGGCGACAAAGACGCTGACCACCGACCCTCGCTCGCCTGCCGCGCGGTCCGCAGCGTCTCGGCCGCAACCATGCGGGTCAACATCCCTCCCGTCACCAGAATCCTCCTCGGAGCCCTTCTCCTCCAGTCCGTCTTCAATGCCGCCATCCGCTATCGCCAGCGCACGTCTAGCGCCTCGGTCGTCGTGCCTTGGCTCACGCTTGTGCCCGCGCACTCGCTGATATACCCGTGGACTTTCGTAACTACGACACTCGTCGAGAGCAACATCCTGACCCTCGCCGCAGCGGCCCTCACCCTCTTCCATGGAGGGCGGTATCTTGAGAGAGCCTGGTCTTCGAGGGAGTTTGCCAAGTTCCTCGTCGTCGTCTCTCTGATACCAAACTTTTTGTGTTTCTTGGTCACACTACTCTTCTCGACCATAACTGGCAATGTCAGCTGGAGGTAAGTCTGGATCGTGTCCCGCAACGTTTCAACATGTGGTGTTTCCATACTCATGAATGTGCTTTTGCGCCCACAGGTTCTCCGTCATCGCCGGCACGATCCCTCTTCAGGTTGCGTTCCTCGTTGCCTTCAGCCAGCTCGTACCCGCGCATACGGTCACTCTATTCCGTGGTGTCTTGTCGATGCGCGTCCCACGATTTCCCCTCGTCTACCTTGGCGTCCTCTTCGTCCTCTCTCTGACACCACTCTACTCGAGTATAAACTTTGTGTCGGCAGTTTTTGGCTTCCTGACAAGCTGGACATACCTTCGATTTTACAAGACTGTCTTCCCCGACCTCGACTCGTCACAACCAAGCTCGTTGAGGGGCGACGCCAGCGAAACCTTTGCGTTTGTCGAGTTCTTTCCAGGTCCCGCCAAGCCCTTTGTTGGAGCTATCGCAGACCAGGTTTTCAACGTGCTAGTAGCGCTGAGGATATGCACGCCTTTCTCCGCTGCTGAGGTCAGCGCGGCGTCGCAGGGCGGCAACTCATTCATGCCCCGGAACCCTCCTGGGGGAGTGCGCGCCGAGGCCGAAAGGCGGCGCGCGCTCGCGCTCAAGGCGCTGGACCAGAGACTCCACGCCGCGACGGCCGCCGGTGGCAGCAACCGCAGTCATTCTCAGCCGCCGAGCCAGACAGCCGGCCCTACTGTGCACACGCAGCCACAAGCGAGCGCCCAGACGGCCATGACGTCCCAGCCAAGCGGGTCACTCCTGGGTGAGACAAGCTACAACCCGGACCAGGAGTCGAGCGATAAGAGCAGCAGTAGCAGTTCATGAGCGTCTGCTTTCAGTGGATGATGAATTATATTATAGTCGGCAGATCGGGTCGGCGCGTGAGCTTCGTAATTCCAATGACGGGCGAAACTACCTGCGGGCGAAGAAGCTTTCCACCACGCGGTGAACTTGAAGTCGGGACGAATCGACAACCTCGTCTGGGTTTTGCAGAGATAGCGGACAAGCTTCCAGTCTCCGTTATCTTCAGCCTGCGTGGTTTCGTTTTAGACGAAATAGATACCGTGCAGTATACCCTTCCTGTGCCTGACCTTTTCACATTATATCATTTGTGCATGCGAATATGCTTCAGAAGTCTTCTCTCCCACATGTGGCCCGTTGCGCGTTGCTGCGTGTCAAAATCAGTGGATTGGCTCATCTCGTGGTCGATGATCATGAGCGTGAATGGCTTCACAGCAGCCACTTGGGGGAGCAAACCTCGCCTGGGCCGCCCTGAACTGACTGAGCGGTGCACCGATGTACTTGAAAGGGATTCAGTGGAAGGGCACAGGGTCACATTCTCATATATTTTATCTACGAGCTAGCACTATCTGAGATCCAAGTCTAGGACTCTCGCATCCTTTCGCAGATGCTCCTCTACTAGACCTCCGTTCATAGTGACTCTAGATAGGTCTTCGGCTCCTCTCTACCCTCTCAAAGACCGTTTGAAGCGAGATGCTCAGGCCAGCGATATAGCCAGCTGGAATGTATAAGCTGTACCAGAATGTTAACAGCTTGAGAAATTGGCTGTAGGGGTCTCTGCCCTTCTCTGCCCACCTCTACTACCTCTACCACCTCTACCACCTCTACCACCTCTACCACCTCTACCACCTCTACATGGCGATCATTGCCAAAGCAGCAGTCACTCCCACACCGCGTCCTGTACACAAGATCGCGACTACACAGTGTTCTGCGATAGTTCGCCTTGGGCTGTTGATTATGCGAGCCGTGCCCTGGCGACATCGAGCACGTTATCCAAGCAGGGAGTGCTTGTTGGCTTTCGACCTCGAGACGTCTGACAAAGTCGTTCGCTAGGAACAAGACTCCAGACGCGGCGACGAAGGCTACGAAGGCTACGAAGAAAACATCTCTGAGAGCGTAGTTGGAGGGGAACATGGTGATCGTCTCTTCGCACAGGAGAAAACGTGGCGCGTGGATGGCGAGCGCTTGGGCACAGGGTTCGATTTGCCTGGCAAGAATGACCAGCCCGACGAAAAGGGTTCAGAGCCTGAGGGAAACACATCGGAGCCTCTAGACAGTAAGTTGTTCCGATTTCAGTCTGTACGAATGTCTTCTAATCCATCCAACCAGACTCTTTAGATCCAGATAATTACTTAAGGGGTTCCTCCGGAGCTGTCCTTTACTGCTAGACGACCCGGATGTTATATAGACCAGGGCTGCAGCCCACCTGACGCCTGTATGCTCGTATAGGTTCTTAAGACCAGCAGAACATGTCCCGCTGAGTATCCACAAAACGATAACGACATACGGCGATTTCAGTGAAACCTCTTTTCAATTCTCGAGCGTCTATGCAGCTACGCCAAGGTCTTTACGTGGGAAGGAACGTGGCAGTCGGTGAGAGCCGGGCAGCGCGCGATCAGCCCGAGGCTCCATCTGTACCTCGTCCACGAGAGTCGTACCGCGGAGTCACTCGCCGAGAAATTTATCCGCGGAATTTCGTTCATCACTAAGAAAATCCTCAGTAAGGAAGGCATCACACCTCACGACTTCCTCGATCTCCCAGTGGGCTGTGGGACCTATACCAACTGGCTCGTATATCTGGACGTCCTTACAGAAATGGATTCCTTCGATGTGGGTTTCGAGACTGGGAAGGGGCACTAGGAGCGGTCTCACAGCACGCCCACTCTTCAACCGGGAGCGAGCCCGAAACAATATAAAAGTATTGCAGTCTGAGCTGGCTTCTCGGCAAATCTACTGGGTGGCCAGGAGAGAACACACGAACACCCGAACCGCGGATCGCGGCCGCCTAGCGACAAAGGCAAGGCAAGGCTGCTGCCGCTTCTCAACAGTATAACAACACACTCAAGCCTAAGTCAGGCATGAGCTTTCGGGTCGTCGGTTCGTTCCTCAATGCCCGACTCTGCGCCGACAAATTGCTCGAAAACCACGTAATGCTGCCGCTTATATTCGAAGGACTGCTTCAGGCATACCTCGATCTATATATTGTTGGTGATAATAGCCCGTGGCGCCCAACAGCCGCCTTCAAGCCGAGTCGAACGCTCCGAGAGGGCCTAGACGTGTTAGACTTGTCTGTGCCAAGCCCAAATGCAGTCTGGGCAACATTTCAGGGTCTCGCTGCGCCCAGAGAGCCCAAAGGAGCGGCATGCCACCATTGCGGTGACACATCTCACTCTGTGTATCCCGATCATTCCAGGCCAGGCTTTCTTGCCCGTGGAGCTTGCCTCAAATACTCCAGTCGCCACAATTTCTATCCCTCAGCCTACGTCCTAGAGAAACACAAAATCGTCAGCAGCCCCGAACAGATTCGCATTGCGCGCGGGTCCCGGTTCTGCGTAGACTGTGGGGGTCTTGAGGGTCGGAGTTTCTACACTCACGTCGACCAAACGACAATACGCAACGACAACATGCGTTGTGAACGCTGCTATTACTGGTGGTGTAATGATGGCCAAGCACCATCCGCTTTTGCGACGAGTAAACAGGCAGAGAGTTTTGAAATCCACACCGGGCCAGGATTCATACCAAGCTTCTATGCTGTATGTACTGCCAAACGAAGGGTCAGATACGCGACTACATTGCATCGCCCATCACTATAACGACACTGAGATAATCTACAATCGAGATAAGATCCCTCTACAGCCACAGATCTAGCCAGTCCAGCAGGGAGTAATGAGCAGGGACAATGTGACACACTTGAGATAGTCGTGGACGACGACCACCCGATATGCATCGATTGCCACACCCACGACGCCGAGAACAATATATGACATTTTGTAGGCTGGGGTCACGGTAGGAGACAGAGACGGTGCCATCCCTGCTTCAAGAAGCTGCGCCGAGAACTACAAATCGAAACGACGGATGAAGCAGTACTATGCAACGAAAAACGCACTCTATAAGTAGCTTGAGCAAGGATACGGGGCCTGGGCTCAACAGCAGGGAACCAGTCCGCCAACGACGGAACCAGAAATGACTATGTCCCGTGAGAAAAATCTCGTCAAGCTCGACGACGTGCCTGCACCGGGAGGAGACACCACACCGCAACCACTCAACACTACTGCGCCAGCTACGGATGGCCATCTGGCGCGAGAGACAGCGCATCACAAGAGAAAGCGCCAGGAGCACGACGGATTGACACGACAAACTGAAGACAGGGGTCGATCGCAGGAGGAAACCAGTTCAACGACCGAGAGCCAGGCTATCACGTGTGCCGGATGTCACAGATTGCAGCTCAAGGACGAAGCCTGGCATCGCAAAGGCAAGGTATACCCAACGCGGCAGGCAGACAGGCACGAACAGAGATCGAGTGAGGATCACGATAAAGTGTCGAAGTACAGATGCTTAGATGAAGTAGTCCCACATACCTCTCAGCCGGCCCAGAGATATTTCCGGTTATATAAATTCTGCAATCAATATATTAGCTCCACCATTTTAACACCCCCTTTCTCAAACGTTGTTTGTGAAGATCAGGAGGGGGTCCGAGGAAGCAGATTGAAGCCCTATAACTTCTTTCTTTCCACCTCGCAACCCCGGCTGTTCCGATATCTGCGCACGGTTTTGAAGTGGATGCTACCAAAGCTGTGAAGTCTCTAGTCCGTTGACGCCATCGCTGCGCGTGAAGAACCAGGCAAGCTGACGCACGGTTCGATGTTTGCGTGAAGGACGAATGTGCGTGAACACAAGTGCGCCTCATTTGTGTCCATACCGAATCAGCTAGTCGCAACGGCACGGCATCATTCCGTTGATGGCAAAGATAGACCTCTGAAGTCGGGGGACCAGATGTATGGGCGTGCTCCCTGGCGCATTGTATTTATAGACATCGGGGAGATTCGCCCGTCCGTCGGCGATTCGGGTATCGAGGCCGTATGCACGTCGTTATTTGCCTTTCCCAGGAAGGATGAGCACGCACGCTGGTAGGCTTTCCTCGATTGGCCGAGGCGAGATGCTCATCACCATCTGGAGCTCTTCTGGCGTCCGGAGCTCCTTCAATCTGCAGCCTTGTTTGCTGTCATGCCTGCACGCATATTTAGGCAGGGCTGGAGCCCAGGAATTAAGGCCCGGGTAGCCTGGTAAAGACCCTGCTGTACTTACATATTACGGCACGCGATGCAGCATCTCACGTCGCACGCGTCGGCATGAACTCGACAAGCGCTGGCGGCCCAAATCGCTCTGCGCCGCTAGTATCCACAATAACTACGACTAATCCTTCGTTTTGGCTTGAAGAATGCCCGGGCAAGAAGCAAGTATGAATCCTTGTCATTGATTAATCACCCGAAGAAGACGCATCGCAATTAATGCAGCAAGTGTAGCAAGCCAATCTGGGAACCCTTGAAGAATGGACCAGGTGCTTTTGTGGTGATCGCCACCCCTGACTGCTAGATTTTGGCGCAGGCCCCATAAGACTCAAGGGAGTGTCAAGCAACTACCGATCGTACAATGGGCCTGGGACCAACCCCAATAGCGTTAAGGGCGGCTTGAAGAATCCCCCGCCGGCCCCCGGTAGAGCTTCCCTTCGCAGGGCGTCGCGCTACTCCCGGGCAAGCCCCCGAGCCCCTTGGTCCTTGGTCCAAGCCTGCGGCCAGTTGTGCCACGCGATTGGTAAATTTTTCCGTGGGGAGCAGCGAACGCAGCCGCCGGCCCCGGGGCTGCAGCGCGCGCAACTATCACTCTGTCAGCCTGGTTCGGAGCAAAGTCTTGGCTGGGCACGCCAGCCAGTATCGGCGTTCTGTTGGCTTGTCGCTGCACCCTAGGGCGGGCAGGCGATTGCCGGGAAGGAGCGCATGAGCCGCCTTTTCTATAACCAACATTGCGAGCCTCCTGACATCGTGGGCTCCTTCTCGGTGGGCTGGTCGCCTGGTGTTGAGACTGCACCAGATGCTGGAAACGGCATGCATCAAGCCACGAGCTGAGCCACCATGCGGACCTGGCTGGAAAAGAAGCGTGGTTGCAGCGAGTGGCGCAAAAGGCTTGTGTCAAGTGCTGGCACGCAATGACTCGGCTCTGCAGCCCACATCTGGCGCCATGCCATGGCGCGTCGTAGATCGGCATGGCTGATGACGCTTGTGCCGCACACCTTCATATGCGATCGCAGCCGTGCCCATGCCAAGCGGATGTTTCAAGAGAGTCGTGCTTTAGCTAGCGATGAGCCTAGGGAGGGAGAGAGCGAGAGAGCTTTTTTTTCTTCGTGCGCGATCACAGATTGAAGCTCTGGAGACGATCTCGAGGGTAGTTTGGCCTGAATTGGACTCCGGAGGGGACCCCAGGCCTCACGTCTCCGTGTAGCGGAAGCGGCGTGACGAAGTGGTGAACGACACCAGGTTCCCGGTCAGAGAATGCTGACTGCTGCCACTTGCTTGCACAGCCATCGATTTGCAGCGAACATGGAGAGGATCAAAGACTGGACGGGCCGTGGCTATTCGTGTTGTGCTGAATAAGTACCTAATAATTAGCTAGGAAGAGGCCCTCCAAGGTAATGGGTGTCACGATCTCACGGGGGCGGCAAAGGGTGGTTGCTTGGCGGCTGGGGGATGGGCTGACGCAGAAAGGAGGAATGGGAAGGGGCGTGCTCCGAGGCAGGGGGTGTGGCGGCAGGGGCGTCCATCAGCGCGTGCCCGCCCGCCCCCACCCGCTGCTGGTTCCTCCATGTTTTCCCAAATCTGCGCTGCGCTGCCCGGCACGGCCTGCAGAGCCGAAGGGGCGGGATGACGAGCGCGCCCAGACCTTCCTGGTCCGTACCGCCCGTCGGCCACACCACCCACCCACTACATGCATCATATCCTCCCGCACACCAGCGTGCGCCTGCACCACATAGCTGCGGCGTCAGATGCCACCCACCACCCATCACGCAGGCAGGGTGCAGCGAGACTACCCGATGGTATGCACGACCCAACCCAGGCTAGCAGACGAGAGAGAGCCAGCCGTGACACAGCATCGTAGCGTACCCGCCGGCCAACGTGTTCAACCATCCCCATGGCAGAGCATCACTGCACCGCCTTGACAAGGTACCAGCCCTCTGCCGGGACCCTGCAACCTTCTCTTTCGGGCACACACACACACGCACACGCGCATACACACCCACCACCTGCGCCAAAGGCAGCCCTGGAGTCGTCGCAGTACCATGCGGTGTGCTGATCAGCCAGCGCACACTAGGGCCCGTTGCCAGGATTGGCGACAGTGTTTCATCACCAAGTCTGCACAGCATGGTATCGAGCCAAGATCTGGCTTGCGGGGGCTGTCAGTACAATGACGCCTTTGCCGGGAGGGCCACGCGGATGATAATTGCCCTAGTGAAGGTTAGACTTCTCCAGAGCAAACTGTCTCGACTCGTGGTAGGGGGTTCTGGCTGGAGTGGATGGGGACTGATGTCGCTTACCAGAGCTCACGAGGCTCGACGACTGCCTGTCGAATCAGGCCAAAGGTCCTGGTGCACATCCGCGGCACCAGCCAGACCTTAATAGCACGCCTGGGTTGGGAGGTACAGTAGAAGCTGGGGGAACTGAAGGGGCGAGACGGGAGAGATACAAGGAGACTTCAGGGCCTGCGGGGCGACCAAATTGGGGCCCGCGCGCCCACTATGGTGGCGGCTCGGAGCGATGGGTGATGCTTGCCGCTTGTTGGCAGCCTCCAGGGCTGCTGCCCGGTCCAAGGAGGCCCGGGGATGTTTGGCATGACTTTACTTTAGGCCCGGCGGGATGAGTGTGAGTGGGGCCTGCGATGGTAGCAGTGGAGCCAAGTGGACCGTGTGGATCCTGCCCCATCTTGGGTGAGGCCCATCGTTGTCACAACACCCTAGAGCCATAGTCAGAATAAGTGGCGCACTCACTCGAGGAATTGAGTGCCATGGCGCCCAGCTTATTCAACGACACCATCCCCCCTTCATCCACACTTTCAGGGGTCCCGAAGTTGCGTTCAGTGCTCCGGCTGCCACAGGGCTTCCAAACTGCTGAGCGTACACTTCATGAAAAGTGGGGCGTGGGTAAGGGTTGGTATCGCCTGGGTAGACTCTAGGTAAGCGATTCTCCCAGCCCATCCAGGCTCCTCGCTCCTCGCCCATCTCCAGCCTTCCAGGTTGACAGCCATCTCTCTCCCAGTACTGGTAGGCATCCAGTCGCCTTCCTCCATCCGCCATTACTCTTCCGTTCCTGGGTCAACACGACTCAGCAACATCCGCCATTGCCTCGCAGGTTACGCGATCGCTCCTAGCCGGTGCTTGGTCCTAGCCTTCGTGTCTCGCTAGGGCTTCGCGCCAACGGAACAGAACCGTCAGCACCTGGGCTTCGATCGCAAAAGCCACGCGACCCCGTTGCCACAACATCAACACTTGCGGTACCTCATCGCTAGTGTACCGTGCCATTGTCAGCTTGCGAGGAAGATCTGAGTGCGACGAGTTGCCTCGCTCCACCTCTGTCGCGCGCGTCTTCCGTAGCAGCGCCGTTGTGGTTCGCGCCACCCGACCGTGTCTGGCAGCCAGTGTCCTCCCATCTGCCACCACGATCGGCCACTCGATACACCATGGCGAACCACCATCCCTCACCGCAAATGGTGATGCAGATGCAACAGCAGCAGCAGCACCATGGTGCGCCTGCGCCACCCCAGCTCGCGGGCCAAGTGCACCCGGGACAGTGGCCGGGCGCCTCCCCACGCGCCATCTCTCAGGTCAACGAGGCTCTATGGATGCAAATTGGTGAGTCCAGGTCTATCAGTGTCTGCTTGAGAAATGCCCAACACAGCTACTGACTGTCGCTCCCCGCACAGGATCATTCTCCGAGCTCATCGGCCAACTAGACGATGCGATGGGTGCATACGAGCGCGCGCTCCACGCCAATCCCAATTCCGTTCCTGCCATGAACGCCATCAGCCTCATTCTCCGCAGCAGAGAAGAATTCCCGAAGGCGGTTGAATACCTACAAGCCATTCTCAAAATCGACGAGCGAAATGGCGAAGTCTGGGGTAGCCTTGGTGTGTATCCTGCTTTCATTGCCAAGATTGGGCAACGGCCACTAACCACCGCGTGCTAGGCCATTCTTACCTTATGATGGACGATCTCCAGCAGGCTTACGCTGCCTACCAGAACGCGCTGGTGAACTTGCCCAACCCAAAGGTTCGTAAACATGGATACATTCCAACCTCGCAATCGCCTGCTAACTCTTGATACGTCTCTAGGAGCCTAAATTGTGGTATGGCATTGGTATTCTGTACGATCGCTACGGCTCTCTCGATCATGCCGAAGAGGCGTTTTCCCAGGTGATGCAAATGCAGCCTGATTTCGAGAAGGCGAACGAGATCTACTTCAGACTTGGCATCATCTACAAGCAGCAGTCCAAGTATGGATCCTCGCTCGAGGTATGGTTTCCTTTTATTCCCTCTTGACTTGACTGATATGCAATATCTGACTTTTACGGCAGTGCTTCAAATACATTGTGAACTCGCCGCCGCCTCCTCTGAACGAGGAAGACATCTGGTTCCAGATTGGCCACGTTCACGAGCAGCAGAAAGACGTAAGTACACGCACGGCACTAAATTGACATAAGCATACCATGCTGACAACCGCGTGCAGTATGACAGCGCCAAGAGCGCCTACAGTCGCGTGCTGGAGCGTGATCCGAACCATGCCAAGGTCCTCCAGCAGCTTGGCTGGCTGCACCACCAGCAAAGCAGCAGCTTCCAGAGCCAGGAACGCGCCATTGAGTACCTGGAAAAGTCTGTTGCTGCGGGTAAGTGACCATCTAGCCTTGCTTCCAAGATGAACATCGTGCTGACCCGCAACTAGATAACAACGATGCTCAGAGCTGGTACTTGCTTGGACGCTGCTACATGTCTCAGCAGAAGTACCCCAAGGCATACGAAGCCTACCAGCAAGCTGTCTACCGGGACGGACGCAATCCGACATTCTGGTGCTCGATCGGTGTGCTGTACTACCAGATCAACCAGTACAGGGATGCGCTTGACGCATACTCTCGCGCCATCCGCCTGAATCCATACATCTCCGAAGTGTGGTATGATCTTGGAACATTGGTATGCCATTTTCTCAATGCAGTAGTGTGCGACTTCACCACCGCTCAATGTAAAGCTAACGGCTTGCTCATCAGTACGAGTCTTGCAACAACCAAATTTCTGATGCGCTTGATGCCTATCAGAGGGCAGCCGAGCTTGACCAGAACAACCCGCACATCAAGGCTCGTCTCCAGCTTCTGAGAAACGGTCCGAATAACAGAGACGGACCTATCCCACAGGCTGTGCCGACGGACGTACATCCGAATGCATACAGCGCGCAAGGCCCGCAAGCGCCTACCTGGACCGGGTCTGGCCCTATGCAGCAAGCTGGTTCTGGTGCTCATCGGCCGCCTCCTGGCCCGACTGCAACCAACGGCTGGGGCCCCAGGCCTAACGAGCTCAATCCTCCTCAGGCACCCAACTCGTTTGATCAGCAGCGCGGTGAGCCTCTGCGGGGTCCTGTGCCACCCTCTGCGAACCGTCCACCGAGCCCTCGGCAGGAGATGCGCCCATACCCAGGTGAGGGCAATGGGCAAGGCCCTCCCGGTCCCATTCGTCGCGGCCCAACTCCTCCTCCGCCGCAGTATGGTCCTCCTGCTCCGGGCCCAGGCCAGCAGGCTCCCCTGCCGCCTCAGCAGCCTCCTCAGCAGCAGCAACCTCCTGCCGGAGCTCAAGGTCCGACCAGAGTTTCGAACCCGAACTACCAACCCGCGCCCTCTGCAAGCATCCCGCCTGCGAATGGTCCTCCTCCGTCTCACACCATCCCGCCGTACGGCCGTCCCGGCTCACCTCGTGCTGACGGACCTCGCCCGATGCATGACAACCGCATGCCCTCTCCCAAATCTGCGTATCCTCAGCACCAGGCACCATATCCCCCTCACCACCAGGAGGGGCCTATGCATGGCAGCCAGGAGCCGGGTGGTCCTCCGCCCAAGGGCGCGACTCCCCACGACCTTCATCGTGAGCACGAACGACCATCGTCGGTCGCTTCTAAGCGTCACCGCGAGTGGGACGACGAGCCGCACCCCAAGAAGCATGCCAACGATGAGAACCGGGCTCGCATGGACGACCATAGGCACCGACGGCCGTCGACACCTTCGCGGGATGTCTTCCAGAGGTCCCCCGAAATTCGGCGGTATGAGGAGCAGCACCGTCAGGCTGAGGAACAACGCCGCGCTGAAGAGTCGCGACGCGCAGAGGAGCCGCGCCGGCAAGAAGAGACAGCTCGTCATGCCAATGACAACTACCACCCTTCGGAAGCTGCTCACCACCCGCCTGCCCACTCGCTTCCCGCTCAGCTGCCGCCTATGCAAGGTCCCGCTCACGACAGCCCAACTTCCCAGCAGAACACGGCGGCCAAAGACTTCCAACCGAAGGAGGAGCGGCCTCGTGGCGAGCACCCTGCTGCACCTTCCGCCCCTGCGCAGCCCAATGAGCCCGAGCGCGCTGCCAGGAAGATGGATGTAGACGAGGACTATGACGACAGCGGCGAGGACGACAAGAAGCTTGCCTCCGCTGCTGCTCCTGGAACGTCAGGGCCCCCCTCCGCCAGCAACACCGCCGGCCCTGATGCCAAGTCGTCCACGCCCTCGAATGCTGGCGCGAATGGCTTTTCTGGCCCCGCTCCCAAGACAGAGAGCGTCTCCTAGGTCTGGCCTCGGCAGCCTAGTCCGCGCCTCGACTGAAGTTGGTTATTTGTGAAGGAGTTTAGGGCTGTAGGAGACGACAAGGATGGAGCCAGGCATACCCGATTTCCCTTGCAATCTTTCAATTGTCCTTCTGAAGATGTGTATAGCAATCCACACGACGTGGTCTGTGAAAATAGTGCCAAGTCCCAGTGTCATCTCCCTGCAGTCTACTGCAGCGGTGGCGGAGGACGAGGCCGAAGAGTTTCTATTTTATGAGACCAACGAGGCTCTGTGCCACTTCCCCGAGCTTTCTTTAGTAATCATATCAATTCATACCAGATATTTGCTTCACGCCATGAGCCTTGATTAACTTGTGTCGTCGTGTCTTGCCACGTGCTGTTTGGGAGCTTGAGCAACGCCTTGTTCTGGTGGTAAAAGCACCATCTAGCGATGCAGTTGGGAAGAGAGGCCACTGTGTCAATCCATTCCAGTTCAGAACATAGAATTTGCCCTTCCCCCCAGTCCATCGAGAGGCTCAGGACATGCCGTGGCAGTGAGACCATACTCAGGTATGTGCTTCTCCGCGACAAGGTTGCGCGCCTTGGGGAGATCTCGCGGCCGAGGCGTCCAATCTCCACAGCCACTGGGGACACTTGGTCAGGGACTCTGCCCATGTGCCCACCCGGGTAGATCGAGGAAACATCATGCGCTAGTCGTGGCCGGGGAGCCTGAGGTGGGGACCCATACTTGACTCAGCAGGCTTATCAGTGGTGTCTCTTGAGACGCGATAAGACAACTCGGTTATGTTAACCAAGAGGGTCTGGATTTTTGACGGCCCACTCCACAATTTTCAATTTTGCGCACATTCTGCGGGCAGTGTGGGAACTCTGGGAGCGGTGGTGTGTGTGCCCCCGACCCTCTCTGCGACTAGGGGAATTTCCACGGGCCTCCCTCTCTGGATAGAATTTTCCTACTACTTGACATCCCATCCCGCCCAGCACCCAACGACCGATTGATCTCCTTCACCACCAAGGATCAATTCAAGATGTCGCACCGTAAGTACGAGGCTCCTCGCCACGGCTCTCTGGCGTACCTGCCCAGAAAGCGCGCCGCCCGCCACCGCGGAAAGGTCAAGTCGTAAGTTCTGCGCCCACTCTCAAGATGCGAATATCCCAAGAAGGGAAGAAGGAAAAAAAAAAAAAGCCAGGCTTCATCGAAGGAAGTTGGGACATGCGGGCAGCCTTCGCTGACATTGAGTGTCCTCTCTCAACAGCTTCCCCAAGGATGACGCCAAGAAGCCTGTCCACCTCACCGCCGCCATGGGCTACAAGGCCGGTATGACCACGATCGTCCGCGACCTCGACCGACCCGGCGCCAAGTCTCACAAGAAGGAGGTTGTCGAGGCTGTTTCCATTGTGGACACGCCCCCTGTACGAGCAACGCAGCCCGCTTGGCTATGTGCCTATGGCTAACATCTTTTTGCAGATGATCGTTGTTGGTCTTGTGGGCTACATCGAGACCCCCCGCGGCCTGCGCTCGCTCACCACCGTCTGGGCCGAGCACTTGGGTGACGAGCTCAAGCGCCGCTTCTACAAGAACTGGTACAAGAGCAAGAAGAAGGCCTTCACCAAGTACGCCAAGAAGCACTCCGAGTCCAGCGGCTCCTCCATCACCCGCGAGCTCGAGCGCATCAAGAAGTACTGCACCGTCGTCCGCGTCCTCGCCCACACCCAGATCCGCAAGACTCCTCTCAAGCAGAAGAAGGCCCACCTCATGGAGATCCAGATCAACGGTGGCTCCGTCGCCGACAAGGTCGAGTTCGGCCACGGCCTCTTCGAGAAGCCCGTCAGCATCGACACCATCTTCGAGCAGGACGAGGTCATCGACGTCATTGCCGTCACCAAGGGCCACGGCTTCAGCGGTGTCACCGCCAGATGGGGCACCAAGAAGCTCCCCCGCAAGACTCACAAGGGTCTCCGCAAGGTTGCTTGTATCGGTGCCTGGCACCCGTCCCACGTCCAGTGGACTGTTGCCCGTGCCGGTCAGGAGGGTTACCACCACCGTACCTCGGTCAACCACAAGATCTACCGTATTGGCCGGGCTGGTGACGAGTCCAACGCCTCGACCGAGCAGGATGTTACCAAGAAGACCATCACTCCGTAAGCACTGCCAGATTCCTTGCTTGTTTGGTTGAGACTATCAAATACTAACAATGTAAAACAGTCTCGGTGGCTTCGTTCGCTACGGCGATGTCAACAACGACTTCGTCATGGTCAAGGGCTCCATCCCTGGTACTAAGAAGCGTGTCATGACCCTCAGAAAGTCCATGTTCACCCACACCTCGAGAAAGGCCCTCGAGAAGGTCCAGCTCAAGTGGATCGACACCTCGTCCGAGTTTGGACACGGTGCTTTCCAGACCCCGGCGGAGAAGAAGCAGTACCAGGGCACGCTCAAGAAGGACCTTGTCCAGAGCTCCTAGAGGGTGTGAAATCCCTCGTTTCCTTTTGTGTCTCGGTACTTGCATCGGTGTTTATGGGTTCCTTTTCGGCTCTTGCGACGGGCATGGTCCAAGGGATTGGCATCTTGAGTTACAGCTTATGAACAAAAGTTGCATGAATGAGGGATTGAAAATGAAACAAAGAATAAAAGATTCCCAAACCAAATTCTTGTGTTTTTGTTGTGCCTGTGCTAGACGGTGATCTTTAAATGTGCCTTTATGTTCAGCTACTTTGACTCGCTCTGCGTTTACTACTTGAGAGCTGTCGCAAGCATGCATCCATGATAAATATTTAGGCCGAGTGGATTTATTTGGAGACCAGGTGGATGAAGACCTCGAAGAATACATGCCTAGAGACTGACTTTGCAGTTGCAGGTGCTGGTGCTGGTTGCTGCAATGTTTGCACGGATGGAGCCGAGAGTGGAGTGCCACAGCTGGCAGCTTGAGCTGTACTGTATGATGTAACACCCAGAACAACCCTGTTTCGCATGCATCCGGCGAGCTCTCTGTACAAGCATCATTGCCGACACACTCTCGCAGCGACACCTCAATGCCACTGGTTCCAGGCAAGACGATACATATCACACGGTTCACAAGATCTTTCTTGCCCTGCCTGCCTCCGAGTGTATTTCCCCACCTGTCGACCGCAGCTAGACGACACCATCGCAGCCAGAGCACCACATTCCACGGCCTAACACCTCGTCGACGACGATCCAGACAACCCGAACCGCCCCTGCGGATTTTCGCTTCCGGTCCGCTGTTCGCATCTCGAAAAGCTCTGACTGCAGCACTCGAGCCACGCAAATCATCCCGAACCTTCACGTCCAGCCCGACCAACATGAGCAACGACGACGATTACATGGCCTTTCTCAACAAGGCCAACGAGGACCCGAGCAAAGGCGTGCCCAAGGTCTCCTCCTCGGGCGGCGGCAAGATGGCCCAGTTCAAGACGACAGACAGCGGCGCGCAGGTGCCCGCTCTGCTGCGCGAGGCGACCAAGGACGCCTTCTACGTGAGCGACGCGGACGAGCCGTTTGTCCCCGTGTATCTGGAGTGGGACGAGAGTGGCAAGGGGTTGCCGGATGAGGGTGAGTTTTGTTCTTCCCACAGCCACAAAAGGAACGGGCACTGCATTGGACGAGTTGGCTTTGTCAGGAAAGCACTCGTTCCTTGGAAGTGCTGGGGGAGGGTGTCCTGTCCAGGCAGCCCAATTTGTGCTGTTTTTGTCCTGAAGGAAGAGAATGCAGCAATTGATTCGCTAACGTGTCTTCTTTTCATTTATGCAGAAGAATTTGCATCCCTGATCAACCACCCAGACCCGTCCAACGCTGGTATCGAGATTATCGATCCGTCAGACTGGGACACGCGGGGTCAGTACAACAGTATCGTGGACGCAGTGACCAAGGCGGGCAAGGGCAACGATGTAAAAGTGTACCGGGTGCCGCGGGAGAGTGTGAAAGTCGAGTATTGGGTTGTCACGACGGAAGGCAAGGGGAAGAGCGCCAAGTTGGTTGGCGTCAAAGCACTTGCTGTGGAGAGCTAGACATGCTACAGACAGCCATACCAAAAATACCAAGGTATTCAAGACTGTGCAGAAACCTGTTGACTTTCCGCTGCAGTGCTGGCAGAATAGACGATTTGTGATGTCCTTGGCCAAGGACATGAGGGTATTGACGTACCATGCCATTGTCAGGACACTTATCATATGCACGTGAATGATGATGCGTGCAGCCATGTTGAAAGAATGTGTCCTGATACTCATGCATCATCTTACACCGACAAATATCACTGTAGCTCAATTTTGAGCAAAGTACGTCGTGGTCTTGAGCAAAAGGTGATTGCAAGCACCCTGCCAAATGTGGACTGAAGCTGGGATCCCAGCCGAGCCGGGGGGGCCGATGACGGAGCGGCAGTGGTGTTTTGGCGGGGCATCTGGAACAGCAATTATTTCACAGAGAAATCGCAGGCTGTGCCCCACCACCATTGGGAGCATAGGAAGATACAGCGACAGGCCAAAGTCGGCAATGGCACGTAGCATGATTCCTTCAGTGAGAGCCAGCAGGCGGTGTCGACTGAGGTATAGATAGCTGAGATGTGTTCAATTGAGGTTGATGCGTGACTGGCAGAGGCAGGGGACCCTGCTCCCAAAGGATGAGTCAACGACACCTTCCACAATCGGGACGAAGCTGCTGTACTGCTTGCGTCTTGCAAGTAGCGACCTCCATCCAGGGTCCAACTTTTTGGATGTACGTAGCCTTGACACAACGTAAACGGCAACCACAACTTTTGTGACTTTGACGGCCCGCCAGCTCGTTGGACTATTTGCCCAGCAGTCCACAGCTCAGACACCATGGACCAAGCGGTACGCATCCTGTCCACACCTCGAGTGGTCTCCTCGTGTTTTCCGAACCCTCCGTCAGCGTGACTTCGTGCTGACCTGCGTGCCTCGGTTTTTGTACAGGACATCTTGCCCTCGCTCGACACGGTCCGCGAGCTGCTGTCGAAGCCCAGCCAGGGACCCAAGAAGCCCAACCTCATCCCCATCTATGCGCAGATCTCGGCCGATCTCATCACGCCCTCGGCCGCCTACCTCAAGGTCCGCGCGCACACCCAGTCCGACTTCTCCTTCCTCTTCGAAAGCGCCGCCACCGAGCGGGTAGGCCGCTACAGCTTCGTCGGCGCTGGGCCGCGCAAGATCCTAAAGACCGGCGAGGGCCATGGCGAGTCGGTAGATCCGCTGCCGGCGCTCGAGAAGGAGCTTGCCCAGTATGTCGTCGCCGATGTGCCCGGGCTCAACCCGCCACCCATGATGGGTGGTGCCTTTGGCTATGTCGGCTACGACTGCGTGCGGTACTTTGAGCCCAAGACAGCGCGGCCCATGGAGGATGTCCTCCAGATCCCAGAGTCGCTCTTCATGCTGTTCGACACCATTGTCACGTTCGACCGCTTTTTCGGCGTCGTCAAGGTCATCACATACCTCCACGTCCCCGAGGACAGCGCCAACCTGGCGGCGGAGTACGAAAAGGCCTCGGCCATAATACGGCAGCTCGTCGACGTCCTCGACTCGCCAGAGACCCCCAACCCGGAACAGAAGCCGATCCAGCTCGGCCACGAGTACAAGTCCAATATTGGCCAGGCCGGCTACGAGGCGCACGTCACCAAGCTCAAGAAGCACATCGTAGCGGGCGACATCATCCAGGCCGTGCCCTCGCAGAGGTTTGCGCGGCCAACCTCGCTGCACCCGTTCAACATCTATCGGCACCTCCGGACCGTCAACCCGTCGCCGTATCTGTTCTACGTCGACTGCAAGGACTTCCAGATCATCGGCGCCTCGCCGGAGCTGCTCGTCAAGGAGGAGGAGGGCCGGATCATCACGCACCCGATCGCAGGCACGGTGAAGCGCGGCAAGACGGCCGAGGACGACGAGCGCCTGGCGTCGGAGCTGCGGTCGTCTCTCAAGGACCGCGCAGAGCACGTCATGCTCGTGGACCTGGCGCGCAACGACATGAACCGCGTGTGCGACCCGCTGACGACCCGCGTGGACCGGCTCATGGTCGTCGAGAAGTTCAGCCACGTCCAGCATCTTGTCTCGCAGGTCTCGGGCATCCTGAGACCGGACCAGACCCGCTTCGACGCCTTCCGTTCGATATTCCCTGCCGGCACCGTGTCTGGCGCGCCCAAGGTCCGGGCCATGGAGCTGATTGCCGAGCTTGAGAAAGAGAAGCGCGGCATCTACGCGGGCGCCGTGGGATACTTTGGGTACAACAGCCAGGATTCCGAGGGCAACACCAAGCAGGGCGCCATGGATACGTGCATTGCGCTGCGGACGATGATGTACAAAGATGGTGTTGCGTATCTGCAAGCTGGTGAGTCTTATTCTGGACATTTTGTTTGTCCGAGTTTTTTTTCAATCCTTGATGATCAAGTTACTGACAGAAGAAACCCAGGCGGCGGCATCGTGTTTGACTCGGATGAATACGACGAGTGGATGGAGACTATGAACAAGCTGGGCGCCAACATGCACTGCATCACGTCGGCGGAGAACATCTGGGCCAAGAAGCAGAAGCAGAAGCAATAGACGCAAGTACCTAAGAGCATGAAAGAAAAGATCTATAGTCAACCAGCAAGTATCAGATCGTGTGAGGGCCGCCGATAAGCCACGTGTCAGCTACCAGCTAGATACGCACGTGCATCATCGTGGTCGAAGGGAACCTGGTGTAACACATTGCCTGCATACATGCCCGTTCAGATTTCTCAATGTTGAAAGGGACGGGGTAAATTCATCTCGCAAGCAGTCTCTACCATGCTCTCTGGAACCTCTCCATTGTGACATTCACAGATTCTCCTGAGCCGCTCTCGATCAACTCTCAACGCTCCTCAACGCCTCACGCTCACTGATTCCCTGATGAAACCAAACCAAGCCCCAAGGCCCTTCCCCCGTCCCCATACCCATCATCATCCGTGACTGTTTTCCCCCTCCCCTAGCCGACTTGATCTGTTCGAACGGCCTTTTGCGGAAGCAGAACACTCACCCCTCGCAGCGAAGAGGACCGGTGAGCTAGAGAAAAGTAAAAGAAAGCAATAAACAAAAGGAAAGGGAGAGGCAGGGAGAGAGAAAGGCTCTCAACGCATCTCCTGCTTCTCCTCGTCCCACCACGTGCCCGCCGTGTCGTGCGCCGGCTCGAGCGCCGTGACACCGTCGAAGCTGCCCATGGTGAGCTTGTCGAGCTTCACGTTGTCGAGGTTGCGGACCTGTTTGTTCCCCCGGGGAAAAGGTGGGGGGTTTGTGTTAGTGCGCCGAGGGAGGAGGATGAGGGGAATGAAGTATACATGGGAAGGCAGAGAGGCTGTGGCGAAAGTCCGGTGTGGACAAAATCGAAGTATTTGGCAGGACAGCATGTGTAAGACAGACCCTCTGCAAAAGCAGAACGAGCAGAGTCTATGACAAAAAAAAACATCGGGGAGATGAAATTGTCGTCAAGGGAGGGAGTAAAGGGAAGAAGATAATGATACAAAGGAAACATACATTAACACCGATGTACCGCTTGCCCTCCTTGGCGCGGTGCACCTCGCGAAAGTCGATGCCGAGCGAGGTGCCGCACTTGGGGCAGAACATGTGGTCTCTGGACTTGGTGTTGAAGACGTATCTCGCCACGCGCTCCTCGCTGTTGTTGTGCCAGGTCACAAACTTGTCCTCGGGGTCTATTTTTGGGGAATGGTAGTTGGTTAGCTTTGGGGGTGTAAAAGTGAAATAGAAATGGGTGGTGAAAGTGGCTGGCTAGCACTTGGTTCTGGACGGACCGAGCTGTAACCTGTAAACATAAAAAAAAAGGAAAGAGGACAAAACAACCCGAGATCGGACACGTGTGGCATCTGTCTTTCGAGGGAAGGGGGAGAGGAGAAGAACGGAAACGCACAAACGAGCATGTATCCCAGCCTCGTGCACGCCGAGCAGTTGCACTGGTTCACGGTGCGCTCGTACAGCGGCGGGGAGAGCTCGACGGTGTACTTGATGTACCCGCAGTGGCAGCCGCCAGGGTACGACTCGCTCTTCTCGGCCGGCGGCGGCTCGTTGGCCACGGAGGTCATCTTGAATATTTTGGGGTGGGTGGGTGGGTGGAGGGAGCTGGTTGAAAGAGTCTCGAAAGAAAGGATCTAGGTTGAGATGGATGTGTGTCTGATCCTGGGAGAGAGAGAGATGTAGTTCCAATGGAGGAGCTGCTTAGAGAGGCGGGGAAAAGCAGGGAGCTACAAACACCCACGTATATGCACCCACCCTAGTCAGGTAACAATAATAATAATAGTAACGGTCTTGTCCGGTAGCCTACAGCACAATGGGGAGTCCTATTCAGGGGATCAGAAAACATTCAACCAAATACGACGGGATGATTTCCACTTGGCGTGCCTTGCCGGGCTATCGTTTTAGTCATGTTTACTTTCAGAAGGTTTACACGAATTATATACTTACCAGAGGACACACGCTCTCCGCGCCAGGTTCACAGCCACGTCCGAAACTGGGGCAGAGTAGAGAGATTCATGTTCCAGGCACAAAGTAAGCCCGCACGTCTTTGCCTGACATTGCACCTGCTTACTTTCTACTCTTGTGGCTTTGTCATTCATTCATGGGCGGAGAAAACGGGGCAACAAGCGCCCTATCTCTCTTCGGGAAGGATGCCGACGCTGACAGACAATTGGAGCGACGAGGCGGAGCTCCCTGGGGTTCCGACAGGACGCTGCTGCTGGCATTCTCCACATTCCAGGGACAACACCGAGTTTAGGGGATCAGTGGGTTCCCTGGCGGCCTCATACCACCCCCCTCCCAGCAATCTGAGCTCATGGTGTCCAATTAGCCGCTGGGTGGACTTTTTATTCCAAATGACAGAGAAGCTTCAATTGAAACGACTGAGCCTGCCCGGTCTGAGTGAGCCTGAAGCTGTATCAGTTGCCCTGCTGCCGCATTCCGACTTCCACTAGTGGACCCCTGTCATACAATTAACTGCTGCGACCCGACCCAAACAATGCTTGTTCCATAGACCACCAGAAAAAGAAAGAGAAAGAGAAAAAAAAAAGACGACAACCATCCTGCCGCCCCCCAACCATCAGCCCTATTTCAGAACTGCATTTCCGAATCGGATCAACCACGTCCTGGCCATTCCCACATCCCAAAAAAACACAAAAAGAAAGGTATAACAGAGGACTTGAACCTCCATACAGCGATGGACTCGCGGGGAATCGAACCCCGGACCACTCCCATGCTAAGGGAGTATTATACCACTAAACCACAAGCCCGTGTGATCGTCTCTGATTGGATGGGAGGTCCTGACCGTTAACCAGATACAGATAGCTGAGTCTGTGCTCCTAAAAGGATGAACGATGATGGTGTTTCGTACATTCTGAGCGGTACCGTGGTGGATTTCTTCTCATTCCCGCCGTGCTCCAGGTATCACCCAAGGGGAGGTGCAGACCCCTGACGAGTTGATTGGCATGGTTTCTATTATATTATGAATTATCTATATAAAGATTGATCAATAGACTCAGTCTGTAGCTCGTGACATATTGTTCAATAGGTGTATCTGTTCGCCATGCGTAATTCAAGATGCTTTAATCCAAACTCTCTCTACAACATCAACTTCGCGAAACCGCTAAATCATGACTAACACGTCACGCCCGGGACGTGTTCTGCTCCCTGGGCACGTTCGAGGCAGCGGCGTGGTCGATGCGGCTGTCCTGCTTTTCCACGGGGCTTTCGCCGTTCGAGGAGTCACCAGTTCCGTTGTTCGAGGGCGGCTTGAGGGGTCCGGTAGGAGCAAAGCTGCTCTTGGCCCGGATCTTGTGTCCGTACAGGTAGAATAGGACGGGGATTGGAATAAGCAACACAGCTACGCAGCCGAGTAGGGTGCAGGCCCATTGGATGCCAAGTCCTTTGAACATGTACTGCGCGAAAAGAGGGAAGGCGGCTCCGCAAAGCGATCGAAGGAAGGTGTTACCGGCAATGGCAGAGGCGGCACTGTGTCTCAAGTATTAGTCTTCGCCCAGTGAGTCAAGTCTGAAATAGTACTACTTACAACATGAGATAGGCGTCCACGAGGTAGTTGAGAGCTTGAAGGAAGATGGCCATAAGCCCGTAACCGGTCAAGATTCCAGAGGCAGCCGGCACAATCCAGTGGACATTGGGGTTGTATCCCGACCAGCCGAACCAGAAGAGACCCCCAGCGAACGCAACACCGCCTGAGATGACAACGGGGAGACGCCACTCGGGAACAGGGATACCGTTGTTGGCAGCCAGCTTGCGCTGGTAGGAGGGCTGCATCAACAGCACAACGGTACCTGCGATGAGCTGGCCGATGATCATGCCGAAGAAGGCAAGTCCAGATTCGCCGAGGTTGAAGCCGTGGACGCCTTGGAAGACAAAACCGTACGACGAGAGCGAAAGATAGAGAAGACCGTAGATGAAGGCCATGTAGACGGACAGGGCAGTGACGATCGGCTCGCCAAACAGCAGGCGCATGGGACGGCTGAAGTTCTTCGAGATGAGCTCGCCGAAGTCGACCTCAATTTCTTCCTGCTTGGCGTGGATGCCCCAGTTCTTGGTCCTCCGGCGAAGCTCAGCAGCCTTCTCAACGAGAATGACGGGAGGGTAGGTCTCCTGCAGGAAGATAATGTTGAATCCAAAGGCCACGAAGCCCATGATGGCAGCGATGTACATGGTCCAGCGCCAGCCGAGATACGACATGACGATGAAACCACCAATGAATGGGGCCAGGAGAGGTCCCGAAAAGACGGACATGGAGAAGATGGTAATGGCCACACCACGGGTCGAGTTGTCAAACATGTCGGAGAAGACGGCGGCGACGACTGCCAAGGGGCAGGCGCCGAAGAAGCCAGCAAAGAAGCGGCTGATGAGGAGTGTCTGCAAGTCCTTGGCGACGGCACAGGCGACGCAGAAGATCGAGAACCCAAACATGGAGATGACCAGCGGCAGGCGGCGGCCCTTCAGCTCGGATAAGGGAGCCCAGAAAGTTGGACCGAACGCAAATCCTGATGCTGTGTTAGCATGGCGTGGCGAGACTAGTACCTGTTTGCAGTCCGACTTACCGAGAACGTAGAGAGAAACACCCAAGATGCCAACCTCGGTGCTGACGCCAAACTCTTCGGAGACGGCGCCAGTCGCCGCGGAAAAGATACTCGAGGTAAAGGCGGCAGTCAGTGTGGTGTAGCCAAGCATGGCCGCCGTAGCGATTCTGTGCAGATGTTTGTCAGTCACGCGATGACCCCTCGGATTACGTTACACGGTGGACTCACTTCTTGCTGGTGGGCCAGTTCTGGGCGTGGTAGGGGTCGTCGTGGCCATCAAACTCGACAACGTACTCCTCCTGGTCGGGCAGAGGCGGAGGGAAGGGCTTGCCGGCACCGAAGGCGGGGAGAGGCTTGCGAGAGCGCGAGGAGCGGCCGGTGGCAGCAGACAAGGAGCGGCCGACGGTGGCATTGTGCTGGCTGCGGGCGGTATGGATGCGACTGAGCTCAGTCGGGTGGCGCTCGAGGTCCCGCTGGGTCGAGACGCGGCTGATGCCGACACCGCTGCGGCTGCGCAGGCCGTCGGGCCTGGTGTCGGCAGAGGAGGTGGAAGCGGACGAGGCGGCGGTGACGACACGCTCAATCTCGTTGCTGGCGCGGCGGTGGTGGGCGACGGCGTCCTCGTCGACGGCAGGCAGGGCGTCGCTGCTAGGGCGGGGATGCGGGTGCTCGAAGTGGTGGTCCCGGCGGGACTCCTCTTGGGCGAGGGCGAGCTCGCGATCGACCTCGTCCATCGTGAGAGATTAGATCTCCGGGTCGAGATTACCTTGGGGGGGTTGGAGTTGGATGAGTTGGTTGTTGGTGCTGGGAGGAGTCGGGTCGAAGGCGTGGGCGTCCAAGTGTGAATGCACTGCCGTTTTGGGAAGGCGCGGCGGCGTCTGGTTGGTGCTCTGTAGGGTGAGACAGCAGGATGCCGCAATTGGACACGAGAGGGGTCCGTTGTTTGGGGAAAGTGACGAGGATGAGGAGGAAGGACGGGGGGACTGATGAGTTTTAAGATTCAGAGCTGAAGCTGGAAGGAGATGCTCTCTGTTCGGGCTCGTGTTCCCAATTGGCACGACTTTTGTCGTCAGGCATGTGTTGCTCTCTGATGGATGGCACATCTGCTCGGCGACTAAGCTATTATTGTTTTTGGGCTCGGCCTCTCGGCTAGAGGCGCAATTGCAGGTGGTGGGGCCTGCGTCATAGCACGGTCACTAACAGGCGCCTCTAGCACCCTCTCGCCCCATCCTGCACACGCAAACCCTGCAGACGTCATGGGTCAGACTTTTTTTTTTCTTTCGTTCTGTTCTGGGCTCCCTTCCTTAGAATGTCCTGCTCGCTTTGTCATAGTCCCCCAGAGTCGCGACGCTGGGCTGTAGCTGCTCTTTCCTGACTCAGTCCCCTGCAGCAGACCTGTCTTTGCCCCAACTATCTATGCCATAAACCTGTCTGTAAGGAGGAGGCTACCAACACGAATTAATCATCGTCCCCAGTGTTTGCCGAGGCGGCGGCGACCCATCAATGTCGGAGCCCCCTGCCTTCCGGCATCCGCCCCCCGTTCGCGTCCACCTTTTGCTGGATAACTCCGGGCGCGAGCACAGCCGCCGGGCAGCAGCCCACCTTTCCCACTCCCGGCCAATCTGCCGTGCATTGCTAAGCTTTCTCCCGCTCTTCCCCCGTTGCAAACGATCCATCGGCAGAGAGTTCTGTCTTGTTAGGCATCATGGCACGCTTCCAAAGTGGTTGCCCTCCAACGCAACATTTTACCGCCACTAGCTCTCTAGACAACCACAAGTGCTGACCCTGCCCTCTTTTAACCTGCGTCACCCAGCGTCCGCTACTTCCGCGCCTAGAAACCTACTTTGCCATTGAGTGTTGCTGCTGCTGCTGCTGCGGTGCTTCCAGCCGAGGTCCCCTAGACCAAAAAAAGAACCACCCAAGTAAATCATTATGGGCCATGGTGGTGGTGGTGGTGTATATGCTGTCGCCAGCACGAGCCCGCCTTCTCTCAACCCCCCCCCCCCCCCCCCAGCGGGCATTGTGTAACAACAACCCGCCAAGCAAGGAGGATGGGAACGCCCGCACCTTTCTCGAACCCTGGCCAATCATTGCCTCTTTTCCTGCCTTGTCTCGCAGCATAATGGAATCTTGTTCTACCCGCCGACATAACCTTGGAAGTCTAGACTGAGCAGTGTGGTCTGTGTTGCAAAGCCAATCTCGACGGAGACTGGGCCCCTAGTCGTATTGGAAAGGCCCCCTTTGATTTCCAGACAAGGGAGAGAGAGCTCTCCACCATAGCTGCTGTCGATCTCGTGGTGCCCACGTTTCAGCTCGATGAAGCCCTGGCTGAGAGCAAGGAAGGTTTCCCGCCTTTTGGTGTTGTTTCCCCCCTCCCTCCCTCGTGACAGAGTGCGTGCGGAATGAAACCCTGAGATTTTCATGGATACGTACACACGTCGACAGGCAGCTTTTTTTCCTTTTTTTTTTTGTTCTTGGGGGGGGGGGGGCATTGCTAGATTGGGCACAAGTCTATGGTTGCCGACCGCGAAATCGTCATGGAGCGGAGTCTATAACCACCCAGCCCGGCAGCAATAATGGTGAGAGACTTTGTAGTGGTGTCTAAAAGTCTGCTCAAGCAGCAGATCTAGACGAGTTCTCCACCAAGCTTGCCAATGACAGCGCAGAGACCTCGGGAACCACGAGAGAGGGAGAGTGGTCGGGTTGCAAACAAACGAAAACATCTGGACGTGCTGTATTACACTACACTGACACATGAACGCTATTCATCTCCTCAAAAACACTAAAATCTCACCTCCCCCCGGCGCCAAACAGACACTCACCATCACCGCACCCCCCAGCCCTGATCAAGCAGACCTGCAGCCTCCTCGAGCGTCAGGCCTGCCGTCTCCGGGTATACATGCCATATGGCCAGCCACCCGGCCGCGCACACCACGGCGTACACGACAAACGTCCAGCTGGGGCTCAGCAGCTCCATGAGCGGCAGGAAGGTCAGCCCCACGACAAAGTTGGCCAGCCAGTTGGTCGACGTAGCGAGCCCGCTGCCCAGCGACCGCACGCTGAGCGGGAACAGCTCACTCTGCATCCAGGGGACGTTGCCGAGCCCCAGCGCGTAGGACGCTGTGAAGAGCATCATGCTGGTAAGAATGACTAGCGGGGCCGCCGGGGACCGTTGAGATGCGGTGGCTGTCGAGTCTGCTGGCGTGGACGAAGGGGGAGGTGACAGATGAACGTAACGGAAGCCAATGGCGGCCAGGAGCAGGCCGGCGACCATGAACGGCACCGAGTACAGCAGGATCCTGCGGCGGCCGATGCGGTCGATGAATAGCAGGGCCAGGATGGTGAAGACGAAGTTGGTGGCCGCGACAGTAAGCGATGTCAGTGTTGGGACCTTGAAGCCGAGCAGCTCGAAGATGGTGGCCGAGAAATACATCAATGAGTTCTGACAAAACGGCATGTGGTTAGTCCATGCCAAGTGCTTCCTCATGCCGAGGCACGATTGTTGACATTACGCCTGTTGCGACAGGCGACAGGAGGAATACTCACAAATCCGCAGAGCTGCTGTAGTCCCTGGAGAAGGCATGCGATAGTCAGAGCACGCCGGTTTCGAGGTATATCGAGCAGCTCGTTCCAGCCAGCAAGGAAACCCGCATCGTCAACCTGCATGTCTCCTGATCCATTGTCTTGTCGTCGTCGTGCAACCTTGGCTCTCTCCTCCTCCTCAGCTCTAACCTCTGCCTGTATCGCAAGCAAGCTGGCTCTCGCCTCGTCGTCCTCGTTCTCGACTCCGGTGTCGTACCCGGACTCATCTCGATCCGGTTTGGCAACACCCAACGTCTTCCGGATGACTTCTTCAGCCTCGCCGACCTTCTCAGCCTTGACTAGCCATCGGGGCGTCTCTGGCATCCAGGACAGCAACACCAGCCCCTGCACCAGAGCCGGCACCGCCCCAAGTCCCACCATCCACCTCCATCCACCATGGCCATTGTCCCCTCCGGCTCCGCCGTCGCCGCCAGGCTGATCCCAATATTCTGCAAACCTCCACCCGACGAGGTACGCCACGACCTGCCCGAGCGTGATGCACAAGACGTTCAGAGTGACAAGCCTCCCCCTGATCCTCGCGGGCGCCAGCTCCGAGATGTACAGCGGCGTGACGAAGCTCGACATGCCCACGGCGGCACCCACGACGGCCCTGCCGAGGACCATCTGCCCCACCGTCGCCGAGACGGCCTGGCAGAGCGCGCCGAGCACAAAGAGCACGTCGGCAAGCAGGATGACGGGCTTCCGGCCGTGGCGGTCCGCCAGGATCGAGGACAGGGGCGAGGCGACGAGGCCGAGGAGCGCGGTGGACGAGGTGATCAGGGACTTGTCTATTGAGGTCAAGGCGCGGTGGGACAGGGAGGTGGAGATTGAGACCAGTGTTGCTGAGATGACGCCTGTGTCGTCTGTAGGGTTGCCGCGAGTTAGTACCTGGGATGTAAGCCGCCTGTTGAGGATATCTGCTCGTGTCTCAACTTTACCAGCTGTAAACACCAGAGAAACCTCACAGCAGTGCTGGAGGAGATAAACGAGAAAACGTTCCGGGAACAGGGACAAGCAGCGAGAAGGAGAAATCAGACTGACATCCAAACAAAAGCCCACTGACACAAGCCGATACTGTCAGCACCCATACGAACCACCCTCCCCTAATCTGTCTCTCATCGACTGCTCTCTGCGCGGGACCGCGTCCTCCAAGCAATGCCGCCGTCGCGTCGGCGACATCCTCACTTGAGCCACCGCCCCTACCGCCGAACCCCGAATCCCACCCACGAGTCGATGAAGCAGGCGAGAAGACTCCGGACCCCGGACTCCCCGCGCCATCGCCGTGCTCAAGGCGAGGGTGGACTAGCTGCAGCAGCGGCTCTATCTCGCTGCGGTGACGACGGTGCCTACCGGCGGCGCCGGGAGGGTCGGGACTAGGGCTTGTAGTGTTGCTCATGCCAGTTACGAAGGATCTTGCTGGCTAGATAATAATGTGGCTTCGATGATGATGCTGGTGCTGATGCAAATCATCAACAATAATGCCGACCAGCCGCGTACAAGCCGCAGGTGCAGGGAACGGGCCTCGTCTATCTCTGATAGACCACAGGCATTCAAGCGGCATATGGCGCGTCAAATTGACGCAAATCCCCTTTTCAAATGAAATACAATGCAGGTTAAGCTATACTTGTGTTGTCGAACTTGTCGTTGCGTTGTCGTCGTGGTCGTCAAGTATATGTATAAGGGGAAGTCCACCATGTGGGTCTGCTTGGCCAAACCTCCCCAGGTCGACCATCGCCAGCCCGTCCAGAGCTTTGACCAAAGCTCACATGACTCATCTCCACGGCCAAGGCATCGAGGGGAGCATAGGAGTCTTTTCCGAGTCTCAAGTTCTTTATTTATAGCAGGCACCGGAGACTGGCTCAAGAGAATCTCTCGTAGTCACGTTCAGCGGTCACTGTTTCGAGACGGTAAATTGTTGAAAGCACGCAATGTTGGTATCAAATTGTTCCTAATTCCACTCCCTATCTTATATGCAAGCTCAAAGCACTCAACCCGTGTGACAATGGCTGCTTCCCTGGAACGTCAAGTGTACGATGTATTAAACCATGATTTCTGCAAGACAAAAACCTAAGAGGCACGACGCCAATTCGAAGAAACCTGCGACAGCCGAGGTCAATCCATCTATAGGATCTCATCGGCCATGGCAGCATCGCCACCGGCCGCAGCAGGTGCGGTAGCCGCCGCGTTGTCATTGTTCTGGCCATTCGCGACAAAGTAATCAGCCATCTCGGAGTCAAGCTCCTCAGCTGTCTTCTTGGCCGGGCAGCTGCTCCGCTTCTTCGCACGTCCAGCACGGTTGGGGCGGGCGTCCGTGCCAGCGGCCTTGCCGGCGGCGTCCTTCTTCTTGTTGTTGGCAGCCGACTTTGGCTGAGCCTTGGGCTGGGTCTTGGGCTGGCTGACACGGTCGGTAAGAGACTTCGCAGCCGGGACAATAGCGGCAGCCTTGTCGCCAGTAACGACGATTTCGATCTGTGTCCAAATTTAGCGTGAAAGCCTCAAGAGAGATCGGCTTGCATAGTCATACCTTGATGGGGCGGTTGTCAACAAGGAGGCCGTTCAGAGCACTGAACGCCTTGCTGGCACCATCAACCTTGTTGAAGCTGATGGTGGCGATGCCACGGCTGACACCACCGGGACCGTAAGAAACCTCAACCCGCTTGACGGCTCCGACGGATGAGTTGAAGTATTCCTACGTGGATTCGTGTTAGTATTGCGAGACGTGTTCGAATATCGCCATGTCGCCATCGAATCAGTACCCGTCGCGAGGGAAACCCATTGTGGCGTAGGCGTCGTTTTCGTCTCCCGAATATCGTGGCGAATATTGCAGCAGCGATGAACATGCAGTGAGCATAATTGCAGTGAGAGCTTCTCCGAGTTGCCCCCAGGACCCAGACTAGGTCTTGAGACGTTCTTGTTCGACATCAGACAAGCGTGTCCGGTGAAGAGTCACGGAATGACCACTTCCGTTCGACCGACTCGTACACCAGCACTCTCCGGTGTCGCTTCCCACTATTACCGCAGAAAGTTACAACTGAGCGCTTGCGTCGATCACCACTTCGCTCCTTGGCTTGCGCCAACGCGTCTTCTTATCTGCTCCAACAGTGCGAGAAACAGGGATGGACCACGTGATACCCCTTGCACGCTGCTCAACTGAATTGCTGCTCACTGCTGTGCTCACTGCCGCGAAAGCATATTTGCGATCGTATCTCAGGTCGTTGTGGCGGCTGACCATCTCAGGTTTGCCTCGTGTTCTAGATCTGGTGTCTCGAGTGCTTCAGTGCTCCAGTGCACGCCGGTACAGTGTCTTTTCTCAAGGTGTGCCAAGCCTTGCCGACACTGGTGACGCGGCATGCGGTTTGCTCAACCTGTATTTCAAGGGAGTCGATCTGGGCGTGAATTTGTGCAACTCGTATATTCCAGTCAAACTCGGTCGCTCATGACCAAGGAACGCAACCACGCTGAATGACGCGAGATTTCCCAATGCGGATGATTCGATGTTCTCAAAGATGTCGACGGAATTCCACAGGCACGGAGCCTTAGCGGAAACATACCTTAATCTGGGACTCGTTCACATCCTTGGGCTGAACGGAGAGAAATGTTAGTGACCAAGTCACACGAGGTGGAACGTAAGTGAGGCGGCTTACCAGGTTGCTAACGACAACCTTGCTGTCTCCATTGGCACCAGTCGCCTTGGCGGGACCCTGCTTATTCACAGCACCCTTGGGCTGCTTGGTGGTCTTCTTGACGCCGCCGACTGGAGCAGTGGTGGCAGGGCGTCCGCCGGTGGAGCGGCGCTGGTTCTGGCGACGGCCGCCCGCAGCGCGACGCTGAGTCGAGATGATCTCGTCGAGACCCTGGTCAAGCTTTCCAGACATGTTGATTATGGGTTGCGGTGTTTTGTAAGGTGTGGTAAAATGTTGTGGTCGCGGGAGCAGACCGTAGAAAAACCGGTGATATACTCGCGAGGATTAAGCAGTGATTATGATCGCGACAGACACACGAAAGATTCGGGTGTGAGTGGCAAAAGAAAGGGTGTCCCGAGGCAAGTTGGACACGCGACTGTCGAAGTTGGCTGCAGTCGCAAGAAAAAAGAAGAGAAGGGAAGAGTGGTCAAGTGGTGGTCGTTCTGAGATACCGCGACTACACGATTTCCAGTGGCAGGAGTGATGAGAAGCGGTGATCTGAACCAAAGGTGGTGGAATGCTGATGGACGAGAGATGGGGGAGAAACGGGAGGAGCGAGGAGACGGGAGGTGTTTTGCACGAACAAGGGGCAGGCGCGACGGGACAGCAGTCATCAGAGCTGGCGCCTGCCTTGGGCTGGGCTGGCGGCCTGGTTGCCTCTCCTCTCCACAGCTGGGCTCCTGTGCGCAGCACAGCACAGCGCGGGCCAGCAAGTGGGTCCGTGCAAGGATGTGTCACCCAATGCCTGGCTTGGCGCGGCTTGGAGCTAGCTGCATGGTCCGTCAAGCGTGATGATTGCGCCAAATCAACGCGGACGAAGGAGTCCTTGAACAGCCTCACCCTGAAACAAGGTCACGGCAAGATGTGTGACAACAATCTCGTGCACGCAAGGCGCGGCTCGCAGGTCAAGGTCAACCATGGTTGCTGATTTCTTTGTTCTATCGCATATTATCATGAACAACTCAGATCTAGTCCCTTGCTCATAGAAATGTGCACTCCAACAAGCACTCAGTCACAACCACGCAAGGACTTGTCCATTGTTCATTGGCCCAAGAGTGTAGTGCCACGTCAACACAAGCTGTTGAGCCTGGCGATCATGGCCAACGCATCACGACTGCGCGGCGCCATAAGTTGTATGATCATGAACCCAGGTGGTTCGAAGCAACTGGTTGCAGTCCTGTACATGAGGCTCCTAGAGCGTCTTGTCGTCCCTTTACAAAACATCACTTTGGGTATCTTGGGGTGGGCCGTCCTCCAAGGGGACCTTGTTCAACCGCAATCGGGCAGTGAATGATTATCACGACAGGCGAGCCAGCGTTGTATCTTATCCCTCACGGATTTCTCGCGACCAGGCCGCCTCATCTCGCTGCGTTCGAGGCTTTGCCAACGGCTTGCTGTTGCAGCGCAGGGACAGCCTTGGCGGCTTTCTGTTGCAATGCGCTCTCCTGTGAGTTGACCTCGAGAAAGTGGTATATGACTATGAGGACGACGGAGGCAGAGCCGAGGAAGATGGCAAGTCTGTACAGGTCGTTGTCGGAAATCATGGTTGCAGGCTCGATCGTGGAATGTCTGCGGTAATGCTGTCCCCAAGGTTAGTGACTGACGATCGCAGAGGAGAGGAAGCTGGACGTCTTACTCGTGATCTCTTGCGCAGGTTCGGGCGAGAGTTAAGATGGATAAGGTCGGCGGCAATAAGGGTCGTGATTACCACTGCTTGACGCTCGATGTTGCTGGGCCCTTGAACCCCGAAGATGCGCCTCCAATTGAGGCCAGCTTGGAGGTCCACGGCCAGCCTGGAGCTTCGACTCCACCAAAAGGCGTCGCCAGCCGAATTTCGGACACACTCTGTTGGGACACTTCAGTTCTTGCACAGTGCTTAGTTTACTGTCTCATCGTGCAATACGCACAGTCATGTGACTGACGTAGGTGCGATTTCTGCCCTGCGCTAGCCAAAAGATTCCAGTCAGTGGAGGGTGCACCTTTTGCCCCGCCACGAAGACATCTCTGACTGGGTGGCTATATTCAACTGACGAAACTTGTTGCCCTTCCGGCACAGCGGCGACGAGCAGAAACGAGAGCAGAAGCGTTGATCCGGGTGGCCTCACGTTCAAACGGCATCACTGAGCAGGCAACCTTTCGGTTCTTCCCATCAGCCAACCATCCCTCGCGAGATCGATCGATTCCCAACGAACTGCCCACCATGGCGCCCAAGGGACGGAATGAAGAGCCCAAGAAGAAGAGAGATGTCAACAAGCTGGTGGACGACAAGACCTTTGGCATGAAGAATAAGAAAGGTGGTGCAGCACAGAGACAGATCAAGCAAATCGCTGCGTCAGCCAAGAACGGAGGAAGTGCGGAGGAAAAGAAGAAGCAGGCCGAGAAGGAGGCACGCGAGCGCGAGAAGAAGGCGGCAGAGGATGCAAAGCGGGAGGCGGAGGCTCTTCTCAACAAGCCCGCTCAGATCCAGAAGGTCCCTTTTGGTGTGGATCCAAAGACTGTCGTGTGCATTTTCTTCAAGAAGGGCAATTGTGAGAAGGGCAAGAAGTGCAAGTTTGCCCACGATTTGTCTCTAGATCGTAAGGTCGAGAAGATCAACCTCTATGCGGACGCCCGCGCAGAGGAGGAAGAGAAGAAAAAGGAGACATCAGAAGATTGGGACGAGGAAAAGCTGCGGAAGGTCGTGCTTTCAAAGAAGGGCAACCAGCAAACGACGACCGACAAGGTGTGCAAGTACTTCATCGAAGCCATCGAGGACGGCAAGTACGGCTGGTTCTGGACCTGCCCGAACGGAGGCAACGAGTGCAAATACCGTCACGCACTTCCACCTGGGTACGTCTTGTTCCTCTGTCTTCCTTGCTACGGAAAAGTACTAATTCCCCGCGACAGATTCGTGCTGAAGACAAAAGAACAGCGCGCGGCAGAGAAGGCTCTTCTGGACAAGTCACCTCTGAAGACTCTCACACTAGAAGACTTTTTGGAGACGGAACGGCACAAGCTTACAGGCACATTGACACCGGTAACAGTGGAGTCTTTTGCCGCATGGAAGCAGCAGCGACTGGACAAGAAGGCTGCCGAGGAGCAAGCCCGCCAAGCGAAGGAGGCTACTGGTCGTGCGCTGTTCGAAAGTGGCAACTGGCGCTTTACCGAGGATGACGCTGATTCTGATGAGGACGATGAAGATGACGCCTGGAACCTCGAGAAAATGCGCAAGGAGACAGAAGCACTGCGGGAGAAGAAAGAAGCCGACCGGCTCGCAGCTGAAGCCGGATTCGCCAATGCGATTGAGGCATCATGAGTCAGTAAAAAATTGCATTTGCATTTGGGCGCAAGGAGTTGCAGGGTACGACAGGACATCGTCACCGAAGCAGGTCGCTCCAGTACATCAGCTCTTGCTGGGAAGGACCAAAATAAGCGTCGAGCCGCGGATGCACAAGACGAAATGCCGGAAACGAGCAGTCTTGAGCATGGCAGCGTCGTCCTCTCGCAAGCGAGAGACCATGAGACGACAATGCGAACGGTCAGCGAGCCCTAGTTCATTCGCTAGTATATACGGGTCTGGTAAAGCAAATCAAGTATTGGCTGGTTCTCGCTTGTCTCAAGGACGCCCGCGACCTCAATCTGTTACCACTCATCCCGCAGTTCTGGGTGACATCCCGGCCCTTAAAATTTCTCGACAAACGGGCGCAAGTCCAGCTCTTGAGTGAATGCGGAACGTGGTTGCGTGTGAAGGTGCCAGTAACTGTCCGCGATCTACACAGCAAGGTGTTAGCTAGATCCTGACAGCAGGGCAAGTTATCAAGCTTAGATACTCACCGCGTGTGCACTGATCTTGCTGTCCTCGACGCCCCCGTTTACAGTGCGACCGGCAGTACGTGGGATGTCGATGATGCCGTCGATGATTGCGTGAGCCACGTGAACGCCCTTGGGACCGAACTCGCGGGCCAAAGACTGGCTCAGTGCTCTACGGGCAAACATTCCTGAGGCCATTGTTGCGAAGGTTGCTGAACCGCGGATGGACGCAGTCGCTCCCGTGGCGATGAGGGTCGGTGGGTGCTCTGAGGTAGAGACTGCATCTAGCAGGAGCGGGATCGTGGCTTGGGCAAAGACGAAGAAGCCTCGGCTAATAATATGTCAGATGGTCATGACCTAACTCTTTCTTAAGGCCTGTCTGTTTTAACGCCTCAACAGCCCCTGAATGCGCGCTGTCGACCCCCACCGGGGGTAAAAGAGCAGTGCAATGCTGCGGTCGCTTATGCAGTTTGACGATCGACTTGTGCACCACGAACGGCCGGAGCTTTCATTCCCAGGGTGGCCGATCGTACAACGAGAGAGGGAGACTCACGCGTTGCCCTGAACACTGCCATCAAAATCCTCGACCGACAAGTCGAGGAAAGGCTTGGGGCCGTAACCGGCCGAGACATTGAACACGGCCGCAGCGAGCTTGTAACCCGGCAGCTCAGACTTGATCTTGTCAAACGCAGCCTTCAGGGATTTTGGGTCCGCAGCGTCCGCCGCGATGCCCAGGGCTTTGCCACCGGCGCTGTTGATCTCGGCGACCGTATCCTGGAAAGACTCCGGCTTGCGGGTGAGCAGGACTACCGGGTACGCCTTTGCGAATCGGAGTGCCGTAGCCCGGCCTGTGTGGTTTGCAAGGTGGTTAGATAACAGGCTTTCACTCGCGATTCAGAAAAGTGCCCTTCGTATTACTTATTGAACAGTTACAGTTCAATATGTATATCGTGGATGTCAGCCCACAGCGAGACCTTACCTGTACCAGGTCCAGCACCAGCAACCACAGCAAACAGTTTGGATGACATGATGATCGAGGGTAGTGATGATCAGATGGTAAAAGTCGTTTACTTGGAAGTTTCCACAATGATACTCACGCGCATGATCGACCAAGAGGGCTCAGATTCAGGTGAGAAACCATAGAACTTATACAAGCGAGCTTGCTGATCAATCTAGGGAAGCTTCGGAGACCGCGAAACTATCCACGTCGTTGATGATGCAAGACAATGCTGGAGTATTTGTCATCAAGCATCTGAAGGCGTGCTCACCTGTGGTTGGCTGAGACGGCTCACTTACACGACGACCTTGCGGGGAACCGTTGCACCCACCTGCGGCCAGGAAACACTAGCCTGGCACTCGGAATCTAATTACGGCAGGGCTAGGCGAGTAACCTTGAATCTTCTCAAGGAAACAACCGGCTAATTGACAAGGCATCAACGACGAGATCGAAGAACGACAGACACGAGTAGAGTAGAACAATTGCACAGCCAGCTTCAAGGCAGACTCTATGTAACCCCTGACGATTAGTCATGCGCCGATTCCCAGGCAAAAGGACATCCCCTGAAATCGTTTCGGATTTCATGAGGCTGGCCCATCGTCACTTATTATCATGACTGAATATGTGTGAGCACATTCAGGGAGATAGGAAGGTCACAAACTTCCATCATGCCGAACGATTCTTCCCTGGCAGAATCTCCCGTGGTGGATAATGGTGCGACCACACCAGCAACAAATGCACAAAGGTCCTGCGAGCAATGGGAAAACCTTACAACGGGCGATCAATACCCGTGCATCTCGAGGATCAGTAAGTGCAAACGCACGGGGGCGGATCCAGCCAAGGCTGCGTTATGCGACAAGTGCGAGAGCCTGGACAAGATCAGAGAAGTGTACACTCAGCGAGCGCCCAAAGGTCTCTTCAAACGCAGCGGCGATATCAATGTCCATAGGCGCTCAAAAGGGGAGAGCTCTTGGCTGTACCTTCAATTTACACCGCATGACCAGTACTCTAATCCACGGCCGACTTTTGATCTCATCGTCAAGGCAATCAGAGGTCAGTCGCCGCGGACAACGATTGGCTTTTTGGTTGCGTCCCGGTACTGATATACGCAATAACAGGTGTTCCGAATCCATGGAATATCAAAGGCGATCCTCCTTTCCTTGCGCCGCCAGGATCATCAGCGGTAGCCACTACAATGCGTGATTGGTTGCACATCTGTGACACCACTCATACAAAATGCAAGACCCCGTACGAACCTACGCTACCCACTCGAGTACTTGACATCGGAGAGGTGGGTACAACTGTTGCCAAACTTGTCGAGACTGGAGGTGCAAAGGGACGGTATATCTGCCTGAGCTACTGCTGGGGATCAACGCCCTTCACCAAGACGACACAGGCGAACATCGAGTCTCACAAGGCAGGCATCCGAGTCAGTACCATGTGTCAGACCTTTCAGGATGTTATAAAGGTGGTTCAGCAGCTCAATATCCGCTACATCTGGATCGACGCGCTGTGCATAATCCAGGAGGACGCCGCAGACTGGGACAGGGAGGCGGCACGCATGGCGCCTTACTACAGCAACGCATACTTGACCATCGCCGCGAGCTGGGCTCAGTCCGCAACGCTCGGTCTTTTCCCACCTGCACCCAAAACGGCGCGAATCGGGCCTCTCGAAGTCTTCTCTTCAACAAGGCACTTCCCACAGTTGGTTGACGATCTAGAGCACCGCCTGCCTGGCTCAGATGCAATGGCCTTCCCAATGCTGACTCGGGGGTGGTGTTTCCAAGAGAGACTCCTGAGCCCTCGTGTCTTGCACTTTGCACAGCATGAGCTGATTTGGGAATGCAGAGAGTCTCTTACTTGCGAATGCGGCCAGGTTGGTTATGCTTACAACCACACGCCCAAGCCCGAGTTCTTCGACGGCATCTCCAACATATCGACCAAGCTTGAGAGGAACTCCGATGACAGCTGGCGAAGGCTCGTGGCCGAGTACACGGCGCTCAGCCTCACCCTTGTCGATGACCGCCTGCCTGCGCTCGGTGGGTTGGCTGATGAGATGATCAGAAGCTACAGTCTCCAGGGTCTATCCAGGACGTATGTAGCAGGTCTCTGGGTCGAATGCCTACTCGGTGACCTGTGCTGGAAGCGAGAGGCAGGGCAGCGATGTAATCCCCGCGACCCAGCCTCGCCAGACCCCCTGCCATACCGCGCACCGTCATGGTCGTGGGCATCGATCGATGGCCACGTTGACTACAGCGACAAGCTCAGCTACGGCGGCTATCGCAACGAACCTGGGTACCGCAATATCGAGTACGCGACTGTGCTCGGCGCCCATTGCACCCCGGCGGGCGCCTCAAAGACTGGCCGCGTGACAGATGGTCATATTGACCTGGAGTGCTTCCTCGTCCCAGCTGTGTTGAAGGAGCTGGATGAACCAGATTGGGAGGGGAGAACCCTGGGCTACGAACCTCTGCAGACCGCGTACATGAACTTGCAGTGGTATTCGGACGGGCGGGCCCGGGTTGAGCCAGGAGCGGAGGGGAGATACTTTGTCCTGCCTCTGGTCACGATCGACACGAGCTCATATGAGACATTTCACGGGATACTCGTGCAGAGTCAGAGTGGGGTCTTGGTTCAAGAGAAGGACGAGCGTCCCGTGATGGTCAGAATTGGATTTGTGACAAAGAGATATGAAAGGTGGTCGACGACGATGAAAGACCTCTCAAGGAGGAAAGTCCGGCTTGTTTAGGAGGCTGTCGTTGGTGCCACAGCCTGCCGTCACCCACGTATTGCAGGGTAGCGTCCAGGGACCTTGTAGATTACGCTAGCCAGCATCGTTTGAAAACGAGGCCTACTGTGACGACCCGACCAACAGGTCGCAAGATCGGGCCAAGGACAAGGGCAGGTCATGCACGCGGGGCGGACACACCCCTGGTTACGTAAGCATCTCATTATGTCAGCAGGACACAGGATATGTTGGATCACAACATATCCACGCATATCCAGGATATGTTGGATCGCAACATATCCACGCATATCCAGGATATGTTGGATCGCAACATATCCACGCATATCCAAAGGACCACGATGAAGGACAAAGGATATAATGCGAAGGATTCCCTAGATAGACAGTCATTACCTTTGTACTTCAGCGATCAATCTAAGTATCACTCTCACCCTTCACTTGACCTAGTCACTCAATTGATCCGAGTGTGATATCTCGCAAGAGACACGAACGACAACCCCCGAGACACGACAAGCACGGAGTCAGTATTGCATGAGGTTGCTATCTGCCTTATTCAGAACATAAACCCCACCGCGCCGATCAGACGGTTGACCCCGGAGATCGGATCGTGACATTTTGATCGCTCTTGTTCGGGTAAGTACACCCCGAGCAATACTGACAACAGGTACCACAGTTACAGGTCATGAACAACAACCCAGCACACACCCAGCAAAGCACCGCCAATCCATCGCAGGACAAAGCACCTGTGGAAGCGCGCTGCAGGGAGTGTGCACAGCCAGCAGTTTACCTCGGACGTTGCTACCGACACCAGCTCAGAAAGGAAGTCGGAGAAATCTGCCGACTTTGCTACAACCTCCGGTACATCAACCACGACGACGCCTGTTCCGGACGATCCTTCACCCACTGGAACAAGGAAGAGTACCTTCAGAGCGCCAGCAACGCCAGGAAGGAATAAGCCATGTCGAACATGTCAACCGACTCCGCCGGACGAGCCGTCACTCCAACCCACGGGCGAACCCTGGAGGACGAGCTGGGCGAAGTCAGCCAGCCCGGACTCTCAACCGAGGAAGAACTGGCCAGACTCCAGGAATGGGCCAACGGCGCAATCGAACACACCAAGAAGCAGGACAAAGCCATCCTGGCTCTCAACCGAACCACCGAGGAGTACAAGGGCATGGTCGCCGAGCTCCGGAACCAGGTCCAAGCACTCCTGGGAGCAGCCAGTATCATTGCAACACCTAGCGGAGGAAGCGTTCGTTTCAACACCCCCGCCAAGTTCGATGGAACCCCTGGGAAACTCAAAGGATTCCTGGTGCAGCTCAAAGCCTATCAACGACAGTACATCAACCAGTTCCAAACCGAGCAAGACCGAATTATACACGCTGCCGGTTTCATGGAAGGAAAAGCACTACGATGGTTCGAGCCACACCTAGCCCAAGCACTGGAGAACGATCCGGAAGACATGGAGGGAGAAACGAGGAAAATCTTCGAGTCCTTCGACAACTTTGAAGAGGCCCTGGAGTCTCTGTTCCAGGACCCCGACGAGAAGAGACGAGCCGAACGAGAACTCGAGAAGCTCAGACAAACCAAGTCAGCTGCGGAGTATGCCACCGATTTCCGACGCATCATCGCACAGCTCGACATGACCGAAGAAAGCAAGATCTCGAGCTTCTACCGCGGACTCAAGGAGGAAGTCAAGGACAAAAATGGCGGAATACTTGGAACCACCAACCAAATTCCTCGAATACTGCGAACTTGCCATCAAGCACGATACGCGTCTGTACGAACGACGTGCTGAAAAACACTATGGCAACACCACGAAAATACAGCATCAACCCAGACAGCCGATGCAGAAAACGTTCAAAAGGACCTTTAGGCAGCAAACCACTGCAACGGGCACCCATGCAGGGCCCATGGATATCGGGAAGGCGACCCCGAGAGACAACAAAAAGTTGTGTTACAACTGTGGAAAGGAAGGGCATTTCTCAAGGAAGTGTACAGAGCCCAAGAAACCATTCAAACCGGTACCAACCCAAGCAATCAGAGCATGCTACGTGGCAGAAGAAAGCGAACCAAGCGAAGGGACGCCGCCACTCAGTGAGGCAACAACACCTGAGACGCCCAGGACGCCCACCATATCGGCAACGACGCCGCAAGACGTTGAGGAAACGGACTCGAGCAACCGGAGTAGCAACGCACCCGACAGCGACGTAGAGCCACTTGTGTTGGCTTACGCACGCAGCGAAGAATACGACTCCCCGGAAATAATGGAGAGCCAGTACGACGAACCAGAGAGCAGCGAGTCTGACGACTCCGACAAAGAGAACCAGCCGCCGGGAGACGAGGAGATCCCCCGGGGAATCCACGATACGGGATACGAAGTAGAGACTTTCGGCTGGGAAAACGCGCCGGCTGCCATGCGAGAGCTAGCGCGGACTAATCGCCGAAGAAGCAACGGCGAATACGGGCTGATGTGGGACGCACGGGCAGCCGACCTCTCGGCCCCGGAAGGACCCACCACCGGGATGTTCAAACACACCGACGAGCTCGCCAGCTGGCGGAGCAAGGTGCACAATGCCTGGGTAACGACGGAGGGAACTCATGACCCCCTAGAGTCAAGACCCGGAACACCCGACAGCTGCGAAGACACCCAACTCGGCGAAAACTGGGAGAACGAAGAAGGCAGCGACATCGACGGCTACGAAACCGGGATTCGGTTTCAAGGCAAGCCGCTCAAGGACAAAGATGACCCTTTCGACTGGGCCATCGCGGCAAGAAGGTACCAGACACAACTCGCATACCCCGGAGACCACCGGTATATGCTAAGCTGGGAACCAATGCACGCCACCATTCTATGGGTATACTGCTATAACGACGGGTGTTACCACCACTTCGGAGACAAAGTACGCCACCAAATATTCCCGCGCCGACAGGAGGGGACACCAGTCCCACACCCCCTGCCAGGAAACGTTCTACGGGAATGGCAACCAACCTTCGTCGACGGAGCATACGAACTAGCAGACACGTATGAATACCCCAAGGAATGCGTGTTGGGAGGAAGGGGCAGAAAGCGTTGCATCACGAACAACTGCCTCATACACGTACAACGAAAAATCGAAATCCTGCAGCTCGCCGAAACCACGCGGAACCTCAATGAAATCTGCGACGACATCCGACAGGAGCCGGACTTCGTGGAAGTCTACCAAGGGCTCAAGGACCGAGTCGCGGAACCAGGAACGATCGCGCGGGATTATCTCGACGAACTCAGCGACCACCTCAACGAAGTTATGGCGTTCATCGATCAGAATGGGCTAGTTCCGGGATTCAGCCGAGCAGAGATCCGCGGAGCCGGGATCATGATCCGCGACGCAGCCGAACGACCTACGGGGCTAAGCGCCTACGATCGGCGGAAGACGCTATGGAAAGATATCGAGGAAGCATGGAAGGAGGGGCTACTGGACAGAGGTTACACTGCAACCACCGTCCAGGCGGAAAAAGACCGACGGCGGGCGAAGGAGGCTCGTCCCCGCCGATCTTAACCCTTGCGTCCTCCTATCCACACCACGGGAAATGGAGCCCGACAATCAACATCGTCGTCAACGGGATTCCATGCACAGCACTCATCGACAGTGGGTCCAACAGGACCTATGTCAACGCACAATGGGTAAACAAGTGGGAAATTCCTTACAAAGACAAGGAAAGACCCTACACACTCGTCAACATTGAAGGAGCATACGTGCTCTATGACAACGGATGGATACGACGGGAGACTCTACCACTGCAAGTCGAGTTCCCAGGACACCGAGAAACCATCACCTTCGACATAGCCGACATCGGACGAAACCAAGTCATCTTGGGAAGCAACTGGCTACGGAGCAGCAACCCTACAATCGTATGGGAAGACAACATCCAGCTCCACTGGCAACCCACGATACACAGCATCCGGGAAGCCATTGTCATGGACGTACTAGAAGGAGTACCCAGCGACTACCATGACTACATCGACGTCTTCGGATTTAAAAATGATCGAGGACTGCCACCACACTCGAAGTGGGACCATGAAATCAACCTCAAAGAAGGCAAGGAACCCAACTTCATGAGAACCTACAAACTCAACCCCGCAGAAAGCGAGACCCTCAAGCAGTATGTCAAGGACATGCTGAGGAAACAATTCATCCGGCCATCTCAATCACCTGCCGGATTCCCCATCCTATTCGTACCAAAGAAGGACGGGAAAAAGCGACTCTGCGTGGACTACAGGAAACTCAACGAGGACACCATCAAGAATCGCTACCCACTACCCTTGATCTCGACGCTTAGGGACCGGCTATTCAAGGCTAAAGTGTTCACCAGCCTGGACATGCCGGATGCCTACAACTTCATCCGGATCAAGGAGGGCCACGAGTGGAAAACCGCTTTCCGTTCGGAAGCCGGGCACTACGAGTACCTCGTTATGCCTTTCGGACTCACGAACGCACCCGCAACCTTCCAAACCATGATGAACGAAATCCTCCGAGAATTCATCGACATCTTCGTTGTTGTCTACCTCGACGACATCCTCATCTACTCCGAAAACTACGAAGATCACGTCCAACACGTGCGAAAGGTACTCGACAAATTCCGCGAACTACAGCTGCTCGTCAACCCGAAGAAGAGCAAGTTCAACCAAGAGAAAATCGACTTTGTCGGATACACCATCACCCCCGGACAAGTGCATATGTAGACCAGCAAGACCGATGCACTACGCAACTGGGAAATTCCAACGACAGTCACGGAAGTACGCAGCTTCCTGGGATTCACCAACTACTACCGAATCTTTGTCGAACACTACAGCGGCCACGCGAAACCATTGAACGATCTCACCAAGAAGGATCAACCCTTCCAGTGGACCAAGGAACAACAAGGAGCATTCGACAAACTCATCCAGATCATCCTCAGTCACCCTATCCTGTGGATGCCAAACCCGGAACTCCCCTTTGAGGTGGAATGCGACGCCTCAAAGTACGCAATGGGAGCACAGCTAGGACAACGAGACGAGAAGGGACGGCTGCACCCCGTCGCCTTCCTATCCAAAACATTTTCCGGACCAGAACTCAACTACACAGTTGGAGAAAAAGAACTACTCGCAATCGTCACCGCACTCCGAGAGTGGAGGGCCTACCTACTGGGGTCCCCGCACCAGATCCAGGTCTGGTCGGA